ATTGGACATCCCATCCTGATAGATCTTGGCGAGCGAGAGCAGGCAGTTGCTGGTGGTGGAGATTCCAGCCTGTACTGCAAAGGGCGGCGAGACATATTCTAGCCCAGGAAGATTGCCTTCTGGTGGGAACATGTGTCTGGCAGTTGCTTCAGCGTGCTCGGGAGCCAGCAAAACGGGTTCCTTGCTCTCAAGCTTTGCTCTGACATACTCTCGATCCCGGATGGTGCACAGACAAGCCGACAAAATATCGTCAATCAGACCTCTAATCCCTTGCTTCCTCCGACCTGTCGAGATTAGAATGGCATCCTCGAATGCTGTAGCGGCGGTGTGATTCTGGCCGAGGGCATATAACATATTCGCCTTGGCATGCACAAGAGCTAGCATCCGTCCATTGTCTGCCCCAGCGATTGCATAGCCGCTCGAACCGTAGCCAGGAGGCTGAGACTCGGATACGACCGAGACATTCTGGCTGTAATCGGTGTCGTAGTCATACTGAGCGTTGTCGTATGAGGCAACGGTGCTGATACTCGAAGCGTGGCTTTTGGTATCGCTTTCTGCGTCACTCAATTCGGCCCATGAGTTATGAGCATCTTCACCCCGGACCCGAAGTGCATTCTCCACATACTCAATCACACTGACAGCTTCCCTGGCCCTGTGGCTAGCGCACAGCAGCCCGATTAGATGTTCCACGGCCTCAAAGTAGCTTGGTCGTAAGCTGACAGCATCTGACCAATATTTAAGCGCATCTTCGCGGCGATGGAGCGCATGGCAGGTTGCTGCCAGGTTAGACATGGCTTCAATGTGGCTGGGGTCTTGTCTCAAAACTGCCCTGTACCATTCCTCAGCTTTGACGTAGTTGCCCAGGCCGTAAGCCAAACACCCTGCCAACAGCATACCGTCAACCCAAGGAACATCCGCTTCTTGACATAGCAATTCCATGGTTTGAAGTGCAGTGGCTGCCGATTCGAAGAAGGATACCTGTTGCACGTTGTTGACCCTGGTGCTGACCTGCCTCATCTCATGCGTTGGATGCCCAACTTCATACTGTTGTCGAGAGATATTTTTGGGCTCAATCTGATTCGGAAACGATCCAAATTCTTGCGCGGTCAACGCTTTGGGCGCTCTGAATATGGCAGTCTGTGGTCGGGATGGAATCTCGTACGCGGACTGTTCGCTGCCACTTACCAAAAAGCTGGGACAGGTCTCCCGCCGCTGAGACGGTGGTTGGTCCTTCGACTCCGCTTGGAAGTGTGATCCGGATCTAACGGGTGGTTTGGGGAAAATGGTGGGTTTCATTGCAGTCCTCATGCCCGAGGCAGCATGTGTGCCCGAACGCTGGTCCTTGGAAGAAGACCTGATTGTTTGAAGAAGATCCATATAAATTTTGTTGGCCCAGGCGAAGGTCTTGTCTCTGAAGGCAATGCGTTCTGAACGAGGACCAGGGATAAGAGATACAAGTGTTGGTCCGGTCACAGGAGCTATCGAGTCTGCTATTGCACGGTCACGTAACGAGTAAGGATGAGTGTACGGGTACTGTGGGCCCTGGAAGGCATTCTGGTGAAGATTCCATTTGGACGAGGGCGACTCAACCAATCCCATAGGCGTACCTAGCATCTGCTGGGACATATTGTGCAGATAACTGTCATTTGGCGCAACTGGCAACCGGCCATGTTTTCGAAGAGGATGAAAGTGGTCGAAGTGATGATCCAAAGGAAACCTCTCGGTCGGAGCTCGTGGAAAGAAACGACTGTCTCGAATGGCAGCTGGACGATAGGGATTGTATGTTCCATCTGGCCAATACGGCCCATATAACTCTTGCCCAGCGGATGCGGTAGGTCCGAATTGGGATTGAAGGCTAGCGGGGAGGACGGTGGGGATGTTCGAGCCGGGTTGGACATAGTACCTCTGTGTCGGCTGTATTGGCAGCGTCTGATTGAGCATGGAATCTAGCCCACCAGGAAAGTCCCAAGCTGGGCGAAACGGCAATGATTTCGAGGCCCTGTATGGCTGAGGGTGTATTTCTTGTCTTCCATCTCTTCCCATATCTGTCCCGTCGAAACGGTCTGATCGCTGGGAACGGTTCGTATCTAACCATGGTGACGAGCCGGCGAAGGAAGGTGTAGGCTGCTGAAATGCTGGCGATGAAGCGAGGATGAGATGCTTTGACGCGGGTAATTGCACACTCTTGTCTAATGCAGCTGGATCTGGCTCGTACAACCTCCCGCCATTGGGTGTCTTCCGATGTCTAATCATCTCATGTTCAGCATAGCTGAGTCCTGTAGAACGTGACCGTCCGTGTCCAAGAGCACTCGAGTTAGCGGGGATGGCATATTGTCGAGGAGCCGCACCATTTGGTGGGCGTTGATAGATTTTGGGATCTCTGATGGGATCCATCATATTCAGGGAACGTTGAGGTGCTGTAAGCATCGTATCCAGGGTGTTCGTGACCTTTGAGCTTCGATGAGGATAGTGTGAATTTGCTTTTCTGGCGTCTGTCGAAATGCGGCAGCGACAGCTCAAGTCAGCCTGCCTCAAATGCAGTAGGTGGTCGTCTTGACAACTTCAAGTCACTTGAAGATGAAAGAAGGCAACTGGGCCTGCTCTTGTTCCCATCCCCGATGCTCATTGTGTTCCTCCAGTTTTACTCCTGCGCGCCAATCTCTGCCCGTTCATGGATGAAAAGGTGTTGCAGACAACATCCACAACTCGGGGATTGGAAGGTCAAGTATGTAAGGGAGGAATTTGAACGGGACCAGCTTCGGGCCCGTGCTCGTTGACACCAGGTATCAGATGTCTATTGGATCCGCAGATAGTAAGATGCAAGGGGAGTGGACGATATAGGCAGGAAAGGGACACGTCGAGGGAGCAGCAGGTCGTCGGTCGATCTTTGATCTCTGGGCTGCGAACACGAGAATCAGGGCGGGCAGCGGATCGGCCAGGATTGTGATGTTGTTTTTTTGTAGTTAGAGAGCATGTATGGAGCCCGGCGGAGAGGGAAGCGTAATGGAGGGAGAGGGTGAACTAAGGGATGCTAAACGGTCCGCTTGATATCCGCAGAGGTACTTTCGCAAGAATGTTGATTGAAGCAATGAAAGTGATGCCTTTTTGATACACCTGGAATCAACATCAACTTCTGAAAGATCTCGACAACATCTCTTCCCACCCTGCAGGAATTTTTCGTTCACGCCTCATGCCGGCCACCTCTGCCCATTCTTACGGCCTGTCAACCACGATTCTTTCTTTTTTGCCCTCGTTAGACGCCAACCGTCGCAAAGGGTGGGCGTGGCTTGCGAGAATGGAGCCCGCGATGCCCCTCCCTGGTCGGCGGGATGCCCCCTGGCGGCTTGTGACTGGCCTCAAGACCTGAAGGACTTCAGCAGCCTTGGGGGGCGGAGCGAGTCTGGTGTGTCAGTTGCCCACAGCTGGATGTGTCACAGAGTTAAGTATCAGCTTCATTGGCTCTTTTACCGGACTACGGCTGGGCTACCGCAGCCTGGCTCGCGCCCAGCTGCATTCCCTCAGGCGCCCTTTGTGCCACCTCCAGGCCTTTCGGGCTTAGTGATGACGATGAAGCGGGCGCCGAATGACCCAAGTGGAGTCAGTGGAGGCCAAGGGATGCTAATATGAGCATCAGAGGGACGATCGCGCATCGTGATGTGCCTAAATGGAGCCGGAGCTTTCCATTCCAAAACGCCAGACTCCAGTCAGCTATGCTATTTGCTCACTTGATCACCAGCACATTCTTGCCTTGCGGCGTGACAATGCAGAAGAAAAGAAGCTATCAACGAAGAAGGAATCGAGACCAAAGGCAGGCGGCCAGCAGTCACCGCCCACAGGCGACAAGGGGGGTGAGAAAAGCACTCTGGCTACATACTCGAAGGTGTTGTGGCTTGCTACAAAATTAGGCCAAAGTGTGTCTCTGTCTTGAGCCACGATACTCAGGCGGGGGGGATGGACCGCCTTCTGGGGAAAGCTAAGGGGCAAAACGTGGACCGCCATCCTTCCTTCCCTAGGACGTCTTAGCCGAAGAAAAAAAAGGTACGGAAGGAGAAGCCACATTTCGTTGGATGTGACACCAATGTCTTGTCTTCTCTACCGCTTCCTGTCCTCCCCAAGTCACGAAAATGCCAGCCCGTGTCAAGTCCATCGTGTCCCTCTCTGTCGGCCCATGCACCTTCCGAATGGAACCGGGGTAATGGCGCAAGGTGGAATTCGACAGATTCTGTGCAAGGGGCTTGTAGCACCCTGCGGTAAACTGCAACCAGGTTCCGGCTGGATGCTGCATCTTGTCGGCAAGCCCGGTTGTGTTAGTGACTTGGTGTCACCACGGTCTCAGACGAGAGCAGCCTGGTGCGGAGAAAAGAAATCGAGCGGGAATCCAAGTCTCCGAGTTCTATGATAACGAGTCTCGGAGGCGGGAAGGCTGGATACTGAAGGAGCCTGCGCACATGTAAAAGCTCGAACTTTAACAGATAAAGAAAAGTATCAGACCCAGCCACTTCCAGGAACTCCTGAAACTTGGAAACTTGTTTCCTTCGAAATACAGAGTATATGGCTCTCGTTTGATAACTCACAAGCGAGGTGTTCGTTACAAATTGGGTACATTATTGTATGCTAGCGGCTAGCAACGTCACGTAGAGGCACAAGACAAAACTGCGTTGCCTGTATCAGCAGAAGAGGGTGATGACGCCGGAGCAAACACGCCAAGCACTCCTGTTTGAGCCTCGCACTATCACTAATATCTTCTTGTTTTCTGCCTAGACATCTTTTTCTTTTTCCAATATCCACCGCCGACAACAAAATGCATTACTTACATCGCCAGTCTCGAGCATTCTTCCGTGCTGAGGTTGTTTTCGCGTCGAGCGCAGATTGACACATGTATCACCTCTGGCTGGGCGTCCGGGGCTTAGGGTTCATTTTGAGCTCCATGGGCTTTGGAAAATCACAGTCGAGGTTACAGAAGTTTTCTCTCACAAGAGTCGAAATTATGTTCTATTGTCTTACCCAAATCTTCCCTCGACCTCTGCAAAGATCTGAGGCGTGATTTCGTCGCTGCTATTTCCCTGTACTTGTACAACCAGGCTCGAGTCCGTCTCTCGGTAGAAATTTAACAAAGTCTGACTCGTTTCTTCGAATTTGGCAAGTCGTTTCCTCCATGTGGCCTCGCTGTCATCATCTCTTTGCATCAAAGGTTCCCCTGTGACATCGTCCTTGCCAGGAACTTGAGGATCGTTGAACCCCACATTGTACACTCTTCCAGATGCCGCGTGCGTCCATCGGTTGGCCATTCGAGACAAGATTATATCGACGGGCGTGACGAGTTGGAACACCAGGTTGATGGGTAACAGGTGGGACAGAGCTCTGGCTTGAGTAGCAGTACGGGGAAAGCCATCAAGGATGAACGAGGTGTCGGGCGAATCGGATGCGCGGACAACCGCAGAGGCAGAGCCATTTCCCCTGCCGAGAGCTGCGATTATATTCTCATTGGAGTCGGATGTGTCAAGCCACTTTCTCGAGGTGAGTTCGTTAAGGATGAGATTGAGGATCAAGGGGTCAGGCACAAGGCCACCGGCTTTCATATAGGCTTCGGCTTGCTGGCCTGCATCGGTCTGATTAGCAGCCGTAGATTAGAACAAAGGCCAGGCATATAGCTACCCAGCGCACTCTGCTGTTTGACATTTTCGCGCAGCAGATCTCCAGTCGCAATCGAGCATAGTTGTGGAAAGCGTTTCATGAGTCTTTCAGATTGTGTGCCTTTTCCAACTCCTGGAGCGCCAACTAAAATGATCCTCGCAGCTCGTTTCAGCTTCCGAGGGGCGGTTGCGAAAGTCATGGTAATATGAACGGAAAGGGAACGGACGACAGACGCGTGATTCTGGGCGCACCTGATAGGGCAGTGCCGCCCGTATCAAGTGTCCGTCATGTCGCCTAGAAGGGGAGGTAAGAGTTGCTATCGCAGTAAACGGAGAAGAAAGAAGACGAAAGCAGATGTCGTTGGGACACAAGGATAATGTGCCTCCAGAGAGAGGAGAACAACAGCAAAGAGAGCCGCAGCGCAGCTTTCAGAAAGAGGAGAACCTGAACTACCTAAGTAGGTAAGTGAGGCACCTACGCACCCAACGATGGAGGCCGAAATTTGGTTGAGTAAGCTGAAGAAGTTGGCATCGTGGGGCAAACGCCCAATAAATTTGAAGACTCGGGCCGTAATGCACCGATAAGAAGTTTCCGCTCACCCAATATTGTGTTGCCGCAGAGCCGATCATTCAAGTCACCGGGTATGTAAATCCGCAATTGGTGCAAAGTACTTATGTACCAATGGTAGCGGCGGACAGGAGGGACCGTACTTGGTACAGTTCAGAATGTTGATGATAAGGCTTCATCAAGACGGGTTAAGGCTCTTGGGTCTAGTCAGCTACTGCCGAGTACTCGAAAATACCCAGGATGAAGAGTAACAGCTCAGGCCAGGCACCGTAGGTAGCTTGTACTGACGTGGGCATGAAAGATTTTCCGATCCCTAGGCGCCCCACAAGGTCTAATGCCATGTGCAGCCTCGCGACGCGTCAAGTCGAAATCCGCGAGTCTCAACGCGTCTTCTTCCCCCGCGCTCATTGCATCTTCACTTCCTCCAACATCAACTTTGCCAAATCTCGACCACCCAACAAACAGACGAAATGATGCGGTCAGAGCCACGATTCGATCCAAAGCGGAAACGCATCGACCACAAGAAGACTCAGTTTGCTACGGCATCCTATAGAGAGAACGACTATCCCTACCGACTGTCTTTCTACGATGTTCCTCCCACGCAGGAAATCAGCCTGGAGGAATTCGAGACATGGGCTATCGACAGGCTGAGGAGTATGTTGACAGTAAATTAATAGAGGATATTGTCACTGACCGGGCACCAGTACTGGCGGAGATCGAGGCTTGCTCGTTCAGAAATAAATCGCCGGAAGAGACGTCAGCGCACCTTGAACCTTTGCTCAAGAAATACCTCCCGCTCTCCTCCAACTCAGCAGCTGCCGGCGGCATTGTCGACCAAAGATTGAAGAATCAAAGGCGCAAGGACCATTACTCCCATTATATCCTCCGACTTGCCTTTTCCAGAACAGAAGACCTCCGCAGACGCTTCGCCAGAGTCGAGACCATGCTGTTCCGACTCCGCTTTCAGTCTGACGACACACGGGAACGTCAAGCATTTGTCGAGAGCCTAAACATGGACTGGGAAGTGGTCCAAGAGGAAGAAAAGAGAGCCTTGGGTGAGCAACTTCTATCCGCTACGCCTGGCCTCCGACGCCTCGAGGGAGAGAACTGGTTCAAAGTGGATTGGACTAGGGTGCCAGAACTGGTCGAGCATCGCACAGTCCTTGTTCGAAAAGGCAAAGCATATGTTCCGATGCGCGAACAGACCAGCATGGTGCTCACCGAATTCACAAGCCGGCTAGACAAAGGTCTCGAGCTCACGGCCCGCAATCTACCCAGATTGGACGAAGATGATCGCCTCTCTCCCATCCTCGACCACCTTTCCAAAAACTTTGCCACTCCCGATGCTGGTTTCTCTGACTCGGACTCTTCGCTCGCCGGTGCCGCCATCACTGCGGCCAATATTGACAATCTCTCACAGCATTTCCCACTTTGCATGAAACACCTACATAACACACTCCGAAAAAATAATCATCTTAAGCACTATGGACGTCTGCAGTACACACTGTTCCTCAAGGGCATTGGGCTCAGCTTGGAGGACTGCCTTATCTTCTGGAGGCAGTCGTTCAAACTTATTACTGACGACCAATTCAACAAGGAATACCGCTATAATGTCCGCCACGCCTACGGCGACGTCGGTGGCGACGCGAATCGGCGTGGACGAGGATATTCACCGTACTCGTGCCAAAAGATACTCACAGAACATCCGCCCGGCACGGGAGAGGCCCACGGCTGCCCGTATAGACATTTTAGCGTGGACAATCTCACCGCCATGCTACAAGCCACGGGAGTCCACGATCGAGAGGTCTTGAGAGGTGTCAAGGACGACGTGGAGAAGAAGAGGTTTCATATCGCCTGTAACCGTGTGTTTGAGTGGGCACACAAGCAAGAGATCAAGAAGGTCAAAGATGAAGGTATATGGGGCCCGGCCGAGCTGGAGACGATTGTGCACCCGAACACCTACTTTAAGAGGAGTTATCTGTTGAAGAACCTGGGAAATTCAGCGAAGCAGGATATCAAGATGGAGGATTGAGTTTGGTCTGGCCATCATTCTTTGCTTGTGCGAATGGGTTGATGAAATACAGCTCCCGACCATGAGCACTGAGGCAGTTGATGATGTTATTGGCTTGCAGGCGGGAATCTAATGAATGATAAGTTGCTTTCTGCTGTTTGAGACAGATTAGACACCAGGTCTCTTTCGCGTCGTACATTGTTACTTGTATGGATATCTCTTGACCCTGCCCGCCTCTCGCATTCAGAGGGACTAACTGTCCAGAGAGAGAAACCATCTTCAGGATGCCGAATGCATGATTTGCGAGAAAAAATTCCTTTGTCAATATGCTCTCCATCTTCTTCCGCAAGACTGCATGGAGCGTTGAAAGGCGTCAACACAGCCAGTGGACGTCAAAGATCCAAGTTAAATATGCCGAGGCTTGCTACTAAGTTTACTTCGATGCCCCTGAAGCTATGATCGATTTCAAATTGAATACGATGCCCAAGAACGCGATATCACCAATAATTACTTTGTCATTGGCGGAGGCATTCGGGTCAGGCCGGGTGGGAGGTCAGGAATACGGCAAATATAAAAGTTAATCTGCTAACAAACACTGTAGAAATTAAAGCCTCGTTAAATAATGGGTCTATGGGGTCAGGCCATCAAATGGGGCTCAGCTAATGCCCAGTGGCATGAGGGATGAAATAATATTAGTCTTGGAAATGGCGATATATAAGCCTCGTGAAGTGGCTTCTCCGCGGCCACGTTGAACTCCTCACTTTTCGTCCACACCTTCATATGCATTTCCATCACAATTCAGGACCTGATAACTCTATCGGCTTTTCGGTCATCTTATTGCTAGATGATAACGAATGGTCATGAATTATTGAGAACTTGTTTGATGCACGGCCGAGAAGGACTCAATGAGAGACCGCCCTCGACAGGCTCTACTGCATAAATGTCCCTTCATTGCCATGCCCGCGGAGTTCTGTAAATCTGACTTTCAACCTCATTTTGCCGCACATTTTTCAATGTGGGACGTGGCCTGACAGGTCGCCTGTTGTGTTTACGTACTCGTTTGATCTCCGTTCCTCGAGGAATGCTTGACTTGAAGCAGCCTCATGAATGGCATATATTAAGACTCGTGTTGATTCTGACTGCTTGATAGTTAACTCAACCACTCCCGTCACACTCATAAACAAGCAATAATCCTGATTTCCATAGACACAGCAAAGCCCAAGATGCTGACCTCCACTGAACTCTCTACGTCGCTACAGGGTAATGAGCCAGATGTCATTTCAGCCGAGCCCTCCTCGTCGCCTCCAAGTCAACGGCACGAGTTGAGCGCCGAGCACCAAAAGATCGTCAAGTCTACCGCGCCCGTGCTGGCTGAACACGGCGTTGCGATTACTTCGCACTTCTACAAACGCATGCTGAATAACCACCCTGAACTGCGCAACATTTTCAACTCTGCACATCAGAGTACGGGAACACAGCCTGCCGCCCTTGCACATGCGGTATGGGCATATGCTGCCAACATCGACAACCTGGGAGCCTTGACCAGTGCAGTCTCGCGGATCGCTCACAAACATGTCAGTCTCGGGGTTACGCCCGACCAGTACGCCATTGTCGGGGAAAACCTACTTGCTGCAATTAAAGAGGTATTGGGCGACGCCATCACCCAGCCCATCTTGGACGCCTGGGCTGCGGCCTATCAACAACTCGCTGATATTTTCATCGACGTCGAACGCAGCCTATACGAATCGGCCGATCACAGCCCTGGCGGTTGGGTAGGATGGCGGAAATTCAAAGTTTCACGCAAAGTCCCCGAGAGCGACGAGATTATCTCATTTTACCTGGAACCCCTGGACGGAGGCCGGCTACCCAACTTTAAGCCCGGCCAGTACATCTCGGTGAGAGTCTTCCTGCCAGAGCTAGGCGTGTATCAGCCTCGCCAATACAGTCTTTCCGACACCGATGATGGAAAACACTTCCGTATCTCGGTCAAGAGAGATGCGGGTATAAGTCCCGCACCACCTGGAAGAGTGTCCAATATCCTACACGAGAGCCTACCGGAGGGCTCTGAGCTGGATGTCAGCAACCCCTTTGGCGATTTCACCCTGGACGTCGCCGACTCGGAAGAGCCTGTCGTGCTGATCAGCGGCGGCGTGGGCATTACTCCTATGTTGTCGATGCTGGGAACTCTGGTCGAGCGCGCCCCGAGGCGGCCAGTAGTCTTTGTCCACGCGGTCCGCAACGGCAAGGTCCATGCCATGAAGGACTATCTCGCGCGCATCATCAAGGACAATCCCCAGGTGTCCAAGGCCATCTACTACGAAGAAACCGAGGCCGGGGACCGTCAAGGCGTCGACTACGACTTTGTTGGTCGCATCGTGCTCGAAGACATCAAGGATAAAGTCCTCCTACCCGGCGCGAGCTACTACATTTGCGGACCGATCCCGTTTATGCGTCTGCATCAAAAGGCTCTCGAGGACCTCGGTGTCCCTCCAGAGCGGATCCATACTGAAGTGTTTGGGTCGGGCGTGATCTAGTTTTTGAAATTTCGTGGCGTTATTTCTTTTTTTTCTTTGCCGTTGCCGGGTATCACAACGATACAAATCAAGCATAGCAGACGCGCGAAACATAAAGGGGCGTTGGAAGAAAGTCGATTTGGGCCTCGCGTAACTCTAGATAATGATATGAAATAAGACGATTCTATCCTGGCTTCGCTTTTCAGTCGTCGTGTCCCAAATTTTTCTGTTCAGTATACGTAGCATTCAGAAAAGGGTTATGGTTGTGTTCGCTGCAGCTATTGAAGAAACAGATAGTTGAGGGCTGTGAGGGAATGAAGAGACACAGCGTGAAAGTACCGCAGCGACTGGAATCACGGTCGAGTGTTGAAGTGCCTCGTGTACTATTCGAACCACCCTCGCCGCCTTGATGCTGCCAAGGAATTCCGCCGCTGACATGGGCGTAATCCCCGCACTCGCTGCTTTCCACTCGTTGCACCTTTCAAAACAGGCACGACCGCACCACCTACCACCACCTCGATAGCATTCGACGACACAAATCTGAGCACGATACTCTTATACACCTCCCCCTTTTCTGATTGCTGCTGGCCAGCGGCCCACTCCGACTCCGGCAATGCTCCTCCTCGACTACCAGAATGTCCTCATCCAATCCCTGCTGACCGAACGCTTCTCCGGCGCCCCTCCCACCTCCATTGACCAGGTCGTCTCGGACTTTGACGGCGTCGCATTCCACATCTCCACACCCACGAGCAAGACCCAGATACTCATTTCGCTCTCGATCAAATGCTACCGCGAGCTGCTGCAGTACGGGGCCGAGCAGGTCCTGCAGAGGGAGTATGGGAACTACATCACGGGCACGGAAGCAGGCTACGACTTTAGCATTCTGGTCGACCTGGAGAATCTGCCGCCGACGGCGGAGGAAAAGGAGGAGTTGGTGAGGCGGATCAGTCTGCTCAAGAGGAACGTCATGGCCGCGCCTTTCGAGAAGGCGTTTGACGAGTTCGCGCAGTTGGCCGACGAGGCGAGCAAATATACGTCCGAGTCGGCCCCGCAAGGCGTCAAGGAAGGAGGCGACGTGATGTCGATCCACTACCGCGAGGAAGAGGCCATCTATATCAAAGCCAGCCACGATCGGGTCACGGTCATCTTTTCCACCATGTTCACGGACGCCGTGGACAGGATCTTCGCAAAGGTGTTTTTGCAGGAGTTTGTGGATGCCAGACGGAGAGCCATCCAGAATGCGCCCCAGGTTCTATTCCGGAGCGATCCGCCGTTGGAGTTGCAAGGCTTGAGGGGTGTCGGGAAGACGGGCGAGAAGGGTGAAATGGGCTTTATTACATTTGGTATGCTACCTAACCCAACCAACCCCCGTCTGCCTTCTGCGAGGTAGGCCCCGACCTCCAAGGACCCAATATCTAATCGGTACGCCAGTGTTATTCCCTCGTCACCTCACCCGCCAGCGACGGGACGAGGTCATCTCCCACATCCAGACCTTCCGCGACTACTTCCACTACCACATCAAAGCCTCCAAGGCGTACATCCATTCGAGAATGAGACGCCGGACGGCCGATTTCTTGCAAGGTAAGCCTGTGGAACCAAACGTCGAAAGGGTATTCTTTGGAACTGACAACCCGCCTTTTTTTTAGTCCTCAACCGTGCCAGACCAGAGACAGAGGAACGCGAAAGGAAAACTGCGAGTGGTCGGACTTTTAGAGTGCAAGGGTAGACCAGAAATCTTTACAAGCCTAGTACATTCGACTGGGGCAATGCCCGATAATGATCGGAAAACAAAATCGAGTCTCAGACGGCGAATCCTTTGAACTAGAAACAAAACTCTAGATTCTCTTTTTATGGCCATCTACAAAAAGGGGATTGAGGTGCGCGTGCGCACATCTATCCTGTCTGCTAATACGCTCGCGTGCTTCAACGTCTCTTTGATATCTCGTATGCCGCCAAACTCCGCCTATACAGTAGTAATGACGCTTGCATTGGCATACCATGCCAACATGGGGTTTTCGCCGTTGCGGACCTCGGTCTGCTCGACCAAGGCCCAGCTCTCCAGAAACTGCCTGTGACTCGAGACTCTGGTCAGCTTGCCCGTGATGGCCCTGTAGATGTCCTCCATCATGGTGAAGTCGGTGGGGAAGAAGATGTCGAAATAGCCCTGGTGCACAAAGGGCGTGGTTACCTGCACGTTGCGTCTCTGGTAGCGCGTCTGCACGACGGGGGCGTTGAGGCCCGGGACGGCGTCGGGGAGGTAGTTGAAGTCGGACAGGACGAGGCGGTGGGCGGGGAAGTATTGGTTCAGAATGTCGAAGAACTGGAGCAGGCGTGTCGGGATGTACTCGGGCTTGGTCAGGTTGGGCGACAAGGGCAGCGAATGCCGGAGCTGGCGCAGGAGTCGCGGATACTGGGTGAGAGGAGTGACGAAGGGCGAGCGCGCAGCGAGCTCCCTCACCTGGAGATATCGCAGGGCCAATGGGTCGAGGTTACGGTCGTAGAATTCAAAGAACTCTCCGTCCTCGTCGATGAGGACACTGCCTTGCAGCGGCTGCTCCGTTTCAGGGTCGTAGCGGAGGCAGTCGTGGGCAAAGTTGTCGATGACTTCGAGGGCGAGGAAGAAACAAGGTGAGTGGATGTACTCTTTCCAGTCGAAAACCGATCGGTGGAGGATCTGTACGTGATCCACATGATCTGCAGCATAGGGTGACCTTCGCAGACTGGTCAACTGTAACTCGGCCAAAGCGGACGAGATCTCGATTATCTTGAACTGCGTCCGACTGTAGACTTCCGGCTCGTATTCGTAGATATAGTCGAGTATGTTTCGCATCAAGGTCCCGTTCCCCGCACCCATCTCGTATATGATCAAATCATGGTATGGAAACAGGGTCATTTTGTAGTTGGTGACCAGATACCTCGCGATAGCTTCACCATAGTACGGTCGAAATAGTTCGGTGGGGGTATGCCAGAGTTGTCGCGTCTCGTCCGGTTCGATCTCGTCGAGAGCATTTTCGAACTCGATATAGCTCTCATCCACCAGACGATTGAATTCTGCGCCGTCCTTGATGGATGCAAAATCGAAGGGTTTTCCCGCATTGAAGATTGTCGCATGCTTGGTAAAGTAACCGTAATTGGGGTTGTACAGGCTGTCTGTCTCGTGTCAGTGCAAGGACACTCCATATCCATGTCTGTCCTCACCATCAATAAATTCTCTCGTCAGCATTTTGACTCGCCGTGGTCGCTGAGTTCTATGCCGCAAGTCCTGCGCTGTGACCCGGGGGTATTCCTTGAGCTGCCTCGACATGTCCTTGGGGAAGGCATCGATCCTCTGCTGCCACGAGCTGCCTCCTTCTGCATCATCTTGCTTGCGGCGAAGTGCATATGTTCGGTGCTGTTGGATCGAGGGAACTGGGGGGTAAAGAGACGGTCGTCTGCGAGCGCATTGCAGTCGAAGACAATTCCGCGAGGGTCTCGTGAACAGCTGTTGAAAGATGCGGGTGAGGATGGGCGAGTCCATCAGGGGCTCCAGACCCGGGGAAAGGGGCGGAGATAGTTCCTAACAGATAAAGCGCGCCCTGGCAGCTGTAGACAAATATCAGGACGAAGTAGAAAGACAACCAGAGCCCGGTCAATGGAAACCAAAGCAAATGCGGAGGAGTTTCTAAAGATCCATATTGGGTATAGTTCAATTGGCTGCGGTGGACCATTAAAACTTGAGTGCTAAAGTGCTCTTGGACCTACGGAGGCGTAAGAGGACAGAGGAGAACTAGCACCTCATTGCTCGTCTTCCAGAAATGCGCCAAATCAATATAGTCTTCCCTTGCACTTCGAGATATGGACGTTTGGTATCACGACCAGAGTTGGGAAGTGGGAAGGGATTACCGATAACCCGCCATAGGTAACAATCCTTCTACTGTCTTACATCTTCAGCTGCCGACCAAAGGGCCTACATAACTGTACGAGTTGAACAAATCTGCAACAATCGAAGCACTATTATGCAATGGGCAGACCGTCCCCTGATCATTGGTATTGCCTCTGGCCTCGCCATTGCTATCATCGTTGATCAGATCCGCCAATTCTACCACAGCTGTGCCTCGTCATCGTTGCACCCACGGCCTCTTCACTCTCAAGGCCAGGCGGAAGAGACCATAGATTTCAAGGGAGTGAGCCTCATATCTCCTCCACCGATCGGTACCGGTATAGAATCAACTATAGGCTCAACACCTCTTATCGTCATTCCCTCACTTTCAGCCTTTACGGGTTGCACGATTCTTGCCAAATGCGAACACCTGAACGGTGCCGGAGGCTCACCTAAGGACCGCGTCGCATTGTCAATCCTCACTCGGGCGGAAAGTCAAGGCATTCTTACACCTCATAGCGGAGATACCGTCTACGAGGGAACAAGTGGGTCAACAGGGATATCTCTCGCAACGTTATGCCGCGCAAAGGGTTATCTTGCCCACATATGCATGCCGAACGACCAATCGCATGAAAAATCCAACCTTTTGTTGAAGCTCGGTGCGGTTGTCGAAAGAGTCCCACCTGCGCCGATAGTGGATCAAGAGCATTTTGTCAACCGTGCCCGCAATCTTGCGCGAGCACACACAGAAAACCCGGAGAAGAAAGGCAGAGGCTACTTTGCCAACCAGTTTGAAACGGAAGCGAATTGGCGAGCTCATTACGAAGGCACAGGCCCAGAGATATATGCTCAATGCCAGGGCAACATCGATGCATTCACCGCAGGCGCAGGGACAGGAGGAACGATTTCAGGCGTAGCTACCTATCTTAAGGAAAAGCTACCAGGCGTTCAAGTTGTCCTTGCAGATCCTCTCGGTTCGGGGCTGTACAATAAAATCAAACATGGTGTAATGTTTCACTCGCTGGAGAAGGAGGGAACAAGGAGGAGAGATCAGGTCGATACTATTGTGGAAGGGATCGGGCTGACTCGGTCAACGGTGAACTTTGAGCAGGGGAGAGTGTTGATTGACGATGCAGTCAAGGTGAACGATCAGCAGGCCATGAATATGGCGCGGCTGCTAGTTGAGCGGGACGGCATCTTTGTGGGGAGCAGTAGCGCAGTCAATTGTAAGTTCTTTCAGGTTCAGTTTCGTGGTTCCCACTCAGCTGATTGTTCCAAACACAAAGGTGTCGCTGCTCTGCAGACGGCACTGAAATTAGGCCCTGGGCATACGGTGGTCACAATCCTGTGTGACTCAGGGATGCGGCATCTTTCCAAGTTCTGGGCACGGATAGGTGATATTGGAGGGGAGGCCCGTACGACGGTCGAGGATATTCTTGAGAGCAGAAGGCTGGACTGAGAAACCTTCCTTTTGACTCGCTCATCTTGAGCGAAACAGCTCGTCGTCGGAATCAGGATCCATTTTGATAGAGACAGGATCCAGGTGTACCTCTTTCCGCTCACGGTGCTCCTCGTGGCACTGATCAGAAGACTCCGGCGATGCATTTGTCCTTTGTGTTGATCTGATAGGTCTCTTCGGAACAGATCCCCAGAGGCTCTTCAACCACATTTCGGCCAATTTATTTCCAATCTCAGTCTGGTGACGTTGCTTGAAATGAGACATAAGCGTTCCAATGTCTCGTTTCGGGTTCTGACAGAGATCCTCCAAAGTGCGAACTTCCTGCTCGGACCATTCTCTCGAGTCATCGTTATTGAGAAGGTTAGACGGTGTTCGGTATCGGTCGTAGACGTCGTTGAGAGCAAGCCCCGTCTTTCGAGTCCGAAGGGCCCGACACTCTGCGATTTCGTCGAAGGTCAATCCCGCTCCTTCATGCAGCTCAACCATTGTCTTGAAGTCGGAAAGGACTAATCTCGGCAGACGTGGCGACTTAACCCTGTAGGACACGTAGCCATGTATATACTCCAGGTCGTGCACATCGTCGTCGTCTATCTCGCCCCGGTCATAGTCCTTCGCCAATTTGGCCCAGTGCCTGAAAACACCAGCTCTGCAGGACCACTGGCCCGAGCAATAGAAACAAACCCCTTTCCTCATCTGCAGGATTTGCGCATCCTCTTCACCTTGCTCGTCTGACATTCGTGTCATCTCCTCCCCACCGTCAGTGCTGTCCCCTCTCCGCTCATGATCAGAAAACCCATCTTGAAGCGGATCCGCTGACTCGGCTCGAGCATGTCGTCTGGAAGAAGTTTGACGAATGCCTTTCTTGGTTGACCATCTCCTAGGCGGTTTCCAGAGGGACTGGGCAGCATCCGGAGATGCTGTCCGTCGATCTGGTGGAGTATGTAGAGGGACAGGCGATGTCTTGGACTTCGAAGGTGATGTAGCTTGATCTGAAGGAACGAGGTCGGTGGGAAGACGCCAGGCCGGCTCGATATGGGCTTGAGCAGCAACATCTCTAGCTCTCCGTATAATTTCCAACACCTCCGGGCCAAACCTGGGACCGAATTTCGCAAGAATATCATTATCGTTCACCTCCTGCTGAATAGTCTCGAACTCGAGTAGTGAAGCACTGGTCTGGGAATTAGGTGAGTCTTGAAGTTGAACCTGGAACAATGAATCTGGACTGGTTGATCTCTCCGGCGGTTGTGCTACTCTGAGCTGCAACTCATCTTCGGAGTCGACCAGGCGGGATGCGACGGTGTTCTGGCTTTCTCTCAGATCAGGAGGGGCGATGTAAGGTGATCGTGCGTGAACGGGAACAAATAGTTCCTCGTCGCTGTCGACTGCACCTATGTCGTGGTCGTCGTCTGCCATTGCTGTATTTTCAGCGATTTCCTCAATACTCGTGATGACCTCGTCTGCACCCTCATTGAAGTAATCGTCGGCACCATCCTGCACCTCGGTCATTGCTCTTAACAACGATTTCCCCTTTGTAGTGCATGCGTCCCCTGTGTCTGTCTCGTTTTCCATGGATTGCACATGGCCGTTATTCACGACTATGGACATGGTGTCCATGTCTATCTCGTCGCCAATGCTGGAAAAGTCGTGAGAGTACTTTTCGAAGATTGATTCGAAGCGCGACTTCAGCAACAGATCATTTTTCCTCCGTCTTGTGTCCAGGTCCTCGTCGAGGTCAGGGTCGGAGGAGCGGCGGGGAAATGAGAGGAGGCGAGGTCTTTTACGCAACGGTTCATCCATTCTGAGAATATCTTTTGGTGTTTAAAAGGGACAATTAGAGCATGTGTTAGAGGTGGGCGATGGTGCCTCGTAATGTTGCGGGGAGGGGTACTGCATCAAGCAGAACAGACGGGCTTGAAAGTCCGTAGGCGCGTCACGCGTTTCGCACTGAACTCGGTACCTGCAACGTCATCCACCACTTTAACTTGTTCAAACTCTTGCCTGCAACCATACACAGGTATACATTTTCGCAGCAAAGATGTATTGTCAGAAATGTCGACAGCTTATTCGTTTTGATAGCTCCCTCGAGAATATCAATCCAGCGTCCTTTGACCTGCTCGTTGGTCTGTCCAGCTCCCGCCGCTTCCCTTCTGCCTCGTACTGACTCTCACTCAGCATCCACTGGCAAGTCCCAATTCAACAATGTAACCTCCACCATTTCTCACATGAACTATCCACAAGAAAGAAAGGAGCTGTATGACCGCGTCTCCCTGCAAGCGAACTCTCCGGTTTACAAAAGATCTATTGTGGGGCCTAAAGAGGAGGCTCTTTCTCGCAGGCATGAGCAACCAAATGGCAACCCTGATATGTCGTTCATCGAAATCACACAATCACAAGTTACTTTAACCGAGAAAGAACAACAGAATCGAAGGATACAAAGCCCCAGTGCAAGAACCAATGGCTCTGATGTTGCTCCCGTGGAAGACGACAGCATGTCTGCTAGGAAAAATCAGATTGAAGATCTGTTTGCTATCCTTTCGTCCCATTCTGACATTGATCATCCCATGTGCCAAGAATGCACTTCGATAATGCTGTCGCAATATACCACACGCCTGGGCAGTGCTAACAGGGAACGAGATGCCTATGCGGGCTTTCTCAAGTCTACGCAAAATCTCTCCTCTGAAGTTCGGCAACCCGCAGAGACGAAAGGAGCTGGAGGGACTATTTACGAGCAACTGGAAGCTACTGAGGCCGAAATCAGAGTTGTGGAAGATGAGATTGCGGCCTTGGAAGAGCAGTTACAACATGAAGAATTGGAGCAACAGGCTTACTGGAATTCACGAAATTCAATCGACGACAATCTGTACAACACGACCACGCATCTATCATTTCTAAGGGAGAAGCAAATCCATGATTTCCGTCAGCTTGAACGTCTGCGACGCACGAATGTATACAACGACACCTTTTGCATTGGCCACGACGGGTATTTTGGCACGATAAACGGGCTCCGTCTAGGCCGGCTACCTAGTCAAAATGTTGACTGGTCTGAGATCAATGCTGCATGGGGTCAAACTTTGTTGCTCCTGGCTACCGTTGCAGAAAGACTGAAGTTCACATTTCAAGGTTATCGACTGCGTCCCCAAGGCAGCACCTCTCGCATAGAAAAGCTTGAGTATCCCCAACAGCCTCCAGACATGCAGAGACAACAAAGTGCCCGTGAAGGGGGTTTGCAATCAGCTGCTGCAAACCCCGAACCCAAAGTCACCCCTCTTGACCTGTTCAGCAGCGGAGACATGGCAATTGGCCGTCTCCTGAATCATCGGCGGTTTGACAGTGGGATGGTGGCATTCCTCGATTGCTTAGGGCAGCTGGGAAAATATGTCGAGAAGACTTCCAGCCTCGATATCAATCCAAAACCGACCATGAGAAATGCGACACTAAGGAACACACCGTCCAAAAGGGTGTTACCATATGCAATTCAAGGTGATAAAATAGGGGACGTTTCAATCAAGCTAGGAGTTGGTTTTCATCAGGATGAAAACTTCACCAAAGCATGTAAATATGCCCTGACTTGCTGCAAGTTCCTGCTGGCCCATGTCAGCAACCTAGAAAGTCAGAAGGAAGCATGACCATAGCAGGGCGACTACCACGGAACTTCACAGGGTCGGCTGCATCTATGGACAGAACAGAACAAAGACTCGAACGAGACACTGGACGGGTTTGGACTAACCCCTGACACCCACCTGCGAAAGAGAAGCACTCGACATCGAGACAAGCATTCAGAGAAGCCTCTCAACAGCCAGGGCGGACCCACTGCAGTTTTGCGGTGCTCCCCCTCGTATATGCAGAGCATGAAGTTCGACGGCCAGAAGACTTGGAGGAACACATTGGAGACTAGCTGTTTCGAGTCCACCAAAGCACAATGTTGATAGGTCGAGGCAATCGTGCACGATGCTAGCGAGGACACTGCCCTTGGAGTTGGAAGCGTCCCTCTTCAATCACCTAACAACTGACTAATGCGTGCGACAGATGAGGTAGCAGTTCAAACGAAACAGCCGTGCCACATTCCAGCTAAGGATGGCGTCGCATTTTGATTTGAGCCATAGTTGCAGTAGTTGAGTAATCGGCTGCTCTCCTGCATCAGGTAAGCCACAGGGTCCTGTCCACCAAAAAAACCGCATAGTCCATCCTCCAATTGCGGCCGTTATCATTTTCAGCCGTTGCACTCTGAGGGCTTTAGTGGACTTAGGCTGAGGTGCACGATGGGCCGCTTCGACTCCGCTCGTTTGTATAGAATGCAGATCCCCGTCTCCTTCACGACGTGGGCAACAGCATCACTCACCCCACGGACTACTGACAAGCCGGTGGCATTCGTGAAGTCGTTCAAACAATTCTAGTATTTACTTTTGTCGCCGACTGTTGTCCTGTCTTCGGCATGGCACATATGGCCGGTTCTACGACTCGCGAGCTTCGCTTTGTCACCGTGAGCGGCGAGAAGTCTCATTCGAGTACGGACAATAAAGAGCGCAGCTCGGTGCGTGCCTTCGTGATGAGAGACTACCTGAGACAGAAGAGCGATCCCACGTCGAAATTTACCCCCGCAAATGTTGACCGGCACATGACTTCCCACATGTCACGATTCCGATCCACCAGGCCTTCAAATGTAAAGCCCAGGAAGCGGAGAATGGTTACAACAGCTCGTGGTCGCAGATCCGTGGGAATACCAAGAAGCCGGAGGCCACTCGTCCCAGCACTTCCTGATTCCAACGAAGAACGGTCCGGTATCTCAGGGCTGCATGGTCTTGACGCGTTAGATCCATTTGGCACGCTGAAAGTTGATCTCGCGGAATCACAAACTCAGAGCCTTCTCCAATATTATTCGACCTCGTTCTGGGCCAACTCATTTGCCTGCAATCCCGAGGCGAGATGGATTTCCGTTGCACTGATGGACCCAGCGATCATCCACGCGACATTGAGTTTGGTTGCAATTCATAGAAGAGACTGTTTTTCGTTTGATTTGTCCAAGGTCTACTTCAAGCATCGGGGCGAAGCCATGCGGATTGTTGCGCAAAGGCTGAACAATTTACAAGAATCTCTAAGCGATGAGACAGTGGGGGCAGTTGCGCTTCTCTCCAGTTCCGACAACCACTTCGAATGGCCAACGGAAGCTCAAACCACCCATTCCGAGGGCCTGGGCCATTTAGTTTCCATGCGCGGTGGTATGGAGACATTGAACTCGAACAGACACATTCAACGAGTGGTGGGATGGGCAGACTTGCTGCAGTCCGCCATGCACGGTACCAGACTTCGGACCCAGATGCCAACCGTGGTGGAAAAAGCTTCGGCTGAAGGTCTAGTTCCCAACGATGACAGCAACCAGGGGCAACCGACAGGAGCAAGCATTGGCTTGAAAGATCTACCTCAATCTGTAGGAGATATGGTGCGACAGCTGCGCATTTTGTCGTCTTTGAAGGCATCCCTGCTCCAGGATCGCCAACAACATTTATGTCGGACTTTTAGCGACCTGCTCTGGAAGCTCGAGTATTCTATCCTAGATGTGCCGCTGAGACCCGCGAGCGCTGCTAACCGCATGGATCGGGATGCACTACCTCAACATAGGCTGATGGAAAATGTGGTGGGCACTGCTACCCTGATATTCTCATATCGGATTCTCCGCGACCTCGCTGCACCCATTCTCTACACCAGGCTGAGTAGTCGATTGAGAGCTTATATCTCCGCAATGGTGGTGTCCCCAGGAAGATCACAAAATCAAATGAAACGAGCAGCACCTGAGGATGGACTCTTGGGTGATGAACTGCCGGACGACTCTCATCTCGCCCTTCTGTTGTGGGCCCTTTACCTCGGATGGCGTGGCTCACAGAACGACGTAAAGAATCGGACCTGGTTTGCAACTCAAGCTGCACAGCATTGCTGGAGACATGGAATCCTGTCCCTTGCCTCGATCAGAGACGAGATTCAGAGCGTGATTCCGCAGGCGCAACCCTTGCTGGAAATTCAAGAGGGGTTCGGGGACGATGTAGAGGATATTATATGGTCGGAGATGATCTCTCTATCCTAATACGATAAGACTTGTGGTATTGTACCGAGTGTTCGACGGATCGTGCCTTGCTTCGAGGAGTAGTCTGGTAGTCTATTGATGGAACCTGTGGAGCATATGGGATTGTCAGCCACTTTACGCGCTCGTCCCCACAAATCGCGCACCACGTTCCAGTCACCTCGCTCCACCGCGTGCTTCCGTCGCGTGATTGAACTCTTCCTGTTCGTATTCATCATATCGTGGCCATTCTTCTTTTGCACGTCATCGTCACCATGGCCCGGGGACGACAGCCTCCTGGCGAGCAGTCCGACTTTGAAAAGCAACGACTGGCCAATATCGCCGAGCGAGACGCCCTCCTCAAAAAGTTAACCCAAGAAGCACAACAAGCAGGCCTCTACTCCAGTGCGACGTCCGCGGGCACGCAACATGGCCAAAAGCGAGCCTCCAAGCCCAAGGCGCCCCCTGCAAAGCGTGTTAAGAAAGAGGCTGTTGATGTTACCCCTCGTCGCACATCCTCACGTTTGGCGGGCATACAAGCGGACAGCGATGTTGCGAGACAAAAAGCAGAGGTCGAATACGAACAGCAAAAGGAAGTCGAGAGGCAGAAGAGGCAACGTGTCACCGGCGACCTGAGCTTCGCCGCTGATGGAACGAGTCTGATCGGGACGGATGTGATACTCAAGGGCGTCGCCAAACCGTACGAGCGCACCTTCGACGAGCAGGACATACGCGAGACGTCAGACAAAGAACTCAAGGCGCTCAGGGAAAGAATGAGCTCGCTGGGTCTGTGGGATAAGTGGGAGCCGAACCGCATAAAGATCACGCCGGAGAGGATATACACCATGGCGTTCCACCCGACGACCTCGAAGCCCATTGTCTTTGCCGGGGACAAGATGGGGTCATTGGGCATCGTGGATGCTTCGCAGAACCCAGACACGAACGTGAAAGAGGAAGAAGCAGGTGACGAGGATGAAGAAGAGACAGACCAAGCCGATCCTCAAATCACGCATATAAAACCCCATACACGCACCATAACCGCGATGCACAGCCACCCGTCGAAACCGCAGACACTATACACGTCCTCGTACGACTCTTCGATCCGAGCGACCGACCTCTCCAAATCCGTTGCCGTGGAGGTGTACGGCCCCTCGGATCGAGAAGAGGACGAGCCCATCTCCGGGGTAGATATGTCTTCCACCGACCCGCATACGTTATATTTCACAACCCTGAACGGGGCGTTCGGACGGCACGATACGCGCCAACCGCCTTCGGCGTGCGAGTTTTTTCAGCTCTCGGAGAAAAAGATTGGCGGGTTCAGCTTACACCCGCTGCTGCCTCACTACGTGGCCACAGCGTCGCTCGACCGATACATGCGGCTGTGGGATCTGCGCAAGGTGACCAAGAAATTGCCCACGCTGGTGGGCGAGCATGAATCGAGACTGAGCGTGAGTCATGCGGCATTCAACACCGCTGGTCAAGTGGCGACGACGAGCTACGATGACACAATCAAAATCCACTCATTTGGAGTTGGTAAGCAAGGCAAGAAAGGGACGCAGACGGTGGAGAGCATGAGTTCCTGGCCGGCAGGCTTTCAGCTGGAGCCAACGGCCATGAAGCCGGAGGTTGTGGTGAGACATAACAACCAGACGTGAGTCCAAGAGATCTTTTTTTTTTCTCTGTACAAGCACCTTCCTTCGGGGAGTGGTGGCAGTGATAGACTGACTGTATGCTTTATGATTGCAGAGGCCGGTGGACCACCATCCTCAAACCGCGCTGGCAAACTTATCCCGAAGACAACATCCAGAAGTTCGTCGTGGGGAACATGAATCGGTAAGACATCCTTGCTCTTCCAGTTCTGTCACTTTGTTTCCCGATCGGTGTTTTTCTTCCCCAGGGAGAAAGTGCCCTTGCATTTCACTTTTCTGACAGCTCTACCAGGTTTGTCGATGTCTATGCCGCCAACGGCGACCAGCTCGCGCAGCTCAGTGGCGAAGGCATCACCGCGGTTCCTGCCGTCGCCGTCTTCCACCCTTCGAAAGACTGGATTGCCGGAGGCACCGCGAGCGGGAAACTGTGTTTATGGATGTAAATACGAGCGCCTGACGATAGACTGCGTAACAGAGTTACATCTGCCAGCTCCTGCTTGAGAAGGGTGCCTTGAACCATATTCCCAGGTTACGATATGCGTCGTCATCTCCGCCTTTTTTCTTCCCTACTTACTCGCGTCTTCTGTCGCACAAACAGACGATGATGCAGCCGTGAGAACAAACCATCAGGGATATACTGGGGTGACATGGCCCAGGACGCAATCCATAGCCAAGTAGAGAGAGACTCCCGACTTGTGACTGTTACCTTTCGCATCAGGCTGTGCTTTCCGTCTCCAATGCATCTTCCAAATCTCATCCGAGTCGTGCAACGAAAAGGAAGGGATTCATTGCAGCGATTCTGTGGTCGCACCAAAGGCGAATTGTGCAGGCTTTGTACAGCAGAAGGGGTCGACTTCTAGAATAGTTCCGGTGATTTCCTTTGGCTTCTTTTTTAGATCAGAAGCAATCTCGACCGACATCTCACGCTAGTCGATGGCGTCACTCGGCGGCTTGATATGGTGTAGTGATTGCGGGTGTCAGTGTTTCGACGCTGCAAGGAGCCGCGATTGTGTCAGCGCTGATGAAACTCGTGGGAAGCACGATACCTGGACAATTGAGAAATCCATGAGGATCTCTAGAAGTGTCCCCAAGAAAGGTGTGAGGAATGACTATGGGGACCTTGGCGATAAAGCCTCACCATGTTTTCGATGACAACCCACACAGCACGAGTCAAGCAGGAACAAGGAATTCCCCTCTCCTCAGACCAATCCGCGTGCCTTTGACCCGTAAGAGTAATAGTCAGGCCCCAGTTGTCTTAGTAGACGAGGCCAATCTCGGCTGCGCACTGAGGGCAACCATGTGCTTTGTCCAATACCGATTGGGAGCCAAGGACCTAACAGGTGTTTGTGGCAAAGCTACTGGTTACAAATCCCACATCCCACCCAACAGGGCCATTCTGGCCCAGCCCAAGCCTCTTCTCAAAGCCAACTCTAAAAGTCTGCCCTTCCGAGGGAGGAGAGTTCAATGTCGGGTGAGTGGCGTCAGCTGTTAAACTCGCAGTTGGTGACCTGGTACTAAGCATTATTTGTAGGGCGGGATCCCCCTGGTGCCCTGGCAGCGGACCTGCGTCTGTCTGTCTGTTCCTCCGATCCATCCATCCATCCACCCATCCTCTCGTTATCATTACCCGGTGCCGCAATTCAAATTCATCCCCCCAGCCGTTGGAAGATCACAACAAAAGCACAGGGTTTTGTCTTTGCAGGCGTTAGATACGCTCGTTTCCTCGACGCGCTGTCTACATTTGGATGGCCATAGCCGGTTCCTCGCGTCGTCTTCTGATTGCGAGGCGACTAGAGTGGTGACAACAACTCGGTCTTTTCTTCCTTCTCAATTCCACCCCAGATTTCTTCTCTCAACAATCCCTGGTTTATCTTCAAAAGTCGTCTTTCATCAATAAAAGCCATGGGCGCCAATCACCGCTACGATCTCGTCAAAGACCACGACGATGGCAAGGACGAACCCCAACCACTCCCGCCACCACCCGCCTCGGTCTCATGGTGGAAGATTTTGGTCGGAATCCTCGCTCTTTTAGCCAGTGCTGGTGTGGGCGCGACACTCGCCATTGTTCTTCGTCCCTTTCCCCAGGAATCTAGTGGCAATACAGCTGTCGCCGATATGGGCGCATCGAGCAGCACCTCCGCCGCAGACGTCCCACTTCCCACAAGACCCGTCGATTCGGTGGAAGCGAAAGTCGAAGAAGATCCCGACAGCTTGACCGGCCAGATTCTCGACTGCGGATACAACCCAGAGGAAGCACGCGCCAAGGGCTGCGTGTACGACGTGATGATGCAGGATTGGGTCCCGGAGCCATGCTACGACCCTATCCTGACGGAAAGATACCTCGCCCAGGGAAATTGGACGTGGTATGCTGACGCCGAGGGCAAAGTGATATTGACGGATGAGGAGATGCGCAAAGGCGAACACGGTTCTGCATGGATGTCGTCGAGTTATCATCAAGCGCACTGCATCTTCTCGTGGGACAAGACTGTCCGTGCCCTGCGCAACAACAGACCAATCAGCCAGGAATTGCTGTCGTACGACCACGTCCTGCACTGCAGCCACCAGACTCTGAATGGCGCCGAGGTGGACGAGAGCATCGGCGTGCGCGCCCCCACGAATTACGCCAAATGTGCGCTGTACGACACGTGGAAGTACAACTGGATCCCAGACAGGCACTCTTCCACCACCGATTAATTTGTTTTTTTATATCAATATATCAACTACGCGCGAAGCGGTTTATTCACCGAGAAAATCTTTCCCATTTTGCAGAATCTCCTTGGACTTGTGCGCCACGCACGGAGAGGGGTTGCGTATGTAGTCTATGCAGGCAAACAGGCAGAAGGTGAAAGTGGGCGGGACGGAGGGTATGCATCTTTGCATCTTTGCATGTAGTATCTTAGCGCGACTTCAACAATGAGTCAATGGTTTTTCTTCTTCTTACCTACAAGTATGGTTCCTCCCTGCCACGGCCATGTCAACCATTAACCGGTCTTCCGTTTACCACTTAGGTGCCATGAACGCGCCCGGCGTTCGCGTTCGAGAGGGTGAATTCTAGGGGCGGACTGGAATGTTTTGCCTTCTTTGAAATCCTTTGCAGACCACGGGGATTTGAACGAAGGGAATGAGACCTGATAATAATAGCTAGGTATCATTCTCAGTCGCCTGAGTGATCGAGTGGGTGGGTATCTGCAGTACAGTACGAGGTACAACAAGCTGTAGTAATGATTTTCACTCGTCATCCCCATTCTGTCTGTCGACTTGTACGAGGTACTGGGCATTATTAAGTATTCAGTATCAAGTGGCGCACACCCCTCTCATTTCTCTTGCTCGGCCCTCTGCTGTCTCTTCCCTTTTGAAAACAAAAGTCCCTGGTCCCTGATCCCTGCCCACTGCCCACTGCCACTGTATGTACTGTACATACTGTAAGACAATCACGTCTCGTCAAACAGGTCATAAAGCCCCATCGTCTGCCTTTTTTCCGCGTCCGGTCCTGGGAGGAGTAACTCATCATCATCGCCGGCACCACCACCACCGCCACCAGCCACAGTTTGTCTCAACATGGTCGTCCAGCCCCTCGGGTCTGGGGCCATCGCGCACCTCAGAAACGAGACGCCCCGGCCGACCAGGTTCGTGATGACGGTGCATTGAGGAGGCGGCGGTGGATCTAGGTTGTCGCTGGGATCCGGCGACGAAGCGTTCTGTGTGGTGTTGGTAGTCTTGATACACGATGGGCACGCGGGATCCCGGCAGACCCAGGTCTTCCAAAAGGCGCAGTTGATCATCTCGGCGCCGTGCGAGAGGTATGCGGACCGCATGACGCGGTTGTCGATGTCGTTTTCATCATCATCATCATCATCATCATCATCATCATCATCATCATCATCATCATCACCACCACCAACGAAACTCTCAGAGATTTGGGTGAGCTTGTATCGGGATATGAAGCCCTCGATGATGGCGTTCACGGCCGACAAGTGGCCGCTGGCTTGGCCCGGGGGGTGAATGTGAGCGGCGACCCGCAACAACTCCAGGTGGGCGAGGAACTGGCTCACGTCGCCGTTGACGCTTCGTCCGTTGATGCTCGCAAATTCCCAGTCGATGACGCCCACGCCCACGTTCGACTCGTCATCACCGGTCCCGTGTCTCATGTCGACCAACACTGCGCCGGTCCAGCAATCGCCTAGGACGAGACACTGTTCTTCCGGAGGAGTCGGGCGCAGAAAGTCTGCCTCGACCGCCGCAAAGAGAGTTTCAGCCTCTGCTGCGTCGAGGAGGAAAAGAAACTTGTCGAGCTGGGATCTAATTGGCTTGATGACGTGGTCGTGGATGGCACTTTTCATTTCTGGCAGCGAGGGAAATTCAGCTCGAGGTTTCTCGGCTTCGCCCTCGCCATGGTACGCTTGGTCGCGGCGTGTCCCAACGACGGACTGGACACTGCTAAGGCTGTGCAAGCGTGCAAAGAACGTACCCAGCTTCTCGCCTATCCTTCGATACGTCACGATCTCGCGAGGCTCGAGCGCATGGCCCAAGCGCGGAGCATATGGAGGCGGTTGCCACGCCGCCGCGCCGGCCGCCTCGGGCGTGAACCCACCTAGCTCGATGAAGATTTTGGAGAGGTCCGGTAGTGCTCCCAGGTCGGAGAGGATGAGGATATGCTCAGCTGGATCGTGATGGAGCAGCTGAGGGATCATAACTCCCGACTTCTTGGCGACATGGCGAAGAACACCCCCTGAAGGGGTTGGTGACAGCGCGCTCGACCCGGCCGGATTGCTGGCGGGTAGGAACAAGGCTAGCGAAGCGGCTTCGACCTCCTGCAATACACCACACTGTCAGTTCAGAACTGGGCCATAGAACCTTGCCCGTCATAAGTACCTAACATAGTAAGTAGGTCTGCAGGATACATAGGCACCTGTGTACCTAGGCGGGTAGCAGACATGCATGTATGTACATGAAACAACACGAGCCGTTGAAAGTATGTATGCAAGGAGATGTATGTATGTTAGGGTTACTTTACCTACCTGCCTGCCCTGAGACATGGGCGCACTCTCGCCCACTCCCGCGATATACGGCGGCGCATATTTCAAGATCACCGACCTGTGTTCCGGGAACCGGCCTTGCCTGTAGTCCAAGTCGGTCCTGATATCGGTATTATCATCACGTTGAGTAGTATTTGTTGAATCCAACATGCGCAATGACGTCTCAGATGATGCTGCTGCTATTGCTGCTGTGGCAGTATCCGCATCCGCATCCGCAACCGCAACCTCGACGGCAAGTAGGCGATCCTTGCTCGCGCGCACAGTCACATTCACCACGCCCCCGCTGAGCCGGTCAACTCGGTAGATGTACGTTGGGTCCAGACGTCGCAGGTACGCGGCGAAATCAAAGTCCATTTAGTCAGTGGATCGAGGAGCTTCAGGCTGAGGAAGAGAGGAAGTCCAATGAATAAGGGAGATTTTGTCATTTCTATAGGTTTAAGCTAGCTAGCTAGCTCGTGACTTGGTGCTCTGCTATTCTTTTTGTCTTGAACCCCATCACCCGTGAGAGCAGAGAGGTAGACAAGCGCGAAGAGTGTGGTGGAAATCGTAAAATACCACTCATATCCGGCCTAGTGTTCCCAGTCTGCCAGTCTCCAGACTCCAGGGTCGAGCACTAGCGCCTTGGCACTCTTAGTCCCATATCAGTGAATCCGTCACTCCGCCAAGTATAGGACTCTACTAGAGTTGACAGTAACAGAGGTGACCAGTACCGGTACCGGTACTAGCACAAACCCCACAAGAAATCACTCGTATATATGTTATCAGTCTCTAAATTCTGGCACGCAAAGACCCCCTTTATCCACAACAAGGGCGAAAGATACCGAGTTCGAGTCCCGAGTACGGCACAAGAAATCCAGGTCCTGACGAGGTCAAAACTAAACCACCGACCGGGTTTAGTGGGCATCAGCACCTCGATTCCTTCCTCCCACTGGTCCCCTCCGACCGCGACGACCTCGATCCGACGACATCAAACCAACCCTCGTAGTATAAAATCCGTAGTATAACCGGCCGAGATAAAACCAACTCCGCAAGGAGCGAGTTTTCCTTATCACAGACCAGCGGGGTTGAGCTGCCCTGGGATAAGTTTTTTGCCATTTTTGGCCCACGGGGTTCTTAAGTGTGGGAGAGAGGGGAAGGGAATAGATAGCCAAACCCCCGCTCTTTTTCTAAAGAATCAAGAGACAAGGATGAAGAAGAGAGTGTGTGTGTGTGTGATTCCCGGTCAAAACTCCATCTCGTAGTCTAAATCGCTTGGCCTATCCAACACCTCAAACGGAGCATCCTGCATATCCCAATCCATATCGCGAGGAGCACCGAGAGCGGCGCGATTCGCACCTTCTCCCCCTAGCGAAGCTCGCAGCCTCTCGACCTCGCGCTCCGCCATGCGTCCAGCCTCTTCCAAACCGCGGAGCACGTTGCCCAGCATCTCCTCCAGCTTCAGGTCGCGGAGAACCTTCTCGTACCGGCGCATCTTGGCCCGGTCCCATTCTTCCTCGACCCGGTCGGGGCCGTGGAACGAGTCCTCGGGCCGCGACTCGACATCCTTCCACTTGTTGCGGAATTCCTTGGCCACCCCGATGTACTCGCGCACGGCGCCCGTGCCGAGGATCGCGTGCAGCGGGCTCGACGGGTGGTCGAGCGCGGCGAGCACGTTGGCGTGGAACCGGTGCGCCGCGCCCTGAAAGTACAGCGAGTCGCCGATGATGGGGCGGCGTGAGGCGGGGGTCGCGTGATCCTCCGTCTTTCCGTCTTCTGCCGTCGTGGCCCCGGCTGCTGCTGTTGCTGTAGCGGAGGCGGTGATCACAATCCCCCAAACACCCAGGAGGCAAACGAGGCCCCGCTCCAGCAGGGCGTAGAACTCGTAAAAGTCGATCTTGAACTGCCGTTCCGCGTCAACCGGGTCGATGATCAGGTCGTACGGTCCCAGTGTAGCCTGAGGTCCAGAGGGTCCGTCTCCGTCAACAAGGCCATCGATTTGCCCCTGGTTGTCGAGGTTGTGTTGTCGGTTCTGGTATTGTTGGGCTAGATTTAGCGCGCGGTGGGACCAGTGCGTCAAACTGTTGGCCTTCCACGCCAGTCGCCGGAACAGCCTGCGGAATCGCTGCAGTTCAGCCTCGCGAGAGAGATATCTTCGCTGCTGAGCGGAGCTGACGGGAGTCGACAACGGGGCGGGGATTGGCAAAAATGGTGGTTGTTGTTGCTGTTGCTGTGGCAGTTGTGGCTGCTGTGCCGAGCTCGATGGGACTGAATTCTGGGTCCGTGGTGAGGCGGCTCTTCGGGTCCAGCTTGGGATCTGCGATTCTCGCTCGCGGCGTACATCAGGACTTGCCCATTTTGAAGCGGTCAAGTCGAGGTTCTGCATGGCGATCCGAGGTGGCTGCCTGAGAGAAAGTCATTATCCGACACTTGGTCAAAAGGACAATGTTTCACTGCGGTTCCAGAAGTGGCGGTGCAAGTGCCCAAGCCTCAACTTCACCGTCTCTTGCATTGACGATAAACCGCGCACGTCGTCACTACGGCCTTGCAGTGAAGTGGTTGACACACTCTACTTGGTAATTAGAATTAGAATTGGAACGGGTATATCAACATAGTGCGCATCCATCATTGACCGCATAAACCCTATTTCCAGTCGTCCAATCGCCTTTTGAACGGTACCTTTACCATAACCCGATGCCAATAACACTCGTGTGCTTCCAAGCCATACCAAGGAGAACAAAGTGAAGCTCGCCAGTTCAATGACTAGGGCTATCCCTTGTCCCTCGTCCTTGTTGATCCCTCCTACCTGCATGGCTGACTCTGCCCGTGACGTCTTGCCACGTCGCGTCAAACCTTCTGCCTGTGCTTGCTAAGAGACCTTCCTCTTCTTCCTCCAGCTCATCTTCCTCGGAATCTGGATCTGATAGTTTCGGTGTACGGAACAGGAGAATAATGAAGCCGAGCAGGAAAATTCCCAGAAAAACGAACTGCGCCCAGAAATCGACCACACCGAAGAAGGGGAAGTTGACCGTCACACGGTTGAGGAACGTGGACACGACAGACGGGGTGCAGACATTCCTGGCGGCAGGATTCTCGGTTGACTCGGTGCATGGGACAATGTGCTGTGGGTGATCAGTACAATCGGGTTGTTCCCCAGGGTGCTTGAGGGGATGGTTGCAGAACGTTTGAGGGCCAAATGTGGCATACTGCGGAGCCACCATCATAGCTATTGAGTAGTTGATGGCCAGCGTCATGAGAGTGAGCATGACAGTGGCAACTAACAAAGCTTGTGGTGATGTGTGAGCTTTGCGGATTCGGAAGATTGTAATCCACAAGACGCGGATGCCAATGGTCGCAATTCCGATGATGCTCGCACTGAAGAAAAGCATCACGATTAGCATGAAGATGACATAGTCGATAGGAAACACCTTGGCGGACGTGACGAGAATCCAATTGACCGGTTGGAAGATGTTGATGTGTGCCAGTAGATAGCCGCAGTGCTGTTTGCAGATCGAGTTCTTGGCCTTATCAATGCCTGTAATGAGCATGCTGGCGAAGATCAAGAGTACAATGATCACCAGCAGAAGCCCTAGAATGAGTTTGATAGGCCGCAGAACGGCGCCCAGCTTGATCCAAAATTTCCAGAAGATGTTTTGGTCTTTCCCCGAGGATTCCTCAGCGAGCCGCTGGTGACGACGAAGAGTACGTTCTTCACGAACAAGCGCATCCAGTTCTCTTTGGTCTTTGGAGGACAGGCCATCGGGATTGCCTTGGGCACGGCCCTCCAGCTGTCTCTGCCTCTCGAGATTGCTTTCCAATTGCGACGCGGTGGATTCGCTTAGCGCGGGCGCTGAGACACTGGGCGCAGATTTGATGAGGGTAAGAGGGAGAAGCGCGAGGCCCGCGGCAGTATAGAAGCAGTAGATGAGCACTCCAATCGTGATCAGAAGGCCTAGCGCAAACGTCAAGGCGCGTTCGCCGTGGTTTTCGGCCAGTAGTTTCTTGAAAAAGTCGAGGTCGAAATGGGCCCCTTCTCTGTGGCGGGCAACAGGGACGAAGAAGCCCACGAGGAAAAGCGCAACGCAAAGGAAGACGAAGGCTAGTGTGTATTTGAACGCAGCCCAGAATCTGGAGCCGAAAGTCTGGTTACCCTCCTCTTGGGCGACTTCATCATATTCTTCGTACCAGAAATAGGTAAATGGAATAACAAGTAAGCAGAGAAGCGCATCGAGTGAGTATAGAAGATAGTAGACGACCCGGAGGGTAAAGGTGATGTTGTCGACCTTCTCTTGATTTGCCCAGTCCTTCCGTTGGCCCAACTTTGAGCTTGTGGTACTAGAGACCAGCGCGACATCGACGGGGAGTAGGAGGACGGTTGCCAGCAGAGATGTGATCGTGAAGATGCAGACAGTTGTGACGAACATAGACCGGTCTCGATGTGTTTGGTAGAGGTAAACAAAGAGACAAGCGATGGAGAGGAGAATGACCACGGCGATGGCATAGACGACCCAGATCAATGTAATCTGGATATAACCGGCTGCGGCCATGGTCGAGTAACCTGGGTCTTCGAACCCGGTCTCTGTCAATGAGGAGATCTGCATGACGATGTTTCCTGGCGACTTCAATGGGGGTGTGGCGGTACGCAATGGCACAGCGTCTGCATCTCAGACCAGCTGGATTATATGCGATGAAGATGGAATGAAAAGTGATGCAACGATCAGGGAAATAAGGTAGCGCGGCAGTCAGGCGCAATCGTGACCTCAGGGTTGGAGAAGCTCATGGCAGCGCAGGTTCAGGTGTCAGTGGGTGTCGCATGATGAAGGATGCGTCGTCATAGCTGCCCACTTTGTGTTGTTTGGTCTAGATTCGGACTAGCTCGATATTAGCAGGCTAGTCACGTGTCAGGCCAAAATATCAAACTGGAGTTGCGACTTGGCCCCCTTCAACGCGCCCTGTCCTTGACAGATATATCAATGTCTACATTCCTCCTGCAACAAGTCAACTTCCGGTGATGCAGCTACAAAGAAACAACTTGGAAGAGCTTGTAGAGATGCCAGGAAGCGAATAGTGCTCCCGGCCACTCCAGCTGATCACCTGGCACTTTCATTTTCCAGCACCAACCTCAGAATGCAGTGCTACTCCGAGCTTATACCTCCTTCGGGCGTCACTCACGCCCTCTCACTCCCCTTCACTTCACCTGATGCCGACAATTTGATTGTTGCGCGGACGTCTCTGCTCCAAGTCTTCCAATGCAAGCCGGTCAATGGTGGTCAGGAGTCGAGACTCGTCTCGATCGCCGAGTACAGCTTGGCAGGGACAGTCACGTCGTTAGGCAAGGTCAAGATTGCCGACTCGAAAAGTGGCGGGGATGTCGTCCTCATCGCCCTCCGTGATGCTAAGCTGAGTCTCGTCGAATGGGACCCCGAGTTGCATAGCATATCTACTCTGTCAATACATTTCTACGAGCACCATGATCTCCAGGCTGCTCCGTGGATGCCTGATCTCGCCGATTGTGTCAGTCATCTGACGATTGATCCGTCCAGTAGATGTGCGGCCTTCAATTTCGGCGTCAGTAATCTCGCTATTATTCCTTTCCATCAAGCTGGAGATGATCTGGCTATGGACGACTTGGACGACCTTGACGGAGAGGATAAGGAAAAGCCCTCACACGCTGAGCAAGCTGACGGACAGGTCCAAGGCCCTCAGACTCCTTACAGTCCCTCATTTGTTCTGCCAATGACAGTTCTTGATCCTGTGTTGCTACATCCGATCGACATTGCTTTCCTCCATGAGTATCGCGACCCTACCATTGGGATACTGTACTCTACAGCTGCTCGCTCCTCAAATATGAGCGCGGAACGGCGGGACGTTACGATATATGCGGTCTATGCTCTGGATCTCGAACAAAAGGCGTCAACCACGTTGCAATCTGTCCAGAAGCTTCCCAATGATCTCTATCGAATAATTGCTCTTCCTCTGCCAGTCGGCGGGGCTTTATTGGTTGGCGGCAACGAATTGATCCATATCGACCAAGGAGGGAAATCTAGCGCTGTCGCGGTGAATGAACTGGCGAGAGAGGCATCTTCATTTCCCATGGCCGATCATTCCGAGGCTCGTCTGAAGTTAGAAGGCTGTCAGGTAGAGCACCTGGGAAATGCAAATGGGGACATGCTGGTTATCCTGAGGTCCGGAGAACTTGCTCTTTTGACGTTCCGAATGGACGGCCGTTCGGTCTCTGGGATGACACTTCGTCGACTTGGAGACGGACAAACGCCAAGTTTGGTTATGGGAGCAGCATCTTGCACCGCAAACCTTGGAACCAATCGCCTCTTCATTGGGAGTGAGGAGGCCGACTCAGTCCTACTAGCAACAGATAAGAGGATCCCCCAGCTGAAGCGAATCCGCTCTCGAGCGCAGATACAAGCCAATGAAGTCGAGCCGCAGGAGGATGACGATGAAGAAGATGGTTATGATGAGGACGACGATGACGATCTTTATGCCGAAATCACTAACGGCCACAACGGCCACGTTTCCGGCGACCTGAGCGGCCAGAGCTTTCGGGCGGTCGATCGACTCGCATGTTTGGCACCAATTAATGACATTGCCTTGGGAAGTCTGGGCAAGCGAAAACGTGAAGATAGTGACGACTCAGAGCGGCTCGATTCATCAGACCGCGAACTTGTCTGTGCGTATGGTCGAGGCAATGCCGGTGGAATCGCCTTTATCCGTCGGCAGCTGGAGCCGGAGGTGGTGCAGCGAATAAAGTATGAAGACGCTATTGGACTCTGGTGTTTTAATTCTATTGGGAAGAACCAGAATGCGACTGACAGGCATGCGGAGTCTCGATTCGACAATCTTATCCTGGTCTCGCAAGTGACACCAGACGGTGCTGGGAAATCTTCCTTGTTTTCCCTCGCCGACGACAACCTGGTCCCGATCACAGACACAGACTTTGATGAGACGGCTGGCTCTACTATATCGGTCTTCAAGCTGGAGAGGACCAACCACACAATCCAGGTACTTCCAACAGAAGTACGCGTATATGATGCCCATTTCGGCCTCTCCCAGATATTTCCTGTCGTGGATGAAGAAGAGGGCCAGACAGCCAGGGCAGTCAAGGCCACCTTCGCCGAACCGTATCTCATTCTCATCAGAGACGATGGAAACATGACCTCACTCAAAGCCGATAGAGCCGGTGAACTGGACGAAGTTGAAATTTCCAGCACTCTGAAGAACAAGTCTATCCTGTCAGCATCGCTCTATCATGACGCCAGCGATTTCTTTCAGACATCGAGGTTCTACGAGGCTGCTGGGACGCCGCGAGGGCCGCTCCTAGCATTGTTGACATCCGAAGGGCACTTCTGCCTCCTGTCATTACCAAACGCCGCCCTTGAGGTGTTTCAATGTGATAGCCTGCCCTTCCTCCCCACGTACCTCATGCAAGGCCTACAATTACCGAAGCATTGGAGGAAAAAGGATGATCTCGCTGAAACCCTCATTGTCAATCTAGGGGACGCAACAGAGTCTCGACCATATTTAGTTGCTCGCAACACGACAGGGGATGTCATTATTTATGAGCCCTTTGCAGATCCGGAGGTGGTGGGAGGTTTCAAGTTCAAGAAAGTCTCAACCAAGCCGGCCGAAGCACCCGAAGACCAAGTTGAGGAAGAAGGGGAAGAAACCTCACTACGTCCGATGCAAATCATCCCGAACTTGGCTGGACATGTCTCAGTGTTCATTCCAGGCTCCCAGCCGATGCTGATTCTACGTGAAGCTTCCACGATGCCTCGCGTTTACGAGTTCCAGCCGCCAAATATCAAGTCCATGAGTGCGGTCCACACTGGAAGCTACCACAATGGTTTCGTGTTCATCGACGATTCGGACCACATCTGCTTCTCTCAGCTTCCTCCGTCGCTGATGCTGGGGCAATCGGATTGGGTCATCAAGCGCATCCCACTCGGACTAGATATCGCCTCCCTTGGCTACTTTGCTCCTGCGGACTCTTATGTCCTTGCTACAAACCACCCTGTAGAATTTCAACTTCCCCAAGATGATGAGTGGCACCCTGAATGGCAAAATGAAGCCACGACCTTCTTACCCGCGACGCTGCAATCTACCCTCAGGCTTCTTAGCTCGAAAACACACCGGATCATCAGCCAGTACCACTTTGAGTCTTCTGAGAGGATTCTGTCAGTGAAATCACTCAATCTCGAAATTTCCGAGGAAATGCATGAACGCAAAGATTTGATCGTCGTGGGCACAGCTCTGGTCAAGGGAGAAAATGTGACCACCCGGGGGAATCTATATATATTCGATGTGGTTGACGTCGTTCCCGAACCGGATGTGCCTGAAACTGACCTCAAGCTCAAGCTGATCACCAGAGAAGACGTGCGAGGTGCGGTTTCTGCGATCTCGGGTGTGGGATCACAAGGTTTCCTCCTGGCCTCGCAGGGCCAGAAATGCATGGTCCGAGGGCTGAAGGAGGACATGTCCATTCTGCCCGTTGCATTCTTGGATATGCGGTACTACGTGCATGTCGCCAAAGAGCTTGCAGGGACAGGCCTGTGCATTCTGGGGGACGCGTTTTCAGGGTTATGGTTGGTCGGGTACTCGGAAGAACCGTACAAGCTGCAGATTCTGGGACGTGACTTGGAAAACCCGGCTGTGCTTGCGGCCGAGTTCCTGCCCGACGGGAAGCAGCTATATATCATTTCGTCGGACGAAGACGGTATGCTGAGGGTTTTGCAGTATGACCCTGAAAACCCCAAGACGGAGCGAGGGGCCAAGCTCCTGTTGAGAAGCACGTTTCACACGGGAGCGGTTCCGACGACCATGACCTTGATCCCGCCGTCGTCGCCACGGGTTTTCAACGGGAACAATTTGGACAGTGACGAGATGGAATTTGAAGACAACAGCCACAACCCTAGCCTGGCGCAACCTCATCAGATCCTCATCACCACCCAATCCGGCTCACTTGCTCTCCTGACGCCTCTGCGCGAGAGCACATACCGTCGCCTCTCCATGCTGCAGAATACCCTGATTGCGACGCTCGACCATCAACCCGCGAGCCTCAACCCACGGGCATATCGCCAGGTGGAGACTGATGGGATCGGTGGTCGCGGAATCATCGACGGCGACATGGTGAAGAGGTGGTGGGAAACCAGCACGCAACAACGTGTCAACAGTGCCGATAAGGCGGGCGGGAGTGTGTGGGAGGTACGGAGTGATTTGGCCATGATTACTGGTGCCAATCTTGGGTTTTAGAGGAGCATCAACCATAGCCATCGATGTAACAGAGGCGCGAGTGGGCAACTCGAAATGATTTCAGTCGTCAAAGAGTGGAGGGGGCGAGAACATGGCGCAGGCACATACTAGTATGTAGGCAGGGTAGGTACATACTTGTGCTTGTAGAGGTGTCCTTCATTGGCGGAGGGATTGCCCACACACTTTGCGATGCTTGAGGTGAACAAGGCGAGTCAATCAATAGTGTTGTCCCCCATCGATATGATGACATTATTACTGGACGTCCCTTAGCTGTTCGTCCCTTTTATTTTTAGTTTTTTCACTTGTCACGACACCGAGATATTGTCAAGGGGAAGGGGAAAGAGCAAGATACTCGCACTCAATCAAGCACTCAATCCATCCCATCTCAAGGAAAGACATAATACATAGGCAAGTAGGGATAATTAAGGACAGATTTCACAAGCCACATAGACCAGCAGATGTACGTGAATCGGGTGGGAGCGTTGCCGTGAGACTATACGGAGGTCTATCACAGGTACAAGTACAAGGTACAAGAAACTTGGAAGAGGTTGAGGTCAAAGTATTCCCACCATCACACCACAGAGCTCTTCTGTGTACCAAGTACTTGGTACTTGAACTCGGACTTCGTTCACCTCACTAACTTGGGACCCAACATCGCTCATCACGTTCTAGAACATGGAGTTAAGAACTCCCTTGTCCTTAGTACCGGCTACAAGTATTACCTTGTACGTACGGAGTAGTTGTGAGGGGAATGACCCAATGACCCAATGACTATGACAGTGACAACGGGCGCCACACCCACAAAGGCCAAGAAAAACCGAGAAATGGTCAGAAGATGCCAAAGATCATATGATGTTCCCGTGGTTCCCCAAAAGTATTGGATCAATTAATGGCATGGCACTAATATGGATGATGGATGATGGATGGGTCTGGATTTCTTTCGATCCCCTCCGATCCTCGTCCCCCACCCTCGGAATGATTTTCTCCACAAAGAAAAAAAAAAACAATCCAAGAGTCGAAATACGAAAATGAGATCTCAGCCAGCAGCGAGCAGGGAACAGGGAACAGGGACATGTAAGTTACGGACGGGGGAAGGGGAAGAGTCTTTCACCGCACGGCTTGTCTCTTTGAAGGTGCCGGGATCAAAGGACATGGAAAGGGAAGAGGAAAAAGAGACGGAAGATGACCTGGTTGTCCTTTTGAGTCATTTACCATCCATCTTCACCACCACCACCATCAACACCCGGTTAGCGATTTTCGCCGCATCCTCCTCGTCCTCCAAGATCCAAGATCCAAGTCAATCCAAGTACTTGTACTTGTACTTTAACTCGGAACATACAAGCACTTGTATAAGGATCCAAGCAAATTCGTGGCGTGATGATGGTGATGATTATGATTTACGAGGTGGGTTTTAAGGTCAAGTACAAACCCAAGGTTTCCCTCTTGCTTGACACATTCACGTCCACGTTCACGTTCACATACACACCCTCACACTCTCTCACTGTGTCTGTGCGTGTGTATCTGTGGCTCTGTATGCGTGTCTCTTTCTCCCTCTATCCTCCCCCCTCCCCCTCTGTTGTTCCATAGAGTTTGTTTAACATTTCGAAACCCTCCGACTCACTCCACCCCCCACAGTAAAACGTCAAAGTAACCTCCTCCACCACCACCACCACCAGACAAGATCTCTTCCCTCCAGGAACAAACAACCCCCTCCCTTGAAGCTTTCGCACATGACACTCCGCCCTACACCCCGTTGTCCTTCGAGTGATATATCAAACACAGACTACTCGCTGGACTTGGACAAGTAAGTTTTTCTAGATTGAAATCCGTCAACGGAAGGAAACACCAGCAATGGCATTCGGTCGAAACACCACCCCATCGTCATCCTCCGCCGGTCCGAGGCGCGTGGGCATCATGACCAGCGGAGGCGACTCGCAGGGCATGAACGGCGTGGTGCGGGCGGTGGTGCGCATGTCGATCCACATGGGATGCGAGGCGTACGCCATCCTTGAGGGGTACGAGGGTCTCGTGCGCGGCGGCGACGCCATCCGCCGCATGCACTGGGAGGACGTCCGGGGCTACCTGTCCCTGGGGGGCACGTTGATCGGGACGCGGCGGTGCCGCGAGTTCTTCGAGCGCGCCGGGCGCGTCAAGGCCGCCAAAAACCTCATCCTCAAGGGGATCTCGGGGCTCGTCGTCTGCGGCGGCGACGGCAGCCTCACGGGCGCCGACAGGTTCCGGGCCGAGTGGCCCAGCCTGCTCGACGAGCTGGTGCAGACGCGGCAGCTCACCCCCTCGCAAGTCGAGCCGTACCGCCACCTCAACGTGTGCGGGCTCGTCGGGTCCATCGACAACGACTTCTCCGGCACCGATGCCACCATCGGCTGCTACTCGTCGCTGCAGCGCATCTGCGAAATGGTTGACGCCGTCTTCGACACGGCCGCCTCGCACGCCCGCGGCTTCGTCATCGAGGTCATGGGCCGCCACTGCGGCTGGCTCGCGCTGATGGCCTCGATCGCCACGGGCGCCGACTACGTCTTCATCCCGGAGAAGCCGCCCGGCGCGGACTGGGCCGACGAGATGTGCGAGATCGTCACCAGCCACCGCAACCTGGGCAAGCGGCGCACCATCATCATCATCGCCGAGGGCGCCACGGACATCGAACTGAACAAAATCACCGCCGACCAGGTCGTCGAGACCCTCAGCGAGAAACTCGACCTCGACACCCGCAAGACCGTCCTCGGCCACATCCAGCGCGGCGGCCTCGCCTCCTATTACGACCGCTGGCTCGCGACCCTGCAGGGCGTCGAGGCCGTCAAGGCCTTACTAGAGGCAACCCCGGACACGCCGTCGCCGGTGATCACCGTGCGCGAGAACAAGATCCTCCGCTCCGACCTGCAAGAGTGCGTGCGCCTTACAAAATCCGCCGCCGCGGCCGTCAAGGAAAAGGACTGGACCCGGGCCATGAAGCTCCGCGACGTCGAGTTCAAGGACTACTTTGACAGCTACAAGCTGACCACGTCGACCACGGAGGAGAGGCCGCGCCTCCGCCTCCCCGAGGAAAAACACATGCGCATCGCCATCATCCACGTCGGGGCCCCCGCCGCGGGCATGAACCCCGCGACGCGCGCCGCCGTCGCCTACTGTCTCTCGCGCGGCCACACCCCCCTGGCCATTCACAACGGCTTTCCGGGCCTACAGAGACACCACGACGACAAACCCGTCGGTTCAGTCAGAGAACTCAAGTGGATCGACGTCGACGACTGGGTCAACCAGGGCGGGTCGGAGCTGGGCACCAACCGCAGCCTCCCCAGCGAAGACCTCGCCCAGACGGCGTACTGTTTCGACCTGTACGAATTCGACGCCCTGTTCCTGATCGGCGGCTTCGAGGCCTTTACGTCGGCCAGCCAGATCCGGAACAACCGCGACAAATACCCTTCTTTCCGCATCCCGCTCCTCGTCCTCCCGGCCACCATCTCCAACAACGTGCCCGGGACCGAGTACTCGCTGGGCAGCGACACGTGCCTCAACACGCTCGTCGGGTTCTGCGACGTGATTCGGCAGTCGGCGTCGGCGTCGCGACGGCGAGTCTTCGTCGTCGACACCCAGGGCGGCAAGTCGGGCTACCTGGCCACCATGACGGGACTCGCCGTGGGCGCCTCGGCCGTCTACACCCCCGAAGCGGGCATCAACATGCGCATGCTGCTGCGGGACATTGACTTCATCCGCGAGGACTTCCAGAACGACAGGGGCGCCGCCCGCGCCGGCAAGATCATCCTCCGCAACGAGCGCGCCAGCCAGACGTACTCGGCCCAGATGATCGCCGACGTCATCAACGTCGAGGCCCAGGGCAGGTTCGACGCCCGCGCCGCCGTCCCCGCCCACTACCAGCAGGGCATGAAGCCGTCGCCGATCGACCGCATCCGCTCCTTCAAACTCGCCATCAAGTGCATGCAGTTCCTCGAGGAGAACTTTGCGGGCAAGACCCCTGACGAAATCAACGCCAATCCCCTCAACGCCGCCATCATCGGTATCCAGGGGTCCGAGGCCGTCTTCAGCCCCATGGGCAGCGACTTGGGCTTGGAGGCCACCGAGACCGACTGGAGCTCGCGTCGCCAACTCAACGAGTATTGGCGGCCCGTCGAGGCTGTCATCGACATCCTCAGTGGCCGGCCAAACGACCTGGACGGGACTGCTGATTATGCCACGCTGCCTGAAACCCCCGGAGAAGCATTTGTGTCTGTCGCCCCCAGCCGCGCAATCACCCCGAGGCCGCAAATCCTCTAGCTCTTATCTGTTTAGTGGGGATGAATGGGTACTGGTGCTTTATTACATGGATGGTTTCCCTGAACAGGATGTCAAAATGTCCCACCCTGGGGGTATTGGAATCGATAGCTCGTGTTTTTGATACCCGTCGAACAATTTGTTCAAGCCGAGGGAAAAAAGGTAGATCACCCGAGACAATGGCAAGCTTAGGAAAGTACCAGGGTGAGAACAAAAGTGGTGCACTTTGGTGATAGGGAAACCCAGACAATAATGGAAGACATGATTGAAACAATCGCAATCAATATTGCAATCTCAATGCTGCAGCGATTCAGGCACATCCGGGAGCTTACAACTTGGAAAGTGTTCGTGCATTTGCTAGAGCCAAGTATTCGTGTTCTGGTGCTATTCAACAGAGAAGCAATCTCCCCAATGCTCACATGGTGTGATAGAACGGGGATGTAACGACACCACATCTGCCAGCATAGCGTGGGTAGATACAGTACTGAGCTGGGAGCAAAGCTATGAAAAGCACCGTCTGAACAGCACCCATTCCCACCAGATGAGCGGGCTCCCTGCGGGAAACAAAACACCATCGAGTAGCACAATGGCAAAAAGAATGGTCGGAGCAACCTCCTCGCGCAGCTCACGATGTTCAGGGGGGACTGTCACCTCGGAGCAAGTCTTCGTCGGGCTCAAAAGGGACATCCTGCGCTGCAAAATCAATCATGTTCTCGCTTGTATTGTCATGTTCGAACAACCGGGCTTGCATTCGGTTTTTCTTGCCTTTCTTCTTTTTCGTGTTACTGACGGCTTGTGGTATTTCGTCATCCAACAGTCCCGTCGGACCTGCGGCCAAGGATGTGCTACCAGAGAAAACCGTAGTTTCTCGATAGATAATAGAGCCTTCGTCTACGGCTTGTTGGCTGGTGATATTCTGTGCATACGAGACAACCTCGTCGCCGAAAACCCACTTTTGATTCGACGAACCAACAGCCTCCGCAACAGGAGCTTGGCCAGGTCTCGCAGCCGAGATGCCTCCATGATTGGTCTTTACCCTATCTGGAAATAAGGAGATGGCAACTCGGCGGTCGGAATGAAAAGGCTGGTACGGCGCATTGGTCTCGATCTCGGCTGAAGCGAGCGGGTGTGGCGTTCTGGAACCTCCATCTCTCGTGGATCGGACTTTCCAGAAGCTGAGCAGTGCAGATGTCGCATCGCTGTCCCCCTGTGCTTCGTCTGAGCGATTCCGCACCGGAAGGTCTGCAGCGAGTTCCGCAGCCTTAGGGAGCTTGATTGCGACAGCCCTGCGTGCATCGAATACCGATACCGTTTCCATCTGCCGGTTCTCCCTAGGCTTTGTCATTCGCACATAGTAATTCTTGATGTTGTTCTCGTCCAGGATAGATAGTACTGACTTCCCATCACGTCGGAGCCAACAAAATATGCCCACTCGGGCTGGAATCTTTAGATGAAGCCTGCTTTGATTCGCGTGTCGTATGCTGGTAACAGTCTCGGTAGCAGCACCTAAAGACTTGCTGAGTCCCGCTGCCACTGCTCTGCTGCCGCTTTTGATACTGGTCGTAGAGGCAAACCCCATACCAGCCGGAGCCATCCCAGCCACCCCACTGCTAATACTTGGTGCTCTACCACGTAAACTTGCAAGCATCGGCTGGGTTCTACCTGCAATGCTCATTGCGGAGGCAAAGAAGCCGCCGGGCGGCGCTGGATCATGGTCTGTCTTTACCTGGTGGGGATCAGCCGGCGCTGAAGTCGGCCGATTCCTCTTGGTCGGAGGTGGCGGCCATTGAAAAGCGCCTTTTGGCAGGTCAAACAGGTGAATAGTTCGATTCTTCGTCAGAATGGCAAACCGGGAGCCAGTAGAACCGTCCCAGGCAACATCGACAATCGAGGAGGGACTCAATCGTTCGTAGCGTGCAATTTGCCGCACACGTCCGCTTTCGGTAGGATTCGAAGGTGTCGAAACGATGACATACTTCATCTGCATCAAATCCCAGACGTACTGCACATCACCTTTGCGGTTGGCTGTCAAAATACCGAGACCTGTAGGCATAAACGACAGAAAGCTACAACCTCCCGGTGGTTGAAATGTGACCATCGGGCTGGACTCAGAGATTGCTTTTCGGCCTTGGTTGTCTTGGAGCAACTTCAAGTCTATTATTGTGACAAGATCCGGGTCCTTGGACACGCCTTGTTGGTCAATGGCATGAGTAGGCGGAAATTGTGTCAGGCCAAGCTGAGGAGAGTAAACTGGAGGGCTGGAGGATGGAGCAGCTGGCATGTTAGGGTTGGTCGGGTCCCTTTTCCAGTAACTCTGCCACGTCTGCATTCCTTTTTCACTGATCCATTTTGCGCCCCTTACCGCCTCCTGAGCGAAGCCTTTGGCGACTTTGCTGAGGAATGTGTCGACATCAGGAGACTCAACATCGCAATTGGGCAAAGGTCGCGAAGGCGCCGTTCCAGCTGTAATATTAGAGTTTTTGTTATGGATAACATGATCGCCCAAAACAGCCCCAACAGATCTTCGTGACGGTGTGCTTGCAGGACAAAAAGCGAGCCATCGTCCGCTCAGACTGAGAATTGGAAGGTTCTGATTATCCGGACCACGGCCAAGATCAGCAGGTGAAACATCTACATCCGATCCTGGTCCGTGAGACGAGGAGTCCCTTCTGTGGAGTTGAGGTTGTATCGTAGTCCAGTACTTGCCTAAGCATTCAAATACTGCAGAGTCCTTGCCTTGCCGAATAGAGAAGACAAACATCTCTCCACTGTCAACGGATGCCACGACAACAAAGTTGCCACTCGAGTAAACTTTCAGGTTTGCTGCGTGGCTGACGCTTGAAGGTACTCCGGGAAAGCTCTCCACGGCTGTCTGCACTCTCAGCAGCTCGGCGACCTCACAGCATTTGCCGACTGAATATACCACTACCTTCGTCTCGAAGGGCGTCTGATGGTGCCCTGGAAAGGCCCGGTCTTCTGAAACCAAGGGGCCAGGTCCAGGCCCGCCGGGCCCATAGACTGTGAGTGCAACCAGAGGCCTGTAATCCGCAAAGGGAGTTTCGCCGGTATTCCACGTGAGCAGTGCGGCGTCAAGGATGGTACCCTGCACGCCGCTGAGCGCTCCTATGTGTTCGGTTTTCTCGCCATTGTAGCTCACAATGTGCAATTCACCGTCCACAGCGAGTAAAGCAGCCTCACGAGACTCGTTTCCTGATCCTGGAAGGCGAGCGAATTTCAATGGGACTGGTTCTGGTAGAGGCGTATGGGGAGGATGGAGACCTAGATCAACATCGTGAGGCCCGTAAAAATGTTGTTGAGGTAGATGAGGCGGGGCAGGCGGAGATCCATAAGCAGTCATGCCGTAGCCATACGGAGAGGTCGAGATTCTCGAATGAGTCGGGAGCGGAGGGATAGCACTGCTGTAGCTGACAGGACGGGCCTTTCGTAGCGGAGGTGAGATTGGAGGGCTCCTGCTGTTGAAGACGCCGCGGTGACTGAAGCCTGGCTCATAAGGAGGAGAGCCGCCTGTGTTTAGACCAGGGATGTGTTCAACAGGCGGGGTCCTGCCATGGACTGTACTCCGAGCCCAATGGTCAGCTGGGGGAGTGTGCTCATCGGACACCTTTTGGGAAGCGTTCACGTCGTTGAGAACGTCGACCGGGCTGATCCTTCTGTTCGAAGGGAATGCCTGGGGTAGTTGACCCAGGATGGAAGGCGGAGGGTTTGAGGAGATAGGGGGTTGTTGAGATTGACCCATTGACTCGGCTGCTTTTTCGGCATGATCGAGGCTCGACAGCTGTTTAACAGCAGCATTCTTTGTCTTTCGCTTTCCTGCTCTTGAGGCGGGGCGATCTTGGTCTGCCACTGTTTGGAAGCCTTCTCTTTCAGAGATCCTGGACTCGACGGAGGTTGGCTTGTTGGATGCTGGCATTCAAGAAATGGGGCAAGGCAGTGTGAGGTCCTAGCTAACTACTCTTCACAAGCAGCCAAGCTGTATCTGCAAGTAGAGCGACCGCGTCCGCAGGACACACAAGACCACTGTGCTGTTGTTGAAGTGAATCGAGGGACCGGCGCGGGGTTATTCGACGCGTCGGTTGGAGAGGGAATGAGTGAGGAGTGGTCTCGAGCAACAGATCAGCTTGCACCAACAGTTGCGTGTTAGGATCAAAGGAGGGACCGCTGAGTAGTGTGCAACGAAGGACTTGTGGGTATCTTATTCTTTGTCTGGTCAGAGAAAGGAATGGTTGTAATCAGAATCAGTCATGTGGCATCACTTATATGTACTTTGCTCGGGGGTAGCTACGTACTTGTGCAAGAGGCACTCAGCAATGAAGTAGTCGTTGAGTCAGGAGGCCTTTCCAGGTGAACTTAGTGACCTGCTTATCGGCAACGGGGCGCTGGGGGGACGTCTGAATGGTCACTGATTCCCAAACACTCGGGGGCGGTCACTTGCAGCACGGTGCGGGGGAGATGTTCCCAGGCCCACGGGATGTGGCTGGGCGAGTCACGAGTCGCCGGAGTAGCGAGGCTGTTCGCAGATTCCAAGGCCCGGCGACAAGGACATCATCACAGAAAGCATGTCTTACACTCCATTACGACCGGAGGATCAGTCGTCCTCAAAGTTCATGCTTTTGGTCTGCAGGTGTCCTTCCGAGTTACCTCATTGCCAGCCAGCCTTACAAGGAAGCAGAAGCAGATAATTCCAGCTCGTTAGATGTCTGCGCCTGACTCACATTCCAAACCCACCCAAGTCTTCGTGTTCTCCATTCAAGCCACAGACGGGTCCCTGTACCGAGTACGGATTGCAAAGGGCTGTAATAGGTTGCAGTATCATCTGTCAGTCGACTGATTTGTTCATGCATAAACAAGCATCCTTTCGGCTGGGACAAGAGTCATTGCAGAAAGGTTTCCATCTATCCAAGGTATTGGCTCAATCGATGGCTTATAGGTACAAGACTCCTCGTCATTTTTCAGGCATACGACTGAATGCAAACACCGCGGAATCTCGGATTCGGCCAGTCGATGCTGGGTCACACCTGATTCTGCATTGAGCGGAAGGGAAAGTTGGGTTCCTTCTAAATCGGCTGATCCCGTGGAAAAGAGGACTTGCGGGCCATGAATGTCAATGCCCGACTTTTCGGTGTCGACAAAGGACATGAAACCTGCATAACTGCCCACCGCCTGAGCGCCGTTGACACCGTGTTTGATTCCATATCTTGATGCCTCCTCTTTCACTTCGACTTCTTGGCCGCAGCAGCTCTAGCCTTTGCTGCCTTCTTCCTATTGCTTCTGATCATGACCATGGCAAGGAACGTTCCTACGACCGCCGAACCAAGGAGCGTGAGGATGACAGGGATTCGGATTGCCCAGACGCGAGGTGGGAACAGGCTCTGAAGTGGATGGTCGTCGTCCACAAAGGGCTGCAAGAAATTTTAGTCGATAGCCTCATATCTGTGCAAGGTGCCATACCATGAACAAGGTCCATAATGTGTAATATAAGAAGACTGTGGTTGCTACCACGAGCATCGCCATGCCCACAATTTTGTCCAGCTACAACAGGGGAACCATTAGCATTTCGATTGACCGCGCAGTTCGCAGGGTGAGAAAATACCATCTCGTCACAGTTTTGTTCCTGCTTGTGGATGATGCCCTTGAGACCTTATGTATCGCAAGAGACGCCGTGAATAATCACTGTTGTAATGTTTGACACGCGGACTGAAATGGACACGCAGTCGCGTTGTCGGAAAATGTCACTTCGTTGAATGGCTTAAAAAGGAAATCGCTCCGGAAGGGTTTTTCCGAGTCCGTGTTTGAAAATCGACTTTGCGATTTATTTGCCTGCCGCTGCCTTCAACTCAAATCAAGAGGTCTTCGTATCCACGAAACCGGCAACAGCAGAGGAAATGAAGATTCTGCTTCCTCTAACCACCGCTTGCAGTCTTTGAGTTTGCCAACATGGCGGACACCATGTTACTCTCGTCTGCTGTCCGCCTTCCCACGCCGCCTCCAGGTGGTTCCTATTCCCCCGGCCCCTCGGTAGCAAGAAAGAGATCACCTCCATCTCGGTCACCCTCTCCTCGACGCCGCCGACCCGCGCCAGTCGAAGCTAACGATGGGCGCAATCCAAGGGGCGCGGAGCCGGAACGTGAGATGGATGAGCGCGAGAGACAGCTACTCGCCAAGTTCAAACCTAGGGAACCAGATGAAGCAAGACGAAAACCTTTGACGGCCGAAGAAAAACAAGCGGCTGCCAAAGCCGAGTACGAGAAGCTCCTCACGATGCGATCGGGCGGCACCTATATACCTCCTGCAAAACTGCGTGCTTTACAGTCACAGATCACCGACAAGTCAAGCAAAGAGTACCAGCGAATGGCTTGGGAGGCTTTGAAAAAATCCATAAACGGCCTCATTAATAAGGTCAATGTCTCCAACATCAAGCACATTGTCCCGGAGCTGTTTGGTGAAAATCTTGTCCGTGGTCGAGGGCTGTTCTGTCGGAGCATCATGAAAGCGCAGGCCGCTTCCCTACCTTTCACCCCGATATATGCGGCGATGGCTGCCATTGTGAATACCAAACTCCCTCAAGTCGGAGAGTTACTCCTCAACCGACTGGTTGTTCAATTTCGAAAAGCCTTCAAGCGCAATGACAAAGCAGTTTGCTTGTCCTCGACCACTTTCGTCGCCCACCTGTGTAACCAGCAAGTGGCGCACGAGACTCTCGCTGCACAGCTACTTTTGTTGCTTTTGCACAAGCCGACTGATGATTCTGTGGAAATCGCGGTTGGTTTGACCCGGGAAGTGGGCCAACATCTGGAGGAGATGAGCCCTCCTATCGCATTGGCTGTGTTTGATCAGTTTCGAAGCATATTGCACGAAGCTGACATCGACAAAAGAGTCCAATACATGATAGAAGTACTGTTCCAAGTCAGAAAGGATCGGTACAAGGACAACCCGGCAATTCGCGAGGAACTCGATCTCGTGGAGGAGGAAGACCAAATTACGCACCAAGTCGACCTTGATGATGATATTGATGTTCAAGACTCGTTGAATATTTTCAAGTACGATCCAGAGTGGGAAGAACATGAAGAGGCGTATAGGAAACTGAAAGCCGAAATCCTCGGGGAGGACAGCGGCGATGAGGAAGACGACGACGATAGCGGCTCTGAGGAGAGTTCGGATGATGAAGACGCCGAACAAGAACGTGCAATGGAAATCAAGGACCAAACAAATACGGACCTGGTTAATTTGCGAAGGACAATCTACCTGACCATCATGTCCAGCCTTGACTTCGAAGAAGCGTGTCACAAGCTGATGAAAGTCCAACTCCCGGCAGGCCAGGAGTCTGAGCTACCGTCCATGATCATCGAGTGCTGTTCACAGGAGAAGACATACTCGAAATTCTTTGGCCTTGTCGGTGAGAGGTTTGCGAAGCTTAACCGGCTCTGGACGGACCTGTTTGAACAGTCGTTTGCGAAATACTACGACACGATTCATCGATACGAGACAAATCGCCTACGGAACATTGCTCGATTCTTCGGACATCTGTTGGCTACCGATGCTATTGGTTGGCACGTGTTTTCTGTTGTGCACCTAAATGAAGAAGAGACTACTTCCAGCAGCCGCATTTTCATTAAGATATTGTTCCAGGACCTGGCTGAAGCCTTGGGCATGCCTGAGCTTCAGAAGAGGATGAAGGATGATATTCTTCGGCCCTGCTTCTCAGGTCTTTTCCCGACTGATACACCTCGTAATACACGGTTCGCGATCAATTACTTCACCTCCATCGGCATGGGGGCCCTCACGGAGGAGATGCGTGAGCATCTCAAGAATTTGCCAAAACCAGAGCCACCCGCCCTGCCTGCACCGAAGGATGATATTTCGGACTCTGAAAGCGTCAGCTCATATTCGAGCTATTCGAGCTATACGACGAGCAGGTCATCCACGAGAAGTCCACCTCGACGGACAGATAGGAGGTCTCGGTCATTGACACCAGACGACCGGTCGACAAGGAAGACTCGACGTCGGCGTGTTTCCGAGTCACTTTCGAGGTCCCCACCTCCGGCTCGCGGTGCAAACAGGCGGGCAAGGAGCTATTCTTCGTCGGTATCGCGCTCTCGCTCTCGTTCACCCCCACGACGCGTGGAAACAGCAAGACGATCGCTCTCCTATTCGGCCTCTCCGAGTCAACCACCAAAAGGAGGACGAGACAACGGCCATCCACGTGGACGAGCACGTACACGCTCAAAGTCGTACAGTAGTCACACCGGAGATTCTCGCTCGCCCCCTCGACGTCGCCTCCCGAATCGGCGTTCCGGTAGTTATTCGACGTCACGGTCGAGATCTCGTTCTCCCCCACCACCACCACGCCAAGCCAGTCCTGCTGTGCATCCATCTCGCCGGCGCAACGTTCCAGCTGCAAGACCCAAGTCCAGATCACGTACACCACCACGTTTTAGTCGTCGGCCAGCTCCACGAAGGGCTCCTACTCGAAGTCCATCACGCTCGCCATCACGCTCACCACCCAGGCGTAAAGTCAACAGATATTCACCCAGCAGGAGCAGGAGCAGGAGTCGAAGCTTGACTCCTCCACGACGAAGAGCACCTCTGCCCAGGAGAAGGAACTCGTCTAGTGTCAGCGGACGATCAGTGTCTAGGTCGAGGTCACCACCACCTGCACGAGGAATATCAAGGAAGGAAGGGAAGAGGCGATGGTCGGGAAGCATGAGTCCGAACAGAAAGGGTGGCGATGGAAGAGCAAGGGCTGCGGATTTTGACTAGTTCTATGCACCACCCATCACATGGATTTTTGGAAGAATGAGTGACATGGTATATTGGAAAGAAAAAGGGAGTAAGCGGAAATGAGACATTGAAGATGCTGGTCCGTCCCTGTAGGACGCAGGCGATCTTGAAGCGAAATGAGCGTCGAAACAAGCCAGCTTTTCGCGGCACCGGATCGGCCGTGTCTCTTTTTTCTACTGATAGACGCCGTGGCTTCTCACTATGTGCTCTGGTTCCACTTCTTCTTACCCAGAAAATCTTTAGGGTGTGGCGCGAACGAAGAGACACGAGTATCGAGTCCATAGTATTTCTTAATAATTCCACGTCCCCTGCTCTCTCTTCAATTCTCAAAGAAGTATCTCGCCTATATCGTATGTAGTGGGTAGACTCGATCAAGTCCAAAATGGATCGGGCGGCCGCCTGAGGGATATGGTCTAATCCAGTCCATTGTTAGATGATGTTGTCGTAGTGATGCTATTTCTATACCACTATACCACTATACCATCCATGCCACACACACACTCTCTCTCACTCTCACATATAAATCCTGCACCGTGTACCATGTACCATGTCCATGTTCCATGAACAATATTCCCATGTCCCACGCCATATGTCCCGGATCAAGAAACAACGGAAGACAACCCCGAGGGATGGGTATTATACATAGCCCATGGAACCTGGAAGAAGCCTTTGCAGCGCTTTCGGTGGTGTTCTGCATTTGCCATTGATGCATGCAATAATGAGCACTCTCTCCCAGACTTGTGAAAACGACTTGACTCTGCAGAATATGATGCCTGAGTTTCCTATCAAAACGCCCAACACCCGTACCAGCCCAGCGAACCCAACTATTGCAAGCCGGTCCATCGGCCTACTAACCAGCCATCCATCCAGCCAACCAGCAAGCAAGCGACATCCATCCCCCAACTGGTTCTCCTGACGCCTTAGAGTAATATATTATCATGCTGTCGTAATTAATTCATACTGTGTCGTCGTCATAAGCGAATCGTACATCCCTCAGCCCTCGTCCGCGGCCCTTGCCTCGGTACCCGCTCCACCCGTCTGGCCCGCGCACGCCCATGCTTTGACAGAATTGCTCGTCGCCCTGGGGTCTCTCATTCTTGCTGTTCCCCGTCAACATGCTCTGCAGGCTCATGCACACCGACTCCACCGACTGCACGGGCGACCACCCCGCCGAGCCCAACAGGTCGAGGCAGATGATGCCGTTGGAGTAGATGTGAGGATGGATCGGGATGGGGCGGCCGGCAAAGGGTGTCTGGGACTGGGACTGTTGTTGCGGGTTCGCGGGGTCGGTTGCGGCGGGTGGGACTTTGAGAAAGACGACCTCTGGTGCTTCTGTATGAATAGCCGTCGTTATACCCAATGTCAGTCAAAAGGTCAATCTAGCCCAGCTTTTACCCGTTCTTCCCTTGTTCCCGCCTCTTTTCCTTTTCTTCCCTGGGGGTTTGGTGCGGCACATTACCTATGGGATAAGAGTCTGAGAAAAGGAAACTGAGGCGGAAAGTCTGGTTCATGTACAGAGGATTCGCGTCTAGGACTTGGATGTCAACCAGCCATTCTCGGAAGTCGTCCGCTTTGACCAGCTCGATCCCCGGAGGAAGTTTTTGTTTTGCCTGCAACAAGGTAACAATAGCACGGACGTCAGCACTCGTGGTGTCTGGTAGATCGACAGACCACTAGCAGGCAATGACAAGGACGGCTGGTAAAAAGGACCGGTGTGAGGAAACAAGGCTTGCGGTGTAGTTTTGGGGGAGGGGTGTCGTTGGCATGTGATCATTACCTTGACCAGCTCCTGCGATGACGTTAGTTTGGGAGGGATGGAGGAGGGAAGAATGTGAACTGGGAGAGCAGAGCCACTCACCTTTCCTAGTCGCTTCGTCGCGAACATTGCGGGACACAGAAACGGGGTGGTTTAATGAGGAAAACGTGTGTTGTCTTTTGCAGAGCCTGCGCCGACCAAGGCTGAACCGGACGAGCAGCAGCTGAAGTCTGGCTGCGGACGGGTACGTTGGTGGGGAATCTCTATCCGTGAGAGGAGACGATGATGAAAGGGGGGGCTAGAAGGATTAGGAAATGTTCAAAAGCAAGACTTATTCTCCTTCCGAGACTCCTATGCGTTTGTAGCAGGTAGTATATGGCAATTTATCATGGACAAGGTACAGAGTTCTGGGGCACGAATGGCGCAGGCACACAACTCTGGCACCCATCGGAGAAATGACATTGAGCAACGAGTTAAAGCCACCTTCAACTGTCGCCCGTCACCCCCGCATCAACCCCCACCAGTTCAGCCTCGTTTGATCACTCGGCAAGGCGCTAACCAAGTCGGTCAATATGCTATACACTATTGCCCTTCATCATAGCGCCAGAGATTTGACAGCATTATGCGGGTCAAAGCGACGGACAGATGTGCAGAACAGCGACAATTTTGATTCCACTCCTCGCTCAAACTATGGGAAGCTCCCACGCATCTGGGTATATAAAGACGATACATCTAATTAGGGAACAACCAACTAAGCCAATCCGGGGTAGCAGGGATACTACGCAATCACTGCGGCGCTTCGGTCGTAGACTTGGTCGGCTCCTTCTCACCAGAGACGCTCTCAGACTGAGGGGTAGATGAGTCGCCCGGCGCGACGCCCTGGGTGATCTGAGCGTTGATCTGAGCAATCGAGCTCCGACGGACTGAAGCTTCGTCCTGGAACAATGACCACTCGCCAATAAGCTCGTCAGAGAATTGATCCAGATCTAGACCGATGATTTCCACTTCATCCGTTACTCTTAGATGCAGTCCCGGGATGTATTTGAGGATAGTGAGCATGATGTAGGACAGGGTAAATGACCAAGCGGCAATGGCAGCAATTTCAGCGAGTTGCTTGGCCACCTGAACGCCGTGGCCATCGATGGCTCCTTGAGCGATGGTAACGCCATCAAGAGACGACACAGATGCAGATGCGAAGATTCCGGTGAGGAATGCTCCGACCGTGCCGCCGATTCCGTGCAGTTTGCTGTAAATGATCCATCAGTACCAATTCTATCACCGCCACGGGTAGGATGGTACTCACAAGACTTCCAAGCCATCATCAATGTGAAGCCAGTCGTTGACGGGCTCGAACAAATTAACCACAATGGCAGTGATGAAGCCAATCGCAGCGCCACACCAGACAGACACATAACCAGCCGCAGGGGTGATACCAACAAGACCAGCAATGGCACCCTCGCAAGCGCCAACGACAGAGAACTTGCGGTGCTTGATGTAGTCCATAAGGACCCAACCAGCCACACCACACGATGCAGCCAAGTTTGTGTTCCAGATGGCCATCATGGCTCGGATGCTGGCGTTCAGAGCAGAACCGCCGTTGAAGCCAAACCAACCGAACCAGATAAGGACTGTTCCGAGGAAAACGATGGTGACGTTGTGGGGTTTGTAGACGTGCTTCTCGCCATATCGGCTTCTCTTGCCAAGGACAAGGGCGTAAGCCAACCCGGCGGTACCACTTGAGATGTGCACAGGGCCGCCACCGGCAAAGTCAAGAGCACCAAAGGTGAATAGCCAGCCGTTGGCATTCCAGGTCCAGTAGGAGATTGGGCAGTAGCACAGGGTGGCCCAGCAGAAGCCGAAGATGATGGAGGGAAGGATGCGGCCACGTTCAAACGAGCCGCCCACAACGATCATAGTCGCGCAGGCACAGAACATCAACTCATAGAAAGAGAAGACAATGTCGGGAATAACAGCCGAACCCCAGGAAGGAGCAGCCATGACCTGGATACAGTTTAGTGCCCTGACACGAGAGTCTTGCGATTGCTTTCTGGAGAAGATCTTACATCGATCATTCCAAAGTTCTTCAGGTCGCCAATGAAGGGACCGCCGGTTCGGGAAAAGGCGAGCGAAAAGCCCCAGAAGGCCCATTGGAAGGAGCACACCGCCATCACGGTCAGGGATTGGAACACCATGGCCAGGGCAGACTTCCTGCGCGTCATGCCACCGTAGAGCAAGCCGAGACCGGGGACAATGACGAAGACGAGACATCCCATGATCACCTGGTAGACGTAATGGTACTCGAGGCCGGTGTAAGGCAGATTGACGTCTATCTGCTGTGGATCGCCTCCATTGGCCATGCTGGAGTTGAACTCCGGCTGGGGATTGATGTTAGCATTGGGGAACCGGAAGGATGGTCGAGGGAAGGGAGAAACCTACGGCGACCGGGACTGCGACTGTAGCCATGGTGGTAGAATCAGACAATGCTGGAGGTCGACTCTCAGGAGGAACAGCCTGCGGGACAAGAAATGCTTGATGGAGAGAAGACTTGTGGAGACGCAGCAGGGCAAACCCCCTCCTATATACCTGGAGTGATCAACGGATATCGGGAGCAGAGTCCACCATGGCGAGAATGCGCGTGGCACTTTCTTCCGTTGCCAGATCACCTCCACGCTAGATCCCACAGTCCAAAAGTATCCATTGCTCTTGAAGTTGTCAAGACACCCATCAGTCCTGTACCCGTACTATGTCTGACCGCGAAGCGAGAAGTACGAGTGTTCTTTTTTTTTTATTCTGGATCCCATTGACACGGAAGGCTTGCGGCCCTTGCCTCAAACGGGCCAAGGGAGCCGAGTTGAGGATGGTGGTATGGAGGCTTGGCCCCGTTGATAGAGAAGCGTCGAGGGCGGAGATTGGCTGAGAGCAAAGGCGATGCAAATAACTGAATCAAATAGGTTCGCAGGGGCCCCTGAATACGCCTCGTGGTTGATTGCCCGGCAGCCAACTTCGTAGCTGAGGTTGTAAGATTAGCGAGCCTTGCGGGCCTTGGTGCCTTGCTCTTATCAGTGGAGCCTCGCCAAGACATGTGCCAAGCTTCGTATCTCTCCCCAACAGGCCAATAACAACGACCATGGTCGGGATAAGCAGGATGCTTGACTGATCTTGAAGCGCTTGTCACCTTGCAACAACATTCCTTTGTCTTGTCAATGTGGAGACAACATCCTCAAGAACAGCTCTGGGTTGCTGTCATGGCCAAACGACGCCCACCACGATCACCAACCGCACGCGCCGCCGCCGGAGAAAGAGCCATCCTCCCCACGGCCATCCTCCTCCTCCCTTCCCCCCTTCTGCACCCGCACACGGCCCGGCAGTCGAATTTCGCTTGTTCCACGCCCGATGGTCTTGGTACTTTGACAGGCAGTTCTTGGTCAAGAGTCCGTCTGAGAGACTTGCGGTTCGTCTGTCATGAGAACGAATGAGCATTTAGAATTGGCCCGGAGATGGCAGACACATGTACGAGTCTGTGGTGACACCTTGATGTTTGTTGGAATTTGACGACAATATGCACCTTTGGATGGATCGAGCCCAAGTTCGCGGCTACTCGATTCGGTTGTGGCCCTTCTCCAACATCGAGCGTTGGAAATTCCTACTACCTTCATCAGCCATGCTTTGTGATTACGCGAGCCGACACCGTCGATTGAAGCCCTCATGAATCCTGATGCATGGCAAGCATGTCGAGCTTCGAAACTCAAAAGAGTTGCCACAGTATCTTACCATGTCGATCAAAGACACAGCCCAGAATGCTTAACTCGGCCAGAATGCTTGACTGGACTCTTGTGGATCAAACGTTTTCTGGAGGCCGATTTACGTTCCAGACCTGGTGATAAGATTTCTCCGGACAGTCGGCACCATACGAATAGACTTACGTCTTGGCATCATGCTAGGTCACGAACTATAAGGTGAGAGGATGGTCCATAGCGAATCTCAGAGTCCATGGACGCCGAAAGATGTGTGTTCGGGGCCTGGCCTTGGTCGATTCAGCTGCCTTTGCCGATCCAAAGGGTTTCACGGGGTCTACCTTTTCCAATGGACCAGCCTCGAAGCGCTGTCGGGTGGTGGGTGCGCGAATTGCACTGGCGAAGTTTGTTCGAAGCTGTGCGATTGATCTTGTTCCTCTTGTTATTCATCTCATCACAGGATCGGCCTCCAAGTCGAATACTCACAGGCTAGTCGCTACTGATATGGCTCCAGAAAAGTGTGTAAGTTACAGAAGAAAATACTGTTCTAACCTTTTGGGAGAGGCTAAGGCTCTTCGACTCGTTACTCCCTGGACACGCGACCGGGCCACCAATCGAAGTTCGCCGAACAATCGAAGCGCGCACCTTTTCAGGACTGCCAAGAGTCTTTGGTGGATGGAGTCAATTCGAACAGTGATAGAAGGAGGTTAGACTTGCAGGACTGATGTCCAACTGATCTCGCATCGCTGATTCAAGCTACCACGAGCACAGATAGGTAAGGGACGACAGCCACATCAAGGATCGTTCAGCGCCACGTCCTGACGCTCCCGATGTGTGGCGCTACCAATCGTCCAGCCACTCTCCACGCCCTCTCATGGAAGTCTGCAGAGACGGACAACGTACCAGCAGACTTTACTGCCTGGCCGTACTTGGATGTACCGTCTCACGGTCTCTACTAAATGATGCTACTGGAAGCTTCAACCTGGTTCAACTTCCAACCTGTGACTAACATTACACCTGATGAGGCACAAGAGGAATCGTTGGAGAAAACACTGGGTCATTAATATTATACACAGGAGCGAACCAAAGGCTACCCCTTTCAAGTCCACTTATTCGGGCCTTTCTGCCTTGGAAGCGTCCTGAAGCTGGCTGCAGGTAAAATGGTGGCAGAATCCCTGTCCTGTCTATCAGTGTTGAGATTGCGTCGTGCTTCAATCTGCTGAGAATAGCGCGAGTAATGCGCAACAGCTTTCTGCCTTCGCGACATGCTGGCTCAAGGCAAGGACTCCACCCTGTCTTTGTTCGACTTGTTTGCTTCTTTCACCACATTATCAATGTTTGGTTCGTGAACTGTCCATTCGTTGCAAGGGAGTGGTTAGGGAGTATTCGTGCCATGATGCTCGACGTTACTCTCACTCGGCTGTTTTCTTCTCAAGCCTTCGTCACTGGCTTCTTTGTGTCTTGCTTCTTGCTGTATTTTCCCCAGCCCAAGGCTCGTGGACTATACGCGAATGTATCAGTAATGCGACCATCAAAAAATGACTCGCGAGCGCCGATGCTTACATTCGAGAAGACCACGAATCTTCATACACCTCCCTGTCGAGCTCGGCCTTGTCCACAAGTCGCTGCAACGAGGCTGGCAGACGAGGCTTTTTGAGGAGTGATCTCCTGTTGGCTTGTTCTTTATTGGATTTATTGGGATGGTTGACTTGTTTTGAAGGTTCTGGACCTGGACTATATTCGCAACCCTCGTTAGTAGATGGACCAATATGCAAGGAAGACGCCATGAGGCCACTATCAGAGGCACTTACACCCGACTCCAAGGATCTTCGTACAAGTCTCTCTCCTTCTCTGCCTTGTCAACGAGACTTTGCAGTGGTGCTGGCAGACTGGAGCTTGACGGCGACCTCTGATGGGTCGATGAGTTGTTAGAATTGACGGGATTCATAAAGGTTTAGCTGTTTAGCTGTTTGTTGTTATTGTTGGTTTATCTGACTTGGATGCCTTTTTATGATGTTTTCCGCTTTTGTGACGGTGGCCAAAAATCCACAGGTTCAGAGCATCTTTATACACGCTCCCCATGGGGAGAGAATCCCAGCACATCCAGGGTATTCAGAGCATTCGCAGGGTCCCAGCGCGACCAGGGCATTAATTCCCGCGTTCGACACAGCCAATCCCAGGGCCCAAACTCGTACACTACACAGTCGGCGCAAACTCGGCCTCTGTCGTCATGTGTCGCTTGACCCCAAACATCGACATCATCGTGCAGCTCGAGATTCGAGAGACGCGAGAATCGTCCGACAACCAGTGCCAGTGGTCGCTACCGTGAACAAGTACGTGATAGCCACGAGGGCATTAATTACTCATCAAACACATCCCTGTCCCAATCGAGGCATTATACAAACAAGTCATAATCATCATCTGGCAATCTCGCCGAAAAGAAGATGGAGAGATCTACATCCAGTCCTCGTACGTACAAGTACAGTGCATAGGTACATGTTTTGTTATTAGTCTTATTCTTTGTGACAAGTCTCTGCCCTCTGACTTCTGTCCTCTAGCTCATCGCGGTGTGGCGAGTCGAGTCAGGTCAAGTCAAGTCGCATATCCCTTGTCTGGATTGGATCGTATCGCCCTTGTCGAGTACTGACCTACTGACCTACTGACCTACCAAGCCCTACCTACCTACATATGTATGTTCGTATGTACATATTACATACATACTTGCGTGGAATCTCCTCCAACCTTGCTTAATAATGTATCTTGGAGGGCTTTCCGGCCACCAGCCTGGCTTGGTCGGTACGAGTAGATCGTCTGGCACTCAATGACCTAGCGTAACTTGGACAGGAGGGATGGGATGGGACAGGACAGGGTGATTCTACGTCGCTGCACAAAAGAGCTATTGCGGCGGCGGTGGGAAGGACGAAAATCTTGTAATTGTATAGAAGATCATCTGGGCGAAACTATGGAATAAATGGAATAAATATGTACCGAGTCATGGAGCTATGGAGCAATATATCAGTCAATCAATGGGTTGGTCGTCAAGGTCAAGGCCAAGCTTGAAGAATGAATGCATGGTGGAGGGGGAGGTGGAGAGGGTCATACATCAAACAACATCACCAATACCACGACGACGACGACGAATACCACGATGAATAATGCCGTTAATCACCACCGTCACGACGCGCTCACGCCATTCACGTCCTTCTCATACTTCAAGTCCAACCCCTCCAACTCACCCTTGGCCCTCCACTCCCGCAAGAGGTTCAAAAACGCCGGGGCGCCGCCGCCGTAGCTGGCGTTTTTGGCGGCCGCAGGATTCGGCGTGCCCTCGTTGTTGTAGTAGCCCGGGGTGCAACCGGCCAGGAACTCGGCGCGCAGCTTGGCCATGTCGAGGATGGTGTTGACCCAGTCCTCCTCGGCCTGGGCGGTGGGCTCGACGGTGCGGACGCCGCGCTTCTCGCACTCGGCGATCACGTAGGCCAGGTGCTCGGCCTGCTCGCCCGTGACGTGCAAGAAGTTGGGCGACAGCGCGGCCTGCACGATCTGCACCCAGAAGCAGTTGGGGAAGTCGCGCGTCGTCCAGCCGTGCAGCGTGCGCGACCCGTCCTTCCAGCACGACGTGATGGTCTTGCCGTCACGGCCCGTCACCTCCATGTTCGACCGGTGGCTCCATTCCGTGGCCAGCTCGAATCCGGTCGCGTAGATGAGCGTGTCGAGCTCGTACAGCTGGCCGTTGGCTACCACACCCTTCTCCGTGATGGCCTCGACGCCCTTGCCCGCCGTGTCGATCAGGTGCACGTTGGGTCGGTTGAATGTGTCGAGGTATTCGTCGTGGAAGCATGGTCGCTTGCACAGCTGGTTGTACCACGGCTTTAACGCCGCCGCCGTCACGGGATCCTTGACCACCTCGTCGCACCGCGCCCGCACCGACTCCATCTTCTCATAATCTGCGATCTGCCGCTGTGCGGCAGCCTTTTCGGGGTCCGCCGGCTCGTCGCCTATCGTGGGCTGCCAGCGTGCGAGGAGCTTGTGGAGGATGTCTGTCCAGCCGTCCTTGACGAGGTCGACGGGCGCGATCCCGCCATTGACGATGATGTTGAAGTTGTCCATGCGCTCCTTTTGCCAGCCTGGTTTTAGCGAGGCGGCCCACTCAGGGTCGGTGGGGCGATTTCCGCGCACGTCGATGGACGATGGCGTCCGCTGGAACACGTACACCTCCTTGGCCCATTTACCTAGATGAGGCACGATTTGGACGGCTGTCGCACCGGTGCCAATGATGCCTACACGCTTGTCCGAGAGCTTGTGTAGGTTCCCCGTGGTGTCACCGCCAGTGTAGTTATAGTCCCATCGAGATGAATGGAAGGAATGGCCTTTGAATGACTCGATCCCCGGGAGGCCTGGTAGCTTGGGTCGATGCAGAGGTCCAGCGGCTGGGATGACATACTTTGACCGGATAGTATCGCCCCAGTTGGTCTTTGCCGTCCACAAGGCAGTCTTCTCATCCCACTCGAGACTGTGCGTCTCTGTTTGGAACAGCGCCTTGTCGTACAAGCCCCAGCGACGGCCGATCATCTCAGCGTGCTTCAGGAGTTCGTTGGCCCGAGCGTACTTTTCGGTTGGCATGTAGTTGAGCTCTTCGAGGAGAGGCATGTAGATGTACGATTCAATGTCACATTGTGCGCCAGGATACCGGTTCCAATACCTATCGACCGTGTATGTGTTATCAGAGAGCAGTCCATCTTTTCTGTGGACTGTTTCGCAGCAGTCCTGGGGGGTTCAGGCTTACCAGGTACCTCCAAAGTCCCCTGCTTTCTCAATGATCCGCAAGTTGGTGACACCCGCCTCAATCAAGCGGACGGCGACGAGCTGAGCGCCGTATCCGCCACCGATGATGATGACATCGACTTTCTCGTCAACTGGATCTCGTTTGAAGCCGGGCTCGACCCATGGGTCCTTGAGGTAGTGCGCAAACGGCCCACCGTGCTCGACAAGCCGATATTGGTCGATGCCACCCTTCGCTTGGCCATACTGGAGCCGTTTGTCACGCTCCTCCATGTACTTGCGCTTTAGCGCCTCGGGGTCGAAGGGCAGGTCATTTGGTTTGGAGGCCAATGAAATGTCGGATTCGAGTGTCGTCTTTGGGGGCTTGGGACCCAGAAGATCAGACGGGACAAGGATCTTAACTTCAGCCATTTTGGGGGTTGGTTCTCGTTGACGAATGTCTGGTCTTGCAGAACACAGCTCAATACTTTCTCGACGTGTGGATTACTGATTCGCCCGTCACCGTGAACAGTGGCAGGGGGTGTTTCTCGTCAATCTATCTACAAGTCGCCCGGGATAGACTTCTTTGACATGATAGAGACGCATACAGAAGGGGTTGGTTTGTCGGGCCGAAATATATATGATTTGGTTGTCAACGACTCGGGCCCGAATCGTATTACCGTGTTCGAGCCGGAGAGGCTGTACCTAACAACAGGCACCCAATACGAGATGACTGTGTAAGTTCACTGACTTGAACCGCGGAGCAATGGCGGCTATCGAAAAATCCCCCGCATTTGACTTTTGAGTTGCAGAGCTCATTGAGCTACCGAGGTCTGCATGAGTATCAAAGGGGAAATGGACTGCGAAACACACACGTCGCGAATGATGTGATGTTGTTCAAGATTGGCCTTTTGACCCGAACGTGGATGCTGTTGTGCCCTTCGACTGATTTCCCAAAACGTCCTTCCTCGGTAGTCAGGATGCTACGAGTCAGCGCTGCAACAGCTCAGGGGCTCCTTGCTCCTGCGGGGTCGCGAGGTTGCTGATGCTGGTTATGTCGTTCTTTCGGACTCGAATCAAGTCCCAGTTGTAGTATAAGAAGAGCGAACAAGTCGGGTAGTCGGGTGGTAACAGCAGTAAGAAGGTAGTCCAGGCATTTTTGTTTGACCCACCGACCCTCTAGACACAAGCAACATAACATGGCCGCAAACGGCGATGCGGCGAGATCTTCGGCACCAGTGGCCTACATCACTGGGGGAGCCAGCGGGATGGGGTTAGCAGTCGCCCAAGAGATGGCTGCCAAAGGCTGGAACCTGACCATTGTCGATCTCAACGAAAAGTCCATCTCAGCCGTGGAAGCTAGTTTTGACCCGAACAGGACCACGTTCATCAAGGCCGATGTAACAGACTATGAAGCGCAGGCCAAAGCCTTTGCTCAAACTTGGGACAAATGGCACAGACTGGATCTCGTTTTTGCAAATGCGGGCATCGGTGATAGAATCGACTTCTTAGCCCCTGCGACCAAGTTTCTGCCCAACGTGCCAGGCGTCCCTGCGAAACCCGACGAGCTGGTGATCGATATTTGCCTCAATGCCATGGTCTACAGTGCCTATTTGGCTCTGCACTTCTTCCGGCAGAATCCATCTAAAGCGGGCAAGATAGTCTTCACGTCCTCCATGTGTGGGTGAGTTTTGATTCCTTAGCCCGCCGCGTGCACTGGCATTCGGTATTCCTCGTCTTGGATCAATTCAGGCACTTACCAGTTCTATGCAGACTGTATCCAGGAGATAGCATACCTCTGTACACTGCCGCCAAGCATGGCATTGTAGGGTTGACTCGCGCACTGGCCAAACGCCTGAGAATTGTTGGCGAGCCCATCACGGTGAATTGCATCTGTCCGGGCCTGGTTGATACGGGGCTGACGGGGGTCCTGATGTCTGTTTGCCCGCCTGAATACGTGACACCAAAGTCAACCATTGTGCGGGCAGTCATGGGATTTGCAGAAGACGACTCTCTGACCGGACAAGCAGCAGAATGTAGTGTGGATAAGATACATTACAGGAAGCAGCCTGAATATGGAGACGAGGGGGCAGAGTACATTATGACGAACAAACTGGAGGCTGCGCTCAAGGCAAGAGGCGTGTGACCAGGGAGACTGAGTTGCTGTGAACAGAAGGGACAGGCAGAGAGCATCATGATGGTTGATGGATGTTGGTGGATGTTGATGTTCTGATAAAGGTGAAGAAGCGCCGTCCACCGCCTAAAGCCTTGCCATTCCCGTTTAGGCATTGACGTCATTTCTGAGCAACGCGTTCACGCGAGAGCGCGACGCGTGTTTCTCTATCAAAGTGGTTCCTTCATCTTGCCCATTGAGTCCATCAACTCATTCTTCAACGATGACATATCCTGCATATCAAAGGGTGGGATGAATATGCCCGTTATTTGATGATTCCAGATCGTGCAGGGTCTCCAATGGACCCGTGGTTTCTCGACCGAGACCTGCCTGAACCACCCCCAGATACATGTGACCGGCTCACACTCGGTTTCCCACTTGACCGTTGACTTTGTAGGGTCCAGCGTCAAACCGTACGAGGAACACAACTTCAGGTGGCCACAACAATCCTGTTAAAACTGCCAACCTTGAGACACGACGAGGACAAACTTTCCCCACACATGGGTTCCCGCATTCCCGCCCCGCCTGGCGCGGTGGGACATATTGTTTGTAGCGTCTGACCATATAAAAGGCATTACACGGCGAATGCTTCGACGATGGGAGAGGAGGGGGAAGAAGTCGAGTCTACAGAAACCCATCATCATCTTAAACACCCCCAGGTTTTCAGATGGACTTCCTCCCCACGATCTATTATGTGGGCTCCGCCATCTTTATCGCATATTGTATTGATTGCATTCGTCTAGCATTTCGACCGGGGTTCCGCAAGCTGCCAGGTCCCCTGTCTGCTCGATTCTCCCGTCTTTACCGTCTGTCTCTCGTTGCCGGAGGGAAGGCTCCCGAAGAGTATAGGAAGGTCCATGAAGACTACGGTCCAATTGTGCGCGTGGGTCCGAATCATGTCTCGGTCGCAGACCCGTCCGAGATTCCTGTGATCTATGGGATTGGGAGCAAGTTTTTCAAGGTACTTTGTCTGTCTAGCCAGAGTCGAACATGGTGTTGCGGCTTACATTCGAGGTAGACCGAGTTCTACAACACAATGAGTCCTTGGTACCAGGGTAAAGTCATGCCTAGCGTCTTCACCGAGCGCGACCCCATGGCGCACCGGAACTTGAAGAGACCTGTTGCCCAATTGTTCGGAATGACCAACATGCGAAACTATGAGCCGTACGCGGATGAGTGCACCAGCATCTTCATCAGCGCCATGCGCGATCTCGAGGGTCAGCCGATCGACCTGTCAGTTTGGGTTCAGTGGTACGCCTTCGATGTCATTGCCAGCATGACTTTTCAGCGACGGTTCGGGTTTTTAGAGGAACGCCGCGACATCAACAACATGATTGGAGACCTGTGAGTTTTCCGCTCGCTCTACGGAAGTCTGGGTTTACTCGGAATCCGATCCAGTGTTGTCTGTGCTAGATGGGACTAACAAGTAATACTCAAGTGATGGAGTTCTCCAATACGTCAAGATCATCGGTCAGTATCCCGAACTACATCCCTGGTTGCTTGGAAACAGAAACGTCGTGCGAGCCTTGGAGTGGCTATTCCCACAAATTCCCGATCCTTTGTACAGGTTCCTGAAGGTAGGGTGGCTCCTGTCAACGAAGCCTGAGTCTTATAAAGCTAATGAGTGTTGACGGCAGATCACTGAAGAGGAGATTGCGGGATACGACAACCAGGGAGAGAAAGCAGGTCGGACAGATTTTCTCGCCCAGCTCAGGGAGAAGGAGGCCAAAGATGGGAAAATCCCATTCAGGGACATGATGAACCATCTGTCCAACAACATTGTTGAGTCATTCGGCGACTGCGACGTGGATGTATCGCTGACTTTGAGGACAGATTGCCGGCTCCGACACCACGGCGGTATCATTGCGCGCATGTTTTTACTACCTTGTCAAGACGCCTCGAGTGTACGAGAAACTCGTGGCAGAAATTGACGCGGCCGAGAAAAATGGACAGCTGTCAACTTACATATCGTACGAGGAATGTCTGAAGCTTCCGTATCTGTACGTCAGCATCACTTGTTAGGGAGGTTTTGTTGCTGACGCTCAAGTTCTCCTCCAGACAAGCCGTGATGAAAGAGGCCATGCGGTTGCATCCGGGCGTCGCCTTTCCTTTGGAGCGGTACGTGCCAGCCGAGGGCGCCACGATCTGCGGCGTCTATCTCCCTGGGGGTACCAACGTCAGCATCACGGCGCCCGTCATCCAGATGGACAAGACCGTCTTTGGGGAAGACGCAGACGAGTTCCGGCCCGAGCGCTGGCTCGACGCGTCGCCCGAGCACTTGAAGCTGATGGATCGCAGCTTTCTCGCGGTATTTATCTTTGTCTTTGACTGCCTCTTCCCCTTCCCCCTTTGCCTCTCCAACCTGGTTCTTCCTGTTTCCCCCAGGACTTATAAGTATGAGTACGAGTACTGACGTCTCTATCTCTTACGCTCAGTTCGGCGCCGGAGCACGCACATGCATCGGCAAGAACATCTCCATCCTCGAGATGGGCAAGTTCATCCCACAGATCCTGCGCCACTTTGACATGGAGTGGGCGTCGAGCGAGCCGACATGGAAGACCGAGGCGGCCTGGTTCTGGAAGCAGTCGGGCGTCATTGTGCGATTCAAGTGGCGAGGCAAGTTTTGAGAGATGTACAGACAAGGGAACCCTGAGGCTTTGGCCTAAAACATTTCAAGAGGAAAATTGGGTAGGGGTAAGGATAGGGGGTAAAGGGGAAAGAAAAGCAAAAAAAGGGGGTGACTTTGACGTACATACATGCTACACTACTACATACAGCTGTACTCTGTACTATGTTCTCCGTACCACCTCAGCGCCAGCGCCTCACTGCCTCACTGCCTCATCAGCTCATCACTTCACGGACTGGAGAAATACGAGTCCCTGAGGGAGTCGGGGCCGCATGGACACATGGACACATGGACACACGGTTACGGAGGTATCTTGAAAAGAGCCAGCATATATGCTCACTTGCTCACTTGCTTGCTTGCTCGCTTGCTCGCAATGCTTACTTGTATCGAGCCCTCCCATCTCCGTCCCCATCTCCCAAGACTTCCAGAAAGGGAGAGAGAGTGTGTGTGTGTCTCGTCTCCTGGGCGAAATATCCGTGTTCATCTTCATCTCCACCCTCCATACCGAGTATTCATTCTCCCCCAGGGCATTCTCTCGCCTGCGACTGACTTACTGCCTCCCTACCTACCTACCTACCTAAACCAGACCAGACCAGACCAACTATGAAACCTAAATATGCCAAGCAAATACTTGACTCGGTACCTCAATACCTCGTTAACTCAATGACTGATTGATAGACTGGCTATCTCTCTCGGGTCAAACTGGTTGACTGTCTGACTGTCTGACTATCTGACTCTGCATACCTGACTTTGACTATCTGACTATCTGACCATTGGCTGTCTGTCTGTGTTACACAAAAGCAAAAAACCTCCCTCTGAGATCTCACTATTACAAACAAAGGAAAAAGCTAACGATAGCTACCGAGTACTCGTACATGGCCTCAATGGGTCTCTCTCTCCCCCTCCCTCCACACTCGCGCTCGTGTGTGCGTGAATGTATTTGTGTTTGTGCAAAAAGAAAATAACCTCCCCCAATATACCTAGGTATCGTCCAGTAAATCCGAGAGTTCTGCCCTCATCTCATCACATCATTCTTTCCCTATCCGCTTCCGCTTCAGTTTCCGCTTTCAACTTTCGCTTCACGGACTCTCTCCTCCCGATCCACCCAGGAGGATCGTCACAGCCTCGTCCCATCCCCGTCCATTCACAATATCCATGACCGTCCTCCCCGACTCGTCTCTCGCTTCGAGGTCGACACCCCCTCCCCTCTCCACAAGGAGCTTCAGGATCTTGGCGTCGCCGTTCTCGACAGCCTGCAGCACCGCGTTCCAGCCCCGGTACATGAGATTGATGTCGGCGCCTCGCGCGAGCAACATCTCTAGAATCTCGGTGTCGCCGTTGCGGAAGCGCCGAATGGCCTTGATGATGGGGAGGTGCTCGCCGGGGGCGTTGACGTCGGCGCCCGCCTCGTCGAGCAGGAAGCGGACAATCTCCTTGCGGTCCTCTCGGATGGCCGTGGTCAGAGGCGAGAAGACACCGCCGTTCTTGTCTTCGACGTTGACCCCGGCTTTCAGCAACAACTTGATGCTCTCGAGCTGGTTGGCGACCACGGCCATCTCCAGCACCCCTTTGACTGCTCTGGGGTTGGACACCGAGGGCAGAAGCTTGCGCAGGATCTCGGGTCTCTTCACCGCCATGCAGATGGGCCAGTCCTGACCTCTGATCCCTGGGTCGGCGCCGTTGGCGAGGAGAATGTCGACAAAGTCCAGTCTCTCGTCGCGAATTGCCGTGGTCAGAGGCGTATACCCTTCAGCGCTCCGGTCATTGGGGCTGACGTGCTGGTCGAGCAAGTACATGAGCGCGTCCTTGTTGTTATGGGCCACTGCTTTCTCAATGATTCCTTTGGGCTTGTGCAGGTTCGCGCCCGCCGCGACAAGCTGCGGAAGCAGATGCGTGCGGTCGTGAGTCACGCACTTGAACGTCGGGTATTCCGATGCCGTCAGGTTGGGATCAGCTCCGTTGGCCAGGAGCAGTGACACCAGCTCACCTCGATTGTCACGAATGGCAGAACAGAGCGGCGTGTACACACCATCCTTTTTGGCGTTGGGGTCGACCCCAGCTTTGAGCAATGTCGTGACCGACTCCAGGTTGTTGATGCTGGTGGCCAGTTCCAGAAGCCCGGGACACTTTTTGTAGTCAGCTCCTCTGGAGAGCAGCAGCTGGAGCGCCTTTGGCTGGGAGATCGAAGGCCACAACAAGTGCTTGGGCCCAGGCAAGTTGGGATCAGCCGAGTGATCGAGGAGGAAGATCATTATGTCGATCCGGCGCGCCTGGATCGCTGTGAAGAGGGGCGTCTCTCCCTCGCCATTTTTCCCGTTCACATCACTGCCGTAGTCGACCAGAAGCTCGGCCAACTTCTTGGGGTTGGTTTTGTTGATGGCCTTGTTGAGAAGCGTATTGCCATCGGCAGTGTTGAGGTTGGTGTCTCCACCGTAGGTGAGGTACAGCTGTACAAAGTCCAGCTTGTTCTCCATGACGGCCAGAGCGAGGGGGCATTCTCCCTCTGGGCCGGCGGGAAGATTGGGGTCGGCTCCATATTTCAGAAGCATTTTTGCGGCTTCAAGAAACGACAGCTCGGTGGCGGACAAGAGAGGACTGAATTTGAGCCTGTCCAGGCCATTGGGATCGGCTCCAAAGAGGAGTAAGAGCCGGATTGTCTCGACATCCTGGTGAAGAACGGCCTCTCGGAGAAGGTTGACCCCGTCCTCGCCGTCAGGAGGGACACCGCAGTCGAGCAATTGCTCAATCATCTTGTGCTTCTTCTGTTGAACAGCATTCAACAACGACGATTTGAGGGCGGCAGAATTGGCTCCCGAGGTTTGCTTGGGTGTCCATCTCGGGACAGTCGCAGGGTCGGCTTTCACGCGCGCAATAGGCGACGAGTGCTTGTCCAGACCGATCTCGTGAATCATATCCTCGATCTGGGCGAATGAATCGGCTGTTTTGATCGAGACATGGTCCTCGCCGACGACCTCGGTTCGAGAACTCTCACTGCTCATCATTTGCATCTCTCTTTCTCTGTTGGCGGAATTGACCGTGAGCTTGCTGGACCTGGTGCTGGGGGCTGGGCGGCTGAAACTTTGCCTCTGGGGAATGGCAGTCAGGGTATCCGGATCCTCGCCGATACGTGAGAGAAAGTTGGAGTCTGATGTGCGCTCGGTCAACGGAATAGACGGGAGTGGTGGCAGAAGATCTGGTGCTTCTGAAAGAGGAGGAGGCGCAAGAGCAGGAGGCCTGACAGAAGTCGACGGGGTGTGCCTGATGCTGGGCCCCATGCGCTCGAGGACGGCAGCCAGACCCGTGTAACCAATCCCAACAGAGGCATCAGCCTTTGCGTCGCCGAGATACCATCTGAAGACCATGGCGCTCATGCCCAGGGCATCGCGGCTCTTCGCCAGCGAGTCCCGCATCTTGTGGATGTCAGTGTCGGCGAACATCATGTGCCAACCTTTCCTGAGCTTGCCCAAGCCGCCCTTCTTCTCATACTCGAGGAACTTGATCAGCATCTGGTTCAAGACGATGAAGTCGTCATTGGCCTGGCGAAACTTTTTGTCGAGTTCCTGTTGCATATCACTGGGGAATGAACCGTGCGAGCGCGAAGCCTCGGACAGACCTGCTTCGATGGAGCACAGGACGCGACAGATGTCGAGGAAGTTTGTGGCCAGCTCGCGGAAACCATGGGGAGGCTCCTTGACACTGCTGAGATACTCCAGCATGCGCACCGACACGCTGTTCCCCAACGTGGTCGCTCGGTTACAGAGGTCCAGAAGAGACTCCTTCCCCTTTTTCGGCGCCATGGCGAGAGGCTGAGAGTGTCACGCGCACAGTGAGTCCTTTTGATCTCAGACGGGAAGAGAGGGGGCAAGGGGAGAAACAGGTAAGTACCTGTCTGTTATAAACAAAACATTCAATGGATGGAGAAAGAAATCGAGATGTCTTTCGGGTCAATAGGTATTCTGAAGGGGGGTAGGGAAGAAAGGCGGACACAGGATGAGGTTCGCACACGCACGTCTTTATTTCCCATCATTTCCCATTTCCCCCCTCCTCCTCCTCCTCCTCCTCCTCTCTCCTCGTATTCGAAAGCTGAAGAGGGACCAGAAGATTCGACACACGGGAAAGGGAAACACAGTCTCTCCTCAAAATCCACTTTCTCAGACGAACTACTGTTGACGGTTCGCGGCGGTGACGGCGGCCCTTTTGCCCCCTACCTACCTAGGTAGACCCTAGGTCCCGGGCCCTGGTTCCTGGTACCGCCATAATGATAATAATAATGGCATGCAGCAGGCAAGCCAATCCCATTGTTGGAAACGGTCAAAACGAGCCTACCTAGGTACCTACTTCTTGGTTGCTTGGTGCCTTGGGAACTGACTGGTGGTACGTAGCACCAAAGCAAAAGGCAATAGCACGAGCACAAAGCACGAAGCCACCAACAACCAAAAAAAGGTTCCTGTCCCACTAATACTAGGGCCACCAGGGCTTTCTAAACAGGACCGACTGGTAGATCCTTGAACTTTAGTTGGTCACACCTGCCCCGAGACGATATCTGAGGCAACTACTCGGTACTTGGACGAGTTGCCCAGGGACCAAACTAACTCTGAGTAGCTACCCAGCCAGCCCACAAAATCCTCCCTCCTCCAGCCAGGGTTACATCTATTCCCTTTTTGGGCCAGTGGGGAACAAGCGGAGGGACAATGGACGAGGGGTGAGGGACGAGAGACGAACCAGACCGGCCAGGAACCAGGGTGCCGGGGTTCAGAGATGCGACGGAGTAGGGATGAGGTCTAGGTACGAGTAGGTAGTTCAATCGTGATGAAGAATGGATGATCTACCTACCCATGTAATTCGGCAACCTCAGGATCTCTTCATCTCAATATGTACCTACGAGTACGCAGGACCATGTACGTACATGTACGTGCACAGTGACATTGTACGTACTGCATCTGTCATATGCCATATGCCATATGCCACATGTCAGTGCCATGTGCCAGCGGAACACCACACAGACTTTATTCCGAGCACTATCTTTCTCCCCCCCAAGAAACTCCAGACATCCAAAAAAAACGTGGTTGGCAGTTTTTGACAATTGACAGTTGGGCACATTTTTCTGGTTGTGGGTCCTTTGGTCCTGACGAACTCCTGGGGGACTCGGGAAGGGAGAGAGGATCCCTGTTGATTATTGAAGATCCTGCAGGCATGGCCGCATGCAAGCCACACGGACACGAGCATAAATTAGATTTTTTTTTTCTTCCCCCAAGTGATACTAGGTTCCAGAGGTACCTCGTGCAAATGAGTACAATGATCAAAGCACACACGGATGGGTAGGGCAGGTGAATTCATGCTCGCCATTATTGCCACTGCCAATCCCCGTATTTTACGTACAAATTCGCTCGGAAGCCAGAGACGCCAAAAAAGCCATCGGCGCTCAAAACTACTGCTAAGAAAGGTACGAGGTTCTTTACTTCTCGTGAAGCCGCTCGATTTCGATTGCGATCCCGATTGCGATTGCGACTCCAGGTTTCAAGGGGGAGCCGACGCATAGCTCAAGCGAGGCAAAGGCGCCACGCTCGCTCCCAGCTCCTATCTACTAAGCTCGAGAACGCCTCGAGACCAGTGTCTGGTGCCTGGTGTGCTTGTCCAGCTGTGCATAAACCTTCGAAATTGAGAGGGTCTTATTAGTTATTATTGAGACGTGCAGCTGGATACGATAACAATGGCTTAGTTGTGTTGATAATAAAAAGTAATAATGACTGATATGCCTCCTTTGAGTGAGTTTTTTCAATCTCTTCTCTTTAATCAGGCAAGTTTCCGCGACATGGATCTGTGTGTGTACGTACATAGATACGAGGTGCGCAGGACACAGGAGTCAAGACTCGGGTCGGGTATACGTACCTACGAGTCCTTGTCGTCATGAATCCATACCTATGGAGTAGGTAGTGCTCCGTGTGTTCCGCGTGGTTTGTTCATCATCACTACTACTAGGTAACGCGGCGTGCGCGGTTCCAAGAGGCACCGGCATAAAATATGGTCAAGTACGAATACAAGGTACTTGGTAACCTCGCAGGATGAGCTGGATGGTAGAACATTCCTCCCACCCAATTCGGCACAGAAGACGTATCCACCTCTTCCTCGCATTGAATGTCACAGACAAAAGACGAGCTCGTGTCCAAGCAACCAGTCCTGTGTCTCTGCACGAGACCTCAAAACTACTCATATGGAACCATTTTATGCTGGGTTATCCTGGCGTGCCTGGCGCGTCTGGAGAGGAACAAGTCTGGAACAGACGGCGATCCACCGTTGTCAAGCCGTCGAGACGGTCAAGCTGTGCCTGAACTAACAAAAGTCAAACCCAATCAACCATTCTGGATACAGCATAGATCGCGTGGACGTGAAGAAAGAGAACTCAAAACACCTCCTAAAATCAGGCCCCACCAACTGATCCGGGGGAAAGAAATGGAAAGGAATATTCCCATGTCTTGAGGTCTTGGGGGGTCTTGGTCTCGTTTGGCCAGGATTGTCAGTGGCTCAATTGCCAGGATTTGTTCAAATCTTGCAACAAGATCAGTGGCGTTTTCTTTGGCCCGATCCTTGCGAGTCGTGATGACCTTGACCGTGCGGACTTAGTTACTCCAGAGTCCAGACACGGAGGCGAGGCGGACGGGATGGTTTGGGGGGTTTCGATGATAAGGCATTGAAAGCTGGCCATCGTGGCCATCCTTGCCAGACTTGTGTAGAAGCATCTTCTTGTCTTTACTTCTCAAGGCTAAAGGCCCAAGGTTCAGGGGTCTGCCACATACTTGTACTACTAGGTAGGCATGAAGTGTCTCTGAGGACGGACTCACTCGCTTGTTCGAAGGGCAGGGACGTACCTCGTACTTGCCTATAAAATTGATTCTCGTCCCTTCCCTTTCCCTTTCCCACTCCCAAAAAGCATGGCAAAATGATTACGAGTACAAAAACCTTGATCTCGATGCCTTTTCTAGCCCAACGGGTGGATTCTGACTCGTATCTCGATTTTTGTCTTTGAACAAGACGGAACAACCATCTCGTCCCTGACTCCACTGCTCCTTCGGTCCTCCCTAGGTCCTGGCACTGGTACTGGCACTTGCACTCGTCCGTCCCGGCGGTGCCGTAGCAATAGCATGGCATGGCACCTCTCAAGTAGGTACCTAAAACCTCATGGCCTCGGCGACGGACACTGCGTACAAGAACAGACGCTACTCTACGCAGCGTAGCTCCCCCCTCCCTCCCGCTTCGACAGTCCGTTCGCCTTGCGTGTTGGACTTTTTTTGGTTTGGGTTGATTTGGGCAGAGGGGGCGCGGTTTTTTCACTTCGCCCTTGTTTTGAAGACAAAAGCGTGCTTGACCAAGTGCCAAAGTGCTTTGTTTTGTATACGAGAAGAGGGTCGCTAGACTGGCACGGGCACGGCTAGTAGGTCTTTCCCACTCATTCCTCCCCAGCTCCTCGAAGACATCCAGCTGAAACAGTTTTATCTACTTGGAGATGATGACCATGTTCATAAGTTGCATAGGTAGTGAAAGAATTGCATCCCTTCCCTCTACCCTTTTTGCTACGTAGACGAGTGGCAAACAAGCAGAAAAAAAGGGGAATCACAGGAATCACATCTCCGCCGGGGGCCCTGTCTGTGATCGACAATCGACAAAAACGTGTGCCACACACTCAAACACGCACCCAAGGCACAAACCTTGGTCTCCTCGGCGAGTCGGTACAATAATAGGTTCCCCTCTTCATCCACATATACTTTACAGGGATACCCTTATACTTCAGGCCGTGTACGAGTTCTATATGTTGTATGTACTCGATACTCCGTACCTAGGTATGCACTCACAAATTCATGCTCTGACCCCTAACTACAAACACCCCTACATAGGTACATACCTAGGAGACCTAGCCCCTTCTACTTGTACCTACTCTAAGCGCGGGTCACCAGTGGGGAGGGGACTTCGTATTCCGCAGGCTGCTTACCCTCTGCGCGGCCCGGATGCTGCATGAAGAAGGAACAAAAAGCATGGCGCCTCATGGCACTTGCATGGTGGCAGCGTGGGTTAGAGCTCTGAATCTTATTAGTAGGTCCCTAGGGAGCCAGCTGCAGCACCTAGTCTGCTAGTAGTAGTTGGTCGTGGTAGTTGGGCGGATGGTGGTGGTTCTGGTGGCTTGGTTAGCCCAAGTACAAGTACCTGCCTCGTACTTGGGCATCCTGGCATACTGGGGCGATAGGCAGGTACTCCGAGGGGTCTCCAACTCCAACTCCACCGCTCAGCTCAACAGCCACGACTAGGAATTCCTGTGCCGAGTAGGCACCACAGCCCCTATGTAAGTACTCCGTAAGTAAGCATGGTTCTCTCTGCAAGCGACCCCAACCCCAGACTTTGTCAATTTCTCTACTCAGAGTCGTCCGAGGGGGGTACACGCCCCGATTCCCGAGCACGTACAAGTACGAGGCACAAGTACCGACTACTAGGTACTCTTAGGGAAGGGACTTGGTTGAAGAAGGGCTGGCGCGGGCGCTGCGGGTGGTCACCGCCCGGATCGGCGATTTGAGGCTTTTGCCATTAAGATTTGATCCATGATTTTCCCCATCTCGCTCGGCTCTCACATATTGTACCCAGGCAGAGGGAGGGGTTCACAGGCTCTGCTCTGAGGTGTTGAGTTCGTGTGGAAAGCAAATCTCCAGAGTCATGATGTAAACGATCGAGAGACATGACGTTCAAATATGAAGTGCTGCGAATGCTGGGTAGGCTTGATGACGGTGGTGACGCAGGGATTGGTGATTGGGTTTGTGGCCGAAAAGAAAAAGGTAAGAAGAGAAAAAAATAAGCAGAAAAGGAGAGAGAAGATGAGGTGATGTCAATACAGAGAGACAGACAGACAGAAACAGAGGGACAGACAGAAAGACAAAGAGAAAGAAAGAAATCTCAATTTTGTTTATGTATGGTTGTGTTCAAGGGGAGACAGACCATCGACCATCAGATCATTGTGAAACCTGTTGAAAATTGACATCGACAACAACCACCACCACCTTCATCATCGCTATGGCACCTCGAAGCCGCGCCCTCCAAACCCTCAAGCCTCTCTTCAATCCCTTCCCCTCAAAATCCCTCCAGACTTCTCGGATTGCACCAAGACACTCCCAAAGAACCTATGCGTCCACGTCCACCCGCCCCAACGTCCCCGGCACATACAACAGCAGAGTACCACTGTAAGATCCGCCCCCTCTACACATATACACAAATACAGACAGAAGGGTCTATTATACAAACGTTCTATGCGTGAGATTTAACGCAAACGCAGAATCGCAATCGGCAGCGTTCTGGCCTTCGTGCCCTTCTACTACCTCTTCCACAGCACCAAGCCGGCCGCGTCGGGAAACGCCGCCATCACCGAGGCGCGGAGGCAGGGTGATCCGTCGATAGAGTATCGCGACCCGAGGGATAGTCCGGTCAAGACGCTGGAGCAGCAGAAGAAAAAGGTGAAGGCTCAGGGAGGGGGGAAGGGGGAGGGGCAGGGGCAGGGTAAGTGAGGCGACAATGACGATATTGTATGGGCGATACCGTACTCGGTACAGGGTGAGAGGGTCTGCATGACACACAAACAGGGCAGGTGGAGAGAAAAGGTTTCGAAGAAAAAACAAAGGGGGGGAGTTTAGATTGTGAACTCGGTATCTATTGGTACAATGCATGCTCCTTGTAACAGGACGTCGAAGCTGCTAAATTAGACATGGTCTTCCCGTTTGTATACATGGCATGGAACTTTATTGTCGAAAAGGCCATCTTCCCTTCTCTTTGGGATCGATAACGATAACCGCTTCCACTTCTCCTGCATGAATCAACTCGTCAGCTGGCAGTGGATAGATCGTGGCTCCCATCGGGGGATGCGCAGTCGCAAAATCCAGTAGGGGAACAAATTCCACGACTCTGATGTAAGGCTTCATGGAATCATGGAGGTCGATCCCAGTGGACCGCGACGGTGGCGGACCACCTTGTTGGGGATGTGTATGACCTCCGCAGAAAACCTCTCCATCAAGTTCTGTGGATGTTGTCGAGCGACATTGGCTTGACTTTAAGACTTGGGCCAGCCTTCACCATGGCGTGGCCACAATCGGTCAATCACCAGCTCAAGCACCCTGGGACCAATGCGGAATCTGCGCTTCGATGCGAGATCTTCGAGACGCTCCATGCAGAGCAATATCCGACCAGCGGCGAAAGACTCGTCGAGATAGACAAGCTGGTCTGTCGCGCCAAAGTTACGGGGAGACGATGCGATGTGAGTGCAACGTTCCCACCGCCCTCTCCATAGAACGGGAGAAGCCTCTGAAAGCGTCGTGTCGTGATATCTGGGAAGTTTCCCCCGGGCCGAAATCGGCACCATGGACCGATCTGTCTGGACCCCTCACGACTGACCGCACCATAGTCAGTAAGATGCTGTGAAATTCAGACCCCATCGCTGGCTCGAAGCCGACCACCAGCGTTGGAGCTTCGGTGGGAGTGAACGCATGTCGGTGCTGCCATTCCTTCGATATCGTGGCCATTTCCGACAATGCTCGGCCTGGCCTGGCCAGCCAGCGTCTGTCGTGGGTAAATCAACTTACTCCTTCAACTTGCTTGGTTCATCATGTCTTTGAACATGGCCGACCCTCACCCTCCGCGATTGTTGGCAGATGCGAGAGCAGTGCAGGCACAAACTTGCACCCATCAGGTTCGACGACGTTGCAATCCAAAAACCCGTCCAGGATCGAGCGAACATCTTCCCACGACGACAAGTGCATCCGCGCAGCCAGGAGGGAGAACTGGTCGCTGAACCAGGTCTCATTGTCGCCACCCCTCCTAAGGCCCAGGTGGTCATGTTCAGCCTGCGCACCGACGTACAGCGCCCACAGCCGCGCGTTGGCGTATTTCATCGACCCCGTAAAGTCCATGACCGCCTGCTCCTTTTCGAGAAGCTGCCGCGTCAGTCTCCGCAGGGGCGTCTTGGTCTGGTACATTTCTTTTCCGAGGAGGGTCTCGTCCCCGGCGATCAGGCGCGCCCAGTAGACCGCGGTCAGGGCGAGATAGGCATTCTTCTTGTGACGGTGGGATTGCGCGTCCTTGCCTCCATTCGACTCGAGAAGGTCCAGCGCGTACTTCAACAGCCGCGTGTGCTTGACCAAGTGGTTCGAACACCACCACGTAAACACCGCGGGAGACAGTCCGTCGCCTCTCTCAGAACCGTGTCTCCAGACCGCAAGGCTTTCGCGCTCCTGGACGAACATGTCCATGAGAAAGTCGTCTTCAACCGAGGGATCGAGAACCGTAGAGAACGACAGTGGCAAGGCCGCCAATTCCTTCCTGCCTTCTGCCCACGGGATCTTGAACACCTCCGGAATCCAGTCGTCATAGTCGAGAACAGGCTTGCGTAGGAACATGCAGCACGCGCAGGCTTCATTGTACATGAAGGATCGCAGGGACGTGATGTCGACGTGCCCGTGTTGGCTCTCGTACTTCAACGCCCGAGACAGCATTGTGGCATGGAGCCACGCCCCGTCCGCGTTTCCGGCTTGCGCCTCGGCCATATACAGCGTTATGACATGCCAGTAGTTCGACTGCGAGACGAGTCCCGAGCCCCGCTGTATCTTCCGGAGGAGCATGGAGGTGCTCTGGGAACGGAAACGGAGGCTCTGAACGGCAAGCTCGGGGTTGTCGGTGACGTTGGATGCGACCTGTGCCCATCGCGCGAGAAATCCCAGGGCGCCTCCCTTCTCATTCAGCGACCGGACGACATCTCTCCAGTCGTCCATGGCGGCGTCGAGCGTTCTCCATCCGTCGGGACCGGTGTGATATTGGGTTGGTATGACAATGTCCCGATAGAATCTCAAGATGTCGTTGACTCGTGGGGATATTGGCACGGGATAAGCGTTGAATGGATCGGAATTCCCTGAAAACAGCTTGACATCACACGCGATAAACCTTGGACTTGTATCCGAGCTTATCAGAGGGTCCGAACTGTATGAAAGGCACGACGAGGCTGGAGAAGTGCCCTGTAGAGCAAACATCATCAGTATGTCAACCAGTCCTGGCCGCGGAACGTGTCCTCACCGACCACTCTGAGCGGTCTTCCTCACTCTCAGAAGATTGTTCCCGAGAGCCTGGTGTTGTCGGCAGTATTACGCTCTTTCTAAGCTTTAGGGCGGAATCGCGTCTCTGCCATGGTCGGTATCGTTGTTGGATGTGGCTGAAGACGCGCTGACGGTGGGGCTGCGCTTTCATGTTCCGCGCATCATGGTTGACCCAGAGCAGATCACTTGGGAAGCCAGACTTGGGTGTTGATGCCTCGGCCATGGTGGGGATCTCATTGTATAGACTCGCAGTCATTCGAAAAAAGCTTCACCTCGGATAGTGTGAACTGTGGAGTTGGGACGAGGATGGCGGGGCCCTGTACCAAGTATCTGCTGTATTCTTCTTCTAGCTGAAAACCTGGCGAGAGATGATGTTTGTCCCAAGATTTATTTGGTCGAGATGTTTTAGGGGGAGCTTTCCCGATGCGTACATCGCCTGACTCGCCTGCTGACTCCTCAGGATTGGCCTTATCGCCGCGTTGTTCGCTTGGGAGCAGGGGCCGAAAGTCTGAGGAGCATTGCCCATGCGCCTGTAAACCCCTGGAACATGGCTGAATGTGGTTGGGGATTACACCATGAGACCACCTTTGCGTGGATTTCCATGGCTTCGAGACGCTGCATCTGGCGCTTTTGGAGCATGGCTGGGCTCGGCACTTCGTATATGCTGAGTAACTGATGATAACTACCAGGTATTGGATTGTCGCAATTGGGGCGGCACAGCTTTCTGGAACAACCCTGGAACATATCTCCAGACAGGAGCCGATTCCTCGAAGCCATATTGTTGCTTTAAAACAAGGCATGGCGTTGGGGGTGTCCAGTCATCTCTCGCTTCCCTGTTCGTTTTCGTTAGACAGCGGAGCCTTGCTCGAATGCTGAGTAGATGGCTGATTGTTCGAGACAAGTGTGATGGAGTTTCTTCTGACAGCTGCCACAACTTCACTTGAGACTTGATGCTCATACACGCTCTGTCCACGCACAGCTAAAGGATTCTGCGTCGAGGCTGATGTGTGGACAAGTGGGGATGGCTTTACCCATCGGGCTATAGGCATGAGTTCGGATCGTGCCTGAAGTTGAAAATGCGGAACGTTCAACACATCACCGCACGGGAATTGACTCTGGGAAGAAATAGATGGGGGGGTTCAACGGATGGTAGAGTGGGAATGTCAGGCAACCGGGCAAGCAACAGTCCTCGGCCCCAACACCACATACCACCATGCCTGGTGGAAGATGACGGGCAGTAGTGAGGCTGGAGTGACATGCAATGCAATAGTATGTGATGATACGTATATAAATCACCCCTGCAGATATATCCCTTGTCGGTACTCGGTCCGTGCTTCTCTGTTTCAAGACTGATATCTGCTGACACTCCCAGTGCGCAGATCTCTGAAGAATACATAACATGGTTCTTTGGCGCCGGTATCTCCTTGCTGCTCATACGGCGGACTTGCGCCGCGTGAAGACTCGTTTCAGTCTGCTGCTTTTCCCTTCTGGTGGCGTCTCTGTCGCTTCAGCACTAGCCGCAGCGGAATTCTCTCTGGACAGGTTCGTGGCACTCCCGTTGTGCTCGTCCAGGGTTGGAAGTTGAGGGGCCACCGTCGCTCTCCTCTGGTCTCGCACACTCTTCTTCGCACCCCGGGTAGTCCCCTGTTTGCTGAGGATATCATCCACAGTTTTGGTGCCGTAGAAACCTTGTAGTTGTTCGTCGTTCTCATAGTACAGTTTTGATTGGGCCCATTCTTTGAGAGCATCCAGGTAAGCTTGCTCGGAGGGGAACCCTCGGTATCTCTGGTCAGTGACAAGTGTGTCAATGGATTGCGCCGAGAAAATGCTCGCAGGTCGCGACGACTGTGTCTGTGACTGAGGGTCCCGGTCGAAGGTCGACTTTGGCTCCTTGATTGACATGATGGAGAAGCGCCCCGAGATCACGCAAGAGCAGTATGGCTGATGAGATGCGAAGAGTAATCCCACTTTCGAAGAGGTATCTGGGCGAGTTGGACGTCAAGAAGGGCCGAGAACTTGTGAGTGTTGTAGTCACACCACAAGTAGCGTCTCTTGCAGGTCACTCGAACTAAGTATATTTAGACTTTGCCACTTCTTCTTGACCTGTCTCTTTGTCTTTGCTGTCGTGGGAGAGACCGAGACTATTATCCGTGATCTCCTACCCCTCGACCCCGCCTAACAGAGGCAGCAGAGCGGTGATCCCAGAATTAGAGGGCGTCATCGATTCGTGTACATAGTAGGATGACCGGCCATTTCCCAGGGACGGGCGGCCGGCTGCAAGGTGATGGTCGAGGATGAAACCAGATAAGAAATATTGCATGCCCAGACATGCCAATGCTTGTGAGCAGGACACCCACGTGTAGCATCTGGGGCCCAGCACATGACACGCAGACTTTACCAACTGTAGGATGGATCCGAAGCCGCGGTCGTCCGGCATAAAAAGGAAAGAGTCTCCAACAGTGGAGTTCGACTTGTGTGGTACACCATATCACAATGTACAAGGTACCAGGTACTGTATGTACGCTGGCATGTACGTGAAATATGCAGTGACCAGAGGATTCAAATAGCCCGCAGCCTGGAAAACGTGAGGCTTTTGGCGTAGATATCCATACGAGGTACCCCAGGTCCGGGTCTGTGAGAGATACTGAGAGTTTCACTCTCGCTTAAGCCCGATTTTTCCAATGTTCCTCAATCCCCAGAGACTCACTACAAGGGTGCTCGACGTCACAGCTAAGCAGAACCAGAAGGCTGCTCTATATCCCTCCATCAGAGCCTTTGGCGCCTGTTTATCTTGATAGTCGGACTGCATGGTGATACTTCCGGCGATAACAGCAGACAGAGCAAGACCGACGCTTTTGCCAATCTGAGCCACAGTGTTGAAGACTCCTCCTGCCAACGCCTGGGTCTTTTCTGGAAATGCGGCAGTGATAACCAGGTTCGAAACAGTGAAGAGAACGTCTGGTCCTATGGCGTTCAACGCTATAGCGGGGAAAACATATTCCCAATAAGGCGCACGGACCTTCATGATCGCGACGAGAAGGGGTGAAATGGACGAAATGGCCATGGTGATGATGACAGCCCAGTCCGCGCGAACTTTATGCACCGCCAAACCCATGATAATATTTGTGACTACACCAGCAACTGGAGCTGGCAGGAAGCGGAGAGAGGTCTGTGTCGCGCTGAGGTGCTGAACATCCTGAAAGAAGAAGGTAAGTAGGGTTTCGGTGGCGTTGAATGCTCCCCACGCCAAAAAGACGTCGATGCAAACGCTCGTAAAGATCCTGTTACGCCACAGCGAGTTTGGAATGATTGCTGGACGATTGAGCTTCTCCTGTCGGCCAACCCACAGGATGAATGCCGGGATCAGAGCCACTGCCGTCGACAAACATGCTATGTTGGTGGGAGACTTTATGCTTGAAACATTGCCAGTCAGGACACTATCTTCTTTTAGTTCGGCCTTCGAAATCGTCATGTGGATGGATACTCACGCAAACACGTAAGAGAGGAGACCTAGCGCAGTGCTGAGGATTAAAGCCCCGGGCCAGTCAATATCTGTCGCCAGCCTTCTGATTGACAGCTGTGTTGGCTGTGCCGACTTTGGCAGACCGGTGACAGCCAATGCGAAAATGACAGCATTGATGGCGGCTGCAATATAGAATCCGGCACGCCAACCCGGGCCATCAGCCAAGATACCGCCCATGACAAGGCCGATGGAGAAGCCTACAGGCTGACCAGCACCCATCATTGCAAACGCAAAATTGCGACGACGCCCGTGAGGGAAATACGACGTGATTAGACTCACGGCTGAGGGCAGACAAAAGGCAATTGCAATGCCGGCCAGGGCGCGGAAGAAGAGGAGCTGCAAGCTGTCCTGCGCTAGTCCACATGACAAGGTAAATGCGCATTGAAGTAGGCACCCTAGCAGATACATGAAACGATTGCCTACCACATCGGCTACAGCTCCAGAAAGTATCAGTGAGCAACCGCAGGTTAGAGCATAGATTGACGCAGGCCTTCGACGTATAGTTAGTCTCAGACTGCACAGGGTATTCAGTGGACGGGCGAGTACCATAGAAGAACCGAGTCTGGAAGATGAAGGTCTTTGGCCAGTGTTGGTAGAGTCACGGTTACCAGCCCAGCCAGGAGACTGCTGATGCCCGTAACGCCCGTCACGGACACAAAAATCACCGCTGTTGAGCCCTTCCGCAGAACAGGCTGCTGCGGCGAGGTTTCAGGAATCCTCTCAGACAGAATGCCATCATCATCCTGGGCTATTGGTGGCTGCGGCGTAAGCAGGGCCGAAGCTGGAGGAGTGAGTTCGATCGTGGTGGTTTTGGACATTGTGGAAGCAGGCTATCCTCGTCAGGTTACTGTTTCTGCTACAACTTTCAGTAAAGTAGACTGTGATATAGCATTTTATATGTATCTCCCGGAAGTTGCCTCTGAGAATTTGGCCCGTCGAAGGGCGTGTGCCCATTATTGCCGTGATGTCACTCTAGGGCTCTCGACTTGTGGTGCTGGTGCTACCTCTGGGCATTTGATGATCCCGCCGGAAGGAAGAATGGTAATCCGAAGCCTTACGCTAAGCCATTTTCAATACTTGGCGTATTTGGAGGGTTTGATATGTTTGATGGCCATGGTGGCTCACGAAGCTTTCGCCAATCTCACCGGCTCTCCTGATTGATGGAGATTTGGCACCCTGCGTCTCTCAAAAATCAGGTACAGAGCCACCAGGTTGCCCCCCTGAACACGCCACTCTCAAAGCCCACCACTCACCGCCTCAGCACATCCGGCTTCCTAAGACTGTCTGCGTGTCAGCCCACCGCCGGTACCACCACCACCTAAACATCTGTGTGGTACCTACCCGGAAGCTCCAGAGCCGCCTCCAGGCCCGAGTGATGCCACCAGGACATTGCCCAATAAAACTCGCCTGCCAGCCCACCTTGCCAATCGAACAAGGGCTTTCCGGAACAAACCACTGAATCTCAGGGTCTTCTTTCAATTCGAGATTCAGATAATTTGTTGACCGAGAGGACTTTTCGTACATTTTTTCTCTATCCTGCGTGCCCTACTATCCTCTCCTTCCACAACCGGTTGCCGTTGCCTTGTCATTCTTTTCTTGTCGCTTTTCCTACTTCACTTTTCGTTGCTTTCGAGGTTGGAGCAGTCAAGATGTATGTTCTCCTCCGAAAATCCAAGAAACACTCCCGGAATGCATTAGTTTGGCTGAACTAACACACCTCTTGTAGGAATTCCACAACCTACGCCGCACCCGTCACTTACACGGACTACTTTAACGATATTGCCGCCTACAATGTACACCTGAACATCTTTGAGAAGCTCTGGGCAGCATGGTACGCGTACATGCAGAACGATGTTTTAGCGACGGGCATTATGAGCTTTGCCATGCATGAACTGGTGTACTTTGGGAGGTGTGTCCCGTTCATGATTATGGACAAGATTTCCTATTTCAGGAAGTATAAGATCCAGGCGGTAAGTCCTCCCATATCTCCCAGGATGCAGGTTTCAAGAACTTTGGGTCGCTGACACCAAATTCTTCCAGAACAAAATGCCCACACTTTCCGAACAATGGGCATGCGCCAAACTAGTCCTCCTGTCGCACTTCACCGTCGAACTCCCTCAAATCTGGCTCTTCCATCCGATGGCACAATACTTTGGCTTGTCCACCTCCGTTCCCTTCCCTCCGTGGTATACCATGGCCTGGCAAATCGCCTTGTTCTTCGTTCTCGAAGACGCATGGCACTATTGGTTCCACCGAGTCCTCCACTTGCCTCGACTTTATAAGATGATTCACAAGCTGCATCACCAATACAGCGCGCCATTTGGGCTTGCCGCTGAATACGCCTCCCCACTGGAAACCATGATTCTCGCATTCGGCGCCGTTGGAATCCCCATTATCTTTTGCGCCTTTACCAAGAACCTCCACATCGTGACAATGTACCTCTGGATCGTGGGGCGACTTTTCCAAGCCATTGACGCGCACTCTGGATATGAGTTTCCATGGTCACTGCATCATTTCTTGCCTTTCTGGGCCGGAGCCGACCACCACGATGTGCACCATGAGAAATTCTTGGGGAATTATGCCAGCTCCTTCCGATGGTGGGACGCGGCATTGGGTACCGATATTGGCAGTGCTTCCGAAGGGGCAAAGAAGAAGGCAAAGAAGATCGCCGAAGCCAAGGATGAATAGAATCATGCTGTTGGCGGAAACTTGAAATCATTTGACAAGAAGTCTCAACCGAGCTTCGTTGTATATAATCGGTCAATTTCACTGTGAAGAGCGAGAAGCGGCGGGATACCTTGGTTCATACGTGGCGTTGGGTTGCATAGAACAGGCATGGCAACTGGATAGATTGGCATATTCATGATAGTCCCCTCAAAACTTGAGTATCATTTTACTTCTGAGATGACCTCGTCTCGAGTTTTTGCTCTTCTCTTGCTGATCTTCGCAGAGACCATTGGTTGTTCTCGCTGTGGTCCCTTCTCTAGCGGTATGAATCCCCTTATGCGGGGAGTTCAACTTCGAAGCACGAGGTTGCCGCTATGCTCGGTCTCATGAAGATTCGCCTGCGGTGGCAGCAGGTTTTGCTTTGGCTGTACCGCAGGAGCAACTTTCCAATGCTTCGGATATTTGCTGCCGGTTGAGGGCAATCATTTGTTCGCGATGATGGACGAGCTGTTTCTCAATCTCATGCGAATCTTGCACGCCATCTGGGCTGACAGGCTCCGTGACGCTGAATTCATCCAGAATCGCGTCAATCTTGTGCGCAAGCCTGGTGTCTCGAACGCTCAGACCTCGAGGACTGTGGGTTGTACATGTAATGGTCATGTATCTGTTTTCTCCGCCAAAATTTCCACGACTAATATGTGGGTGATGATTCATTTTCTCAGCCTCGACCATAATCAACCGTTCCGCCTCATCGCACTCCCCGACAGAAGGATGGGCCGTGTGTCGATGTATAGCATCACCGAGGGCATCGAGTTGCCACTGGGTCGTGCCAAATGACAACCCTGATGAACGCTTCAATAGGAGATCGTCTGGCCGAGAGGTTTCCGATGTTGAAAGCAACGAGGCAAGGGCATCCGCAAGCTTATCACGGTTTGCTTTCGGGGTAGGCAAAAGCTTCTGCGAAACTGTCCCGCCATTGTTCAGACGGAATGTAATGGTTTGGCGGTCATCGGAAATTGCGATTGGGTCGCTCGAGGAGAGGGACAAGCATCTTTGCGGATGTGAGGAGTACATAGAAGGACGAAGCTGGGGTGTCCGCTGACACTGGAGTCGCAGTTCGTTCACATTACGATAAGCTGATGCCGTTGCATGAGACTGGACGACATAGTTTCCTACACGACTAGCAAGTCGCATAGTTGGGAAAGCACAAGAGCTGACTCTTGCAGGGTTTGGAACAATTCAATCGTATTAAGTTGTTTGCTGACTGCGATGCAGCCAAGGCAGCTCAATTGCCTGCAGCACCTGCGGCAGCTGCGGTTCCTACCGAGCCCAACTACCCCTTCTGGAGCTCGTCATCAATCCCACATCCAGCATCTACCATGTACATACCAAGGATCTCGTACTCGTTAACACCACCAACCTTCCGCTGGGTGCCCGTGAAGCAAGGATCATGGTCAACTAATTGTCAGCATCTTATCCTCTTCATTGTCCTTTCTCGGGTCTTCAGTCGCACGGTGATTGTTCTTTGCCAGAGAATGAAAGCACAGAACATTGACGGCCAGCTGTCTCCCTTCTGATCGGGTGCAGTTTTCGATTGGTCTTCACGACAATCAACCGCGGCCTCACACGAGCTACTGGATGCAATGGACCGCGCACAAGGAATTGGGATCAAACACCACCTTCCCTGGTCTCCTCCAAGCTTCGGCTCAGATCCTGCCCACCCACGAAGGTTCTGCCTTGCTATAAATTCCTGAAACGCTTGTCGTTTGGCACAAGCCTCGCGAACAGGCATTGGTGGGAACCTCGCGCCTACTCAGCCCCCCAAGCGATGGATTCGCTTGCGCAATATTACAGCCCACCTAGTGGTAAGCCTTATGCAGGTACACCGAATGCCAGACTCTGGGAGCTTCCTTATGGAAGGAACGCGCCCAATGCGTGAGCTCGTGTCTGAATGTACTTTTCTTCTCATATTTCCTCCATTTGAGGCGCATTGCTTTACAGGTTCAACAGGTTGCTTTTCGGGTCTGCATTACATTTTCTGGGTCCGTTAGTTCAAGCATTGCTCTGGTCGTCTTACACCAACCTAGAGAGCATCGGGGAAGGACATAATAACGCGAAATTCGGGGGACAAAAGAATGCGCCGAGTTGAATTTCTTCTTCCACTTCTTACCGTCAATTGCGCGGTAAGAGCAGTTCCCCTACAGCGAGATATATACGACCCTCTCCTCCCTCTCAAAAGCGTCGCCAGCGAGATCTTCGGCTACACGACAGCCATCTCTGGACCAGAGTCGTCGATAGAGCGAACACAAACAGCTCTCTCCGCTTCCTCCACTCCTTCAGCAGATTCACCAGCAACGTCTACCCAATCAAGCAACACACAGACCGATCTCACCGGAACAGGATCTGTAACAGTTACCCTCAGCAATACACAGCTGTCCACTGGAAGTCCTTCACCTACGAACGCAGCTTCCAACTCCGCCGTCGGCACAGCGACGACAACGCCGACTGGCATTCTTTCATCATCGCCGGGCTCAACTGTCGCGCCTATCAGCGTGGTTCCCACCACCACTGAAAGTAGTGGCTCGTCACCTACCGATGCCGGCTCTGATCCTGGGTCAAACTCTGGATCAGGAGGGAATTCAGGCTCAGGGTCAACATCAGCCGACTCAACGAGCGGGTCAGGTCTGTCGCCAGGAGAGATTGCCGCAGCAGTCATTCTCCCCGTCATCGCTTCGGCCGCCTTGTTGTTTCTTGTCTTCCGCTTCTGTAAACCTCTCCGCGAAAAGTTTCAAGCTTGGCGGCAAGAAAGACTGGATCGATCCGCGTACAGACGAGCGCTTGATGATCCTGTTCTTGCCTTCGGCATGCGTCAACAAAGCGATCGAGGTTCAAACGGTTTTCGCGTGAGTGACGAGGATCAGTCGGCACGTCCCTTGTCTTTTGGATTCCGGAATCCTCAGAGACAATATCCTAGCATCAAGAGAAAACCTTTGACTTGGGATGCTGCGCGAATAGGCGGCCAAGGAGCCTCATCAATTGGGATGGCAATACCAATGCCCCTGGGACACCGTCCTCGGAGCCTCAGTGAGATATCGGAGGTGAGCGATATCAGCAGTGATGGTGAGGCGAGATATGAGGACGCCCGGTCGAATCAAGTATCGCCAGAAGGGATCCTTTCATGATGTCAACGACATATTTCACATTTTCTTTTGTCCAGCGACATTCTGTCTATTTATGAGCGAGCAAGCGATCAATATTTTGTAAATGTATTCGACCTGACTTGGAGTGTTGGGGTGTCCATTTCTCTGAGACGAGTTTGAACCCTGTAGATATGTACCAAAACAAAAAGTGTGATTAACTAGTATGATACTTACATCATGGCACCTGTTGGAGTAAACGAGGAACGAAGTAGTTTTACGAGAGTGATACATCTGGACATGTACCTCGTACTTGTAGTATCTGAAAAGGAATGGGCATCAAGGACAAGCAACCAATGGCGGGCAGCGTGACACGAGCCTCTGGTCCTATTGGCGATCCGACCCTCATAACAGCCTGATCAAAATTCAACAAAAGAAGCAGACAAACACGAAAAGAATAGACTAAACGAAAGAAACGTGCCTTGCATATATCTGCTGACCCTCCCAAACTCCTCTATCAACACCCAACAAACTCGCTAAAACCGAGGACGACAACCACGAGGTAGTTATTTTGTACGGAGAAGATTATGGACGACATCGACCTCCCCGCCCTGCGGGACAACCTCATCACCATCGCCCTGCAGGCGGGCTCGATGATCACCGCTGCATCGTCGTTGTCCTTGAACAGCGGCAGCCCCGGCACGCAGCCGAAAGCGGCCACGTCGACGAAGAAAAACTCGGCCGACCTGGTCACGGAGACGGACAAGGCGGTCGAGGACTTCATCTCCAGCACGCTGAAACGGCTGTACCCGACGTACGAGTTCATGGGCGAGGAGACGTACGTCCCGGGCAACAAGCTCGGGCCGGCGCCGACCTTCATCGTCGACCCGATCGACGGGACCACGAACTTTGTCCACGGCTGGCCCTACGTGAGCGTCAGTCTGGGGTTCGCGGTGAATCGCGTGCCCACCGTCGGCGTGGTGTTTAACCCGTTCACACGCAAGCTGTACCACGCGATCAAGGGCCGGGGGAGCTACCTGCGGATTGTGCAAGAAGAAAGCACGGCTTCGTCAGTGTCTTCTTCGGCCACGGCAGACGGGGCCGACACGAAGCTGCCCCTGAGATATCCCGGCGCGGTGGCCGGACTGGACGAGTGCGTCGTGGCGATCGAGTACGGCAGCGACCGAACGGGGACGAACTGGCGCACCAAGATCGAGACGTGGGCGGCCCTGGGCGCCAGCAAGGACGAAGGCGGTGCCATGGTCCACTCGGCCCGCGCACTGGGCTCCGCCGCCCTCAACCTGTGCGCCGTCGCCGAGGGCTCCATCGACGTCTACTGGGAGGGCGGGTGCTGGGCCTGGGACGTCTGCGCCGGCTGGGTCGTGCTCACAGAGGCCGGCGGCCTGGTCGTCGACGGCAACCCCGGCGCCTGGGACATCCCCATCGATCACAGAAAGTACCTCGCCGTGCGGGCGGCGGAGAAAGGCCAGAAGGAGCTGGTGCAGGAATTCTGGTCATTTATCAAGGGCCGTATGGAGTATGAGCATTGATAAGTCGTGAGGGTGAGACAAAGTTGAGCCGTCTACTGGAGGATGGTGGACGTGATACGGGACGAAAAAACAGCGACAATAGAAACATAGACAACGAAAACATTGTGAATTCGGCAAGTCAACATGCTCCAATTTTGTGGCCTCCTGAGACTCTCTATCCTTTCCTTGCTGGTTGTCCCGATAATGTTACATTTGACGCTATGCAGAAGGAAAAAGGGAGACCCAACATGAACACAGCATGAAACTCACTTCCATAACTTGCCCAGTGACACCTCCTTGTCATCGTGCTTGTTGAGGACTTTGGCCGTGGCCAGGTCAAAATCTTCTTGCGTGACGTGGACTCTCCTTTCTCGTAACGCAAACATACCCGCCTCGGTACACACACCCTTGAGTTCGGCGCCGGAGCAACCGTTCATCTTTTCAGCAATCTTCTTCAGGTCAATTCCTCTGGTCAAGTTCATGCTCCGGGAGTGGATTCGCAGGATGTCGGCTCTGGCCTCGACAGTTGGCGGCGGGAACTCGATCTTGCGATCAATACGACCTGGTCGAAGCAGGGCAGGGTCTAATATATCAAGTCGATTCGTTGCCATGATGACTTTAATGTTGTTGGTCGGTTCAAAGCCGTCAAGCTGGTTCAGCAGTTCCAACATGGTGCGTTGTACCTCGGAGTCTCCACCGCTGCTGCCCTCCACACGGCTGGAGCCAATGCTGTCGATTTCGTCCATGAAAATAATGCTGGGTGCATGTTCTCTGGCCATGACGAAAAGTTCTCGCACCATTCTGCTCCCTTCGCCAATGTATTTCTGTACCAGTTCCGATCCTGACACTCTGATGAATTTGCAGTCGGCATGATGAGCCACAGCTCGTGCCAAAAGTGTCTTGCCTGTTCCTGGCGGTCCATAGAGAAGGACACCCTTGGGCTGAGCGATCCCGAGCGACTCGAAAAGTTCCGGGTGATTCAAGCCCAGTTCGATGACTTCCTTGATCTCTTTGATTTGCTGATCAAGCCCACCGATCATATCATATGTGCTGTCCGGAACCTTTTCAACCATCATCAAGGAAACTAGAGGATCGACGGATGAGGGGAGCATCTTTTCGAGTTTGTAAGAGTCCGAGAGAAGGGAGACTCTCTTTCCCACGGTCAATTTGGAGATGTCGACGCTGTCGGCGATATCGACAACTTTGCCAGTGGTTAGCCTGTGTTGGAATCCTGATTTCCTTTTGGAACTCACCATATTTGCCTTCGGGGTGTACCTTGACCAGCACTTTCTTGGTCCCCATGACCTTCACGACCTCACCCACGTAGGAGCCGGGTTGCTGGAGTAGACCCAACTCCTCTCGTAGAAGTCGTACTCTTGAGTTGTAATCATTTCGTTGTGCTTCTAATCGGCGTAACACCGCTTGACCTTGGAGGATCTCAAGCTTGAGAGCTTCGATTTTGTTGTGGTAGAAGTTGTCGAGGGCCATGATGGGAGACCGTAGCTGGAGATGCGGAGTGACCGGGAGAGGCTTTCCTGTTGCAACTACACCGACTTTGACAGCGATGGGAAACTTTGAGAGTGTATCGACGGTGACGATGATGGGTGGTCAAGAGACCAGATGAAATGATGGGACGCGACTGCGCTTGGGAGCCTGAGGCGGCGGCTACTGGTGAGCTGGCGTCTAACGCGTCTAAAGGGACAGTAAGAGTCCTTATTGCCACAACGGGGATTAGGCGGTCACTGCGGCCAATCCCTGCCGAGTTTCGTTTAGGCTCCCCTAGCACCTCTGAATTAGGCACTGTCTTCAGCGGGCTCGGGCATGGAACGCTCTGTTGCTTGGGCCAGCTGACTCTCCAAGTAGGCGTGGTAGGCCCATCAACGGCCCACCCACGGCACGTCGATTTGCTTATTACGAAGTCAAGACATTGCCTATGAGCTCAGTGTGCAGCTTCAACCAACTGCACAGTAGCCATTTCCTTCCATTGACTCAAGGTTAGACAAGCTGCGTCTTCTCCGGGTTTCTTGCAGCTGCTTCCAGCTCCCCATCTCTCCATTGCTGCAGCCTCCACTACCGGTGACCGCACGTGCACCAATCGACGTGTCGGCCTGGCATACTGTGATCCTCGCTCAACTTGTACACCACAATAACCCCCCCATATCGTTAAAAAGCATCACTAATATATTGGCCAGTCACCGTTCATAGATCGACTGTCTTTCCTCTGCTATCAAAGTATCTAATCCGCTTCAGGATCCGTCGCTCACTCCCTCTTCAATCCTAGCATTGCGACATCCCTGTATTCCTCCACCCGAGATAGAGATCTTCGTCAACACATCAGATGATTTGGGATCCCATCTCCTGTTGATGCATTCACGTGCCTCGAGCAGGCTTCGACCCGCCCACCTGTCTATTAGTACGAGTGCTGTGCCGGATTCACAGCGCAGTCTTTCACACTGCAGCGTTTTCCAAAGAGGGGGACCTACTCAAACAACTCAATGAAGCAAAAGTGTGTTGGTCAAAATGTCATCCAGTGACAATCCCCAGAAGAACCCCGAAGACAGAGTATGGCAAGATGTTCGATCTGCACCTAGAACTCCTTCACTTGCCGGTTCTGCTGCCGCGGAATCGAGACCTCGGGAAGAGCCCACAGCAGTTGATACTACAATCCGACGAGATTACGGTGAATGCTGCCGTCTTTGAGTATAGCGTGATTGCTTTCTAATACTCGACAGGAACCCTGAACAGCAGTATCTACGCCTCAAGTAGCCAAAGACCACGCAGCGGGCATCGAAATGACGAGACCCAAGAGGCTTCTGGCGCTAATCCAGTATCACCTCAAACTTCGAGGCGCAAACCTCCTCCGACTAGAAGAGTATCGACCCGGAGACAACTACCCCACCGAGGCGAACAATTTTCAGTGGATGACGATCCGAACGAAGTCGAAGTTGACAGAGAGCTTCAGACAACACCGAGCACGCAGTCCTTTCCGACTTTGACTCGATCACAATCCACCGTGCGTCGTCGAACAGCGGCCGCCCCCCCAGGGTTACCGCGGGTTGATTCTGCGGCAGAAGAGGAGGTCGAGGATATAATTCAACAGGAGTCTGCTGCAGTGCCACCGACCGAAGAAACCGAGCCTGTTGTAGAAGATGATGAAGACCTTGAAGACTCTGAGGAGGCAGACCTCAGTGATGCGGAGAGTTTCACTCTAAAAGACCGACAGCTGGCCATCAACGAAACGCATCCGTTTGGCATCAGGATTTGGAAACCTGCATTATACAAGAAATCCAGATCAGTCGAAAAGGGAGCAGAGGAGGATATTCATTCTTCACCCAGTCAGATTGTGAGCACCTGGCTATGGTTCTTCAACTGCCTGTGGACTGTTCTCTTCGGCTGGTGGCTGAGCGTCGCAGCACTTTTTGGAGCCTTCGTCTGCTACTTATTTGCTTTTGACCCTAGTGCGGCTGCATATGGCGGAGTTTTCCTGGGTCTAGCTAGCTACCTCTTCTGGCCCTTCGGAAAATTTGTGAGACTCGAGCAAGATGAGAATTATGCCGAGGAAGACGAAGGCGAAGGCCGCAGCATCAGCGAGTACGAGCGCTGGCAGAGTGGAGATCTTGAGTATGGCCGATTGATGTTTGGACCTACTCTTACGCACACTGGATCGATTGTTGGCAGACATCGCAACAGTATCGACTCCGCAAGTGAGACTGACAGCCTTCTGGACCGGAGCGGAAGGGCAGAGCGGCAGGAGACCAACGTGAGCGCCAAAACCAAGCGACGACTTTTTGGCCGTGGACAGTGGACCCTGGGCAGGGTTATCTTCTTCATTTTCTTCTACTTCAATGTCGCCCCATTGATGCTCCTGGTGTCCATGGTCTGTTGGTTGATGGTCTTCTGGATTCCGATGGGCCGAGTCACCTTGATCTTGTTCTATCATCTGAGAAAACGACCCCTAGCGCTGACATTTCACCGAGATGTCTCGCATGCTAGAAGCTCCACTAAGCCCTCATCCATCCTCCTGTGTACTTACCGGGCGGTTGGGATCAAGTACTGGAAGTACACCGTTGACGGCACCAACATCTTCCTCATCAACTTTCTGGCCGTTGTTGTTTTTGTCATTTTTGACTACTTCATCCTCAAGACTGCAGCCGGGCTGGAAATATGGCTGACAAGCCCTGCCCTGATGTTCACCCTGGCTCTCATCTCTATTATTCCTCTGGCCTACTTCATTGGTCAGGCAGTGGCATCTATTTCAGCTCAATCGTCGATGGGGATGGGAGCTGCAGTCAACGCCTTCTTCTCCACCATTGTCGAGGTATACCTGTACTGTGTCGCCCTTAACGAGGGAAAGGCCTCCCTGGTGGAGGGCAGTATCATCGGCAGCATTCTCGCTGGTATCCTACTCCTTCCTGGTCTGTCAATGTGTTTCGGAGCTATCAAGAGAAAGACTCAACGTTTCAATGTCAAGTCTGCTGGGGCGACGTCCACTATGTTGCTATTCGCCGTCATTGCAGCATTCGGCCCAACCTTGTTCTATAAGATATACGGAAGCCATGAGCTCATCTGTAAAGCCTGTGTTGGAGAAGGCGTGGATACTCCCGCCGATTGTCGTCAATGCTATTTCCGCCAAGTGCCAGCCGTTTCAGATGACTTCTTTCTGAAAGCTGTGCGACCATATTGCTGGATTGCGGCTGTATTTCTCTTTTCGTCCTACATCATTGGACTCCTGTTTACCTTGCGGACTCACGCTGCTATTATATGGAGCACCGATCTGGACGAGAAGAAAGCTCAGCCGCCCACCGCCGATGTCAGTCCGTTGGACACCCGACATCAAAGCGTAGTCAACTCGCAGAACCTGCCCAAACCTGACGGGGCGTATCTTCCTCGATCGGCTATCAGGGAGTCTCAACTGTACAAAAAGATCCTGGGCCAGTCACTACGATCGGCAGGGCTCCCAGATGGCGAGCTTAATGTTGAACACGAGCAATACAGCACTCACGAAACCGCCTCACATATCTCAGCCATGGACCATCACAACAAGACTGATTTGCCTCATGTGGTGCCGCCCAAATCGAGTCACAGTTCTGAGGACATCCGAAGCCCACACCTACATCCTGTGCTGCCCGGACTATCTGAAGAAGACAATAACAATCTGGTTCGACAAGTCGCGGAGCTGGCGGCCACCGCGGCGACGATTGCCACACGAGACGCAGTCAATCATCCTCGAACGGCATCCTATCAGGCAACTCATGCATACAAGCAAGACAGTACAAGAAGTCAAAGACCATCGGTAGTGCGGAGAGACACTGTGACGGACGAGGGGTATGCCAACGCCGCGGCTGACCAAGTTCCTGTGCCCGCTGTAGAAGGTGGTGGCCATGATGCTCCGAACTGGTCCAGGACAAAATCATCCGTCATCCTGCTCACAGCAACGGTTGCATATGCCATTGTGGCCGAGATTCTCGTCGATACTGTGGATGTTGTACTCGATTCTGTTGATATCGACGAAAAGTTCCTGGGCATCACTTTGTTTGCATTGGTGCCCAACACGACGGAATTTTTGAATGGTATATCTTTTGCTATGAACGGGAATATTGCGCTCAGTATGGAAATTGGTTCAGCTTATGCACTGCAGGTGTGCATGCTTCAACTTCCGGCCCTGGTTCTGTTTTCGGCGTTGCGTTGGCCTTTCATTGATCCGCAATACCTCATCAACCACACCTTCAACCTGATCTTCCCGCAGTGGGACATGGTGACCATCATTCTTTGTGTCGTCCTGCTCAGTTACATGTCTGGCGAAGGGAAGAGCAACTATTTCAAGGGAAGCATCCTGGTTCTGACCTACTTGGTAGTAGTTCTGGGATTCTATTTCAGTGGCTTCACCACTCTGACCATCATGGGAGTGGATCCTAACGACACACTCGCCATCATGTCAAGTATGGCGTTGCAGCAGAATTCACCAGGGACGATCAGAACCCCGAACGTGGCCAGGGGGCGAGAGTTGTAACCGGTACTCTTTCAAGGTCTCCCATTCCAACTCTTGACGGATTAGGTATTTTTGACTTGTTGCGTTCCCGAGATGGAATCGAGCGATGGGGCGTTTTGCAATTCAGAGCTGAGCGGTGTATGCATATCCATGTTGGTAGTTAGAAATTGGACAAAGTCAAAGTGGCACATGGGCCGTATCGAGATCCTAATGCATGGATAGGGGGGATAGGAATATTTAATCTTTTCGTTTTAACCATTGATCGAGTGATGGATCCTATTACATGGATATTACTTGGACACTTGACATGAGCCAGGCACAGGCAGTCCGTCCACATGCCTCCCAATCGACGGGTGCAAGTGCCAGTACCAAAGCCGACCTTTTTCGACAAAGCCTCGCCCGCGCAAACTGGATCCTGATCCTTGAAGATTGTTGAAACATCGAGAGAGATAGAGAGAACTGTAGTTCATCGCTCTGGATTGAGTCTGATGGGTTGGCGTTTGTTCACTCTGATATCTATTCTATTCCATTGATCAGGGCACAGTGAACAAGTTCTTCATCCCCCCTTTCTCTCTCTCTCTCTCTCTCTCTCTCTCTCTCCCTCTCTTTTGCTTGGCCTGAACTGCCGACTGAGTGATTGACTGGTTTCGTGGGTTGGCTCGGATATAGACTAGGTCCGGAGGTAGTTCTGATGCGGAGTTGTCGAGGACAAAGCCCTCGTTGAGGTGAGTCGAGATGAGTGAGCCGCTGATTCGCGAGGAATGCACAGTGGCGGGTTGTGGAACGAAGTGAAATAACTAACTAGGACATGGGATGGTCTTGAGAGGAGTTGTTGATGCTATTGTATTGAGTTGGGTTGAGTTGAGTAGTGATTGATTGATTCGGATTTGATGGGTGGTGAATGGGATATTGAGGAGACTTTGGCTCTGCGTTCTGCTCCGCGTGGTGGTAGCGGATCTCAGATGAGATATTGCGGTTGGCTGGTAACGATCATTCTGGAGAGATGGAGACCGAGGGCGAGAGGAGGGGATCCGATCATCTGCTGCTGCTGCTGCGTCTCGCTGTAAAAGCCCATAATATAATAATAATAAGAACAAGGACAAGAAATCCAAAACGCTGGGTTGAGAAGGGGGGATCCCTTTTTCTGTGGCCTTTAGCCCAGCAAGAGCAAGAACCTTGATGTTTTGATTCGTGGTTACAAGAAAGAAACCAGTATCGTCGTCGTCGTTGTTGTCGTCGACGATCAATCAATACAGGTCTCGTGTCCTTCGACCTCCTCTGTGCATGCACCAATCACACTAAAAGGAACGGCAGATTGGTTAGTTTTTTCTCCGCCATCTTTTTGACGAGCGGTTCAGAAACAGAAGAGAATGAATATACACGTACGATGTTCTCGTTGCAGCCCGTCCGGTGAATGTAACAGTAGCTGGTTTTGCAGCGCTTGCACATCCTGGCCCACCGCCGGATACAGTTCTGGCACTGGCGTCCACAGTCCCAGCAGTCTCGCGTCACTGCTGCTTCGCCGGGTTGGAGTTGTACGGGATGTGCGTGGTGTCGATGGCGCTGTAAGGGGAAGAGGAATGATGAAACGCGTTAGCAAACGACAGGTACGTCAGAAAACGATTGGAGAGGACGGAGAGGACGGGGTCGAGGTGGATGGATGGGTAAAGGTGTAATTTGCGGGCTGTAGGCGGCGGCGGCAGTGGCGGCGGAAGAAGAAGCGTCCGGTCGGCGGTGTATATATACACATATCTGTATACTCGCCTCGATGGTGGCTTGGGGAAGAAACAATGGCTCAATCTCGGTTTCGGAAAACCCTCCAGTCGATCTTGTTTCCAAATGGTGGTCTTCTTGTCCTTGATGCGTTCCTTGGTTTTATCCCCCAGCCTCGCCGCCTCTGGCCACAACCGCCCGTCTGCTAGCAGGGCAGTTTTCAACACAACGACCGGCAAATACCTTGAGAAGATGACCAGTAGAAGATGTTCCGTTGGTAGTATTCTGACCTGTCCCTCGATCGGCTTCCGAAGCCGCGATAATGTCTGCTGCGGGTGCCAGTCTTTCTGGGCTAGCGAATCTTTTCGCCCTTTCAGGATTGTAGCAATCAGCGCACCACCACTGATGACAGCTGTCGCAATGTCGATTGGCCAGGCACCATTTGCAGGAAACGATGAGTCGCTGGAGCAGAATCTCTCCGTCTTCGGTGAGGCGCAATGGGGGTCGCACAGCGTCAATCAGCTTTCCAGTATGAGGCGGAGGCCAGAGGAGTGGGAACTCGCGAAGATCACTCTTGCCCCAAACAGGTGCACCGCGAGGGGCTCGACCACAGCTTGCACATCCTGCCGGCCCGAGAGCCACAGTGGCCAGCGGAGGGATGCCGGGTTTGTTTTCCGTGAGGTGTTCTCTTGATGCTGGATGAAGAACAGGTGCCATGTCGGCGTGCATATGGGTGCATAACACAGCATCGAAGCTGATGATGCCTCGGCACGTCTGCAAGGTCTCCTCCCAAGACGTTCGTGTCACACGACCTTGAGTTATGACGTGACCCGATGGCGCATACCAGGGTTCCACGTCGCGTGACCTGGCTGTTCCGTTCATGTTAAACAGCTCTGGCCGCAGAAGGCTGTGCCAGTCCAATGCGCCCATGGTGTCGAAATTGTAGTGGAAATCAGGACTGAAGTCGACATCATTTGTCTGGACATGCGATGGTGGAGGCGTGAAGACATATAGTCCCTGCAATCGAGGAGTTCCTTCAGGTCTGCTTGGTCGGCAAAGATGGCAGAGAAGCTGCTGTAGTTTGAATTGATTGACGTTGAGACACCGCCGTATGCTGAGGAGGCGAACGTTGTATTCGTTTCTAGTGGCGATGTCGTTGATCAGGTCGACGGTGACCGAGGCCAGATCATCGAGGACCAAGGTCTGGACGTTCTGAAGAACCTTCATCTTACCCAGTCTCGCTAAGACACCGCGGAGTGGACCGGCATAAAATTCGTCTTCGGTCAGATTCTCGTCCATTCGTTCTGCTCGCCAGGAATGGCCACCGGAGTCGATTCTCGTCAGGAGATTGGGGGGAACATATGCCCCTCTACACTTTGAGAGGTCAACATATCGGAAGACGGTCGCTGTGCGAAGCAATAGCTCTCGCAAAGAGTGGCATGTTCTGGCCAAGGCGATGAGAGATGAGAGAGGCAGATATGGTAAGGTGTTGTCTAGGATGATGGAGTTAGACAGGACATCGAGTAGAGATAGTGGCAAGCAAGCTGATAGCGCCTGGGGATCGATAGACATTGTAAAGAGGTTAATCGACGACTGGGAGGTGCTCCTGGCAATGACATTCAGAGTCCAGATCGGATGAAGGATCGGTTCGAAACTCAATCAGGTGCGGAGGTGATGGGCGGATTTTAGAGGAAGAAGGAGCGGTCAGAGGTTCCAGAAGCAATGATACGGAGGCGACAGTCGGCAAGACACAAGATGATAAGGTTGGTTGTTAATAGGAGGATATTTTGATGAGAAGTAAATGCATGTCGGTGAGATGGTGGTGAGTCAAATATACACTAAGCCTAATTCAGACAGCCAGCAGACATTGTTGGGGACACTAACCGCATTTGGACAGAGCGTGGGATGATGGCGAGGCTGAACTCACTCCACCACATTCGAGTACCGACACCGCCAACTCAGGGGAATGAGAACAAGCACCATCTACAGTACCTAAACCTCTCCTCAGATGTCATAATTCATGTCTCGTATGTACGGCCCCTGTTCTGGCAGATTTTTGATCCCTCATCACTGTTCCAAGTCCACCCAAATACAACCTTGCCACAATCTTGTTAACCTGTCCATACACTAGTACGCGAAGACAGACAGCGCCGTCAATTTGGTTGCTGAAACACCTTGTTACATTCCATGTAATCATTGTGCCTTCTTTCCCGCGCTCGTCCCAAGGTCCATTAAGTCAATCATGGCCAGACCGACCCTCTCACACTCGGCCCAGTTCCGCTGCCGCAACCAAAATCTCTCGCTCGCACTATCCGTCGTGTTAGCAGTAGATACGCTCTGCCTCCTCGCGTCTTCTTCAAGACTCTGCCTGGTGATGCTAGCAAATGCGTGTTCTCCCAATTCCGTCATCAGGGGACTGTTAGGCGGTGAGGCAAGGGGTTTGACGGCATGACCCAATCCGGCTTCTTCGAGGTACTTGCGCCGCACCATGAAGCGTTCGCTGCGTTCTTTGCGCATAGCCGCGGAATCGAGCTTACTGATCGCTGTCCTGACAAGCAGTCGGACCACAAGGAAGGTATGCTCAGAGACAAAAACGCTAAGCAGGAGTGCCCAGAGTTTGATTGCGTGTGGTCTGCCGTCCGGTCCATGTCCATCGCCGTCCGAGAACATGTACACCAAGGCAGCTGAGGTGATGCTGCCGAGCCATGCGAGGAATTCAAGGCTGTCAAGCCAGGGTCCAATGGAATCTGCTCGGGCAGGATTAGGTCGTCGGCACTCGACTGTTAGTTTGAAGGTGTCTCCCCTCAATTCAATCCAATTATTGATGAAATAGGAGACGGGCGTAAGTGGCCATATCACACTGAAGAGCGAGAGGTAGCCGAACTGCATGCACATCTCCCGCAGATCCGAGGTCACGTCATACTCGGGCAAAGCAGCCTCTTCCCGAACTCGAGTGAGGAATTCTTTCTCCTCGGGCGGATCGTGGTCAGCGACAGAGGGCGTGGTTCCACCGTGCTTTTCTGCACGCTGGGACTTCATTTCATTGAATTTCTTGGTTCCTCTCTGTGTGACAACTGGCATGACTGTCTCCATAGCGAAATTCACGACCTGGGCCGTCACTGCGAAATAGATCATCTGGTTGCGTAGACGGTTCGGGTTGATGCTGAAGGCTGCTGGAGATGGAGTCTGAAGTTGCTTTTCGTCCTCGGCAAATGGTAGAACCGTCAAGCCGAAGATATCCAGATAAGGCACCAAGATAGAGGCAAAGGGGACATAGACGAAGGAAGTCAAGAAGATAGCCGTGTATGAGGTGATAAAGTTGATGACGAAAACCTTGGAAATCATGGCCTTGTCGTGGGCCTCTTGCGTTTCGTAGTTTTCATAGAAAGTGAGCTTTTCGGCAAATCCAGTCAGGAAATTGCTGATGGTAGGGACCGCAAGGGTGAGGAGAATGGTCGGGAGGAAGACAAGGACGGACTTTAGAGGACCGTCGTAGACCTCGGAGATGAATATTTCGATGGCGTAGCAGGTGCAAATGACAGCGCCGAGAGCAATCACGCACAGGGCTGCCAATGGGATTTGGAGGAGTTGTCTCTGTAGTCGCTTCACTGCCGGGAAGTAGGCAACCTTTTCTCCTGTGACAGGATCTGTGGTGATTTTTTCCGGTACAAATTCTCTGCGTTTGTCCTCGATGGAAGAAACCCTCTTGACGTTCCATCGAATAGCCAACTCTTGTTCCTGGCGTTTCCAGTATTCCACAAATATGACACACCACAGACCGTTGACAATTGCATAGATGGGTGAGTAGCTGCCGAGAAGGACCCAGCAGGAGAAACCAAAGGCCGCAGGGAAGATCATGAAGGAGAAGTAGGATTGTAGGAATGCATAGTAGTAGCCGATCTGTTCTCATCAGTAAATTCGCAGGTCTGTGGCAGGAGTCTGGAAAGGACGGACCTTCTCGCCCAGAGTGTTCCGGATCTCGTCCAAGTCGTCTGGTGTCAGAAATGTCTTGCGTGTGAACTCGGTCAACCATGCCTTGTTTTTGACATGGTCGTGCAAGGGGAACACGGCTTCAACATTCTTCCATTCGCCATGCTTAGGTGTGATCCCTGCTCCTCCATCTTCACGTGGACAGCATATCATGTGGTGAATGTGTCGATGACGCTCAGCAGCGGTGAGGGGCTCTGAGATCAGAGTTTGTGCTGGGTCATTGCTCGGTTGGAGTTGTCGAACCCCATGTAGCCAGTCTTTTATCCTCGATCGGTAAACCACGTCCGCGAATATCTTTTCGTCGGCAGCCTTGACGAAGACCAGCAAGGAGGTTTCATCGCCGCGTCGTACTTCGGTGGTCAAGCCGGTCTCGGTGAGAGCTCGAATGAGCTTCTTGAACTGATTGACGCCAGCTACCTTGTCTGCTCAGTGTCAGCATCAGCACCTGTGGAGCGGAGAGTGGTGGAGGTTGTACCGTCGCTGGGCACTCGATAGCTAATGACATAGTCCACATCGAAATTGGTCTGGAGCACCTTGGAAGCCATGCTGGAGCCGAATCTGGAGGTAGAGTAATTTGGACCTGGCAGAACAGAGAAAGAGCTTGCCCAAGCAGAGATCCTCGATGAAGAGATCCCTTGTCCCCAAAGCTATCTTCTGCGACGAGTGAAGCAGAGAAACTTGGAAATCAGGGTTGTACGGCCAGCCTCGACGGGAAGTTTGATCATTGCTCAAGACGCGACGTCATCAAGTTAGGAGATCTCGCCTCATACTCCACTATGCCTAAAACAGCTGGACAATTGTTACCTCAGCATCTTCGCCAATTGACCAATCGCAAGGCTGAAGCTTGCACTAACCTCACCGAGCACAAGCGTCCAAGTCGAGCCTCGGCATCAACGAACATTTAGCCGTCAAAGGTGTTTACTGACCGTTGATGTTACGCTTATCCACGGTTTGAGGAGGACAGTAATCAAAAGATTGTGTTTTTATATTCGTCCCATTTCCCATCTCTTTCTTGTGCAAGGACGAGCCGAGTGTCGGTGGTGCGGAGCTCTTGAGCAATCATGGCCAACAAGACTGAAGCCGCGAGGTTGAATCAGTCCTACACAGAGCCTGATCCAAACAACTATTCCGCCTATCAGCGAGAAATATATAGCTCTCTACGGGCTCCTATCTTCTCGACCAAGCCGTCTGAATGGGAATCCCTCGCCCGATCAAAAGTCCCAGCTGAAAATTTCGGCTATGTGTACGGGTCGGCGAGCAGCGGCACCACTCATGCTGCCAACATTTCTGCATTCGACCGATACCGGATCCGGCCTCATATGCTTGTGAATGCCACCCGTCGCGACGTCAGTGTCGAGCTATTCGGGACCAAATATAACAGCCCACTTCTCGTAGCCCCGGTTGGGGTGCAGAATATTATGCATGAAGATGCTGAGGAAGCCACCGCAAAAGCTTGTCAGAAGGTCGGCATACCTATGATTCTCTCCTCAGCTGCCACGAGAACCATCGAACAAGTGGCGGCTGCTAATGGCAATGGCGACCGTTGGTATCAACTTTACTGGCCCAGGCCTCAATGGGAAGAAGTCACTGTCAGCCTGCTGAACCGAGCGAAAGCCAGCGGATATAAAGTCCTCGTCGTCACCTTGGACACCTTCAACCTCGCCTGGAGGCCAACCGACCTTGACACCGCATACCTACCTTTTATCTGGGGTGATGGCTGTCAGATCGGACACTCTGACCCGGTCTTCAATCGCAGATATGAGCAGATTCAGAAGAACGATACAAGAGGCTATGGAGAGAAATTGGCCGAGCTCTGGGCCATGATGAAGAGACCGGGTTCGGCCTACGGAGCGGTACGGGTGCTGACAAACGTGTCTCTACTACAAAAGTCGAGAGCTTGGTTGGATGTGTTGAACTCCGGGACCTACAGAGAGTGGAAGCATCTGGAGATCTTGAAGAAGCTGTGGGATGGACCGATTGTCCTCAAAGGGATCCAGACTGTCGACGACGCCCACCGAGCTATTGATTACGGGATGGATGGTATCATCGTAAGCAACCACGGTGGTCGACAGTGTGATGGCGCCATTGCGTCTCTCGATGCTTTGGCCGAGATCGCCGCTGATGAAAGGGTCAAACGATCAAATTTGACTCTGATCTTTGACAGCGGTGTCCGCACCGGGAGCGATGTGTTGAAAGCACTAGCACTGGGCGCAAAGGCAGTCTGCATTGGCAGACCTTTCATGTATGGTCTCGCCATTGCGGGACAAGAAGGGGTAGAGCATGTCCTCAGGTGTTTACTTGCTGACACCGACAACATGCTGGGCAATATGGGCAAGACAAGTGTGAAGGACCTCAATCGGCATGATTTGCAGATCAGGCCAGAATCAAAGCTGTAGAGAGGGTTGACAGAAAAGCCTGCGATTTCCGGAAAAAAACACAACTGGCCAACCGTGATATTTATCTTTCTAGCAAACGGATGCCTTGCCGTTTTGAGACGCGGGAGGAACAGAATGGAGGGCTCGAGATGGAAACCGTCCATCCACTTGTCCCTCGTAAAGCCATTGTTTCCGAGTAGTGTCTGCTTAGACGAAGCATTTCCTTCCAGTACAAGGGCCACACAGGCAGCAACTCGCACTTGTTTTACGTCAAGGCACTGTCAACCCAATGGTTATCTTTTCCACACCAGCCTAAACTGCGCCCGACCACCTTCGAGTATGCAGCTGTTCAGTCCGACAGCCTAATCCTGCGATGAATGAGAGCCATGCAATTACAATGCCACCCTCCACCACTAGCAGAAGAAACTGGCCACCAAATGCGCCACCATCCGTCTAGACCGCAGGCAACGGACTGCACAGTAGCAATAGCAACCGTTCTCAGCCTCCAGCCTCAGTCCGCACACAATCGCTCGGTTTTATTCCAGCTGGCGGGGGCTGTTATGTATGTGCTGAGTGCGTGGCTACTTCCCATTGGTAAACATGTGCCCTCTAAGCGACCAGGAGAGCGGAACTTCTCCAGGTCGGTGCTGTTGGGCACTTTGTCAATACATATATGCAATGACTTCCCTCAGCCTGAGATAGCGAAACATGCCTTTTTTCCACTCTCTCGACCGCGGGAATTCATGCGGGCATCGATCAATCAGGGAATCCTAATCCGAAGAAGTGCGGCCGTTACTCAGTTTCAATCGTAACATGAGCAATCCTAGACACACGCCGAACGAAGACAAACAAAGTCTCGTCCAAGATGAGGAACCGGCACCGGCAACAGGCAATGCAGATGTTTTTGTCGACTCGACCGCCCTCGTCAACGACGGACGGATTATACGCATCTTCTCGGTTCTGCAATCAAGCTCGCCAAAGTTGACCAAGGCATGGCTGTGGGTTCTTGCGACGGCGGCATTTTGTGGCTGGACTGTTTCTTTCGCGTATGCTGTCTTCATCAGTCCCAGTCCCGTCTGGCGTTTCTACGACTTTTCGCCCAGAATCACCGTTGCTGTGGTCAATTTTGCCTCTCATCTGGCTGTGTATTTGGCTGGATGCATGATCCAAGCGACCTTCGACGCTGTTTGTTGGGCGGTGATATCTGGTGGGCGAGGAGCTCCTCTCAGGACATTTCTGGTCACGAAACAAGATGCGGGATTAGAAAGTGTGGCTTCGCTGCTCTGGACATATGGAGGACACCAGCTGTGGGGGATTCTCAGGTACAGTACCTCGTGGCAGACATGCAAATATCAACCCCCGTGGAGTGATTTTGAGTAGTCTGACAAATTCAAACAGGCTCGCTCTCATGGTCGGCGGCTGGGTGATCGGCCTGCCACTTCTCAGTAAGTCGTCAACTCTACTTCCCATACCTGACATGATGGCTGACACCCAATTCTCTCTAGGTGGCATATCCTATAGAGACGTCTTCTACCCCAGCCAAACGGTCCCTGTGGTTGGCGGGATTGCCCCTCTCCGCGTGTCGGTCGAAGCGCTGGAAAAGGCCAGCTACGGTGGCCAACAGCCCACCTTCCAAGAAGCAAGCATAAACACAATGCTTATCAGCTCGACGAACAGCATCCTCACTGATCCCAAATTTGTTGTCAGCGTTGCTCCGATATCTCCAGATTGCCGTGGGGCTGATTGCAAGTCTTTGTTCCTGCCTGGAGGTTTGGAACTTGTCCTCAGGGCTGATGGGACGTCTCTATTTGACGGGAACCAGCCCGATGACCCGGTCATCATTGTCCACGACGCCCCGGGATATCAAATAGAGTTCTCGCCCCAGAACTATACCTTCAAGACGGATGTGGACTGTCAGATCTATGGACTGCCCATTTCAGCCCTTTATGCGTGTGTGGCGGGTCGCAACGACACGGTATTCAGTGGTCAGTAAAGCAGACATGGAGCAATTTGGAGCAGCACTAATACTTTGATGATGTTGCAGGCTTTGCAATCTGCCCTTTTGACTTGATGAGCAACGGCGCCTGTCAATCTGATGTATCATGGACAGAGCACCTCCAGGCATCTGTCGCCATGAACATCTACCAGCGCACGTCGACCGTCGCATACGATCGGGCCAACTTTTCGATTCTGGGTATCGAATCATTGGGAACTGCGACGGTGGCAAGTGACGAAGAATCGGTGGCCGACTTGCAAAAGCTTTTCCTCATCATGTACCCTCAATTAACCACCATCCTTCAGGACATTGAAACGGCCCTGGTAGAGTTCAACTCAGGTCAAGCATGGTCAGATCTTGCCTACCTCGCCTCAGTGTACTGCCTCCAGGCTGAAATCACTGCGGCTGAGCTTTTTCTCAACAATAGCTACCCAAGCTGGGTCAATGGCCAACGAGATATTTTGGAAGGCGTCCTCACAATTCCCATCCAGTTCGGGACACTGCTGTTGCAAGAGATCGACAAGTCAATCCTCCTTAACGACTTGACCACGACGGCATCTTTCGCCCACGTATCCTTCCGCGTGAGATCGGAACCCTGGACCATCGTCATGTTCACGTGCGTGGTGTCCGGCCTCGTGATCAGTTCGATCTTGTGCTTGCTGTACGCTCACTGGGCGGCACGGCTGAAGCCTGCGCGTGAGATCTCCCCGACCATTCGCACAGCATTCGAAAATGGAGACCCCTTTGAGGCGCCGCCCGCAAGTACCTGGCAGCTTCTCAGTAATCTCTTCTGCTGTTCTCAGAGGAAGTACTCATCTGCGCTACAAAGCACCAGGTGTGAACAAGACACATATGTCGTTGCACGGAAGGTCACCGACGAGCTTCTGATAGCCGTCGATCGAGAGCAAGACAAGCAAGAATCAGACAGTATTGTGACAGTCAATGAGAAAAGGGCCCTCGGGCCGTCGGCTGGTTGACTTGGACGCGGATATGGAGCCCTTCCGGGCCATGGTCGTTTTTGGGCTCTTGCGAACAAGCAGCAAGATTTGTGCAAGCCGCTGCCTTGAGATTCATAATCTTGACGAGAACTACATTTTCATTGGGTTCGCTCCTCTTATGGCACGTATCCTCCAATTTGGGGGTGTTTTGACTGCTGCACTGGAGCACATTAACCCCAAGTCAGAGCCTCTGCTGAAATTAGAACTTAGTAGATGATGCCACATCCCGAGCTGCTACGCCGGCTGGTATTGTAGAGCCTCTGCTTCGCATTAGAGCAAGCAGGCAACGGGATAGAAAACAAGTGGACTGACAGGAGGTTCATTTGTGCAGTGAGACTCGAGAAGAAAGTGTCACCGTAGGGTTTGGTAGAGGCTGGTAGTGGCTGATGCCTTCTGTGCGAGGAGTTTGAGCCTCGTCTTTGTCGGCTTGTGTATTGTGAGGGTCTTTGTCAATGCCTTACAAGGAGCGGTTGAATGAAAATTTTCAACATCTTTGTTCAGGCGAGTGCTATGCGTCCATTGTTCTGCTCAGGATTGACACAGCACCTCACCTGTATTTGGCCCCAGGAGGTTCCCAGAAGACGACTGTGCTTGTCAAGGATGGGTCCAAGGCGCATAACATCCACATCTGAGCTTGTCTAAGGATGTATGTGCCCCAGGAGGCCGTGGTAGAGAAACAAAATCTCTCTGTAGACGAGGAGTCCGCGACGCGAAAGGGTGCGGTCTCTTTGTTTAATGCCTTAGAGCACTCCACAAATAAATATTGAAAACCCGTGAAAGCCTTGCCGTTCACAAAGTCAAGACAAACAACATTGTCAAGCTGACTTACCTCGACGACAAAGTCCTTTGTGCAAGTCCTCACTGTAAATAGCCGCAGTGTCCATCAGCAATCACACCAGTCTACCACCAAGCTTGTTCAGAATGACGGGAGCCAGAGAGCTACCAGTCATTATCGTCACCCCCCCTCCAGAGGACGGGCCGACGTCAACCGTCAGCATCCTGACGACACGGCACTGGGGGCTCTGGGCCAAGGGAGCCCTGCGTAAGTTGGACCGAACAAACGCAGAGGGGCAGAATTACTTGACCGAGGCCGACGACGACACCGAGCTGGTCGACTTGTTGCCAGTGCGAGAGCCAACTGCAGGTCAGTTATCTACCAACCCAACTGATATGCATTTCACTGAAGGAAGACATAGACAAGTTGAAGCCCACAATCGACATGTTGCAGCGACTCCTGCTAACAGACAAAACGCCAACAAAAGCCACCAAGACACAAACAAGCCAGGACATGGAACTGAAGAAGCTGCGGACAAGCAATTCGTCAACATCGGCGTCAGCGCGGCAGTCACAGAATCAGACAGACTGATATTCTGCAAGGGGCATTTGGCGGTCTTGGAATCAATAAAGTTTCGCGGCGAGATGATGCGGGCATTTGAGCATGAGTGCAAGGTGCCCTGGTTCAATGCAGTCGAGTTTGAAGACGACCCTATCCCACTTCTTCCACCGACAAAGCATATTCGAACGAAAGCATTGGAGCTATTGAAGGATTTCACCGAGAATCCAGTTCAACATATCGAAGACCTCCTTGAATCAGGAGGACAACACGATGCAGAAATTGGTGGTAGGCCCCTGTTTGAGGCTGTTGTGCTGGATGACTGGAAAGAAGAGAGCTGTCAGACATGGGAGAGGATATACGAAGAGGGAGACCAAGAGGAGTCGGATGATGGAAGTTGGACTCTGCGCTGTTGATCAGCTAGGATGGGGAGGTATCCTGGAGGTAGAGCCTCAGTTGTATGGATAGGAATATGGATCAAGTGAACAGTTGACTTTTGTGGTTTTCTGGTGAAGTGAAAGTGACTTGACTTGGTCCCTGCGTCCAAATGCACGATTGCGTCATTAATCGGACGCGTCGAGTCGCGTATTTTCGTGTTTCATTCTCATTGTTCATCCTCTCGAGTCCCCAACAGCATTGACACACAGTCAATTACAGGTCAGAATGGCACCCTCTGCAGTGGAATCGGACAAACAGTCTCCTCCCGGTGACTCACTGGGCTTTCTGCGTGAAAATGCCAATGTCCTGAAGACCCAAACCAATGGAACCGCAACAATTCCATCTCCCGAACCAGCGGACCAATCTGTCCCAGCAAGGACAACAGGCCATGAAGAACATCAATACCTCAATCTAATACGAGAGATCCTGTGCCGTGGCGAACATCGACCGGACCGAACAGGAACAGGAACTCTCTCACTCTTTGCTCCTCCTCAACTCCGTTTCAGCCTCTCACAACCCGCCCCAACCTCACCGACCGCGGACAGAATCCCCATCCTCCCTCTCCTCACCACTAAACGTGTCTTTCTACGTGCCGTTACGACCGAGTTGTTGTGGTTTGTATCAGGCTGCACAACATCGAAACCTCTCTCTGACGCAGGCATCCACATTTGGGACGGCAATGGCTCGCGGGAATTTCTCGACAAGTTGGGATTCGTTGATCGCGAGGAAGGAGACCTCGGCCCTGTCTACGGATTTCAATGGCGGCACTTTGGTGCAGCATACGAGGACTGCCATGCTGACTACTCGGGCAAAGGAGTGGACCAGATCAAAGAGGTGGTGCGAAAATTGAAGACCAACCCATACGACAGGCGGATTATCCTGAGCGCGTGGAATGTAGCCGATTTGTCTAAGATGGCATTGCCGCCGTGCCACATGTTTGCGCAGTTCTACGTCAGTTACCCTGACGCACCGCGAGGGGAAGCAGCTCTCAAGTCGCTCAGCAATCCTTCAGACGAGACCAACAGTGCGAAGCAGAAGTCAAAGGGACATCTATCTTGTGTCCTATACCAGCGCTCCTGTGACATGGGACTCGGGGTCCCCTTCAACATTGCCTCATACGCTCTACTAACGCACATGCTAGCTCACGCGTGCGATCTTGTGCCGGGAGAGCTGATCCATACCATGGGCGATGCGCATGTGTATCTTGATCATATCGACGCTTTGAGAGAACAGTTACTACGTGAGCCACGTGAGTTCCCGACACTCAACATCAAACGGGACGATAGGGGAAGCGGTAACATGGACGGCTGGAAAGTCGAAGAGTTGGAAGTTGTAGGTTATAAACCACATGGAGGGATAAAGATGAAGATGAGTGTATGATTACGACGAAATGGGTACGGGAGTTGGGGGTATGTTCAACATATGTTGTAAAGAAACTTCGAGGAGGCCCAGTATTATTATGTATTGTGATCAAAGTTGGCTAGATGTCCTGCTATGCATCGTCTAGACACCAGACTCTTGTTAATTCTTTCCCTGGATCCTCGATCCAACTAGATTTTCGCTCATTATGCCATGACCTGCGTGTGGCTGAATCGCTCGTCATGCCCATCCATATCCCAGTGAACGCCGTCGCTATGCGCATTATAAGATGGATTTCAAAGCGGTGGAAATATGGCTTGCTGTATCAATTCACTTCGCACTTTCCTTGGGACCAACACCTCTCAGCAAAACCACGGTGTTCCCCGTCGCCAGACAGGCCCCGATCTTTTCGCTGAACTCCAACAGCCGCCCGCCTTCGACATGGTACACCCGTAACCGCTGCTCCTCGGTCTCGACGCGGTTGTTCACGTTGGCGACCTGCAGCCTCTTGGCCGCATCGTCCAGCATCCTGCCGATCGACCAGTCGGGCGAGAAGAAGAGGTCGGCCTTGGGCAGCTTGGCCGTGGTCGAGGCGGCCTCGGCCTCGACGTGGAGGTAGACGCGCTTCTCGGGCGGGAGCTTGTCGTCGCCCTTGGCGTTCTTTTTCAGGGCGTTGAGCGCGGCCACCTGCGCGGCCTTGCTCGTCGGGCCGGGCTTCGGCGTCAACGCCTCCTGCCGCTCCTTGCCCCAGGTCTTGAGGCGTCCGAACCCGATCCGCAGCTTCTCCTTGTTCGACTGCATTGCGATCTCGATCGGCCGTGCTCCCAGCGGGGTGAGGTTCTTACAGTCGTGGTCCTCGCGGAACCGGTGTTTGAGGCAGTACGTCCGGTTGCACTGCGGACAGTGCACGCCCAGGTTTTGGGACGTGTTGACAAACGTCTTGCACGTCGTCTCGGCGCATTGTGTGGCGTTGACGTGGTTTGGTTTACCCTGCCTTCCTCCAGTTGTGGTGGTGCCGCCTGTTTTCCCGATGCTGTTCAGCCGTCTGTTTCTTGCCCATTCGCCCGCCCGCGGACACTTGTGGGCGGTCTCGCTGCGGTGGTCGAGACAGTAGGTGTGGTGGCATGAGTCGCACCGGAAGGGGAGGAAGTCGAGTTGGTGGCAGTAGGCGAATTCGCAGTGGGCGCCGATGGCTTCGACGTCTTTGTCCATGGCGGTATAGGATGACTCTGGGGGGTTTGTTGAGGCAGACATTGTGAGAGGCGGCGACGAAACCGTATATAGAGACGATACTATGACTAATCTGTAATGGAGGCTTTCACGGTGTTCCCTTGCCACTGCGGCAGGCGGAGGGGGAACTCGTCACGGACGCAGAGGATGAGGCTGATAATCTGGGAGGTGGATGAGGCTGGAAGATTCGGGACGCTGCAGAATTCCCCGCGCCGAGGCTGAGTTCAGCCTTGCCTCCGCATTTGTCAGCCTCGTGGCGAATATGCTTTGTTCGTTCTTGCAGCGACCTCTGATCCTTATACTCACCTTACTTGCAGTATGATCATTCCAATCATTATCCAAGATGATTCTCTCTCGTTCCCAAAGGATACCACTGCGTGTCAATGTATATATCATGCCCTATAAGTGTGTGCCTGCTTGAGCCGACTCTAAGTCTCGATTTAGGGCTCAGTCCCACAGCAAGACCGCCTTGACAGTGTCACCACTGAGTACATCGCGGGCAGCCTTCTCGATATCCTTGGCGCTATATGTCTTGATGAGTTGGTCATAGGGAAACAGCCCTTCGTAGTGTGCGGCCAAAAGTCTAGGTAGAAACTCTGGAGGATAGCAGTCTCCCTGATTGCAGCCAATGTAGGTACAGCCCGCATTCACCATTTCGAAAACGTTCAACGACGGTTCTGCCAACAGCTTGGGGGAGAATTTTCGTCAGCTTGTGCAATGAATGGAGAGGAAGTCCAGGGACACACATCTTCGACACCCACTGTCACCACCTTCCCCTTTCTTGCAGCACTGTGCACCAGTTCCTGGATCACCTGGGGCTTTCCTGTGGTGTCTATTGCACCGTCCACACCTCGCCCGTTTGTGATATCCCAGAGGACTTTCATGAGCTCGGGTCGTACTTGGGAATTGACGCCGTGGGTTGCGCCAAATGAGCGAGCCAGCTCTAACCTCGCAGGGACGATGTCCACGGCGATGATCTTCCTGGGCGGCGTCTTGAGCATCTTCAATGCCATGATTGCGGACAAGCCCACGGCTCCGACACCTACAACCGCAACTGTCAGGTCCGAAGTTGGATCGAGCACGTTCAACATTGCTAGTCACGTTAGTCGGTCATCACTGGGCATAGACATGTCGAAGAAGCTAACCTCCAGCGCCCGTCATGACTCCGCAACCTAGAGCCGCGGCCATCTCAAAGGACAAGCCTCTGTCAACTTTCACGAGTCCACTCTGAGAGACCAGGATGTGTCTTGCGAAGCTGCTCTGTCCGAAGAAATGACTCGTGATGGGTCTCCCAGTACTCAGGCTTGAAAAGACTTTTGATCCGTCCAGCCGTCCAATTCCGAGGTTGTACTGAAACCACAGATCGCAGTACGATGTTTGCTTTCGCAGACAGTACTTGCACTCCCCACAAGAGCTGAAGACGACCGTGACGTGATCCCCTTTCACGAATCTCGTAACATTGGATCCTGTGCGCTCAACGACACCTGCACCCTCGTGGCCCAGGACGGCTGGAAACAGCTCCGGCATGGTCTTCTCCTTTGAGAAATTGAGGTCTGTGCGACATACGCCGGTGGCCTTGATGCGGACGAGAACCTCATCTGGCCGGAGGTTATCGTGGAGCTCGAGCTGTTGGTACTGGAAGGGTGCCCCGGGTTTAGACACCACGATGGCGTCGGTGATCATGTCAACGTTGGATATTTGGAAAAATCCCCAATGTCGGTTGGCCCTTGTTACCTCGCACCTGTGCAGCTGGTCAAGTCATTTACATGCAACCTCTGACCACCCAGGTTGTTTGAGGAATGCTTCTTGCCTGTTTCGAAGTGAGTTTGTCTCAAGTGGCACAGCCGGATCCACGCGTTGGAGAGCACAAGTTTGTAGAAAAGTATAGTTGTATACAAGTAGACATGTGGACCAGCAATTCAGAGGTTTTGTTTGCTGGTGGCGTGCGGGGATCGAGTCGAACCACATGCGCCACAAGTCATGCAATCATACATGCACGACGCAGCTTTCAACTCGACTCAGCACCCAACAATGGCTGAAGCTGTGAACTCTGGAGTAGGACTCTGTGGTAGTTTTGGCTGATATTGGCTGACGCTTCAAGTTGAGTGCGTAACGGCAGGCTACAGCCCAAATCCGCATATTCCTGTCGAGATATTAATGACCATCCTTCGCCAACACCTGATTCTGTCGGTGATAGACAAGCACTGCTATCAGTGTCACCCTAATTTATTGCTTTGTGTAAGAGCCAGAGAAGCTGACTGAGCGGGTACCATCAATGTGATGGCCCCGGCTATTCTCCTTCACGATCCTGACTTTCCACACACCAACAATCGCTCTTCCATCAATGAATGAACCCCCAATTCTGACCTTCGTGCGAAACTTGCCACAGCTTACAGACCTCCCAGTATAACTCTTCTTCACCTCACGATCATCACCCATGGATCAGTCACCGAGGTCACCTTTGCAGAAGTCTTCTGTCGATCGTGGGCGCGGCCTGGTGTGCCCAACATGAAGTGCACCTCTCCTACGTGTCCATCTCCACAATACCCTGCATTTCTCAGTGCCGACCTCAAGGCTGTTACAAGGAATCGTCTCATGCCCCCGAGCGCGCTGTACCTATTCGATCAACCCGAGCAAGCAAAGGAGAGATCTAGGGATGTGCTATGCGGGTGGATAAGCTGGCGAGGATTGAAAGAGCAGGGCCTGCCTATCTTTTGACAGTCGGTCAGATCAGAGGTTGGAAAGGAGAAATGAACGGGTCCGATGCCGAATACTGTCGGAATTTTGGGAACATCGGAATGCTGGGAAGAGGAACTGCACCAGGTAAATGTTACTCTCCCTCCTAAAACTCGGCCTATCGACTTCAATGTCTCCCCGAAGCCGTGCGGCTGAGACTGAGTGAGCCTTGCCTAGGCAACACAGATTTTACTACAAGCGAATCCCAAACAGACCCGAAGGTTTCGGCCGACGTGCGACCCCAGCACAGCCACAGCTTGCTTCCCCTCGCATCCGTTCACCAACATCGTCACTGGCCAGATCAATAGAGTTGGTGCCTGAGGACCCTAGAACGTTTTAAGGCCTGATGGTGCCAACTGCTCCGGACCATGTGGCGGTGCCTGACACCTTGGACTGACCTAGAACACAAAACATCTCATCCGCGCATAAGGCGCTTGACCACATGCAGATGATTCTGCGGGAGCACAGGGATCTCGAACCGGGAAAAATGCGTGTGCCTAATCTATTCGATCATTGAAGAGCATGTGGTATCCCTCTTTCCCTGCCTTGACTTCGGTCATGGTAGAGATTAATGTCATGTGTTTATCTACTCCTATCTGCTGACTGATTTTCGATACTGTATTCCTACATATCACATAAGGATTGTAATCCGGGCGTCCTAGCATCGCAGAAAAGCCATATCACACCACTTGGAGCTGCGGCTGGACTACGGCTATTGTTTGTTACTTGTCCATCTTACGCATTGACCTCTTCTCCACGTTATTCTCAATTCTGTATAATTCTGTTGTTTCTGGAAAACCAAAATGTCTTCATCGGAGAAAAGAAGCCTGCAAAACACCGTCGTGGTGGACTCATCAACACCGATCGATCTGCCGCCCTCATACGAACACACCGTCCTGCCTAGCACTAACCCTTGGACTGACAGCCCGTCATCACAGAGTCAAGTGCCTCAACGGACTTCGACACCTCTCCCTGTCCCCTCACAAAACCCGCTCGTGGCCCTGTCCCGGCTGAAGACAGTGTCGTTTGCAAAATACCGGGTCCGCGACTCCAAGCTCTCCGAGGACCAGACCGTCACCACGACCACCAACCCGGAATTGACATCCAGTTCGACTTCGTCATCGACCTCACGACAGCAGCAAAGGACACTCCTCAAGTTCATCCGCGAGCAGGCATGTCTGCCGCCGAAGCCCATCATGGTGATCCGAGGGACGCACGGGAATGGCATTACCGTGGTGGATTTCGATCTAAAGCTGAACTTGACGACCATGTTGGACTTGGACTGGGGAGGAACCGAGAGCGGCGGGGGCCGGGTCAAAGTTAAGCGGTACCAGCATGGCTCGTCGAATGGGTCGCCAAAGCAGATGACGAGGGAGGAGATGAACATGTCTCCCTTGGAATTGTGGACGAAGAAGTTTTGTGAGGACAAGGCTGAGAACCGAAGGTGAGTTGGCCGCTGTTGGATCTGCGTCGATTCCTCATACTGCCTCATGCCCAAGCCCATGTCGGATTGTGTTCTGCTCAGACCTCCAATATTCGCCTTACTACACCCTCCACTACTCGACTCATTATGTTACTACTTGTCTCCTTTTCAGCTTTATCAGGCTCCTCTTCCACCCCAGTAATCAACAGCCAAGGACCACCGCATATTTCCTTGATTTTCCAGCCTCTTTATCTCCCGTAACGAATAACTAACCACATATCTCGCCATCTAGCTTCGCGCTGCACCGCTCGACACCAAACCTCCCGATCGCTCTGCTCGAGGGCTACGCCCGGAATCTCCTAGCCACAGTCAAGTACCGGGGCAAACTACACGTGGAGTTCCCAATCCAGTACTCAGACGTGGTGATCCAGCGCAAATCGAGCAACTGGTTCACCAACATGCTCCGGCTGTATCCGACTAAGAAGTACGAGGTCGTCGAGGTGGAGTGGCCCGTCATCGGTACCGTCGCGGACGACCACGGCGGCGGCCAAGGAGACTCGGATGAAACAGCTGCAGCAAGAGGGTCGAACGCTCCGTCATCGTCGCCACCACCGTCCTCTAGACCGGCATACCAGCGCACAGGGACCGGAGGTGGTACGACAGCCGCAGAACCCACCTCTTCAGCATCCTCCACCTCATCCTCGTCCTCACCTCACCCAACCGGCAGCGGACCCGGAGAAGGCAGCGACCGGACGGGCCTCCCGTCGCTCGTCGCGCAGGAATGGTGGCGGGAGTGGCAGTTCGCGATCCGGAACGCCGTGCTGTCGGGCCGCAAGGGTTGGGTCACGGTGGAAGACTGGATGGAGGCCAAGATGGGGATGAGGGAGAAGGAGAGGGCGAGGGAGTGGGGAGTTGATCACGAATAATGACCATACCCTCTCTCTTCTCCATTCAGCCTTTACCCCTTTAGTTATTATTGCGCATTCTAGTTTTTTTTGTTATTCCAAGGACGGACTACCAATCCGGATGGATGAATGTGACGTGACGGACATGACGGATACGGCCCAAAAATGTCACCCTATCTATATCTATGTGCAACAACGAACCACAAAATACCTACCCGCAGGAGGGCAGTGGACCAAAACCCCGAAGGTTTTAACGGATTGATGGAATTCCCCCTTTTCTTTTCTATACCCCCATGAGCGACCACGCAAGCAAGCAAGCAAGCAAGCAAGCAAGCAAGCGAGTTCTCTCTTTCCGCATCACCCCTTTGGTCCATCTTAGTTTTCATTTCTATGTTCCCCCCATGTGTGTATTGGTTGAAGACTTGGATTGAGAGGATATACGTATGTATGGCACACACAATGGTTACAGGGATTTTGCATATATTCTACAGGGAGATATATGTGACAGATGGACAGCGCTATGGAATGAATTGATGAATTGATTGAATGAATATATCGATGAATGACCGAGACTCCTCCATTTCCCACGGCACGGATTGGACTTGATATCTCGACCGGTAACTAACCGGGCACGTAACTGATTGATTGATTGATTGATTGGTACGATACCTGGCCTCTCGCTATCCCCCGCAAAAGGCTGAGGTGGCCACAAGTCCACGAGTCCACGACCCTGTATAGATACAGTGATCGATGAACCGGGGGAATATGATATGCCGCCCGTCTGTGCTTTGGTCTACTCGGCAACGTTTGCGTGTTTGTGGTTATTCTTCGTATTGAGCGGGGTTCAGGAAGGGAGTAAAGACAAAAGAGTCAGTAGATGGCAGGAGAACGGTGGGACAGGACATGCATGATATGGGATGGAATGGTATGTTATTCCTCTGCTATGAAGCTTGAGGTTTATTGACACCAGCTATTTCTCTTGCTCTGCTACTGCTTTAGTCCTTGCTCACGCCCGCGCTCATGCCTACGCTCACGCTCATGTTCTGCTCGCTCCGGCTCCAGTTCTCGCTCCAGCTCCAGCTCTCGTTCCAGTTCCAGGTCCAGCTTCAGTTGTGTTTCCAGTTCCAGCTGTTCTTTTCCGATATGCCCTCCTCTCCAATATCTGGGGCCACAGCTCTTTACATATCGCCGCCGATACCTAGGGTACATCGATCCATCTCCGTCTCTTCACAAGCCACAAGCCCAATTCGTAGACAGAGCGGAGAGTTCCCAAGGTGCTCAGGACATGTTTTGCAGCGGAATGATTTGTTACATGGATGACGATGATGATGGCAAACATGGCTCGTTTTTTTCTGGTGGCGGTACATTTGTCTTCCCAACTGACCAGCCAGGCCAACCGCACAAACGACGAACCAACCAACCAACAAGCCGAGTCATCAAGAATCCTGGGTAATGAGTAACGGGTATCCTGCCGATATTTGATGTTTTTTTGTCATGCTCGTTGTTGAGTGTTTGTTGTTGTTGTTTACACGATGGGAAGCTCTGGCAAGGACTCGTCCGAGTCGTTCTGCTCGTCGTCCGCGTCCGCAGCAGCAGCAGGGGGCGGCGTGCCGTCGTCGTCACTGCCACCACGTTCTAGTGGCGGGCGGGTGGAAAATCCGAAAGCCAGGGCGATTCTCTTGTACCACTCATCGTCCGACGGGTAGTCGGGGTCCCTCGGAGGTTTTCCCAGCATCTTCGCCAGCCAGAGCCGGCTGGAAGCATCCATTTCAAGCGCGTCGGTCACATCGTCCGGTTTAAAGCTCTCCACCACGGTCTTGAGACCTCCTCTCGCCTTGGTCATCGCGTTGAACTCTTCTGCGGTCATGGTCTTTGTGACTCCTCCAAGTCCTTCCGTCTGGACTTTCAAACAACAGGCGTCGAGGTCCAGGATCGGCGACATTCGGTACTGATTGTTTCCGTGGTCAAGTACGATCCAAGCCATGTTGAAGGTGTGTTTTGGCTTCTCTGCCTCTCCCTCGACAGGGCGGGGATAAATGACTGGAGCGACTGGAGCCGGAAGACCAGAGTCGGGAGCCGGAGTCGCCCCAAAGCTCTGGGCAATGTCTGCTGCGACGACTCTGCTGAACCACCTCGTCCCCTCCAAAGCCGTCTGGGGCAGTTCTTCGCACTTGTTGAACATGTATTTCTCGCGGTTGAGTAGCACGAGCTTCCTGGCCTCCTCGCTCTCGATGATGATGAGTGGCTTTTTTCTCTTGACGCAAAAGTCTCTGGCGTATGCGGTGCCGAAAAGGGTGCATCTCAACCAGCCCGCGTCGACGACCCGTTCGGCGTCTGGCCCGCCTTGATCCGCTTTGAAATCGGCGCCAGTTACAGAGTATGGGTGGTAAAACTCCTCAGCACACATGGGGCATCGCAGCGAATGGCCACGGACGGTACCGAGCTGTTGTTTAATCCAGTCCAGAAGGCAGGTCACCGGCCAGCTGTTCCTACAACTGTTGTTTCTGCCAACATGGGTGAGGACCTCGACGTTGGGTCCCACGGGTCCACGACACCAGATGCAAGTTTCGTGATCTCGGGGACCGCGCCCGCGCCCTCGTTCCCAGCCAGACTGGTACAGGGCAAGCAGACGAACGAGGTTGTTTCTATCAGTCATGTCGACATCAGGGTGGATTGTTTCTGGGTCCAGTTCCAGGCAAAAGGCAGTGGAAGTCATGATCCCGTCGTCGTCCTCTTTGGCCGGCGTGGCTGGTGACTCAGACTCAGTCGTGCTTGAATTTCCGTCGTCGGCCTGGATCTGAGATTCGGAATCTGGTGCTGCAGACAGTGACAAGGTGTTGAGAGACTTGGTACCGTCGCTATCCTGGGATGTTGCCAGCGACTCCTCCTTGGGAACGCCTTGTGCGTCGGCCATGGCTGTGAATGGGCTGTCAGGATCTTCACTCGCCATGAGAATGAGGAGAAGAGAAAGAAAAGAATGAATGAAGGATCTGGGGGCGCGGTTTTGTTTGCTGTTCAGTCCTGAAGAATCCCCAGCCGCGCCGTGGTTGAGGCTAAAGAGGGGCACAGCCGCGCATACAAATTCAAGGCCGGACATTTGCAATATAAACCAGGCGTGCGCGGAACCTCTTCAAGCCCTGCAATTTGGTTGGATCACAGCCCTGGAAACATGACAAGTCTGATTTGGTTCGTTTTTCTTGTTTGGATACTAGAATTCTCTGTGTTTGTCGTTCGTGGCCAAGAGAAACCACGACGCAACCATGGCGCTGGGTCCGCAGCCCAGGACAACGAGGCAAATGCTATACTTCCACGATCACGATGTGAGGTGGGTATCAAGTTCCTCCATAAACGAATGCTTCTTTCTCTCCCCTTGCTTATCTGGGAAACGCCGCTGACCCATGGTCTTATTAAAAGACATGGTAGAGCCAGACCGCTGAAATTACTGCGTCGAGTTTAGGGCATGCTGTCCCAACCAAGCCCAGCCTCCAACCTGAAATGCGGATCAAGACCAGACTCCGATTGTCCCATCATTCATCTAGGACATGAGACAATGAGCAAGCGACCATCATAAGAGAGTGTTGTCCAACGCCTGTCCCGTGCAATGGATGGCAGACCGAGCGCTGAACTGCTCTTCGAAGTGCAATCTTGTCAACCTTTGCTTTATTGATCGTCCAGAAGAGGTGCCCGTTCTCGATCCTCACTGACAATCACACCTTCATGTCGAGCGCTTCGATCTGCTCCAAAGAGTTTGGGAGCACCCACTGCCAGGGACAGGACGAACAGGATGCCAGCGATGATAAAAGCAAAGATCCACTGGAAAGCTACGACCTTGGTTGCAAGTTGGCCCAGAGCCAGTGCTGTTTAAGTCAAGTTAGCAAGAAGGATCCAAAAGACAGCACGGTTCAGCTCACATAAGGCGAGAATCGTCAACTCAAACCCCATGGTATAGTCCTTGAAGACTGCAAGGAAGAAGGCACCCAGCATGAGAATGCCCCAAATAAAGATATTGGCGACAATCCGTGCAGGCAACCTGGTAGCGCCGGGAATCATCACCGCACCATTCCAGAAAATTGCGACATAGTTCCAGGCTAATGGAGCGGATACGATGGGGATGTGAATGATCAAGGGGGTGGTGGGATGGCCAAAGTAAAGAGCTGTCAAGTTGAACAGGTTCACGATGAGGAGGAGTTCGCCCTGCCAGAAATACGACCGAACCCAAAGCAGGATGAAGCCAAAGGACAAAAGATTGTGCTGGCCGATCATGTTAGTAAAGCTGTGTCTACTCCAATGTTCAAAGCCGTACCAGGATGAAATGCGAGCCCACATTGGCAGCATTAGTCACGTAGCTCTTCTCTGCACTCCAAAGAAATCGCACATAGTGCGCCTGCAAGATGAGGACAACGACCCAATAGATGCTTGTTAGCACCGAGTTGACGCTGAACCCTGTCGGATGGCGATTGTTCTGCCCCCATATTGTGTGACAATGTCTGTGATGTTTGCAGTCGGTAGGACGCTCAAAGGTATAGACTGCCCCAAATATGACGAGCAAGAGCCAGCTGGCTATCGTGAGGACCTTGTAGGCAATGAGATTCTTTTGGGTAAACTCTTCGCGCTTTGCGAAAGGATTGTCTACAAGCATGTGTTAGCAGAAATGGTTGAGAGAAAGTTCGCAGATTGAGCAGTTCCATACAGTCTATGAGAGCCATCTCGAGTGCCTATAGCCGAGTGGGAAGATTGGAATGGTTTATTTCTGCAACAGCTGTCTCCAGAAAGCAACCAGGCACAGCGATTGTTTACGGAAAGGGGATTGAGAAAATGAGGGATAGTATTGCAAAGGAAGATGAACTTGAGCAGGCAGGGTCAATCCAACAGCAACGGCGGTAATACCCGGCCCCTGCTTCTCCAAGCTGTCCTCGTGATCGACCTGGGCACGCCGGGGTCTTAGCAGTGCAACGATAGTCTGAAGCAGGGAGAACAAGAAGTAGAATAGGGGATTGATTTGCATGCGGGAAAACGACTCCAGCCATTCATCCGTTGTCGAGCTCGAACAAGAATCGTGGGGAAATGACGTCAAGAGAATAGGCCGCCACCACCGCCCTTGGTGCCCTCACGTGCTAGCCAAATCCCCTCATGCATTCCCTCTGATAACACTTTCACATGCGTGGTACGGTGGCCGGACATGGTAGGGCAGGTAACAAAGACATGATCACTAGACCACGCCTTGTTGCTTAGACACAAGCAGACACAGATTAGGCCGCAAGGCTGGAAAAAGCATTATGCAATATCTCACATTATTCAGATATTGGCTACCAGCAAATAGTGGGTATATGTGTCTGACAGATCACCGCCTGCTCAGAACTTGGCCATAGCGGCCTCATATGCAAACCCCAGCGTCATCTTCGCATGTTGAAGCATGTGGTCAAAACTCAGGTACTTAATGAGATCGTCCGTGGTGTGGATTTTCTTATCCGAATATTCAAAATCCGACTCGATCACAAACGCCGAGGGATAGCCGTATTTGCTGGCTGAAGCATGGTCGGAACAGGCATATCCACATTTGGTCAATGTGTAGGGGATATCACAGTAGACGGTGATAATGCCTTCGACGAATTTTGTCAATGCTGGGTCCACAAAGTCCGTAATCACTCCGACCGATTCAGGTTTGCCATGTGCGAGGGTCTGCTCGATGTACCCTGTCATGTCTTGCTGAATCATGGCCTTGATGTCCCTGCCTTCTTCAGAGTAGGACTTGAAAATCGCCTGGCTCCCAAGGAGGCCACCTTCCTCGGCCGAATACCAGTGGAACTCGATTGTATTCTCACTAGAGCCGTTCACGATCTTGTCCGACTGCAACAGGGCCGTCATAGCCTCGAGGATGGTCACCGTCCCACTGCCATCATCATCGGCACCGGGTGCACGGAGGTAGGGAAAGAACATATTGACACTGTCCAGATGTGCACCAATCACAATCGTGTGGTTTGTTCGTCCGGGGAATCGAGCAATGATACTTGACTGTCCCCAGGAATGCGGGAACAAGTCAAGGGAAGCGCTGTAATTGAATGCGCCGGATGCTTCGATGACTTCCTTGATTTGGTCATGCAACCACAAAGCGGCATCAATGCCTGTCTGGCTCCTGTAATAGCGCGTGTGGAATGATGTGAGACCTTCCAGGTGCTTGCGCATATTGTCCTTGTCTAACGTCTTCGTCAAGGCCTTGACCTCGTCCATGTGCTTCGGTTTCGAGGGATAGACGATCGCAGCCGACCGGGATACCTCTGTGTACGGATATGTGTCTTTTGTTTCGGTGATGTCCATAAATTTGACTCCATTCTGTTGCCCTCTGAATTAGCAGTGTTCCATGTGCGGATAAAGCGAATGGTGTAGCACATACTCTCATAAGCTCCCATTTTTCATCCTCTTCAACCCATCTCGTTTCTCCTGGACTCAATTCAATCAAGAACAGTTCCTCAGTCGATAACTGGTCATCTTGAGGAATTATTGCATGTTGAGAATGAGTCTCGACTGATCGTGCGAAAGCGGAAGCGGCTAGCGACGTGACCAGGAGCTGGAGGGACCTCATATTAATCAGTATGTCGAAGGTCGAGGAAAAGAACGTGTGAATCAAGAGCCCGAGTGGAATTCAACAGGCTATAGGCAGGCTCTGTAATCGGTACTTGGTGTATTCCCTTGAATCGCCCTATGCGGATGCAGGACGGATGTTGAATTGCATCTGGGTTGGAGACGCAGGCACCAGGGACTCGCCATCAGCTTGTTGAGCTTCCCCAGCGCCCGCCCCCTCCCCCCCACTTCAGCAGGGCAGCAGCCCCTTTAGGTGACTTGCCTTGACTGTGCTTGTATGGTCCTCATGCCCAACTTGGATCGCCTACTTAGAGCACTTCAGATCCGCCGCTACCTAGGAATGCATCGCACTTTTTGGCCAAAGCAGATAATACTAAGAGTCATTGTGATACATACGTAGATTTTGTCATTGCTCACTATGGACTATCAAGCTTAGTATTATATCCACGCAGCTTCCGTCCATCGTTGACTCATGTTCAGTCAATCCTGCCGGCACGATGTTTAGGGCTTCTTCGTCATTCGTCCGCAGCCGAGGGGCCATGACTCCCACTAATAAATGTGCGAACTTGCAGGTCTCCAACTGCGGGCGGGAGTGCAGGTCATCTCTATCTTAGGGGCAGCTTCAACCGCACGTCCTTAACAACTTCATCTTTCGCATCCTATCAATTTACTTCTTCCACAGACCTTTCTTCATCTCCACGATTGTGGTGCGTTTGCTCCGCTGTCAGCTTTTGGTTGTTCGTCCTGCTCGTTTCTTTTGCCACTGTCTTGCAGACCTGACGCGGTATCAATCAGTTATCATCAACTATCATGACTGTCGTTCCGATAATGGCTGCACCTGAGGCATTCGCACCGATGATTCCTCAAAGCACCGAAGAAGTGACTGCTCGGATGAATAAAGTATCTGTTGATACTTTGTCGACAACTGAGCGTGCTCACGTTGCTACCAATGCGGTTCGGATCACCCTTCCGACTGACGCCACCACGAGAGCAGCGAGCATCACTAAGTCAGGACTTTACGCCGATCGCAAGCTTGTCCGTCGCGACAGTTTGGAACGTCGCGAAGCCTTTCTCAAGGGCAAGGAGGGGTCACGACAGCGACGCCGATGGGAAAATGGTATTCCTACACCTACCCAGAGATGACTGCATGAAGACTGAAGAAAGTTTTAACGCATAGATCGCCTACTGTCAAACCCTTGGGCTGTTCCTCCCCTACCTTCTGACTGGGAAATCCGTCCCACCTACCCTCGAAGAACCGTGCCCTACTATCTCGCTCCGCTATGGGATGCTGCCGAGTTTCAACGGGCCGTCGAGTCCAAGCTCAAGGGCCGCCGGGAGAGCACGCGAAATCAGGGGAAACGCGTCCAGAACACTGGCATGAGTCCCATGGAAGAAGCAGCGACCAGCATACCCAAGGAAGTACGAGCCAAACTCAAACGCGCCAAAGCCGCCAAGGGATTGCTCCAGGATTTGGAGGAAACGGTCCGAGCTTTCGTGCGCAAGTGGAACGAGAGAGAAATTCGTCTGAGGAGAGATGGTCTGCATGATATTCCTCTGACGAGCGACAGCGAGGACGAGGAGATCGTCTTTATTGGTCGAAATGGAGCCATGCACGAATCAACCAACAAAGAGCAGAGAGATAAGGATGATATGGCGTGGGACGAGGACGAAACAATTGGCACGGAAAAAATGGTCTTTGAGGGTCTGGATAAAGACAAGGGCGCCGCCTTCGCGAGATGGCTGGTCCATTGCGTGGGCAGCTACTATGGGTTGCGAACATGGAGTGTGACACGAGACATCGAGGGTGGAGAAAAGAGAAGGCAAGCCTATGTCGGCGTAGACAGCCGGGCGAGAGGATTCCTGGGCCGAGGCGTCGAGGTTGGTCGCGATATCGAACTTCCACGCCCACTGTGGGGGATGGTGTGATGCTGATCCGACCCTTTGCGCGGACTTCGGCTGGAATTTTCGTCGAAGTTTGGTGATCTGTATACAAGTGCGACTACTTTTCTGCCGTGAGTCTCTGGCCGTGGAAAATCATACAGTCCAATTGGCCGATTGTAGACCATTAGACAATTAAATTGCAACAGCAATTTCGTGATTCGTCCATCGCCCATGTTTCCAGAACTCTCGTTCATGGGACATCTCACGCTATAGCTGTACTTGTGTGCTGATCAAGCCTCCTGCGAGCAGGACCCTGCAGACCTAGGCTGTTGCACTGGCATGGAGTAAAAGTCGTGAGAATATCTGGTGGTGGAGATCGTCCGGGCCACGCAGCCAAAAAGCAGCCCGGCTCCTCGTACAACAGCGTATCGCAGCGAATAGAAGGAATTCTCGACGGTCACTGATAAAGCAAAGCAGAAGTAATTTCCGAGCCAATGGAACACCCCAAGTTCATCTCCCAGAAGCAAAATCCGTGACGTCTGCGTTGATGTCGACGGGAATGGATGTAAGACGGAGAGAGAGAAAAAAACACAGGTAGAGTATCACCAGCGGCACGACTCGGGGAGATGTACGAGCTAGATGGAGAGCAGGTAGCATTTGATCGACAGGAGCGAGTCTGTGAAAGGTGGGGGTGGGAACTGTACCTCGTACTAGTAGCGATGTCTACAAGTCGTGAGAGGCTGTGCAAATGGGACGTATTCGTTGTACGGACGTGTGCTCGAAAGGCGCATGGCGAATGGCGAATGGCGAATTTAGGAATATGACAGTGACAGCGGGTTGACTTGCGCGGCAGACGACCATTGTAGCAGTCATCCTACGCTGAGGCGTCCTGGGACAAAAACGGCCTGCGATAACGGGGGGTAACTGGATATGGCGCCACGCAGAACCGAGGATGGGGATCTCAAGTTACCCCGTTCCAGACCCGGCCTAAGCTGCAAAGCTCATGCGAACACCCCCAGCATGAAGCTCACAGTTCGCATTGGAGTGCAGGCGGTAGTCCATAGGGGAGCTGGTGCCCGCAGATTTTTCAGAGATCGGGTTTCAAGAGCTCTGAGCAACCACAAACCTCCTTGGCCGATGCTCCGAAACAGCTGTGTACACAGTAGTCAGGTACATGCGAACGTTTAGGGTATCCAAACAACATTACAAGCACAAGGAAAAGCAAAAGTTGGGCATGAACCGTCTCTCATCGCCGGCGGTTTGCGGGTCGAGCCGTTGCTAGTCGTGGCTGATCCCAGGCGATGCTACCTGGCAAATCTCTCGATTTGGCATTGGTTGCATGACTTTTGTCCAGATTCGTCCTAAAATGCCTCACACCCGATGATTATGATCTTGTTGCCTGACTCAGATTCGTTATAACCGCACGTGCTCGCAATGGAGGGCTGAGGGGAACTTCTTGTTAGAGCTCTAATGCTCCAAGATGCATGATGACCGACCCAGTGCTTGAAAATGAAGCGAAACAATGGCTGCCCAAATGATGGTATTATTATCGGCAGGACAAAAATATGGAGACACTTCACCTGCAGCACTGGAGACGAACCCAAGGCATTTCTTTTGGTGGTACAGAGGCGCAAGGTACAGCATCCGGCAGGGAACACATGTTCATGGGTACTCATTGAGCTCCGAGGGCAGTCCAGAAAAGGCACGGGCATTGCAGACCAGCCAAGATCAAAGCAACGTATCGAAACGGCCGACAGGTGACATGGCCAGTCTCAGTACCAATGAAGTGGTGCCACATATTGCCGCAAACTAACAAAGGAGCCAGGAGTTTGTAAGAGCTTCGGCACAGGTTGAATTAAGGCATTCCGCTAATCCTATTACAGTCTAGCGGCTTCGGCCCACTCCCGCCAGACCCGACCATCGGATTTTTCACTTTTTCTGTTTGACGTGGCCCTCGACTTTGCACAGCCTGCGCCGTCACCTGTTTGACACCACGAAGCCATCGGTCTGACAGAAAGGGCAGACCCCATTTGCACGGGGAAATCCCCGTCATCTCGTCACCTGGCGATATTCACTGCCCCCGTCTGACAGGCAATATGCTCGATATTTTCCGCTGTCTGTCGCGGTCCACATGGGTGTCCATTTTTTGCCATCTCCACCACGAGAACCATTGTTCATCCAACCATCCTTCAACATGCCCGTGGTGGCCGTGGCCCTGTTCTCCGTTGAACAACTTTCTCGCCACCATTGGCATTGCACTGTTTTTATCCGCCTTCGGCCTGCCGTTTGCCTCCCACGCCACGGACGGCCATGTTGGCGCGACCCTGAATGGGTCTTGTCCGGGCCACTGTTACCCCCATACTTGCACAGTCGATGGAGGCTGTTCGCTAAGCAGGATCACTAAGATACCTCAGCTGAAGATTCACATCTCAGCAAAATCCGGATGTAAAGTGATGCCGCAAGAAAACTGGTAACCTACGGCAGGTCCCGGCCACACCCGCCATCTTGCTCTGCTGGCTTGTTCTCCCCTCCGTCCTCACGAATCCCCCATAGGGCATGTACGACTGCTGCCGCGCCATCACCTGCGCCTGTCCTTCCTCGTGCAAGATGGCTAGAGGAGGTTGACATCGCCCTTGTCGCCCTGTGGAGTGACCTGGTCACTGAAGTCTGTTTGCTTTTGATTCTCGTCACCAATGAGCGTAACCGTCTCGCTTCTTTTTGATATGCCGTCGACTTCGCTATCTTGAGTCTTTCTTTATGCCGTGGCTTCATTACTCTACAACCCTTCAGACATTTCTCTTTATCATCAAAGACTAGAATTTGCTCTCCTATTCCCTTACAGATCAACACCGCTGTCAAACTTCACAACTTCTTTCGAGCATAGCACATCTTTTCAACACTATGGCCCGACGTACCCAAGCTCGGACTTGGTCGAAAGGATCTGCTACTTCTATGAGCTCCACCTCGACCCGCAGCGACCTGTCCAGCCATTCCAGCCTCTCCAGCTACACTCAATATACCACTCAAACCTCTTGTAGCGACAGCAAGCCCATCGTCAAGCATCACCACAACTATGAGGAGCGTGAGATTGTTGACGGGCATATGAGCCCTTCTCACGAATATGAACAAGACCCTCGAGCATCAACCGAGACATATACATCCACAATCGCGTCTGACGATGATGACAATGATTCATCGAGACCTCCCAGCTTATGTCCCTTGATGAGACATATATGCTACAAGCCTGATGCGATCCCAACCACGCCTGTTGAATTCGGAGAGCTGTTTCCTTCCACGAGAAGAATCCTCATTCAACACGACGACACCACCCCCGATGGAAATCTGAATCTCCGCATTGATACAGAGTTGGCCATCTCCAGAGGACACAAGTTGAAGTTGACTCTGTTCCATCTTCGCATGTACGATCTTGCCGAACGCCAGTTCTCACTTCGTCGATATCAGCGGCAGTCGGGTCGAGAAGTCTGCAACTCGAAGCGGAAGTATCTGAAGCCGGTCGCCCAGAAGTCATCATCTCCGTCATCCTCAACTCGGCGGCGCTCATTTACCTCGACCCTCGCCAAGATCAACCTCAGAACACTGAAGAGCAAGCCTCGGCCGAAGCCGGTTCAAGAGATCCGAGACGAGGAGTCGGACGACGATTTCAGTTCCTTTGCCGCACAAGTCGACGTCAAGGCCACTATTCCCACAGACACTATCAGACTCGAGTTTTCGAATTACGCTCAGGTCGACCTAGAGCGGAGTAAGACAGGAGATGGCAAGTATGAGTTTGAGTATTGGGGTGAGCGGTATTCTTGGAGGCGGAATATCTATCGGGATGAGTCCGAATTGGTCTTCTCTTTTGAGCTGATCAAGTCATCTTCAGGGGTTTGCATTGCTCATATCACTCCGGACAAGCTGTCACAAAGACAAAGCCGGCAAGAAGCGGTGCTGGGTGGTTGGATTCCACCGTGCAGTTTGCGGCTGACGGAGAAGGACATCTCGAATGACTTGGGAGACGTGATTATGGCAACCGGACTCATGTCTCTGGTGGATGACTGCATCAGGAGACACTGGGATGAGCCACACCGCTCTTGATCCAGGAATGGTTGACCAGTCTCGGACGGCACTTTATTGACTTGTTCTCCTCCTCTCATCTCGATCTTTTCTTCGGTCTGAACACAAACACGGGACTGGATTTCCCCTTGCGGCGGTGTTACACAGAGCTACTGGCGGTGTAGAATACATCGCGACGACGAAATGGAAAGGACGTGGACGATGGACTGTCGAGACGTTGTCATTGTCGAATCCGTCACATTTCTTGTACAGAATTTGCATTGGGCTAAGTTGTGGCCGAGGGTTGACTAAGGCAATCATGTCTGGACAACCGCGGGCAGGTCAGCGCTGGAAACAACGCTTGGACGACGGAAATCAGGAGGTACAGGACACGACATAGCCTGAATGGATGGATCCATTCTGCATGACTCGTGTTCCACAAGATGAATAGCCGTTGGAAATGTATAGCTAAACCGATGCCATGGTATAGTTGTCCACGCTTTCGTGGGACGAAGCTGTACAAATAAAAAGCACAGTTACTTTTATTGAGACATGACAAGTCATTTACTAGAGACTGACTGGGTATCTGGGTATGGTACTAGGTATTTAGGCGGTTGTATGTACTTCCTCGTATGGAGTATTCGACCTGAACAAACTTGTATAAGACCAGTCTAAGCCATATTGGAAATTAGTGTCTTGGCTTCCGTCATTCGCTGCTGTGATTGGCTCCTCTACCCCTGCTGACCAAATGGCCTTCCACGTCCGTTGTCCTCATTTGCGCCCACTCTGTTTTTTGTTCCTCTTCTGCATCAGCTCCAACCATTATGCCTCCATCATCCTAGACAAGATGCTACTGCTGCACAGCTCTCAAAACTCTTGCCACGCTTTGACGGCTCAATGCCGCGTTACTTTCTATTGAACACCACTGCTTACTGTCTGCCTAAGCTTCCCCAATGTTCCCTTGTCAGTTAAGGTCTCAGAGGCAGGGATCTCGCCTCCCTTTTCTTCAGACTTTTTTGGCCCTCATGCGTACCCCCGGCCTTTGCTTTGGCCCGAAACGACTGGATACCTCAGAATCAGGTTCTTTGTACTCCGGGGTTGTTACTAGGGATCGTGTTACTCTCCCACCGACTAATTAATCCTCATTATCAAATCGTTACCCGCATCCTCGCCTCTCACCTTCTGTCTGGCTTGTCCTCTAGGAAATGTACCCATAGACCTCCATCCTCCGCCACTATACCCAATCTCACAGAGCAGGCACTCGTCATTCTCGGGCGGCAGTTCGGTTCAATGCGAGACGTGGATCGATCTCATGCGTGCTCTGACACACACACACACACACACACACACACACACACACCCCCCGTCCAGCTCAGATTGCTGCCCAAATGCAAAATTATTCCCGAAAGCATCGAAGGCGACCAATAAGGAAACCAGCCCTGATTTTTGACGTACTCTGAATGCAGCAAGAGAAAAGGGAAGATTACAATCCTTGTTCGGAAGCTCCCTGACTGCTTCCAAAATCTCCACGACCATCAAGTCGGATTGATGTGGACATATCACCGATGGAAACAGTTTGTGCTATTTTTTTTCGCCGCTATCTTGCATTCGATCGGTCGGCACCAGCGGTGCCGCCCCCACTTGGATATTGCCATCCGCCATTAAATGGTTTCCTTCTAGCCTTTCGTGGGCCCTTTCCCCCAATTCTTTTGATTGTCACAGAGTTCTCTTTTTTCTACGCCATCATGCATATCATCGCTTGCGCTTGGGGCCGGACCTTTGGTCCCACTACTGTACGCTGCCGGATACCTGATGTGTTGGCAGCATCTCTCTGGTGAGGCTGGTGGCTCTGTTTTTTGCTTTGCGTTCTTCCATCCCATCCTCTACCCACGTTTGACATCTCACGTCCTCTGCAGTCTCGCTCCTTTGTACCACGAAACCTTTCATAGATGATGCCAGGGCCGCTGGTCAATCGATGCTCCAAGTGTCACGAGATCTCAGATCATGTCGCACAAAGTCAACCTATCTCCTCGATGTTCAGTTGTTTTCAATGCTGCCCTACCTTGAAATGAAGCGGCCTTGATAGACAAAGGACTCTGTCGTGGAAAGGAAATACTGGAGCACCTGCAGCTCGCCTTCCTTGATTTTGGCACTCGCTCAGTCACTTTGTTTTGCGTCCCTAGCTGAGCATTCGAGCTACCTTTGGGATCTCTTTGAATATAAAGTCCATTCTCTTCGTCACGCCGGGTGATTCTGGTCATCATCTTACTTCGGCCCTTTCCTTGTCAACACGATCAAATATACTCGACGAAGACATCAAGTAATTCGATCAAGAGCTCTCGCCATCCAGCCAAAGACCTGTCCACGTTTGAAATCTAACATGGCTACCAAAACCCACAAGACCTGGCAGGAAGAGCTTGCTGGTAACACTCACACCGCTACGCCCGCTGCATCTTTGGCTGACTTTGCTGATAGCTGAGTGTCGGAAGCTGAGACTGCCTGCTCCCCAGTTCAATATTGTTTCTGATCGTCGAGGTGAGTTCGTGTACCGAAAGGTCCCTCTTTCGGTCATTCTACTAGAAATTTTTCTCGATATCGCCCGGACGCTGATTTCTTCTGCTTGGCTTTTCAGGTGGCCGTACAGCTTGGTCTGCGACAGTCACAATTCAGGGCCAGAATCTTGCAGCAAGATATTGGTATGATGGGCAATACCTCAACAACGCCAAAGAAGACGCTGCAGAAGTCGCCTGCACCAAACTGCGCAACCCGTCGATCACCGCTGGTCAGTCCACGGTCTACCGAGCACAGTCGGGCTATGGTGGGCCCTGGGCTCGCTGAGTCTAGTGTCGCGATGTGCGTTTGAGAGCAATACAGGGTTTGCAATCAAATCCAAAGCTGCGGGCAGGATACGAAGTCGCATTTCCGGTGGGGAAGTTGTCTCAATACCTGCTGTGTCCAATGGGGCAAAATAAGGGTTTCGAATGAGAGCATAGCGAAGGCGTTATGGTGATACACAGACACAGGACAGTAGGGGGTTTTTAGGAGGGGGCCTTTCTTTTTCTTTGGGATTGGATTATCGTTTTCCTTTGTTCACATCTGCCGCTTGTTTCTCACCAAGAGAAAAGGAGAGAAAAACAAAACCCCCCAGATTCCAAGAGAGATCAGAACCAGTCTGTCCTCTTGTTCAGGCTTCAAACTGTCAACCAAAGGGAGAGGTCTCAGTCCTCGCCCGAATTTTCTTGACCGCTCTTCAGGCTTGATAGAAGAAAATGCATGAATCTATGATATCGCATGCTTATGTTTTGATTCTGCCTGCACCTCATCCCGCGCAGGTGTCCGATCAGCGCACATGACATGGGGAAAATTTTTCTTCTTCTCTAACCACCTTATCATTCTATGCCTCATGTCGTGGCGGGTGGAGCTTGGAAGATCCAGGCTTGCAGCATGGGCTTGCAGCATGGGGGCAAAATGTTTGTGTACCATGACCTGTCGTGTTACTGTCGATGAGCGATTTGGAGACTCTCAAGTCACGTCCCTCGCATGACCCGACGTTCTGGATGTCGAATCAAGGGACGACAGCTGTTGCTTTAGAGGGGCTGGTAAAAGGAGGGATGGAGGAATGGAAAGGATGGGAGGAAAGGGACGAGGCGTGGCCGAGAAAAAAGTTCCGGGCCACAACTCGTCACATCCCAAAATTCAGTTTCCACCTCGCCATCTCCATCGCAATAAACCGAGATTCCTTTGTCGTACTCTGCATCAGTGATCTGTCAAGTACCCGGCAAGCCAAGTTGACGTGTAGAGATACATCCCCGTGCCACCTGGATCTGCGGACGAGTGCATTTGCCATTGCCGGATTTCGTATGCACTGGACCCGTCAAGTAACCAAACCGCGTCTTGACATCCTCACCGCCGCAAAGCAGGCAATTACCGCCAGTCCCTATGCATTCGGACCAGTCGCCGCCATGTCGACCGCTACAAAACCCTCAGCGCTGACCTTCGATCGTAAGGCCCGGTGTTCGGTACGCAGTCATGACGCCCCATTTCCCCCCCCCTCTTACTGCAAGATCGATCCCCGCCGTTGACAAATTTCCTCCGCCATCATTCTAGACATCCAAAGCCCGTGCCTCGACGCTGCATTTGCCTCATGGTCCAGTCGACCTGCCCGTTTTCATGCCCGTCGCCACCCAAGCATCTCTCAAAGGATTGACTCCGGAACAATTGGAAGAGACTGGTTGCAGATTATGTCTGAACAATACATACCACTTGGGATTGAAACCTGGCCAAGCGGTGCTTGACACCATTGGCGGTGCCCATAGATTACAAGGATGGAACTACAATATCCTGACGGACAGTGGCGGGTTGGTGGTGCACAGCACCCTCTCTGCCCAAGGATAAGTGACTGATTCGAGATGCCTCAAGTTTTCAAATGGTTTCATTGCTCAAGCTGGCAAAGATCACCGAGGAAGGCGTGCGCTTTCTCAGCCCCCATGATGGCAGTCCAATGTATGTGACGGCCCAGATGCAGCAAACTGCCCCCTTTCAGAGACTTATTCGTGTCGTCCATAGGCTCCTCACTCCTGAGCATTCAATGTCTCTGCAGAACTCCATCGGCTCAGATATCATGATGCAGCTTGATGATGTGATTCAAACGACATCGCCTGATCATGCCCGGATGAAGGAGGCCATGGAACGCTCTATCCGCTGGCTGGACAGATGCATAGTTGCACACAAGAACCCTGAGACACAGAACCTATTTTGCATCATTCAAGGCGGTCTCGATCTAGAGATGAGGCGACAGTGCTGCGAGGAAATGGTCAAGCGGGATACCCCAGGCATAGCTATCGGTGGTTTGTCTGGCGGAGAAGCTAAGTCAGATTTCTGCAAAGTGTACAGAAGCACCTTCCTTACTCATTTCCGTCTGGAGATGCCTGAACGCTGACTCTCTGGAAAGCGTCGATACATGCACCGGCCTCCTACCTGACCATAAGCCAAGATACGTCATGGGTATTGTACGATCATCTTTCTCGTTGCTGGAAGTGGACAGACACTTACCTATAGCGCAGGGGTATCCAGAAGATATCGTTGTCGCCGTAGCTCTCGGAGCAGATATGTTTGATTGTGTGTGGCCCACACGAACGGCAGTGAGTTTACATGCCTTGATTCCACTTCGACCCTCAATGCCATCCTGCTGACCGAGGATTGAATCTGTGTATCTTGCAGCGTTTTGGCAACGCGATCACCTCCAACGGCGTCCTCAACCTCAAAAATTCTCGGTATGCTCATGACTTTGGACCTGTCGAGCAAGGCTGTACCTGCACCTGCTGTCGTCCCAAAGAGGATGGAGGGTTGGCCATTACGAGGGCGTACATCTACCACCTCGCAGCGAAGGAGACTGTGGGGGCTCACTTGTAAGTTGTCGATCTCTTTGTCTACCATCTAGCCGTGGCTCTTGGTTCCTCTCAGCTCCCTGATTAGATCTCCTGATTGACGCGAGACATCCACAGACTGACGATGCACAACGTACATCACTTGCTTTCTCTGATGCGACGAATCCGCGCGGCCATAATAGATGACCAATACCCCTCATTCTGCAAGCAATTCTTTGCAAATTATTTCAATGGCCAGCCTCCCCCAGGATGGGCAGTCGAGGCGCTCCAGGGAGTGGGCATCGAGATATGAGCGCCATGATGTACAGTATCCTGATAATAGTGATCAACGATGCGTGGAGCCAAGGTCGTGGGTCCCTGTAGGGACAGGGACCTTTGATGAACTAAGCGAGCGAGCTCCTTGAACCTCAATGCTCCTTCGTCAGAGGCCCGATATGTTTCCTGTTGAATGTAGAACACGCTTACCAGTGGCTGAGATCATCTCTGGTCTACGTGTGGAGATGTCTCCTAAAGAGAAGCTCCTATCATACTCGGTTCAAGTCCTCTGATCATAGAACGAAGTCGGAAAGTGCGCAAGCGCATGGTTGAGCTTCACAGTGTGTTCTAATTTCTACCCTGTAAATTCTCTATAAGACAATGTTATTTATATATCTAGGGACGAGGGAAGGTTGTCAAAAACGAAACACTCTCCCCAATCTAGCTGGCGACAAAACTGAATCGTTGTAGATAACCTCAAAGCATGAACTGCTCCTCTGATTGTTCCCTGTTGTCACGGAGCAGACACCTTCTCGGGGTCTTTTTGGAAAGTGGCATCCAACGCCTTGATCAGAGCGTAGATTCCCCTGAGCAACGGCGTGGGCACGCCTTTTTCCTCAGCCAGTCGGACCGCGTTGCCCACGATGGCCTCGACCTCCATCCTCGCGCCGACTTTTGCGTCCGCGAGCATCGAGGGCTCTACCCCGGGCAGTTCCCTGGCCTTGGCGCGGTTGATCTGGAATTCTACCGTCTTGGCGTTGATGTTGTCGTAGCCCCATGCCTGTGCGACGGAGGCTATCTCGGTCATGAGCGACTTGATCAGGTTCAACGCGTACTCTGGCGGGGAGGACGCGAGGAACTGGGCGTCGCGGGAACGGGAGAGCGCGCACACGGGGTTCCAGCTCGCGTTGACGGCCAGCTTGCTCCAGCGCTCTGTTTGCACGTCTTCGTGCACCTGCGTGCGGCCTCCCCCTGCGTTGAGGAGGCGGGAGAACGATTCTGCCGTGGCTTTGTGCTCGGGAGATGCGTGGGAGGGATATGTCCCAATGTGCAGCAGCGCGATCTCACGGTGAGTGACCACGGCGGGGGCAATTTGCGTGGCGGGGAGGTATACCACGCAGCTTAGCAGAGGGTTGTCTGGATAGAGCGCTTGATATGGTTTTTCGACGGCGATGCCGTTTTGTATGACTGCGATAGTCGTGTGAGGGGAGATTGCCGGGCGGAGTTGCTCTGGCATTGATGGCGTTGTCTGGATGGCCTTGGCCGTGACAACGATGTAGTCGAATGGTTTGCCTCCCGAGAGCGAGACAGCCTCATCCACGGTCCGTACCACTTGGGGTTTGAATTTGAGGCCATCGCCAAAGATTGTCGAGTTTATGGTGAAGCCTGCCGTGGAGGCAACAGCATAGTTCGATCGGCATACCGTGTACAAGTTTCCCTCGCCGACGGCGCGGGAGAGGATCCAGGCGTAGACGGTGCCGACGCTGCCAGTGCCAAAGACGAGGACGCGCGGAGGGGTAGTCATGGTTGTGCTAGGAGAGCGGGTCAATTAAGACTAGAGATAGGTGTAACGAGTAACTTTGCTCTCATTTTTAATGCCCTGCTCGTTTCAGATGCTCAAGTACATATTTGGGGATGTATACATGGAGGAGCTTAGATATCTCCGACGATGAGCGGTTGAGGGTGTGGAGATATCGGCAAATGTGCCGATGGCTGACGGGTAATAATGGAGATGCCTATACGAGGTGCTTGTAGGCCAATTCCGCGTGGGTGAGGAGAAGTCGTGATAGGGGAAGCAAATGGTAACAAGTATTGCGTGTTATGTACGTCTTTGAAGTAATAGTAGGGACAAAGACAGACGAACAATTGCCTACCTTGTCATCCCTCGCTGCGATATACAACCCTTTCTACCGATCTTAGAGGAACTTTGCTGGCTTGCTTGCTGCGAATTCGTTTTCCGAACAGAGACAGGATTACTTTGGCGAGGGGAGAATGAGGATGAGGTGCCTTTGCAGAAGTACCGATGATGACCATCAGCGACTTCGGAGGTCCCAGAGTAGGAAGCCCGTCGTAGAGGCTTTGAGATGCTGGAGATCCAGAGACGGCTAATGAAGCGGTGGTTAGATAGCCTCATGTTTGACGAGAGCTTATGGTGAGTCGCATTTCTGTATGGACGACGAGCAGAATGAGAAAGATGTCGCGATCATTGCGCACTCACACTAGGAATCTCGAAAGATTGCGTCTTCGTCCATCTTGCATCGGATGAAGGAACTGAGGGAGCCAATGACGATCAAGGCAAAAGGCTGCAACGGCGGAGCAGATGCGCCAAGCACGACGCGCAGCCAGCAACGCGACCAAAAGGGGGTTCAACCAGCCAGCCCAGCCAAATGACGTTGTTTGATGTCAAAGAGGCTTTGAAACCCACTTCCCGGATGGAGACTCTTCCCTCTCGTTTGATCCATCCAGAGTTATACTGGTTCGCGGTGCATCCAGAAAAAGAGGAAGAAATAGAGGAAACACCACCACTTCTCAAGAAAGGAGAATATCAGAAAAGTACACAGCCATGGATCCAGACATACCGACGCCTTCTATTGAGCACGACCCCCCCCGAGACACCACCAGCGCCTTTACCACAACAAACCTTGGTCTCATGTCACCCACAATCCAAGTGAATCATCGAGACCACACCCATGCGCACCCAAACTTGCTGAGTGCTGCCGCGCAAATACCCCTCCCGCCCTCTTCCCCCATGCGCAGTCCCTACCACACCCCTGCGCCGACCAAGACCAAGTCTCTGTCACCGAAACCGCCTTCGCGCTCGCCGTCTGTCGCGAGTTCATATCGAGGGGAGAGACAAGAGAGACAATCCACTCCAACACTGACCACCAGAAGGTCAACCTCTAGCCTGAGTAATACCAGGGGTAGCACACCTCAATACCGTCGAGCCTCCTCCAATCTCAACCCTCTCTCTCCTGCAGCAAATGGCAAGATGTCGCTTCCAGAACGACCGCCGGTCACTGCCAATTCGGTAGCGAAGGAGTACTTTGGAAAAGAGCTGGAAGCCCATACCTCCCTGCAGTCCCCTGTAGTGGTGATAGTTCATGATTCATGCTACGGCCATCGCTTTTCTCGCCCGCGCACCTCCAAGAATGCCCTCGCCACAATTGTCGAGCGTCCGGAAAGAATTCACGCCACGCTGTTGGGGGCGTCTGCCGCCTATGTGCGCTTAGGAGGACGGCATGCTGACGGTGAATATGCGCCTTGCCCCAAGCACGAACCGTCACGGGTGTGCAACATCCCATTCCAGATCCGCAAGACATTCCGGAGTATTCCTCTCAACCACCCCTCAGTCGCTTTCGTACACGGCTCGAAATGGATGGAAGAGTTGCAAATAATGTGCGACACGGCCGAAGGGAAATTGGCGCTCAACGGGAAAGAGTTGGTTAGACCAATCGGATATGGGAAGGATGAAAATGGGAATGCCCTGCCTAAGCTGCATGAAGGCGACTTGTACTTGTGTGCGGAGTCGCTTGCTGCTTTTCAAGGCTGTCTCGGGGGAGTTTGCGACGCAGTCGATACGGTATTCTCGTCGCCGCTCACCAAGAGGGCTTTCGTCTGCATCCGACCTCCTGGCCATCATTGCTCTTCCAATTACCCTTCAGGCTTCTGCTGGCTGAACAATGTTCACGTGGGGATCGCCTATGCGGCTATGAATCATGGCCTGACACATGCAGCCATTATCGACTTTGATCTACACCATGGAGACGGTTCCCAGAACATTGCCTGGGACCACAACCTCAAGGCACAAGGTGCAGCTAAGAATGCTGCCGCGCACAAGAAGACCCCTATCGGCTATTACAGCCTCCACGATATCAACTCGTATCCCTGCGAGTGGGGCGACGAAGAGAAGGTGCGAAATGCAAGTTTGTGCATCGAAGGTGCTCACGGCCAGTCCATATGGAATGTCCACTTGGAGCCATGGACGAGCCTTGAAGAGTTTTGGAAACTCTACGAGTCCAAGTACATCATTCTGCTCCATAAAGCGAGGTTGTTTCTGCGTCAACACACGGCAAAGTTGCGTGCTTCTGGGAACCAGTCGCCGAAGGCTGCCATTTTCATCTCAGCAGGCTTTGACGCAAGCGAGTGGGAAGGTGCAGGCATGCAGAGACACAGTGTCAATGTTCCGACAGAGTTCTACGCCCGCTTTACGGCCGATATTGTCCGACTTGCGCATGAAGACGATCTCGGTGTTGAAGGTCGAGTCATCAGCGTTCTAGAAGGGGGATACAGTGATCGAGCTCTAACTTCGGGCGTTCTGAGCCATATCTGTGGCATGGCAGGTGACAACCCTGTCACCAGAAACAAGAGTTCGTCAGACATGCCCGGAAATCGATTTCAAACGATTAACAACTGGGTTCAAGACATCCCTTCCTCTGCCGCTGGTCAACACTTCACCTATTCGGCAGATTGGTGGGCACTCCAAAATCTTCAAGAGCTAGAAGCTATCGTCACAGGCCGACAGCCTCCAGCTTCCAAGGTTAAAGACAAGGCTGGAAATTATTCTTCGCCAACACAAGCATCTACTCTCAAGATGACCGACCATGCTCGCGAAAAGCGCTCGTTATCAGCTTTGCATGCCAGACTCTCTCTGGATGCAGTGTATGAGCCCCCACCACCCGACGTCGACTGGGCCGTTGCTGCATATGAACTGTCCCGTATCATTATCCCTAGCGATCGACAAACGTTGAGCTGCACACATGACGAACTTCATGCAGAAGCTGCAAGAGTACGAAAGGAGCGACAATCGACCGTGGGCTTGCCGACTGGTCCAGACGAACGGATGCAACTACGTGACCGAAAGGCAAAAGCCCCTCCTGCTAACATTTCGGCTGTACGCGCAGTCTCACGCAACGGTAATCGGCGTACAACTATCGCAGCAGTTAGTGACTTACCTGATCCTAATGCCGAGCATCCTGATCTGCCAAACGGGAGGATGCGTCGAAGATCCAGTGACGCATCGAGCATCCTGTCGAGTTTCCAAGGCATGAAACTGTCAGAGCAGGGTCCCGGTGGCGCAGAGGTTTTGTCAAAGCCTTCCGGCTCACAAGCACCTTCGAGAGCATCACCAGCTCCCACTGAGAAGCCAGCTAAAGCTGTTGCCGTGAAGAAGACAAGAGCTCCGCCTGCGACAAAGGCACCGGCAAGACCAAAAGCCAGTAGCCCCCGGCGGCAGAAAACTGTCCCGTCAGCTGTCACCGGCTTGCCCGAAACCAAGATTACTCCTACTCTTGTTCAGAAAGATGCGATCCGGGCCCAGCATGCTTTGCCTATGCAAGGCAGTCGCAAAGAAGCTTCAAATGCTGATGACATGGACAACCTAACAAATGGGATGAAAAAGATCACTATCAAATTGAAAATGCCGACTGTAGAAGAGCATGCCAACACACAAAATCAAAAGACGGGTGATGATAAGCAGAAGAAGCCTCGTGCACCAAGGAAACCACTGGCCCCCAAGAATTCCAAGCCAAGTAAGACGACTCTCGTTGCAGATCCCGGTCAAACAATCAGTCCGCAGACAAATCTCCCCAAAGACGACCAAGAGCACTCAGAAACGACTACCACAAATACCGCAGGAATAATATCGTCATCAGTAGTTCCTCCAGCGGTCGAAGAACGTGTGCCCAATCCCAACGCGAATTCTCGTCCATACATGCCGCTGCAAGACATCGACGGTCAGCAAGAGTCGCAGCAATACATGAAAGCCGAGGAGGCCGTGAATTTCAGTGTATCCGATGCACATGCTCCAACAGCCAACCCTCTCGTCGTTGTTCCTCGGATCCCAAACTCCCAAGTACAGCAAGCAACAACCGGCGCAGCAGCACCGGGAACGGCTTTGTCTCCTGTGTTAGACAACCCGACACAGAGAACAAAGCAGGACCTACCTGTGTTTACTTCAAGCTCTCCTATCCCATTCGCGGCTCCCGCCCAGGAAGAGCAACACTCGCTGGCACCGAAGCATGAGGAAGCCACGAAACCGAACCCTTTTTTCTGGAGTACTCACGAGATATCACAGCAAAAATGAGACTTGCGACGAGATCTTTCAGAACAATCATTTTCTCAGTCAACATCGCCGACGAGGTCTTCCAGTGTGACCCTTGGATACGCGCACTTGGGTCGTCTCAACAAGGACTCTTTCTCATCCTCCGTTTTCCTTTTATTCCTCCTTTTTTCCAAATTAGAGATACCCCATACAGCATTGGTCAGGAGCTTGGATGGGCAATGGGACAACCAGGTTATTTTCGATCGTAATCTTTGATTCTGAATTGCAAGGGAACCCTCAAGTTGGAAAGCGAATGCGAAGATGTGATCCACTCGCAGAAATAATCGGGGGAATACTGCTCCTTGGTTGGTAAAAGTAGCGAAATGCAATCAAATCAATTCTATTATGGCTCCAGCGTCTCTCGTGCCCATTACACCAGACTGGGCTTGGAAAGATCCACCAACATTAATAGTTAAAATTTCCTAAATCACCAAGAATATCATAAATCGAGCAGGAAGCTAAAATAAATCGCATAAAAGGAGTATACTACTTATAGGGGGAGAAGTATCCTCCTACTGAACTGGGGCAAGGCTCTTAGCCAGAGGCATCAACTCGTACGGCGGTGGGCATGGTGTTGGGGGGTAACGGCTATCGCACAGTAATAACAACAACAGCATAGAGAGTCCTGATCAGACAGATTCATAACTTAATTGATCACTGTCTTTTGTATCCTTGTGTTCCCTGTCAGGATGGATAGATGGATGGATAGATCCTGTTGAAGGATCAAAAAAAAGGAGTCTCAGACCAAGTGCCAGAGATCCAGCCAATCAGTAGCCAGGAGTGTCAGCCTGTGCATTGTACAGGCAAATTCCACCAACCACATTCCAGCCTGCAAACCTCCCCTTTACACTAGTAACAAGCCTTCTTTTACTCTTGTCGTCCTTCGAATGCTTGTAATACTAGCGCAATGGTGTTCCAGCCTTGGACGTAATCACAGGTTTATCTACCTGCTGAGAACGTGGACATCTACCTCAACACCTCAAAACACCGTCCACCTGCCTGTGAATGCAGTCTTATCATCCTTTTTAAAACACCGCGATCGCATTCGGAGGAGAGCCGACCGACCCTGGATAATTTAACGGCGCGGACGTAAGGAGGAACTCGTATCGTTTCGCTTTCGCGCAATACTCGCCCAACGCCTTCAGGTCCCATAATTCGCCAATGGGCATGCCGAAAAAGGCCAAGAGGTATTTATGCAAAACTTTCATGTCGGTCAGCGACGGCAATGCTCTCGAATCAGTATGTCCGTACCTAGCTGATCATAACCTCCTGGCTTTCCCCCCTCTTCTTCGATCTGTGGGGGCAGCGACTCGAACGCAATGGCATCGCCCGCCACAGCACTAAAGTGGTGGTTCCAGAGCCAACGAGCGGTTTCCAGGCTCCCTTTGACTCCAACCGTCTTGTGAGTGCCGAGGAGCTTTGTTTGTTCATCAATATCGGCAGCGTCCAGGTCCTCGGTGAATCCCGTCCTGACCAGAAGGATGTCGCCGTACTTGAACTTGGTGCCCTGATGGGCCGCCACGGCTTCTAGATCCTGGACAGAAATAGGGACATTGTCAAAGCAGCTGTACTGGATTCCTTTGGCCTGTGCATAGGCTCGGTAATCCAATAAAACCCCCCGCCCGACTAAACAACCCTTCTCGTGCCAGTGATTCAATGTGGGAAGACTCTTATCGCAGTGCCTAAATCCTTGGATGAGATTCTCTGTTGTTGGTCTTGAGCCATTGTAGCACAGCCCTGTGTGTTGATGGCCGTAATGCACGAGGCTGTCCCACTGGCTTGATGCCTGCGTATTGAAAGCCACTTCGTCGTCGAAACTATGGATGTCCAAGGTAAGTTTGGCGTCGAGAACGGTATGCTCGGTCGGGCGTCGCCCGTAGCCGGGCTTGCCAATTGCGTTGAGCGGCCAGTTTAGAGAAATCGAGACGCCATCGCGGGCTTCCTTACAGGCCTCCTTCTTCACGGCAGGTGTAAGCAGATTGAAGCAACCAAGATAGTCCGTTGTACCGTCCTTGTCGAAAACACCCCAGGCACAGCCTTTGGGCATGCCCTTGACTTCCGGTAAGGAGTCGAAGTCGGGGATATTGTCAAAGTCTGCCATTTTCTTTTAATCGTGATTTAACAGATCACTTGGTGGTGGTGAAAGGTAGGTAGGTGGGCGTGTCTGTCAAAATTGAATGAAGAGATAGTGCAAGGGCATAAAGATTCCCCAGGTTATGCTGGGCTCTCTCGACGAAATGACTGTAAACATGGTTACGTACTCAAGGCCAACCCTCGGACACTGTGCTACTCCGCGGCATGTAGGTTTCCAGCAAAGGACAAAACTACTGTCAGCTCTCTGTGGCACTCTAAGAATTAGTTTCCTCGCAGAAATAGGTCTAGAGACACGAGCTGCAGCCCGCCAGCGAGGCTGTGCCGTGGGTGGACTCTCCGTGGATGTTTCTTTATTGGGCTGGCTGTGGATTGTAGCAAGTTGCCACGGGTTGTGAATCTTCCAATGAATTCCTTGCCGCGGCCCGAAACAACGTGCCCGTGGCCAGGGGTGCATCATCCTAGCCGTTCTGCCGCACAAAACCAGGCCGAATTTGTACATGTAATAACCTCTTCCAGTGAGCATACAAAGTGCCCAGCAGGAAGCTGGCTCCAGAAAAATGTCAGAAGACGCACATCGATTCAGAGACAAGACGCACATCCTGACTGGGGACCCTCAAATCTTAGCAAGCGACAAGCATACACCGCAGTATTCCACGATGAGTGCCTCGTCGCCAAAGCAACCAGTCACATTGTACAATGTATTTGTTAGTAGTAACACACTCACTCGATGGTGCTTCGACTTTGGTTGACAAGTTGTTAGGTCGTCGCATGTGCAACACTGGCGTCAATTTTGCTTGGATATGCGTCAGGGGTGATCGGCGGCACGCTCGGCCAGGCATCATGGTACCGTGTGGTAGGGACGAATGCTTCTCACAGACCCCATGAGGCTTATTCAGAGGTAGATGGGGCTTCAAATGGTTCCTGGGAAGCCTGGATACAGCCACACGGAGACTATACAAGGGGCTTGTAAGTCATTTCTGGTGCGTCAAGTGCATCCAGCTGACGAATATGCAGCCAACGGGACGTTCTATGCATTCGCTACGATCGGCACCATTCTTATCGGGGAAATAATGGGCCTCCTGGGACGCATCCGTGCATTCCAGATTGCAAGTGCTCTACACATCGTTGGAGCGGCCATCCAGACGGGAAGTGTGAATCAGGCAATGTTCCTGGTAGGTAGAGGTATCACAGGCCTTGCAGCAGGATCGACAATTGTCATCGGCCCCGTCTACTTCTCCGAGGTGGCTCCGCCATCGTCTCGTGGTTCCATGGCAGGAATGCATGGCGCGGGTATAAATACGGGATACATGTTAGCTGCTTGGGTACGGTGTGACTCCCACTTTCACCATGTCTGGCTTTGACAGCAGAGACAGGTCGGCTTTGGCTCCTCCTATGCGAACCCCACGACGACCTTCGGATTTCGATTTCCCCTGGCCATTCCGATCCTCATAGCTCTGATTATCTTGGGTGCAACGTTATGGATGCCGGAGAGTCCTAGGCACTTGGTCGACAAAGGCCGCAGTTCTGAAGCTCTTGCAATCCTCACCTCACTTCACGGTCACGGCAACCATGAGTTTGCGCAGCGAGAGCTGAGGGAGATCGAACTGCAGGTTGCCGAAGAGAAGGCTGCATTCAAGGAAAAGTCGGCGTTCATGATCCTTTTCACGCAGATGACATACCTCAAACGCGTGGCTCTAGGCATTCTAGTTTGTTCAGGAGTCATCAATACGGGTGTGCTTGTCATCAATAGTAAGTCTTAGCAGACCACCGACTGGGGACATTGACTTACTCGTGAAGATTACGCTGTCATTATCTACAGCTCGCTCGGGCTTTCAACTACAGTGTCCCTTCTTCTCTCTGCCGTGTGGTTGACACTTGCCGCCTTCTGGAACTGGCTCGGCGCCTTCCTCTCTGACAGAGTAGGACGAAGACGGATCCTGCGTCAGTTCAGAACCAAAAAAAGCCTGCTGTACAACTCTAATCGGATGCAGTTATCGGAAATATTGGGACAACCGCGATGTTGATCATTTTCACTGGCCTGTATGCCAAATTTCAGGAAACTGGCGACAGGAAATATGCAACCGCCTGTCTGGTCTTCAACTTCGCGTTCGAGTTATTGTAAGTTGCAGTTTGAAGCCCCGAAGATGATTGCTAAAGGCGAGCCAGCTTCGGCGCGGGCGTCGATCCGCATGTCTACACTGTCGCGGCAGAGATCTTCCCCGTCCATCTTCGGGCTAAAGGTGAAAGCATCGCACTTGCAGGCTACTATATCTACAGCATCATTTGGACGGAAGCAGCACCACCTGCATTTAGCAGCATTGGATGTGAGTCGTGGTTCCGAGCGATTGACGGTCTTGTGCTAATTTTGCAAGGGAAATTTTATCTCGTTTTTATTTGCATCCAATTTCTACAGATTACACTGATCTATCTCTATCTACCAGAAGTATGAACCTGCCGACATTGCTTTGGATCATCCACTAACTCTCCATCAGACTGCCAATGTCCCGCTTGAAGAAATTGACGAGGTTTTTGGTGGTCAAGTCAAAGTCCATCTCAATGACGCGGATCTGATCATGGACCCTACCTCAGAAGAGGTAGAGGTGAAAGAAGCAAAAGCCGCTATCAAGGAGTGATGGTTGGACAGGGTTAGCTGGCATTTGGACCTATTATATGGCTTATAGCATGACCGTTTTGCTAAAATAGAGCTACAGGGCGAAAGACAATCGATGGTTTCCGAGTCGTCTCCTTCGTGATGAATGTCTCTCGATCTCCACTGAAGATAGCATATTAATGATAGCATATTAATCATACCATGAGGCAGAGATTGCTCTGAGTATCTCAACACCTGTAGCATCAACAATTCTCATTCTTTGTCTCTCTGTATTCCCGAAATGATGATCATCACGCAGACGGCCTCAACACCTCAGAAACAACAGCATCTAGATTTTCTCGTGGAAGAGCGAGCAGAGCGTTGTCCAGCTCTCGTTCATCCCCATAGTTTCCCCCTCTACCTCTGGTGTACCACCCAGCTCGCACAAGCCGCGGGACGGCACTGGCGAGGTCACCGTCCCGGAGACTTTGCTGTCCAGCCTCGATCTCGTCCTCGCCTGAAGTCCTGACCACCGTCCAGCGCGAGGCGCTCGATTTCTCCAGCGCCTCCAAGATGTCGTTGAGGCTCAGGGTGAATGATGCCACGTAGACGAATCTGTTCGCGGTCTCGTCGGGATGCTGCAAGGTCTTCACGACCGCCTGGCCGACCGTCGATAAGGTTGTCGTGGAAAATCTGCAGGCGCCGTCGTCCCATATCAGGGCCTCCCTTTTCTTCAAGTCAAAGCCGAGAAATCCAGAACTCAACCCCTGGGACATTTTTTTTTTAATCATCAGACATGATTCACACGCTTTGGAGTCTGTCGGACAAATACATACCCAGTCGAAGAAGGGCCCAGTCACCAAGACTGACCAAGTCAGCCCCGTCTTCTCTTGCTCCTTGAGATAGTCCAGAATGTCGAGCTTGATCTGAAAAACCGGGGGCCGAAGCTCTGTGGACCTCGGATTTGCGCTGTCTCCGCCAAACTCGCTGGGTATGAACCTCTGGACGCCCGCCTTGATGGCAACGTCGATGAGTTTCTTCTGTTGGCCCACCGCCCGGAAGCCGACCGCGGCCACAACGGCGTCTTGGCCAGCCATGGCTTTCAGAAGAGATTCCTCCGAATAGTCGGTCTCAAACACCCTGACGGGGCCGGCAAATGACTTTGACCTCGCATCCCTGGTGAGCACACTGACTTCAAAGGATGGCGTGGAGAGAAAAGCCTGGACGATCGACGGCCCAAGGTTCCCGCCGGCTCCGACAATGAGCACTTTGCGGATCATATTGGCGGTGAAGAGTCGACCTGCTCGCCAGCCCTAATGTTGGAAAACAGGAAAGAGGGATATCGCGGGGGAGGAGAAGCATATTAAACTGTACTTTAAGACTGACATGTTCCGGTTAAATCCAGCCAGTCTCAGGAAAACTAATAGGGCTTTCGGTTACGCCGGCATCTTGTCAATCTCACCGGAAAGCAGAAGGGGCTGATAATATGTAGATACGCGCGAGGTGGTGTTATTCTTGGTTTTACAACCCCGAGGGATTATTCTGAGAGCTTTGAAATTGTCTAAGTCCCTGTACGACTTCAAGTTCAATGGCATAACACCCTTTGCCGGCGAAGAATACGCCCCAACAAAGTGTTCTAATCTAGAGGCAACTTAGTCATGTTGTACTTGTGCATGCTTCAAGAATCCAGTATTGACAGCAATCTAAGCCATGAAGCAAGATACCAAATAGTTTCCCTAGGTAGTGAATTCCAGAATGGACTATGAGAACGTTCAGTTCAGTCAGGTCACAGTGCCATCCAGATGTATTCAAATGCTTCGGTCCTCACGCCCTCGTGGATCATTTTGTGTGAAGGTAGTCAAACAGGCTACACTAAAGGACTGCTCATTTCCGAGTCTCTCAGACTTTGCGCACATCAACTTCCTCGAGCCCTGATGTTGCGATTTTCTCGGACCCTGTTGTTTGATTCCGGAGCTCTTTATGGACATGCTCCTCCGCCTGCTGCATCGTCTCGGCAACCTGTGAGTCTGGGTTAGCAACCAGTAAAGGACGGCGAAGCTTCTAATCAGGTCACTTACCTCGTCACCAAATAACGCAGCAATCTCTTCAAGGGTTTTGCCATTGGTCTCGGGATATCTGAACCAACTTAGCTTGGATCAAAGCGACAACAGCACAGATTGACACTTACGCAAAGTAGACCAAGGGGACAAAGAGTGCATCCATGCACAGGAAGATCAGGAAATACCGCCAACTGATCGCTTGGATCGCGAGAGGTCCGACTTGTACGAGCAGAACGGTCACAGCATTGAAGGTAGCCAGTCCTGTGGCTGTCCCAGCAGCACGTATTTCTGTGGGGCATATTTCTGGGATGTATGCGTACCCGAAGGCATTCATCACCCACGCGTAGCCGAACATGAAAAGGAACATTGACCAGACGCCTAGTTTTCCGAGAGTGGCATTCGTGTTGCCGGACTTCTCGTATGACGCCCAGAAGGCTGTAAGGAGAGTGGAAGCGATCATTACGATGGTGATCGAGATGTAGAACGACTTCTTCCTTCCGATCTTGTCGAAGTAGTACGTTCCGCAGCACGTGGAGATGATGGTGACCATTCCCCATACGCCGACCAGTATCAGAGACATCTTGTTGCCAATGCCGAGTGCAGCGTACCTGCAAATCCTTGTAAGCTTCCACGAGAGAACAGAAGTTCAGGATACCTACAATAAGACCTGGTAGTTCTGAAGAGGCACAATTCCCGTCAGTTGTTGGAAGGTGTAGAAGGCAATGATCAAGACAAATCTGTGGATGTAAGACTTCTTTGTGAAGATCGTCTTGAAGCCTCGGTTCTGCGACCTCTCGAGCTCGATCTGCGATTTGATCTGATGGAATTCCCGTAGGTAAAATTCCGGATCTTTGGGATCGCTGTGCATCTTGCGTAGCACTTCCAGAGCCTCATCATCCCGACGTTTAAGCAAGAGCCATCTCGGTGACTCTGGCATATACAAGGAACCCGCGGCCATAAGAGCAGGTGGGATGAACTGGAGTCCAAGGAAAATCCTCCACGCAGAGTTGCCATTGACATATGACAGCCCCAGGCCCATCCATTCCGTCAGGGCGTAGGCGGATGACAGCATCAAGCTGGGAAGCATCAGCATTGCCGCCCGTACCGCAGGCCGTCACAAACTCACTTGTACAGCCCACCGACCGAGCCACGGATTTTCGGGGGTGAGATCTCGCTGGCGTAGGCAGGGCACAGACTGAAGATAATTCCACAGGCAAACCCTCCCACAATACGCCCGACCAAAAGCATGGCAAGGTTGCGAGCGGCCGTCTGCAACACGGCCCCAACGACGGCGATGGCACAAGCTGCTCGAATTGTACGCAGTCTACCGTACTTATCAGGCCAGAACCAGTTGACATAGCTTCCGAAGAAGTTGCCAGCATAGTAGCACGACCCAACAGCACCCAGAGTTGTAGTATTCAAATTGAAGTATGAGATGAAGGCAGGGTATCCGAAGATAGAGGTGCTGAGTCCGGAGTCGTATCCATAGAAAAGAGCACCAGAGGATACATAAAGGATTGCTAGTAGGTTGAATCTGTTCATCATGGGGCGGGCGGTCACTGTGGAGGGCGTTCTTGTCTATTCACGCCAAAGGTAGATGAAAGTGAAGTCGAGATTGCGACCGGTCGACCATTTTATGCAGAGTCCGCCTCTGGCATACATATTCTATCGCCCGCATTGCTTCCATTTTGACCTCCTTTCCAACCAACGCTGCGAGACGGATTGCAACAATAGGTTCAGGTGGTGGAGTCTCCACAACCCCAGCTTCAAAGTAAATGTCCGGATCCGTTGCCAGCCTGCCAGCCTCGGGAACATGGCGGGGGTTGTGGAGAAGAAAATGCATTCCCCGGGTCCCGTGCAAAACAGTTCAATTTCGAAGCGGCGCCATATTTATCGTTCTTCTCGCCCCGGGATCGCGGCTACTCGTCTTCTCGCCGAGGGAACTGTTGCACCTGCAATCATTTTGGGAGCCTGAACTGTGTGACCATTGCATAGTCGATGCTTTAGCCGTCAAATGAGCGCACCCGTCGATGATCCGGCGTGGTCAGGCCAGTTGGGGCCACCGACTCACCTCGTCCAGACTCTGAGAAAACGTGCGTCCAAAGCTTGCAAGATATGCCATGCCAGGAAAATCCGCTGTGACGCGACACTGAAGCGATCTGGGCAGGCGTGCTCTTATTGCATGTCGCTTGGTACAGAGTGTGTGCTGGAACAGTCTTCTTCTGGGTGAGGATGTCCTTCACAAGGGGAATGAATGGCTGATCAAAATGACTGATGCTTCTCCACGATTCGTGAATGGTTTAGGCCCTCAAAGAAACGCAAACGTGCTAGAAGCCCGGTAAGACCTCAGCAAAGCACTTCCATCATCCTCGCCGTAAATTCACCCTCACAAAATGTTGGTCCCATTGGTGCCAGCGTCCGGGGAGCCGATGCCTCCCCTGGATTTGTCGAATCTCTGCAGGCTCGGGCTCGAACTCCTCAAAGCTCAGTCGCACCTGCAATAAGCAGACATACCAAGTCGATGTCAACTCGGACTCCCGACGACGGTAATCAATCCAATACTCAGATCGAGACTGGAATGGACAGCCCCCGAACCCCGGACCAGGTGTGGACGAGTCCTTTGGACTTTGTTGATGGTCCACCAGAACCGCATGTTGCCCTCACCAGGAGATCACCATCGCAAAATGAGGCGTACCTGTCCGACCAACACCGAGCCGGCTCTGTCGCGCCATCCAATGGCGATAAGCGAATTGTGTATGCGGATGATACGTTGACACACTGCGTCCTCCCTCACATGACCGGTCACCGTTCGTTCAATGCATCCGACAGTCGAGAAGGCGACCGCGTCGAACCAGACAGCCTGAATGTGGCGCGAGTTACAATAAGCTGCTCACAAGCGCCCTCCCTGACCTGGTTTCGACGCGAACTGGACCCAACAACCAAGACTTTCTCTCACTTGGTCGCTGAGGATATCACGTACCTGTGTGAGGTCAAGGGAGTACTGGCATTTCCACCAGTCATTACCTGTGACCTGCTGATGGGATGTTTCGTACGCCACTTTTTACCAGCCTATCCCGTCGTGGACAGGAATGACCTGCAAAGAATCTACCTGCGGTTCCGGCGTGGCACCATCAGTTCCCCCTTGCTTATGCATTCAATCTTCTTTGCAGCTTGCCAGTATATGGATGAAAACACATTACAAGAAGCCGGGTTCAAGAAGAGGTCGACGGCACAAGAGCACTTCCACACCCGAGCAGCACTCCTCCACTCCTTCAACTGCGAAAAAGACCAGCTTATGCTCATTCAATCTCTCATTTTTATGAGCCCGAGGTGGACGAACTATAGCGAAGAAAAAGACATCCGCTTTTGGACAACATGTGCATGTAATTTGGCTTTCACGATGGGCTTGCATAAAGCTATTCCTCCATCGTCCAGATTATCACAGCATCAGAGATGCCTGTGGCGGAGGATCTTTTGGACTCTTTTCGTGAGTAGACTATTTGCTTATTCCCTTGCATGATGCTTTTATCTAGTGGCACTTGCTGACGCATCATACTGCAAAGGTACGCGACTATAATGTCGCGCTCGGTATAGGTCGTCCGCCCGTGATCAATCTCGAGGTCGTGGATGTTGAGCTTCTCTCTGAATCTGACTTCTACGAGACGTCTGCTGTTGAAGGCGCGGAAAGGTCTGGGGAGTGCCTAGTCGACTTTTACTTCTTCAGTAAGGTCCATAGCGCGTTCATGACCGACTTGATCACGCTCTCAAAAATCCGTACGTCGAACCTGCCAATATCGCCCATCCGACCCTATTCGTTCAATTTCCTCAGAACACAAGACTACACCGCTCTCCTTGTGCACAAAGTCACCAACTCTATTGTGCCGCATGCTGACCGGTAATAGTGTCAGAAATTTTCACAATGAATGTTGAGCATCGAAGACACGAGGACTCTCTCCTACCACGCCTGATCTCCGTCAAAACGCGTCTGGAACAGATGGACTTGGCTTCTGAGCGTGCAACAAGATCGTACACGACCGCAGACGCTCTGGTTGAATATTCAATCTGGCCGATCTCTGTCGAACTCAACCGCCAGAGAATTATGGCCTTGACCTTCAGAGTCATGCACAAGGTACTACTCGAACACGACTCTGGATTTTCTAATAGTCTCACCGTCCAACAAGTTCGGGATGGCATTATCAAGTGTGCTGCAAGGACTATGGCGCTGTATGAGGAACTTCTCTCGTCGGACGTATTGAAGTACAGCCACAGTTTTTTGTAAGTGTCAATGTGAGGCCGTGCAAGAGATAGCAATGATAACTGACTAGATATGGACAAAGAAATACCTCTCTCTTCAACGCGCTCATCACCTATCTCGAGGAAGTGAAGGATAATCCACGAGACTCTAGTCGGGCGTGCATAGCTGTCAACAAAATCCAACTGGGCCTGTTGATACTCGGAGAGCATCGCAAATACTGGAACGCCGCTCGCTGGTCATACTCTCTCTTCAAGTTCTGCGTCGACCGAGACTTCGAATTTCTGCAGAACCTTCCCAGGCAGTCCCGATGGCATTCACCAGATGCCGGGCCCACGCCAGTGCAAGGACCTTCGTTCTCACCACCCCCTACTAGCACAATTGAAGAACCACCTTGTATGGCGGACTTCAATTTCGGTGAAATCCCCATTTGGGATTCCTCGTTCGTGGATTCGCATTGGCTTGCGGAATGGTTCCCCATCACCCTGGATCAGTCATAAGTCCAGGCCTCTAATTCGGAGGCACCGATGGAGCAAGAGGGCTGACCAAGTAGATTTGATTCGGATGACATTTCTTGGATATGGAACTCTCCATGATACCTACCAGTTTTCTTTCGGTCAAAATCGGGTCCAAGACATTCAAGCAGTCAGTAGTAGTAATGATGTATACCCTATTTAATCTTGATGCATCGCTAGAGCTGGGGGACCACACCTTCCAATTTCATTGTGTCGAATATTTTGCACAAGTCTTTTCTCGTGTCGAAGCGGGTTGTCCAACCAAGCTCCCGTGTGGCTTTGTCCATACTGACCGAAGAGCCCCAGGTGGCGTATCTCATGATCCATCCGAAAAAGGACCACGTCGCGAACTTCTCGCAAGCGTCCTTGTCCCCCCCGTGCTTCGCCACCAAATCCTCCCACACACCACGCTTCAGCTTCGATTCGATATCGGCCTCAATGTCGAATCCGGCTCTGGTCGTCACCGGAACCCCAAAGTACTGACCCATACTTTCCCAAATCTCCCTGAACGTGAGTCCCTTGGGATCCGCATCGACAATGTTGTACGATTGGTTTTGGGCGTTTGGATGGAGGGCAAGATGAGTTGTGAAGGCAGCGATGTTCGCCGCCGAGGAGAAGTCCTGTCGCTTCTCGTAGCATCCTTCGCCCTCGGTTGGCACAGAAAATACCGCCGGCTCGCCGAGATACTTTTGCATGGTAAAGTACAGGGCGGCCGTGCACGTAAATGACTGTCCGCTACCTGCTGGAAAATTCAGCCCTTCGACACCCTGATTTCATGGCAATTCCCCTGGAACAAAGGTTCTTGAGCCATGTGGAAAAAAGAAACCCACCAAAGCTGAACCCACTGATCAAGAATGGACGCGTCGTCGACCAGGTCCACTTCCTGTGTTTCTGCAGCTCAAACATAAAGTCTTCTTGGGGGTAGTAAAAGTTGGGCGGGCCCTCGAGCCCGAGTCGGCCGAGGTCTTCGGTGACGGGCTCCTTGGGCGGTGCTTTAAAGTGAAAGCCGTAATATTTGGCCCCGTTTTGGAGCACGACACGTTGGAGTGAGTCTTTGTTGATGTCATCTACCGCGGTCAGGATATTGATGAAAAACTTGACATTGTATTCGTATTGCTTCTCGAATGCGTCATGGTGGATGTATGCCATGTGAAAGAAATGTGTCACTTTGGTGGCACCCATGTCCCGGAGTGCCTGTGAGATCGAGGCCACGTCCGAGTTGAGGTCTGCCTGGCCAAATACCACCCGGGGGTCCTTTGGGAGCCGGAATGGTTGTCGGCGCGAAGTTGCAATGATTTTGGTCCAGTGAGGCTCCGAGGCAAGCTGCTGGATCAGATAGTCGCCGGTGACGCCGTTCGCCCCGGTCACAAGGGCGACCAGTTCTCCAGACGGTGCCATGTCGGTCTCTTTTGCGTGGTCCCAAAGCTCCCAGCCCTACGTTGCCGTCTTTCGATTTGCGTCAGGGGAGACTTGGTCAATGTCTTATACGCTGGCAGCGGGGACTGATGGTGGCAGTCCAAAAACAAAGCCGTTTGGGCGCTTACCAAAGCCTCTCCTCTCCTCGGCTTGCTCGAGGGGGATCGAAGTTGAAGGGTTGAGCTTGCCTCGGATAGTTCCAAAAGCGGGTCAACCCCACTGAGTCGACGATCAGCTAACTGAAGAAGGGTTGTATTAGTCCCAAAAGGTTCTGGTCTTTTGCTGCTTTGTTCTCGGTAGCTCTATGCACTGGAGGAAACATGGTCATGTAACACCACCACCAAACACCATGTGCTTTCGAGACAGCTTACGACTACAGCAAGATTTTCGACGTCGATCTGTTGGTGTTGCCATGGCCACGTATGACGTTGACTTATTCTGCGAATTGGCGTGTAGGCCCGCCGGGCCAGATCAGCGTTGCTGACAAGTCTCTGATGCAGCCTTGCCAACAAAATCCTGCGCCGAACGTATATAAACAACAACGTCCTCTTTCTGTTGGGTGTGTTTGGGTCTTCAAAATCCTCAATAACGCGGCTGGAACTCCTAACATCGCTCCATGTCTAGGTGGTGGGCATTAATGAGGAGGATGTTGTCTAACGAGAAGTCTCTATGCCGCCAATGTTTGTCTCCAAATACAGAAATTGAGTCTCATGGTGCCATAAGTTTCGCCTGAAGAAACTGAAGCAGGATATCCCAGCCCCGACGTGTTACCTCGACAACATGGCCATTGAATGTCATGAAACCATGGCAGGCACCCGGTACGAATTTCAGAATAGCTTCATTTCCTGCCAACTGCCACCGCGACGCCATCAAGATGCTATCATCTACCAAGCCATCCTCGGTGCCAACCAAAAACAACGCCGGAACCAAGTCGCTGAGCTTGTTGTACGCCGGTGAGATGGTGGCGGCTTTTCTCTGGTCAGGTGTGCGACCAGGCAGGTATGCGTCGAGAAATTGCTCGGCGTCCTCGTAGTTCAAAACGGGAGTCTCTGATCGCTCTGACCCCCGTAGAGAGGGTAGAGCTGAAAGATCAAAGTTACCGTAGCTGAGAACGACCCCTCTGATACGAGATAGCAGTCCTCGTTGTTGCAAATGAAGGACAACAAGAGCAGAAAGCGTAGCACCGGCAGACTGGTCTCACTCGTCAATGTCTGTCTCCTATGACTCTGGACGCCAATGTTTTCCACACAGACTCACCTCGCCGCCGATGAAATTCAAGTCACAGTCCCACTGTGAACTGTCAGCTTTGTCAACTGGTGAGAGAAGAACAGAGATTCTCCCTGACCTTTTCTTGTGCGTGCTGTTCAAGCCAGTCGGCGACGGTGCAGCAATCTTCCAATGCAGCTGGATAAGGGTTTTCTGGTGCAAGGCGGTATTCAACCGAGACCACAACCAACCGAGCAGACCGAGAAATCTCAGCCAGGAGAAGATCTTGACTGTGCCGTTCGCATCAGTCACAAAGACCCCGGGTAGTTGCCCAGTGATGAAACTACTAACCTATCCGCAGAGCCGAGGACATAGCCACCACCATGGATGTGATAAAAGACTCCAATTGGTTTTGCGCCAGGGGGTTGAAGCAGACGACATTTTATGGCTGGCCCATGATTCGAATCAATACTGATCTCCTCTGCTTCTCCCAAGAGCAGAGGTCGAGGGAAGGGTGTTGCCCCCTGGGCTCGACGCTGGCGGTATTCCGGGGCTCCACACTAGTTCTTCGGTCAGAATCATTGCGGAAGGGAGGCGTTGTATATCCCAGCCGAGATCGGGTTTTCCATACCTTCCACCACTTTGTATCCCTCAGTCCCAGCTCAATCAGCTGGCTATTGAGCTGTCTCGTAGCCGTAGTGGTCGCTCCCTTGTGGAAGGCAGCTAGGTCAAGTGAGAGATCAGACCTCAACGACTTATCGTCATTGGACAAGAACTCGCCCATTTTTTGCTACAGTTTCGTAGTGGTGGCCCAATCAAGGATAAATTTCCTAGTCAGAAACACATTGAACTGACACAAAATACGGTAGTCTGATCAGATACCAAATAGAAATCTGATCGTAAGCTGACACAGCGATATCGACACGACTTGAGAAGTATCCCACCCTTTGCACCGGTGACAAAGAGGCTCTCCCCAATTGTTCATCAAGTTTACTCGAGCCTCACCGGCACTATGACACGGGCTACCATTAGTCAGTGGTGACCTGATCTCTTTGGTAATCATAGTGTAGGCATCAACCCCCCCTTTGAGTGGTCTTAGATGAGTCTCAGCTGGATCCCGGTCATCTAGAGAAACATGGCATTGGTGGTGTTCCGCCCCGGACTCCGCTCATGTCAGGAGATTCTCCCAAAGAACTTTGTGTGCCGCGGCAATTTATCCTGAGCCAAGGACGGCTGTTTCGAGGCCATGTACTTGCCGTGGCAACTGGCTCTGGTTTGCGTGATTGGTGCTTTTCTACATCTTCCTCAAGAGCTCCAAGCATTGGCCTTCACTATATTTGCTTGTAGACAGAATGTAGCGCAGAATGATAGCTCTCCGGTCTCGCTTCCAATTACTGTTTGTTGTCTTCAGTTCCTCGAAAGCACCTCAAGATGTCTCCAGGAAAGGAGGGTGAAGGCTTTCCCGCCCAGAATATATCGTCAGACTCCAAGTACGACTCTCACGGCTGGCTTGTTGAAAATGAAAAAGGTTATAGAATCATTGAGGATCACTTCGGAGCTCATCGCAAACTACGAGTCATTCACATCGGTGCGGGTGCGTCGGGGATTTGCTTCTCGAAATTTGCCGGGCAAGAACATGAGAACATCGACCTACAGATCTACGAGAAAAATGACGATATTGGCGGGACCTGGCTCGAAAATAGGCAAGTGTTGGTTCCCTTGAGAACGGAAGTGGTTGGACTCATCGTTCATTCAGATATCCAGGGTGTGCTTGCGACATTCCCTCCGTTTGTTATCAATTTACCTGGGATCGGAACCCCGAGTGGTCTCAATACTACTCTGAATCACCAGAGATCTGGAAATACTTCAAAAGCGTTGTGGAGAGACACGGCCTCATGAAATACATTAAACTTCGACATAAAGTGGTTGCAGCAAAATGGCATCAGGAAGACGGACTTTGGCACGTTCGAGTTCAAGACGAAGAGCATGGAACTGAATTCAACGACACGTGCCATGTCCTAGTCAACGGCGGTGGTATCTTGAAGTATGTCCCTTCTACGAGTCCTGCGGCATCTGCTGATGGTTAATTAGTAATTGGAAGTGGCCAGATATTGCTGGCCTTCATTCATTTCAAGGGGTCCTCCAACACAGTGCACACTTTACCGAAGGACTCGACCTCAAGGGTAAGAAAGTCGCGGTGATTGGAACTGGCAGCAGCGGGATCCAAATTGTCGCGAAGATTGCTCAGGAAGTGGAACACCTCTATACCTGGATCCGGTCGCCTACCTGGATTACAGCTGGCTTCGCTCAGAAATTCGCCTCCGAGGGTGGTGGAAACTTTGAATGTACGAGCCCGCCCCCTTCTACGACTGGTTCGATGCTGACCATTTCAGACACGCCTGAACAAAAGCAGCTCTTTAAAGACAACCCGAAGCTCTACTTGAAGTATTCAAAAATGATCGAGTCAGAGTTAAATCAAAGATTCAAGTTCATTTTAAAGAACACCCCAGAGTCCAAAGCGGCTAGGGAAGTGAGTTTTTGTGTTATCGCCCATTCAGCTTGTTACTAAAAAGGACTCAGTACGCAATCTCTGAAATGAAACAGAAGCTGGCACATGATGAGGCCTTGATCGAGGCGATTATCCCGAAAAACTTTGATGTGGGATGTCGAAGACCAACTGTACGTGCCTGTATACTTCGGAAATCTCGACTCAGTCTTGTTAATTGGCGACTTACAGCCAGGAAATGGGTTTCTGGAAGCTTTGAATCAGGAGAATGTGACTGTATTCACCCATTTCATGAAGGCCATCACTCCAACAGGGTTCATCGACAACAGTGGCCACGAACATCAAGTTGATGTTATTATTTGTGCAACGGGGTATGCCGTCGTTCCAAATGTGTTTAATTTGTTTACTAACATGCTGGACACAAAAGATTCAATACCACATGGATCCCACGCTTCCCCGTCGAGGCAAATGGTGACACTCTGGCAAAGCTATGGCGTGATGAAGCTACGTCGTATATTTCGGTAGCTCCTCCTAACAGTATAGTTCTACTCTCTCTCTCTCTCTCGAGTCACTCGTTGTGCTGACACTCAGAGCAGTCCCGAACTACTATATGATGGGCGGACCATACGGGCCCCTCGGCCACGGTTCGTTCCTACCAATCTTGGAGTCACTGGCACGATACATCCTCCAGATCATCGACAAGATGCAGACCGACCGCATCAAATCGCTGACTCCCAAGCCTGAAGTCATTTCTCAATTCAAGGAACATGCAGACCTCTACCTGCAACGAACTGCATGGGTTTCTGGGTGTAGCAGTTGGTTTAAACAAGGACGTGTAGACGGCCCGCTACCGATGTTTCCGGGGAGTCGTCTCACATACCTGAAGCTGCTTGAGAGACCGAGGTTTGAGGACTACAATATTGAATATTGTAACAAGTTGAACATGTTTGAGTTCCTGGGTGACGGTTTCGAAGTTCGAGAGTTCGACGGCAGGGATCTATCCTACTATCTTGGTCTCGTCGACGAGAAGGATGTGCAAATTGACCTGGAGGCCGACTTGTCCACCGATCTGGCTGCGCTGATTCCTCAGGCATCAAAAGCGTGAGATACGTTGAAGGGCGTGACAGGTGACGGAAGTTTCAACACGAGATATAGATAGAGCGAACCCGTTCATTTCCCATGCGAGCATGAAATTGCGTATATCTAGATATCTAGAATATTATATCAGCGGGACTAGGGTAACGCAAAGCAAAGCAAGTAGTAATCCCCAGTGTAGGTAACAACTTTTGTCAATCCGCCACATATCACCCAGGGATGGGACAGAGTGCATTCCCCCTTTGGACAGAAAGAATGATCGACCCAGATAGTCGAATCAGTAGATGCTGCTTTCACAGAATTCCACATCCTGATTGATCAGCTCGATTAGTAGCCCCCTTGACAAAAGCGGCGGTGTGGTATAAAATCCAGCAAAAGCCGCCGACAGGGATGGAAATGCCGGTGCCTTGTGCCTCAAGCATCAATTTCACCACCCGGACGCGACGGTCATCGGTGGTCGACCAGCTGGAGCACTGGGGTTGCACACAGGGCAGCATCACTTTTAACCCGAGCGTGGAGTCTTTGGCATGAGCCACCCGCTGAAGTCTGTTACGTTTGGTGGCGTTGTGCCCAGTCATCTGGAACCTTTGACGACTGTGATATATCTCTGGACGGTCTGAAGGCCCTTTGCTGTTCATCCGCGAGGCGAAGGCTACTCTCCTGGGGAATTCTTGGTCAAGTATGTCTCGGATTGTGACCTCAGAAACAGAAGAAGTTAATCCAAAACAGCTCGAAACTTACCGACTCAGAGGTCAAAAAGATTTTAGAAAACAAATTGCCTTGCAGCGTAGGGGTTAATGAGATTAGGATACTAATACCTATTTCAGGATTGTGCACATAACTCAATCGTGTGAATCCCTCCGATAGCTGGGCACGCGCCTGCGTGTAGACTACGCCTCAAGGCCAAACCTCGATTCCATCTTCCACGAGCTTGCCCGACCACATTCGGAAGTCTTCCTCACATGACTGCGCAGCCGCCCCTCTTTCTACGGCCCTCTCTCTTGCCCTCGTCCCGAGACCTTATGTTGTGTATCTTCCTGCCATCCAACGTACCATTCCCCTGGTTCTCCCTCGTCCGTCGGGTCTTTTCATATTGCCACAAGATTTGCTCCTGATCTTTGTGGTTCAGCATGGAGAACTTGGCCGTTGCCATGATTTCGTCGCGCGAGTGGTGGCCGGTTTCGATCATGCGCTCCACATCGTCGCGAGTCTCGTTGTAGGTCCGAGCGGCGGTTTGCTTCTGCCGGGCCGCGGCCTGGGACGCCGCCGCGTAGCCGGTGTATGTGCTTGAGCTGAAAGGGGCGTTGGCGTCCGCGTACGGCGCCCTGGTTTGCGTAGGCGAGATGCGGCGCGGAGGATTGCTGGGTTTGCGGCGCTTCGTGATGCCTGCGCCTGAGACGAGAGTCGGGGATCGGTCGTTGCGGCGCCGGGTTGGGGACGTGTTCATTAAGCCCGGGACCAGGCTCATCGGAATTTCCGACACGTCTTGCACAGTCCCGCGGAGGCGCACTTTGGTCGGAGAGTAGCCGACGCCGCTCTTGCGCTCCGTCGCCGACGGCATGGCGATATCATTCAGGTCCTGGGCGATGTTTCCCAGCCGGCCGAGCATCGTGGGCGCGTCGCTCGAATATCTGTTTCGCGAAATCCTCTGCCGCTTGGTGATTTTGGTCGGGCTGATGCTGGATGACATACGCTTCTGCGAGAGGCCCGGATAGTTGGTGTACTCTGCGAATTCGGAAAAGTCGTAGCCGTCACCGACGGATGACGGGCTTCGACGGACCATTGCGCGACGGGAGACTGCCTGTGGCGGCAGCGCCACAGGGCGCATTAGCTGCTGGACGCTTCGCGCCAGAGGGTGGATGTGGTCCTCGGGATGAGGGGGGATGCCTCGAGCGAGGCGCTGTGCACAATCTGGACAGTTCCACGGGATGGGATATCTGATGGCGTTGACGAGCCCTTTGTCGCATGCTGATGTGGGCAGCGCGCAGCCACCGTCTCGCCTGGTGAAGCTGCCGTTGTGGCCACACTGAAAGACAGCCAGGTCCCAGATACACATTTTTGCGATAACCGATTTTTGTAAGGAGGATTCTCTTTTTCTTTGCCTTCTCGATGATTTTATCTCAGATGGGTTTGCGAAAAGGTATTGCTCGTGAAAAACCTGTGTTAAGGGAAAAAGAGTAGATCAGGACGTAATTTGAAGTAAAGAATGAAAGGGACGGCCACAACAAAGCCATCCTTTGTTCGAGGGTCCGCATGCGGACGGTCGAGTCTTTGGGGTCATGGTATCTCGGACGGATGCGAGGAGATTGCCACGTTGATTGAGACATAGAGCTTGCATTGCCATGGTTCTCTGACAAGTTTCATTCTTACCTTTCCATGTTGTAGGGTGTAGAGACGTTGTAAGCTTTCTGTTGTTGATAGACTGGAGAGTGGTGTCATCGGTGCATAACCAGTCATAGAACAGGGACAAGGGATTGCTGGCATCCATGCGGAATAATGCACATGACCAGCGGGTGTCTAATGCTCTGTAGCATTTAATGCAGACGTCGTCGGAGCATTCGGGTGATTGGGTGGGTGTGGATGCTGACGAGGCAGCGAGGCTGAAGTGCGGCGCCAAGACATCCCGTGGTTGCCCCTCGAAACAGTTTGTAGCTTTCCGCTTTGGGCCGTGGCTTGTCCCTCTGTTATCGACGCCGTGGCTAAAACAACCCCGGCGCCATTTGTCTGTCCCTCTTCCACATGACGAAACACCTTCGTCTGTGCGCTGTATGATTGCATCTTTACCTTGTTTTACTTGTCACTGCGCATGGATTCATCTTTGATCTGACCGCCCTCGTCGACTTCACCTCGAGTAAACAAACCCCCGCCGCTCCACGAACAATGGACGACCGTTCGTCCTTTACACAAATCCCACCCGGCTACCCCGATGGGCCTCCCTCATATGTCAACGGCCCAGGAGAGGAGGATACTATGAGTATGCCCGTACTCAACAACTCGCTAAGACTGCTCCCGCAGGGTCAAGATGAGTACAGACCGTATGTGACAAGCTCCGTTTCTTCTACCCTACCCAATGGACCGCCCTCCCCAAGGCGCAAGCCGGTGCCTGATCCCAAGGTACTGCGCGTTGCATGGGAAGACTCTCCCACAGAGTCCACCGTCCCAGGCGCCAGGATGCAGTCACCGGTGTCTTCACTGATTGCGGAAGCCGAAGAAAGTCTTCGGCGCAGTCGTCAAGCGACCACCTTTATTGGTCGGGCGCCGACCCTCAAGGCCACTGTGACCTTCAAGAAGAGCTCTCAAGCTGACAGAAGTCCCTCATATAGAACCTCTCCCTCCTTTCGAGGCTCCCCAGAACGATATCGACCTACAGCGTCGAGCGCATACAGCTCAAGACCGGGTTCTAGCCTAGGACGGGCCCCCTCCATACCCCCGCCGACGGCCAACCCTCGTTCACCCATCAGACCTTCTACTCCTTCTCGAGTGTCTACCGACTGGGGAAGACCAGCTGCGTCCACCGTTTCTTATGAACCGGCCGACCTTAATGGTAGCCCACGCCCAGGCACACCGTCCTCCCAGTATGGCGGAAGTCCACGGAGGCCACTACCTCCTGCACCACTTTTCTCGGCCAAGGGCGCTGTAGCAGAAACAACGATACCGATCCCAGATTCAGACTTGGAGAATGACGTGTTTGTGAACGGTCACCCTCTCGTCCCTGACAACGATCCCCGGGCGAGTCTGAAATCCGCCCATTCGTACATGACTGACTCGACCTTCACGGAAGAGGACGATATACAGAGCGAGAAATTGGACCACTACGGCCCTGCTCCAGAAGGAAGACAAGATCGACGAGGACTGAGGTCTGCACAGATGACAAAGAAGGAAGTGCGACTCATCAACGGAGAGCTGATCCTCGAGTGCAAGATCCCGACAATCCTACACAGCTTTCTGCCTAGGAGAGATGAACGAGAATTCACACACATGCGATATACAGCTGTGACCTGCGATCCAGACGATTTTGTTGTGAAAGGTTACAAATTACGCCAGAACATCGGAACTACACTTAGAGAAACGGAGCTCTTCATCTGCGTTACCATGTACAACGAAGGCGAGATCGAGTTTACGAGGACAATGCACGGCATCATGAGAAACATCAGCCATTTCTGCTCGAGGACAAAGTCCCGGACATGGGGCAAAGATGGTTGGCAGAAAATTGTCGTCTGCATCATCGCAGACGGGAGACAAAAGGTCCACCCTCGCACCCTAAACGCTCTGGCCGCCATGGGAGTCTACCAGGATGGTATAGCCAAGAATGTCGTCAACCAGAAAGAAGTCACCGCCCATGTATATGAATACACGACTCAGGTGTCGCTGGATGAGACTCTGAAGTTCAAAGGAGCGGAGAAAGGCATCGTTCCGTGCCAAATGATCTTCTGTCTAAAGGAGAAGAACAAGAAAAAGCTCAATTCTCACCGTTGGTTTTTCAATGCTTTCGGACGCGCCCTGACACCTAACGTTTGCATCCTGCTTGATGTGGGCACTAAACCGGACTCGAAAGCACTCTATCATCTCTGGAAAGCATTCGATCAAGATTCCAATGTCGCTGGAGCAGCAGGTGAGATCAAGGCTGACAAGGGCAAGGGGTGGATAGGCTTGCTGAACCCGCTGGTCGCCTCACAAAACTTTGAGTACAAGATGAGTAACATCCTCGATAAGCCACTCGAGTCGGTGTTTGGCTACATCACCGTGCTACCTGGTGCTCTATCGGCTTATCGATACTACGCCCTTCAAAATGATCCAAGTGGACATGGTCCCCTCAGCCAGTACTTTAAGGGAGAAACGCTACATGGTCGAGATGCCGATGTCTTCACCGCCAACATGTATCTTGCTGAGGACCGAATCCTCTGCTGGGAGCTTGTTGCGAAACGTGGCGAACAGTGGGTGTTGAAGTTTGTGAAGAGTGCATACGGAGAGACTGATGTGCCTGGTGAGTACCAAAAGAAACAGTTGAGATTCAGTGCTGACCAGAGACAGACGCTGTTCCCGAGTTCATCTCTCAACGACGACGCTGGCTCAATGGCGCTTTCTTCGCGGCCGTATACTCGTTGGTCCATTTCAAACAGATCTGGCACACCGACCACACCTTGACTCGGAAGATCTTGCTCCATGTCGAATTCATTTATCAGTTCGTCTCGCTGCTATTTACCTTCTTCTCCCTGGCCAACTTCTACCTCACCTTCTACTTTATTGCCGGTTCACTGTCGGATCCCAAGATCGATCCTTTCGGCCACAACATTGGAAAATACATCTTCATCATCCTCCGCTATACTACCGTGTTGTTGATCTGTCTACAATTCATCCTCAGCATGGGTAATCGACCGCAGGGCGCGAAGAAGTTGTTCACCGGTACTATGATCACATACTCGATAATTATGGCATACACCACCTTTGCATCTCTCTACATTGTGGTCAAGCAGCTCACGACACACGCATTGGAGAACACGGACCCGAAAAATCCGTACAAGCTGGGGAACAATATCTTCACCAACCTCATTGTCAGCACAGTCAGCACTATCGGCCTCTACTTCCTCATGTCATTTCTGTACCTGGATCCATGGCATATGTTCACCAGCTCGGCACAATACTTTGCTTTGCTGCCGTCTTACATTTGTACTCTGCAAGTATATGCATTCTGCAACACGCACGACGTCACTTGGGGTACCAAAGGCGACAATGTCATGCACACCGATCTTGGAGCGGCCAAAGCGGTCGGATCTGGTGGGAACACGGTCGAAGTGGAAATGCCCTCTGAACAGCTTGATATCGATTCCGGATACGACGTCGCGCTTCGCAATCTCCGCGACAGAGTCGAAGTACCCAAACCTCCCGTCAGCGAGTCTCAATTGCAGGAAGATTACTACAAGTCCGTCCGTACGTACATGGTCGCAGTCTGGATCGTGTGCAACGCCATTCTCGCCATGGCTGTCTCCGAAGCTTACCCCGTGGGCAGCCACATCAGCAACAATGTGTACCTCAAAATCCTTTTGTGGTCTGTGGCTGCTCTGGCACTGTTCCGTGCCATTGGCTCGTCCGCATTTGGCGTCATCAACATCATCTCGGCCATCGCGGAAGGAAGACTACAAGCCAAGTTTGAGAAGATCTTTGGTGGCGGGGACGAGAATGGCCGACACAGGAAGGGGTTGGGTAGTGGGATCAGTGAGAGCGGAAAGACGGGACTGAGCGGCGGAAGCAAGGGCAGTGCCTCGGGCATCAGTTTGAGCGACGTGACGAGCAAGATTTCCGAGAAGTTCAGTTGGATCGGGAGGAGGTAATGCGGATGGAAGAGACGTGTATTGACGGGTTTTTTCTGGGACGAGAAGAAATGACTTTTTTTGAATGCATTGGAAAAGGAAAAAAAGGAGTTTTGGGCGCAGGCGCCGTTTCGGTCATGGTTGAAATGTACTACGACGACCTTCGAAGAGGGACTTTTGTATGATTTTGTCCGTCTGTGTGACTGTGTGTTTCTAGACGATTTCGGGATGGGATTTCCAAGGGGGAGTCATGGATCGGATCCCTCTATGGCACGCTGCGAAATGCTCAAAGGGACAAACAAGCAAGCAAGAAAGTCTTGGGCCCCTTCTTTTTCCTCTTTCTCTTTTGTCTTCCTCCGCCCACTGCGAAGAAAAGAAAAATTGATCGAGAGACGGCGGATGGCAGGGTACGAGTGAATCAGATGGGGGGGAAAAACACTTCATGTCAACAAAACCTTACCTTTTTTCCTCTTTTCTATTTTCAACTAATTTGCCCAGGTAGAAAGCACAAGCACAGTCCAGATCAGGCCAGGCACATGAGATGAGATACATAGGGCAGGGCACATATCCAACCGTAAAGGCGGTATATGTAACTATCTGTCGACTCCATGTGGCCCTGGTCCCATTCATTCATTGAGCATTGATGGGCTGAACTTTGACTTACCTTTTCCCCACCAACCAACCAATCCTATCCCTAAAAACACCAGATAATACGATTCCTATAGCAAAAGGGGCCTCCTCACCTCACTACACCACCACCGACAAAAGGGAAGAAGATAAAGTCGATCCGACCGCCTTTATAAAAACAAGGGGGAGGGGACAGACTTGCCTTTCTTTGCCTTGCCTTACCTTGCCATGTCATTGAAAACATCAGATCACCGCCATTTCTTTTCTTTTCTGTTTTTTTCTTCTTGTTTCGCCCCCTCGTAACAATAGAGACCGTCTCGCCGCCTGGGAGAGACTTGTCTGTTTTTGCTGCAGGGAGCAATTTTGGGGTAGTTTTCGTTTTTTGGGGGGGGAGATGTCTTGAGGGCATCGAGGTTTTCTTTTTTTCTTTTTTTTTTTTTTTCTTCTTCGTAGTCGAACTTGAACAGAAAACAGGAATTGGGAGTTTGGGGGATAGGGCATGGAGGAAGGGGGTTCGACTTACCTTGCACTTGCCTGGTGTCAGCACTGAATCTTGGAAAGCCGAGAAGAACGCACCTGCGCACACCTCATGGCCCGAGTCTTGGGTCGTGGAGAAGCATCGTCAGAGTCCCTTTCAATCTAGGAAGATGGGATGCTTGGGTCCCCCATGAACTGCAGGTACGCCATGCATGGCCGGGGTCGGCAGTGGTGCTCGTCCTCTATGCGACACCGGCAACGAAACCACAGAACTGCTCGCTGAAACAGGAGTCGCAGCAGGAGCAGTCACACGGATCAGAGGAGTACCAACAGGGGCAGGAAGGTGCGGGTAGAATTCTTCGACGTGGCGAACATATCCTAGAACCGCACCTGTGCTGGCTGATTCCTTTTGGTACCATACAACTCTGGTGCCTGGATTTGCGGCAGGGGGGTGGTCGGGACGGAGAACCGAAGCGGGTGCTACATGACGCGCACGATGCACACTTGGTTGCTGTGTAGGTGCACTTCGAGGAACAGCCAGATGGAGAGGGGAGCTAGAAGTCGGGGGTGGCGTATGAAGCCGTCTTAATTCACGCCCCCTCAGAAGCTTCTCGCGAAGCCCCTCCCGGTATTGTCGATGCTCTTCTCGCTTGCGCGCGAGTTTCTCTTGGTAGTCTGCAGCTGGGGTCTTGGAAGCAGCCTTTCGCTGACGTCTTACACCCGCTTCAAACCATTCTGGGCTGTGTCTGTATCTCCCCGACCGCTTGGAAGAGCTTCGGGTTGCACTGGAGGAAGATGAAACTGCGGATTCGGTGAATGATCTAGACCCCAGCGTCGAAGACTCAGAGAGAGTTGTGTTGTCATCGTTATCGTTAGTTTGGGAGAGAATATCCTCTGGCATGAAATCAACCACAGGAAATTGACTAAAGTCAAGCTCTGAAAAGTCATGCTGCCATGGCTGAGACGTTCCAAGTTTGCCAGGATCCTCCAGGAATGGATCTTCGGGTTCTTGGTCTGGCACAGTCGACAACGCATCGGCTCGAGGATGCTGTGGAGCGGAGGTTGAAGTAGGTTCGGTTATCAGATCGGAGTATCCATAGAAATCAGCCAGATTGCTCAGGGAGCGCGGCGTCAACAGAACCTCCTCGGGAGCTGGAGGGTAGTGCACATTGTCGAGCACACTGGGAAGTAAAGGAGATCCCGTGTCTATTTCTGTGGGAAAGGACGCCCAGAAGTCAGGGTCAAATGTGTCGAGACTGGCCAGCTCTGGAGCAGGTTGCAACACGCTGTTTTCTGGGGCGAAGTCATTGGTAGCTAGATCTAGATCCAGGAAGTCATAGTTGTCGGCATTAATGGCATTCTCGTAGCTGGAGAGTTGCTCCTCAGCAGGCGCAACATCTCCGGCCACAAAAGAACCGGATAGAATATCGTCATCAAAGTAGTCCTCCAACTCAGATGTAGCATCAGGGAAGTCAACGTCAAAGTTCAGGATTGCAGCATCAGGGAGGGGAAGGTCCAAGGCCTGGAATGCAAGGTCAGCTTGATCGGGATCTGTCTCAGCTGCAGCATCATCGTGGCTGGTGTCGACCTGAGCTGGTGAGACGGATTGAGTTGCATCGGGAACTATTGGATCGTAAAGAAGTTCGTTTGTGAGACGGATCGTAGGCAAGAACGGGTCAAGAGGATTGACGGTCAGATGCAGACGATTCTGCTCGAAGAGTTCATCAAGTGAGCTGGAATTGGATATTTCAGACACATTGTCAGATTCGAGGAAGGTCCAGCCTTCGGCTGTTGGAGAGGGGTTTGACCCTTCAGGTTGGGACGCCATTGTTGAAAGGGATGATCGCTGAATTTGCTTGGTTGTGGATGTGGTTTTTGATTGCGAGCAGTTACGCGGTCGGACGAGAAACCCTTTCTGGGGCGCTGGTGATTGTGTTTGAAGGATGGAGAGCCCGAAACCCATTGATGCGCGTTCTCTGGTTCATCTTATACCCGTCGAGTTCCGACTGCCTGGGTGACGATAGGCAAAGAAAAAAACGAGTTTCTGATCTCACAAAGAGGCAGCAAAAAGACGGCGGTTCAGACAATAGTCAGTGCTTGAATCGCGTCAATGATGAACAATGCAATTGTCACCTCGGGCTCTGTGAAAGATCGACATTAACTGTATGCTTTGTAAAGACAATGTCACTCGATCTTTGTCAAGGATCCATGCTTCCTCTAAGCGTTGAGTAAGACAATGTCGTGGTCACTTACCGCCTTTGTCTTGTTTGTATCACTGCGGATAATGTGCCTTGCAAAGTGTCAGTAACAAAGGATTCGAGGTAATTCGAAGCAGAGGCAGAGACAGAGGCAGTAGCAGAGGCAGTAGCAGAGGCAGTAGCAGAGGCAGTAGCAGAGGCAGTAGCCAGGATGCGAGAGCAGCAATTTAAATATCTGTCGACTCTTCGGCTCGTTGGTTGTTGCTTATCCAACACTTCGCAAGGACTCCGACAGACAAGATGTTTTCCACCGCTAGCATTATCAGCATTGTTGTGTTCGCCGTCGTTAGTATTGCTATGATCGCCCGCATCATCATATTTCACTACAGTCAACAACAAGGGATCCGTGCCAGAAGGGTCGCCCGTCAAAGATACAACGAACACTGGTATCACGGCACAGGCCAGGGAGCTTGAAGTAATATGGTCAATGGCCGGACAGCAAGAGAGAGAGGAGCAGTCAATCCAGCCAGCTCGAGTTCGTCAAGACCACGGTGGGGAGCAAGTCGATAACTAGATTTGAGTGAGCGAGAGATGCACGAGTGAGCAGAAGGAGTCGGTTGGTGCGTGGAGGGAGGACGAGGAGATGGGAGTTTGTTGAAGTAAGGCTCGGAGATATCGGTCGGAAATAAGTTGATATTCGGCCGAGATTATGACCGAGCACCGAGAAGCGTCACAAGTGAGACTCCATAGTGATTAACCACAGCGCAATCAATGGTTTGATGGTATCCTCATCCGGCCCCCAGCCCTGTAATTTGACAACTTCTCTTCCGTCAAGCTCCATCTCATGAAGTCTGAGGGTTTCAATGATGGTTTCTGCCTATTTTTCAATAGTGTCGTGTATGTCATTCTTGAACCAGTGTAAAAGCACATTGTCGAAGCCCTCTCTTTTTCCCTAGACAGACCCCTGGTATGCTTCCCCAATTCATCTCCCATCTAGGTTGGCTCTAGGTTCAAAGGCTCGCGCAATCCTTATATCGCTGCTCGGTCCTAATCCAATCAGTGCAAGTGCACTTGGACCAGCACCGAGGAGCGCGGTTATCGAGGAGCCCTACCCATCCTACGCGCGCTATCCGCACTTCGGTGTTAAATCATCGGCTTTCAAAACTCGATCTCACACAACTATGGGTCCCAAACGCCGTCGCCTAGCACTCTCTTGCGTGGCTTGCCGGCGGAGAAAAGTGAGATGTGATAGGACATATCCATCTTGTGTCAGATGTCAGAAGGGAGGTGTGAGTTGTGACTACGTCTCATACACCAAGCAGGACAACGCTATCCCTACCCCATCCGACGAGAGCCCACAGGTACGCAGGGAGGCGTCGGTTACTTCCTGGACTGGTAAGTTCTTTGATATAGGATCTCTCCAATTACCCCCCAAAGGTCGCTTTTTCCGGCGTTCTTTGACATTAGTTTCTTGCCCGACATTTTCGATCTGAAGCAAGTACTGACGTACTGCAAATATCAGAACACGCGGAGGTTTGGCATGCTCGATCTAAAGAGCATGAGAGTGCCCGAAATCACGAGGAGAGTCAGCAGTCTACCGCCTCGCAACCTCGCACCCAAACGAAGTCTTTGCGAGAGTTACAGGACCGGGTACACGAGCTGGAAAACCAAGTCAGAGCAACGGCGACGCGTCCCATCTCGTCGACGGTGTATCTGGGTCTCGGTCATTCTACCACGTCAGGAGTGGGCGCCGATAAGAATGCCTTACATGACCACGAACGAGCCTTACTCAGAGGGAAAGGTTTCAAGACGCAATATTTCGGCCCAAGTCATGGAGCCAATCTACTTCTACAATTCGAGGAACTTTCCCGCTTTGTGAAGGATATCTTGCAGCGACTGCCGACACTCGAAAAGTCGAGAATTCTCTGGAAAAATCAACCCCACGATCTCAGCGCCGGCTTGATTCTTCCAGAGTTTGACACTCTGGTGTCGTTGATACCCGAACAGACCCGCACAGATACTCTGGTGCAAGAATATTTCGAGACACTTGAGACGACATATCGGATTCTACATGCACCGACCTTCTTTCGCAAGTACAAAGAATTCTGGACATCGTCCAGAGACTCATCCTTGGTGTTCCTCGTGCAACTTCTTCTTGTGTGCGCCAGCACGAACTGCGCTGTTGCTGGCAACCCCTCGGGGTTTGTCGGTCGGAGTACCGTTTGCCGTGACGCAGCGGTTAAATGGATCGAGGTCTGCGAGAGTTGGCTAGAGCTGCAAAGCCACAAGCACATGACACTGGAAGTCTTTCAGATCCGCGTTCTCCTGGTCATTGCCAAGAAGCTGAACTGCATCAAAATCAAGCGAGAATGGACCGTTTCAGGACACCTGCTGCGGCAAGCCATGTCGTCTGGGCTGCATCGAGAGCCCACCTTCTTGAGTAATACCATCTCGGTTTTCGACCAAGAGATGCGCAGAAGACTGTGGTTCACAATCCTCGAACTTGATATCCAAAATAGCCTCGACCGCGGCATGGGAGCAAGCATCGGTGCACTCGACTGGGACACTTTGCCGCCGCTGAACCTCCACGATGAGGACTTTGATGAAACCACGGAGAAGATGCCCCCGGCTAGGCCAATGACCGAGTTCACTCGCACTTCGTTCCTCTGCCTAGCACATCAACACTTGCCTCTCCGGCTAGAGATAATCTCCCGGGTCAACAGCGTCCGTACCTGTCTCGAAAGCGATACCGTCATCGAGCTTGATCAAAGGATCCGACAGACCCTCGACAGCCTCCCCAAATGGTCTGATCACACTGCAAGTGCCATGGCGGAAGCCCTCTCGGAGCTACTCCTCTACGAGATGCTCCTGCTCATGCACCAGCCATTTGCCGTTCAACTAGACGCGGCGGCACGACACTTTTACTCACGCGCCGCCCGGCGGAACGCCGCACTGTCAACAATGAGGATTTTCACCGGACTACCACCCAGTAGAAGGAGGACTTACCTCAATCTTCGAGATGATCTGTTCCGGGCCTGCCTGGCAACCTGCCACGACCTCGTCGTTTCAACCCGTTCGAAGGAGGAATTGCTGCAGGATCCAACCGTTGCCGAAGATCTGATGGAGCAGGCCGTCAACGTCATGGAAGAACGCATCAAGAGGCTCGGCCAAGGGTTTCACACGTACTGGCTCACCTGTAGCGCCCTCGGGCTGCTGCATTCCAAATCGTCCCCAGGGGAGCCAGCGGAAAAGTTTGCTCAAGCGACGGCCGACCGCGTAGCCACTCTCCAGAACTACCTGATGTCACAACAGATTCAGCCTGTGCCAGGCAGCAACGGCGTCGAAGATATGACCATGAGCACGGCCAACACGCTGGTGGGGATGAGTGCTCAGCCGACGCCCGGTTCACACCTACCGGAGCTTGATCCGTTCGTGACGACGACCACGGACCCATTCAACACCTTTTCCGAGACATTGTTTGATTTTGATATTACGGATCTCTGGCATTTCGGTGGGATTGGAGGCACCACGCACTACTGATTGATTGATTTATTGATTGATGGTAGAAAAAGGTTCTGTCGGATGGATTAGTATCACACCTCAATCGAACTCTTTGAAATCGCTTTATGGATGCATATTGTTGGCACTTGCCACGTGCATCCGAGGGACTTTCCTCATCGATATCCCATGACGAGGTTAATGATACTCGAGCTTCCCTGGTCTCGGGAATTTCGTCATTCGAGCCCCTGGGCCAAGTTTCCGGTGTCCAAGTGGGTCTAACAGATCTGTATCGACGCTGGTGTGAGAGGCCTATGTGAGTCAGTGACTAAGTACCCAACATGTGATGTGATGTATTGGTCGCCGTGGCTTGATAACACCCACGCTCCTTGACTCGGATACAAAGCATTGCGCTAAATTCGGCCCTGAGATCGCCTAGTCGGAACGTAGGAATGAAAAAGATCCCGGGGGGCATGCGGGCTCCACCCATATCTCGAACGAAGCAAGCGGACGACGAGCTGGGGCCCCGGAACGAAGGGATTATATGGATGTTCCTCTCCGGAGCTACTCCAGAGCTTGTTCACACCGAGAAATTTCCTCCGGATGTTCACTTGAGCAAATCGATTCGGGCCCGGGGACCAATGTTCGGCCTTTCTAGCACACAGAGTTGCTGTAAACCGAGCAGGGGTATATATATTGACGCCGGACTCTGCTATCTGGAGGATCCTTCCACTCTCTAGATCCCTTGTTAGCCAAAAAGCTTTCAGCAAACGGAGGTCGCTGCTCTTTCTTGGCCCAGCCCATCCGGACATCATCCTTGAATATCCCAAGGTATTTCCCACCAAGTAAAGTCACCCTCCCATTCGCAGTTGAGGGGAACGTTTGATCTTCCAGTTATTTCCCCGCTGACGCTCCCTTGGGTAGAAATATAAAGCAAATACGACTCTTAGACTACCAACAAATGCCGCCCTCTAACAGATATGTGCGACCGATGACGTTGCGATCGGTGCCTGTGCAAGTAGACCCGTCGAACCCTGGCACGGTGATCCGTGTCGCTCTGGGCGTAGAGACGGTCCTCAACATCGTGGTTGGAGGTTACATCGTCTTCTGCCCCCAGCACTTTGTCGGCCTGCTGGTATCGACGCCGGCCATGATAACGCCCAGTCTCATTGCCGCTGTCCGGCAATATGGCGCCTTTGCCACAAGCCTGGCCGTACCCACGGCGTTGGGAATCCCCAACACTCGACGTGGTATTGAAAGTCGGGTAACAGTGTACGCATTCCTGGGGTCAGCCGAAGTTTGCATCACCTTGGTCTCGCTCTATCTCGCCTTAGTCGGGGGCGATGGCAGTGGATTCTCCAAAACCGCAATGCTGGCATCCGCTGCGGCTTTTGCGAGTGGTCTCTCCTGGAGGCTTCTCGTTCTACTTGTGTATCCTCAATGGCTCGGGGCATACCGGCTTTCGGCGAAGGAGGAATAAGGGTGGTTGAGAAGATGCGCCACACTTTGATGCGCCGAACTGGTTCTCGCGGGTACGACGATACGGAAAACCAGCTTCCACATATCCATACATCTCACAACCCAAGTCTTTGAAAGCACTTGGTCGTACATAACCAACTTGATATTTATGTGAACTCGTGTGTGACCAGATTGGGTGCCGTTATTCGTAGCGTGGCAAAATATTAATTAATTAGAGACCGGCACCATTTCCCATCTTGGCCGGGCCGTCCGGAACTTGAGGCGTAGCGCACGTGACTTTGGAAAGGACGACCGTTGTCAATTTCAACGCAATTTCACAATTCTGTCATTTTTCATGTCCTACTTCAATCAGCACAGGGATATAACCCCCAGCTCTCACATCTCCTGACGAATAATGGCTCTTTTTCAGCTCCCACTCAATCCTCCACTGGCCCACCATAATATCCTGCGCGCCAGAAAGCTTCTGGTTCCAGATTTCACTGCGGATCTTGCTGCTGCCGTTCCAGGAAGGCACGCACTGCCACATCCCATACCCCGTCGATTACTGGAGTTCGATGGGCTGCCAGGCCGGTGTGGAGCCTGACCCGATAGGTTTCGGTGTCGACAGTGTTGGCATTGGAAGGAGCGCCGATCACACCTTGGTTGTTAGCAGCGTCCCACTCGTCGACAATCGTGACACGTCTCAAGTTTAGATGTTGAGACAAGGCGTCGAACAGCGGCCGCCACGCATCATCTCCCGGCCCTTCTAGAACACGTCCTCCAGGTCCCTGAGGATGGCAGTGCCTCAGAGAGAGGTCTTCCAACGCAACACAACTTGTGATGATCGTTGCAAGGCGGGAGACCTGGAGTGTTAACCCTCCGAGCGTCAGGCTGCGAAGCTGGGCAAGGGAGCCCAGCGGAAGTAATGGCAGCGTCATGCGAGGCTCGGGCGCCAGGTGGTCGACGCTCAACTCCCGTAGGTTAGGGAGAGGCTTCCGAAGGAACTGCACCAAGCAATTTTCCACTGCTGCGTCTCGTTCTACGAAGTGCTCGTCGTCATCATCTTCCACGATCTCCAGGTCTGGAAATTTGAAGGTTTTGAGGCTACTGAGATCCAATAGGTTCCACGAAGCAGACGGCCATGTGGGAAAATGCTGCGCAAGAGATCGATGGATTGACATAGTCTTGATCTGCGCGTTGGAGGACGCAAGACACTGGATCGCCGTCCGGAGCATTTGTCCCTCGGAGGCCCCCGTCCGGTCGAATAGTGCGTACTTGGATTCCAGGCACGAGTCGCAGTGGAGACTTCCGGGGTGCTCACTTGGATCCAGTGGGTGGCTGCCAAAGACTGAGAGTAGTTCAAAACTGTTCGCATGCTGGAAGGATCGAAGCGCCGCAGTCCACAGACATTGCAGTTCACCACAAGTTAGAAGATATTCATCCACGTTGGCTTGTTCGCCATGAGCCCTGAAAGCAGCTGCGATTCCGGCTTCCGTCGTCGGGATGTCACCCCATTGTCTCGCCACATGTCTTTGGCATCGAAGGGGTAGGTTTGATTCATGTTGTGACAAGACCCGAAGCACTCTGGTAAATGCACCAAGATCCAGACTGGTGACAAATGGGGTGGGTAGAAAATTGACTTTTCGAACGAAGGGCGCAAGGGACAAGATTGCGGTCGGTGTCAGGCGGTCGAATTCGAGTATCGTTGCCTGAAGCGTGATCTCCTCGAATATGGCGGCCTTGATGATGTTGGCTTGTCCCAAACTCCGGCACGTCAATCTCAGCGCTTGGAGTGTACACAGGACCCGACGCCTATGTCGTAGTTAGCTTGGAAATCTGGCGAGAACGGTGAGGAGATTTACCTGTCTGCCTTGCGCTCTCTCTGCCAGGCTCTGTCGCCGAGCCAACGAAATTCCGCCACCAACGCCTCCGCTACCATGTACTGTGTCTCTGGTTTGAAGTTCACCGTCATGGCCGATATTCTCTTCCTTTCTGAGAGTACAGGGTATCTTCTCGAGGCGGCAGGTGTGTGATCTGGCAACACAGTCCGAGGGAGAAGGCCATGACAAAGGATCCGTGCGACAAAGGCACCGCTTGCGGAAGCCCATCTTGACCCTTAGAGCAGCGAGACTGTGTTCACGCCAATGTTGCTGTCGTTGGGATGGTCAGTGGCGTGGTAATTGCCCAAAGCTCTAATAACTCACACGCTTGACGGCATATATATATATCGATCTAGATTCTCATCAAAAGCGGCGAGGGCTGTCCGACAGTAGCCGTCTTTATTCTCAGCTTGGCGGATCTCTTTGCTGATTTGTAGTCGCTATGGCTGAGAAGGCTGTGGAGGAATTTTATTCATTCTCCAGCGCCTGTCAATAGCAAACAAGGCCTGCAGCTGACAGATCTAGGTAGCAAACATTTCACAGATCTGCTTGTCTGCTTTGACGAGTGACATCGTGACGCGTGATGCGTGATGGATGGATTGGATACACGATCCGTGGAGCAGGTCAACTCTGCAGAACATATCCGCCAGCTCTCGCCCGCGAGGCTAGCAGTGATAAGGGGGGAGGTGAGATGGCAGGATGGGTGGTAGGGAAGCACGTGAGAGGCTGACTTATATACTAGTGCGGCTTATTCGGAACAATATTTATCCAGAACAACGCGTAGGTGGAGTAACTTCACGGCTCGCGGAAACTCGCGCACCACGCGTAGGAGACGCGAAGCGTGATTAAACGCGATTGTCTGTCACTTGGCCATTCATGTCCCATTCACGTCCCATTCACCACCATCACTCCTTCACACTCTCAATCAGCTGTCTCTTCACCCCTCGTGGCATCATTGTTGCAGCTGTTCCAGCTTGCACAATGTCGCATCGTTCAGCACTTGCTCAGCTCCGAGCTCAGCGAGCTTCCGGCAAGACACGACTCGCTTCCTACCAGGTCGAGGATCAAGGTGCCATATACGATGAAGTCGATGAAGATGGCTACAAGAAAGTCGTGCGCAGTCGCCTCGACAAGGATGACTTCGTTGTTGACGACAATGGGGAGGGTTATGCAGACGACGGTCGAGAAGAATGGCAGAACGAGCGGCAATACTACAGTAGTGACGATGCCGAGGAGCTTCCATTGAAAGGAAAAGCTGCAAAGCGAAAACGTGAGGACGATCGCGAGAAAGAAGACCGCTCCAACCACAAGATTCTCAACTACTTCAACAACGGCCCTGTCGCAGCAGCTCCCAAACCCAAGGTATGCCTCTTCCACAAATTTGTCTGGCCCAGTCTGATTACTCCAGATCCAAACCACTGCCGAAGACGAAGCTTTCATGGCTGATCTCCTCGGAGAAGTTGACGCCAATATCCTCTCTACCCGCACATATACGCCAAAAACAGTCAAATCCGACAATCGACGCAAAGTCAGAGTGCTCTCCCCTCCTCCTTCTCGCGAACAGCCTCGACAGAGATACCAAGGACCGCCGACCCAGCTAGTCAACACTCCACCTCCGCAGTCTGTACAAGAAGAGGACGACCATGTGCCGACATTTGATGACGACAATATCATGAGTGATCCTCTTCCTTCCTCTCCAGTCGTCAAGGCTGTTGAACGGAAGACGAAAGTGCAGATCAAAGAGGAGGACGAAGATGAGGACATCATGGACGTTGCTCAAGTTGTTGGGTATGAAGCCGCTCAATCAACCAGTATCAACATGACTGGCAGCAGGCCACCGCCAAAAATCAAGTCTCCACAACTTCCAACACCACAGAGCTCTTCTCCGCCGTTGCCGCCAGTCAGTGAAGTAGATGCTTCTTCATGGAACAAGATCACCAGCAAACTCAATATCCAAAGTAGTCCGTCTTCGGAAATTCGAACCTTCGGCAAGATGAAACCTCAAGACGCTGTTGAAGAGGATGGCAGTCTGCGTATGTTCTGGCTCGACTATACGGAAGTCAATGGCAGTCTTTGTCTGTTTGGGAAGGTCAAGGATAAGACCAGCGGGCAGTATCGCAGCGCATTCGTCAAGGTTGACAACATTCTCCGCAAGCTCTTCTTCCTTCCGAGAAAGTATCGGGTTGTCAATGGTCAGGAAACTAGCGAAGAAGTTGAGATGGATGATGTATACGGTGAAGTCGACTCGTTGATGTCCAAAATGAAGGTGTCCACCAGAAAAGTCAAACCGTGCACAAGAAAGTACGCATTTGAACTATCTGATGTCCCGAAAGAAGCAGAATACCTCAAGCTTCTCTACCCCTACGACAAGAGCCCTCTCCCGATGGACCTGAAAGGAGAGACGTTCTCCCGGGTCTTTGGCACAAATACGGCCTTGTTTGAACAGTTTGTGCTGTGGAAGAACATCATGGGCCCATGTTGGTTGAACATTGAAGATGCCGACTTTAGCGCTGTCAATAACGCTTCTTGGTGCAAATTGGAATGTGCTGTCACCAAACCAGCCAACATCACTGTTTTGAACAACTCCGAGCAGCTCGAGGCTCCACGCCTTACATTGATGTCTTTGGCGTTCCGGACACAACTCAATGTCAAGGAGAATAAGCAGGAAATTTTAGTTGCGAGTGCTCGCGTCTACGAGAATGTCTCTCTTACCGACACCACCCCTCCAGAAGAAATGCCCTCTCGAACCTTTACAGTGATGCGACCATCCGGATCTGCTTACCCGGTTGGCTTTGAAGCTGAAACCAAAAAGCGAAACGACACATTTATGCTTGAGAAGACGGAACAATTTCTGCTCAGCAAGTTCCTGGCACTTTTTGAAAGGGTCGACCCCGATGTTCTGATCGGCCATCAGCTTCAAGAAGTCGACTATAGTATTCTTCTGAGTCGCCTGAAAGAGAAGAAAACGCCAGGCTGGCACCGGATCGGTAGATTGAAACGAGGAGAGTGGCCCAAGTCCTTTGGGAGAGGCGCCACATTCTTTGCGGAGCGACAGCTTCTCGCGGGACGACTCATGTGCGATCTGGCAAACGACATGGGCAAGTCGTTGATGACCAAATGTCAACAATGGAGCTTGACAGAGATGTGCGACCTCTACCTTGGGCCCGACAACCGCCGCCGTGAGCTGGACAATGAAGCAGCCTTGAAGACGTGGGCAACCACACGCGATGGGTTGCTGAACTACGTTACTCACTGCCACGCTGACACCTTTTTCATTGCGGCGCTTGCTTTGAAATTGCAAATGCTGCCACTGACCAAAGTGCTCACAGAGCTTGCGGGGAACTCGTGGGCTCGAACCCTGAGCGGCACACGAGCTGAACGAAATGAGTACATTTTGCTGCACGAGTTCTACCGCAATAAATACATCTGTCCCGATAAGGAATTTGGTAAAGGTCGGGCGAAACAAGCGCAGGAGAATGATGACGAAGATGATGGAGCCGACACCAAAAAGAAGGACAAGTACAAAGGTGGGCTGGTCTTTGAGCCAGAAAAGGGCCTATACGACAAGTTCATCCTTGTCATGGACTTCAACAGTTTGTATCCCAGCATCATCCAAGAGTACAACATCTGCTTTACGACTGTTGATCGGTCAAGTACCGCCGAAAATGAGAACGAGGAGAAGGTGCCAGAGGTGCCAGTCGATCAACCACAAGGAATCCTACCAAAACTTATCGCCAACCTTGTCACACGCCGTCGGGAAGTCAAGAAGCTGATGAAGGATAAACGAGCCTCTGCAGAACAACAGGCACTCTGGGATACCAAGCAGATGGCATTGAAACTCACAGCCAACTCCATGTACGGGTGTCTCGGTTATACCCAATCGCGCTTCTATGCACGGCCGCTAGCCATGCTCACCACCTTCAAAGGTAGAGAGATTCTGAGAAGCACCAAGGACCTCGCAGAAAGCAACCAACTGCAGGTCATCTATGGTGATACCGATTCCGTCATGATCAACACCAATGCAGACAATATCGCCCAGGCCCTGAGTGTTGGGCTAGAGTTCAAGCGCTCGGTCAATGAAAGATACAAACTATTGGAGATTGACATCGACAATATTTTCCGACGCTTGTTGCTGCATGCCAAAAAGAAGTATGCCGCTATTAACATGGCCGAGATAGATGGCAAGTATGTTGAGAAGCTCGAAGTCAAAGGTCTTGACATGAAGAGAAGAGAATACTGCGCCTTGTCCAAGGAGGCGTCTCAGAAGCTCTTGAACGAGATCCTCTCCGGGGAAGATTCGGAGGTTGTCCTCGAGAAAATCCATGAATATCTTCGGGAGTTGTCGAGCAAGATGAGGGAAAATGCCATTCCCGTACAGAAATATGTCATCTACACGGTAAGTTTTGCTGAATCCTTTGTGTAGGACATTGCTGATTCCCTCAGAAACTGGGTAAAAATCCAACGGAATACCCCAACGCAGATTCGATGCCTCAGGTGCAAGTCGCCCTTCGTGAGATCAGTCGAGGCAAAACAGTCCGAGTCAACGACGTCATGTCCTACATTGTAACAATGGGAGACGAAGAGACAAAGGGCCTTCCAGCGCCGAAGCGATCTTACACCCCCCAAGACGTTCAGAAAACAGATTCTGGCTTGGTTCCCGATTTCGAATACTATCTCCACAAACAGATCTTCCCGCCTATTGAGAGACTGTGCGCACCCATCCCTGGGACTGATTCGGTCAGACTGGCTGAATGCTTGGGTCTGGACGTTCGCAAATATCAGATCAACAGTTCGAACGGGGCAAGCCAACGAAGCACCGAGATTTTCCCTCTTGAATCGCAGATCCCCGACAGCGTCCGCTTCCAGGACGCTGCGCGGCTCAGCCTGAAGTGTAGAGAGTGCAAACAGACAACAATTTTCGAAGGGATTTGCGATTCAACAGATTCATGCACACCCGAGGGTATTGCATGTGGCAACGCCGATTGCAAGAAGCTCTTCCCACGATTGAGGATTGTCATGCAGCTGGAGTCACAAATTCGAGCGCAGACGTCTGCCTACTATGAGGGCTGGTTGGTCTGCGACGATGCATCCTGCGGCAACCGAACCCGGCAGATGTCAGTGTATGGACATCGATGCCTGGGTCCGAATGGGCGTGCTGAAGGCTGTCTCGGACGGATGTCATATGAATATTCGGAGAAGAAACTGTACAACCAAATGTTGTACTTTGCGGCATTGTTTGATATTGAGAAGGCCAAGAACAAGGCCCGATCAGAAAAGGAATACGCGCAGAAGAAGGATCGGATCATGGTGCTTGCGGAGACGAACAAGGACGCATTCGAGGGGATCAAGGCGGTTGTGGATGGATATCTGAAGAAATGTGGGCGGCAATGGGTGGAGATGGATACGCTGTTCAGCTTCGCCTTGAGGTGATGTTTGGATATTGGTTTGTAGGATGTTCATTCGTTGACCAGATGAGATACGACAATCCACCATCAATTAATCCCACTGAGCGCGCCATCCGGATATTTATATGCCCTCTAGGAATGACTGTCACGGCTGAATTATGGCAGCGGAGATGGTTTCTGCTGTGGTGGAGATACAGCCTTGGATCTTGGTCTTTGATTGGCTCCAGAGCAACGACAATCTTTTAACGATACTTGACTCAACATCTTCTCGAGACCTGCTCATTAGACCAGCTCCAGCTGTCGGATTGTGGTTCCGTTGTAAGACTTCTCATTCACCCGGGCTTCTTCTATCGCTTGTCCGATGATAGTAGACTTGGATTCAAGATGACCATTCCCCGAGTTTTGGTCATTGCAGGCTCCGACAGCTCTGGTGGAGCGTGAGTTCTCCCCCACGTCCGTCTCTGCGCAGTGCTCTGACCCGAGGACTCCTCTGCCAGTGGGCTTGAAGCAGACCAGAGGGTCCTTACAGCTCATGGCTGTTATGGGATGATAGCCACAACAGCCTTGACGGCTCAGAATACGCTGGGTGTGCAGGACATCCACATCACACCACCGGCCTTTGTGGGCAAGCAGATCGATGCTTGTTTGACCGACATTGGCTGTGATGCTGTCAAGATTGGTAAGGTCTTATGCGAATACGCTGCGCCATTAAGACTATGCAGAACAGGTGGCTGAGACTTGATGGGGGAAAAAAGGCATGCTCGGCTCAGCGGAAACCATCAAGGTGGTCACCGAAGCGCTTCAACGCCACGAGGTTTCTACCATTATTGTCGATCCTGTATGATGCGCCCTGACGCCCTGTTTTTCACACGGTCTCCGGATCTCATGATTCGCACAGGTCATGGTCTCTACCAGCGGTGCGCAACTGCTGCCGGGCGATGCCGTGAGGAACTTGCGCGAAAGGCTTCTGCCCATATCGACGCTTCTCACGCCCAACATCCCCGAAGCGACGCTGCTCTTGCGCGACGCCGACGTCCACTACAAGTCCCCCTCCGGTCTGGATGACCTGAAGACCCTCGCGAAGATGGTTCATCAACTGGGGCCAAAGGCCGTGTTGCTCAAGGGCGGCCACATGCCCCTGACGAAGAACTACGTCAAGGCCACGCGCGACGAAGACAAGGCGTACACGGTCGACATCTTGTACGACGGCAACGACTACACCATCATCGAGTCGCAGTACCTGGCGTCCAAAAACACCCACGGGACGGGCTGCTCGCTGGCCAGCGCCATCGCGTCCAACCTGGCGCTCGACAAGTCCAAATCACGGACGGCGTCTCTCGCAAGAGCCACGCGGCTCGCGGTGCAGTACGTGACGACGGGGATCAAGCTGGCTGACTCGTCGATAGGCAAGGGCTCGGGCCCGATCAACCACTTCCACAGCCTCCAGATCCTGCCCTTCTCGCCGGGCCACTTCATCGACACGTACCTACTCACACACCCGCTCGTGGTACGCAGCTGGGAAGCCTTCACGCACCACCCGTTCGCGACGGCCATGGCGCGGGGCACGCTGCCGGAGCGGCTGTTCAAGAACTACCTGGTGCAGGACTACCTGTACCTGACGCACTTTGCGCGGTCGCACGCGCTGGCGGCGTACAAGTCGCAGGGCATGGCGGCCGTGGCGGCCAGCGCCAACATCATCCTCCACATCCAGCGCGAGATGGAGCTGCACCTGTCGTACTGCGCCGAGTTTGGCATCTCGCGCGCGCGCCTCGAGGACCCCGCCCAGACCAAGGAGTCGCCCGCCTGCGTCGCCTACAGCCGCTACTGTCTCGACGTCGGCGCCAGCCAGGACTGGCTCGCCCTGCAGATGTCGCTGGCGCCGTGTCTCATCGGCTACGGCGTCACCGCCGCGCGCCTCTACCGCGAGCGCGAGAGCGTCGCCACCGACAAGGGCAACCGCTACTGGAGGTGGGTCGAGAACTACGTCGCCGACGACTACCAGGAGGCTGTGAGGGTTGGGAGGGGTGAGTTTTTGATAATCCCTTTTTTCCCCTTGGCTTATTTATTCCCCCGCTTCTCTCTTCTTCCCGGTCGTCTTGACATTGGTTCGTTCCAGACCTTTTCACCGTCTTTTATACGTCCCTCCCATCCTCCTACTCTACACTCCCAGACTCCTTGTTTCTTTTCTTCCCCTAATAGCCCACAATCACCATCACCACTACTATCAAACACCTGGCCTCGCCTCGCCTCGCCTCACACCGCACCCATCACATCACATCACGTCGTATCATATCGGATACTAACCCCCCGGACCTTTGATTCCCGCGCGCGCACAGAACTCATCGAAACCCACATCGTCAAGCAATCGCCCTCGCGCATCGAGGAGCTGATCGCCATCTTCGTCCGGTCCACCGAGATGGAAGTCCGTTTTTGGGATTTCGACGCACACCCTGACGACGACGACGACGCCGCCGCCGCCCCGGCTGCCGCCGATGAAGCATGAAGAACCCCCCACAAAGAAGGCAGACGGCAGCGCAGATCTGAGCTGGACGCCTTTCATAGTAGTCGGGGAGTTCTGTTGTTCCTGATTGCGCTGGTAAAAAGAACAGCACGGTATGGATATAGATATGGTGGTGGTACAGTTCTACATAGAATACAGACAGACCGTTCCCCATCCCGACGCGTTTCGTCTCTCTTTCGTCGCCCACAAGATGACAGAGAGAAGGACGTGGTGATAAAGACCGGAGGGCAGAGAAAACAAAATTCATCCAGGAACCACACTCCCTCCAAAGCCAACGGGCCTTCTTCTCCCGCCATTCTCCGGCAGGATCGTCATGACCTTGTACGCCTTGCCCATGCCCTTGGGTCCGCCTTCGACCAGTCTCCTCCAACCCATTTCAGCCTCTCTCCTCCGTTTCTCCACCGCCTCTTCCGCCCCTGTTGTGCCGGCTTTCTTGTCCAGCTCGTTCAGGAGTCTCTCCGCCCTCTCTTTGATCCCTAACTGCATCAACCAAGTCCCCTGCTCGACCGGTCCGTGGACCTCGACGCCTGGACTGGCTTCCAGAGCCGCGTCTGCGAGAGCCCCAAAGTCCACGTCCGCACTGATATCCGCATCGCCGGCATAGACAAAAGGGGAGATGATCTTGTGTTTGCGGATCGCGCGCAGCGAGTTGACTGGGACCGTGTCCAGGGGCCCGTAGTCGATTATCAGTGCCGCCCCTGAGGGTTTTCGTTGCGGTACGTCGGCCAGGCCCTGCTTGGGCTTTCCCCTAGCAAGTGTGGCCGGAGGCACCTCGTTTCCGCCAATCCGGCGCGCAAAGTCTTGGATGTATCGAGAACTCTCCGGTGATACCTCGACACGCGACGATACTTGAGCTTTGAGGGGTCGATAGCGAGGTCGTTCGGGTATGACGAGCGATGAAGGAGTGCTCGCTTTTGCCAGGGTGAGCTGGAAGTCCGGCTCGGGATCTCTGTCACTTGACGATTTCTCGGATTCGGCGGAGAGTAACGTTGTTAGTTTCGGCGTAGTGGGCGCAACGAGTAGTTCCCGCCACTGTGGGAGTTTGCTGGCCATAGACGGCTTCGCAATCGGTGGTTGACCACTTTCGGTGAGAAGCTGGGCCCCGGTATCTTGCTCCTGTGCCTCTTCGGGTTGGGGAGCAACAGACTCAAACGCGTGGATGGGGAGAGCATCGAAGAACTCATGGGCGATAATGAAGGGCATCTCATCGCCTGCATTGTGAGCTTGGGCTGGCAGCAGGGCAATATCCTCGACCCATCTGACGGGGATCCCTTGAGTGCTGGTTGCTTCCCACCAGACATTCTTGCCCGTCTCATCCGCAACTTCCTTCATGTGGGCATCCTCTCCACAGAGCAAATCTTTCTGTTTCTTCCGCAATCCCTCTCCTGCTTCAACCATCCACACCGCCGATATAGCCCTCGCGAAAGTCTTGAACTGTCCAATCGTCCGGAGAATGTCACTCATGAGTGTTCCTCGACCAGGGCCCATCTCAACGAACTGAACCCCTACGGTCGGGCGCCCTTGGGCCATCCATTCCGTCATGAACCATATCCCCACAAGCTCACCAAAGACTTGCGATATCTCGGGGGAGGTGATAAAGTCGCCGGCTGCGCCGAACTGGTCTGCGTCTTCGGCTGACGGGCGACTCGTCGTGTAGTAGCCTCCGTCAGGATTTGTCAAGCATTGGCGCATGTAGGAGGCGATCGAGATGGGTCCCGTCACCTATTTTGTACAGCCTTGGGTTAGTTCAGACCCAGACGCAATGGTATGGGGTAGTGGGAAACCCTCACCTCAATGGCCTGCGCAATTGTCTTCGCCAGGGGTGTCGACCACTTCCGGGCAGGGACGGACGACGGGCTCTGATCGGCCTTTGTAGAGGCATGGCTGAAGGGTCGGGTTCTTGAAACAGCTTCACGGGAGGTATTCCCAAGCAACAGACATGATGGACGCAGGCTAGAAGTGTGTCTGGATAGGACACACAAGCACGGACGGGACTTCAATCGGTCAAATCGGAGTTGACGAAAGCCTCCATGTCGCATGGCGAGCGTACAGAGAAGCTCGGATGGAGATGTCAAACAGAGTAAGTGGTGAGGGAGGAATGTGGTGTTTTTTTGGATTGGTGGCTACATAATTATTTCTTTTTTCTGTTTTCCACATGCCGCTTGTCATTAATTATCACGAGGTATAGCCTGGGATCTCCCGGTAATCTTTCTCCCAGCGAACCCCTGCACTTCATGCATGCTTGGTACCCCGCCTGTCCGCTTGACCCTTGGATGCAAATGCCCTTCAGTCACTAGATATGCAAGGCATGGTCACCTACAGAGTACTCGGTACCTACTCTTAGTTGGGCACTAAACTCTGTAGCTGCGGCACCTTGCGCACCTCCGTACCAAGTACACCTCGTACTCGTCGATATATTGACTCCATCCTACTAGGTGGTACCTGTAGGTACCGAGAACAAGCAACAAGATTCAAAGTCCAAGTCTATCGATACTTGTCTTCCCTCACCCGATAGATAACCTTAGCTGTCATTAGACATGACAGGCAGGTAGGGTCCCGTCCCCTATGTACGAGTACCTGGCGCAGGGTCCCCGATCATAAGCTCCTGCGAGCTACAGATCATGGCCACATGTCAGGCTCAGGCACCATGGACTGGTAGGATGTCGAGTGAGTGGGTGAGTATTTGTACAATACTTGTATTGATTAGGGGTGGAGGATTCTTTGATTTGTTTTCCTTTGCGCCAATTCTTCCTTCTTTTATCCTACAAGGCACCGTACACCGTAGCAAATTCCCTCCATGCCTCATCGCCACACTCTTGAGGCTATATGTATCTATCGTACATGGTTCAATCACGTCTCACTTGGGCCATGATACTCACGGACCTAGTTCCACAATCCCAGCTCTGTCGGCCCTTCCGTGCTCTTTCAACATGTCTTGAAACCCACCTCCCCATCCCCGATACGTCTCCCTCTCCCTCGCTCTGCTACTCTCATGAGCTTCCCTCGCCTGCTCCTTGGCCTGTCTTTTCTCTCTTCTCATCTCTTTGATCTCCATCTGCCTTGTTTTCCAGACGGGTGCCTTTCGAGCAAATCCCGCAGCAGCACGGCTTCTCTGGCGAGTCGATGCTGGCCCGGTCTCTGTCTCGTTCCACCTGTTTCGTGTCCGCTCTTTGATGCTCTGCCGCTCCCTCAAGACACTGGTCGGAAACTGAGCGCGGATTTGCTCTTCCTTGATCAATTCGAGTTTCTGTCGTCGGGAGAGACCTCTTTCTTCTTTGGATTTGGCGTGCTTGGCCTGGGCAGCCTTGATATCGTTGACGAGTCTTACGTGCGGGTTGGTAGAAGGGATGGCGGCATCGAAATCCTCGTCCACCATGTCGTCGCCTGCCACCTCCGTGTCTTCGGACCAAGCAGCTCCGTCCCCCTCGGAGGTTTCACCATTCCTGCTTGCTAACGGCTGGCCCCTTTCGTTTACACGCCGCGCCTTCAGCTCTCCAGGTCCTTTGGGGTCCGTGACCACATTCGCAGCCCTGGAGACAAAAGCCGACAGCTTTCGTTTCTGCAACCAACACTCTTTCAAGATGGCTTTATCTAGTGGCCCCATGCCTTCATCCTCCAATCGCTCGTTGACCAGAATGATCTTGTCGATCGCACTGATCATGGTCCGCAACAATTCGACCAGTTCGCCAATGTTTTCGGTGACGCTGTACGGTGTAATCTGGCGCTTCTCAAGCAATTTCTTGACTCTGATCGTACGTCCTTTCGCGGCAGCTTGCTGTTCAAGTTCGACCAAGTGCGATTTGATCAGTTGCCTGACATTGACCACATCTGGACCGAGTCGCCGCAGCGCTCTCAAGGTGTGGTTTTTACTAGGATCTCGCTCGAAATCCAGATCTCCATTGCTGGTCTTCTCGAGCGGGCCCGCGCCGATTCCTTTGGTGGTCGCCATCGCAACTTCCAGATACATCCGGAGAGCTTTGGGAGAGAATCTGAGCTTTTGGCCTTGAGGTTCTTTTCCGTGCCCATCGAGGTCATCCCCCATATCTTGCGTGCTCTCTTGCATCAGATCCATAATCCGACTGGCTGTCTCAAAGACATTTGGATTCTTCTTGTCTCGTAGGCAGGTGCTCATGGCTATGACGAAGGTTCCACGCACCATGAGTTTGTTTTGTACATCATCGGGTCGTGGAGCGCGAAGCAGGTCCAAGGCAGCTCTGCTTGCACGGGAAACTCGAAGCAGCCGGAGATAAGCCATGATGTTTTGGTGATCAGGGACGATCTTGTAAGGACCATCAGCGGCCGTGAGAATTTCCCAATAGTATTTACCCAGTTTCAGCTTTCGAAGGGCGGTAGTTGTTTCCATAAGCATAGAAAGGGTATTGTTCCCAGGCGTAGCATACACAGACGAGCTTGTCGTCCCGGGTCGACCTGAGGATAGGCTCGAGCGGTTCGCTCTCGTTGGTGAAACTTCAAGGATGGTGGGAGGGTCACGTTCAGCCGTGGATTCCAATTCCTCTGCTCCATCTGTCCCATTTTCTGCATCATTATTCGAAACCTCCGGCATTCTGCCTATATTCATAGCTTGATGGACCAGGTTCAGAACATCCAGATGAGTGCTCCGGTTGGATGAGAGCATCAACAGCCTGCCCATGGCACAGACCAGAGCTTCGTCCAAGTAAAGATCCCCCCTTCTCCAGCGGGCGGTGATGTCGAGCCATAACTTTCGCGCGTCATCAATCACTTGCTCAAATATTGGCTGAGGATCGAAGCCAGGACCCTCCCTGCCCCCTCGATCTATGGCTCTTTTTTGGGCTTCGCTATTCAAGGCCTGCAGTATGGTGGTGAACGTCACATGGTCAGGAGCACCAGGCCCACGTTCGGGAAGCCTCCCAGCGATTCTCCATATAGCATCAATATCATACGCGCGTGCGCAAACACTGATGATGGCATTCGTATGGATAGTGGTCGGGGTGACTGCGGAGTTGGCGGCGGAGATGGAATCGTACACGCTCAAGGCCTGTTGCACGGCGTTTGGTTTCTTGACATTGTCGCGATAGCCTCTCAGCATGATTGTATAAGTGTGCGAGTCGGGCTTATGGCCTCTTTTTTTCATCTGCGAGAACGAGTCGAGTCAGTCAGGGGTCGCATTGCGGATGAAAACTGAGATTTTACCTCGTTGTAGACCTTCCATGCCTCACCAGGAGACTCCTGGCCCATCAGCCAATCTATGATGTGGTTCCAACTGACAACATTGTCCACCCCCTTGCCATTGTGAGCTCTTTCGCTGGCACGAACCAACTCCAACGCGGCTTGTAGGTTGTGGTCTCGGAGTTTTTCCACGACGCCCTGTGCCAGTTTCAGGGGATCCACTAGGTATCTGGCTTCCTTCTCCATAGCCTTTTTCAGATATGCCTCTCGATCCGAGGGCTCAAGACGCTGTAACCAATTACGTTCCCGTGCTTGAGCATCTTTGGCCAAGAGTTTCGCGCGAGCGTTCGACGGCCTGGCCTTGATTGGCGGTTCATTGCGCGCCTCTTTCAAGGCTTTGAAAAGATCGTTGCGATGATGGCCCTTTCTGAGGGACTGTAGAGTTGCATGTTTGCGAGAGACGACTACCGTGGAACTGATGGTGTGCTCGAGCGAGGAACTGGACAATGCGGACGGGAAGTGTGATGCACCGGCGCCGCTCCCCAGCGAGAAAAGTGACCGACGCAGACACGCATCGCAAGTGAACATCAGAAGAGAGAGCCAAAGATGGCGATCCGGCAAGAAGAAAAAAGGAGAGACTGAGAGAAAAAATGCAAATGCGATCCTCACTTACAACGACTGTTGGTGAAGCCCTGCGCCTAAGGAACGACACTTGTCGGGCAGAATTTGGAAATTTTTCACAACGGGAAACTTACCCGAAAACTGTACAATACGTCATACAAGGACGGCTTCTACGAAATGAGGGCGGTATTGTTCAAGAGGTCGTAATCAGTCGTTTCAGAGGTACCTGGTACAATAGGCTCCTACGAGTAGGCCTGTCAGAGACAGCTGTCTGCAACCCATATTATGTACTCCGTTCTCGAGGCCAAAAGGGCAATCTCACGCCAACGATGCATCGGAGGGAATCCGCCTCGGACTAACCAGGGGAACAGCTGACAAGCAAGTCGCAGTGGTCTCCATCTGATGCGGCACACTTCAAGATTCCCTCGTCTTCTTAATTCGCTGTAGGGCTGACATTCAAGGCTCCATCCATGTAAGGTAGGTACTTGGGTACCGATCGACTGCGTCACACCGTCTCATGTACGAGGTAAAGTCCCGATCGCATACTTTAGTCATGGTCAGCCAACGTGGCATTTTCGCCAGCTTGGCGCCCTGCAGGATGGAATGGCCGGTGTAGTAGTATGGAGTACTTTGCCAGAACGCTGTACCCTGCGTCGCGTGGTCACGGACATCCTTTGACTGACAGGGAGATCCGGGTTAACTTTGGACATCGCCCTTGCAGCGGAAACTTTGTTTATGCATGCTGCGAGTGCGGTCTCCAGAAACGGTCGGACATTCTAAACCCTCTTTCCTGACTCCGGTATCTGTGTTCTATTGCCCGCGATCTTTCAGCTCATCATGCTCTCTCTTGCCCACAGTGGAGTCGGAATCCGAGTGCCACACAATCCGAGAACGACGGAGAAAGGACTCGAGGCTTGAATCCGAGTGGCGTTGATCTACCGGATGTTGCGAGCCCTGTTTCCATGTGTTGGAATGGTGGATAGAAGACGCTTGATTCAATGGTCTCCGCTGATGTGACTGGAGGGTCGAGCCGGATGTCCATTGCGCAGGCACCAACGGGATCTTCTGGCTCGGGTTGGTCTGATCCCGCGCATTGCGTTCGTCGTGTGGTGCTAAAACAATAGCGGGGAATAAGGTCTTTTGGGATTCGGCGGAGGATGAGGGAGCACAGAGTAGCGATGAACCACAGGGTCGGAATCTAGATGCAGATGCAGATGATGGCATTGTGCTTGGTGAGTAGTTTGTGCTTGACCTGTGACACATCAAAGGCCGGGGAAACTAAGCCGTAGTGTTGCCCACTATTGAACCATTGAGCTAGCTTCTCCAGTTAACAACATAAGGATCCCTAGGGGCCTGAAGCAGGGTCCCCTCACCCCCATCACGCACCCCCTCCAGGCTCCAACTCTGAAGCTTCTAAGCCCTAGTCCGGGCGCCGTCGCGGGCGTTGGCGGTTGCGCCGGTGCTTGGAAAGCGAAGAGACTTCAGTGGTTGCGCAACCCTCACACCAGTGAATTTCGTGCATGTTGTTGGCCTCAGTCTAGACTTCAACAGCGAGCCCATTTCGGACGCCATCTTAGTTCCCTCACAATCGGCCGTCCCCCGCCAACGTTGTGTAACCCTCTGACTGCGTACTAAAAATCGAACCAGGGAATTCCCCAGGTTTTTGTCCTCACCTTGCCATGTGTTTGTTAGCCACGCCTTGAGAAATCCACTGGGTGGTAGGACAGCCTAAAATCGCGCCAGCAACACCATTCGAGATCCCTTGGCCCAACTTAATTCCTACGACACTCACCTGTATCTCTCTACAAAACATGATCATGCGAACATTTTTCTGCAAGACCAGGAACCAAGAACAGAATCGAAATGTTACCCAAGGAAAATCTCTGTTTATTCGCCATAATCACTTCATGCTCAAATAGATCTCTGATCTGCTTCCTGTCTGAACACGAACAGCAAGACCATCTCCTTGTTCTAATAACGAGTTGCGGAGCGCAAGTCATATCCAGCCTGAGCCTGGGTACCATCAAATGTACAATAACGGCGTCTCAGGGCACCGGTTTCCCCAACCCAATAGCAACTGGACAGATCCCCTTGATTCTCCCAACTTCGTTGGACTCGCTCGCATTGACAACCCATGCTGTTGATCGTTTTATCTTTGTCCCTCCCCTTCCAAAAGCTCTTCAGAGTCCGGGGAAGCCTGTGCAGATAGGAACAATTCCCCTGGTTTCTCATAATGCACTGGGTCCTCTTCAACAAAATGCATGCAGTCGGCCGATCTGTCATAATGTTCATCACCTCTCTCGAGAGAAACGCGTGGCGCTGTGCAAATGGTGATAAACCCATCAAACCGAAAAAAAAAACTGGTAATAGGAAAACGAGAACGAAAACAAGGAAACTCATGAGTATCGGAACCCGCCAGCCTATGTGACAAACTCCTCCCAGCATGCTTCCTCATCACGATACTTTTGACTTTGTCCGCATTTGCTCTTCCATTATCTCCTCCACTCCCACCTAGGGGTATCTTGGGTAAAAATGAGGTGCTGCATCATTCCGTGAAAAGCATGCAGCTCTTGGCATAAGCATTCTTGCGCCGCTCATCATCAAAAGCTGACTGATCACCGAGGGCTGAGGACACACCAGCCAGGCAGGAGCCAAGCTGCCTTGCCCGGGATGCGTTCTAGTATTGGCGTTGTTGGTAAACCTGGCCTTGTTGGGCATAAGGCGAATTCGGATAATTGGGATAGCTGTTCATCTGGGTGCTTCCTTGTGGATAGACCATACCGCCTTGCGGCTGTCCATATTGCCCTTGAGCATGTCCGTCGGCGGATTGGTAGCCAATGGGTGGAAGCGACGGTCGAGCTCCATTTTGTTGATAGCCTTGTCCAGGGACGGGATGCGCATCGCCTGGTGGACCGTCCACCTGGTTAGCCTGAGCAGCGACTCTCTGGCGCTCTTCTTCGGCCTTGCGCGCGTTTTCTTCTTCCTTCTTACGAGCTTTCCACTCCTTGCGGATCTCCTTGAACTCTGGGTCAAAAAGTCAGCCAAGCTCGATTCAAAACCACATGGTCTTGACAAAGCTGTAGGGAATCTGGTATTTCTCCGAGTGTGGAGCTCACCTTCCGGAGTTCTCTTGGTTCCATGCGACTGCATCGTCACGTGCGCGTTCAGATGATTGAGTGTCCCATATGCTTTTTCGCACCCATTCCAGCCACATTTGTACATGCGCTCAATTTCCTCGTACCTACGGCGCGGACGCTTATGTTGCTGCGCACCCGGGATAGGGACGAACGAGTACACCTGCACACATACACATTAGTTAGACCAAGAATCCTCAGTTTCGGGGATGTCGAGAACAGGAAAACAATGCGCGACGTACCTGACCAGAGCGGGATGCAGCTGATGTTTGAGGCGGGCCTTGGACGCCTGGTCCAGGATGAGGATACGGCGCGGGCATGCCATGCTGTGGTGGATAGCCACCCCACTGCTCATGCGGTGGTCGCTGGGGCATGTAGGGCGGGTGCTGAGGCTGGTACGCATGTTGCATGTCCTGTCCTTGCGGATAGGGCGAGTAGGGAGGGTAGGTCGGACTGGCTTGCGAAATCGAGGGATCTATAGGCACATCCGAGTTAGACCTCACATGGTGGGAGTTTGCGGTTGGAGTGCCATTGGGTGCCCCCTCTGGCAGGGACTTTGACGGACTTGTTGGTTGAGCCATTGTTCCAACAGCGCCTGGATGGTGCGACGCTTGGGGATATTGGCTGTAGCGCAAATGCTCTGGAGGAAACCCCGATGAACGCGCCGACGACGGAGTCAGACCGTAATCCGACTGCGGTGTGTTGTTGCTCGAGATGGTGCCAGAGCGCGGGTCTTGAGTGGCGTAGGTCGCGACAGACGACTGATCTATTGACAAAGAGATGGTTCTCAGAGTTTGCTCTCGCGGCAAAGATGATGGCTCGTTGCTGCTAACCTGACTGCGCGTATTCTGATCCACCTCTGTCCATCAAAGGTGTTTCTCGTTACCTGCCTCCCACGTGAAGAAACGCGGTTGATAGGTAAGGTAGCAATATGGTAGGAACCTCGAGGGTCGCCGGCGTATAATGTGACTGACCCAAAAGAAAGGTTGTGGATGACAGTTGGTCGCTCAAAAAAACAAAGGGCCAGTCCACACGTTAGAGGGACAGGGCGGACGATACGATTGAAGCAATCTTTAGATCAAAGACCGGCGTATTCTTTATTTTGAAGGCTTTCTAGACGAGGGTGCTCGAGAAAGTGACCAACCCTCAAAAGGCTGCGGTGGGGAGCAAGTTGTAACAGATGCTCTTGGATGGGGTTGGGTCGGGAGCGACAAGCGCCTTTTTGCACGAGAGACGGGCACCAGAAAGGTGCTTCCTCCCAGCGCTCAAGCAACAAAAAGAGACGGGTTGATCTGGACCAGGGGCGCTGTACCCTATCGTCGAACCGAGGGGGCGAGGATGGGTCGGAAAAGAGGGCTTTTAGCACGATCCTCACAGCGCTAGTTGCAAGCTTGAACTGAATGAAGAGTAGCCGTTACTTTGCTCGAGATGGTGCGGACCCCCAAGGACTAATAAAGAATTGAGATCAAAGTGCAGACGGGCCAAACTCTTGCAAAGAGTCGGCGAGGTTCTGATAGGTTTTGCCTTTGGACCCAGGGACCCTCCCCTGTTCTACGTAGCAGTTGAGTGGGTGGGCTCTTCTTTTTTGCCTTTGAACGTTGTGTCTGTTTTTGTTCTCCAACCACGGCGTGTAGACTTCACAGGTGACGTGACAGGGTAGTTGTCCCTCTTTTTTCGTTTTTTTCCTGTTCGTTGACGACTTGCGCCGGACAACCGTCTCAACTGGGACCTTGTGTCCGTGGAGGGAGTATGATCAGAGCTGCGGGTGGGTGACCGCTTCCCTGGAGTGGAACCAAGTGGCCCGGGTTGGCAGGCTTTTCACTAGAGGGTCCCACCAATAACAATGCGCTTGATAATGGGCGAAAGGAGCCTGCAGGAATTGGGGGGGGTTGTGTCTTGACTCGCACTCTCTTCTCTCGAACGTTGTCGCGCAGGGGGGTAGGGGATGCTGACCCTGGTCGATAGCGAGCAGGCTGCACCCAGCGCAGTGGCAGGTCTGAACCCACCGGCAGAAGGCGAGGCCGAGAAGGAAACAAAGTTTTGGAAGTCGACTTAAAGTGGAGTTTAGAGGGAAATTTCGGTGATAGTGTGAAGCTTCGAGCGTCCACTAGTGTCAAGTCGTGATGGCGCGAGGTGCGGTAACTAGCTCTTGAGGCAGGGGAAACAGTGGAGTGTTGACCTGTTGTTTTGAGGACAGGCCCACAAGTCTGTTCGAAGCGTCCAATGGCTCAGTTGAAGAGGGCGGGATGACTCTTATTGTTATTTTTCGGCCCTGCTATTTTTCTTCTGCTGCGGTGGCTGGGCGACGCGTGACATAAGGAAAGAGGGCTACAGGTATGAAAGCACAGGCGTCGTGGCGCTGAACAAGAGTCGGGTGAAGTGGCTTCTGGGGGGTGGGAGGGAGATGAGAGGTCAGATGTTGTTGGTTCCCAAGGTTGGGGGTCTGGCGGGTTGGCTGCTGAGTGGCTTCTTGATGCGCTTGAGACTGGGGTTCGCGTCGAGCTTGTAGCGAAAGAGGCAACGAGCGTGCGTCGGTGGACTCGTACCCTCCTCCAGGGTAATTTTCGTTAGTTCGCCACCAAGTGTATATACCTAACTAGGCTTTAATTGGCTTAGCTTCTACCACTTGGTGTGCATGCCATTCGCGTTTATCACGTCCTGACAGCGTTGTGGTATCTCGTCTACCAGTTGTTGTAGAAGGTCCTGTCCTATCGCGTTCCAGGCTTCATTCACTCGCTGGCGAAGTTGGTCGTACGAGGTAGGTGGCTGTGGGTAGTGCTGAGCTAGCCAATCCTTCATCTCGTTCCATACCGTCTCAATGGGGTTGAGATCTGGCGAAAAGGCAGGCCAGAAGATGCAGTTAATACCACGCTCTTGTAGCTCGTCTATAGTAAGTCTCGCGGCGTGGGCAGGAGCGTTATCCTGCATATATAGAAGCCCTGGATTTAGACGAATCCAACCCTGAATCAACGGAACTATTCGTTCACAGTAGGTCTCGGAGGTGATTGAACCCCATTCCTTCTCCCAGAAGAGAGAAGGACCCTTTATATTGGCGTTGAAAGAGCCCCAGAACATCCATCCTCTTGGACGTGGAACTCGCTCGACTATACAGTCTGAGTTTAGTTCCTCGCCAGCCTTTCGAGTAACGAACGTCCGTCGATGTCTATAGCCTGTTATCCACGTTTCATCGCTCCAGAGAATCTGATTCCACTGCTCTTTTGTCCAGGAACGATGTTCGAGTGCCCATTCGAGTCGTGCTTGTCGATTAGCCTCAGAGAGAGGTGGCTTTCGGAGAGCGATTCGGCGTCGATAGCCTCGTTGATGAAGAGCGTATCGGATCGATTCGGCGCTAACTTCTCCCTCAGGCCATAGTGCTTCTGCTACTTGTAAATAGGACATTCTTCTAGTCTTTCTTGACTGTATAACGAACTGTTCAACGTAATCCGCCTCTTCCTTAGTAAGCCGTGGAGGCCTACCTGCGTTGGAATGCTGTGGAGTAGCCCGTTGCTTTTGACAGGTATATTGAACTGCGCGTTGAGAAACCTTTAGAAATGAGGCAATAAACTCGTACGAATAGCCAAGTCGACGCATTAACAGAATCTCTCGACGTTGATCTCGTGTTAGACGCTTTCGAGGTGGTGTAGAAGGTGGTGTAGAAGGTGCCATATTGGCTGAAAATCTGTGGTATTACCTGGTATTCGAGAGTGAAATGCGCAGTCTGAGATAGAAAGGATGGACGCGTCTACACTAGTCCATAGATGGACTAGTGTAGAATTAGTGGATTGGTGGCGAACTAACGAAAATTACCCTGGAGGAGGGTAGGTAGGTTTGGGAGTTTCTCGTAAACTTTCAATTGGTGGAACAAAGGAGAGGCGGAAGAGATGTGGGAATCCTGCTCAAGTGATGGCGGATGGCGAGCATCTGAGTCCCCAAGCGTCCCAAGATTGAGTGAGAGTGCAGTCACGCTGCGGTCACTGCATGCTGATGGTGAATAATAATGCAGAACGGGTCAGGCGTGGCAACCACCGTGATTGGGTCGAGTGAAGTTGTGGAGGGGGCAGAAATGCAGTATGCAGATGGCTGGTCGCCGACCGGGGACACTTCCTGCGGTGGCCAGACAGTTTGACTGCAAAGGAAGGTTTATGGGTGGAGTAACATTACGGAGAAAGACGGGTCAGGATAGGCTACCATGGCAGGATCAAAGGGTTGAAGGATGGGGTCGATGATGTGGTTAGGTGGAGAGCAATGAGGTCGTGATGGCTAGCAACCCCCCCCCAAGGTTAATTATTGACTGACGAGATTGCCTCGTGCTTTGCCGTTGGAGCAAATTAGCTGGCGTTGTGATTGGCAGAAGGAACGAAGTGTGGGAGCAGTGGTGATTTGCAGCAGCTCCAACACTAGCCGACAACCCGACCGCATACCGAGGGACGAACAAAGGAAACCTGGAAAGAGGAAAAGGAAAGAGAGCCAAGGAGCCAGCAGTCTGGGAGCGGCGCACAGACCTGTGTGTGCCTCGTACGAGCCTACGAGGTACCTAGATACATGTCTAGGTACCTGTGAGTACTCGCTCCTAGGCCTAAAAATCTAAGCACTTACCTAACTGAAGCCTACTTGACACCCGGAGACCCAGAGAGCCGTCCCCAAACCCCAAGGCCTGCGAGTATAAATGGTGCCAACACTTTGTTAACTACTCTGTCCATATTTTTCCATTCTTCGTTAACAGCTGAAAAGTCTCAGCCTCTTCTCTGGCTGCAACTTGTCTCTTGCGGTTCTCCATGTTTCACACACGCACACAGTCAAGTCTGTTGTCACCGGAGTATTTCTCCAACTTGGAAGGGGTGAGGTGTGAGTAACAATCGGCGTTGTACCGCCAGTACTAGAAGGGCGTAGCTCACCATGCCACCCAACGCACAGGTTGCATGGATTCTAGTCCTATTATAGACTAGAGCTCTCTTGGCATAAATGACCCTTCCCTTGCTATCTCGATTCCTGGTGCAATGCAAATGAGACTCGCTTCTCCAAAGTGCCACATTGTTCACACAGCCCTTCAACCTTTTGGAATGTGTCTTTGTTTCTCGTTCCTTTGCCCCAAGGCGGTCTGTCCATGCCAATCATAATTCTCCCGCAGACCTAAACCTCCGATACCACGCCCCCCGAGTCCCAGGGTCATGCATTGCTAAATTTATTGTTCGTCACTATCGGACCCGATTCGTTCGCCCACCGAGTCAGGGTGTCCTGCTCCTCCTCCACTACACCGAATCAGAATGTCACCAGTGACCTCCTGTACTCCGTACAAGGACGAGAAGGATGTCAACCTGGGTAACAAATGATGGGACTGCAGGGTTGATCTTGTCGCAGCCATGAGTTTTCACACCCACCTTCCAGACTGAGCCCCTCCGAGTACATCACAGCGCTGTCGAGAAAACTGCCTAGTGACCAGATTCTCTTCCAATACCACCCTCGAGCGCGAGTAGCTCGTCAGGAGCCAAAATGCATAGACCCTTGCCTGCGCCACGCGTGTCCTTGTGATCCCTTGTCTTGCAATCGCAAATAGAAGGCTGTGATGATAGTTGGTTAAAGATGTGTAGGGACATTCAGTCTGATAGGCCAAGGTTTGCTACCTAACGGTTGAACCTCGCAAATTCGGTATTCCTTGTGGTTTGGATCTCGGTGTCAAGAGACTAACTACCACTGGAGCTAGACAAGTCCAACTGTGGCGCGTCTCCTCCCTTAGATAGAGAGCGAATTCTCTAGGTTGTTTAGCTTCAAGTTCCCCAGGATGCCTAAAATGCCTCCAGTCTGGCGCCAATCATGCCTGGATAGCCTGCTACTCTCTACCGTTTAGCGTGACGATCGAGGCCGGACTTCTTCAGTATTGCACATTGACAACCACAATTCAATATTGAGCAATAATGTCAATCGAGTTCACCAATACAAAAGCTAGCCTACAACTTGGTGATTTGAGGGGGCGATCCGCACACCGCCCGTTCTAGCGATCTTTTCTTCAGGACGACATTCGCAATGCTCCCGTGTCTGTGGTGGACCCATTTATGGGCACATTGCAGACCCGGTGTCGGCACACTCGACCCCCCCTTGTCATGCATGTCGGAGGTCCCTTGAAGTATGCCGTTGACGTTGGATGCCGCCACGCTTCACTTGCTGCATGCCTCCTGACATTTGAGTTTGATCAATTATCTTCCTGGTGGAACTTTTCGTCTGGAACTGCCTGTTGTCGTTGACGAACATAGACGATCCCAGTGTCAGGGTGACATACGTCCCCAGCGAAGTTGGAAAAAGTTTGGCGAACCTTCCTGCTCTCTGGCAAACGATCGTGATCCATCTGAGTTCGTCTCAGCATCAAGAGCCCGCAACGGAGATCTCAATGTTGTCACTACCCCAGTACTTTACGCAAGTATCGACCCTGTCTGCTGTGGCACTAGTTCAATGATATTCTGGCTGTGGATTTTGTAGACACTCACGTTCGGATGAAACGGATCAACAGGTGAATGTTCATGGATTTGGCACAGAAAGGACCCTCCCCCTTGACCATACCGTTTCGGAAGGGTCAGTCGTCCTGTATTTCATTTTCTGCGCTTTCAAAAGGGGCAGGAGGTCCTCTGGATGGCACCTTACTGGCGATGTTGGGGGTGGACGAGATTGGGTCAGCCTTGTGGAGGCCACATCTCCCCAAGTCAACGTCATGAGAGACTTCGATATGTACGAACTCGGCACAGCGCCTGCACGAACGCAGACACGGATCGGTGGTCGGTTCTGCTTCTCCTCATTACTTGGCAGATAGACAGTCATGGAACGGTACCGGTCCAGGCGTTTGAAAGCAAACGATGAGGTGGGAGGTCGATACTGGTACTGGCGGCTGTTTTTCAGATTGAGGCCACTAAACGTGACCAACAACACTTGAATTCGTTACCATGGCCTGCAGGGATGGTTTACAACTCGGTACATGACAGGGAAGAAAAAGGTTAGTCTCCAATGTCAAGTGCACCATCAACCTCAACCGACGGGTTAGTATACAGGATGATTCGTGGGAAGGACATTGAGAGACCTTCTAGGCCCCAACCTCTTGCATATGCAGGTTACGGCGCTACCACTGCAATCACCCCAAACCAGAGGCCAACATGGTCATTCCCATGCAACAGGGAAGGGCAAAAACAAGCGAGGGAGACGGGCCTTGCTCTGGGTACGGGCACGGGTACGGGGGACTGAGGACATACATGCAAGCGACATTGTGTCTTTGTTTTCCGAGACTTTGAGCTTTCGAGTCTCTACAATGGCTTCTACAATGTATGTTATTGGCACTCGAATTGATATCCCGCTAGATGGTCCAACTCTGGGGAGAGCCACGAGACGGCTTCTTTACCTAGGCTCTCTTTACCTAGACTCCTTCAGGGCACCTGTTTCGGGACCCACCACCAAATTATCCAAGACTCGTGGGGTGCAAGATTATGTGCTGGTGGGACAGTTCCAAGCTTCCCAGCTAGTTGCAAACTCAAGCCAGAGCTGGCGAGCTGACCACCAGGCGAGCAGCCGTGGGCTCCGATTTTCGGCTAGCATTTCTGATAGCGTCTTGGTGAGGCATCTGTTGGTCTCTTGCGTACCTGCATGACAATCACTAGGTGTCGCTGGCTACAACCACCGGCGTCCTCTGTCCACGAGGGAGAACAACAAGCCCGACAGAAGTGAGCCTAGCCACCCCACGCCGACTATTCGTACTACGGGGCAAAGGGGGGAACTTCCCAGGTCCCTCGACATGGGTTGTCTCGGGATAAGCTTTTGGTTGCTTCTGGTTGAGCAGGCCAAGGGGGAGGAAGTCGGGCAAGGCGGCACCATAGCGCTGGAACCTCCCAGACAAAATCACCAAGGATTATTATTGAAAGGTAACAAGGAGTTGAGGCCCGTGCTTCTGGAAAGCTAAAGGGAAAGCTCGGCTTCGATGGCAGGGGATTCTGACGCCAATGCAGACCCGTTTACCCACTTTGGTTCGGCAAACAGAAAACTGATACTTGGTACCTTCTTGATGCTGTCAACAAGACCTGACGTTTCGACATGAGATGAGAATGCCAGAAGAAGATGATGATGATGATGGGGAAAGGAGAGCGGCACTTTTGTGAGAGATGCTAGTGGCCCACACCAGACTAGGCCATCCATTTCTCGGGGACCAGCATCGGAGCTTGTCATCCTTCCCACGCTCTACTTGGTCCCTGCGAGGAGGTTTAGATGCGTTGTCACCTTGCAACCTGCGACCTGCGAGGGCCTCCATGACCATCCTCGGCGGAACAAGGTACCAAGGATACTGTTTGACCATGTTGCCCGTCACCTGGACCCTTGGTTCTTTGGAGTGGGAGGCCAGGACGCTTATCGACGACATGATGATACCATAACACCCCGCGAGCAACTTTGAGGGTGACTCGATATAGTAATGGCACCACCGTCCAGAGAAAAGCGTCTGTGTCTGGTGGTGGTATGCTCAACTACCGCCAGTCTACAAGGATGATGAGTACGAGACACTACTTGTACCAGTACTCGATACACCGCCCATCTCTAACAAATACGAGTACCTAACAATACCCACCAAAGTCCCCTTGGCATGCGCATTCTCCTCGGAATCAGCCAGGCTTCCAGTACTTGGTACCAGTACCTACTTTGGCAGAGCGATCCCAAGAAGCCTGCGTCGCTTTGCTCGGGTGCTCTCCGATTTCTCAAATGGTTTCATTTTTCCCTTATTCTTGTTAACCCAAAAGGCCTCAACCAAGGAGCTGGAGGCTGGAGGAGGGGGTTGATTCATTTCCATGACCCCATTATTTGGTTCACCAAGAAATTGGAATTGTTCATCAATGTACCCAGTACCTCGTATGGTACCCACACCTTGCAGAAAGTGGAAAACTTTCTTTCCAGTCCAACTTCTGTTAAAGGGGTGTGGATAAGCAAAAGGTAACGAGAACCGGGTTGCTCCGCAATCGTCAAGCCAGAGATACGAGATACTCGGCACCAACATGTGTGTTGACTCGATGGCCACTGAGAGGGACGGAGGGAGAGAGGGACCGTGTACACACTCCCTGTTTCGGTATAGCTTTCGCGAATTTCCTTGCTCCCTTCTTACGGAATAGGTACTCGTTCCTACTCGGTAGGTATACAGCCCCTACCTCTCTCTCTCGCATGCATCCCACAGGACTACTCGTGACTCGGTACTCGGGAGCTACATGACGGAGCAACGCCTTGTGTTGGAGATGTACGCATTTTATGAACAGCGCCGAAGTCGCATCAACGAGTATTTGCACAAGTACAAATACTGGCAACATGCATTGTGCATCATACACCGTGTATCTCGTACCCCATGTGGGACCTACGAGTCACTCACAAGCCACTACTACTACGAGCATCACTACTGCCTCTTCTTCATCACTTGTCCATCCCCCACAGCGAAGGCCGAGATATTGGCTACGCTACTCATCTAAGAGTATGAGTACGAGGTACCTACAGTACCTCCCGAGTCCCTAGTGTCTCGTCTCCCACTAGGCACGAACCTGCCCCCATTCTCAACGGCTTGCCTACCTACCTGCTTGCCTACGTACTAGGCGGATTTAGGCGCCCACCATCGACTCTTTCGAAACGGCTGGGGTGCGTGGGTGCTTTGTTTCAAAAAAGTTTAATGGGCCTCAAACCCTGAGACGCCGTCATGATGAGACGTGGTGCAGTGCCAGTGCCAGTGCCAGTACCGATGATTATTCTTGATTTGCAAGTCCGGCCTGCAATTTAAGCGAACGAAAAAAAGGGGCCGTTGGCGCCGGTGCCGGCACAAGAGCGACCAAGTCGTGGACAGCTCCCTCTCTCCCCGGGTTTGCACTACTACGATTAATTTATTACTGAGATGCGCTGATTCCCCATACGAGGACCTACATACCTACTCTAGGAAAGTACAGGATGATGCGACTGAGCTGAATTCTCAGCCTCATCCTTTCACAGAACGCCATTGTCAAACTACTCGGTACAGTAGGTACACTACCCCCTACGACACCCAGGCCCCAGAAGCCTTGTATTGTGCCTGAGCTTGCCAACCCAAACCCAATCCAATCCAATCTTAAATCACTCATGCAGTTCTCTAGTCGGTACTCGGTACGCGAACGCTGATCATTTTGGAAGAAAAACTGTTGAGCTCTCAAGCCCAAGAGGTGCCAGTGACAGATCAAGAGATCAACCAGAAGTGGAACCTCGCTCAAGATAAGGGCGGCATCACTGTGCCCAGTGCCCACTACATTCTACTCCTTAGGTACAAGGTACTACAACCAAGTAATGGGATGTCCTGCTGGGACGGGGACATGGGAGTCGTAGGTACCCATCATATCATGCCATCATGACAATCTCCTCGTCGAGGGATCGGCGGGTTGGTGTCTTTGTGCTAACTAGTTCCCTCTCCTGCCTACGAACGGTTCCGGCGATCTGGTGGGGAGCCCTCAGTACCTACCAACTACGTACTAGGTAGGTAACTGCAATTGAGAACCTCAACCCCCAGCTAGAGACAGCTACATACAGCCTCCAGCTCATGCTAGGAACCAAGAAGAACCCGCGTCAAACATGACCTGGTCTGGCCGTGAGGATTTTCTTTGGAAATAGGGCAGCAGACACATGCCTCGCCATACTATACAGTGCTATTATTAGGGAGGTGAAGGATCTGTTCTCGAGCTCGTGACCTATAGATGAGCAAAGAAGCCTATCCACCTAGTAGGCGGATAGGTACACAGGTCAGTAGGTAGATGATAAGAATGCTCTGTTCGAATCCTCTTCTCGTGGTTCGTGGTTCGTGGTTCGTGGTTCGTTTGTGATGGCTGCTTTCCAGGGGCTCTAGGTACTCAACCCCAGGGTACGGCGTTACATTCAACACCCAACCCTCAATCAGCAGAGGAAATCCAATAGCGAAGAGAAATTCGAGAATTTGAGACTCGAGACTGGGAAAAGTAAGAAAGACATTGGTTGTCGTGCAGTTTCTCTTCACCACATCACCACAGCACCATCTCATCTCGTTCGAGTATTTCGCATTGTGACATGGACATGGATATGGCTTCTACGGGGACTCTGCTTCAGGACTCTACCAGTACTCCGTGATATTTACGATAGCGCATGTTCGTATGTATGTATATATATATATAGATGGATAGACCCTCCGTCCGTCCCTCCTCGGACATCATCCTACGGGCAGGTAGGTCTGTAGGTGCATATGTAGGTGACTGCGCTTCACATATGTATCATCCCCTGACGACAAAAGGGGACATTTTGCTTTCCCATCTCCCTAGGTATTTACGTACAGTAAGTATCTATCAAAACCTTGAGCGACCAGCGACCAGCGACCAGCGTGGCCAGCCAACCGTCCCTGGGAAGAGCGAGTCAGTGAATCCATTACAACATACGTACGAGGGACAAGGTCATGCGAGGTCAAGATCAACAGCAATGGCAATGGCAATGGCGATAGCAATAGAAAAAGTCCATCCATCACACCTTTAAGTTTTAAAAATCGGGCAAGAAAAGAAAAGGAGAAGGAAGAAAAATATAACAGAACTGTTGCCAATGCATACCACCTACCTACCTACATAAATGTACCTAGTACCGTATCACACTCAATCTATTTTGTTTGTCATCTATTTTACCCATTCATTCATTCATTCATTCATTTGCCTCTCCTTCCATTCCCATTCCCATTCCCATTCCGATTATCTCTCAGCCTTCCTCGGCCTTACACAACCTCCCTCGCTTTCCTGGCTTCGCTCTCCGTCAAATACACAGGCGATCCCGGACCGCAAACATATGCAAACACAGGTCTACTCGAAGCGAAAGGGTCTCGAGCAGAAATAACTGAATTTCATCCAAACCAAACCGAACAAAAAAAGAAAGTGGAAAAAAGAACCAAAAAAAACTCTTGTTTACTACCTTTGGCGTACTTTAGCGCTAATTGTATAAAATACTATTATAACGCATGCGGTCAACGTTCAGTAACGTTCAATTTGATTTGGTTTGATTGCCGCTTGGGCCACGTGCGAGGTATATATAACATATATCATATATATCATGTGTGATTTACACGGCATGGTTCCGCGGAGATGCATCGTCTGCATCATCTTGCCCTTGCCTGGGTTCGCCTCTGATCCACAGTGTGCCAGCTATTCCACATCTTCCGCGTCCACAGGGAGCACAAACTCGATGCTCTCGCCGGCACGGCTCTCGCGACTTACCTGCGCCTCAACGGCCGCAAACTCGAACTCGTCCGGGCCAGCCACGCTGTCTTCAAGACCAAGGAATTGAGCCTCTGCCGTCTGGTCCTCGTCCACCTCCTCCAAAGGCAGGGGCGGTCGATCGTTGTCAAGGACTGTGCCGGAATAGACATCTCTCATGTCTTTCACGCTCTGGGTCTTCAGGTATTGGATTTTCCTAAGTTTGTAGGCTTTGAAGCTGTTAGCACCCCCTGAATTAATCGAGCAGGGGCCCACACGATGTTAACGAGGGAATGTGTAAAGTGTGCTTTTGTTTTCCCACGCGAACATTCAGGGAGAGGCTTGTGGCCTACCCAAGATGAAATCCGATTTCCCAAAGGACGCCTGCTTGCCACGGTCTCCAGAAATCGAGCCACTGACATGCGCTTCGACTGGCACACCCGCAGCTACGGGCGCAAGGTTCGCGCCCAGTTTCGCGGAGAAGAGGTGCCTCTGGCCGATCTCGCTGCTCACCGTCGCGCTCGACACGGCCATGATCCCAGTGACCATGTATAGCTCCTTGCGGAACTTGGTCTTCCGCAAGAAGTTCTGCACCTCCGGGTGCTTGAAGCATGTTTCGACCCACGAAGCCTTGGGGTTGATTTCCTGCGTCGCAAGCTGGTCGGCCTCGATGGTCCAGGTCAGCGTCTTGGTCCGTTCTGCGGTCAGATCCGCCGAGAAACCGAAGAGTTGGAGCAACGAGGAGCCAATCCCGGCCGACTTGGCTTTGTTGTCGGTGATGGTGACTGCGAAGTGGGATTTTGTGTCGTCGATGAAGAGCTTTGGCAGTGGCTGCCTGTCTTCGTCGTTGAGAGCATATTGAGGTGTTTTAGGGTCATGGAGGATGTTGCCCAGGCTGATTGGGCCGCCGACGTGGAAAGTCCACCGGGGCGGGAAGAAGTACGAGGTCTGGACGTTGGCCATCGACGACAGCGAGTTAGATCGAGAGTTCCTGCAAAGGCCTGCAATTTATCTGCTGTAGATAAATATTGACCTTGACATGAGTCACTAAAGGCCATGTCATGCCCGAAACGAGAAGCAACGCATAAGGCGGCCCATGGCATGGCTGCATCCAAGTCTTGTGACTTCCCCTCGAGCCACTGAACGAGCGTAGCGCCCGACTGATATACGTGAGGAGCTGCAGGTGAAGCGATGGCATCGATAGCGTTATCGTCTTACACCACTTCTAGACCTTCGCAAACGGAGGCGACTGAGGCTGAAGAGCGGGGTAGCTAGCTAGGCCGGTCGGTCAGTCGGTTGGTCGTTCGTTCTCTCTTTCGCGAGGCTGAACTTGGTGCTCACATACTCGGATAATCTCTCCAAGAGGATATAATAGACAGCCCATATCAAGGACAGGCCGACAAATCCTGAAGTTGCCCAGACTTCCGGTTCCGGCTCGGATCGTCCCCGTCGAGTCCAGTGTCGCAATACTCCTCGTATACAACCTGTGCGCGCACAGGCTCAACTTGCACAAGAGACACGGCCGAGCCTGGACAATATCGCCGACTACTTCAGCACCCGCCTGCTCGCTTCAACGACTTTAACCCGATGTTGACAATTTAGTGGTCGGCGTCGTTGTAAGGGCCTCAGCCGCTGTGACATTTCTTCCACAAGGCTAACTCCTGGTAGAATACTTCTCCCGGAAAAAGGCGATTGAGATACCGAAGCCATGATGTAGGAACTTTATGGCAGATCGATCCCACTACACTTACCGTGCCAATATAGCCCGGCGCCGCACGAGGGAATTTGTCGTGAGAAGCGACTCGGGCCCCAATGGGCAGCACCGAACTGCGTCCGGGCGACATGCTGGGGACGACTATCACGGCGAAACACACGCTCGAAGGACGGTCTATGAGGAGCGTATTGTGATTGACCCTGTGCCGAAGAAGCCGCCGGTCCCACCAAAGAAACCACATCTGATTAAGAAACCGGCCGTTGTGAAGGCTGGAACTTCTGGTGTTCCTGTCGCGCTAAAGTTGTCTGGACTTTGGGGCTCGGGAGAGGAACTTACGGTTGGCAGATTTCCTTCAGGTGGGCTCTTCCTGGATAGAAAGGTGACACGGTATGGGAAACCGCCTCCAGTTCGGCTGCCGCCATCAGATTCGAGTTCTGATAGCAATTGAGAGGATTTCATGACTGTGGCCTCACAACTAGACATCTTATTGTATGTAGAGGGGGGATTGAACCCTTCGATGATCAGTGATCAGACCCATTTAGAAGACACAGCATTCACCTTGCCTTGTATAGCTACGTGCAACTTTGTTAATATGATATGGATATCTTCGTAAGAGACGTTGATGCCCAAAGACGCAAATGACTCGTCGCTTCAGCCAAGAGACCGTCTTGGCATCCCTCCATGACTCGGCCTTATTGTCGGACTTCACGTTCTTTATGGTGACCAGCGTATCTCTTCATATATCCCGCTGATTGATGCCGTACCGGTCTTGACTGGAGAGGGATTCTATGCTTTTCTCGACGCGATTTATCGACAACACCTAATGAGGATGGAGACCATGAACCGAGGAGACGTGGACACTGAGGTTGACCTGACAAGGATCGAGAAACTGCGCCGAATTGAAAAGAAGGCCATCGACGCGATCGACATTCCAGACTGGGAGACTGTCAAGAAACATTACAGTGAGATGGACCGGCTTGTAAAGGGGTGGCTCGCACCGGGCGATCCCAATGTGCTGCTTATACAAACCCATCTCGCCGAAGCATTGACAAATCAGGGCATGATTGACGAGGCGATCGACATTCAGCATGACCTGCTCGATCGAATAGAAGCTGACACAGAGGTCGAAAAGGCTATCCTAAATCACGTTCTACATCTCCAAATTGCAGTCGTGGAAATGCTTCTTCTCCGGAATCGCGGCAAGGATGCATTGGACATCCTCCAGAACGCACTCGAGGTTAGTGTAGAAGGCCTTGGCCGTAAACACGAAACTACCGACTCGATACGAGAAAATCACAGCCGTGTACTTGAGTGGGAGCGGAGGAACATCCAGAAGCGGGTGGATCGGTTGAAAGCAAAGGCAAACAGACGCGACAAGACTGTGCCCGTCACCGCAGCTACTGGATCTCCGATCTACAGCCCTCAGACGACGCCAGAGATTCGACTCCCATCTTCTACAGCTGATACCTTCGACAACGAGGCCGTGGGCCTGGGAATATGCATTGCAGGTGATACAAGTGAGTATAGAACTCGACGTCTGTTCAGAAGGTCTCATCATTGAATCAAGGCTCCAACACGAGCTTCCCTCGGCCAAGAAGCTCTTCTGCACAGCTGCCCGAAGGAACTTCGCAGCCTGTTGCTTTCAGAGGACGGCCGATCCAGTCGCCGAGAACGCGACCCGAACCGCCTGCGAAACCGCTCGGCTTGCAAAGGGATCAACAGCCAAACGATCTATCGAAGTTCGCCAGCTTGCGTGGCTCCCAGACTCCCTCACTACGCGCTGGCGACCCATCGAGGCCTGTGGCAAATGCATCCCCTTTGGCCCCTCCTCAGCAGACAATGCGGGCGAGGTCTGCTGATCATGGTGGTCCGGAGACTTCGTCTAGCAGAGCTGTGATCCGTTCCGACACCATTGATCCCGACTTCTCAGATGCGGCTCTTCTAGCTTGTGATGAGACTGAATCTAAAGAGCAAGTCCCTCCCCGTCCCCGATTGACGTCGCTAAGCGGGAACAGCACCGATGAATGGTTCTCGGTACACTTGAAAGAAACCCATTCTTTTCTCGAAGGCTTCAGAGTCCTCAACTCAGGAGCGGGTCTCCGACCACGTATTGCTTTCCTTGACACAGGGCTCAACACGGAGCACCCGGAAGTGCAGAAACTTAAACAGAGAACTGCCAAAGAACGACGTCTGCGAGGCTTCTGGGCCCCTCCGTCGACGGACTGGCGGGCGGACCAGGACGAAGACGGCCACGGAACAACCTGTGCTATGGTTGCGCACAAGGTGGCGCCCAACGCCGACATTTACATCGCGCGTGTCTTCAAAGATCGGAAACATGTCAATGGAGACTACATCATAGAGGCCAGTCCTCTCTTCTTTCCCAAAAGAGCATTGCTAATCGACACTTAGGCCCTCGACCACGCAGTGAACGTCTGGCAAGTCGACATCATCAGCATGTCGTTCGCCATATCAAAAATTGACAAAAGGACGAAAGAGGCCATGTCTGCCAAATTTGAAGAAATCAAAGACAAGGTGTTGCTGTTCGCCGCCGCGTCCAATTCAGGCCGGAACGACGGCAGAGCGTACCCGGCCAAGCGTCCAGAGGTCATGGCGATCCACGCCGCGTACGGGGGAGGCGGCCCGTGGAAGAACAATCCCTTGCCCTCCAGCGACGACGCCCACAATTTCAGCACCCTGGGCATGTACGTGGAAACGCCCTACACGGGACAAGCGACCAAAAGGGTTTCCGGCACGTCGGTCGCTTGCCCCGTCGCTGCCGGCATCGCGGCGCTCGTTTTGGAGTTCTGCCGACAGCCACTCGTGAAGATCAAGAAGCCCGAGAGATTGAAGCACAAAAAGGGCATGGCAGCCATCTTCTCTCAGATGTACAACCGGTTCGAAGCCTCCAAGGCCGGCAAGGAGGAGGATTATTTCTACCTGCGCCCGTGGAAGTTGATGGTCGTCAAAGACACGGACGACGACACCGCCGCAGCGTGGCACCGGGTTGCCAGCCTCATCAACGAAGCATTTGGCGAGGACTACTACTAAAACTCAAGAAAATTTTCCTGCCTTGTTTGATCAAAGCGCAATCCTCCCCCAAGCCACGGGCCATCTTTTTGGCGCGGTGAGATCACATTTCTCCCGGTCCAGAGGAGACAACTCTCCCGGCCGTGGGAAGCGCTACTCTCGAGCCATGAACGCACCTCGAGGGTTCGACTGGAGCCAGTCACGGCTTCCTGCTTCTTCTGGCCTGACAGACACCCATAGACGAAACTAACTACATACCTCTTACAGGCCGAAATACGTTTCTAGGAAACCTCCCTCGCATTGGCCCCGAAAGGCGAGGAGGGTACAGCATCTATTCACCCATCTATCTGTCTACCAAGCAGGCTTCTTGGCTAGCTCAATCAATACCTCCATTAAAACGAAAGGACGGGAACAGGGATGATGATGATGCTTTGTGTTGTCGAATTCACCAGGGAGAATAGCCCTGAAAGTTTGTTCTGTGTGACTACTGAATACGACTGTACATATCTCATATCTACGGTCACTATACACTATACATCATACGCCATATTACACCATTGAATGCATGTCGAGTTTGTCCCCCCGAGTAGGAGCAAATGCGTGCCCTCGTGAGTTTCACTTTCCTAACCATTTAACGCCAATGTGAGACACATAACCAATTCGAAACTTCCCTACACCTTCGCGCGTTGGGCGGCTTCGGCAGCGTCCATATGCCTCGTGGTTATATGCCGCCGCCGAGGTGCCATGTATACTAAACATCCTCGCCTTTCCCCGCCTTCTACACAACTTACTGACCACGTGAATACAAAATCTCATCCATGGCAATGCACGTCTCTGATTTTACACTCAAGCTATGTAGCAAATACTTCTATCTCTATTGTTCTTTTGATCGATCATCACAATGCTGCACCGCTGGTGGGAAATCATGCCTTCCGTATCACAACTGTCTCTCTCCCTGTTCCAAATACGGTTGAGCCATGTGAGTCGTCATTGATACCAGCTCTATCCCCATTTTGCTCAACTCTTCTCAAGTGAGGAGCCCCAACTGCTCCCGTAACCCATCAAAATCCCATGAATGCATGAAACCTGCCGCCAGGGGTGAACAAGGGTCTCCCCCAGCTAATGGAAAATAGACGCAATCTATCTTTCCCCTCCCCGTGCTTCCTGACGCCTGAGCCTGATATGGCAGTAATGCACAAAACAAGTCTAGAGTCTCTTTGAACGATGAAGGAAAGGTGCGATGTCGGCAACTTGCGAGGTGAGCGCAACGACTTGTGTTCGTTCTCACCGTTTGCGTGTCGCTGCGAGCAGTTGACTCGTTCGACCTATCGTTTACCACCTGGACCGGCCAAGGGGCGCAGCGTTGGAAGCAGTGAAACCGCCACGGCCTCCACGATGACCGCCACGACCACCATAGCCACGGCCGCCGCCGCCACCGCCGCCAGAGTAGCGTGCCATTTCTGCGAGGCGAGGTTCGATGCTTTGCTTCGACTCCTGGAGGACCGAAAGTAGGTCACGAGCTTGCTTGGCATCTAGAAGGGAACAAGGTCAGCAATTTATATCCTGTGTGAGGGTGCACGAATACGTACTTTCTGTAGTGAAGAGCGTGATGGCTGTGCCCTTTTTGCCAGCTCGACCTGTTCTGCCGATTCGGTGAACATAGTCCTCCGAGTTGTTGGGGTAGTCATAGTTCAACACATGAGTGATATCTCGAACATCTTCAAGTAAAGGTTAGCAACTCAGCCATTGGTGGTCTTACGGGGCGCTGGGGACCATGTGTGGTCGTGTGAGCGGAGGTGCATGTCACTCTCTGAAGCTCGGAGCATTATCCTTGTGGTGACAAATGTCCATGTCCGGGAGATCGGCAAGCGTCTACGGTCCTTGGGGGCGAAAGATCCTGGATTTGCAGTTTGATCTGGTCAAAGTAAATGTGTCCCACAACCTACTCGTGTTGGACAAAGCAGATATAGAGATGTCAGGAACAAGAGTCCCGGCAAACTGCAAGAGAATCCAGGATTTCCAGAAAAGGACCGACGAGAACACAAAAGCCTGGACAAGTTACGCAACGCAAGAGCGTAACAAGCGGAAAGAGAGCGCGGCACCATTCCACACGACGGCAATGGTAAGAGGTACAAGATAGACAATATAATAGGGAAAAGGGACGGGGGAAGGGGATTGCTGTTTGTTCATACCGATACCACGGGATGCGACATCCGTAGCGACCATGATTGGGCTCTTGCCAGTTTTGAATTCGTTCAGGACCCAGTCACGTTCATTCTGTTGCTTGTCACCGTGAATAGCTGTCGACCGTTAGCTCATAATCAAAACAGAGGATAAAAGGGAGAAATCATACAGAGGGCGGGCCATCCGTCTTGACGCAAGAATCGAGTGATTTCGTCAGCCACACGTTTGGTGCCAGTGAATATGAGGACTTTGTTGTTGCGATCTTCCATGATCTGCTCAAGGTGCTTGATCATACGATCTCTCTTCTCGAATTCGGACACAACTTCGACGATTTGGGTAATTCGGTGATTGGCCGACAAATCCATCGAGCCGATATTGACCTGGATGAAGTCATTGAGATAGTCGGAGGCCAGCTGTCGGACTTCTTTGGGCCACGTTGCAGACCACATGCAGGTTTGTCGATCGGGACGGATTTGGCCAATAATCTTGCGGATCTGAGGCTCGAAGCCCATGTCCAGCATACGGTCAGCTTCATCGAGAACCAAGTAAGTGACGCGGCGCAGGTTCGTCTTTCCAGACTCGAGCATGTCAATGAGACGGCCCGGAGTAGCGATGCACACTTCCACACCCCTAGTAAGGTCGCGGATCTGCCCACCCTTAGGAACACCTCCATAGACGCAAGTGTTCCTAATCCGGGAAGATTTGCCAAATTTGGTGATTTCTTGCTGGATTTGAACGGCGAGTTCTCGAGTCGGGGCAAGAACAAGCACAATGGGACCATCACCGGGGGCAAGGAGTGGCTGAGCATTGATGTGAACGATTGCGGGAAGGCAGTAGGTCAAGGTCTTGCCTGATCCGGTCTCGGCAATACCGACGACATCACGACCAGAAAGAGCCATAGGCCAACCTTGAGATTGAATCGGAGTGGGTTTTGTGAAGCCTTGGGCCTTGACTTCAGACATGACATAGCTGGGGAACCCGGCTTCATCGAAGGTTTCGACTGGTCGTGGGACATTGCGACCTTGAACTGTGATCTCATTTTTTCTGCGGAACTCATCGACATCGCGTTGTGACCTAGCCGTAACTATGGGATCCTCCTTGTAGAATGACTTTTCGAATTTTGGTAGATTGTTCAGATCCCAAGTTTGCTGCTTCAGGCCGGCGCCCAGGTTGGACATCTTGTCGCCGCCGCCGCCGCCAGAGTATCCGTTGGATCCGCCGTAGCCGTTGGTGTATCCGTTGGAATAGCCGCCATGGCCGCCGCCGTAACTGCGGAATTGTTAGTTACGATCCAGAAAAAGTGAAAAATCAACCTGCGCCAGGCGATCCGAGACCTGCAAGTCGGGCGCGGGACATTGATGACGCAGACAACGATGAATTTGAGAGATTTTCACATACCCATTAGAATAACCGCCGTCTCTTGATGAACCGTAGCCACCGTAAGACATGATGGGCACCGAAATTTGTCGATTCTCTGTAAAGTCGGAAATGAGAGGGAAGGAGGGTAAGAATCAATTGGACGGAGTCAATTCTTCGTCTAAATGGAATGAGAGCGTGAGGGACTGTGTGAGAGAGGGAAAAAAGGGTTAAAGTGAACAAAGAGGTGAGAGAAGATTGTTGTGTAAAGAAGGGGGCGGAGGGTTGAAATTTTACAAATACAGCGAAGGCGAAAAGGCGAAAGGCAGCCGCAGCCGCCGCTAGCAATTGGCTATACCACAAGAGGAAAGTGAACCGATATATCTCTTGGCATGAAAAACCGACGTCAACGAGCGCTGATCTGACCCTGATTCTGCCTCTGACCGTGGCGTCTTTCAGTTCCTCAGAGACGAGGTCCAAGTCAATAGTGGTTCCAGTGATCAAATCATCATCTCCTCCTCTCTGTGCCATACTACGCCCCTCACCAAAATTAGTCGTGCCGATTGAAATCTCCTACTACCACTCGTCCAACCACGGTATTCGCTTTCCATCTCACCCCTCGCAAGTGGTCCTTTACATGGTAGTACATGTGTCTCGCAGTGCCTGGGCGTCAAGGCCCGAGACCAAAATAAGTCAGGTCGATCACTCAGGCATTCGGATGATTGCTACTGTTATGTCTGAAGCTTGTATCATAATCATCACCTACTCCGCTTCCACAGCCTAGTTTGTCCAGAACATGGTCCCAACAGGCACTCTACCTGCTACTGGTTTGATTGAATCACACGGACTACTCAACTCATGATGAGCCGAATAGAGCTTCCTTCGGCACCGAGACATCACAGAATACGAGCGGCTTCCATCCCAGTCTGAGGTCGACAATCCTCGTTTTCGCCATTGGAGATGAGTTGTGCGATGAGCTTTTGCACGTGCTGGAAGGAGCGAAGAGAGAACATGACTGCGTTGGCTTGATAGACCCAGACAGTGGAAGTTTTGAAGCACCAGCTATTCAGTGAAGCTTTTGGGGAGAAGGCCCATCCTGGGTGTAGCTTATGACTGTAGGAACATAGCCATGAATCAGTTCAGTGAAGCGGACTAGAAAACTCACTCCGTTCCAGAATGAAAGAGAACCCTGGCACTTGACTCATCCCCCCTCTGCCTACCATTAGTCCTCCTGTATGTTTCCCTATGGCCTGCCCTTTCTTCATGATTCAGACTCAGACAATCCCCCCCGGCCAGGGCACATCCCTGGCGCCCGCGCCCCAATTATCATGCCTCCCGTCGACATATGAGATCTTGAATTTACTCAGCTCGAGCCCCTCCTGGGGCTGGTCGAGGGTGACGGCGTTGATGGAGAAGAAGTCGTGGATGGTGCCCGAGCCGGCGGGGAACTCGAAGCGGCCCTCGCCGCAGACGTGAACGCCGCAAGTGCCGCAAAAGTACTTGTGCACGTCGCGCGAGCGAAACTGGTAGTCGCGCGCCTCGGACAGCGACGCGGGCGAGACCAACACAAAGTCCGAGCGCGGGAGGCGGATGCCCGTGAAGCCTTGTTTCAGGCAGATGGTGCAGTTGCACCGGCCCGCGGCGGGAGGGTCGCTCAGCGCAAAGGTCGCTTTGTACTTGATGAAGCCGCAGTGGCAGGAGCCTGTGAAGGTCTTTTTCTCCTCTTTTGGTCCGCTCATCTTTTTTCTTTGTCGGTCGTGGGGGACTCGAACGCTTGTGATGAGGAGGAGGTAGAGAAAGAGTTGTGGGATGCTGATGTGGTAAGTCCAAATTCAAGAGAAAGTCAAGATCGGAGACACAATACAAGCACCCTGTTATCACACAGGTTGATGAATATCTTATAAGTCTCCAACAAGCGGCCCCATGCAGATCTCCAAAGCTCCGTCTTATTTGAATCTGGTTTGGTGCAAGGCAGAAATGCATCTTAGCTCGCTGGTGCCTGAGACCCTGACTCGAAGCAGAATAATGTCCCCAACTGTTGGGCAACGAATACGATGAACTCTATATTTTCTCCATCAGACATGTTGAGAGATATCAGCCATGATTGGAAACTCCAGAGTCTCACTGACTGCCCCGTACTCGGTTCTCATTTCCCTCTACACAAGACCTCAACCTAGTCTGATCCTTGGTTGCGTTTCCTGAGAACAACTTCAACACCATCTTGCCGTACCATCCAGCCGCCACGAACCTTCCACTCCAAATCAGGACGCGCCAATGAGAACTAGTCCATAATTGAACTGTGAGTACAAACCAGAACCCGACAAACGCATCATGAGAACGAACATACCGTGTGGCGACGAAGCAGCTGCGGCACCAGCTTAGAAATCTCCAACATGGCAATATTCTTACCCAAGCATCCACGCTTTCCATAACCAAACTGTGAGCATAGTCAGTGTCTCCAGCATGCGCCAACGGGTTGTGTAAGGGATCGAGGAACTTCATACCGCAAAGTTGGCCCTTTCCATAGCCGCAAGTCGTTCCTCTGACTCTTCAAGCCATCGCTCTGGCCTGAAACTATCGCAGTCCTCGCTGTACACTTCCTTATTTCGTCTGTGGCTTGCCGGTCAGCAATTTCGAGAGGACTTGAAAGGGGTCGAAGATGAAGCAATAGAGATCTGACTGACGCCGTAACCCATGGGTTTACTCCCACAGTCGTGCCTTCGGGGAAATAATGACCCTCCAGGAAAGTACCTCCGCTTGGGACGTATCGTTCGAGGATAAGGCCAATAGGGGGATGCATGCCTGTAATTGTCAGAACAAGTCTCTGGGAGGATTCGGAAGAAGTGGAACTTGCGTATTGCTTCCTTGATGCAGGCCTGCAGGTAGGGTAGCTTGCTCGCCTCGTTCCACGTAATGTATTCGCTTAGCCGGCACTCTTTCTCTGCACAATCGAGCTCCGCGACGGCCTTTTGCAGAGTTTCCGGATTCTTGAGAAGATAATACATGACCTAGAAAAATGAGAACGCCATTGTCAGATGAATAGAAGACCAAGTGAACACGAAATCTCACCGCAGTCAATGCCAATGCGGTCGTATCAGACCCGGCTGCAATGTTGTCAAAGTTGTACAGCATGATCATCCTGTCCGTTACAGCCTCGGGGTATTTGGCTTGAGCTTCGAAACATCTCTCGAGAAAGTCGCGCTCTGTCTGACCCTCATTTGCCCTGCAAGCCACCCTGTCTCTTATTCGATTGAGTGTGAAAGTGACTATTGGATTGGCTGGCCCGTATTTCAGCATCAGAGGATTCTTCAAGAGAAACCGGTCCACGATTGGGATTTGTCCAGCCTGTAGAGTGTAAAAACGGTCAGTCTATCGCAAAAGAAATCGTGATGACAAACTGGCAATGATTTACCAACTGAAAATACTTGGTAAAGGCGCGAATGCCAATCATGATACTTTCAACGTCAGCTTCTGATTCGAGGAAGCCGATTTTCTTGCTGAACAGGATCTCGCCTCTACCAAACCATGTGAGCAAAAGCCTTGTGCCTAGGACGAGCACAACTTACATGACATCAAAGGCGAAACGGTACAGCCACAATCCCAGGTTTAGGGGCCTTCCGGAAGCAGCAAGGTGGTCCAGTTTAGATATAAGCAACGCAACAGTCGAGTTGACCGCCGGCTCAAACTCGAGGATTGTAGACATACTGTATGCATTCACGATAGGCTTCCTGATTTGCGCGTGGTAGGCTTCATCGCGGCTCTCAAACAGACCCGGCGTGCATCTACCTTCGTACCACAGTTCGGCGAGGGAATAAAACTTGGTCTTTTTGAAGTCTGACTTGATCCCATAGATGGTCGGTATGAGGTTTGGGTCAGAAATGGACACAACACGAGGACCAATCCTCACAAAACGTGAGTTGTGCTTTCGGTGCAACGAGATTTGTGTCTCGGCTGGGTTGGAAAGGAGGGTGTTTAGCACACGCCAAAGGTTCGAGAAGCCTGCAATGAAAGGCCCTGGGATTGAATTCAGATTTCCTCCATATTTGTTGATCAAAAGTCTGGCAATGAGAAATCCTAGGAGCAGGACTGTCCACGAAGGTTGAAAGAATTCGAGGATCTGCCCAGGCAGGGCCATTGAATCGGCGGAAACTGTTTGGAGAACCAATGTAAGGCGCTTTTTGTCCACAGGCTGCCTAACCTGGTAATATGCTGGCAGTATGGACAACACTCACAGACCGGGGTGCATATGAGCTTTGCGAATGAATTGAAGATCCCGGATCGTAGGATCCCGCAGGTCGTGGAGGCCAGCGCGCATCAAATACCCAAATCCTCCAATCAATGTTTCTGTCAAGGAATTTCAGACCTAGCATATAGTGCGAGGAGAACCGTGTGTAGTGCGTACACCGTAGTCAGTAGTAGTACATAACAAGATACAATCATTGTCAGTCGTCCCCAGGGTAGATATACCACAACGTCCAACAACGTTTGATGCATGTGCAGGTGTTGCTGAGAGGGCCCAACGTATTGAGTGATTGACACATGTCATCCAGACAGGGTGATATCACCCTCCATTGCATGGGTTGCGCATCCCTACCTCATTGCGGCTGAAGGCCCTGTTTGCCATCTGTAGACACTGTGTGAGTGGCCTTCTTACTTACATCGAGAAATTGTTTCTGCAAGTCAACTCGTCGCGCTTGCGACTGTAGCTGCAACGCATGGTGGCTTGACATGAGAACTCGTATTGAGGGTGACTCGTGACAAGTTGGAAATCGGGTTAGTGATGTGTCACAACGTCGAGCTGGGCACCTGGAATGTGTCCTGGAAACAAAGACCTATCAGTTTGCTGGACTCCTCGAGTCCAACGGCGTGATCTATTGCCTGTCAACCGCTACCTCAACTTCCGAGTAAAACATATCAATGGGCGGAGAAGAAAGCGTGGAACAGTGATGCTGTGATGCATGGCTTTTCGTCGCGCTGCTATGTGATGGAAGCATTAAAACCTGGGTTGAAGGCCATTGTAGAGGGTGGTAGGAGGAAGTAGCCCTTGGTTAGGCAGCACTGCAATACGAGGTCGCGTGTGGCAGCTTAGGATGATGTTCTAACATGCTCTTATGTATTGCTTATTGTGGTGGGACAACATCGTGATCCCTGCATCTACGCCCCGTGACGTTTCCCAAGACCTGGTCTCGGATTTCACGCTACTTGACGCTACTCCGCACATACAAGGACGACTAGTTCGAACGATGGAACAAAAATTGAAACAACAATTATCATGGAAAACTTGTCTCATCTCGTTTTTCACTGGCTTTCAGTGATACTAACGCCTAAACTGGCATGGCAAAAGCTAGCGCCGGTACCCTTTTCATGCATCGATTCATCGATCCATTGATGCTCAGAAGCCTACAAGCTTCAGACGCTGATCGCAACTAGAGGCCAGGAATCCGGGCCACGACTCGAAGCCCAGCTGTCAAATCTAGTTCATCTGCTTGATCAGAGCATTGATAGCCTCCTCTCGGTTACCCAGATCACCACCCTCGATGTAATGCTTGAATTTCCTGGCACGGAAACCACCGTTGGGGTTGGACAGCTTGAAGGGCCACAAGAAGTTGCTGGCCTGCTTGAAGTTCGGTCCAACAGTGAAGATCTCGTGGATCAAGTCTTCCATGCACACAATGCCGTATTTGCCCAGGTTGTCCTCGATAAGTTGGTTGTCAGTGAGCGCAATGCGTTGCTTGTTGATCTTTCCATATCCGCGCTTGTAGATGAGCTCGCGAACGGTCTTGAGGTTGGGATAGCCGTAGGCAATGTAGGGGTTGACAATGGTAAGCATCTCTTGCGTGGCTTTGGTCAACTTGACGAAGACACCATTGTTGATCTGGAGCAGGCGGAGGAGCTGGAGAATTTTGCGAGGCTTGGGGGCGATCTTGTTGATACTGACGACAGTTAGCAGTTGCTTTGCGAAGGCGAGAATGAAAAACTCACCCCTTGATTCTGACGACGAAAACCAATTTGGGTTGTTCATCAACAAAGAAGTTTCCCTGTTGCCGGCTCAGGCGAGCGACCCTGATCTTCTCTCGCTCGGCATCACGGTACTCTTTGACGTATGTCTCCGCACGCTTGAAGATGACGCCACGTTTCTCCTTGTTGGCCTTATCAAGACATGTTAGCCGATGTACGCCATCTCCAGATGATCACATATTGTGGAGGCGGCATGAATGTTCAGCCCCGAAAGATGGTATAACAAAGCGACAACATTGACCTGAGGTCTAGCCGCGCAGTGGTATTTATCATCACCACATTATTTTCCAGGCAAAAAGTGGACAATGGACCAACCTTTTTTCTCTTCTCGAGCGTTGCGGCACGCTGTTCTCTGGCCTTCTCCTGGCTCTTCCTCTTCTTCAACAGGGTCTCAGGTACCAGGACCTGGTCCTGCGTCGGCACAGATCTGTACGGGAGGGAATCGAATCAGTATAGTCCGCAGGTGGTGTAATCGCCGAGTCGGAACTGCAGCTATGGCGCGGCATTCTCAAACTGGATGTTTTGGCGTGAACTCGACGAAATGAATTTGATCAGTGAGAAAAGATGGGACTCAAAAAGTCCAAATCTTAAAACTCTCAACTGACAATGCCCCGATCGGAGATCAGGAAAGATTGTAGCTCCATAACAGGTACTCAGGTCTTGCGACCAAGCGAGCATGTCATACGAGCTCAATGTATTTCAAGGAAGAAGGGTTGATTCCTCTAACCTCAAAGCCCCGGTTGTTCCAAGCCGTGATTTCTCACAAGTCGGATAGGCATCGGGATGATCGAGCTGGAACAGCGGCAGCGAAACCAGCGAAAGAGGTGCGGACCATATCTGAGGATACCAACTGTCAGCAGAATGGTAAGAGAGACTCACGACTTCACAATTGGCTTCGTCATCGTGTTTGAAGGATGTGGTTGAACGACGGCAAGGTTGTGATGAAGAGTTGCTGAGGAGTAGGAACATCAAAAAGTTTCAACTGCGCCGGAATCAAATTCGAGTTGTGGGCGATTCCAAGTCTAAACCAAAAGCAGAAAGGTCACCTTTGGGTTCTTGGCATGTTTGCCCAACCATACACCCTTTACCCTTTTCCGTCTGCTGCTAGAGTGGTGACAACCAAGACAACCTATGCTCAGACTGATGCTATTCAACCTCAGATATCAGCAATGTCGACCAGGAGAGGGGTCGGCTTGGGTGCCTTCACGAATAGAAATGCCACTGCTCAATCCTACGCTACGCATGGCTCGAACTTGAAATCCGCCAACGCAGCCTCGCTTCAGGCACAGCTGGAGGTTTTCCAGTCTCTCCTCCATAACTTCGCACTCGAACATGCGGCGACAATCAAAACCAACCCAACATTCCGCGCAGAGTTCGCGCGAATGTGCAATGCCATCGGTGTCGACCCTCTAGCCGGCTCCAACATCAAAGGTAAAAAGGCGGATTCGCTCTGGGCCAAGGTCCTGGGGCATGATGTCAACGACTTCTACTTTTCAGTTGCCGTGAGAGTTGTGGAGTTATGCCAGGCGACGAGGGCAGAAAATGGCGGGTTGATTGGACTGAAGGAGTGCTGTGAGAGTGTGGCCAGGGGAAAAGCCATTGGCGGTGGTCTGCAAGTGTCAGAGGATGATATCGAGAGGGCTGTTAAGTCGCTGGAACCCCTTGGGTCGGGATTTGTTATTCTCACCATCGCCAACAAGCGGTTCATCCGATCGGTGCCAAAAGAATTCAACACAGATCAATCCACCGTTTTGGAAGTTTTACAACTACTTGGCAGTGTGACAGTGTCCCTGCTTCAGGTCAACCTGGGCTGGGAACGGGCTCGTGCCGAGACAGCCGTGCAAGATCTACTAGCCGATTCTTTGGTATGGGTGGACTACCAGTGTCCAGAGCCGGAATACTGGTCACCCCAAGGACTTCTAGACGAGAGTGATTGATGGAACTCCGGAGAAAGAGCCAAACAAATGCTTTGAAGTAGGTGATCTTAACGCTTTGATCGTGGGAGGTCTCTAGCTCTACTTCTTATATTCATCCTTCAGCACCCAGCGTCCGCGCCCTCGGCTCCCCTTTTCCAGCTTGGCAATCAGCTTCAAGGTCTCCTTGAACTCCAGCGTCGCCTGAGGAGTGGTGCAGAAGCGATTGAAATGGTCGATCAGCATCTGGGTGTATACACTCCCACCATGGGTGGTGAGGTAATCCCGGATGAGTTTTCCAAAGTCCTTGCCTTGAGGCAAAGTCGGTGTTGCACCTCTAGAAACTGAAGCAGTCGAGTCTGTCGATCTGGCAGGACTCGCTGTTCTTGGAGTGCTGTCTCTGCTCGGTGCAAGTCCTTGGCGCTGCTGCAAGTTTGCCAGGAGACTGGACGATTGAACTCCGCCACCTCTGTTCCGGGTATTGGAGCTGAATGCTCTCTGTGCCGTCGTCTCTTGAGGACGGCCAGAAATACCAAACTGTCCGGTCCAGGTGGGTGTCCCGATGGGAACCGTACGAGCAACCTCACCAGCACGTCGCAATTCTCTGGCCGCTTCGGCAGCCACCTTTCGTGCCTCGTGCTCAACCAAAACCGGATCAGCTGCGACCCTCTTTCCAGATTTTCCGTCGATAATTGCATCATGCTCTACCGCTGAGTGAATACCTGCTCGCGAAAAGATGCCTTCCATCATCTTGTCTTCGGAGTTGTTGGCACCCTCCTTGTTTGCCTGCTCCTCTTCCTCAATTTCTCCGACATATTGCTCCATGGAAGATATACCTGGCAAAGCCCCGATCGTGGTGTCACCTGCGATGCTTGTTGGCTCGCTTTTGTTGGTCATGCTACTGGTGGCGGGAGCATCGGGCGAGGTAGAAGGATGCTGGACCTGTGCATCCTTAAACAGGATGCTTGTTTCGGTTGGTTCTCCTTCATTCCCTAGACTGAAGAGATCATGCAGATCACTCAGATGGAATGTCTGCCGCTGTTTCGGATCCTTGAGAATCTTGTTCGTCAGGAATTGCTTGAATATCTGGCGATGATAGATCTTCTCTTCGATGGTACCTGCAGTCATGAGACGGTAAATAGCTACTTCGCGTTTCTGTCCCAGTCGCCAGGCTCTTTCTCGGGCTTGCAGATCGGTTGAAGGGTTCCAATCAGGATCGTAGATAATGACTCTGTCTGCACCTGTCAGATTTATCCCGAGTCCGCCGACCTTGGTTGTTAAGAGAAAGACATGCAGGCCTGGGTCCGTGTTGAACTCGTCAACCATGCTTTGTCGAAGTTGGATAGGCGTGTTTCCGTCCATACGCCTGTACTTGAAACCTGAAAGCGATCTTACATACTTCTCCAAAATGTCAAGCATGATGCGATGCTGAGCGAACAGAAGTGTCTTGTGACCAGTTTCCTTCCACAGTTCTAGGAGCGAGCCAACAACCTTCATTTTGCCAGACTTGGAGGGGTCGCCATAGTTATATCCCGCTTTGATCGACAGACGCTTGTGATCGGTCAGATCTGGGTGGTTGCAGATTTTACGCAGGATATCGACCCCGTAGAGAACTTGACGCTTGCCATTCATAATTGCATCCATCTCACCCGAGCCAATGAATCTCTTATATTCATCGCGCTGCAAAGGCGTCAGCTTGCAAAACAAAACCTGTTCGCTTTTTTTGGGCAAATCTGAGGCAACATCGATCTTGAAACGTTGCAACAAGTATGGACTAATCGCATCTTTGAGTGTTTCTGCGCATTTGAAGGCGGTCTGGACCTGTAAGTTGGACGCATTTGCGTATCCACCTTGTCGAATTGGTATCTCGAACTGGTTGCGAAAATTGACCAAAGTGCCCAATCGCATTGGGAACACAAAGTCAAAGAGAGACCACAACTCAATGAGATTATTCTGCATAGGCGTCCCGGATAGAATGATTCGGTTCGGAGTGCGTAACTCTTTGCAGTAGATGGTGATGGCAGTGTTTGGATTTCGAATTTTGTGTCCTTCATCCAGGATAGCATACTGCCAGTCGACTGGGATTAATAGAGGAGCGTAAGTCTGTAGACCAGAGTATGTTGTCACGAGCACACCTCCTTCCTCTAAAATTGGCCGTAGGACTTTTCGAGCGGCCTTCTGGGCCGCGTTGAGTGGTTGTTGTCTCCGAGTTGGATCCCATTCAATATCCAACAGTCTGTCTTCTTTGCTGGATTCGTTCCGCAAGTTGACCATACCGCTGCCGGAGGAATGCAGAATAGTGACTCGAAAAGGGGGCCACCAGCGATGAAATTCGTTGACCCATTGTTTCATGACGGTAGCTGGGCAGACGACAATGATGGGCTTGTCCAGCTTCTTGCTGTAGTGCAGGCCGGCGAGGAAGGCGATGATCTGGATCGTCTTGCCTAAGCCCATCTCATCGCCGATAATTCCTCCAACTTGTTGGGTGTACAGCTCATAGAGCCATTGCACCCCAGTTTTTTGATAATCGAACAAGCTGGGAAAGATGTCTCCCGGAAGCTTGTAGCCGTCATCAAAAAGAGTGTCTGGTATTTCAGGATGTGGGAGATATGCTTCTTCCTCTGCGAGAGTCTCTGCATCCTCCTCCTCTGTTTCACCCTGTTCATGACCATTTCCCGCAGTATTTCGCATTGCATGCCTACGAGCTCTCCGTCTCCGCACGGCCCACTTCTGCAACCTGGACTTATAGACAGATTCGTTGCCATCGTCGACCCCACGAAAGTCTTCGATCTCATCCTCGACGTGAGCAACCGTTTTTCGACTCTTTCTCTGTCGTTTTCCCGAGGTCGTCGGCATTTGGTCATCAGATTCATCTTCAGATTCCGAATAGACCTGGTCTTCGACTTCACCATCGTCATAAGACGATGAGTCTTCGTCCTTTGTGGGCAATTGATTGATGAGACGTCTCCGCTTTCGTGGCTGATCGGCTTGAATGTCGTCTTCCGTGCTTGAATCAGTGAAACCAGTGGCAAAGCCAGGCTGTCTCAAATTCCGGTGAGACATCGACTTTGCGCCTTCTTCACGAGGTTCGACATCGGCAGGAAGATCAGGTTCTTCCTCAGCATCGAGAAGAGCTCCCTGCAAAGTAGTCGAGGATTCTCCATGAGTTGTCAGGCCAAATTTAGAGAAGGGAGTGATTTTGCCAATCCTGATCAGATAGTCACGCTGAGTTTCGTTCGGCAAGCGTCCTGCGGCCAACGCGTCATGTTGACCTGCCATCCCTGCGTTATTCTCTCGATCCTTCATTCTCTCCTTGATTTCAGCAATATCATTATCCAGGTCCTGTATTTGACTCTGCATGCGGTCAATATCGAGGCGCAAACGTGCTCGCTGAGTAGTTCCAATGGGGCGAAGCATGTCATCTCTGGTCTTTTTGATCTGATTCTGCAACTTCTCCTTTTGTGCCTCGGATTTCTCGAGTCGCTGCTGGTCTCGTTGATGGGCTTGCTCAAACAAGAGCCGATCTGCCTCCCGGCCGATGTCTCGTTCCAGGTCATCCTGATCACGCACCTGGGCGTCAAGGTTCCGCAGACGGAGAGCTTCAGCCGACTGGCTGGATGGTAATTCGGCCATCTTATCGTGTTCAGCTATCGGATGGTGGCTGGTTCCTTGCTCACCTTCGATGTCCATGATCGCAAGCGTCTCGACTTTAGTGGCGCATAGTTCGGAGAACGAATGTCGTCATGACCACAGCGTGGAGATCTTGCTTGCCGTCTAAAATCTTTATACGCTTAAAGACTTTGACCTTAGATACCAGTAAAGGAGTAAGCGAAATGAAAGGAAAGTGACGTTATAGTGTTTTTATGTCTTAGGACAGATGGGCGCCACTTTCAGGCCTAGAGGGTGGCAATTGGAGAAACTGGTATGTACTCGCAGGACTCGGTAGATGCAAAGGGTAAGTGATAAATGATCCGACAGAAAGAATGTCTTTGCGCATAATTCTTTGTTTCGGAGTAGAGAAACGGGTGCAATGTGACTCTCTCTCTCTCTGCTATGAAAGTAGCTCTCAGAGGTCAGGAAGAATATTTCTCAAAAGAAGGGCAAAGTTCTACACCCTCGAAATCAGGCTGCCATAGAGAACTGCACCTCACACCGTCACTGCGTCACCGTAAATTTTGAGGTCCTTGAAATTGTCGGCATACCTGCCCAGGCCTGCCACTGCGGACAAGGTGCAATTTGGGCACCCCCAAAGCAAAAGTTTCAGCTGGAGGCTGTGACAAGCACCCCCCAATCATCAATAACGGGTGCCCAATAACGAGCGGTAATAGCCGCCTGCACTTCAGTCCTGGCTGATGCACACCACACCAGGCACTAAACTCGACAACGGACTCTACTGCTCACGTCGCCAAACATTCTCCCAGACTTCCTCTTGACAATTCGGTGCCATTTCATAGTCGTGACATTAGATCGGGATACCTAGACAGCTTCTCTTGCCTCACATTAGCCTGTCGTCGGCCCCATCGTCCTTCCACGGTATCTCTATCACCATTGTCGGGCTGACCAATTCCTCGAGTCTTTCTGCCAGCTCACCACTTCGAAATCCCTCCACCTCCACTCGAAACTGAGAGAAGAACGCCCTCAATTGTGAAGCGACCAACTTCTCAGCACCATGGCTTTACTTTAAGCCTTCTTGCCCTCCTTTACCATGTGTCGAATATCGCCCTGGGTCCACCAGTCTTTCTTGACTGCGCTTACGACTGTCACTCCGCCACTCTGTCTACCCCTCTGAAGGGCCAACGAACCCTGCCGATCTCGGTTCATTCACACCGCAAGAGAGCGCGTTTGCCAGGGTTTCAATAACTACATCAATCGTGCGTGCTTGATGCCTGTGTCAACGGGGTGATTGTGGCAGGACAAGTATCAAGAACCGGCAGCCCAGCTTTCAGCCCCATCGCGGCACGGAACTCCTCTTAAATACGGATTGTCCTGATTGCAGTAACTGCCAGATTACTGGAAGACCGAGCAGCCATGTCTACCAACACCACACCCCAGACGCAGTCGCATCAATATGAGCACAACGGCGAAGTCGACGTGCCCATGGAAGACGCAGATCCTTATAACCGAACCAAATATCCTCCGCGACCGACTCACCAACACCGCCTGTCCACCCAATATATTCCTGAGATCTCGACAGCTGCTCAACGCTACTCCCCGATGAATGCTCAATCAACTGGCCCTGGGTACGTTGCAAGTCCCAAATTGCCGAATCCTTCCTCCTTCTCCTACCTCAACCAGCCCCAGACGACGCGACAGTCTCCCCCTCGCCAAGGGAGCTACAACGCAGAGCGCTACACCGAACCTCCTACCCCAACCAGATACCCGTCCGATTATGGTTCCGCTCTCCAGAGCTCCACGCTGAGCCCCGAATCATATTATCCCACTTCTGCAAACAACACGCGACCTGCTCCTCTGTCCAGACAGCAATCCCAGCATCAGGGACCAGGACCCGCGCCGAAGTTCAGAAAAGTCAAAACCATGCAAGATCTCAACCCTAAGGTGAACGCACAACCACCTTACCGCCGGGCAAATCCAGAGGGTGGGTTCATTAGCCCATTGCAAGCACTTACCACCTATCTCCCAGCCACGTACAGAATATGTAATCCTAGCTTCAAATACGAGTCATCCCGAAATCCGAGGCGGGTTTTGACAAAACCGAGCAAGGGAACAAAGAATGATGGCTACGATAACGACGATAGCGACTACATTCTCTACGTCAACGATATTCTGGGGAGTGAAGAGGCGGGCCACAAGAACAGGTACTTGATTCTAGACGTCCTAGGTCAGGGCACCTTTGGTCAAGTGGTGAAGTGTCAAAATTTGAGGACCCAAGAGGTGGTTGCGGTCAAGGTCATCAAAAACCGCACAGCCTACTTCAACCAGAGCATGATGGAAGTTTCTGTCCTCGATCTGCTAAATCAGAAACTCGATAAAAACGACGACCATCATCTTCTGCGGCTGAAAGACACGTTCATCCATCGGCAACATCTGTGTCTCGTTTTCGAACTCCTCAGCGTCAATTTATATGAACTTATCAAACAGAACCAATTCCGAGGTCTCAGCACGACACTGGTTCGTGTCTTTGCACAGCAGCTGCTTAACGGGTTGACCTTGTTGAACAAGGCTCGGCTGATCCATTGTGATCTAAAACCCGAGAATATACTCTTGAAGAACCTGGAAAGCCCTATCATCAAAATTATCGACTTCGGTTCTGCTTGCGACGAAAGGCAGACAGTCTACACTTATATACAATCTCGATTCTACAGATCCCCTGAAGTTTTACTGGGGCTTCCCTATTCGTCTGCCATTGACATGTGGTCTCTTGGATGCATCGTTGTGGAGTTATTCCTAGGTTTGCCGCTCTTTCCTGGCTCGTCTGAATACAACCAAGTCTCTCGCATTGTCGAAATGCTGGGTATGCCGCCGACGTGGATGTTGGAGATGGGGAAGCAATCAGGAGAATTCTTCGAAAAGACGACCGACGAGTTTGGTCGTCGTACGTATCGACTGAAAAGTATGGAGCAATACTCTCGTGAGCACAACGTTAAAGAGCAGCCTAGCAAAAAGTACTTTCAAGCAACTACACTCCCCGAAATCATCCGGAGCTACTCTATGCCCCGCAAGAACATGAAGCAAGCAGAGGTGGAAAGAGGTAAGACTACACACAGGTTCTGCACGGAGGAAGATGCTGACACAAGTAGAAATGAACAATCGCATTGCCTTCACCGACTTTGTTCGCGGCCTGCTCACCATCAACCCCTTAGAACGCTGGTCGCCTCAGCAAGCAAAACTCCATCCTTTCATCACCCAGCAAAAGTTTACCCAGCCATTTGTTCCTCCAATGAATTTGAAGTCACCATCGAGCAAGACACCGGCGCCTGGCGTGCAACAACAGCAACAAGCTGAAGCACTTAGCAAGCAACGTGCCGCTCAGGCCGCTCAAGCTCAGGCACAAGCGGCACAAGTTGCGCATGCACAGGCACAGGCACAATCAGTTGCTCAGAACGCCTATGCGATGCAGATGACTCCTTACCCACAATCCCAAGCGCCACCAATGTACAACAACATGTATCCGGCCCATCCACAAGGCGCCCCGCCACCTTATCCAACACACTCGTCAAACTATCCTGCACAAATGGGCATGATGCAGCAAACTCCGCAGATGAATCCAAGTCACTACAATCATCAGCAAAGTCTTTACGCGCAGGCTACACAAAGGGCTGGCCGTCAGCGTGCCTCGACCATGGATCAACAGCAAGCTGGTATTCCTGCGGCCATTCAACGTGTTGCCAGCCATCTTGATCCGAACCAACCTATAAGACTTCAACCCAGTCCAGCGTACTATCCTCCTCCGGCGGACGGGTATGTGGATTCGCCCTCGTCTGCAAGAAGACGTGGCAGTCGAAACCAGAGGAACCGCGATTTTATCAGGACACTTGAAGATGGCGCAATGGGTGACAGTTTTATGAACAAGGCTCAATGGCACTGAGCTGCGCAAAATGAGGACATTCTCGGTCAGTTAGATTCGGCTTGATGCCGAAAATCAACAACCTGCAGTCCCCTTTGCGGAGTGGAAGAGAACGCCATCGGTGAACATGCTAGAACGCTGTGGCGCATGCAGACAGAAAACAACCACTCGCAACGAAATGCCAGCGCCAACACTAAGCTCTGAAGATCTGGTTGTGAAAAAGTGAGGTTGAGACAGGCCTTGGGCGAAGACCTGAATCTTTCTTGGGGACAGAAGACTGCATCATACTCCGATGGATCTGATGAAGCAGGAACGACAGGCTGTGATGGAGGAGCAATGCCTTTAGGGACATAACAATTTCAGGGTCATCAAGTCGTCGGAATGCTCCTCGGGCTTGCAACGATGAATGAGAAATGACATGGGGGGATGAAGTGAACACAATGTTGACATGGGAGGTTCATGGTGCAGTGGTTGAATGGAGGACGCTACAGGTTCATCATAGGACAAGACAATCAATGAGGGAATGTTGGGGTTGTATATTGTCATCTACCCAGTCCTGCCAGTCACGCCACGGTGGTACTCAACGCAGATTGACACAGTCTGGAACATTGGTAGGCCTTTTGTGAGACAGCAGGACGCTCACACTGAGCCAAAGGGACTGACCGGACAGGACGAAGCGTCCCAGCAGGCGTACCAGCGAAGATCCGTTAGACGATACGATCTGTATATCCCTCGTAGGATTTTCTCACATGTTGTCCTTTTCGCTGCAATGACCAGAGAGATTTGGTCTACAAGTATACAGAAAATACGGATTTCCAGTGACTCATAAGACTTTTTGAAGGCGTTTGAGGACTGGCGACATTGCGACAGTGTGTGACTATCACGACTACCTGAGGATAGAGTGTGACGCGTTTGACGTCAGACAGAGTGAAGCACTAGTCAAAGTACGCGATGCTAGTGCTCAGTTGTCACACTGACATTTGGTCATTTCAACCTGCTTGGCGGCCTTGGCACTCAACTAGAATTTTGAGAATCCTTGCCTCAAACTGCGGATTTACATAGTCGAACCCGATCTGTTCGACAACCACACTACATCAGCCTCAGTTGCTGCGTCGACATAACCATCTTCGCTGACAGTTGAAGCCACATCTGATCAAAATGTCGTCGCGGTTCTTTCACGGGGGCGACTCCGATAGTGAGAGCAGTTCTTCGGAGGAGGAAGAACTCTACAGTGATCGCGAGGAGGAAGAGGAAGAAGAATCCGAAGAAGAGGAGGAAGAAGAGGAGTCAGACGAAGAATCCAGTGAGGATGAAGGTCGTGGTACGGGTGCGAGCCGCTTCTTGAAGCCTTCAGGAGATGCCGGCGACGAATCCGATGAGAGCGAAGATGAGGATCGTGAGAGAGTGGTCAAGAGTGCGAAGGACAAGAGATTCGAAGAGCTAGAGAGCACGATCAAAGCAATCGAAAATGCCGAGAAGATCAATGACTGGGCTGTCGTTTCATCAGGTTCGTATCTGTCCGTGTGCCGTCTTTTGCAACTGTGCTGACCTGTGCCCTGAAGAATTCGACAAAATGAACCGACAAGTTGTCAAGGTCACTCAACAAGGCGCCACTCCGAAACTCTACATCAAAATGATCGCCGACTTGGAGGACTTGATCAACGAGACGAATGACAAGCAGAAGTCCGGTGCGAAGAAGATGAACCCCATCAACGCAAAAGGTTTCAATGCCATGAAACAAAAGATCCGGAAGAACAACAAAGAGTACGCAACTGAGATTGAGAAATATCGAGCAAACAAGGAGGAGTTTATGGAATCAGACGAGGAAGAGCCCTTGGAAGTCGAACAGAGAACCCGCAAGAACAAGGTTCAAAGACTCGATGCCATCGAAGCTGCCATAGACGAAGAAGGATTTGCGACGGTCGGTAGAGGTGGCAAGGCTCTTGTCTACACGCCGGAGAGTATTCTGAAACACCTTCGCACCATCATCGAGTCGAGAGGAAAGAAGAACACGGACCGGACCGAGCAAATTCGCATCATGGAGCGATTGTTGGATGTTGCTAGCACACCATATCAGCGCATACGGGTGCTCCTGACTCTGATTTCCACGAGGTTCGATGTCACCACATCCTCAGTCCAAGCCTACATGTCACAAGAGTCATGGCGAGCCGCAGAACGCGAATTCTCCACTTTGCTGCAGACCCTGGAAGATGAACCACAGTACATGGTGACTGAGGTAGCCGAAGAATGGGAAGATGACGAGAAACAACCCAATCCTGCCGCAGGCGAGATTTTCAAGATCCCCGGCAGTATCGTATCCCTTTTGGAGCGATTGGACGACGAATTAACACGCTCTCTCCAACAGACCGACCCTCACACGGCCGAATACATCGAGAGATTGAGCGACGAGCAGCTTCTGTACACCGACATTGTACGTACCCTCATTTACATCGAAACCATCAACAAGAAACTGGAGAAGTCCGAGAACAAGCAAGACAATATCAATCGCACCACCATTCGACGGCTAGAGCACATCTACTTTAAACCCACTCAGGTGGTCAAGATCCTAGAGGAAAAGACCTGGGCTGCCATTCCATCTGCCTTAAACTCGGAGCTCACGCCACGTGGCCAATTCACCGAAGTGGCCACGCTTGTGAGGACGCTCTGTAACCATCTCTTCGAGCACAGCGAGGGTATTATTCGTGCGCGTGCCATGCTCTGCGAGATCTACTTCTTGGCCCTACAGGATGACTACTACCGCGCCCGTGATCTTGCCCTCATGAGTCACTTGACCGAGAACATCTCATCGTTCGACGTCTCAACGCAGATCCTCTTCAACCGTACTCTGGTGCAGATCGGTCTTTGCGCTTTCCGTGCAGGTCTATGCTACGAAGCGCAAGGCGTGCTACAGGAGATCTGCGGTTCTGGACGGCAAAAGGAACTCCTCGCTCAGGGTGTCATTATGCAACGATATTTGACCGTTACACCTGAGCAAGAACGTCTGGAGCGGCAACGTCAACTTCCCTTCCACATGCATATCAACCTGGAGTTGCTCGAATGTGTGTACCTGACCTGCAGCATGCTGTTGGAAATTCCGTTGCTGGCCCAAACCGGCTCATCACCGGACGTCCGCAAGCGCGTCATCTCCAAGACTTTCCGCCGCATGCTCGAGTACACGGAGCGACAAGTATTCCAGGGCCCGCCAGAAAACACGCGGGACCATGTCATGCAAGCAGCCAAGGCTCTTGCTCAGGGCGACTGGAAGAAGTGTCAAGACCTGATCAGCAAAATTGGCATTTGGGATCTCCTTGGCCTCGAGAACAAGGAAAAGGTCAAGAAGATGCTGGCAGAACAGATCCAGGAAGAAGGTCTCCGGACGTATTTGTTCACTTACGCTCCGTACTATGACACTCTGTCCATCACGACTCTGTCAGGCATGTTCGAACTTGATCCGAAGAAGATTGCGGCCGTGGTGTCCAAGATGATTTCCCACGAAGAGCTTGCCGCTGCTCTTGACCAAGTCAACGATGCCATTGTCTTCCGAAAGGGCGTGGAGCTTTCTCGCCTGCAGAGTCAAGTCATCACGCTCAGCGAAAAGGCGATGGGTATCTTGGAGTCGAACGAGAAGGTGCTAGAAACGAGGACCGCGGGCATGGTCAACGCGTTCTCTGCTCAAGGACAGAGGGGAGCTGGTAGGGGTGGCAGAACCGGAGGTAGGACCGGGTTGCCCGGTCTACCGAGACAGGGACAACAAGGAGCGAGGAGACCTGGTGGGCAGCAATTCAGTGGAGGAGCGCTGGGAGGAGCGATTAAGGCTTGAGGTTGAAGCTCTGTACCGAGTACTCGAGAGAGCCATGACTGCATAAAGAAGCTGGGTTCATCATGATCATGGACATGGAGACGTGGTCATAAAGGACGACCCTCATGAGTGCGACGAGCTTGTCGTTATTTCTTCTGGGGAGGGCCAACACAAATGATAGATTGCTGATGATGAAAAAGGTCACGCATGGGCTGGAGGTTGAAGTGCATACACCCTTAACGATGCTGCTAGCTAGGAACTGGCCTCTGCATGTGTGCATCGGATCGGATTTTGACAAATAAAGATGCATCATCGTTGTCATGGACACGGATTTGCATCCTTTGCATCCCATCCATGTGACCCATCTATCTCAGGTATCCCATGTCTTGAAAACGAGAGGATAGCTACCTACCTACCTACCTACCTACCTACCTAGCTAGATAGATAGATCGATCCCGGAAGATCCAACATATTCAGCAGAGAGCGGTTTCTTCTACCTCCATCCCCCCTCAAGCCCCTACCCTATTTATACATGTCCCCTGTCAACGGATTCCCCGTCGGTGCCTCGCATGTGCTCGCCTCACGCGTGAAAATTCCCCCGTACTCACTGGTAACACCGAGGCGACTTACCGAGGACATAGCAAGTAACTACATAGGTTGAATAGGTTCCAAGTACAAAGTCGCCTAAGCAAGCGTGGCACGACTGCATTGTACTGCACATAGCATATCGCGCTCTCTCTAGCTAGCTAGGTAAGTAATGACATTGTAGGGCTTTGGATTTTGGATACTCGCACTCTGTACTCTACTCTACACCAAAGTGCTTGTCCTCGTACTGATAGAATCTGGAGTACGGGATGTTGAAGAAAAGGTCTGTCTCGAAATACTCTACCCGGTATTAGTGAGTAGTGAGTAGTGAGTAGTGTCACCAAGATGTACTGTCAAAAAAATAGCTTTTAGAAATCTAGAAATCTAATTATCTATGTGTACATTACAGACATTTTATCTTCGATTCGAATATACACGGCTCGCCCGAAGCCATTTCCTCTCGTTCTCTACTATGTAGCTTTTGGTTTCTCCCCCGCCATCGCCTGCTGTTTAAGGCGGGGATCTTCTCTGACGATGAGGAGTTCGCCCCTCCAAATCTTGAACAATGTAAAAGCAGCATTGATGAAGAACACCAAAATGAGGAAGATGAGCTGAATGACGGTGACGATCTTGAAAAACGCCGAGTCGAGATCGGTGCCGAGCAGCAGGGTCGCGGTCGTGAGCGTGCCCGTGGGGAAAATGATGGCGTTCCAGGTCGGGGCCCAGATGAGGTCTTTATTCGCGATGCGGTGTGCCATGGCGACGAGGGCGAAGCCTAGCCACACCGCGCCGAGGCCTGTCATTAGCAGCGCTAGGAAGATGCAGGTCGCTTGCATCGACGCGGCGGCTGACTCGGTCAGGAAGAACCCGCGGTGGTACCCGCCAAACATTCCGTGGCTGCTGGCGGCCGAGCCCAGCAGTTGCAGGGCCGCGGCCGACTGGCCCATGGGTCCGACGAGGATGAACAGGGTGGCGGTCATTGGGGGCGCGGGCCACCCTTTGGCTAGCAGCTGTTGAAAGAGGTAGGTGTACAGGATCATGCCGAGGAAGATCCCTACCCCGACAGCGCACAGGGACATGATGATGACGGGGACGGCGAGTCCTGCAGAGACATTGTGGGCGAAGCAAGCGAAGACGCCCCCAACGGCTGCTAACGTGGCGACTCCGACGGCGGGGATGATGACGAGAGTCGGGAGATAGCGGTCGAAGATGGTGTGCTGCTGGATCAGGTTGGAGAAGACGAACAGCAACATGCCAAAGCTCCACGTCGCTGCGATCCACCACATGACACAGGCCACGACGGTGAAGGGGTGGCCTCCCCAGGGTGCTTCGCTCACGGTGAGGGTGACGAAAGACACCAGCGTCATGAAGGCAATGGACCAGCAGGGGAACAGACACAGCTCCAACGTGTTGTCGATGAGTTCCTTGTACGCTCGTTGTCTGTACATGAGAAAGTGTAGAATGTAAATGACTGAAAAGACAAGGTAGAGGACCAGGTCGATCATGAATGCAATCGTTGAGAGCACACGAAGTCCCCGAAACTGATATGGCAGCTGGTGAAGGAGAGTTGCGATGACGCCGGCATTCATGCACCAGGTGAACCTACCGTGGATTTTGTTAGCATCTCTCCATAGCACCGTGGGATGAGGAGGGAGTCTATGATTGTGATTATGGTTATGGTCATGGCTATATGCCAAAGAAACCATATGCACAGGACATACCATATGGGACTAAAGTCTTGGACCAAAGCCCGGAAAGCGCTTCGAGTCAAAGGCCCGTTGTAGATCATGTCGGGATTCTGTTCCTCGTCGTCGTCGTAGGTGCCCGTGCACTGAGGCCGGGGGCCGTCATCTCTGCTGCTCTTTGGCTCCATGTCTTCGTGTACCGTACACCATGTATCACACAGCTGGTTGTTCTCTTTCTTTCTCTTTGGATACGGCCCAGCAACAAGATCGTCACAATGTCACACCCATCAGCTTTTTTTATTCGAGAACTCGCTCTGGCTCCGAATCGGACTGGAGACCCGTTCCAGTCAATCCGCCTTGCCGGGTACAACGCCGGCCGGGGACTCGCCGCCTCCGCAGAATCTGGTAAGAGGGAGCAAACATATTATTGTCATGGAGATGATGGATCCTTTGATTATTGGGGATCTTTTCCAGTCCGGCACCTCCAGCTGTCCATCAAGGGACATATCGAGTAGGTGACATGGGTGGGCATGGGGTTTAGCTGAGGTTAGTGAGGCTCACAATTGGCGATATCGCCAATGGCGGATGATGGCGTAAGGGATGAAAATAGCCAAGTTGCCCGATTTGTGCGTAGGACGTTGGGGGGAGCTTAACTGTGGTGACACGGGTGGCTGCCTCTCCAATTAAATGGGGAAATATTGCCAGAAACATGCCAGTACGAGTTACTTAGGTGCTCGGGTGGTCAGCTCGGAAGGTGCTTGGGGAGCACCCGGGAGGTACTTAGGTGGGTGTTTAGGTACTGGAAGTGCCTAGGGACTCTTTGGCGGGCGATTAGGGGGTTTGATGGGGAAGGGGAAGACTGGTGGCCATAACTCACTTCTCACTTTCTCACTTACCTGCATGGTAACAGTATTGTCAACTGTCATCGTCACCGATCACGCCCCAAACAACATCGAGGATATGGATTGTTACTACGACTCATATTACTATCACTCCTATTGCTTCTCCTCATCCACAGCTATCCACAGATTGCGTCTTTCCTCTCCTGTTGCCAAGTTGACCGCCTCCACCATGTTCTGACCCTGACCGTTTCACATTTCTTCACCCTGCCACGCCTGCCACGCCCTGATACTTCTCCTGCTTCTCCTCCCTCCCATGATACGCGAGCCAAGGCCTCACTAGCCAGTCCGTTGCCGTCTCCAGACTCACCGCTGTCCTCCTGTCCTACTGTGTCTGTGGTTTCGAGTAAGGTGGGCACTTGGCAACAGTCGATCGCTGAACAAGACTTTTTTCGCTCCAACATGAGACTTGTCACGAGCCTCTTGTTGTTACGGGGCTTGATCAATTCGTATGCACACATGGATATTCCACATGGGGATCCATGGTGCCTCACAATATGCATCATCCCCTCTGGGCATCCCCTACCTCTGGGTCCTTTGGGTTCCTACAGCCAAGTCGGTAAGCTACAAACAAACCAGGGGGATTTCATAGACGACTTGACATCTCTTGGTTTCCTTTTCTCGTTTCTTTCTTTCTCTTCTCATACCGCTGGTCGAGTAGAATTGGTTGGTTCCCGGTTTGGGTCTTGGGTCGAAGTTGAGGCTGGTTCCTCTGACAAACAATTTCTTTCGTCGTCTCCCGTTTCTTCACATCCCGTGCTGGTCTCGTGATAATCGACTTGGTCATATAACAATTGAAAAGTCGGTGGAAGGACGACTGTGATTGAAGATGCCTGCAACCACTCTCAAGAGACGCTTTGACAGGTCCAAGATTGCTCCATTGAAGGCTGAACGAAGCGAAGGCTTACAAGGCTTGGACAACCTAAAACTTGTCGAGAGGCAAAGTAAGTAGGCATCCAGTCCTCAATGCTATGACTTCTTTCTAGGTCGACGCTCACGAGTTGGTCAGATCTCCCTGGGAACAATCCTCCCCCTCCCCCTCCTCCTCCTCCTGAAGATCCATTGTCTAGTGATGACGACAATTCAGAGGACGAGGGCGCTGGGGAAACTTCAGGCGAAGAGGATGATGTCGAGCCGCTCAACCCGTTTGACCCAGGCACATCTACAACATCCCAGGATCAGGCATCGATAACTGGACTATCGAGCACATCAAGCACGTCCAGCGTCCCGGTCGCGTCCGCCTCATCATCTCCATCCACCTCGACAGAAGTAGCTCCGATCACCTCTCAAGGACTTCTTTCCTCTACTTCAGACCTTGTCGGCTCCTTTACTACAATTCCAACTTCCACTGTGCCTCTACCGGATACCAGCTCTGGACTGCCCTCAACAACATCGGTCAACTCGGCTGCTGCCTCCGAGACTGTGCGCGCTCAAGACCACCCTGTTGCGAAAGTGGCAATCATCCTCCCATCGCTGTTGGCAGGTGTAGTCGCGATCGCGGCCATCTACCTTCTCATGCGCTACTGCACCCCGCTCAAGGCGAGATGGGCAGTCTTTCGAGCACGCAAAGGTCGGAGATTACCTGGAGAGGAAGAAGATGGAAGGGTTTCGGGAGTGGCACCGCAGATGTCGGAGGCGTATGCTACGCGGACAGAAGTCGCACGGCCTTCGTCTCTGCACATCGATCCAACAGTAGCCACGCCGGCACCGTTACTGACTCGGTCTCTCAGTCGAACACAAACTATGCATGACAAGACAGCACACCCGCCCGCGTACACCGCTAGCGGTCTCGGACCTCATGCGTCCCAACTTCACGTGGAGGACCACGCTGGGCTCCGCAATCCAATTGCTCGATTGAGCCATCCGAATGGTCTCGCAAACAATCCCCCGACTCCTGTTGCACGCAACCATCCGCCTCTGCCGAGCCAGGTGCACGTCCCCGTAAACCCCGTGCCCAACTTGCCGTCTCCCATCAGCGTCGACGGCAGGGTCAGCATGGGATTCCCTCTACCACCAACGATGCCGTCAACGCCGCACTTCCCCGCCCCGTCGCCGCTCGAATCGACCTTTAGCTCTCCCCGCCGACCTCGCAAGTCCGTCACTCCGTCCGAGAGCATATCTAATGTCCCCGACTCGCCCTTCCCCTTCTCACCCGCACTCATGCCTCCGATGCCCGTCTGGAATTCTCGCTGGAGCCATAATTCGTCGAGCGTCAACGGGCGGCCTCCCCCGAGTGACGAGGGCTCTGCACAACCGCAAGACAGCTCTGGCCCCGGCCCGGCCGTGGAATCGGTGTCGCCGGTGTCTCGTTCTCCATCTCTGAAGAGCACACGTTCTTCTGCGGTGTCATCCTCTTAGACCGACCTTTATTGGCACAGGGCGGGATCTATAGCCAAGTGTATCTATATTGACCACACAGGCACACAGGCCTGGTATTTGTTAAGAAGGAACAACGATGCAATATGACGCCACTGATTCCGAAAGGAAAAATTACTACGGAGAGGGGCGGAAAGGGATGGAAACGACTTTGAAGGACCAAAAAAGTGATATCCGAATGAACCACGGGATGGTTTTGGGAAATGGAAAAATGCCTTTGGGTGAGTAGGTCGGAGGTATTTGTCATGTAACATTACGTCTATCGAGCCACTTCCTCGTATGTATAGAGTATGTCGATGATCTGACCGGGTCGGGAATCTTGGAATGAATGTGGAGGAACAAAAAGACTACTAAATCTATCTGGAAGGGGAAATAGAAAAAATAGATTTACTGTACCTAGGTACTTAGGTACCAACGACCAACGGAAAGAAATGTGAAAGTGACCTTGACACGGACGAGAAAACCACAAGTTCCCACAGTCCCGAACAAGCGAGATCGGAGTTGATATTGACACGAGGCTCCTGGAGATATATCGTGATTGGTCAGCCTCACATCCCCTATATTTGGTTCCCCATTACGGACCTTCATAGCAATATGTGAATGGTAAATGAGTTTTCGTCTATCGAAGTTCTAGGCTGGAACTGCATGGCTTCGGATAAGGGGCGTCTATCCGAGTGTATATCACACAGTACCTAGTACCTTGTACCGAGGTACGTACACGTGCTGCGGGATACTCGAATGAGTACCCCGTACCTACCGAGTACATGTATGTGTACTCGTTACATGTATACGTGCCCAAATAGATCTCGGGTCCTGCAGGAAGGGGACGGTCCGTCCGTTTCCCAAAACTTGGCACTGTTTCTTTTCCCGGTGGGAGTTCACAAAGTGAAATCCGCATCATGTCCGCCCGTTGCTTGTTTAACAGTGAGTTTCTTGGTTACTATGTGTAGGTCGTCAAAAAGTAGCCAGACAAGCTATCGTCCAGCCCGCCAAAAAAAGTCATTTATTCTGTACGTGAAAAAAACCGTGTATTTGCGCCTCATTTCTTGGTCCAGCGATCGTGCTCGATTCATACGCATTCATTCACAAGACACCTTCAGATGGAGAAAGCACTCTCGCACTCCGAGTGCGCTGCCAAAATCTGATACAAATCACATCATTTGCCACCCAGGCAATCCCAAGGCCTTGATCCCCCCTGGCACATGGCTGTCAAGCCCGCACTCGGATCACCGCTTTTTAACCTCACACGCCCATCCTTCGATTCCTTCGCCTTTCGACCCAACAGGCACATCGACATTGATATTTTCCATGCCCTTGACACCTTTCAAAAATTCCGAGTTGGACATTCCACCCGCGTTCGCACGGGCTTCGGGAGGTAATTCGAGCATGGGTGTCAAAAAATCGCTGATTCGCTTGGCCTCCTCAACAGAGAAATGATATTTCTCTCGGAGCACATCAGGCAGGGCCCAATGCCGTAGTCGATGGATGTTGCGCAGCTCGCCTTTACGGTTGAAAATCTCTTGTGACCATTTACCCGACAGGCACAACGACTTTGGAAACGGGCCGAGCAGTTCGATAATCTGCGCAATGTGATCGTCGTCTTTGCCATATTTCGTGCCAGATTGCGGGTCGAAGAGGTAATCGCCTGTGATGAGTTCAAACACCTGGACATTGTTAGTGTGCAAATTAGAAATGACACTGATCGTAGCGTACCATGCATGCCATGCTCCACACATCGGTGCTGGCGCCCCATTTGGCACCTAGGATCACCTCCGGCGACCGATATTGACGAGTCTGAATGTCGTTTGTGAAATGGTGACCGACCCAGCAGGCATTTCCCAGATCTGCAATCTTGACCGAGATAATCTCGCCCAGAGGCTCATTCTCGTTCTTGGCCGCCTTCAAGACCTTGTCGACATCCGATGACTTCTTGTTGTCGAGAGACACTCCCGCCAAATCCTTTTCTAGCGGGTCCGTCGTGCCTTCTCTCCCCTTGTCACCAACAGACTGCTCCTCACTTGTCTTACTCTCCTTCTCCTTCGCCTTCAGCTTCAGTTGCTCTATCATGGAGAGGCCGTCTGTCGATTTGTTTGAGACCGAATCATTAATCACTTGGTTCAGACTACTCGGTGGGTGAGGGTGGTGGCTCCCGAGTTTATCCAGATTCGTGAAGCTGGCGTTCAGTGGACTGGGGAGAGGCTGGCTTCCAGTGATGAGCGTTCGTCTTCGTCTCCGTCCATTTCTGTTGTCGTCTTTTGTCGATTCTTTCTCGTCTTTGACAAAGGCTTTGACAATCTGTTCCACGTCACCAATCTCAATCAAGACATTTTCCGGCTTCAAATCGGTGTGAATGATGCCGCACTCGCGATGTAGGTAGTCCAGCCCCAAAAGGACTTGTTTGGTGATCTGTTTGACCAACGGCATCGGAATACCTCGATGGTTCCATCTCTTGATCAGGCCCAGCAGATTTTCTCCCAATACCTCAAAGACCATACAAACGTGAACGCCGTTGGGTCCTTTGTGTTCGAAGGAATCAAGAAGGCTGACGACATATTTTCGACCAGGGTGGTTGGGGTTCGCTTGGACGACCTTGTTTAATAGTTTGATCTCGTCGATGGCAGTTTCTGTGTAGTGCGCGGCCGACCGAACTACCTTGAGTGCGACGTGTTTGCCCGTGGTTGTGTCTCTTGACAACCAGACAGTGGAGAAGTGACCCCATCCCAACTTCCGCACTACCACATATTTGCCATTATTGTATGTTTCGCCAACGTGGACGGGATGGTATCCGCCCTTGCAATAATCCTCCGAGTCTTCCTCGTCCGCAGTGGTCTCGGCGGGGTCGTCTTCGGAGGTGGAAGAGGACGGGGATCTGTCAATATGTGAGTTATTTACAGGGACCTTTGCGTGAGGCAGAGGCGAATCCATGGCGCTGAGGAAGGACGGATCAGTTTGAGGGCAGATTTAGTCGAAACAAGGACGAGACATTGCATCTGCGATCAATCACGATATCATGTACAAAGAAATGACAAAAGCGCGCGTGTGTGGACGAGGAATTGCAGGTGACATGATGAGGAGTGACTGGACCAAGTGACTTACTCTGGGTCTCCTGGAGTGGGGCTATCGTGAAGACTGGACGCATTCGCGTTCTCGCTTGTGATGATGGGCTTCAGATTGTCGCCTTTCCGTCGTTTCTTCTGCCCATTTCCGTTTGCTGCCAGGGCGGCGGTTGTCGCGACCTTCTTAGCCTGGCTGATGGCGGCTTTCTTGAGGTCGGTGCCATTCATCATGGCAAAGACGGCAGCGTTTGCGGCCAACAGGTTATTGGAATATTGAGAGCCTGGTCCCTTTGCAGGGCCAGCTTCCGATAATGGAGGAATTGTGGAAGATATTTCGAGGTTGCAGTCGAGATTAGAAGGGGATGGGCTTCTTTGGGGCGCAGTTGGGCCACAAGGGTTAAGCCCGAGCTGGCCTGGTGTGTGATCGTGACAGGATCTGCGAGCGTCCGCGGATTGACGCTGCGGCAGTGGCAGTTGTTACGGCGGCGTGCAGTGACCGGACGTTTGTTCCCAGATGGCGGTGGATCTCAGGCTATTCAGTGCCCGGGGTCGAGTGTTCGCTTCGGGGGGTCGGACCACGCCCTGTCATGTAAGAAAGTGCTGACGGCGCTGGCGGAATGATGTTATGTCTAAATCTGCGTGTGTGTTTTGTCTTCTCTTAGACTTGTCACGTTTTCCTGCAGACTCAAAAGTGCGCGGCTGCGGCTGCGGCGGTCTCACTCTTGGGATCGAGTCGAGCAGAGACACCGATGAGACGAAATGTGCGCTGGGAACTGCGTGCTGCGGGTTGGCGGATTTGATTCGCGGATTCGACAATAGACAACAGGGCACCCAACCACGCGCTGGGCGGCTATTCGATAAAGGACATTGAAAACGAAGATGGGGGCGACAATTTAGGGTCGAGGAACATGGATGGGCGACAGATTGCTGCCCGCCTTTCAAAGGGTGTCGAAACTTTGAGGCGGGAGTCGAAGGAAATTCAGGAATGACTGTACTTTGGAGGACGAGAACCGTTGGATTTTGATCGAATTGAGTCGGAGGACAAGGGACAGACTAAGAGCTGGGCAGATACTGCTGTATGATCCGGAGACGGCGGCGATGGTGATATCGATTCGAGCTTTCGTGGGACCTGCCAATGACGATTGATCCCGTCACTTGTAGAGCAGGAGACTTGTGTGATAATCACTGGTGAGCAACAGCAATGGTGGGGTCTCTTCGGGAGGTTTGTTTTGGGTGGGTTTGTTGCGTTTGATATCGATCGAGGGCGATGGAGGGGGAAACAATAGAGGCTCAAGGTGAGTACAGTGCTGTATTGCTCAAACGAAGCTTTTGTAGAATTCAATGCGATTCATGCCATGACTAAGTAGTAGGATTCGAGTGGATGTTCCCCTTCCAGTCTTTCCGAGCTCAGACATGATTAATGTACTGGCTATTTGTTTTCAATCATTGAGCTGCGTTCCCTGGGCAAGCCACCTGCGCCATATTGGGCAAACTCAACACCTACACTTCTCTCCGATCCCATCACTTCGCCGTTGGGTCACGACAACACCAGGAGATGCTGTGAAGGGAGTCTCCAGGTCCTCACTTGATGTCCTTCGAACTAGGCTTGAGGAGGTTATGAAATCTGAAAACGCACAACATGGACTCAAGAGCTAACGCGCGAGATCACAACCTCTCTCAATGAGACTGCCCTAGTCAAACAAGACCCAGCTCGTGCACTTCTTCTTCCAAGAGCTTCCCTCCTTGCAGAGCAGCTATTTACAAGATGAACCTCTTCTCACCTCCAGAATCTCCCTACGCACCTCCCTCTCTGCTCTACCAGCTCATATACCACCCTCTGACCACCTGCTTTACCTTCTTCCACCACATCTTTCTCTGCCTCCGCGGTCCACCGTACATCACGCCAAAGAATAAAATTCCCATCCGCGTCGTTTGCCTCTCCGACACCCACAGCCAAATTCCTCGCACAGCCATCCCCAAGGGCGACCTCCTAATCCACTCCGGTGACCTTACAAATAACGGCTCGCTCTCCTCCATCCAGCAAACGATAGACTGGTTAAAAACGCTGCAAAAGCCCTGGCACGGCTCCTCTGATGGATTTCGTCACATCGTAGTGGTGGCGGGGAACCACGATAGCTATTTTGACGAGCGCAGCCGTGGGATACAAGACAAGAGCCGTTCCTACCGGCAGCTAGACTGGGGTAAGATTCACTACCTGCAGCACTCATCGGTCACATTACGTTTTCCTGGTGCTCGCTCATTGAATGTCTACGGTGCTCCGCAGATACCTCAATGTGGAGGTAAGGAATTTGCGTTTCAATACAGCAGAGGTCAAGATGCTTGGAGCGGCACCATCCCCGAAGATGTGGATGTCCTGGTCACGCATAACCCGCCCAAATGGCACCTTGATCTACCAACCAGTGGAGGCTTGGGCGACGAGTTCGAGTTGAAGGAAGTCTGGCGCGTTAAACCAACGCTACATGCATTTGGACATATCCATTCTGGTCACGGCGTTGATCCCGTCTGGTGGGACGAAAGCCAGCGGGCATTCGAAGAGTTTCTGGCCGCAGCATATAACAAGCCTGCAGACACACCTGCAAGTCACCGCATGCCCTTTGCCGAGCTGCTGGATTTACCGTTATGGGTAAAAGGTTTCAAATGCACTGCTGCAGATGTGAGAGGCCTCCTGTGGACAAGGCTTTGGGGGGGCGCCCGCCAGGGAGGATACATGGTCAACGGAGCCCTGGCATATCAGACGAGTACCCGACTATTGAATAAGCCCAGAGTGGTGGATCTATAGATTCACAGTGCGAAGAGCCTTGCCTTGGATGGTATGCGCAAGCTGAACGAAGAAACGGTCGATGATATTACGAGTCCCATGCCCGTCTCAATCCACGGGCATCGATTGAGCCAGAGGAACCAAAAGAATCCATACACCAGATTCATGTTCAGGTACAGATTCATGGCGTCCCAGAGTTTTGTTAGACACAGAACAGCGAAAAGCATAAAGCATAAAGCATAAAGCGAGGTACATATGTGGATACAGGACTCGTGGTTAATCATTAATCGTATATTTTGACCTTCTCTGTGGCTTTATGAAAACAAGTTTCCAAGGAATTTCACTCTCCCAAGTAAGTACGAGTTAGTATCCAACTCCCGAGAAAGTTTTTGAGCCATCGTGTCATTGACATTTTGTCCGCATTTCCCATTCCCATTTCCAACATCCCGAGGTGATGGTATAGAAAAAGAAGAAGTAAGGGCATATCCAAGGTTACATAGTCCAACCCCCCTTTTCCACACTCCCACTCTCGCATAGAAGTAGCAAAGGGATGCCTTGACCATGTTCGTGTTGTTCCAACACCATACAGTTCGCAAGCCCTGCCTCAGATGAGTTGGCATGGTCTAGCCTTGGTGGAGTTCTTTTCATTACAAGCCCCGTCCGTGCGTCGTGAGACTCTGTAGTCTCTTGTTGTTACGTTTCATCTTCGTCGCCGTCTTTATATCCCCTCTCGGAAGGCGCTTTTTCTCGTGCTGATCGGACTCGAGTTTCCGTCTCCGCTGCCTTGAGTGTCCACGCTTTGGTTTCCCTTTGTATGTCCCTTTGCGGCTGCTGCATCCGATTCCGGCCTGGGGCTCACGCTCCTCAGCCGCGGCGTCGCTTCGTGTTGATCGCCAAAGGGGTTGTCTCTGGAAGAACTGCCTGGGCGACCTCGTCCACTCACATCAAGGTCGGAATACCCTGCGCTTCCTGTGGCGCCCAAGTAGTCTCCGCCCGAACCTCCGCGGGAGCCGCTGCCATAGGGTTCATTCTGCAGTCCCGGGGTTGGGGCCAAACCCAATTCCTGTTCTTCATATCCAGAATAACCAACTCCGGGTCCGTAGGGGTCTTCGTTTCCTACTCTGGTGTCCCATGCATCATCTTCCATCCCTCTGCCTCCCCTACCTCTGGAACCTCCAGATACCAGTCCATCGGCGCCACTTCCGGCTTCTTCATAGGCCCCTCTGGCCGTGCGTCTTCTGGTCAACTTGGAAAATTGGTCCCTGGCCCATTCCAGCGGTCCCGCGTGCCGAGGGGCAGGGTAGTTTGATGAGGCCTGAGGCTTGAGGAATGGGATGTAAGTTTTCCATGATTTGAGGGAGGGGGCGGGGAGCCCTTGTTTGCGGGCGCTGTATTGTGTGTAGGCCACCCATCCGACGACCGCGAAGATGAGAAGGAGGAAGAGGAGGAAGAAGAAGAGGCCTAGAAAGAGAAGAGTTTCGGTTAGTGCGGAAACCAGCGCGACAGCTGAAGAAGACCTGACATACCCCAACCACGCATGTTTGCGACAGCAGAGGGCTATTGTTCTGACTTCTGGGACCCTTCCGATATTCGAGAGCAAGGGGTCACACTCGTAGACGCCCCAGAATGTGCCTCTGTTCGATACAAGAAACCGATTTCACCGGCGTTTGATGAAGGCGCTGACTGTCGTCTCACTCACAAGTTCAGCTGAAGTGGTTAGGCGGGCATTGCTGCTGTTTGCTCCAGCCACCGTATTCCGACTGGACAGTTGAGAGGATGGATTGGAAGGAGGAAGATATTTGTTCTTCGGAGCGGTGCAATTGATGACTGACTGTGGCCCGGTTGGTTATTTGAGCTTCGGCTGACGAGGGAAACCTGCTTGACTGCTGGCTGCCGATGCGAGGCACAGCCCAACGTCAATTAGAACCTCAGCAGGCGGATACTCGGCTTGCTTGACCCCAAAAGGGTAAAGCGCATAGTGAGCATATCTTCACATGGCACTCACGTGTCGTCCGAACTCCGTTTCTCAAAAGGCTATCGCAATGTTACCAACACACTCTATTGCTCCGAACTCTAGGAAGATGATATGTTTCATTCAATTTCGAAGTCGCCTCGAATTCTCTAGCACACGAGTTCTACAACCCTCCTCGCATCAATGCCTGTAGCGGGGATCTTTGTAACTTCCACCCAACCGCCTTTGCTGACTGCGACGATCTTCCCGTCGATACAAATCATCCTCCACTGTTCGTCTTCTTCGTCAAATTCTATCCTTAATCCTTCGATATCTTCATACGTAACCTTTGAGTCCGTAATGTGTTGCCCGGATTGATACGCTAGATGCATTATGCGCATGATCTCCGAGGCAGGCTCAGCACCGATAGTGAGCAGCCGTAGGCTCCCATCAAGAGGTTTCGTGGCGGGTGAGATTCGAAAATGCTCCTCCAGGTTGGAGACCATCGTTGCCAGGATGTAGGAGTGCTGCAGTCCAGGCAGGTCTCTCCACTCGCCGTCTGCTTTCCGCCATTTGACCCTACCTCTGTACAGGTGAGCTTCTCTCAAGAGCTGCTCTGCTGCCATTCCGAACCTTGCAAGACCATGCTTGCGATATTCCGTCGTATCGCTCATTGCCACAAGACTGGCGTGTAGCCCCCAACTACAGACCACAGCGCCATACATGATCGGCCCATCCTCGCCCTCATGGCCCAAATCTTCCCGATCCTGGCCTTCATTGGTGACCAGCTGTGAGCCGGGACCGAAGCAAACCTGAAAGGACGGGAGAGATTTTGGTCTTCCTTCCATCATAGTCTTGACAGGGTCTTGAGCAACACCAGAACTCCACGCCAAAGCATTTGCAGTGCCCATGGGTATCAGGACAATGACAGGCTTGAGGAATATTGAGGGGGCTCTAATGTCATCATTGCGCCGGTTTAGAAGACTTGTAAAAGTGTTGACAATATCAACAATGCCGCCATCTCCTGACAGCAAGATAATGGTTTGCTTGACACCTTGTCGCGCATTCGCGATGAAAAGTTTCTCGGTCAACTCGATGATAGTCCTGGTTGACTTAGTTTCGTGCGTAAAGTAAACAGCGTCGAAGCTGTCGAGTAGTGGCTTGATTGATTCTTCATAGTATTCTTTTGCTTTGTGACGACCCGACAGAATGGAGATGACCACATGAATCTCACGATCGGAGAGCAGATGCGCCGGCAGGGCTTGTTGAGACGGCAAAGACATCTTGTGCAGCCTCGGACTCTATCACAAAGCCAGTTGGATCGACGATGCCAGGTTTCTCTGCCAACCTCTGGTGATCAGTACATTCTTCCCGAGGCCGTTGGCCAATCGACGACGGATGGAGTACCACAGAGTACTCGGTAGTGGCGTCGGGATGACTGTTCAGAGGCAGGCTCACAGAGACAGATCCCTAGAAGCCGTCACGTTCGAAGGGCCGGGACTCAGCAGATGACTCGACACAGGATCATACGAGTAAGAGGATGCTATGGGTGGGTAAGCGGCATAACAATGTTTGGGGTCCAAGCACATACCAAGTGATTGAGCTAGGGAGAAACCCGAAGGATTGACCCTTGGAGGCAGGAATTGATGGACAGGGAAATCCCAGTACTTTTGATCAGCGCCGTAATTTGGAATATGATAGACTCCTGACTGTATCGAGTCCTGCTGGTCTTTGAGAGGAGGTCGGGCTGGCACGTTGGTCCAAGAAGAGAACATGTACCAAGGTACCTCGTGCATAGTTCTCATACGAAAAGCTCTCGGCTCACCTGCTGCTTCCTGAGCGATCCAGTCGCTAGAGCGGGCACCCAGGACACATACCTAATCTTCCTGACATCGCGCCATTAATCAAGGCCATTGCTCAATCCAAGAAAAAATGACCCCAATCTTCAACAATTTAGGTTGTTACTCAGCCACGAGGCGTACCCCATCCACCTACCATCGGTGCCTACGGCGGCTCCCCTGGGTGATATGCTAAGATTTGCCGGTACCTATTGCGCCAGCCAAGTTGAGCTGGTGGAGGCGGAAGAAATGTCCACTGCACTTTTCTAGATTTGTTGCTGTTGTTGATAGGCGTGAACTCAGGCAGATCAAATGCTGGACCATGATTCGATTCTCACTATGGGCTCCAAAGTCCGACAAGCCTCTATCCCGTCGTGTCCGGGCGCAACGTCTCTTGCCCAGATGCTCAAAGATCAACCTGGAGAACCTCTCCCAAGTCGGATCGCGCTGTCAAGAGGACTTTGAGGGGGTGAATGTCAAGTTTCTGCGCGCTTTGCCGACGGAAGAAGAGCGGGTTCGTTGCGCCATGTGCAAGTTATTCATCGGAGCCCGGGCGTATCAGGAAGAAGCCGCACAGAAGAACTACAATGTCTAGGCATACAGCAGCGTGCTTCGACGACCGACACTGGAACTATGTGAAAAGGCGTCGCAGACACACAGTTGTATCCTTGCTGTACAACATGGAGAGGGGAGACGAAATTCGTACGCACCCAGGAATCTATACGACACCTCTGGGCGTCTCGTACGACTCTGATGCATTGGTGTATTTCGTGGGATATTACAGCGATCGAGCCAGCCTAGTTACTTGGCAATACCGTTCCTTTTCCAAGGCGCTCAGGATCATGCCGACCCCAGGTTGACCCTGGCGGAAGATCCCAACTACCGATTTGCTTGTGGTCTCTCCTGGGAGCTGTTTGTGAGCTCCTCTGGATCATTTCGTCAACAATCACTAATAAGGAGGACTGGTAGTAGTACACCGAGTATGGGAATGCCCAGCTGGTCCTGGGCTGGCTGGATGGGCCATGTCAGCCATTTCTCGCCTCACGATGCGGGTGGACTATGAGGATATAGCTATCTCCCGGAATGGGACATCGCTCCAAAGGAGGACTTTGGCCTACGAATATGGGTCAAAATCAATACGAATGGGACTTTGACGGCAATTGATGATCTATTGCGACCATTCCAGTCATGGTTCCAGACCCAGCAGTCAGAGAAGTCATGGTTACTCCAGAAATATCACCAGTGCTAAGGATCGACTCGATATTGATATCTACCCGGATTGCGCGGCGGAATGACGAAGGCAGTTATTTCATATCCGGCTCGAGAACCTGGATGTCTAACGTTGTGTTTTGGGAGTGCCCTCTCGAAAACAGTGATCTGCTTGATAGAATCATATCCGAGGAATGTATTGGTGTCGTTTTGATCATGAAGATGGCTGCTGGGATGGAAGAGGAAGAGAGCAAGGAAGAAGAAAAGAGTAAAAAGGGGGCCCTTAAATTGAGTTGACAGAGAGCCGTCTATATTGATCTTGTTGCTTGATAAGAGAGAAGGGAAGAACGAACACTTCGGATCAGTTTGGGTGTTGTGGGAGACATTTTCGTCCATGGAGAAGTGGCGAGAGTCGACTGAACTAATCTAGTATTCGAGTAGGAGAATCAGCCTGGCGGTGTAGCTTAGTACGTGCTTAACCGAGGCGCTTCACGTGGTCCTCAACATCCCAACGTCCTTAGTGGCCATCCCCTGACTACATTCCTCGCTGCTTGATCCACATTCCAAGTTGGGCATTATATAATTACCGAAAACATCAGATTGGCCTGGGACCTCACATCGGTTTGTTCCGTCCCTGTCAACATTTGCCGATCTATAGCCTACAGCTTTCCTACTGTGTGCTCTCTCAGGAAAGTAAGTCGGTGAGATCGCTGACGCCTTTCAACGAGGAATCATTACTGCGATATTTGAGTTTTTGTACGAGTGACCAGGCTCCTCCTTGTCCAACATCGCTAGGTACATTCGACTTCACCCACACCGAGAGAAGGCCTACACGTGACAGCTACAGTCAGACCAATCGGCTTCGGATGCGCGAGCAGCAGCGGACAACAGAATCAACAGTGAGGCTGACCTACTAGACCCCGCAAATGACTTCGCCCCCGCAGCCAGCGGCCGCGGTTTGCCTGAGGGATACGAAGACATCTTGGCGACGCAATGCGGCCGTTACTTCGAGTGCCCACCAATAATGTCGTCCGAGGGCACAAGGTACTTCATGCCAGAAAGGGTGGCCTGCTCGGTTTGCCCGAGACGAGCTATTACGAGACAAAGTTCGGCCTGATACTCGCGACACAGGATCCCTTGTGAAGAATGCTTCGCCGCTTTACCTTGCGCACAATTGCAGTGAGTGGCAGCGGCGCTCAACTTCCTTATCTGGTTGCATGTCTTCTCCTCACAGAGCTGTTGTGCTACGAGACGGTTCAGCTGACTGGGGGAGGAGAATCGGAACCATCCGAGACTGACAGGGGTTGAGGAAATCTAGACCAAGGACAACATCCCAAGCCTTTCCCCTCCTGACATTACTGGCCGATTCTGAGCGACAGAAATATTACAAACATTCACCCCCAGCCCAGGATGACAGCATTGTTCGAGCACTGCCCGCTCTTGGTATCTTGCTTCTCGAAGATCCCAGCCACTGAGCGCAAATCGACCGGCACCGACACAAAGCATCTTTAGTGCATCTGCAATGCCACATACTTATGGAATAATGCTTGAAGTGTCGCTCATGCTGAACACGAGACATCTGCATATTCTTAGGTCAGAGGAAGATGGAGGTAGGTATATATAGCTGTTACTTCTACCCTGTCCCCAAGTAAGCCTTTCCCAAGTTTCAACTACGCCCATCTACTTCGTACATCGGTCAGCTCGACTACAGATTCTAGATTGCGTCGCATTTGACTTCGGAAATATGACAACCACCAATGGAGCAGATGGTACACAAAAGTCGGCGCTCGTTGCCGCTGATGAGTTTGTTGGGCGGGACTACGACTATCTCATCTGTGGTGGCGGTACAGCTGGACTGGTTATTGCTGCCCGCTTGACAGAGAATCCAGATGTCACTGTTGGTGTTATCGAAGCCGGGAAGAGTCGACTTGGTGACCCGCTCGTTGATGTCCCCGCCATGTTCATACAGATGTTGGGCAACAAGGAGTACGATTGGGCTTGGGATACCATCCCTCAGGTAGAGACCAAAACCCCTATATCCGATACTCCTGACACTAACTCTTGTACAGCCAGGCAACAAGAACAAAGTCCACCAAGTCCCTCGGGGTAAGGCGCTAGGTGGCTCCAGCGCAATCAACTACATGATGTGAGTTTCCCGTTCTAGCGATGAACAGCCTCGCCGTTTAACACCAACAAAGGTATGTTCGCGGATCAGACCAAGATTACGATGACTGGGCCGAACTGGCGAACGACCCATCGTGGTCGTCGGCTCAAATGAAACAATACATGCGGAAGCACCAAACTCTGGAGCCCGTCGATGAACGAATAACAGACCGTTCTACCATGCCATTCGTTGGAGAGAACCATGGCACCAGCGGTCCTGTGCGGACTAGCTTCAATGACTTCAGGCTTCCCATTGAGGACGACGTGATCAAGGCCGCAGACCATGTCACCGGATTCGACAAAAAGCCCCTCGATCCATGGAGTGGAGATCATATTGGCTTCTTCAACACCCTGGGTGCTGTGGCACGCACGGGACCCAACAAGGGGATGCGCAGTTACGCTGCTAGAGGATACTTCCAGGCCAACGAACATCGGCCCAACCTCAAGGTCGTCACCGAGGCGCTTGTGGCTCGAGTTATCCTCGAAAATAAGCGGGCCACTGGTGTGGAATTCGTCCACAATGGACAGAGGTATACCGTCAAGGCCAAACGAGAAGTTATTGTTTGTGGCGGAACCATCAACTCTCCTCAGATTCTTGAGATGTCTGGCATTGGCAATCCGGATATTCTCAGAGCCGCTGGCGTCCAATGTCTGGTCGACCTGCCCTCTGTCGGCGAAAACTACCAGGACCACGTCGCTACTGCTGCAGTGTATCAACTTGCCGATGGCCAAATGTCCGGTGACTCGATCTACAAGCCCGAAGTCATGGAGGCGGCGCAAAAGGCTCTGGCTGAAGAAAAGGGAGGGCCCTTGACCGCGATCCAATCCACGCAGGGCTTCTTCCCCTGCACCTTGTTCCTGGAGGACGGCGAGCTGGAGGAGGTCGTCAAGTCAATCGAAAGCGCCAAGGCGAAGGCGACGCCGTTCCAGCGGAAACAATGGGACCAAGTCATCTCGCACCTCAAGAGCAACAAGTCGGCGAACCTGCAACTGGTCTTCATTGCCGTCACGGGCAATCTCGCCGAAGGATTCCGTAACCAGAGCGTCCTGTTCCCTCCACCACCCGAGGGGGCAAAGGACGGCGTCACCCTGGCCGCTTGCCTGCAGTACCCCGTCGCCCGGGGCTACATCCACATCAAATCCGCCGACCCAGCTGTTCCCCCCGAAATCAATCCTAACTACCTGGGCCACGAAGCCGACGTTGCCGTACTGGCCGCAGGCCTGAGATTCGTTGACAAGACGGCCTCGTCCGCGCCCCTCAAAGACAAAATCTCCCACCGCATCGCTCCCGAGCCGGACAAGTTCCCCCTCGACTCAGCCCAGTCCCGTCGCGCCGCCGTCCAGGAATACGTCATCGGCGAGTACCACAGCTGCGGCTCGTGCGCCATGGGCGACACAGTCGACTCGCGCCTCCGGGTCAAAGGCGTGCAGAACCTGCGCGTCGCCGACGCGAGCGTCTTCCCCAACAATGTCAGCGGCAATATCGCGAGCAGCGTCTACATGCTCGCGGAGAAGGCGGCGGATATGATCAAAGAGGATTGGGATTATGCCGCTCTGAACAAGTTGTCCAAGTAGACAATTATGCAGAGACGTCTTTTTTCTTTGAAGTTACTCCCTTCTCGCTTCTTCTTGGGAGTTGCACGTTACAAAGGCAAAATCACGAATCGAAACGGGATCATCAGGGATACGTGCGTAATATTGGGTCGAGTGGAAGAGTCGTCGAGCAGTAGGCCCGTCTAAGTTCAGCCGTGTCCACGTCCATGTCTATAGGGGTGAGTACGGGCAGGTTGGGGAGGAAACCCTCGGACGACCATATTCCTATTGATCGAACTGGCTATATCTATGCGATTGTATCAGGGTAAAGCTCTCTTGTGAATGGCGTGTATACCACGTTCTCCCAATCCATGGGGAATAGCATCTCATACGCCATTATCAGATCCATCTCCCGTATGTGTTTTCCATAACATAATCGCGATTTCTGGCCAATAGTTTCTCTGGAGACTGAGATGTCGGCACATGGGAAAGTGAGGAAAGCGGATGCAGAATTGTGATGCGTTGACGTCATTGAAACCTGTCCTGTACGCCGAAACCGTTTGCGGAGAACTAAAATGCTTGGCGTATTTGCACAATTTGGGTAAGTCCGCTCCCGAAATTACCTCCTCCATTGCTCCATATTCAACCAACTTCAACTTCAACTCCGACAATGTTTGCCCGTTCTCAACTCGTCTGCAAGCAAACACAGGCCAGCCGTTGCCTCTAATTTCAGCAGACAATGGTCTCGGAGCTAGAGTGTGCACTTGTTTCTTGGCATTGATCTTTCTTTGTGCTGCCTGTTCATGGTGCTCCCTTGACTCTCGTGTTAGTCTCAGCTTCCAGAACACATGTCTACATGTATCGAGGGAGTAGACCTATGTCTGCTCTTACCAATGATGTTACACGACATCGGGAGATTTTTTCAATGTTTGAATCGTTCGCGATATCCTTGGATTCGCTCCTTGTAAAATGGTCTGAGTATCGGAAATTGACAAGATTCGTGGTTTTGTTTCCCCAGTCTGTTCTTTGTTTGTACAGCCATGCAATCTAGAAACGGCTTCTAGGGTCCAGCTTCCAATGGCTCTTTATTCGGTTTCCATTTTCGGCACAAAGATGTCTTCTTGCTATTCCTGCAACCGCCTTAAGATGTCCAGACTCTACCCAAATTCTCCTGTTTCCTCTCCACCCACCGACCTGGACCCCGAGACATTGGTTTCTACGCCTGTTTATTGACAGTGGTTGTTGCCCGAGACACTCTCATACCTTTCCTGAAACTCAAGCGACTTGACGGGTTTCTTCAACGAAACATGCGCTCATACATCCCTCTCATCATCGGTGCCTGCTTGGCTATTGCTGCTCGAGGCTCTGCAAGCTACGCCGGAGACCGTCCGATCCTTCCTCGTCGTATCACCTGCATGCCCTCAGATTCTGGCGGATGCGCTAGTTGTGGCGCTGATTACGTCCAATGCGGTCCGGATACTTGCTATAACCCATCTGCTGGCGAAGTCTGTTGTTCAAACAAATGTAAGTCCACATCCCTTAGCATGAGTTTTAGTGTATGCTAATTCAAGCTAGATTCTTGTCCTGCAAGCGCCAACTGCTCTTCTACGGGCACAGGTTGCGATCTCAAGCACGGCTCGTTCCGTGATGCAGACTGCGATGACGACAACAAAGACCACGGTGCAAAGATGAACATTGTGTCCACCTCATCGACCACGGCTGCAACGACTCCTGCAAGTTCCTCTGTGACGAGCTCCAGTGACTCAACATCGACCACGAGTTACACCACCACCATCACTTCGACTACCACAAGTACCGTGACTGTCAGTATGACGTCCTCTTCTGCCGATGTTTGCTCTCTCAGTGGCGCTACGACTGGTCTACCCTTGACCACGACAATGGCGCCGTTTGGTAACTCCACCACGGTGGCTTTGAACACGACCACTTCGACCGTCGCGGTAACAAATGTATCCACGACCAGTCCTGCTTCTGTTTCCATCCCTATTAACGCGACGGTCCCCACGAAGAGCATTGTCCCTCCTATCAACGGATTCACGGGCGCTGCCACGGATCTACAGGGTCAATCTTCGACATCTTTGTTCGCACTTGGTTCTTTGGTGTTTATGGCTGCTCTCTTGGTTTAGATCACAAGTCTATGTGTTAGATGGAAGGGTGTAGGAATAGGAGTAACATAAGGATAATAGAATATGTTTGATGTCAGCATATGTCTCCCTATTTTGTTGACAAAGCCAATCCACACCTTACCATTTGGTAGTGGGCGCTTCCTGAATTTGGTATTGCGAATTAAGGCTTATTCATCGGTCGGATGCTGACTTGGCCATTGGTGCCACGCACTCGAGCTGCAGACAAGGACTTGAGGACAAGGACTTGGTGCAGTACGGAACAGCAGGGAGTGCAAGGGAACCAAAGTAACCAAGGCGGGCACGGGCGGGGCAGCATTTGATCAGCTCATCCTCATCCAGCCACTGAAGCACACTTGCATCATAGTTGGCTGCTTGAAACATTTTGCTTGCAAACTGCCCCTCCATCAAAACATCCGCCAACCGTTACAGATAATTCGAGTCGAACTTCTCTTCACACACAACACTACATAGTCAGCTCATTGATTTCTCTGTTCCTGCTTCCGTTCCTCTCAATCTCCTCGTGTGTCCAAGTAAGTCCCTTTGGACAAAACATCTTTCTCTAACCCGCGGCTGCTGTCGCTCACCTTCTGCTTTGGTTTTTTGGCATCAGAGCAAAGCTCTTGTCATTGCTCTCTTCCACCATCCCGCAGCTCCAGGTTCAATTGGCTGACTCTTTACGGTATCCCTCTACAGAAGCAGTCCCTCAATTCTCCTCCTATACTACCAAAATGCCTGGTTTCGCGCAGGCTACCGACCTCTCCGCATGGCAAGCGCTGGTTGACCACCACAATGCGGTGGGCCGCAACATCGTCCTCAAGGAACAGTTTGAAAAAGATCCTCAACGCTTCGAGAAGTTTAAGCGAGTCTTCAAGAACTCCGCAGACAATACTGAGTTGCTCTTTGACTTCTCCAAGAACTTCTTGACCGAAGAGACTCTGGACCTTCTTGTAAAGCTTGCAAAGGAGGCCAAACTTGAAGAATTGCGAGACGAGATGTTTGCTGGCGAGAAAATCAACTTCACCGAGAAGCGAGCTGTTTACCATGTCGCCCTCCGAAACGTTTCCAACCAGCCTATGGCAGTGGACGGAAAAAGCGTCGTCGAGGAGACAAATTCAGTCTTGGACCATATGAAGGAGTTTTCAGAGCAGATCCGCAGCGGCTCATGGACTGGGTATACCGGGAAGAAGCTCACTACCATCATCAATATCGGTATTGGTGGCTCTGATCTGTAAGTCTCTCGTCCACCCTCTGGCAGGTTGTGTGTGCGGAATTGACATTTTCCCAGTGGCCCCGTCATGGTCTCAGAGGCCCTGAAACCCTACGGAGACAGGAACATGAAACTCCACTTCGTTTCCAATATCGATGGCACCCACATTGCTGAGGCTCTCAAGGACTCGGACCCTGAGACCACGCTTTTCCTCATCGCCTCCAAGACCTTTACGACGGCGGAGACCACTACCAACGCCAACACAGCCAAGAAATGGTTCTTGCAAAGTGCAAAGGAGTCGGACATCGCTAAGCATTTCGTGGCACTGTCCACCAACGCCGAAGAGGTCAGCAAATTCGGCATTGATACCAAGAACATGTTCGGTTTCGAGAGCTGGGTTGGCGGCAGATACTCCGTTTGGTCTGCTATTGGTTTGTCCGTCTGCATCTACATTGGCTACGACAACTTCCACCAATTCCTTGCCGGCGCACACGCCATGGACCAGCATTTCAAGACTGCGCCTCTGCACGAGAACATTCCTGTGATTGCAGGCCTCCTGAGTGTGTGGTACTCCGACTTCTTCGGCTCTCAGACTCATCTGGTCGCGCCGTTTGACCAGTACATGCACCGTTTCCCGGCCTATTTGCAACAATTGACCATGGAGTCCAATGGCAAGGCTGTCACCCGGAGTGGCGACTACGTCAAGTACACAACCGGCTCCATCTTTTTCGGCGAACCAGCCACGAATGCGCAGCACTCCTTCTTCCAGCTTTTGCACCAGGGCACCAAACTCATTCCCACCGATTTCATCATTGCTGCCCGGTCCCACAACCCAGTGGAAGGAGGCCTCCACCAGCGAATGTTGGCCTCGAACTTCCTGGCCCAGGCTGAGGCTTTGATGATTGGGAAGACACCCGACCAGGTCAAGGCCGAAGGTGCTCCCGATGAGTTGGTCTCGCACAAGACCTTCCTTGGCAACCGTCCAACTACCAATATCCTCGCTGAGATGATCACTCCTGGTACTCTCGGTGCCTTGATTGCTTACTACGAGCACATGGTTTTCACCGAGGGCGCGATCTGGAACATTAACAGCTTTGACCAGTGGGGTGTCGAGTTGGGCAAAGTCCTGGCAAAGAAGATCCAGAAGGAACTTGAGACTGAGGGCGCTGGAGCTGACCACGACTCGTCGACGGCTGGCTTGCTTGCTGCTTTCAAGGCTAAGAACGGGCTGAAATGAATATCAAAACAAAGCGTTATGAGCGGGACATGGCTGACGGATAACGGGAAGAATGACCCAGGTGATGGTGCAGGATGTTTTCCTGGTTCTCTGCGGGGACATTATCGATTTGACAGGGTGACGCCGTCGTGTTGTACATCAACAACCCATTGACACTGACGAAGAAGGACACGATATGCCGTAATATTTCGAGGCTGTATGACACGCTATATGAGAAAAAGGCATTCAAATACAGTTCACGACAAAACCCACCATGTCAATGCGAGACGTTGTCTAGCAGCCTCATGATAGACACTCTAACCAACTTCTTTCAGCCGCCATGTTCCTCCATTAATCCACATGTGATAAGTATTTTGTCCCGGCTCGAGGCCACTGCAACTTTACCAAGCTGTGTAACCACGGACCAGGCCCTGATTCGTCTTGCCCATTGACTCGAACAGACAACAGCCACTCAGAAATTCGAACATGCCCTCCCCAGCACAGCAGATGGACACATCATCAGCAGCATAACAAGTGGGGGTGGAAAAAGGCAACCTTGATGCTGCCTGACCACCTTCGTCGCTTCTCAGCCTTATTCACTGCTGTTGAAGTGAAGAGAGCATTATTGAGCTGAGACTTTCACTCTCACAGACACCTTGGCTGGCACTGGTGGTTTTTGTCGTCGTGTCCTTCACCCTCCCTCTCTTCAGCCGCACTCCGTTGTTAGAAATATAAACATAACAACCGAGAAACAGATCGCGGCTTTCCAGATGCTGAGCGGGTGAGTGGGTGAGTTGTAGGTGAGCAGATCTTGTGCTTCGTCTTCTGTATCTGATTCTTCCTCCTCCCTCACCATACTCCAGCCTCATCACTCAGAGAGAAAAAGAAGTCAGGCCAACTTGTCAGCCTTGCCCACGCTTCCCATGGCTACTGCGCCGACAGCTCCTCCTCCTCTATGGCCCGCGAACGAGGCCAACGTGCCAAACACCTCCGAAATCGCTTGGTCCCGGATCACACCCTCGCCGTCCTGCCTGGAGAAGCTCCGACTACTGTGCCACAGCCAGAAAGAGCTGGAAAGAGCGGGCTACGTGACCAAACCGCTTAGTGCGGCTCAGATCGAGGCCAAGGCGAGATGCAAGCGGTGTGGAAGTGAGTCTGAGAAGTCTGAGATTGGAGACGCGAGGAGGTTCTTTTTGAGCCGCGCAAAGGGGGTCCCAAGGCGGGACGGGACGTCTCGAGGACATAGGCTGACTTTGAGAAACCTGGGACAGAACGAGCACCACGTCGTCGACCACAGCGTCAAAAGTCGAAAGCCAGTGCAGGTGTCGTGAACGGGGACAAGAAGACACAGACACAGACGGATCTGGATCTGACTCTAACCGCCAATGTCGACACCAAGGAAGAAGAAGCCATGAACGAGGACGAGGACGAAACTCCGAACACATCCACGGCGAACCCCAAGGAGAAATCTCCTCCCCCATCATGCACATATCACACGGGTGTGGTCAGGAACAAGGTACAACTCGAGACCAACCGAATTTATCTCACTTCCATATATCATATGTCTTCTGACCAGCAATCTTTTTTTTTAGGCCTTTACATGTTGCGGCCAACACGTCACAACTGGAGGTTGCATTGAAGCTCTTGAACATACTCTTCCCGAACCAGACGATCCTCTGCTGCACGAGTCCTGGCAGTTCTATACGATACCGCTGACTCCTCCACAACTGAACTCAGCCATCAACGCCAGCGCCAGCGCAAGTAGAACCCATCGTTCTCCTCCCAGCGGACCTCGAAGACGTGGCCACAAGCAAGGTCGAGGACAACAACAAGAAGGAACCAACCAACCTCGCCATCTAGAAGCGATCGCTCTCGACTGCGAAATGGGCGTCTCCGCGACAGGGGACCAAGAGCTGATCCGGTTGACCGCGGTAGACTTCTTCAGCGGCGCCGTGCTGATCGACAAGCTCGTCGCGCCCGCCGTGGCCATGACGCACTACAACACGCGCTTCTCTGGCGTGACCGCGGCGGACATGCGCGAGGCCGTGCGAACGCGCACGGCGATCCTGGGCGGCCGCGACCGCGCGCGCGAGGCCCTCGTCCGAGGAGGAGGAGGAGACCACCGAAGAGTCGGGCCCGACACCATCGTCGTCGTGCACGGCGGCTCCAACGACTTCTCGGCCCTGCGCTGGATCCACCCGCTCGTCATCGACACCCACATCCTCGAGGGGTACACGGGCGTCAAGACCGAGGGCGGTCGCAGCCTGCAGAACCTGTGTAAGCTGAAATTGGGCATCGCCGTGCAGGTCAAGCGCCCTCGTCTCCTGAGCTTTGGTCGGCCAGGAGTGGTCGGTAGCCAAAGCCAAAGCCAAAGCCAAAGCCAAGGCCGAGGCCAGACCCAGAGCCAGAGTCGGAGCCACCGTCCGCAAAAAGGCCACGATAGTTACGAGGACGCCATGGCCGCGAGGGAATTGCTGGTGCACTGGACCATGCGCATTCCTGATTCGTGATGTTTGAGAGTACAGACGTACGAACTCTCGCTCGCAAAAACCATTTTGTCCCAAGCTAGGCCTCCATCAGGCGGGCGCTTTGGAGATTTTGGACCAGGGGGAATTGGGGAATGGGATCGGATGGACTTGGATCGAAGCAACATGGTCGGCATCTGGTATCAGGGCGAGAACGAGGGAGCTGATTTCGAGCATGAAGTGAGAACGCGAGAGCGTGGGCAGACACATCCAGATACTCCTATCAGGGACGTCGTTGTCCGGGTACATCCAGAGATACATGATATAAGCCTGCCCCGACTGCTCCACCATGAATGTCTTATTGTTTATTTTTTCAGACATTAATGAAAGTTTCCACTGAACCCTCAATGCTGTTGATACTTGTACACTAATCGGCTCTAGTGCGTTTACTCTAGTTCTAATATCTAATCTCATATTCTGAATCGCAGGGTTGTGACACGAGCCCACTAGGATGATACCGCGATCGACTGTGCCTGCCCAGCTTCTGTTTCTCTGTCCATGATCCTGGCCATGGCGGAAGTGGACCGTTTTCCGGTCTCCTTGATCGTTGTCGTTGCCGTTGGAGTTGACTGTTCTGTAAGCCGCAATATCCAAGACCGCAGGCCACTCAAACGCCTCTTCCTTCTTCAGCAGGTACATTTGCGTCAGTCCTATCCTCTGCAGACAGGAATTGTACAGGAACGAACTGCCGACTACCCGGCGTCGATTCCAGTGAGAATTCTTTGCCTTGTACATTCGCAGTCTCAAATACATCTCCAGCCTCGCTGTCCTCTCCTTCTTTACGTCCATGCTTCTCCTTCGCTGCTTCGCTCTGCAACAAGCTGGCCCTTCGTTGTGCCTCCTCTTCATGCTTCTCACTCACATTCACCGCCAGAAAGCTCTTGGGCAGCTGCACTGTGTTGAACTTCGCCTTCAAGGTAGAAATCACCTCTTTCCAGTCCTGATGGTTTGTCAGCGATCGCCGCGGAGCGCTTCCAATCGCGTGCTTGGAGTCCAGGGAGACATCCAGAGGGTCGATCGTGTGGCAGCCAGGGGAGATGGTGATGCGTATCGAGTAGGTAGATTCGGCTGTCTCGGCGTCTTTGGCTTCGTATAGTTCAAAACAGATTTGGGAGAGGTAATCAAGTTCCGGGATGGTGGAGCGTTTGATCTTGGTGTGGATGCCGCCTTCCATGATGCAGTTGAGTAGAGTGTATATGTGTGATTCCTTGGTGAAGTAGATGAATGACTTCGCATCACCAGCGGCCTGTAGTTCTTCTAGATCGTCGACAATCTCACGAAGTAAGGGCAGTGATGTCAACAGGCCGATCTCGAGTTTCTCCTCATCACTGATACCATATTCCTGTGGGCCAATGTAATCGAACAAAATCTTGCTGTATCGGTACAGCTCTCTTAATCGACCAAGCTTTTGATCTTGCTTCGGCCGACCATCGCCAGATCCACTGAATAGCTTGAAATAGGAAGCGCCCTGCTCCCACGACATCAGAGGAGCCGCCGGGAGTGGTTGTTTGAGGACTGATTGTCTTCTGAATCCAATCTTTTGAGCAAGACTCTGTCTGCCCTCAGACGTCGCACCGTTGGACGAGACATCGTTTTCGTGACGTGAGCCACTTGTGGATTGCGAAATTTCCTCTGCTCTGTCGATTTCCAAGGACGCCCTCGACGACAGACTTTCGTCTTTCGCCATTTCGTCCAGGAGCGATTGACTGGGAGTGAATGCCCACTCGAGAAATTGTTTGTTATGCAGGGCATCGTACTTCATCGTGTCATACAACTCCGAGATCTTGCTCGGGTCTGCCTTTTCGGTGTCACAGAATTCTGAGAATAGCTTTTCCCATCTTTCTCGAAACAATTCTGCATCTTCGCCAGTGCACCATCGGGACTGAATCGAGGCGACGCTGATTGTCTCTTTGTTGTGCCCGTTGCCGTCTTTGCCATCTCCAGAGCCACTGATCGCGTTGAGGGAAGCCACAGCGCCGGTTGAAAGCTTTTTGAAATTGTGCCGCATTACCTGTCGATGGAACTTGAGCAGATCAACCACATTTTGCATGACAACATATGGCTCTGCAACATCCTTGGGCCACGCAAACGAGTCCGGGACAGTTCCTTCGCGAAGGAGATGCTTAAGCTTCTTCTTGACCTTGTCCATCACATCCTTGGCAGCGTTGGAATCGTCTAGGAGGTCTTTTCTGACTTGAATGAAATCTTCGGGCAGATCCTGGCGGTCGAGGAATGCCGCGGCCCATATTTGAGCACTCGTCTTGACACGCTTCTCTGAGCTCGTAAAGATCCGGACATCATCGACCACTTCCTTGTTTAGTAATTTGAAGTCGTCCCTCATATTGGTACCGAGATCCTGCGCCTGGTATCTAGCCGAATGCGTAGGTTCCCCTCCCCATTTCATGACCAGTTGCAGCTTGTCCAGGACAAGATCATTCTCCGCAGCTGAGAAACGTGAAAATGTGGCACCAGACATTGAGTCACTCCTTGTCTGCATTCGCCTCAAATCCTTTGTGCTAGACACTGATCCTTTTCTCTCATCATTGGAGACTGCGTCGAGCAGTTGGTGTTCAGCTTCTATCGTGGTAAGAGTGTCGACATCGGATGGATGCATCTCTTCTGGCTTCCTTTTGCGGAACATTGGTTTGATTTGTACCTTGGTGCCCGGCTGATGTATTTTCTTGGATAATGCATTTTGCAAGTTGCGTAATTTATCTGGGTCCTCAAGCTTGTCTCTCAGCGCAACCTTGATTGCCGTCTGCACGCTTGCCAGCGCAGCTTCACCCTTCAGAAGCACCTCCTCGTGATGACCCTTCAGCAGATCGGCAAACACTTGGGAGTGAGCTGTGAATTTTAGTTTTTGCTTTGGAGTCCGGTCGGCATGCCTGATGACTGAGACCACGCCCTTGAGCTTCCATGAATGCTTAGAACTTGGCATAGGAGCTGCAGGCCCTTCTTCCTTATTAGGTGCCGTGGTGCCTGGACCACTGTCAGCAGCATCTGGGGCTGCAAGAAGAGGTGATGGAGAAGTGCTGTCCTTTTCGCCCGCGGTCGGTACAACTAGAGTCTGAGTAGTCTTCTCAATGCTTGGTGGCGAACTCATTGGCGTGGTTAATGAAGAAGTCTTAGGTGAACCAGCATGTACTGGATGATGGTGTCTCGACGAATGCGGCAGATGTTGAGACAGCTTCGTCATACTGGGGGACTTCAAGATCGTCTTGAGTGCCGATCGAGCTGAATGGCTTGTCCCTACGCGGCTCTGAGAACCGTCGCCTCCATTCTCGACCTGCACTTCTTCCCCAAGGGCATTCTCGCGTTTCCACTTCTCAGCCAAGAAGATATTTCTCAGGATCTTTGCGCAGTCGTTGTAATAGTCCTCGTTATCTTTGACAAAGCTCCACCCGTTGACGTCGATGATAAAGCTCGCCGACCCTGTTCGCAAGAGGTCAAAACCGCAGATGCGTTGCCCAAAAGCCCGTGACACCTTGGCCGCCATCTCTTTCTCTGCATCGCTAAGTTTCGTAACGTATCTCAGCTCCTTGCCATGTGTATTACGTCGGACCAAACCATCCACGACTGGCGATTTCCTCGTCTCGGCATGGCAATAATGGGGACCTACAGTGTAGGCTTTGACGTCTTCGGCATTTTCCGTCTTTAAGAATTGCTCATAGATATAACTGCTGTTCGGTTCCGTGATGCACCTTGGAACGCTCAGGTCGGGGTCATACTCTGAAGACTTGTTGCCGATCTTGCGAAAAAGTCGTCGGGCGCCGCCACCTTGGCTCTTGGGAAAATAAATGATAACATTGTGGTCTTCTCCATTGACAGGCTTCTCGACAAAGGGTTTTTTGAATGGTTTCCCATCAACAACCAAAGTGTCTCCGTCTTCCGTCAGTTCAACGGATTTTGTAGTTGGAGTGCCGCCGCCTGTACCATCCTCTGCACCCTCTAGTACCACACCGGACATGGCTTTCACATGCTGGGCAAGCTCCGGCGACTCCAGCCTTGGTCCACCATCGCGGTTGACTTCTATCCTCTTCGGGGTAGGAATCTGCATTTGGTCCAGGATTTTTAGACACAAACGTCTGTCCCAAAGGACCTTTTGCATGGCCAAGTCATTAACGACAAATGGTTTCCGTAGCTTGACATATGCGATCGCCTTGTCGAGAGGAAAGCCGTCTGAGAAAAAAGAGATAAGATAGTCGCTAAGCTGTGTTAGAAGAACGACATTCAGATACGAGAAGACAGGCACTTCTTTGCTCTACTCACCATATGGGCCAGTTCTCAACATCTACCAAAGTCAGCCTCTCGTCTAGAGGGTGAAAAGAAGTAGGAAGACTTACCCTCGTCGAGAATTGCTTTATCACCAAAGACGATAACTTCAAATTCCCCTTCTCCTTGAAGGCGTGTCAAGATTTGACGACTGGGTCGACTTCTGGCCTTGACATCAAGAGCGCAAACCCCGATTCTGCCTACTGGCGTTTTGTTCTCGGAATTAATGCTCTCATTCCTGGAAGATCCTGCAGTACTCAAGCGTCGACCGGAAGCTGAACGGGGATGGGGTATCCGAGGCGGACGAGCAGGGAATGCGGTATCTGCACCATCAGACTTCCCGGCGATTCCAGTAGTTCCTGAGGATTGGCTGCTAGTCGCAGCAGGTAAAGCCATGTCGCTTTTGGGAGCATATGTAGTTGGGGAGGCGATATGAGATGACGTATTTGAGACTAGATCTGAAGGATTAGGAACGCTTGGATTGAAGGCTGGAGGGGATAGCACAGGCAGACCGGGCGCAATGGAAGTAGATGTGGTTGTAACGATCGTGGGATCATGGGCTGTTGTAGAGTTCTGGGCCGTTGGAGAGCTGCCGTAAGGTGTCCTGTCTCCTTCAATGCTTCTAACAGATTTGACAGAAGACGGCGGGCTCCTAGCACATTCCTCAGACTTCCTCACTGAGCGAATTGACGAAACAGAGGCCGATAGACGTCTATCAGCGCTAGGCTTGGTGTTCGGAGGCGGCATACTTATGCTCGAGCGGCCAGCGGAGGCCTTTGTAGTCTCAGCAGGGGCACCCTTGCGGACATCGGGATTCCTGTGCGCGGCCAATAAGGAATGGGTTGAAGGGGTGCGGCCAGTTAGTCTCTGGGTAGGGCGAGGGGCAGATGTAGTAGAGGAGCTGGTCGACTGAACAGCAGTGAGAACGGCGTTATCGTCAGTGTCGTTTTCAGAGGTGCTAGTAGGTGTTCGACGGAGGGGAGAATAAATCTCCATGAGGATCGATGATGTAGGAGGACAGTAAAATAGCCGAGAACTTCTTCCTTTAGATGGAGGAGGGAAAATGCCCCGACTTATCCGAGCTGAAGCTGTGGGGAAGAAAAGGTTGAGACTTTTGATAAGAGACCAGCTTTTTCTCGGAAAGAGTGGAGTTTCAAAGAATGACGATATCGAAGAATATATATTGGAAATAGCAAAGCGCCACGATAGAGAAAGGATTGTGGATTAATACATGTCTTGGACAAATGGACAAATGGACAAATAGACAAGAAATCGATCTCGACTCTCATTGGGAAGATCAGATCTTCGAGCTGTTCTTTGTCTGTGCTCCGTAGAATGCAGGCAAGTGTCAGCGCCCATGTTGACGAAGATGGTTGGATGGAAGGTCGCAATGAGGCGAAAATTTGTGTGCGGGAGGATGAGTAAGTGGGGGTTCGTCAGCCAGTGCTTAACCAGTGTGTCGCCTTTAGTGGTGCCAGAGCCTAGAACAAGCAGGGCTAACCAAATAGGCGCACCTAAGTGAGGGGCATTAGTTGCTGCTACGTCGCCCAGAAGTGGGCAGTCGCTCAATCACAGGACCTAACCAGGAGTGAACACAGGCGTGTACCGAGTGTTTTAGTTAACTCCCCACAGGTCCACGTCAGTGGAGGTTTCTGCCGGGCGGTGAGTGTCTGGCGGAAAAAATTTAGAGATTTGATCAACATTCACTTACTTACCAAGGTACGGAGTGCCATATAGTTTCCATGTCATAGTCCGCGACTTACACGACGAATACTTGCAGGCGAGGCAGGTAAAGGGTACTCTAATTCTACCCATGGACGAAGCAATCGAGCTGCCCCTCGCCAAAAGGCAGCGGAGGGAGCTGACCACTACCAAAGAAAAGCCTCCTCCTACCAGCTCCAGACTATTTGCGCCCTTCAGAGTATGTTGGATCTCCTACCTTCCACCTGACCCTCGCGGCTTGATCCGCCTTGCTCATTCTTTTCACAGACTCTAGGACTGGTATCACCAACCTCTGTTCCCTTCACCTCTGTTCCGCTAGGGAAGACAACCTTCCAGATCACCACCTCGGTCGGCGAGACGTTACACACATATGACTTGCGACGGGGCCTTAATCTCGTATTCCTTACTCGCCCGAAATGTCCTGGCACGATAACTGCCACCCATGCCTACCGAGACCGAGTCTTTGTCGCCTGGGGTGGATCACAGCCCAACGAGTCCCGAGGAGTCTGGGTTTTCAAGAGAGGGCAGTTGATAGGAGAATTGGACGTTGACGACACCCACGCACAAGAGATTCGGCAATTGCTCGTCTTTGGATCATGGATTGTTGGCTGTGGCACAGAGAGCCTCGAGGTCTGGAGTAGCGATTCATTGGAACACTATACTTCTATCCTTTCCTCTTCAACCTCAATCAACAATCGCTCGAGTGGTTCATTTACAGGTCAGGCCTGCACTCTGCCAACCCTGTTGAATAAAGTGCTTGTAGGCACAAAGCATGGCTCGGTGGAGGTCTACAATGTCAGTACAGGAAGGCTGGTCCACACCATCCTCGCTCCCTCCTCTCGCTCCGGTGGTGTTACAGCACTTGCCCCAGCCCCTGCAGTTTGCTTGCTAGCAGTTGCATATGCCGATGGCTCTCTCCATATCACGGATGTTGAGGCCGATGAACAAGTATTGGATCTGCGCCAGGCAAACAACAAGAAGCCAATTACCTCAATCACGTTTCGGACGGACGGGATGGGTGCAGGCGACGACGGCCGGAAGGAGGGTATCATGGCCACATCTAGCATTCAAAGCGGCGATATCACTCTGTGGGATCTCAATCGTGGTGGAAAGGTAGTTGGCGTGGTGCGAGGCGCCCATGAAACTTCCAGCTTGGGACAAGGCACTGGTGTGAACAAGGTCGAATTCCTCGCCGGACAACCAGTCTTGGTCTCTTCTGGGTTGGATAACGCTCTCAGAACGTGGGTATTTGATCAGAATCCCTTTTCACCCGTCCCACGACTCCTCCATTCTAGGAGCGGACATGCCGCGTCTATCACGAGGCTCATGTTCCTACCAGCAGCTTCAGACGGTTCAGACGCCGCCGGCAAATGGCTCATGTCCGCGGCTCAAGACCGAAGTTTGTGGGGGTTCAGTCTGCGCAAAGATGGCCAAAGCACAGAGCTCAGTCAAGGCGCTGTCAAGCATAAGGCCCGCAAGTCAGGTCTCCTCGCCGACGACGCCTCAGCTGTGGAGGATTTCAAAGCGCCACCAATCATTGATATCGCCTGTTCACTGAATCGAGATGGTGGAATGGGCACGGTTAGCGGCCCCATTTGGGCCAATACGAAAAATGTCAATGCAGAAGAAATCAGTACAACTGGCTGGGAAAGTGTCATCACGGCTCATGCTGATGATAAATTCGCGAGAACATGGTCGTGGGGAAGAAAGAAAGCAGGGCGATGGGCACTGGAAACTGGAGACCACAAGCCCGTAACCAGCGTTGCCATCACTGCTTGCGGGACATTTGCGATTGTTGGGTCAGCAGGGGGCAGTCTCGATATGTTCAACTTGCAATCTGGCGCCCATCGCCAACGATACCCGCCTCGGCTCACACCTGCTCAGCTGAAGCAGTTGAAATTACAACAAGCCAGCTCAACTCAGGTTCTCACTCCTCGTGGTCATCGGGACACGATCACGGGCATTGTGGTTGACAATCTAAATCAGACTATGGTCACCACCAGCCTGGACGGGACAATCATTTTTTGGGATTTTTCATCTGGCAAAATCATGGAACGAAGAACCCTCGACTCTGCAGTGCCCACTGCAATTCGATACAACCCTGTCTCAGGCCTTCTGGCCCTATCCTGCGACGACTTGTGTATCCGCATAGTTGACATCGAAACATACAGAGTTGTACGCGAGTTATGGGGTTGTATTGGTCAAATATACGATTATTGCTTCTCACACGACGGGCGGTGGATTACAGCTTGTTCAATGGACTCGGTTATTCGCGTCTTTGATATCGCTACAGGTCACTTGATCGACGCGTTCAAGACGGATGCAACATGTACCAACATGGCATTCTCGAGGACGGGAGAGTTTCTGGCCACTACTCATGCCGGATGTTCGGGGATATTCATCTGGACAAACAAGACACTCTTCAATCACATATCCACCAAGCAGATTGACGATGTTCGTGGAGTTATCGACTTGAGCCAGACGACCGCTGCGTTCAATGCTGCCACTCAACTTGCCATCGACGACGACGTGTCGGAGGACGAAGCTGTCGTTGATGGATTCGACGACTCTTCGGTGGTAGACCAGCTGGACAAGCGACTGCTAACACTGTCGCTCCAACCCCAATCACGATGGCAAACGCTACTCAATCTCGACAGCATCCGTGCGAGAAATAAACCTATCCAGCCGCCAGAGAAGCCCAAAGCGGCGCCCTTTTTCTTGGGATCAAGCAGCCTCACCAACGGCAGCAAGCCAGAAAACGAGATATCCATCGCCACCCCTGCCAAAGCCATCGACGATTCCGAGCGTTCGCGCATCTCTCGCCTCGCGTCCACGAATCAGGCACTCTCCCAACAGTCGCCACAACTCTCCTCGCTCCTCGAAGCGTTCTCTGCTTCGCCTCTCCACGACCCATCTCCACTGACAGCTCACCTGTCTTCTCTGCCTCCCTCGGCTGCCGACTTGGAAATCCGCTCTCTCACCATTCCCGAGATGCCTTTCTTTATTGACTTCCTCACCCACCAGCTCCGCCAGAGAAAGTCCTTTGAATTGGTGAATACCTGGATGAGCGTCTTTCTACGCGTCCACGGTGACTTCGTCAGCGAGGTCGACGACATCAGGGAGAAAGTCGTCGAGTGGAGACAAGCGATGGTCGAAGAGGAAGCACGCCTGAGCGAGCTGGTCGGCTACACGAGGGGGGTGGTTGAGTTCTTGAGGAGTGCGAGGTAAAAACAAAACCCCCTCCACAGCAACGTGGAACGAATATTGCTCGAACACTCTTTTCACGTGAAGAATAGTACCCCGAGTACTGCGAGAGTGTATGTATGTACTGTACATAACAATGTGACGTGTGAGTGACGAGCTAGCTATTATATAGCGTTGGAGGACATTAGCAGTGTTATGTACCTACATAGATAGGTATATATGTAAAATGGCCAGCTGGCCAGCTCCTGGCCAGCTACCTAGCTAGATAGGCTCTGCTCGTCCACTCCTCCCTTCTCTTCCATCCATTCATCCGCACATCCATTCACTGTTTCATTGTCAAGGATTCTGCTTCACTCTTCAAGACGTCTGTCCTTAGATGTCCTTTTCCCACGTCTGCGACATCTTCCGATGTAAAAGGAAACGTACGAGTCCATACATATCTTTCGATCCCGTCAAGGCGTCTGCATATGATACTTTCATATGTACATGCATCCGCCACTTAACTTCACTCCACTTCGCTCATTTCATTCATTCAAACCGCGACACATGCAACCAACCCCCGACGCCGATCTGTCTCATACATATCCCCAAAGAGACGTCTGACCTTGGAGAAAAGGATGGATAAGAGTGGAAAATAAATCACGACCCGCGGTGCGTGCTGTTTATAGGACAGTTCCACATGAACGGCAGAGTATCGAGCGCAGGAAGATGCGTCTTTTCAACTTGCGGAAATGGCTGGTCGCGGTCGTTGAAAGCGGTATGCATAGCCCGGTCGATGGTTGGAGGGGTTGATTGAGATGCGCAGATCGGTCGCAATTCTTGGGTTGGCAGGAGTCGCGAACGTGAATTCATTCATACCACTGTATACAAACCCGGCTGAAAAGCGGTCAGAGTATAAAACTCTTACCAAGCACCTGTCTATGGCTGCTGATTACCTGGCGGACCCTTTTCGACGAGGGAAATCATCAAAAGCCGGATGAAGCTGCAATGGACACGGCTCTCATTGACCACCATACACGGGTGGATTTGGCTAGGGCCGCTGGCCACTTTGACAAAGTTGGCTCATAAGTTGCTAGCCTATGTCAAGTATGTCTCGGAACTCGGATTTGTCACTGTGCTTGCTTCCTGTGACGGAGGTCGTTGGAACCTGTGCCGCGAAGACGCATGTCATGTGTCAGAATTACAAATAGCCTGGTGATCGGGAATGGGCCGCTGTCTGATTACAGACAGGAGACGGACTCACCAGACAGGATCGCAGAACAAGAAGATTGTCTGCAAGCGTTTCATCTGTGCTCTGATCCATTCCAACTGGCCTGGGCGCAGTATTACCGGTTCGGCATCATCCTCGGGGTCGGCGAAGCGGTATACTTCAAGCAAATGCGGGAATATAATCCATCCCCCTCCTGCCGCTGCCCTCATCCGGAAGTCACTGTGTTCCAGATCCGGGACGCTTGTGACTTCGCCAGTGAGCGGGTCTCGAGTGGTTTTACAGGGATACGAGACCTCCGAACAATGAATTGGGTTCGTTGGCACAAGCGTGTCCCCGATGTGAATGGGAATCGTTTCTAGCACAAGGTCGATCAAGGTCTGTATGGTCGAGTTTGCCTTTGCAAGGATGGCGCGGTATCTCGAATCTGTGAGGAGAGCAGGTTCATCGGCCAAGGCTTGCCGGACCATTTGCAACGTATAGATACGTCGAGTTGTATGTAGATTATAAACCTGTGCGAAAGTCAAATCAGACCAGACAGCGCATCTGTTGCCGTAGAAGCCTGCTTTGACGACAGAGGGGGCGACATCCTCGCGGGGCACGAATTGCGGCAACCAGTTGGGGTTTGGAATGTTTCGTTTCCATTCCATAAACAGGTCATCGATCCGAATTGCTTCGGCAATTATCTCTTCAAAGGCTTTCCGGCGCTGTCCAGGAGTCTGCGTCGAGCTATTCTGTCGTCTCAGGGCCCAGAGACGGGCTTGTGTATTGGCACTCTGCATCCCTAGTACATCGAGTTGTGAGGCAAGGGGGTCTGTAATTGACGGATGCGCAAAAAGCTGTGCTGATTCTGTGGGTATCGTCGTGCGTCGAGTTAATGCATGATTGATAAGAGCGTGCCTGCTTGCATTGGTAAGGCCCTGGCTGACTTTGGTCAAATAATTGGCATGGCCTCTGTGTTTGAGCAAAGCCAGGGCTCCAGTGTTGTGTTTACCGTACGTCGAAGGCCCAGGCACGTAGTGCAGGAGTAAAGCATCGTAGAGGTCAAAGACCAATATCGTCATGAGAAGCTCATCCATGCTGCTCTGCGTCGGATGACCGATGGCCTTTCTCGTTGCTTCTAGCGCTTTGGTGAAAAGTTGTCGTGCTGGCCGTGCGTCGCAACCTCTGAAGTTCCACATCATCGCAACATTGACCGTCACTGCTGCCGTAGCAAGCCTCAACGGTGAGTTCTCGGGAGACCTCAGGTACAGCGGTTGCCAGATCAGTGCAAGAGAGTTGTGAAGTTGAGGGTCGTAGATGGTCCCTGTGTAGTAGCGAAAGAAGAAATTGATGGAGGCAGTCTGAGGGTCCGGCTTGATTGAATCGGCGATTGTGAGATGAGTGTTGCCGGGTCCGGAATCGCCAATTTCGGAGGGAGGCACCTCCTCTGGCTGCTGACGATCGTCCTGGTCTTCCAGGCTCTCTTCTGTTGCCGCTGAATATATGACCCATTGAAGCGGGCCCTGGAGTCTCGTTGTTGACAGCGTAGTTGCAGTAAAGTCTGGCGAACCATCCCTGCTGGGAGTGCTGGCGCAGGAATCTGTCTCCTTTGCGGCATTCTGCTTTTCCACTCTTCGTATGACAACCTTATTTTGATTCCTATGTGCCCCGTCGAAAACATCAGCATAACCGGGACAAATCTGGCGTCGTCTAGTGCAGTTATTGCATGATGGTTTGCCTTGGTCACACTGCATCATGAGCATTCAAAATCGGTCAATTTAATTATCGGGGCAGCTGACATCCGCCGACTTACCTTGACCCGACGAGTTCTACACGCCTTGCAGCCAGCACTAGGCCCGTGATAGACCATTGTTAACGATGTGGCGGATTGCAGTAGATCAACATTTAGCGGAGGCGGGTAGTCGAGCCAGGCCCTATCGCAAGCATGTCCGGTTGTTTCTGTTATTTCTCCAATATATAAACATGGTTGTCGTTAGGCAACAAAATTCTGGGAATTGGTGGGCCAATTACTCAATGCAGCGCCAGCCACAACGATGTCGTTTTTCGGATTTGACGAAACAGACCATGGACCAATAGCGGCGGCTGCTGGTACTGTAGGGACAATTTGCGTCTCTCGCCTTGCAGATGGTGAACGTAGTTCTTTTGGAGGTAGATGGCCTGATCTGCTTGGCGTGGAAGGCCGGATGGGGATTCAGTGGCTGACAATATTAATATTTCCAGGTGCACTGATGGTCGGTACGAAATACGAAGAATAATTGCGCTCTAGCTCGGCTGAGTGTTCCCAGCTCCACCAGCACAGATCGCAAGACGTGATTGTTTCAGGTTAGGTTGAACGGTGAAGAAACCCCTGCGCCACGATTCGGCTATAGCAGATGCGCGGTCCGATGAAGACACGTTCAAGCTGCGATCCAATTGTGTAACAACGACAATGGAACCGATGGACAGATGAAGAAGAACTTTGATGCAAAGGAAGCGGGATGCTGAGTCTTTGTTAAGTTGATGGTACCATCACCACCGAACTTGATATCAGAAAAGACGATGACCTTTCGGGATGCAATAATGATATTCCGAGACGAGCAAAACGTCGAGGCGCTAGGACCAATATAGACAGGCCGTGACCCGCCGCAACATTAATCCGAAATCGGTCCAGACTTGGTTTGCTGTTTCGGGAATAATAGTCGGGACCGCGCTTTCCTCGTTTTCAACGGCTACTTGCCATCTCGACTCTTCCTGTCCTTAACCACCATCTCAACACTCGAAAATGAAGCCCATCACTATTCTGCCTCTACCTGGAGATTGGTATGGCCCTCTGTGATTGTCTCTCCACGACTGCCATACGCAAGAGACTGCTAAGATCAAGCAGGTCAGAAATTGCCCGAGGCAGCGTCACAAGTTGGACAAAAGAACACGGAAGCCTGTCGAGAACCCCACTTCCAGTATTCTGTGGTAAATGATCTTGATTTTGAAGACAATTATGAATATGGTATAAGGCGTTGATCAACGGTGTCAGTGCATCTAATCGTGGTTCAAAAGGTTGACCGTCTCTCGACCGATTGATCCCATTGTTCTGAGGACAAGTTCGCGGCGAACCAGAGATCGTCTAGAACTGGACAGAAAAAAGAGCCAGGAAAGCAATGGAAAAATACAGACGCATTTCTTGGTCGTAATATACAGCGGCCCCTCCATTGGACTGTGTCTGTGTAGCTGCTCCTTGTGTCGCTGACAAGGTAGCCGAAGTCGAAGAGCTGTTCGACGCGGTGGATTGCTGAGCGATAGGTCCAATCACAGAGAGCCCCTGCGATCCCGACGTCGTGTTCAGAGAAGCCGATTGCCCTCCATTCGTTGTCACATACAGCTTGTTCCTGTCCGATGCAGCTCTTCCCCAAGCCACGGCAGTCGGCCCGAGAAGTGAGCTAGTATTGCTGTTGATGGTGCCTGCTAACACCTGCTGTGTCCCGTTGCTGGCTATGCTACTCAGAGCGTTGACCTGTTGACAGATATAGGCCGTTCCAGCGTCATCCAAGATGAGATCGTCGGGCTTTGCGATTTGCGCCAAGGTCTCGGGGCTCCCTGAAGCAGTACCGTCGGCATTGATTGCGAGGCGGTAATACAGGTTTGACCCTGTGTTTGTATAATAGAGAAAACCGTTCTGATACTTCAAGCCATTTATTCCTGCCGCTTTGGAGGGACTGGGATCCATCGACGCATCCTTTATAGCTGTCGTGACACTGGCTGTTGCAATATCGACCTTCCAGACTACACCAGCGTACGAATCCGCCGCCAGGACAAATCCGTCTTCACCGTCAACATGTGTAAGACCATTTAGGACAGTGGCATCCGTGATTGAAGCGACTTTGCGCGGAGTTGGGGAGGTGACTATCTTGCCGGTGGGAAGCTGGTGAAAGCCCGTCATATCCACTTCGAACAGCGCAAATGACTGCGGAACGGGTTGTCTGGTCTGAATCGAAAAGTTGCCGGTGGTCACATAGAACACATCTGGCTGGAGCTCAGTGATGCCGTAAGAGCCAGACACGCCTGGAAAGCGTGTGACAAGAGTGGCATTGAGGGACGATTCGGGATCGATTTGCCATAATGTCGCCGCGGGAGCCGAAGTCGTCACAAGAATTTTGCCGTTGGCCCGCACAGCTAGATTCTCGACAAGAAAGTTGTCCAAGGCCGCAACGTGCTGGACCGTGTATTCGGTGGACGGTGGGGTTTGAGCCGCGGCGATCAGTGCAAAAGTGCACAGGAAACATAGCAGACAAAACATCTTTACTAGATGCAAGACAGAGACAAATAGAAAAGGAATGGGACAAACGAAGGAACAGTTGGCTGCCGAAGGGTCAACATCTTCGAGGATTTAGAGTGTCCTTAAATCATTCTCGCGTCTCCCGGGGAGGCTTTCATCTCCTGAGTGACATGCATGTCTGCGTCTAGTCGACCACTCGAGGCACTCTCCCAGTGCCCGAAGTTATGAGTTTGGGACTTCATTTGGCCCCATTTGGTACATCGCGAAACATGTCGCATCCCGGGCGCAGGCAAGACGGGTGGCTTGGCACTTCGTACACTAAACCCAAAACGGCAAGGCTGTACATGGTCTTTCCAACCTCATGTCCGGGTCGCAGCCCTGGAAATTGGAAATGGAGGTTTCAACGTCGGATGATAGATTCGTTGGAAGCCAAGATAGGTGATAGCATCCCCCATGATGCACATCCCTCTCTCACTGAAGTACCTGAAGAATCTCTCTTTCGCTTGTGGCTACATCGTCGACGTGTGAGGCTGAAGCCTAGACTGGCGCCGCGTGAGGGGGCCAGGACTAATTTTTGGAGCGAGCCGATGCGCGAAGGGGCGAGGGCTTAGGTATTGCTTGTGCCTCCTTCTTGCTCGTATACTAATCCCTCCCCGTCAAAGTCTCAGATCATCCCTTCTTGGATATGCTGATGCTCTGTGCAACATGGTTGGTTCGAGAACCTATCACACCAAGACACGGAATGGGTGTAGGAATTGCAAAAGGAGACGCGTCAGGGTATGCTACCAACCAGTCCTACTGTCCACAGTCGAGGCTATGACCAGTTGTGGACCAGAGGCTGGCTCCCCTTGCCGTATCTGTCCACCACCTTGATTTGTTGTACCTGCATGAGGCTGATCGATCTCTCCCCCATTGGCAGTGCAACTTGCAGGCGCCACGGTGTGGACACTGCGAGAGGCGCGGCGAGGAATGTGACTATCAGAACTACCCGGACGGCTCGGAACCCGCCTCGCATTCGCCAGAGCCTCCATCAAGTCTGTCAAACGCTGTAGAATGTTGGTCGAACCCGTCTCCGCCGCTGAGTCAAACTGCGGAGCCTGTCCAGCTCTTGTCGAGCTTTGTGACAACAACCGCGGCTACCTTGGCCTGGTTCGACGACACCCGGTGGACCTGGGAGATCGAGGTCCCCGGCCACGCGGAGAATAACGGCTTCCTGCGCCACGCAATCCTGGCGACGTCGGCTCTGCATATCTGCTTTCTCCAACCACCCAACCCGAGCGAGTATCACCTCGCGGCATACCAAAACTGTCGAGAAGCCACGCACCTCTTCCGATCCACCGTGACCAAAATCACCAGGGAGAACTGCATCGCAGTCTTGGCATTCTCCTTGCTGATATCCGTGTTCCAGCTTGGTTGTATGGCGACCATACCTGCCGACAGGGCTCCAGAAGAGGCATCTGCTCAGCTTGTCCATGCACTGTCGGCCTTGCGCGGCGCGTGGTCTTTGATCGGACAACTACATTCTCACCTCGCCGAAAGCCCCGTCAGTGGCCTTTTCTCCCAGCGCCGACGCTTCCAGTTTACGCCGCTGGACGAGAACCACCGGCAAGCACTCGCGCGGCTCGAGTCCCTGAACAGTGCATCCGAAGATCCTGGCGAGGTCCGCGCTCTCCGCACTCAGGCAATCCGCCTTCTTGGCAGCTGGCTTTCCGTCACGTCGGGCCAGCCAGCGACCTGGCTACACCTGGTCTTTTGGCCGTCCGCGCTGCCGGAAGGCTACATCTCGCTGCTGAAACAGAACGACCCTGTCTCTCTGGTGATATTCTGCCATTGGTCCGTCGGCCTCGGCCGTGGCTCCCCGAAATGGTTTCTGGCCGGATGGGCGCAGCAGACTTTGGATCTGGCCAGGCGCTTGCTCGGAGCCGAGTGGCATGGCGCGCTTGAATGGCCGACAAAAGCGAGATAGAGAGAAAAGCAATACGTGGGGGATATTTTATGAAGATTTGGAACTCTGGTCGAGTAGTAGGCGAGTTCGTAAGTCGTCCAAAAAAAAGGAAATCAGTTAGCAGGGTCCTATCTGCATGTACTTGTAAGAAAAGCCCCTTGTCAAGGTCAACCGCCAATATCGCATATCACGTCAAAACTGTTTCTACTTCCCAGCATGCCAACCGAAACGCTTTTGACACAGCATACGATACCGGGACTGCATCTGTCTGGTATATCGACATTGTCAAGGTGTTTTAAACTAACGAGGGACCGAGAAGTCTAGCCATATGATTGATTGACACGGGGTCACTGTCTGAACGACCAAGTACTAGCTCTGGGGTGCGTTGTGGTCATTCTCCTGAAAACCTCCATCAGGTTTGAATCGTCTCGATCCTCAAGGTCCTCTTTCCTTCTTCTCCAGGCCATGTCGGGAAAAGCCTCCAGAGACACAGTGCGATAGCAGCCCACTGGGTTCAAAGAAAGCCGCCACGACCCGGTTCGGCAGAAATCACTTTCTCGACAAACTGTTTCCCCCCTTTCCCTCCAGAGTGTAACCGACTCTCGAACTACTTGCCAACTGTGAGGTGCATGTTAGCTTCACTCAGGCTGCCCATACGGATTTTCTTAGGGGGCACGTACCTCCGGCAGCAAACACAGTTGCCGCGCCGTCGACAGGCATACATATGCCGCTGACGAACGCTGCCTCGTCGGAGCAAAGGTACACGGCGGCGTTGGCGACATACCCGGTCGAGGTGTTGAGCTTCAACGCTTCGCCTCGCGGGAAGGATGCTTCAAATTTCGCCCTGTTTTCTGGTGTGTCGTCGACGCCCATGAAGGATTGTGCCCTGTATAATGGACCAGCCAGTCAGTTATGTGGAATCTAACTAGAGACAATTCGAAAAACGGGGGCTCAGCTGACAGGTTGGTGTATGCTAGGATGGGGCAGACGGCATTGACCCGGACTCCAGCATGGCCGTATTCTGAGGCGAGGCCCTCGGTGATCTGGGCGGGAAGTCAGCGACAGTGCATGAGCTTTCAGGCGACGGGTGAGGAAATACCTTGTTTACAAATGCTTTTGTTCCACCATACCATACCTGCAATCCTTGTCAGCATCTGGATCCGAGGAGAGAAACCCTGTGGCCAAACACTTACCAGCCCGTTCTTGACTCGGATTCCTCCCACCGAGCTCACGTTCAGGATGGTGCCCGCCTTCTTTTCCATAAAATATGGCACCACTACGGCGACGCTGAGGAAGATGGACTTCATGTTGACACTGATCACCTTGTCGTACTCTTCTTCCGTGACCGTGTGCGAGGCTTTCTTGGGATATGTCGTCCCCGCATTGTTGACCACGACGTCGACCTTGCCAAATTCCTTTAATGAGGCTTCCAGCAACGCCGCCCACGAAGCCTGGCTGGTGACGTTTGTCTCCTGGAAGAACGCCGTTTTCTCGCCATGCGCGCCGTTGATCTCGGATGCGACTTTGGTCCCGGTCGTGGCATTGATATCGGCGATGACCACTCGCCCCCCTTCTTCGGCGAACCGCCTAGCCATGGCCTCTCCAAAGCCATGGCCGCCGCCTGTGATGATACACACTTTGTCCTTCAACCTCAGAGACATGATTTGAATGCTTCGTATGAGAAAATTGGTCGTTTGGTAAAGGGGCCAAAAAGTCGTTTCTTTGAGCGAACTTCACAAAAGTGTATCTCCAAACTCCCAAGACGGAACATCTCCAAATTTTGGGGACAATCATCCCATTACTCAAAGGGGTTTTCTATGCCGAGGAGTTATGATGTTGGTTTTGGGTTGTCAAGGCATTTGCAGCACTGAGGGGTTACTGGGGGACCATCCCGCCGGATATGTACCGAGTGTTTTTACGGCGAACGATGTCCGGGGTTGATGTCCATGCGGAGAAACGAGCATGCAGTCTTTGATTGGACTGTTGAAGACGACGAGGCTAGCAAAAAGTTGGAGGCCCGAGGCCGAACATCATGATCCATTTCCTGCGCTTTCGCCACGTGCAAAGACGACGGCGAAAGTCCGCGCTGCTGCCGACAGCGACCTGCCATCCAACAGCTTCTACCGAATACCTGTAAATGGACCTTTTTCATGTTTTGGGGAATTGGGGAAGTCCGGGGCCCCTGGGATCCATACTGGATCAATAGGATCGACAATGAAATCCACCGGATCAAGTCTCCAACTTGCGAGGATATGAACCAGACTCTCGCATCGAACGGCGATATATCCGTTCGAGGAGTCTTGGATCTCTTAGATCTCTTGGTACTCTTGGAACTCTTGGAACATCCTTTGGGATAGATCGCTTTTCGTCTCGTTTTCGGTGTGTAGACTGTTTTTTTGATCGCAAGATCCAGATCAGAACAACATGGCCGGCGGAACAAGATACAACTTCCTCATTGTCTTCTTTGTTGCGTTGGGCAGCTTCACCTATGGCTTTAATAGTGCCATCATGGGCCTTGTCATCGGCCTGCCAGCGTTCTTCCAATACTTCAATATCAGCCTCGACGACACTCAGGGCAACCAGATCACCGGAGCCACCAATGGACTCTATTCAGGAGGTGGCATCTTGGGATGTATCTTCGTGCCGTGGCTGCTCGACCGTCTGGGGCGTCGCCGAACGATCCAGGTTGCAGCAGCCGTGGCAATCGTTTCGGCAGCACTGCAGGGAGGTAGCGTCCACATCGCCATGTTCCTGATCGCTCGCTTCCTCAACGGTTTCGCGGTTGGCATGCTGGACACGTCCATCCCAGTCTTCCAATCCGAGATCTCTCCCGCTCGTCAACGCGGCCGCATGGTCGGTGCCCACGGCGTGCTGATTGTTATCGGGTATAGCTGTGCTGGTTTCTCAGGATTTGGAACATACTTTGCCACGCCCACCGTCAGCTGGAGACTATGCTTGAGCCTCCAAATTGTGGCACCGCTTCTGCTGTTCATTGGATCGCCCTGGCTTCCCGAGTCCCCAAGGTGGCTAATCGACCACGACAGGCTGGAGGACGGCTTCCAGGTCCTTCGCAACTTGCACACCCGACCCGAAGACCCAGAAGAGATCGTCGCTCGTGAGGAATTCCTCCAGATCCGCAGGCAAATCGAGCTCGAGCGTGCAGACAAGCTGAGCAGGAGCTGGGCGGCTCTGTTCAAGAAGCCTAGCCTGCGGAAGAGATTGGTCTTGGGATTCGGCACACAGTTCATCGCTCAAAGCACTGGTGTCTTGGTTGTCAATAAGTAAGTTGTCCAGCCTGCCCGGCAATGCCCATCCCAGCCATATTGGTATGGTCTTGTGTGAAGACCTGGCTTGAGAAAAGGCGCTAACGCCCCCCTGCAGCTATCAGATCTTGCTCTACAAGTCTCTGGGCATCACCGGCTCCCTACCTCTGCTATTGAACGCCCTGTATAACGGCGTGGCCGCGTTCATGAACTTTATCAACTCGTTGTTCCTTGACCGACTTGGGCGAATCAGAATCATGATCATCGGGCTGACTGGTTGTGCTTGTTCGTTGATCTGCTTTACTGCCATGGTCGCAACGTTCGGGGGAACAACGAACCAGGTCGGCAACGGCTTTGGAGTGTTCTTCTTGTTCCTGTTTGTCTTCTTCTACGGCGGAAGCATGGATGCTACCTCGTACGTGTATTGCAGCGAGATCTTCCCGACTCCGCTTAGGGCTCAGGGGACGGGGTTCAGCGTGGCGGGCCTGTTCACTGCCACCTTGATATACACTCAGACCGCACCAGTCGCTTTCGCGGAAGTCGGATGGAAGTTCTATATCCTGTTCATCATCCTACCACTGCTTGGTGCGGCACTGATGTGGAAGTTCTTCCCGGAGACGAAGCTCCTCACACTTGAGGAGATTTCGAGGCTTTTTGGCGATGAAGTCGCATTGGATATTAACCAACTGACCACAGAGGAGAGGATGGCATTAGACCGTGAGGTTTCCAAAAGTGTTCAAGGCGTGTTTGCGGTTGAGATCGAAAGCAGTGAGAGCAAATCGCCGGGTGATCGCATTGAAATGGCCTAAACTTAGAGTGGAACACGCCAAAGGCACACATCACATTTCAAGCGATCCAAAGATGTGCTACATAGAACGATTTTCACATAGACATAGACAGTGCTAGAAGGTTCCTGAGACAGAGACCTGCCAGATCCATCATGGTGCAGAAGGGGAGAGAGTCGGACAACACAGTGTAGGCTTACAATGAAATCAATCGACTTTTCGGAGACGGTTTGCTTTGCCAACCGTCGTGCTAGACGTAGTGGGATTCGGGGAGAGATAGCAGGCCTTTGGTGAAGCGTGGTGTAGAGTCTGCAAGAAAGAAGGTCTTGACTCACCTTAGCTTTTCGCGATCACCTACGTACCGCAATGTCGAATCTGTCAGTTGTTGAATCCTCGATAGATTTGGTCTGCAAGGGACGCTGATCCGCTGGTGTGAGGATAGAATTACGGCATGCTAGAATTGGAGCTCCAGACAAACGGTTCCAAACATCCAATGCCATCCATCTCTTGGGGGTTGATCGCTGAACCAAGGTTAGAGGTCGAGCATTCCATCCGTCGGTTCCATGGAATCAAGGAAAGCTATTGCAACACGGCACAGGTTTGGAGGTGTCCTTGAATGTCGCATGCTGGCCATGTATCGAGTCGAATACAGCATAAGCGTTCTTACCACCGAAGGAGCCGGACATGTTCGGGTTTGGGCCTCGAGGATATGCATTACAGTAATGTCAGTTCGGAGCCGCCGCTTACCCTTCGATACCTTTTGACGTCTTTCCCGTGAACACCACACCTCGAGGTGTTTGCTGTAAGGTATTACCATTCCTAATGGCTGATTTCTCCGGTTGGCATAAACAGGGTGTTGAGGGAGATGGTGGGCAAAACATCGCAGGGTTGAGGTTCCTATTGCCACTAGTATGAAGACTTGCGTTCACCGCACTTTGTGTTTCATGAATTTAGACTCCACATGTGGCACCAAAGTGTGCTGCAGTGGATGTCTTGATGGGAGAGTGGTCTCGGAGTCGGCTGAGCGGCGTGCAGCTTGTCAATTCACGCGTTCTGCCAAAATAGTTCGGGATTCTCTGGCATCGCGCGGTCTCCTAGCAGGCCTTTGAGTGACGGTAGGCGGAGCGGTTAGAGAAGGAGTTGGGCATTGAACATAGAGGCAACAGGCAAAGGATCAAGTGCTGTTGCGGCGCCGGAGGAGTGAAAGGAACAACGCAACAAGCGACGCGGTGTGGCTCCTGGCGGGTGTGGCGGGGTAGTTGCAAGTTGTCAGGCAGCGAGGATTTTTCGGCTGATCGTCATTTGAAATTACGAGATCCAACCCCCACCAAAACCACCGTCACAGTCACAGTCAAATGTCGATTGCCTCACGCATCGTCCTTCTCCTACTTATTCTTCGCACCTGAATTGCTCGGTCTCATCCTCCGCGGGTCTGTTTATCTCATCCTACGTCCTGCACGTCTTATATTCGATCCGCATCTGCCACGCGAACATCGGGACACCCCCTTGTTCCGACCTACACCAGGCAACTTGATTGACTTCTGTGCCATATCTGCTCGCTGCTCCGTTTATCACAACACCATCCCCAGCTATGTCTTGGCAAGGTAAGTTGTTATTGATGGGTTGGACCATATCCTAGTACACAGGAGTGCTTGCTGACTCGAGTGAATCCATGTCGTAGCATACGTCGATTCGAGGTATCCCAAACCCATGAGCCTGCGAGGCCAACTCCAGACGATCCGCATGTACACAGCTGACACGTGTTTATCTGTATTATAGTCTCGTTGGCACCGGCCACGTTGACAAAGCCGCAATTTTCAACGCTGATGGCAACTCCGTCTGGGCCTCGTCGCCGAACTTCAACGTTAGCCCGCAAGAAATGCAAGAGGTTGTTGGCGCATACAAGGATACCTCAGTGCCCAAAAAGGTGCAATCTACGGGATTGCACATTGCAGGACAGAAGTACATTGTCATCAAGGCAGACGAGACAAGTTTGTACGGAAAGAAGGTGGGTTCTGCATCCTAGCAAGGGTTCGCCGGAGGTAGACGGTGGAGTTGAACATGGGCTGACTGTTGGACTTCGGCAATACACACAGGGTCGAGAAGGCGTCGTCATCGTCAAGACGAAACAGGCTCTGCTTATCACACATTACCCTGAGACGATACAACCAGGCACGGCGGCAAACACAGTCGAGAAACTCGCCGCCTATCTTGTCAGTGTGGGGTATTGAAAGCGATGATAAAATGAAAGGCGCGGCAGAGAGATGCTACATACAAGTCCCACCGGCTCTCCCACAACATGCCGTTAGGTACCTGGATGCGGCAAAGATGACGGACACGACTACAAGGATGGACCGACCTTGGATCGGCCGATGATGAATGAATCTTCATTGCGGGGCATGCGCACTTCAAGAGCAGCATAACATGGAGTATTGAAATACTATTCCTTGGACTTTTTCTCCTTTTTCCAACGATGATCGTTCTTTGTCGTCGTGTTCTACCAGTCCAGTTACCCAAGTATCTTTGCCACCTACTATCTCACGTCGGGTGCGGCCAGGGAACTAAAAGACGGACAGAGAGAACAAATCGCCAACTGGTTCGCGAGAATTAAAACAACAAAAGCCTCATTTGCATGCGCAGCTCTACATGATCTGTTAACGAGCCCAAGGACTGTATAAAATGTATCCGGTCCCTGATTTCCTTGATAAAAACAACTCCTTTTACCCTCAAACCCCCAGTAGACATTTCCAAACACCGCAGTCGGCTGAACCTGTACCCTATCGAGTGAGCTGGAACACCTGGCGTGAGCGGCGCTCGGCAAGGACAATTAAAAGCACCGCTTGGGCATGAATATCTCCAGCGAAGAATTGGCTCGAACGTCCTCACGAATCGCGGTTCCTCTCAGATATGCATGGCTGAACATTAGGTCGGTTAACTGTAGTGTTGCTGAGACCCGGAAATCGTCCACCTGGTAAGAGATAGCTGATCATGCACAGATAGCTTCTGTCGTGTGGGAGGACGGTGCCGGATCGCTTCGGCCATGCATTCAAAGGTGGTTCTCCACAACATTCCCTCCAGACCGACTCGTTCTTCACGTCAGCACGAGGCCGCGATTCGGACGGACGTCCTTTAGATGTTCTCCCTCTGGTCACTTCGATTTAACAACACTTTCCGCCCATAGCGCCGTTCTGATTCTGGGCGACATTAACACCTCCACCGACACCTTGGCCACCTGATCCAGATCCACCCGCATCTTTCGAACTGTCAATCAATCGCTTCTTGCAGTCCGACGCTAATGAGTAAAATGCCTTTTCGATGTTGATATTCGATTTGGCGCTGACTTCCAGAAAGGGAATACCCAATTCGTCTGCGAGCGCTTGGCCTTGTTCCGTAGAGACAGCACGTTTCTCCTCCCAATCACACTTGTTGCCGATGAGGATTTTGTTGACACCTTCGCTGGCATGTTGTTCGACGTTGGAGAACCATGTCCTTATATCTAATGATAATAAAAGGTTAGAGATGCCATCCGCAACGACGATGGAGTGGATGTGGCCATACTGTTGAAGCTCTTTTCGTCCGTCACATCGTATACCAACAGAATACCCATTGCGCCTCGATAGTAAGCGGTGGTGATCGTCCTGAAGCGCTCTTGACCTGCTGTGTCCCATATCTGCAGTTTCACCCTCTTGCCGTCCAAATCAATAGTCCGGATCTTGAAGTCGATACCGATGGTCGTGATGAAGCTAGGGGTGAAGCTGTCTTCACTGAAGCGTAACAGGCAGCATGACTTTCCCACGCCAGAATCGCCAATCAAGAGGAGTTTTATCTGGGAGAAGAAAAGGATTAGAATAAGACATGCTGAGCGGTGACAGACTGGGTAAACACCCAGTGAACGAGGCATAAAATACATACTAGAAAGTCGTAATTCCGTTGACCGGCCATCGTGAGTATGCGAGAATGGAATAGAAGGGGTGAAGAGGTGGTTACGAGTTATCGTAGATGACCAAGAGAGTCCGGTCAGTCGCCTTCGAGGTGGCGGATTTATTCGCAGATGACCTGCTGAATCTCAGTGCGCCTAACTAACGTCGGCGGCGTAGAGGGGACCTGTCGACTGGGGAAGAGACTTGGAAGAATGACCAGGAAATAGGAAGCGAAATATTGGAGTATTCGGCAGCTTTGTGTCGAAGATGTAGCCTGTCAAGAATCAGGAGGGATGGGTGGGAGGTGGATAGATGCGACAGATGATGTCGCTCGGATGCGGATGTTGGAGGTTAGAAGTCGGAGTGACTCGTGGGAGGAGGAGCGCAGGCGATTTGCAAGGCGGCCGAGTCCTCACTAGGTCCCCAAGCCAGACAGGCCAGAACAAGATGCACGCGGGATTTCCGAGATGCAACGGGTTGACGGTTGGCGGTTGTGAGGTCGCAACGGTTGGAGGCGAGCAGGAGGCGGCCTAGTTCGTGCCTACGACAAGGAACTGGGGGGCTGGTACGGCTAATTTGTGGTACCTATGCTCGCTATGCTAGGCACCTCTTGGGTGCCCAGTGGCTGGTGCCGGCACCCACCAAAACCCCCCTGACAACGCTTCCCTGTGGCACCAATTCCAGGTGAAAGCCACACGAACTATCATCACTAATTCATACTTTTGACACACACAATGCAGCTGGAAGGGGAATGGTAAGATGTATATACCTCTTCGAACCCTCAGAAGTCGGGAGCCTTTCCTAAGTCTAAAGAGCATTACTGTGTTCTCGGTTGGTTGGGAAGCGTGGCAGACGGTTGACGAGGCTCAACGACAGCCTTGCCCTGTCAATAATATCTGTTCCACGAAGACGGCAGCATGTTTTTAGCGTGACGTCATTTAAAGCCCGGCTTGACGTTTTTGTTCGGGATGGACACCCCAGCTCCATGATCTCTGCGCTTTGTGGCGTCCCTATCTGCCAAACTCAGTAGCAATCGTGAATTTCCAAGGTGGACAACATCGTAACCCCATTAAGTACTGTCTCTATGATTCTCTCCGGCGCGATGGAACGCCCAATATGATCGGCTACAGCGGGGTTCTTTATTTTCTCGGACTGGGAATGCTATTCTGATCCGTGTGAAGACGAGACTCAGATCACTCTATAAACATGTCGTTCATTGACGAGTGAGCTCTTCTCCAACACCTTGTCTTGAGTGTCCCTTCTGACTCCTCTCTAGTGATCTACGGCGAGTCGATGCAGCTCTGGACAAATTCCAGCTGAAGGAGGCCGAGGAGAGAATATCCGCCGCAACTACCGAAGGAGAAAGAGTCGCTGCACCACTAGTTGAGGATGCTCGAACCGCCGAGCTCAAAGCAGTAGTCCGAGCATTATCGACAACTTCGAGCTCGAGGCCCCTTCTACGTCGTACTCGGCTGCGCAGTTTGCTACGTCAACTTGGCAGAAAAGAGGGGGAGCAGGTGGTTGCCGAGACAATTTCACCAGACATATCAAATCTAGAGTGGATTGCAACCGGCAAGGCAACAGCTCAAGTCTACGGCTTGATCCTCAATTCTCTCCTGGATCGAACAATTCCCTTAAGCGAGTCTATCTGGTACTGGGACGATATTTTGGGGTCCTATGGAAATATTCTCCTCTACACAATCCAAACATCGCCCATCAGATTTTGGGCGCAGGCGAAGGAAGTTTATGCTGATGCGCGACAGAAGTTTTGGCAGGGACATGACCTCACAGCCTCTGCGAGACAAGCTACAAGAACCGTGACTGAGGGTTGGCGTGAGTTCTATGGCCTGGTTCAAAACAGTATTCGAGAACGCTCCCTGGCCCAAGCCCAAACAAAGATCCTATCGCCCTTCTCCATAGCCCGTATGCAGGCACGGAGAAATCTCGAGCGTATACAACACCTCAGAAGGTCCAGTGCTGGATCAATTGGCAGAATTGTCAGAGAATGTCTTGTCTTTGGAGGGCCTCCAGAAGATCGTAAACACGGCGCCTTAATCCAAGTGCTGGAGGCAGAAGAGGACGACTGGCAGACTACGATAGCTCGAGCAGCCTGTCTTCTAGATAGTGTCACGAGGAGCCACGACGACATCGAAGAGTTCAGCTTTGACCCGCAAACCGCCTCCTCGACAGAAGTTGCCAATCTCCTGGTGAAAATCCTGGATGAACGCCTCCCGGCGCAGGAAAAAGAGGCAGAAGATTTGCGATTAAAATACGGCAAACCGTCAAGGTTGGTCCGCTACTGGATTCCTGCCGTGGGTTTGCTCCTCTCAGGGAGTACTTTACTTCGAATACTTGTCAACAGGAAAGCCGAAATTGCCCAATGGTTCCGAGACCTGGGCCAAACTACCATCGACTTCTGGACAAACTGGGTCATCGAGCCGACGAAGAAACTCATCGGGACGATTCGCCACGACGAGCAGAGCGAGATAGCAATCCAAAGTCGCGATAGTCTTCGGGCAGACAGGGAAAGCCTGGAGCGTATGGTGGTCGATTTTGCCATTCAGCATCCAGATGAAAAGGGTGCCAATTTCACCGAAGCAGAAATTGCCGAGCTCAGGGCAAAGGTGAAGGAAGGAGACCTCACGCCGGTGTTGAGGGCGTATGAGAGAGAGATGCAGAGCCCGATCAAGAACGCCATCATGGGCGATCTGGTCCGCACCTTACTCATCCAGGTCCAAAAGACCAAAGTCGACGTCGAGGTAGCCATCGGTGGAATAGATTCTCTGCTCAAGAGCCAGGAATTGCTCTTCGGCTTTGTCGGAATCGCTCCTGGAGTGCTCATCTCGTACTTCCTCTTTCAATGGCTGAGGAACGTCTTTGGAGGCCGCAAAGGTCTGCGACAGGGCATGAAGAAGGGCGAAACAATCCGTCTTATCAGGTACGTCAAACTCACGGTAACCTTCCAATCTCCTCAGCCTCTGTTTTCAACCACGGGCCCCTTGGAAAGTATCCCTTTCTGACAGAGTGCCCATCCCAATAGAAACATCGACCGCACATTGACCTCTTCGGACCTCGACATCGACCAAGGCATCATCTCGGAAGAAAACCACGGCTTCCTCCTCTGCGAGACTCACCTACTGCGCCAGCGCGCCGCACAAGTCCTGCCCCGGAGCGTGTGGCGCGAGTTCCTCGAGGACCTGGACGATCTCCTCGACGTCAAGCAGGGCGTCAATCGGCAGATTCAGGTCGTGCGGAGGATCGAATGGGCCTACGCCAAGTGGTTAACATGATGTACCTATCTATGTGTTTGCTGTACTCATCCGTCCCCGTCGATTCATTCCGCACAAATGGAATACGAGTGCTTGGAAAGGAAACGATAGAATCCAGGCTCAGACTCAGAACTCAGTGTTTTGACGTGTCGTGTGTGTGTGTGTGTGTGTGTGTGTGTGTGTGTGTGTGTGTGCGCGCGCAAGAAATACATACTTTCTGTCTGTCTGTGTACGGTTTGCTTTACCGTGATCATAGCCAGGAAAGAAGTACAAACTCTTTCTCTCCCTCTCTTCCTCCGTCCCCTACATAAGCCCACCGCGGTGCAGCCAGCTGCTCGCTTTCATCCCTGGCTGAGAGCCCAGAAGTAACCCAAAAAAGAGGACAGCCCCATCGAAAAATGACTGTCCCCAATAGATCCGAGAGCAAAAAACAAACAACAGCAAACTACAAAAATTATGTTCATCATATCGTGACATGGAGAAAAATAGCCCTCGCCTTGCAAACATGGCCAGATGCGTCTCCGGGTATCCAAACTTTTCCAACCCATTCATTCCCACATTCCCTTCCGCTTTGTCCTGCCTGCAGCTGTCCCTGCTCTGTTTCCCTGTTTCCCTGTTTCCCTGTTTCCCCCAATTTCCAACCCTTCATTTCCGGCCGTTACATGTCGATCGGGCGGATGGATGCCATACCGCTGCTTGGCTTCTGGCTTCGGGCTCCCATTTTTACCGATCTCACCCCGGATTGTACGTGGACAATCCCACTCCTGTTCTGCTCGTGAACAGTATCAGTATGTGGTGTAGCAACCTCGTGCCATTCTCCGGGAGTGTTGACCAGCCTTATCAAGCCACCACAGATCGCTTTCCTCCTTAGTTCTGCTCGGAGATATCGTCTGACCTGAAGCCCCTTCTGGCCTGCTATGGCCTCAAATAGTTCGACCGATCCAATATCAATGCTGAGGCTGTGTTTCCAACATCATCACAGCTATGTTGTGAAATAAATAAATAAGCAACAAGCGCCGACAACAAAACATATAGGCAAACCTAGAGATTTCTATCTCATGAGGTCTCCCTTGGGAGTTGTTTTCACCGTGTACATGCACAAGCTGGCCAGATGTACATCATCCTTAGTGCAGGAGTCGATGACGAGGAAGCATATATACACGGCTTCCATCCTTCTTTCAGGTAGATCGTCCAAAAGGACAGGATTTTGGGTGTTAATCTTGGAACAACTCAGCCGAAGATCGTCGGCTCGAGCAGACCTGGTTTAACCTCGCCCAGAACGTTTCTGCTGTGTAATTTGCCGCGTCGGATTTTCGACCCAGCAGCGTCATACCTTGGATACACGCCTCTGCTTGGTCGTAGAGACCCTGGTAGTCTGTGTGCGCATGAACCCATTTGTAATTCGGATTCGCAGGATTATCCCAACCCAGCAGCCAGGTGATGAAAACTTTACAAGCGCTCCCCATTGCGCGGACAAGAATGTCTGTCCAGGGCTCGGTGAGAATGGCGCTGCCGTTGCAAACAAAGTGGAATTCCGAGTTGTCACGCACAGACGGTTTGTGTTCGGACAGCGATGCCTGTGCAATTTTTGCGATCGCGCACGCATTATCATGCCGCAGCTCTGTGATCAGGTGGCAGGTAGTTCGTAGCCTACGTTGAGGCTCCATCGTCTTTTCTTCACGGTCGATCTGAGCGATCGTGTCTGCCAGTAGCAGGCATCCGTAGTGCCAGTGCCCGTCTAAAATGACGTACCATGATTGTACGTGCGGTTCGAGGGAGTTGTGTTGGCTGACACAGTCGTTCATGAACGGGCCGTATGTTTTATTCCACTGTTTGTAGACCTCGAGAGCCTCCTGAATGCACTTTTCGAGTTCCTGAGGTGAGGTCCGACGGAATGCCAACATCTGTAGCTGCGCCACTTTGCGAAACATGAGGACTTTGACCGGGATCGCTTCCTGAAGCACCAGAGCCGCCTCATCAAACTTGCAGGGCCACCGTGGCTGTGTTTTTCGGGGGCCTGCCCACTTGAAGTTCAGGAGGTAGTCTCCCCACAAAGCGCGTTTATCGTGGTCGGGGCTTTTATGGCAGGATAAATACTCCTCGTGATCGTCATGACAGTCGCCTCCAAAGTCGTCAATATCTTCCCGAATCATGGCGCAGTCCTCATCCGGAATCACCAATGGACGTCTGCTAATAGCTGATGAAGTCGTATCGCACATGACGCCGAGCCAAAACAGGAGGTTGAACGTCTGGTGGTCCTTGAGGGCGAGAGCGCCCATAGATCCATGCCCGCAGTCACCGTTCGCTTTCGATCGCAGCCTCCGGTAGCGCTCAATCTTGCGCCTCCACGAGAATAAATTTCGAACTGCCGTTTCGAGATAGATGGGTGGGGACGCCAGTGCCTCGAGATCACTTGCGTAAAAGGGATTCCACTCTTCGTTGACTATTGTGCCCATGGCAGGATCTGCGCATTGCGTGAAAGGTTCATAAAGGGAGGAGTTCTCCGAGCCTCGACGGCTGTTCGTCGAAGAGTCTGCCGGCGAGGTCTGCGCGTCTGGCTTTCCGTCGATCGGTCTCTGGGTAAGGGCGAAGATCATATACGCAAGGATCACCTTGAAAGAGTCGATTTCGGAGCTGGACTGGATGGCGGTTTTCGCCTCGTGCCAGAGGGTCTTTTGGATAATTCGTTCGCATTCACTAGACAGCATCGGCTCGTTGGACTGCCCTGATCGCGAGAACAAGCCCGTCATGTGGGTTTGACATGCCTTCATTTGCGACATGCCTTCCTTGCTTTTCCAAAACGAATTATGGGAGCCGTGGGACCACTGGCTGGCAAACGCCATGATAGCAGCATTAAGTGCCTTCGTGGCGGCACGGTTCTCCATGACGGACAATTCGCGTCCCCTCAAAAGGGAGAATGCGGAATCCAGACGCGAGACGCGCGAGAAGATTCGGTTGTCGCCCAGACGAAGTGCGGCTTCTTCGGCTGTCGAGGCAGGGCTTGCGTATGGTATGAGGTCTTGAAGCTCAGTCTCGTACGGACAATTCTTCTCCGTCACCCAACACGACAAGGAGTTCTCAAAGCTGTCGTGGTAGATGCGTAGTAGGCCACTTGCAATCATCGACTTCATTGCTGCATCGGCGAAATGGAGTTGACGAGTCGACAGGGGAGCTGTGGTTTGCCGAATGCCATTTGATGAGAGCGCCGAGCCATTCGGTGGTGCCTTGGGTCGCGTGCTTTCGGGCGAACCCCGATCAGTCGAGGTCGAGTAGCAATAACCGTGGGTGTTTCTGGTACGTTTGTTGCGTGGTGGCAATGAATCAGATTGGGCGGCTTCGTCCTCGCAGCTAGTCTCGGAACTAAAAGAAGTCAGACTCGGAGACGACTCGTTCTTGGAAGTTGTATTGCTGGAGTAGTTGGAGTTGGAAGCAGGTGAGGTAGACGACGAGTCGTGACGAATGAGCCCTAGGCCATTCCATCGTTCGTGGGTTGCGTTTTCTCTTGAAGAGGATTGATTCGAGAGGGGAACATCGCTGACAACAGGCAGTACGGGAGCCGCCGTGCCATTTGGCATTGGAGCAATCGAAGGTGCATTTAGGCTACGGTGCAAATCTCCACGGTAAAGCAGCCCCGACGCCGCCGAACCTTTCGTGAAGTCGCCGTTCCTAACATAAGTTGAATCGTAGGACTCATTAATCCCACTCTGAGCAGTGTTGTTGAAGGTCTGGGAGTTTGGCGCGAGTGGTGGATAGCTAATGGCATCCGCGAATGATGAATAGCCGTTAGAATATGTAGTTTGAGGGTTGATCTCTGGCAGCGTTGCCGGTTTGGTAATGCATTCGGGAAGACCGGTCGATTCCAACTTTCTCTTCACGCCTTTTGGTAATCCTTGAAGAGGAAGCGTTCGGAGCCAGTCGAATGTACACGTCTTGCTTGTTCTTGCACAGTTTGAGCAGGCTTCACATGTCGAGGCAGACGGGTCGAGTTGATCGTTCTCACGAAATGGGAAATTGACCACTCTCAAGGCGCCCGCGTCGCATGCTCTTCTGCTCTTGCGGCACTGATCACATGCTTGGTATTGTCGGCGTGAAGTTTTGGAGTATCCCGAACCGGTTGAGGTGCCAGCATGAACTGCACTATCGGAGACGACTGTAGCCATAGGGAATGACGATCAAGGTGATAACGAGGAAGAAACATAGTCTGTGTCGTCGGTGGAAGATGGGGAGAGGATTAAACGGCGAGGTTCAGTTGTCGCATCGCAAGAAGCGGAGTTGCACAGATCGGGACCAGAGGCCAGAGCCAACTCTTTCTCCACCAACAGCCCACAGCTCGATGACCACCATAGCTCAGCAGACGCAAGGATGCGAACTTGTTGCGTTGTAGGTGGGCACGGTGTGACCTGGGGAAGGACGGCAGGGCGAATGGCGAGCCGCAATCCGCTTCAGACCGCCACTAACTCTTGGGGATTACGAAAGGTGGAACGCTCCGGAGGTCTCAGAGCAGGGCGGGAGTTCTCGATGAGGATTTGTGCTTTCTGGCTGTGTGACCTTGGGCAGGGATTTGATGAGCTGGAGGCGACGAGGATGGAGAAAAGGATGGCTCAAGGCGGAAAGCGGGGGCTTTGGGAGGAGGTCGAAAGCTCGAGAAATCGGTTTTTCCGGGTGTCTTGGGATGCGTCCAAGCCATGATTCTGATGGATGACATGGGCTCGGGTGGGCTGAGATGGTGCCTGGCCAGCTTGTTGTGGTATAGCCACATGCAATAATCATCAAGGTTATTGCCCATTAGTTGGTCGACTAATGAGCGGAACACAAGCCCTGTTCAGCCTGCGACGGCCCCAGGGCTCCGCATTGCCCCCCCGAATCACTCTTGACTTGACAACTGCCACGGCTCTTGTCTCGGTAGGTTTCTCCATATTAATCTGCCCATCAATCCTGAGGGGGAATGGGTATACGGTAAGTGGCTAGTCTCTGATGGGTACGGTAAGGAGTATTGACTCTTCTTGGACAGATTACTTGCAGAGAGCTCAACGGGGTGCCCTCAACCGACCGAGCGATGTCCAACTGACCTCCTTGTTTTGGGCGCCACCACAGTCCACCGACAGCAAAAGCAATATCCATGGCAAACTTCCTGCGCATCCTAACAACTAGCTCATGGGAGTTACCGAGTTGTGGGGGAGGGTCCGGAAACCCTTTTAGTCGTAACTCTCTACGGGCGAACAAATGAGCCTCTCCTCAACTACCTACCTAGGCCTGCCACTGAGTGGCACCCAGGTGCCCTAAACCTGCTCCCCCTGTCCTCCTGCGGTCCGCCTAATCCAGGATGAGAGAAGAACTTGCCTCGCTGCGGGACAGTTGATGTTTGGCCTGTCAATAGTGGAAGGCGTCGACTGGCCCCACGACAAGGGCTTTACCTAGTTCATGGGGAAATGCTGCCAAAGAGTGCCTCAACCTGCACAATGCCACAAGAAGAGACGGATCAGCCGAAACCGAGACAGGAACCATTGTTTACAGCCGCCTGAGGAGGAATAAGTACCCCAGAAAAGGGCAAAAGAGCCAGGTCGACAGGTCAGATAGCGACCTCCCTCCTGGGGATTGCGAATGAGACTGTCAATACCACCCTACCGTCGCAACCCAGTCCCTTTTCAAAGATTCCAGGCCTTGCGTCTCCCACTCATCTGGGGCCTCACTTGTGCATGAGCCTGCAATTCTTGCCTCGCGGTAAACCCTTTGGGGTAGGGGGGCACTTCTCCTGGTTGGTTCCCACTGAAAATTACCTATCGACAAGAGGATGAAAGAGGCCAATCGTCTTGACTTGTCTAGAGTGCTCCGCCAACAATAGCAGCTGAGGTCCTAGTGACGAGTGATCGTCACTTAGGGTGATTCTAACGGGATGGTGCACTCATTCGCTGGGACGCCCGTGGGCCATTACGAGTACCAGCCTCGCCATCTTCTCAGATGCAGGCCTTTTCACACGATAGAAGTCGAGGCTACATGGTTGTATAGAGGCCTTCATTGGCTATGAGATGCTCCGGATGTCACTCTCCGCTGTAGCGACACCTGGCGACACCCCCTGGTGCCCCATTATGCCTGCAAGCAGCCACCACACTCCCAAAGGTAGGAACATTTATCCCTCTCTAAAGGACAAAGTTCACATGCCAAATGTCAGGGCCATCCTGCAGTACAGCTGTCCTGGACTCGCTGTATCTGGCCCATCCTAGCAGACTTTTGAATGCTCGGCAGTGGTTACCCCTTGGCAGACGAAGCCCATCTTGCGTTGATACCATGACTTACAATCCCTGGCGCTCCAGCTGTGCTCTCCTGTAAATTTATGCCTGTGGCCCGGTGGCACTATTCGGAGCCGACCGCATTGGAAGCTTCAGTAGATCGTGCGGACGAGACCAGGCCAAGGTTACTTTCCCTTGTATTGCGTCCGCAGTGACGAATGTGATCCTCATCACATATTGGAAGTAAAGCGTGTGAGGCCTGATGGTGCACATGAGGCAAGACAGTCATGTACTTGTCTTCATTTCGATCAGCTGCGAGACCAACTTCCTGTAGCTATCGCTAGGAGTAATTTGTGTATTACGAGGTGACCGATGCTTGACAGCATAGCAGCTCTTTTGCTCGGGAATCGTTCATCCAGGTTAACTCGAAACCTCAACATATACGTCAAATAATGTCCGAAGTCCTGTAATTTGGAAATCGCAGGGGAGAAACGTATGCGTACCATAGCCCTGCATGTTTTGTTTATCTCCTGGATGACTGTGACCCGTGACTGCGTCGGTCACCTTATGGATCATGCCCCAGGAGCCTGAAGAGTGGCCTTGACCCTGACCCTGACCACCACTGACAAACTTACTACCGATTTTCAGGAGGCTATCCATGAGTGCCGTGGTGGGGATAGTTTCAAAGTGCAAGCGGGACTTGGTCTTGGACAATCAATCAGTGATGATGGCCAAGTAAAATGAACAATAGTACTCACAGAATCAGCTTGAGAAGCAAGTTGACGCCCTCATACATGTCTCCAGCGCCAATCAATCGATCGCATTGTGAGTCAATGACTTAGTTTAAGGCGCTTATACTGATCAGATCAACATTCCGAATCCTGAAGTGCAGAGAGAGACGGACTACTTTATGCGAGCAGCGCTGAGTGATGCATGGAATCAAAAGGGGGCAGGAGGACTTGTGAGCGAATACCTCCTAATTCCTGGACCACCAGCAGGAATCAACTGGCTTGCACATTGGTTTGGAAGTACAGGCAAGCAAAGCGATGCCTGCTTCTTGAATATTTGAGGAGAGTTATCCGAGCATTTCAACCTCGTCTGATGGATTCACATGGACACGAACCCCATCTTGGCTAGTAAATCTTTTTGTACGGTCTTTGTCAGCACAGCAGGGTCGTCCATTTGAGGTCAGTGTCTGAATGAGAAGTGTCGACAAGGGGGATGATCCAATAGAGGAATACTATTGCCACCAAAATTACCTCATTCACGTTGGCAATCCTTGCTGCGTAATCCAAGGGAAGCAATGAGACAGAGTCAACTTCTGAATCACTGTACCCATCTCAAGGACCTCTCTTGAAGCGGTGCTTTCTTTTAGGCCACTGGAGACTTCCAAAAATCGGTGTCGTTAACAGGGACGAAGATTGAGAGAGCCGCCTTACAAAGGAGGACCTGAATACTTGTAGAAAGTGAATAAAGTGACTGCGCTAGGGTACCCCCTGTTGTTCTTCCGGCGAATCGTCTGGGCACCGAAAATGGGCCGAGCACGACTTTCGTTGACAGATTCTCGCCAGAGCTCTGCGAAGGACATTCGTAGTGACATCAATGACGGTTGAAAAGATCACAGTTGACGAGGTAAGTTTTATATTGTCGTGCTGATGCGGGTGCGCTTGCGCATGCGCGTGCTCTCGGATAAATAGTAATTCCGATTCCCGAAAACATCTTGTCGCAGCCGTTTGAATTTACAGTGCTCGCAAGTGAACAAACGAACGTCCCGCCTAGAACCCCTTCCCCAGAGCTCTGCCAGGCGCACTCGAGTGCTCTGATGCAAGTATCCTACACGAACTTTGCCCAAGTTACGGGTTGACCGAACAGAACTGCGCGCCTGTCGATTGATCGTCCGAGGAGGAAGAGTTGATCTCCAACAGAAAAATGTACAACCCGCCTTACCAAGGTTAGTCCGCGCAATTGTCTGTCGCACAAACAAACACTGACATGTGGACAGCATCGGGGCAATATGGCGCGCCGGGAGACTATACAGCTTTCCCCGGCGCACCACCTGGAATGGGTAAATTGCCCTCGAGTCCCCAGGAACAAGCGTGGCTAGAGTACTGACCAGTTTGTGCCCAGGTCCTCCTCCTGGTATGGCAGCCCCAGGCATGGGTGCTCCCCCTGGAATTCAGCAGCAAGAGGCTCACCAACCAGTCAGACCTGGCTCGTTCCCGCCTACGTTTCAACCCCCTCCCAATATGCCAAATATCAACTTCTCCGCACCCGTGATTCGCCTGGGAACCTCTGGTGCCTCCAAGCCCGACACCCCCGGTGGCCGTGAGGATCGAGAAAGAGGCGGACGAAGACCTGGCCTAGGCGCGGGACAGGGCTCGGATTTCCGTGGAGAGAGAGACCGGATCACCCAGATCCAGCCACCAACGAAGGAAGAGATCATCAAGACAATCTACGTCGGCGGCATCACCGAAGGGGCTGGAGGAGATGAAGGCATCGAACGGATATTGAACGCGGCAGGAAGTCTACGGAGATGGGTCCGAGCCACGGATGCCGACGGCAAGCCTTGCAAGTTTGGTTTTGCAGAGTACGAAGACCCCGAAAGTCTCAGTACTGCCATAGAAGTACTAAGGGATATTGAGGTTCCCGTCAAACGGCAGACTCCAGCTGAGGTGAAGGACGACGAGGATGTCGAGGTTGAGATGTCAAAGTTGGTGGTACGTAACGCGAAGGCACAAGTGGAGAGCAGTTGTACTGACGGGAATGCAGATTGTCGCCGATGAAAACTCACGAAGCTACATCGAACAGTGGCAAGAATCCCACGGTGGGAGGGATACGGAGCAAGTGGAAATGCGACTTGATCATGCTCGGAGTGCCCTGGACGCTGTCCTCAAAGATCTTCGCAATCCCACAGTTCAAGCACAGAAGGACGAAATGTCGAGTATTGACCGAGAGGGCGACGTCAGCATGACGGATGGAGCAAATGCAGAGAATGCGACCGGAGATGTGGTCACCATTCCCATCGCCATTGATGATGAACTCTCCGACATTCCAGCAGAAATGCGTGAGACTGTGGCAAAGGAAATCGCAGCATTCCGAGATCGGAGCAACCGCCGTGACCTGGAGCGTATGAAACGCGAAGAAGAGATCGAACAACAGGAACGGAATCGCATGATGAACGGTGATCGTTTCAACCGTCTCGCATCCCCACCTCCTTCAGCGCCTGCAGGACCGGCTGGCACAAACGGTATCCCGGTTGGTCCGAGAGGAGCACCTGCTGGGCCAAAAGGCTTTGGAGTGCAAATACCAAGAGAATACCAGAAAGGTGTTGTGTTTAATGGAACAACAATTAGCGGCGCTTCTGCATTTGAAGACGACGATACTGATGCTAGCGATGAAGAGCTCGAAAGACGACGCAAGGAGAGAAGAGATGCAGAACTTGAGAAACAATTCCTGGATCAGGAGCGTCGGTGGTTGAACCGGGAGAGATCACGGACGGAAGCCGTGGAACGCGTAAAGAAACGCGAAAAGGACGACGCTGGTCGCCTGGAGGAGGAAAAGGAAGCAATGCGCAAACGATTACACGACTGGAACGACGACACCGAGGCTTCTCGTAGAACCGAGGAGTACTATGCTGACCGAAGCATGTGGATCCGGAACCGAGCAAGCTTTCGCCAGCGTGAGATGGCAGACGACGAGGCAGATCGTGCAGCCGAACAACGAGAGCGGGCCCGCGAATTACATCAACGAGAGCGGGTGGATGCCATGGCAGACGATTTCCTCAGTCGACAGGAACGAGAAATGCTCAACAAAGAACAGGATAGACAAGAGGAGGACCGCGCCCAGCCTTCGCGCCGTGAACCTGCCCGCTTCAAGCTATCTCTGGGGGCTGCAGCGCAGAAAGCAGCTGCGCAAAGTGCGTCCCAGGTATCGAAACGCACCGTTGCAGATGTGGAGGGTCTTCTTGAGGATGAAGAGGAAGAATCCAAGGCTGGCACACGTAGAACGCTCATACCTATCGAATACGACGCCTCGACCACTGCCGGCATGTCAGAAGAAGAGCGCGCCCAAGCGGCTCGCCAGCTCGCAGCTGATATTCCTAATGATAAGGACGGGCTGTGGACATGGGATGTCAAGTGGGAGTTTGTGGACGAGAGTATCATTGAAGAGCGCCTGAAACCTTTCGTGGAGAAGAAGATCGTGGAGTATCTCGGCGTGCAAGAACAAATGCTCGTGGACGTGGTCGTCGATGCTCTCAGATCCAGGGGGAAGCCGCAAGACTTGGTCGGAGAACTGGAGGGTGTAAGTGCTCCGTGACTCTCGTGTGCTCATTGCAGATAACTGACTCGGCGACAGGCTCTGGATGAAGAAGCCGAAGTGCTTGTCCGCAAGCTCTGGCGAATGCTCATCTTCTTCTCGGAATCCGAGAAAAGAGGTCTCGCTGCCTAGTTTGGCGCAGACGGACGAATAGATGCACCAAAGCGCTCAATACGACCACCAGCAATGGCTCGCCAAATCGTCAGATCACAACATTCGGCCACGGCCCCGTTCGCCAATCGATTGCTAGTGGTTCACTAATGCAGATGGGTGACAGCCATTCTCCCACCGTCTGTCCTTGTGCCAGGATTGAAAGCAGGACGTAGGATATCTGCGTCAACGCCACCGTTATGAGACAGACGCTCCTATGAATGCGATACTGCTCCCGATATTCGAAGATCAAGAACGTGTCTTTTTCAGCAGACGATTGACTATCAATCATCTCTCTCAATCGACCCAGCCACCTTGATTTTCTCCCGATATCAATATGAGCGATGTGGTCCCGACCGCAAGGAAAATACATCTATGTAGAACCATAATTCTTGTCAAGCCAAGTTAACTGTACTATATCAACATGGTGATGTGTGTCTCGATGCCACAATTCACACAGTTCACGAGAAACAGGGATCTTTGGAGGACTATTGTGTTCTCTAGATGCTTGGAAGTGATTCCCTCATCATTCTACTGGGTTGGTTGGTTGGTTGACTTGTTGGCAATACTCTCATCTGCCTGTCTACATCTATCCCCTTTTCGTACCCTCCCGGTTCGTTTCTAGTCGCCCACCAGCATTCCCGCCTTGACCCCGTCGTTAGCGTCTCAGTCGTCGGCATCGTCGTCGCCCCATCCGCCCAACTCCCTCCCAACATCGCCAACATTCGGCCACCCCAGCCCCCCGTCGCTGGCATCCAAGCCGCTGCGCCTGACCATCTCGGGCCCACAGAACTCGACGCACCGCGCGGCCGCGACCTTGACACTGCGGACGACGTCCTTGATGCGCCTCATCCGGGGCGTTTCGTCGTCGGCGCCGCGCGCGCCCAGCACCCTCCCCAGACCGCGGACGTGCCAGAGGCTCGGCCCCCGCAGGCCCTGGCACGTGATGCAGGTGAACGCGACCAGCTCCGTCTCCAGCGGCGTCAGGGTCGAGAAGTCGCCCAGGTACAGGCCGTAGACGATGGCGATCTCGTGGATGCCGACCTGCGCGCGGTGCGGGCCGAACGTCGAAAAGATGCGCGGCCACAGCGTCCCGTAGATCGAGGTGATGGCCTTGACGCCCTGCGCGTGCAGCGATGGGAGCGTCAGGTTCGACCTGTACACTTGCACAGAAACCGGATGCCGGGACGGTGGTTAGCACTTGTATATTGAACGCTAGCCGGCGATGCGGGAGAGCGGAAGAAAGTCTCGCAAGAAAGGGGAAGGGAAGGGAAGGGAATGGGAAAGGAATGGCAGGAAACCTATGACTCGGAGGGGGATTGATGAGGGCAACGCAACGCACCACTGCTCCAGCTCCAACTCGCCGCGTTCTGCCTCTCCCTTCCCCTCGGTCTGCCGCTGCGCGAGGGGGATCAACGCCGAGAGAACCTGCGGCGCGCCAATCAGGACGATCTGCTTGAGGAGCACGTCGCGCAGTCTGTCGGAGAGGCGGGTCCGCGCTTCCGGCGTCGAGAAGGCCGTCTCGTGCGCGGTGACGTGCGTCCAGAAATCGGCGAGGAGTTGCGGTCGTGGCGAGACCGTGAGGACGGTGGCCTAGATGATGTTGCGTGTTAGAGAGAATTACCTTTTTTGGGCGGAGTGGAGTGGAGTGGAGGGGAGGTGTTGCGATGGAGGAATCTCTCTCTCTCGCGCGCGCGCGCCCGCCAGCATAAGGACGGGATTGAGGTATCCCATCCCGCTCGGGATATCGAATTGATATGACTTTTATCCCTCTTCTCGCTCTCTCTTTCTTTCTTCCTCCAAACAGTCCTCCTCTAATCTCTCCTCTCGAGTGGACAGGTTGAACTCACGATGATGATATACCAGCTCTCGCCCCCCACCTCTTCGAGCAACGACTCCTTGACGTCCCTGCACAATTCATCCCATTGTTCCTGTGTCGGGGACGACGGGGTCGACATGTTTTCTTCCTTTGTATTGGTTTTGGTAGTTTGGAAAGCCCCTGAGCCTTGTTGGTAAGTTTTTGCGTAGCAGATACGGAGATGGGATGAAGAGCGGCTTTTGTGAAAAGGGTTGGCAAATTATTATCCCCGAGGACGGAGGAGAGGAGATTTCTTTTATACAGAAAATAAAATCCTGCGGATCTTACTTCTCTGACTTCTGCTGGGCCTCTCGAACGAATGAAACCTTGCGCAAAGCTTGATAAATTCTTCTTCTATCTGCTCGGTACTTATTATATCTACCCCTACCTACACCAGTCTCACTCAGTTGAACTCCACGACCAGAAAAAAAGCCGGAAATCGGAGGATTGGCGTAAGCTCTGGCCTCCTAACATCTGCAAGAGAACGAAGGTGATCAAATTGTCTGTTCCTGTCTCTGCAAAGTCCGAGCGAGGTTCTTCGTCATTGTTGCATTGTCCAATGACTGAGCCGGCAAGTTTCGCGCCTTTGGGGATGTCGATGCGCCTCAATCAGGCCCAAGGATGCCATTCTAGCGACGTGCACCTTGCCGCTTTGTCCAAAACCCTCGATCCTACCAATAGAGCAGCGACGATGTTCAGCGCTAGGCTCGTCCCGTATTTGGCGTCTACTAGCACCAATTCCCAAGGATCGAACACCATATTAGCAGTCACGCAGTTGGCTCAACGACAGGAGAGACGAAAGCGTTTTCTGCTTGAAGGGCGTGCCCGATCGGAGATGATGCATGGTCGGTTGTTTATTCTAGACTGCAGATAGCCGCCATATATACCTATGATTGTGGTGAATCGGGAACAACACCGTCCTGTCTGCCGGTGGATTGTCCCACCTCTCAAACACGAGAACAGCAGGCTTCAGAGGGGCAATTGTTGGTTGCTGACTCCATGATACTCGCGCGGTGCAGGACCCGTCTTTGAGAAGACGAAACATGGGGTTGCTGACGCATCTGCGACCCATTGTCAAATATCGCTTGTGGAGTCCCGGGTGCTAGCCATTTGACCATGTGAAACCATCACGGACTGACTGGTGTCTCATGTCTCTCTGCATGTAGTACATGGTCGGCGAGAGCCGTGCGACTGCAAGTCAACCCCTTGAGAGCACCATCAGTTTTCTCGCGTTGTCGTCTCGACGACTGATTGAATTGTCAAAGTCTTGCAGAAGCAGGCATCAGTGGACGTCGAACAGCTCCGTGAAGCTGAGAACGAAGTCGATGCCTGGCTGACAGGCTAGTGCTCCAAAGCTTTGTCCAGAAGCAAGGCGCTGTAGTGTCACGATCCGAAGATCTTTGTCAGGAATCCTCCACCCCCACTTTGATTTGAGCTTGGAAATGAATCTCCCTTTTTCATCTCTTCGTCGATCCACCTCGCCATTGCTTTCTCATCGCCCATCATTCTCGTATCGACGAGCCGGTCTGTAACTCTTTCCGCTCTGCGCCCTCCGAAGCCCATCAACGTAGGCATGCTTCTGACTCCATATTCTACCCCCAGATCCATCATATTGCCGTTGCTCATGTCTGGAGAGTCCAACTCAACCTCTGCAAGAGCGAGAGACGAGTATTTATCTTCTGGCAACGATGATCGAGTTTCGACGAGTGACTTCAGCAGGGGTGTTATCGTCCTGCAGGGTGTGCATGTGGAAGTGGTAAAGAGGGCCAGCATCAGGGTGTTGTTGGCGGAAATGAGGCGAAGGGCATCGTGGAACTGCGGTGGCGTCCGGAAAGGAGTAAAAACACGGTTCTTGTGTGAGAGAGGTGCGGTTGTGCTGAACGATTGAGCGAGGGCTGCCGGTCTTCTGTGAGAACAATGGACCTCCAGCAGAGACAAGCCTCGAAAGTCCCGAGCGATTGAGGCCCAGAGGCGAGAAGAGGAAGAAACAGGGTGCTTCATTTCGCGGTTTCGTTTGTGAGTTATTGGTTGTATCAGGACCCAATAGAGAGAAGAAAACACAAGGTGAAAGACGCAGCGCGAGCAGTAAATTCATGGCGCAGCTGATGACATCAGTTCCGTTGGAGAAGCAAAACATTCATCCGTTTTCGGGCTCCAGAACCCGCCGTTTTACCACGACCACCATTTGGCACAGCTCTTGACAGTTGCTGCTTTCAATGTCAAGTCCTTACACGGAGCACATAACTTGGAAGACGGTGAACTTCAGGATCTTGTCAGGTGTTTAGGAAGGATGAGTGGGGCTCTCAGGATCTCTCGTTCCAGGAGTTACTGAGACGCGATCCCAAGTCAACCAACAGCTTCTTGTCCGATCCATCTTGCGCGGTATGGCCATTGAATCAATGACCTATCTCGTCCGCGGTTTTGGCTTCCAGCCTTGACTCCAGAAATTAGGACAGCTTGAAGCCGATTTGAACGAAACATCCCCAGATGAGACGAACCTACTCTCCCGATACAGGTCAAGGCTGGCTGGCTCTCTCCAATTCCGACTCTCCAATAAGCGGCCCAATTCCGACATTACGCAGGTACCTGGGAATGGACAAGTTTGGTAATATTCAGCCTGAATTGCGGCAATTGGAACTCTACGCGAAAGATGCGACAATGAGGCCCAGCCGGTGGTCGAGGTTGCAGACGTATACAAAGGATACAGTACCTCGCTTGAGGAACTAGGAGATGGGATCGGAACTTTCGAATATCCTACTAACCCTCAACAATCAAGACAAAAGAAGACCACCTCCCAGAGGAGGACAAGGCTACAAGACCGGTATGAGCCTAGAGGTTGTTATGCCTGCTCTGTAGTTAGGCTTTCAATGCCGGACTGCAACGACACACGACTCTCAACAATGAATCCAATCATCCCAGGCTTCGCGCCGGACCCCTCCATTGTTCTCGTCGGCGACACATTCTTCCTCGTGAACTCTAGCTTCCACATATTTCCAGGCCTCCCCGTCTACGCATCAAAAGATCTGGTCTCGTGGAGACACATAAGTAAGTTTCGTCTTGCCTGCAACTATTCTCTCGTGCGGTGTGAGGTCTGATGTATCTCTCCAACAGCAAACGCGTTCAATCGCCGCGAACAGCTCAGCCTCCAGGCCTCTGACACCAAACATAGCCCAGCTGGCGATTCGGGAGAGGTCATGTCAGCCACAGGCGGTCTTTATGCGCCAACTATACGCCATCACGATGGGGCCTTCTATGTGATTTGTACAAACGTGGTCCGGGGCACCGAAGAAGACAAGGGTGATAGGACCCAGAACTTCATCATAACGACGACTGACATTTACTCACATAACTGGAGTGATCCTGTCTTTTTCGATTTCGATGGAATCGACACCAGTCTTGTCTGGGATGATCAAGGAAGGGCGTATGTGCATGGCTCTGCCGCCCCTGGCCCAAGGACAACCATCAAGTTGTTCGAGATTGATGTCAAGTCTGGTGCAAAGCTCGGCAGCGAGACATTGATCTGGGAAGGTACCGGTGGTGACTGGCCAGAAGGTCCGCACATCTATCGAAAAGACGGCTGGTGGTACCTGGTCATTTCCGAAGGTGGCACTTTTGAAGACCACATGATCACCGTCGCTCGAAGCAAACATCTCTTCGGGCCGTATAAACCCAATTCCCACAATCCAATACTAACTGCACGAGGTACGGACGAATACATCCAGCATACGGGACACTGCGATCTATTCTGCGATAAGCAAGGCCAGTGGTGGTGTGTCTGTCTCGCAGTGCGAAAGGGCCCGGAAAGGAGATTTATCCTGGGCCGTGAAACGTTTATTACTCCAGGTGCATGGGCCGAGGGTGAATGGCCGACTTTGGAGCCAGTCAAGATGGATCCGGAGGCCGTATACGGTCGCAAAGTGGGCAAGCCAAGTGCCCTGAGCTCCGAGCCACTCGTGGACTTTTGTTATATTCGAGACGTGGATCTCGCCAGACATAATATCTCGTCTGATGGGAAGACTATCCAGCTAACATCCAGCGACGCCGACCTTTCTGACGCCCGCGGCCAAGTATCCTTTGTGGGCAAGCGACAGAGGATGCTCGCTGGACAGTCTTCCGCGACGCTCCTCGCACAGCCTGGCGGCTCCAGCGGCAAAACCGGTCTTGCAGTGTACAAGGACGAGTTCCGCTATGCTCGGACCTACCTCGACCTGGAGACGGGCGAAATGGTTCTTGAAGTCGTGAACACGCCAAAACAAATCTGTCGCCGAACTCGAAAGTCGTGCTCCGCAGACGTAGCAGATAAGGACATCGAGCTGCGGCTGGAGTACCAGGAAGACTCGTATAGATTCTCATTCAGCACGGCCGGCGACGATGACAGGATCAAATTCGACGCCTTGGACACGATGGACCTGGTCGGTCTGGACTTTACGGGGCCGATTGTGGGAGTCTTCTTGACGTCGTCGCAGGATGGGTGCCGCGTGACCTTTTGCGATCTGCAAGTCAATTGATGGAGTGCTACTTACAACGTTGTATTCGGACGGACGCTGTCTCTGGAACTGGAAGCGAGCGAAGATAATAATGCCACATCTAGTAGTAAATGTATCTAACTATCTGTCTAGATCTATTCCGCATCAGCATCAGCATCAGCATCAGCATCAGCATCAGCATCAGCATCAGCATCAGCATCAGCATCAGCACAGCACAACACAGCGCTGTCACTGCTAGCCTTACACATATCTAATTCATATAATCCGCCCTCCCTTAAACCACGTGAAAATAAACCCGCTTCATTCGCCTGGCACATGACTCCCAAAGAACTCCCTCGTTTCTCTAACCCCCACCTCTACCTCTGTCCACTTACACCTCAAGAGGGTCTTGAGTCTTGATCATGTACCCTGGGTATGTCATTCCAACCCCCCAGGCGGCCGCCTCGGTCCAAACGTGGCCTCCCACGCGCTTTGGACCTTGATCAGCACGGCTTCCTGGTTCGCGCGGGCGACGACCGAGAGGCCAAACGGACGGCCGTTGTAGGATAGGTACGAGAGAGGGAGTGTGGCGATTGGGTAGCCTAATGTCGAGAAACAAATGAGGGGAGTTAGCTCGTACATAGTACATATATGTAGATGGACGGAAGGGGGGGTGGGAGGACAGGGAGGTCCCAACATACCACTACAAGCCGCATAGGATATCAAAAGACTATCCGCCGGCGCCATGATCACATCGACCTGGTACGTGTCGAGAATGTGATCGATGCCCCTGTCTCTGGCCACCTGTCGGAGATGGTTCCAGTGCGCGTCGTACTCCTCATCCGTGAGGGATTGGCGGTACGCTCGTAGGAGGCGTTCCTGGTTCGGAGAATCTATTTCGTTTTGTTTTGGTGGTTCAGGATCAGTTCTTTTGAGTGGAGGGCAAGAAAGGAAAAGGAATAGAGTTGAGCCATGTCTGCTCTAAGCCGTGCTCTGGTCTGCTCTACTCTCTCGTCTTTCTTGGTAATTGGTACTTACCTGGAGTAAGTTCCAGATCGGCGTGTCGCTCATTGAACTCAATGAGATCCCCTAGGTTCCGAACCGTCGAGTTGACCCGTGTCTGGAGGTAGGCATTGATGGCCTTGACAAAGTCGGCAGCTGTAGAAGAGGAAAAGCGTCGTTAGTCTTTTGACGGTCAAGAAATCTCACTTTCATAAATCAGATCAGACTCCTCTCACCGGCGACCACAGTCTCGCTGTTTTGTCCATTTCTCTGGAATGCCTGAGGGCCGATCAGGGGAACATTGCCTGCGTAGGATTTGGCCAGTGTTTCAATCTTGGCGTACGCCTGACGGATCTCGGTGGTCTGTCACTTTGCTGGTTAGAAATCCTCGCCAGCATCTAGAGGCAGGCCGGCCGGTATGAGTAAGAAAGGTAGACACAAACCATTTGCCGCGTGGCACTTTCAACGGGCCGCAACCACGATTCCGGCAAGGTCCACACTTCGGGATCCAACGTCGCGACCGAAATGTCACTCCAGCTACCTGTCAATGCAGACGTGTAGCTTTTCGCAGGTTTGCGCTCAGGGTCGACGATGGCATCAAGCAGGACCGCGAGGTCGTAGGGGGTCTTGGTCATGGGACCCGCCGAGTCGAAGTTGGCCGAGATAGGGACGATCCCAGCCTGCGGCACGAGGCCGATCGTTGGCTTGATCGTATACAGGGCGGCTCTACCCGCTGGCAGAACGAGTGAGCCGTCGGTCTCGGTGCCAATGGAGAAGGGACTGTAGCCTGCCGAGACTGCGACCGCCGAGCCAGCAGAAGATCCAGAAGGGTTCTGATCAGGATGTCATTAAAGAGTCCACTTTGTGACTTCTTCTCCAACAGACAAAAACTCACACCATGGCTGTCTTTGCTGTCGTCTGGATCACTCGTCGCCCGTACGTAGGCCGACTTGACTTGTCCCCCGACGGCGGAGTAGCCACTGATTATATTTTCGCCTCTGTGCCGGGGTCAGCGCGGATGCAACAAGCCCTCACGGCAGCACGGACTTGTAGTTTGACAATTCCTAGATAAGGTCAATTAGTTGAGAACATTGTCGCCGGAGGACTTCACATACACTCAGGTTCGTCTTGCCGAGGATGATAACTCCGGCAGCAATCAGCTAACATGGTATCAGCAGGTGTTGTTTGCAGTGTATATGACATCGAACACAGAACTGTACCAGGTCGACGATTTTGGCGTTCTTCTCCGGCCAGGAATCCACGAGCGCATAGCTCCCGGCAGTCGTCTGAAAACCAAGGTCGGGGTGAGTGTCAATGTTGTCCTGGGGGAGAGTTATCAGAGCAGGACCATCCTAGAACGTCCTCGAAACCAGTACCTTGATGACAATGGGGATGCCGTGCAAAGGTCCTCGGATTTTCCCTTCAGATCTCTCTGTGTCGAGGATCTCCGCAGCCTTGAGGACACTCGCCAATGGCTTGAACCTGATCATGGCCTTCAGGCGACCATCGTGTCTCTGGATCTGATCTGTGTACAACCGCACAAGATCAACACTGCGCAGAGTTCCCTTGTCGAGTGCGTCTTGTAACTCTTTTAAGTCTGCGGTCAGCGGATTGAACCCCGCGGCGCCCAGTTTCACGGCAGTTGAAGCTTCCAGATCGGCCGATGAATACAATCGTACGCCTAAAAGGACTGCCGCAAAGAGAGCAACAAGGCTGAAAACGCTGGATCGGTCTAGGCGCCTGGCGGGGGAGTCCATGACGTGAGGCTGTAGATGAATGGACCTGGGGCTGTGCTTTCGTTGTGGAGGTTCAAGATTCCAAGAGTAATAGTTGAAACACAATGATTGGTTGAAACTACCTTATTCCAACCAGAAAGTCCTAGCAGTCTAAATACGCTAGTCCATTATAAGGCGGGGATAAGCCTTAGATCTAGACTAGTCCATAAACAGACTAGGTGCTCAAGACATGTATAGAATGATCAACCAGAACTACAAGTATACCTCGTATGTGTAGTCGAAGCAATGGCAAGCAACGTAAATGGTGCAATTATGTTCATCATCATGTGAGCCCAATTCCAAAGTATATCCTAGCACTTCTTTCACGTAATATTGTGCACGCTTGAAAGATTCTTTCTTTCTTCATCTATAGTCCCAACCATCGCTATGCCGCGCGCAACTAGAACAATCCATCGCGAAGAGGTCGTCCAAATGGAACAAGAAAAAGGGGTATCACGACCCTGAGGCCCATAAGAATCATGCAGCTCGTGATCAGCGACGCCTTGGAAAGGCTACCATCATAGTCCGGCCACTGAACTCTTTCACTCATATCAGAAGTGGATGAAACGAAAGGGTAAAAGAAAGATATGCACAAGAATAGAGCTATGGCCAGAGAGCCCACGACAACGGCCAGTCATAAGACAATGCAGGAGGATGTTTGATGCCTGTCAAGTGGAAGAAGTCAGTTTTCATATGTTTCTCTGGTATAAACGAGCATGTCTGTGACAGTGCCTGAGAAGCGCTTATAAGTAAAGGTACGAGACCAGCTCCCTTCTAGCAGCTTTCCCTGCCTGAACAATCATTTGGTCGCAGCAGATCTGCCACTGAGGTTTAACTTTCAGGGAGCTCAGTTGATTCAGCTTCAGCCCCGGAAGTCTCGAGCTCATGTGCTTCAGGCTCGGCAAGCTCAGGCCCTCGTGTGGTCACAGAGCGAGGCTCGAGCTGCGCGGGCGGAGTAGGTGCGATAGCATCACGAGTTTCCTGCTGATGTCGGTCTTGCTGCTCTCGCACTTTCGCAGCTAGCTCTGCTTCGTACTTACTTTAGAAATACCATGTCAGGCAAGGTGGGCTCAGCGTAGAGGGGAGAAGAAATGCAGAACTTACCACCGCGCTTGCTCAAGTCGGTATATCCATTCGGCCGTAATTTTCAAGCGTTCCCTCACGCCCGCAGCCGGCAGCAGGGCATACTTCTCCGTCTCTGCTATCGGTAGAACGCTTGCGAGCCAGTAAGGGAACGTGGCAGCATCTTCTGGTGGTTGTCCGTAAGCGGCAAGGACCCTTTGGTGTAGCCATCGTGCTGAACGTGCTTGTGCTTGACGAACAAATTCTAAACCGTACTCTAAGAGTTGCTGTGTCGACGAGTGAAGGAGTCGCACAAGGTCATCATCCTCTGGCTGTGTTGGCACACCCGTCTCCCGGGCCTCTATCGCCTCCTCCTCGTGCACGCTGATGTCATCAAAGCGTTGAATTCGACCAGTGAGATAGCCGTCGACCATCCCGGTTTCGACGACCCGAAATTTATACAAGCCTCTTGTTTCTAGGAGACTCCGACCATCGGCCAACATTTCGACTCGTTCGACGAACAAGACTGTCCCATACTCCTGCCAATGAGGGCCGCCTTGATGATATTCGCTGTGTGGCTTGTATGCCAACATTCCAAACTTGCGCGTGCCGTTTTCGAGGACGCGCCTGACCATTAACCTGTATCGTGGTTCGAAAATATGCAGAAACGTCGGCATCTGGGGATATACCAACGTGCACGGGAAGAGTGGTAGTTGGGTCTCTTCATCAACCATGTCTTCCTGTGCGGCAAGGGCCTTCCTCGCCACCAGGAGATCAGGAAACAAATGCTGTATCAAACGTGCGACTCTCTTATTGTTGGGTGTTGTCTGTTGGGTGTGGACCAGTGGTAGTAGACGACGACACATTGGGCAATGGTTGGTATGGTCCATGGCTCGGCAGAAGCACCTTCTACAGAAAGTATGGCCACACGAGGTAGTCAAAGGGTCCAACATGATCTGGTAGCAGACCTGACATTCGAGTTCGGGTCGGATGGCTTCCTGTAGCTTTTCCAATACCGTCGCATCAGCAGCTCGCACGGCCTCAGCGGTGTCGGTGTTGACAGTTGTGTACGAAACGGCGGAGTGGTAATTCAGCTCCCCCATATCTGCGAACGTATATGTCGCTGCAATCCGGCCACCTGAAATGACGTGTGAGTGCGGTGTGACTTCGGTGGAAGTGTCGTCGGGTCCGGAACTGTTCAACTTTTCTTCTAGCAGGAGAGGAATCTCAAGTCTTTCTGCCATATAGTTTGATATGAAGGCATTCACGAGATGCCCGATCTTGTTCAGTGTCACGTCGACCGCGCAATCGCCAACTGAATGTTCCGAGCCACAGCCATCAAATGGACATAAGAACCCCTCAGATCGACCTTCCACAATAGGATATGTAATGTTTTCCCGTTTGTATAGTGATGGGAGACATGGTCGACAAAGCGTGTTACCACATGGCAAGGTCATAGGCTCGTGAAGTGGTAGGGAGCACTGAGTACACTGGAACAACCTGACAATATCCCGTGCGTTGCTGTGCGCGTCGAACCCGTCCAGGGGTGTCGTCGCCGACTGCGGTCCATCACTCATCTGCGCGGGGAGTCAAATGTTGGTTTGTAAATCCCTACTCTTCCAATTGCTTTTGAGCCAGTCAAAAGAAGCTACAAGTATGATCCATATGTATAATCTCGTCGCGCCTGCGCCTCTGGCCTTGACATTCGAACTTTGTCGCTATATTGATACCTCTTCTCGAGAAGACCAATGACGGTTTGGATATCTGTCACCACAGTGACGCGAGACAGGTGATATAGAGGAACCTAGACTTAGGTTTGGGGGGAGGTAGATAAGCGATAGTCCGGCTTTATATCGTGGGTGAGGTGAATCTGAGGAGGGCCACCCTGCACAAGACCGTTTCGGCGTAGATGACAAGAAGTTATCAACTCTAGAGGAAGATTCGACGAAATGGTCAAGTCAAAGAGTCAACGACGTCGTTGACTTTGAGCAGATTTCAACCCGAGGTATGGTAGAACAGGGCAGCGTGCACTCCCATTCGTGATCCAAAGTGATGACCCGCACAGCTGTCAGGAACCAAAGAGGCATGTCAGTCGCAGCGGCTAATGAGGATACGAGAGAATATCGAGGGCTTTGGTGAGAGCCAGGCTTGTGGATACAGCAGACCATGGGCCTGGGGCAGCAGCAACGAACGCCTCCATCTTCCCTGTTGGAACGAACCAGGGCGAGTGATTGGTGGTGCGAGGGAAACAGGCAAGACAGTAAGATTTTGTTCGCCACAGTAGCGCGCAAGGTGTGAGCGATGTCAAGGGATATCGAGATCTGGAAATGGTGACGGGATCGAGAAAGTGGCCAACAACATCGACACACGGCGGGAGTTGGAGGGGGACCGATTATTGGGCACGCGTGGCACGGTACGAGTTGGAATGTGGTTGTGTGGGAGAAAGTGGAAAAGGTGCCCAGACCGGAGGGGGGCGACCGGTGGACGCCGACCAGCAGCCGAGGCTTGAAATAGCCCTGACTGATTGGTCCTCTCCCCCCCCCCACCTCAGTATTCGTCGTCATCACTGGCCCTGATGTCGACAACACACGTGACCAGTTTAACACGTGATTGATTGAACCCACGTGATACGGGCAATTTGATAGATGCCCTCCTTTACAGGCTCTACCTATATGCAGTCCGAGGTGCATCCAAGGCACTCATCTTCTGGAATGTTTGGTCCCTGGCAAGCGCTAAAAGTCATCGAATCTCTCTTTGCTTTTCTACCCCGCTTTCCTCTAGCTGGGGAATGGGCAGGTGGCGATACAAGGGAGACACCACCAAGGCATAGCATAGCAAACCTACCACCAAATGCAAAAGAACGCCATACCTTTCGTTTCTGTTTCGTTCCCACAAAGTATCCTGCAGGAATGCCATACCCAATACATCCATCCAGAGCTGTTGACAACAGAGCCGCAATACGCCACGCTATTTTGCCGAACTGATCCTCCCGCACACGTGTCCCTCTTCTCCATTTGTTCTAGGCCCTCCCAGACCCTATATTTTAACAATATTCGCCTTTTGGGTTTTGCCTTCCCAACTTGTTGTTGCTTCGCTTAGAAGCCTCCGAGTCAATCAGCGGTCCATATTCGACCATCCTCTGTATGTCTGTATGGCACAACTACCCTGTATCAGACTCGGTGGAGTCTCCCATGTCCTCGTCGAAGATGATCTTCCGCATTAGACCCTTGTTAAAGAGGTTGAGAATGTAGTGCCGCGCCTGCAGCCGATAGTGATGACTCTCCAGGATGACCAACGTTTTCCGAAACATTTCCGTGTCGCCAAAGTGGCTGGGTTGTCGCGCTTTGAGGGCATGAAGATCTGCGGCAGCCTTTTTGTACATGACTGAATTGCCCATCTCGACAATTGATTTGAGTATCTTCGCTCTGACCGGGTTGTCGTCCGTCGTAGCGTACTTGTACTTGACGTCGTCCTCGGGGGATGTTGACACGAGTACGGTGGCAGACCCAACCGATTTCTGTATTGTTAGCTACATCTTCGAGCATGCCAGACACGAACTTACCAAGCACAATGCCTCCAGATTACGGGGCAGACAGAGACCAAGGGAGCGCCCTCGCGGATCCACCGTCGTGTCCCACCCATTTTCGGCAAGCATCTCGAAACCGTGAAGGGTGCGTGATATCAAGCCTAAAACGAAACAGGCAGTGCCACGCATCGACAAAACGTGGGCACCTTCTGCAATCCTTACGATTGTGGTGACCACATCCGCCTCTTCCAGAAACGGTGCCCCGAGGTCCATTGAACCAATGTTGCCAACTGCCCACATGCACCCTTTCACCTTGGTCAGTATTTCTGGGTCTTCTTCCTCGAGATTGAAATCTCGGATCGTAGATGAAAACTCGTAGAAGTGCCCCGACTGCTTCAGCAGTTTACATCCTTCATGCGTCCTAGCAAGTTCTCGATAGAAGTGTGGAGGTGCTATTCCAACCTCATGTAGGTCAACGGTGGCATCTTCGTTAAAATGCACCTTACTGGTACTAGCGTCCATGTAGGCTCGAAGGATTGAAGCCTCCACGAGAGCCACATATGCATCGTTTCGGCCCAGGAACCAGTCATCCATTTCCTGCGTAATGTAGTCAAGTCCGCTGAGATATCGATAGCCTACAGAAGTCGAAAGGAAGCGCAGTAGAAGGGGGGCGCCAATCTCTCCGAGATGATCCAGTGATGGTCGGCATTTGACCACGTATTCCAGATGGCTCCTTTGATTACAAGCTTCCTCGAGAATCTTGACGGCCACTTCGCCGACCTCGACGTCTGGATCGTACAATTGTGTAAGAACCAGCCGAAGAGCCCAATGGGAACTGGAGCGGTCTTGTAGGCCGGACGAATATTGTACGCGACCTACCGCATATCGTCGAAGCAGCTTGGTGGCGAAGAGTCGGATATCTTTGACGCCGGAGGTTAGTGCTTTCGACAGAATAACCCGAAGATGTGTGTCCAGGGTGTAGTCCATATTCCCAAGGAGTGCTCGGATCAAGTCATCTCGATCTTTGAGTTCAACAAGGTGGTAGAAGATGTCCATCATATGCCACTGTTCCATTAGACGCATTCCCTCAGCAGAATGGCTTAAAGCGCCGAGCATGGCAAAATAACCTGCGCTGAGTGTCTCAGCCATGTGGTGCCGTTCAAACAATGGGTTAGATGAAGTAATCCCGCTGTGTGGATCGATCTGGGCAAGGCATTCTGCGATCTGGCGCAACAATTTGTTCTCCGCAAGGTACTGCACGCCCAGTGAGGTCTGAGTTAGGGTCCGCATCAGGGCGCAGCCGGTGCGAATGTAGCGCTGGTTAGGCCTGGTGTTTCGGATGGTGGAAAATCGATATTTGAAGGGTCGAAAGAATCCAACAAGTCGCTTCATGAATTTGGGAGATCTGATGGCCTCTTCCAGCCGTTTTGGATTGGTCAGAGGCCCTTCGACCAAGCCTTGGATCAGCTCCCATCTCCATTTGATGTATTGTGAATGACTCGTGACCTGGCTGTCGGCCATAGCTTGCCGAAATTGATCTCCGTCCATCATGGCAGTATACTTTGTTCTTTCAATAGTCTGAGGGCCGACGGCTAATTCATCAACCTGTTCGATTCTTCCGAAGGTAGAAACAGACGCCCTATTGAGTGCTCGATTGATGCTTTCGATCTGATAGATCATACCCATATTGATAGCCGTCATTTCGGTTCCAAAATCGACGCAACTGGGCACAAGGTCACCAAGGACCTGGATGCTCGAACTAATCGTTTCGGGCAGAGCATGGTGTGAAAGTTTCAGAACCTCAGTCAGCAAAAGAGTGCCCTTCCGTTTTAGAGCAGCATCCTCCTCGATTTTGATCAGATCCACCAGTGCAGGTATCAGACCTGCCTTCACCAATGCTGCCAGCACGAAGGCCGAGAAGTGATATGTTAAGTCAAACCTCCCCTCTGCGTTGTATTCTGCCAGCTGCCTTTGAGACGGTTGCTCCACTTGCAAAGTGTTGACTCTGCCGTAGGTTGTTAACCTCCTGCCGGCCAGAAACGAGGTAGACCACGAAGGTGGTTTGATGCGGAGGATGTCAAAAAAAAGCTCCAACACGATATCTCGAGATTGTGTGATGGGGTAGACCAGCGAGTCAATCAGAGATCGCAGAGGAGAAGCGCCATTCATCGATAGCAAGATGAAGCCGGGCCAAGTTTTGAGCATTGCTGCAATAGCCTGAGCACACGTTTTCAATTTTTCCTCATCGCCGCTGAGCAACAGGGGGTCTGTAAACGGAGCAAACATAGCCTCAAACTCCCGGCCGGTGTGTAAGTACTTGCGTTGCTGTGGATGGTCCAGGATGTGAAGAAAGCTAGCGACGAGACCTTCGGGTGCCGGGAAAGAGCCGTCTGCCAGGGCTTCGGTGAGAGTGCTCATGCCATTCGCTGCGACGACCAGTTCTGTGTGTTTCATAAGGAGCTCGGCCAGCGTCAACAGGCATATATCTCTCAGGCGGTCGTCATATGTTTCAGCGACCGCTACCAGACTTCGCACAACAGCACGGGAAAGCTCATAGACGCCGTCTTTCACGTCCAGGAATGCTCGCACAAATTTGACAGCCTGCTCACGTTCCAGCACAGCGTTGGCCTTTTTAACCAGTGACAGGATGACCAGTTCGTCTGTACGGAGGGTTCGGATGGTTTGCAACGATTTCCTATCAGCGATAGCGTGTCGAGTCAGTCTGTAGCCTGCTGCAACGACATCAGAACTTTCGCTGAGTAGCATCATCTGAACCCGCTCGCTGAAGACTTTCCAGGCCAGATCATACTTCAGACCAGGGTTGCGCTTCAACAGGTCGACCAGAGTATTTGCACGTTCGATGTAGTAATCCGGAGGCATCCCATCCGCTTCGAGTTGTTGGAGGGTTTCAGTAAGGACCACCGTGGGCGACTCGCTGTCGACTGATTCGGTCAGGTCCGGGCCCTGGTTTTGCCCCAAGGGAGGCGATTTAAGCGGGCTACCTCGAAAATAACTGGTAAGTCGCGTGTTCGGGGGAGTGGTCGGGGTCTGAGAGCGCATTATCTCCTGGTCAAGTTCTTGCTTCAGTTCGGCGAGTTTCCTGTTGGAAGAGCCCAACTCCATCTCGACCTTCTGTCGTTGCTCCTTGGTTTGTTTGTTGTTCTTGCTCAGCAACGCCTCGAGCATATTCTCCGTCCCGAGTTTTATTTTCATCTCCTTTGCAATCTTGTCGCGCACCGCAGCTTGCCGCTGCTCCGACGTAGTAAGAGGATCCGCATCCTTGTATTGCGGCGGCAGACGAGCAAAGGTCACACCTGCCACTTCCGTCTGCGGAGTAGTCCTTCCAGAATGCGTGGTATTTTTGAGATCCGTGCTGAAACTACCTGGAGGATTGGCAGGAGTGAATGCTGGGACGAAAGCCTTTTGGCTGAACTGAGCACTTCCGCCGGACAGTGAGCGTCCATCTTTCATGAAGGGTCTTTGAGAGGCTGAGAAATCGTCACTTTTCCTAGATGCATGGCGGATATTGAAGCGCCCTTGAGTGGGTGTCACCGAGTAGCCCGACGCTTGATCCGACGAGGCCATCGAGCCATGGAGGGTGTCGACCCTCTGCTAGGTGGTTGATTGTTTTGGGGCTGCGCAGGAGACACCCATAGGTATGTTTGATCGGTTCAGCCGGAACAGGATGAGGGAGCGTCGCGGAATCCGATATTGTGGAATTTAGGAGGCTGCGTCCTGTCTGCAGTTCTGATTCTGGTTGAATTGTTCATGGGCTTTTCGTAAGTGGTCTGTTTTGGATGAACCCAACACCGTTCGTTATCTTTGGGCGGCCTGGCACCGGGGACGGCTTTGCGGTTGCGCGGTTGTAGGAGGAGCAAGTAAACGTATCGGCGACAGGTGGTGTCGTACCGAGAATTGATGTACAAAGGATAGAGATGCAGACCAGTGTATCGACAATTGACATGCAGTGAGTTGTGGATTGACAGTAGTCGTTCGAGTCAAGATCCAATCACCAAGTCACAGCGAGATCGGGTGCTAAGACCTGCGCTTGTAGGGAGTGTCTCCCCCCCTGCTGATCCGTGTCCGTCCAAGCATTGCGGGGTCACTTTTTCGGGGGGGTGTTACGGGCAATACGGGGTGTTTAACATGCCCAATCCCAAATCTTTAAGAGCTTTAGGCTATGCTGGGCCCCTCGTGGCCCTTCGATCTGTCCCATCCCAAGTCTCGCTAGAGCACATGCAAAAAGATGCCTGAACGAAACATGCCTTGTCCCCAGACTGCCTGTCGTTCGAGGTCTCCTCTTTAGTGACGAACAAGTCGAACTCCCATCTGCTGAGCACCTAGTAAACGAGGCAGCCGTCAGATCGCTCATAGACCCAGACTTCATACTGACATCATACCGCTTTTTCAACGATCACCATAAAGATCAACCATATCGTAGCTGCGGTGTTCAGATACCAAATGTCTTGTACTGCATTGGACCAGCCACCAAACTATTACTGGGTAGCGCTCCCGCTCAGGCACGGTATCTCGGGATCTCCAGAAAGGAACATAACAGATCTATTGTCAGGTGAGCTCGACATCCCCATGTAGATGCTAGCCACCGATAAAGCATATGCTGTCGCCATTGCGCGGGTGCGCGTCTCGGCGACCTCCGTTGTTCATGAGCTCGTACAACAGACCAGTCTTGACCAAATTGCTGGCCGGCCACACCAATCGCCTCTGCTCGATGCGTCTATGATCAGCAGTTTTACAATATCTTTACCCATGGCCGCGCATGCAATTGGTGATTCTGGTCGTGGAATTTACTTCCCTGGCGTCATCCTCCGATAAGAAGTTGTAAGAAGTCTTGATATAAAGAATCTGCGGCGCCGACTCCTCTTTCCCTTGTATCTTATCCCCTTGTACTCACTCACAACAGGCGACCAAGATCAGTAGTAGCTTGAAGAATCTCAGTGTATCACGTCTACCACTCAAACACATTTTACTCAAGATGGCCAAGCTCGCTGCAGCTCGTTATGGCAAAGACAACATTCGCCTGTACAAGGTTGAGAGGGACGAAGCCACCAAGACACACACCGTTTATGAGATGACAGTCTGCGTCTTGCTGGAAGGAGAGATTGATGTATCGTCAGTGATGCTCCTCCGATTTCTACCACGCGTGATATACTGACATCGGTTAGTTACACCAAAGCCGACAACAGTGTTGTGGTTGCAACCGACTCAATGAAGAACACCACCTACATCATGGCAAAGCAGAACCCAGTCCACCCTCCCGAACTATTCGCATCCATCCTCGGCACTCACTTCATCAATACCTACAAGCACATTCACGCTGCTCATGTTAGCGTTGTCCAACACAGATGGACCCGTATGACGATTGACGGAAAGCCTCACCCTCACTCCTTCTTTCGTGACGGGAATGAGAAGAGACTGGTACAAGCAGATATCATTGAGGGCAAGGGAATTGAGATCAAGTCGGGTATCTCCGACCTTTTGGTGCTCAAGAGCACCGGTTCTGAGTTCCACCACTTTGTCCGAGACGAGTTCACCACCCTACCTGAGGTCTGGGATCGTATTCTCAGCACATCGGTCGATGCCAACTGGAAATGGTCTACTTTTGCGGGCCTGGATTCCGTAAAGAAGCATGTTTCCAAATTTGATGAGACCTGGACCAAGGCTCGAGAGATCACTTTCCGACTCTTCGCCCTCGAGGAGAGCCCTAGTGTGCAAAACACTATGTACAAGATGTGCGAGGAGATCCTCGCTGCTCAACCTCTTGTTCAAGCGGTTGACTATTCGCTTCCGAACAAGCACTATTTCGAGATTGATCTGAGCTGGCATCATGGCCTGAAGAATACTGGGAAGGACGCCGAAGTCTATGCGCCTCAGTCAGACCCCAACGGCCTGATCAAGTGCACTGTGTCCCGGGACGACACTGCGTTGTCCTCCAAGCTGTAGACAAGATCTGCTCGAGCGTGTTCGGTCACGGAGTTCTGGTGCTGGAGTCATGGGACAGGGATTTCCGGAGAACAATAAACAGGCTGTACATATCCCGAAATAATCCACCTATACATTGTCGCAAAACCCCGTATGCCTTTCTTTGTCCCTAGAACACCGTAAAAGTACTATTACATTCTCAGTTTATGAGCTCGCTTTCGTCTCCTGGTTCGCTGCAATGGCTTGCATGACAGGCCCTGGCTCGCCGCCTGTGAATGGCTTCCCTGCAAACTTCACAATATTGGCCTTGTAGGGATGGTTGGTGCCTTCGAAAACTTTCAACCTTGCCAGCCGTTTATCCCTCAGCCGGTTCTTTGGTAGCATACCCCTTACGGCTTTCTTCAACACCTCTCCGCCACCCCACTTCTCAATCATCCTCTCCATGCTCATCTGTTTTAAGGAACCCGGGCGCGTATTGTGGGTGTAGTATTGCTTTTGTTGGCGTTTCTTGCCTGTAACATGTATGTCGTGGCACCCACAAGCAACAACGTAGTCGCCGCAGTCGGTAGAGGGGTCGTAGATGGGTTTATGCTTGCCCATGAGAAAAACGGCGATGGAGGAGGCTATCCGACCGAGAGAGCGAGAATCGGAGCCTACATCGATATAGTGCCATGTTCGAGAGTAGGCAAGACGGGTCTAGCATCATGACAGGAAGGTTAGGGTGAGGTTCAGGTGCAGGTAATGTTTCTGAGAAACGAGGTTTCGGAACATACCTTGCCTATTGTTTGCGACATGGCCGGCTTAATGCTATCTTGACATGGAAGAGGTGCAAGGTCTGTGTGTAGCTTATCCCAAGCCTACCGCGATATCACAGGAAGCCTTCAAAATACTCGAAGCAGGTTGTTGATGAGCGTCCTACGTCCTATGGGAGCGGTAGAAAGAGTCCGCATTGAGCTTCGAGCCGGAAAATTGCATTAGTACCACAAATGGTTTAGTGCCATAATTCTTGGCGCATGCCCGCACTTTCCCTGCGAAAATCGTACACCACCAACTCCCAAGAACATTTTCACAATCGAGCAATCCACCCAACTGTACCAGCTCTGTGTAATCGCCGCCAGTCCCCAAGATGTCGGCTCCCCAGAGTGTACAGTGCTTCGGCAAGAAGAAGACTGCTACGGCGGTTGCCCACTGCAAGGTCAGACAAACCTGATGCGCAAGACGACTTTGAGATTGAAAACTGACAAGTCATTTGGGATTTCTACAGAAAGGCAAGGGCCTCATCAAAGTCAACGGAAAACCTCTCTCTCTCGTCCAGCCGGAAATCCTGCGTTACAAGGTATGATACTGGCTTTCGACCCCCAATCCCTCGCTTCGCAGTCCGTCCAAAACGAGCGAAGAGATCCCCAAGAAATGAACAAGTGGCTCATATTGTTTGTTTCAACTCTCAGGTCTACGAGCCACTCCTGATTGTCGGTCTCGACAAATTCGCCGATGTTGACATCCGCGTCCGCGTTACCGGTGGCGGTCATACTTCTCAGATCTACGCCATCCGCCAAGCCATCTCGAAATCAATCGTCGCCTACTACCAGAAATTCGTCGACGAGTACACGAAGAACCAGTTGAAACAGGCTCTGATGCAATACGATCGTACACTCCTCGTTGCCGATAACAGACGGTGTGAACCCAAGAAGTTTGGTGGCCCGGGTGCAAGAGCGCGGTACCAAAAGTCGTATCGTTGAGTGGGACTATGGCTGGGAGGAGGATCGGTCGGTGGTGGCTGTGGCGGTGGTAGTTGCGCTGTTATGTGGAAGGCACATGGAATGCTTGCGGTTGTGCTTCTGGTTGAATTGTGAGGACAGCACCATGATTGTCTGCCAGGGAAAATGAATGGTGCGAAGATGGAGACATCGAAGCTGTTCCCAAATACCTACGAAAGGAGCATCATACGGCTCGTCAAGCTGATGAGATCCGATTCCGCCTATTATGGGTCACTCATCGAGGCGCAAAGGCTTGTGGTCGGACATGCAGCCAACTGAAACCGGAATAAATTTCTCGTTCAAAAGATCTCTCATTGCAACGCTTGAATGATCGTTCGAATGTTACTCGCGCTGCTTTCTTACGTGATTCTGGTGTCAAGTCTCAACGATGACCGGCGCATACTCACCGGTCTCTTCATCCTCGTCAACGCCGTGCATGGTAACCTCGACTCGCTCGCCATCCTCTAGCTCAAACATTCCTCTCCTCAACATGTCCCTTTCACTCTGCCATCCATACTTTTCTTCGAACAGCCTCTCCAAACCATCAACCTCTCTTCTCAGCGAGTCTCTTTGGCCCTTGTCCACGTCATCCACCACCGCCCTGAACCGAGCCCACAGCGTCCTCAGCCAGGCGCTTCCAGATTCGTCCCTCAGCTCGAACAGCCCGCCTTCGACATCGTCCACATGCATTATCTGCAGACGCAGCACCCTAACCACCTGCACAAAGTAGCCTTCCGCTTCGTCCAGCGCGGTGCGGCAGGTGAAGAAGACGGTGAGGAGCCGCTTCCACTGCTCGAGACAGCTGTAGTTCGCGAGCGTGAGCACCATCAGGAAGCAGAACTGTAGCTCCCCGAGCAACTCGCGCGCACCCTGCGCTCTGTCTCCGCCGGCTCCGTGAGCGGCTTGCTCGATCAGTTGGCCTAGGTACCAGCTCCGATCCCGTGCCCTGTCCGTCCTGGCCCGACCGATGTCCCCGCCCGCCCACGTCTGCTTGAGATTGACCGGCAGCAGATCGAGGGGTAGTTGATGTAGGGCATTCGAGGCTTCGAGGTGCGAAAGGCCCGGGATGGTCTCGGTGTCACTGGGTGCAGAGGAGATTGACGAGATGATACAGTCTGGAGAGAGAATGCGTGTGAGAAGTGAAGAAGAGACGTACGTTGTCAGAGCGGGCCAGTCTGTGCTTTCTGCGCGGCCATCCTCGTCGGCCGACGCTGCTGCTGCTGCCGCCTCGGATACATTGTGTCCCTTTGATTCTCCTGCAGATAGCTCCGAAGTCGCGCCCTGTAATACCGCATAGTCGACTAATCCGCGGCCGTCCGAGACGGCAGCGATCGCATTCCGTGCGTCTGGATCATTTTGGTCCACCACCTGCAGGGACTCTCCGTCTCTGTTCCACCGCAAGACTTGGTTCGGGTTTGCAGAGTTCAAATTCAGCCATCTCCCATGTCGGATCGATAGAGAGGCATCGGTCCCAGTGTACAGAAAATGAAACCCTCGCGGGATTGTGGCGACGCCGTAAAAGTTGGGCGAGGAATTGAATGACACTAGATCTAAACCGACGAAAGTCTTGGGTGGGAGTGAGAGGATGATCAACATCGAGAAATTTTGTGAATCCATAACCAGTTGATCCTTTAAGTTGGGGGAGAGAAAAAAAAGGAGAGACCGGGCTGGCTACGAGGTGGAAAGTCTATACGGACGCGAAAGTTGCGATGAAGTTTTTGTCTTTTGATTTCATCATTGCATGCACGTATTCCTCGTCGCGATCATTTGACCGCAGAAGAGTAGCAGCATTGAAGACCAGGCACAAAGGGCCGTTCTTCGCGTATTTGAGTCCATCCTCCCCTTCTCCTGCAGAAGCATTTTTGGGCTGTTTCCCTCAGCGGCAAGCTGCTAACAGGGAATACAAGCAAAAGTAGTACACCCGAGTCCAGCGCACATGCTCACAGACGACGACCGCGACGACCGCCCTTGCGTCTCGTGCTGTCGGATGGCGTGGGAGTAACATCCTCGATTCTTCCAATTCTCATACCCGAGCGAGCCAATGCACGCAGAGCCGATTGAGCACCAGGGCCTGGGGTCTTTGTGCCATTTCCTCCAGTAGCCCGGATCTTGATGTGAAGAGCGGTGATGCCGAGTTCCTTGCACCGCTGAGCAACGTCTTGAGCTGCCAACATGGCAGCGTAGGGAGATGACTCGTCACGGTCGGCCTTGACTTTCATGCCTCCTGTAACACGGCAAATGGTTTCGCGGCCACTGGAATCACCCAGAATGTTAGCCTTTTGAACCATCTGCACCTTTCCCGATATACGGCATTGCTTCATTGTGGTTCTTTTCACTTACGAGAGATCGGTAACATGGACGAAGGTATCGTTGAAGGAAGCGAAGATGCGGGCAACGCCAAAGACGAGTTCACCTGGGCGCAATATTTAGCACAAGAATCCATGCGCAACTTCGCTCAATTTCACTGACCTTCTCGCACCTGAGGGCCGAGGGAGATGTTCTCGGTGGCAGCGCGCTCGACCTTCTTCTTGGGAGGCATTTTGAATTGTTGTTGTTGGTTGTAGGAGTGGACTGGCAAAAAGACAGGAAAGAATAATTTCGACGATTATGAGATTTTGATGGGGAAAACTGCTTGGTGCGTGGGAGCGGGACAGGTCCGCCAGCATATTTCACGCTAGTCCTAATCCTGTCAATATGTCTTGGCAGAGAATTGGGGGCATCGCTTTGAAACAACGCTCACCACTCATTGCGTTGACCAGCCCATCACCAATAATCTAGTTCCAATTTGGTTCTCGCCTGTGTCAAGAAGGACTCGATACTAGGAGCACTGATACACTGTTGATAACGACGATTCGATTATCGACTAGTACTGAAGCTACACAGGCACCAGAGGATGAACTGCTACTTGTAGTACATACATCGCTGCGTGGTCGCTCATATGTTCTAAAGGCAGAGCAAGGATCGAGGCAGAAATGCTTGAGCTGGCTGCCAGGTTATCGTGATCAATGTGTACCTCGTACAAGTAGGACCTTCGCGACTTTGAGTCGCGTGAGGGTTGACCCCAATCGTGCCAAGCCCAATTCTAGATGAGGATTAGTGTCTTGGCGTCTTAAAGAAAACTTTCTCCCGTTCTCATCCTCAACGCGACTTTCGTTTTGTTCAACAGCTCAAAGTGCTATACTTTCAACTGGTGTTAGGTTTAATGATCGTTACGTCGATGGCCTGCTGCGGTGATATATCTACTAATGTCTCAGTGTCCAATTGAGCAGAGTTAGCGACCAACGACGATTCCAAATTGAAAAGTCAACAACACCCGAGTTGTCCCTCCCGCGCCGTGAGTCATGGAGGGCATTACAGTCGGGATCATTGGGATGGGTGACATGGGCCGTATGTACGCAAGAAGATTCAGTCAAGCTGGATGGAGGTACGAGAATGCAGTGCATGTTTTTTGACAAGATAATGTGCGCTGAATGTCTGTTGCTCAAGGTATGTTGGCTTGTTTTACTTTCATTATCCTCCAAGGATGACTCTGAGTGCATTTGGCTCGAGCATGGTCGTTGAGATATTGCTTTCATCATTCTGATGTAGCATCCTATCCCAACGGCTGTCACTGATGTAAAAACCTCGCTACCTTAACTTTTTCTTGTCTGATGGTTATGCTATCTGTTGCTACAATCTATCACATCCAGTTCCCAGAGGATTCTTAGCTGACCTTTTTGCTTCGATAGACACGAAACCCTTAATGCTGTCCTCTAAAAACATAGAACTGATGGTTAGCCATGCAGAGTCAACGCTTGCGATCGACCAGACAAGTTCCAAACTCTACACGAGGAGTACGAGAATGAGGTTTGTGTCGTCAGCAGAGTTGATGAACATGATTGACCAAGATTAGAAAGGAATAAATATCTTGCCTAATGGTCATCTTGTTTCCCGAGCCAGCGACTGGATCATATACAGTGTCGAGGCTGAGCTCATTGACAAGATTGTTGCTGAATATGGGCCGTCCACCAAAGTCGGCGCCATTGTTGGTGGGCAGACCTCTTGCAAAGCGCCTGAGCTGGCTGCCTTTGACAAGTACCTGCCTGACGACGTTGAGATTGTTTCTTGCCATTCCCTGCATGGCCCTGCCGTAGACCCAACAGGCCAACCCCTTGTCGTCATTCAACACAGAGCATCTCAGAAAAGTGTTGATCTCTGTGTCCGAATCCTCTCTTGCCTGAATTCCAAGTTCGTCTTCTTGTCGGGGGAGAAGCATGACCGCATCACAGCAGACACGCAGGCAGTCACGCATGCAGCGTTTTTGAGCATGGGAACCGCGTGGGCGGCGAACAACCAGTTTCCGTGGGAAATCGATCGATATATCGGTGGCATCGAAAACGTCAAGATTAACATCACTTTGCGCATCTATGCCAACAAGTGGCATGTCTATGCTGGACTCGCAATTCTCAACCCGGCAGCGAAAACACAGATTCGACAGTATGCTGAGTCGGTTACCGAACTCTTCAAGCTCATGCTGGGTGGCCACCGAGAGGAGCTGTCCCGGCGGATCAAGACGGCTGGTGCGGCAGTCTTTTCCAAAGACGCTGTTGATCAAGATCTGTTGCTTGGGGATGATGTGTTGGACAAGTTCTCGCTCTCACGGAGACCCAAAGAAAGAATGCCAAACAACCACCTGAGTCTGTTGGGCATTGTCGATTGTTGGTGGAAACTCGGCATCGTTCCATACGACCATATGATTTGCTCCACGCCTGTGAGTATGTTCCTTGGCCTAGTTTTGTTACTATTTCTGACATTCCATCCCCTAGCTCTTCCGAATCTGGTTGGGGGTCACTGAGTATCTCTTTCGCAACGAGACCTTGCTAGATGAAGTAATCAACACGGCAATCGAAGATGACACATTTCGTTCGGACGATCTTGAGTTCACCTTTGCGGCAAGAGTAAGTCTCTCCAAAGTGGCATAACCTGGCTTTGTCTATCTGCACGCCCTCCACGAAAATGCACCTGCTTTTGGGCCAACTCAAATTCAAGTGTTATCTCTACCCTTGATGGGGTTTCTCCTCAAATCAACATAGGCTGATGATAGTGGCATTTGACCGTAGGCATGGTCTGAATGCGTTTCATTCGGCGCATTCGAAGCATATCGGAGCCGGTTCGAAAGAATCCAACAATACTTTGCCCCGAGATTTCCCGACGCTGTGAGACTTGGGAATGAAATGATCAAGGAAATCATGGTCAAGACGAAGGACTGACTCGTAGGTGAGGGCCCCCGGCGAATGGGAGAGTGGTGTGGAGGGTGCCCGGGGTTTTGTGAGGGAGTTGGGTATCATAAAATTCATCAGTGCCCGGTCCAGTGAAGGTCCTGCAATTCCGAGTCTTCGATGCGATCAACAGTGACGCCAACAACCAAGTCGAATCGCTTTCCTGTTGACCGGGCAAGGGCCGGCAAGGGAATGGTGGCTAGGAAGGGCCAAGTCTTGCCTTTTGCAGATAGGAGAGGCTTTGCCGGAGAAACATGACTAACCAAACAGAACGACCCCAGACACCCACCAGATGGGTGCCAGATCCTTCATGCCAAAAATAATGGACTCGACACAGCTACGGATTAAAAGAGGGGATTTCGCCTCCCTAGATGGATATCAGCTGCTTGCATTATATTAGTTTTGATGATCTCTAGAACAGCGATTGGTTGGGGTAAGGTTGCCGCAAAGTTCCAGAGGAGACCAAACCATTGCTGTGTGCAAGCCGTCGACTCGAGTATCGTAAACTATTCCTTGCACCTCACAGCATTATCGAGGTGCATAGATAGCGAGATGCTTTGTCGACTTCCAATCATCAGCGAGGACCGTCTTATCCGTCGCTGAAAGGCATGAGGAGTGCCGCCGCGGACCGTACAATTCCGGAAATAATGGGGAAGTTGAACAGACAAGTTGCCACACAGAAATCCTTCCTGACCTCATAACTGTTTCCAGCCGCCGTATATAGGAACTGGGCCACATTGCGCATCTACACACACTGCGCCCCTCTCCGTTGTTCCTACTCTGTACAACATGAACGGTGGGATCATTTAGCCGGCCCAGGACTTGCACGTTTGAAGATCTGAGCCGTCGATCAAACCCAACGAGATCCAATCACAGGTCCTGGTCTATCGCAGGATGCTTCTTTGTGCCACGCAACAAATTCCCAGACTACAGAACGGGAAAAGCCAGCATGCCGAGCCCTATAGGTACGACGACAAGTATTGACTTGCATGTATCTGTGCAAATACTCCTCCCTAACTCAAATATATCCCCTAACGCCGCAGCCAATCGGGCAGCAAGAGATTACCATTGCCATGCAGCTGCGCCGTGCCCTGTGGAGGAGGGCGGGTGCCAAGCCTCGCGCTAGACAGATAAGCGGTGGATTAGCGTGGATTATTTCGGAGCCGTGCCCAATCAAGCTAGATATGTGGGTTGCTGATCCCCTTTCCTGGTCGTTCAGTCCCTGTGGATGATTTCTATTTATTGTCTGTCATCCAGCCTTGTGCGTTCGCCGCGCCGGAGTCACTCCGTGAAGACCTTTGGTCGTTTTTCGGGAGGTATCAGGTCCACATTGAGGTGATGCACGCACTGTGTTGGGTATGTCGACAGCCAGTTCTTCGTTATGCGACGAGATATCTACTGTTGCACGGTGCCGCGTAATTGCCATGGCGGGCCGTATGAAAGAATCCTTCCCAAACAGGGGTCGGGGTTTTAGGAAAGCGTCGCATGTAGCTCTCCTGAAGCCCCTTGGCAAGCCACGGAACGCGCAATCAAGCCATCCCCTCTGACGTGCAATCTGCCCAAGGTTTTGAACATGGCTCGCACTCCTGGAGACGATCAAAGAATTAAAACCCCCCTTTGACTTCCGTCGCGTGTTTCGAAATTCCCCCATATCTTCACCCAACGCGTCGAGCAAAGAAAGGCTTATATCCTTCCCTGACCCTGCAAACAATTCCTCATTTCTTGACTCGTAGCAGAATTTGACGAGACCCAGTCTACTCGTTATCACCACACTATCTACCGACTTCTGATTGTATCGACCTTGTTGGAGCACCATGGTGCAGAAAGGCGTCTTGGCTTTGGCCGCCCTAGGTACGCCTCTCGCGGTTCTGCCATTGACACATTGTACTGACCCTGGCCGCAGTGGCTGGCTCATCGGCACAATTTGCACAGTATTCTACCAGTAACTACGCGGTAGCGGTCAATGTGCCGTCAGACACAGCTTCCTCCGGCAGCGGCTCAATATTTCTGCAAATCAGTGCCCCCAGCGGCACCCAATGGGTCGCATTTGGTCAGGGCACTGGCATGTCAGGGGCCAACATGCTCGTTGTATATGCCGCCGACAGCAACAACGTGACTGTATCCCCCAGATTGGGCACCGGCCATGTTCAACCACGGTTCAACTCTGACGCCCAGGTCTCACTCCTAGAAGGAAGCGGTATCGCCTCGGACGGCTCGCTTGTCGCCAACATTCGCTGCGACAGCTGCCTAAGCTGGAGTGGTGGCAGCATGAGCCCAACGGATTCTTCGAGTAACTGGATCTTTGCCCACAAATCAGGAGATCCTCTTGACTCAACAGACACATCTGCCAACATCAACCAGCATGACAGTGACGGTGGATTCACCCTGGACTTGACTCAGGGGACTGGTGGAAGTTCATCAAACCCGTTCGTGGCAGCATCCAACGACGACTCTTCCTCGGCAGCCCCGTCGGCGACCCAATCTGGTTCCCAGTCCGCAACTGGAGGACCTGCCACCACAACCGAGACAGGGACGGCTACTGCAAGCACCGTGGTTACCCCTACCGGTGGCGTGTCCAACCCTATCGTGAGCTCCAACCCGTCCTCGTCGAGCGGTACAGAGGTAAGCAGCGGATCAGACGACAACATCCGAACTGCTCATGCCGTCATCATGCCTCTGGTCTTTGTGGTCATGTTCCCCTTGGCGGCATTGACGCTCTACCTCCCCTACACGAACAAAGTCCGACATATCCACGCTCCGTTGCAAGTTCTGAGCTTGGTCTTGATGATTGTCGGCCTGGGCCTGGGTGTTGAACTCGGCAAACAAGTCGACAACCTGGATGGCTACCACATGGTCATTGGCTACATCCTCGTTGCGTGGATGGGGGTCTTCCAGCCTGCCCTTGGTCTGCTCCAGCATATGCATTTCCGAAAGTACGGCACCAGGAGCGCTTCCGGACACACCCATCGTTGGCTCGGCCGTGCCATGATCCTGCTAGGTGTCGTCAACGGCGGCTTGGGATTCAAGACTGCGGGAATAATTGGCAGCCAAAACGTCCCGACCTACTCCGTTGCAGTCTACAGCGTCTTCTCTGGCCTTATCTTTATCGTCTACGTCGTCGTGCTCTGTCTCCCGAATTACAACCAGACCGCCGGGTCGACACAAACCCTGCCAGGTGAAAAGCCCCGACCAAGAATTGAAGGCTACGAGATGCATCGCCGCTCTGACGATGACCGACCACTGCGCGGGTGATCACTCTCAATCACACCATGGCAACTCTCGACTGGGAAGATTGGCCCAGATACACCAATTTCCTTAATTTTTTCTTCTTTTTTCCCCTTTTTTTTCTCGCTACAACTTTAAAGAACGGGTCGCGACGTGCGCGATAAGACGGAATGGAGTACAAGAATGGGTTGGTCTGTTTAGACGGAGGGGGGCGGAGTGATGGAATCACGATTGAAATGCAACGGAAAATGTATGAAGCAACCTTTTTTTTCCCCCAAGGGCAACCGGCGGCGTGAGTGGTTTCAAACGAAAGGACGGCCTTTTTGGAGTGTTTCTCCCACTGGAACAAGACTTTTCACACAAAGGTCCTGGGAAATTCTAGTGCTACAAAATGAATGATGTAGACAAAAAAGAACTACAAACTACTCGGTATGTACATACATAGCTACTGCTGCCACGACGACTATCACAAACCTATTGAGTCGGGTGGTATAAAAGGCACAACAAATGCAACGCAATTCGCGAATAATCACACCACTTTTTCTCAGATAGCAACCGGAGTATCTGATTTGTTGTCTTGTTCTTGCCTTTTTGGCCAAAAGTCTACAGCACAGGGACTTGCCGGTCGGAAGCTCAGCGACAGAATCATGTGGCTACCCTTGCATCGTGCCATGCGTGTATGTAGATCCATTCGTCAAGAAGCGCGGGGTGAATCTAGTCAAGCAGAAAAACAATCAATGTCTATCTATCTCTTTCGCGCGCGCGACAAGTACAAAGGTACATACCGTAGGCAGCTGAACACCATCCGAGTCCAACCTTACAAAGTACTTGTAGTCTGATAGGAGGGAAGAAAGACCAACACCCCTTTCTCTTTTCCACTCGGGAGATCCCGCAGGTTCTTTTCCCTCCCTTGCATCACCAAAGGACGAGGATTTGGCGGGCAGTCTCCGTTTCCCCTTCCCCTCGTATTATTAGTGGAGTGTGCAGATCACCGACATCCGCAGCATGCATGGCATGGCATTTGATCATCCCGGGCTCCATCCTACGAACCGCGCAAAAGAGCGTGAGTGTTAAAAAAGCTCCGTCCTCCGACACGTGCCGCAAGTCACCCTTTATTGGCTGAGGGCCCATGTTTTTAAACTTCTTGAGTGTCGAGAGTTTCGAGGGCCTTCGGAGGGTTAACAAACGCGAAGAGAGAATGACGTTGTAGGACACTTGGGCGTTTGTCCAGCGACTACCTGCCAGGTACTGGACAGAGAGTCAGGTCATGGCGAAACCATCTGATGAGGTGTACCTGGTGGCTGTGTGGGTTGCCTTGCGCGCCAATACTCGTCTGGATGACGAGTCGCGACCTCCCATTTCTGTCGGCGTTGTTCGATTGAGAAAGCAAGTAGGGTTTCTTCAGAGCTAACCAGACGAGGTAGTTGACTTTCTGGCCGTCTGTCGCTTATTACATTCAACAGACAAGACAACGTGAGTTCGAGTCAGCCTGGCACTGGTGGCTCATTCTCTTGGTAACTCTTAACACGTTGCCTGCTCCACGAATCGGCCAGGAGGATGGATGTCTTGGTCTTGGTCTTTGGTGGAGTCATGGTCACTCACTCCGGACTGTGTTCAAGTCTATAACCGAGCTGGTCGTGCGAAGACATCCCGGACTTTGCGATGTTGGCTGTTTCTTGGATGCCGTCATCGTCATCTTGCTCGTCTTTTGACTGGGAGACAACCTAGGACGAAAGAAGTCAGTCCCGTTCAGGCGCTATCTTTCGGATGTCCTGGTTCAGTACTACCGTTACTGATATGGGCAGTGCGATCGACGCAGCTACCCACATGTGTGTGGTAGACAGAGACAGGTGTAATCAAGTGGAGAGGTAAGTTGGTGATTGTCAGTCTCTGAAAGGTATAGACGACCACTACCGGACCTTTCCGCCTCTCTTAATGCTCAGACTTCAGCGACAAAGATGTCACCCTAAGCGAGGAACATCGCCAATAGAGGATTGAGGAAGAGAGGCAAATCAGAAGAGCCTCATGGGGCGATCAGCTAGCCTTCAGACGACAAGGTCGTCTCAGGTATGCCGGAGAAAAACAAGGTCAGGTTGCTGCCCCGAGGAAACTTCATTATGACGAAGGAAATGACGGCGAGATTGGATCAGGAGACAAAGAGCAGGCGGAGATGTAGCACAAGGGAGAAGACACCTGATAGCACTCTATCTACACAATGGGTTTGATGTCTAGCCAGGTCTTTACAATCGGGGAGTCGGATGTGTGTAGAATTTCGACGGCGCAATAGAACGCAATGTGCAATTCTACGGTCCTCTTCTGAAGATCCCAGGCAGAGAACTGTCGAGTAGCCACATTACTGTCCCTTTATGTTGGATTATTGACATCCCTTTACATCCGGGACAAGGCTGTGTCCAGCAAGGCTCGCGACCCCATGGGGGGACGGACCTTCGGATAATCGTTTCTACGGCTCCTCCACACTTTTGACGCCCGACATATATTGTCGTTTCCTTGTTGTCTACAAGCCCCTCACGGCATCTCTTTGGACGCGGAGGCATCAGGCTGTTCAAATCGAGCTAGCTGCTTGAACACCGCCTTTGCGAGCATATGACCGGCTATTTGCAACCTCTCGGTGACGATCATTGCCCTCTGGAAGCTCCAACGTGATGTACCACGACATTGAGCCGACCGGGTCCCTGCAGGCCCATTCTGGAAGGTCCCAAAGGAACCCTTTCAGGACACTGAGATGGATGATGACGAAGCAGCACAGCGCCGAGTCAGCCCATGTCTCCGAAAAAGTCCCACGTCACGTCTAACAGCTCATGCCGAATACTTGTTGCCATTGCCTTGTCTAAGACGGGTCGTTGGCTACGTCGCCATCGACGAGATTTAGCCTAATAGTTGCTCAATGCGGAGTTCCACCCCGGATTCTCGAGGCGGAGGTCGTGTTCAATGGATTGGAGGACATGAAGACAAGCTATATGAAGTAAAGGAGGCGCTCAAGCTTTCGCAAAGCTTTGAAACGGCTGCATACCAAGAAAACCGTCGTCGTTCAAGGCACATACTCGTACTAATCAGCCACCACCTGGACCAGTCATCATGGGGGTGCGCGATCTTTACAATGCGGCGGTTCTACTCATTGCCACGTACCTGATCGCAAGGTGCAACGCCTTACCCAGACGACAAGCTCTTGTTACCGCACCGAGCAACCCGGATGGCCACTGGATCGACACCTGGGCGGCAATGCCACAGTTGACCGAATTCACAAACTTGCCTCCGCCTCCATATGTGAGTAACCAGTCTCTTTCTCTACAAAGCTATACCTGAGAGGAAGAAGAAGGACAGAGTATTGTCAGTGGTAAAACGGTACACACAACTAATGAGTCCTGTCCTGCCCTTTCCCATTTGCTAGAACACCACCTCGGTGATCTTCTTCAACAGCACGATCCGCCAAACCCTGCACATGTCGACCGGCGCCTCACAGATCCGGATCCGCATCTCCAACGCCTTTGGCCTCACCGACTTGCCCATCACCGCCGTGACGGTCGCGCTGCCTTTCAACGGCTCCTCGGGTGTCAGCGCGATCCAGCCCTCGACCCTCCAAAAGGTGACCTTCAGCGGTGGCGAGTCGTCCATCACCATCCCCGACGGTGCCCTCGCTGTCTCCGACCCTCTGGACTTCCCGGTCCAGCCGCTCTCCACCATCACCGTGACCATGTATCTCGCCACAGGCCAGAACGGGACATTCATCACAAGCCACCCAGGCAGTCGGGCGACGTCGTGGTTCACGCTGGGCGACCAGGTGAGCGCGACGAACTTGACAGGGCCGTTTTTGAACAGCACCCAGCATTGGTAAGTGTGTCTCCACCAGCTTCTCTATGAAATGTCCTTTTTTTGCTTCCTTCCGTTAAAAGAAGTTGGAGAGATGTTTCTGTGTGCTGGAGGACTGACGTCTGCAATTGCAGGTACTTCTTGTCCGCCGTCGAAGCGTGGTCGCCGCCGAACTACCGCACGTGGGTCATAATCGGAGACAGTATCACGGACGGGAGAGGAAGCGACCCGGACCAGAATGACAGGTGAGTATACATACCCTTTTCCACCATTCTTCTCTTCTCTCTTCAACAACCCCTTGTCTTTTTCCAGCCTGGGGCCAAACATAAAAACCCTAACCTGACCGGGGAAAAATAGATGGCCGGACCTCGTCTACGCGCGGATGCAATCGAGCAACTCGTCCCTCCTGACGTCCATCTCCATGATCAACCAAGCCGCCGGGGGTAATCGGATCTTATACGACGGGCTGGGCCCGAACGTGCTGGCACGGGTCGACCGCGACGTGCTCGCGCACCACGGCGTGCGGTACGCGATGATCTGGGAGGGCGTCAACGACATCGGGGTCGCCGACGCCACGCCCGCGAACCAGACCGAGACGTACGAGCGCCTGGTCTCGGCGTACCGGCAGATCGCGGCGCGGGTGCACGCGTTCGGCGTCCCGCTGTTCGCCGCCACCATCACCCCCTTCTCCGCCCCCGGCGGCAACACCACGCTGCAGGCCTACACGAGCCCGCTGCGCGAGCAGACCCGTCAGAAGGTCAACGCGTTTATCCGCTCGTCCGCCACCGCGGGAGCGGGCGCGGGAGCGGGAGCGGGAGGCATCTTCGACGCCGTCTTCGACTTCGACGCCATCCTCCGCAACCAGTCCGTGCCCAGCCAGCTGGCCGACGCCCTGCAGTCCGGCGACTACCTGCACCCCAACGACGCGGGCTACCAGCTCCTAGCCGAGAACTTTGATCTGAGTGTCTTTGAGAAGTTCAATGCCGGTGTCCTGGGATTTACCTAGGCCTATGCCCCCCAGCCAGCTTTATCCTTGTCCCATGCGCGCGGGAAATATACTACGCTAGCGCCAACAAGAAAAACTAACGGGCGAGATCAAGTCGAGGGATGTGGGATGACTGGTTGAGAGATATGTAATGAAGGAAGAGGATACACTATATCCTATCTAGCTCGCTACGCAGACCCCAGTACCATTCAAGATCCATGACCATGGCCATGACCATGACCATGAAGAGAACCGAGAAAGATGGAGGGATGACACCACTAATTCAACCCCACAAGAGTTCAAAGAACAAAAAAGAAACAGAAGCAGGACGACCTTCACGACACGGCTGACGGTGCGTCATTGACCCCGATAGAAAGCGACACGGAAAAAAAACTCAAGACCTGTGCGGGCCATAATGCTAAGATTGCAAAATCGATAATGGGTAATGCAATAATGTGACCATCAACTTCAAGTTGGAAGAGGAGGGTGGTGGCATGGAGAAAAAGGGGACCTCGTGGATAAATATATGATACCTCAATCACAAATCTTGTTCAATTGACCCGGTCGTTCTGGCGGGAAAGGAGCCTCGACGATGAGAACATATTTAATGACCGAACAATAAAAACCACCCAGCCAGTGAGGCTTAATGGTGTCATGTTAACGTGTGGGCGTTCCAAGGTCCTCGGCCCTTGCATTGCGAGAATAGATACACATCGCCTGGTCAAGTTCTCAGTACTCCATGCCGCCATATCCCCATATCTGTCCCTCCTCCTTCTCTCCTCCGGTGGCATCTGGATGGCCATTCCGAGAGCTTCTAATTCACCTCGCCGCATTGGCTTGTTCCTGCAGGATCTCCGAATTGTCGTCAGGAAGAACAAATAAATTGGGTGGCAGACTCCTTTCGTTCTGCTAACCCGTGCACGGACTGGACAGAAAGGGAAGCTATAGATGTCGTCAGACACCTCGTTGCATTGCTCGTTGCGTCGTGCGTCGGCTATCAATCCTCTGGGCTCCGCCCATTTCGATAAGTCCACAGGCGGCTGAGCTCCTTGACCTGCCTTCTCGGCGCACCGGTTCGTCGTGGAGCGGCCTGTACAGTATCCCACTCTCGGAATACATCCATGTCGACTTCGGCATCCATGAAGGCGTTGCTTTCTCGCACACGTCCGCGGGAGAGATCTTTGGTATCGATGCCCTCCATCTCAAAGATGTTGTCCAAGTAATGTTGGTTCAGCTGGTGACCAGAGCCGACTCGCTTGAACAAGCGCCCAAAGAACAGATTTGTCTGCTCTTCTCGAAGATCCATCATCTCGATCGGTGTCCTGGGAGAAAGCAGTGGTCTCGAAGAGGCTGCGACTACCTTCTCACGCGTGTCGACCTTGGGAGGGGTAGGTCGTGTGAGGCGCGAGGCCTCGTCCGAGAATCTGGACTTGTCTTGAGGCGTATTCCGAGAGTTGGGAGTAAATGCTGTGTTGTCGTGAGCCAATGCTCGAGGCAATGGCCGATCAGGGCGGAAATGTAAGATGCCGAATCTCGAGACATAGTCGCTCTCATTGGCATAGTGCTCGATATGTGGCACGATCCTCTGCTCTAGTAGGCTGTGGCCATTGGCACTAGTAGATGCTGAAGACGATATGATTGGGGCATTCCAGTGGTTGGCAGCATTTCCGAACGTGTATACCTCCAGCTTGCCAAGCTGGTCCGCGGCTACTGTATCGTAGAGCCAGTCAAGGACCAAGCCGCCTTCAATGGCTCCCTGGCTGTGGAGGATCAAGACTACCTTGTGGATATTGTCGTCGGACAGAATGTCAACCATTGCTGCATATGCAATCCGAATGTCGAGGGTGGCGAAGTTTAAGTCACGTTGAATGATGCATTCGAGGACATCGAAGATGATGCCTCGTCTAGAATTGTAGCAGGTGTTAGACAGAGTATAGATGTAGTAGGGATGGGAGACTTTCAGGGTATTTCTGGTTTCATGGTCGGAGTCATGGGGAACTTCGACTTACGTCTGATTATGGATTCCAAAAACGGGCCGTCTGAAAGTCATGGAGAGGCGATCGAGATTGGATTGCAACCAATGGCGCCTACGAGGCTGTTAACTTGTGCAACACGAATAACAGGACGACATGGGTGGGATCCCGCGTCGCGATATATTGAGAGAGATGACATACCCCACAGCCACACCATTGATAAACACCCATTTCTCATGTTCATGTAAAGGCTTTCCTCTGACACATTCTGGATTTGACTCAAAGAGCCCTCGACGCCTCGGCCCATTCAACAGAACGGTAAACCATTGATTTCCAACAACGAAGCCAACAATGTACAAGAGATAGAAGGATGGCAGGCCAATGAATGCCAGTGGCAGTAGCGAACCGAGGAAGATTGTCTGAGCGACTATGAGAATGAAGTGCAAGACAGCAGCCCACAGATTGGCACCGGTGAAGGCCAGCTCATCCAGAGAGCCTGACCTCGTTGGAAATAAGGGGAGTACAATACTGGGCAGACCAGCTGTGATAGGCCATGTAAATGTAATCTCGGCAAAGAGCATCAAGTCATTGATCATAAGAAGAAGAGGGTTGGCGGTGTAAGGGATCGGTTTCGACGACGGTGAGGCCATTGTAACCGTCGACATTTTGTGAAAGAGTTGATATTGGCCTTCGAAGGAGTGTTGGAAGCAGATGTCAGCCTATTTGAGAACCAAGCGGTTGCGGCTGACGGTAGTCACGAGTACTCGCACGTGCCAAAGATTCAACCCGAAGGCGCTGGGTAGGTACTGACCTTTCACATGTCAAGTCGTGCTCTGAGGCTGTGAGGGCATGTGCTACACGAAACTGAGAGTTTCTCCAGAACTTCAGCTCGTGTACAAGCGAGACGGTGGCGCGGCTGAGTACGAGGCTGGGGCTGCGGGAAATGTCTGGGCAGGCAACCAGCGCAGCCCCGTTGTCGAATCAACAAAAGGTGAGGCTCGTGTTTTAAGGACCGCGAGGGATCTTTGACCAGATGATGTCAAAAGCTTCCGCGATGTTGATGAAAGGCAACTTCTTTGATCAACACATGCAAATGTGATCAACACAAGGCGAAAGAGGATGATGTCGTCGCGATGACGCTAGTCCCGATTGAGCGGGGTGACTCGTATAATACTCATCAGCTCTGGTCACGTTGAGGATTCTACGTTCAAAGGTGTTGGGAAATCTGGAGCATCTGCGTGGGATGCTAAGTAGTAGAAGTGGTATCTGTTGTTCTGAAAGACATGAAAGAGACGAAGGAGTGGCTGGGCTGCTTGGAAGGTACTCAACCGCAGCTGCCACTGTTTATGATGTTTTAGTGATGCAGCAGCGACGTCTGACTGAGAGCCAGGGTTCCTCGTCGCAGACTGACACCTGAGAAGAAGAGCTAACAGCTCCTACGCCTCACTCCTTCCTAGATTCTGGATTGCCCCTGCACACAAGTAAACACTGCGGCTCATACATCTTTTGCTATTGCCCTGCAAGATAAGATCATGCTGCTCAGGACACAAAGTTAACAGACCTTCTTCTTGTACGGCCGTCAGCTTGCTCAGATGGTTGGATTGTGCCGTTCCTCACCTCGAGACTTTCATCCACATGGCTTCATCATCGCGTACCCGACATCAGGTTCGAGCAGCGTGGTGTATATGCCAGTCAATCGTTCCGTCGACAAACGCCTCTCTTACAGCCTTCGCAATATTCGGTCTCATGTGGCTTGCCTGGCTTGGAGACGTAGGGTGGCCGCTCCATCTCGATACCTGCCCACACCTGGATTCTGTACGCGACTCGTTCGACGTATGACTTCTTGTCCAGGATCAAGATTCCCAGCTGGTTGCACGTCCTGCAACGCTGATTGAATACTTCGGCATTGTACCCGTTGTCCATGTAACCTCTTATCAGGATTGCCACCTTCTGACTGGTCCAGCCATCTTTACAGCAAGCGTTCTTCCTCCCCCTGAACCTGCCTTTGATATGGGTCGCCCACTCGTTGTTGGCGTCCCTGTCGCTGTTGGTTTCACAAAACCAGGTGGAGGGGACGTTGTGGGACACTGCCTTGACAACTTTGTCGTGGAGAGCCGGATACATGAATGAGGTCTTCATTTTCCGCTTGGGTTTTGCCGAGTTGTTTCCCATTTTTAATGCTGCAATGAGGTTGCCTGGGAAGAGATATGTTGAGAGTTGCGCAGGATCATTCAAGAGCTTGGGGGAGCTGACATGAACGGATTAAGAAGGCTAAAGAGGGGAGGTTGAACGCCCCGGATCTGTCACAAGGTGAGGCGGCACCTTGCATCTCTAGATTGAATAACAGCTGGTCATGATGGATGGCTGCCTGTACGCTTCACTGGTCGGAGGACTGACATTGTGCATTTCACAAATCAGTCGGGATGCAGCCTGCCCTGCAGGGATGGTTATGGCTACCAATTGCACAACACCACGTCTCCTCCAGGTTTGAGGCACTGGAAGTCAAGCACGTACCGCTGTCGACGTTTGGACTGACCCGAGGACTAGATTTGCCCATTTTCAAAGGCAAGCGGAGTTGCAGTACCTTTCTGTTACCTCGGGCTTCGCCTACAACATCCATCGCCATGGTGTTTTGGTCGCGAGAAGCGATTTGAACGACAGAGCCGTCATATAGTACCGGTGCATGTGGCAGATTGTCATTCGCATTGCTTTAAACAAGGTTTCTCTAACAAAGTTGATTCTGGGACTTGTCGAAAAGGGCACGTACGGCTGCATCTCGCTTGAGGAGGCTCCCGTCTTTGGTCAACAATGAGCGGTAGGTTGTGGCGCCCTAAGTCTTCAAGCTCAACACCTCCGCGCTGCGAATGGTACCTTCTAGGCCATCTTCTCCGGTATTGTGCTTCCAAACTCGTCCTAGTTCGGCTCCAGATAGGATTCAGACCTACGAGTGCCTACTGTGAAGACGGTGCTTGTATTGATATAGCAGAGACAGCTTGAAAACGAGCTACCCCACCCACTGTCAGGCGGGGTTCCGGGGGGAAGACGGACCTGGGGTTCGACCCAGCCAATTGTTGGGATGGGGACTTGGTAGTTACGGTGGCTAGATACGGTGGCTAGATTCCTAGAGACCCAGACACCTAGTGGATGCCTAGCTGTACCGAGGCGTGCATTAAAAGTATTGCCAACGCTAGTAATCGAGTGACGAGGTGATCAAAAGACAACAGACTTTGTTTTCGTTGGCCCTTACAGCGGCCTCTGGAGATATCGGAGCTCAATTCTTAGTGCCTACAGCGTCTATCAAGATTGAGAATATAGACTACGCTGCCGCCTATTAGCTCTAACTTATTACTAAGAGATAGGTAAATCTTCTGTTATAGTAAGTAACATATGTCATTTGAATTAGCGTAAACAGTACTTTTGGTGCGCACCCTCGTACTTGGTGCTGTTAATTTAGCCTACAGAACCGCATCTGGGCAATTGGATTTCCTAGTAACAGGGCGTGTACAACCCCCGTGGCGGCGTGATTGGAGCACCGTGACTACACCACCAACGGCGTCTCGACAGGCGAACCTCTGATCACGCATTGGGAATCGGTGGCGCTTCGTTCGGATGGCTTTCGACTCCATGTTCATGGCTCGGATATTGGATACATTTGCCCAAACCTCAACGGTCAACTTACAGCGTGTCTGGGGGACTGGGGATGGTCTGGGGTTGTAATCTGAAGCAGGTCATGATATGTAGAGGTAATATTTGGGCGATTGAATCGGGGACAAGGAGATGGGGTTCAAGGTACTGTAGTTGTATAGACGGTATGAAATGGAGGTTTCGCCAGGACCCAAATCAATCATCAAATCTATTCACATTTGCCATCGAGTCTTTCCACCGCATGAAACCCTCCAAGGTTCATCAGAGCAGGCTCCGGATAAAATCGATCGTGATTTGCCAACCACTCTTAGCAACTTCCACGGCTGCCGCATCAAACAGCGTAAATCCATGGGGCGCGCCGGGCACGAAACGCAGCACAGCCGGATTCCCCGCTCGTAGCCAGCGGAAATGCATCAAGACCGAATCGTCGACCAGAGCGTCCTCGGTCCCGACCAGGAAGAGCGCCGGACACAGTCCAGATAAGTCGGCGTAAGCTGGAGACACCGCTCTAGTCTTGCGGACTTCCAAGGGCATGTCTTCGATATAGGCGCTGTAAAACCGTTCAGCGTCCTCGAGTGTGAGGATCGGGGACGTGCTTGGCGCGAGCTTCAACGAAGGGAGAATGGACAGGTCGAAGCACCCATAACTCAGGGCCACGCCCTTGATCTCTGCAGCTTTATTCCTCTCCTTGAGATGAAGCAAGACCAGTGCGCACAACGTCGCTCCTGCAGACTGAGTCAATGTCAGCTACAATCCTGCAATTAGGGAGAGAGTAGTGATAACCTCTCCACCCAGAAAGCAGAGTTTTCCGCCTAGCTAAAGTACAGTCGTTAGCGGGAGAACTATTCTGGTGACGGCGATTCTCACTGTTGCTTCTGAATTCGTCACAAGCCAGTCGGCAACATCTTCGCAATCGTGCAGAGCGGCAGGGTATTTATGCTCAGGTGCAAGTCTGTATTCGACCGACAGCACCGTTAAGCCCGTGTTTTCTGCGATGTGACTCAAGAGGTGATCCTGGCTTGATGATGATTCAGACAGGATCTCTAACGTGGTGATGGACTCTTTACCCTTTGGCCGTCCCCAGAACCCAGCCGCCGCCGTGGACGTGCAGGAAGATCCCTCGCTGTTGGGTTGACGGCGTGGAAGGCTTGACGACTCGGCACAAGACAGTTCTCCCGTCTTCCCTCGACGGAATGTCAATGTTTGTGGCTCCTTCAACATATTTGAATGCGGGAAAGGCGGCCTGGCCTTTCTCCCGCATGTCACGGTAGACTTCTGCTCCGACCTGACGATGGTCAGCCTCGCGTTATGGTGACTTTAAGGACCCCGTTCAGGCGGGCCAAAGATGAGCAAATGCCCATACCTCCCACCATTTCGCATCCTCCTGACTTTTGGAGTAAATGGAACGGTTCAATTGTATCGTCTGAGGGTTCACATTGGCCGGGTCAAAAGCGCTCAAATCGTATACACAGTCCGAGGAGACTTTGCTCAAGGCTGTGTCCATGTTTAGCTTTAGCGCGACAATCTCTATCCGCGTGCAAGGAAGCACAAAGCGAAATAGACTATGAATGGTGAGTATCACCATCCACAAAGCTTTTGTTTGGAACTCGCGAAAGAGGTTCAACCGAGGCTCTTCATCCAGCTGGTGGGGGATTCATCCAAGATGCCCAATTCATCCGATTGGTACCGAGTTAGTCATGGCTCGTGGCATTCTCCGAGTGAACCCGATCGGCTGTGGGCATGGGAGCCGAGACCCACGTCCACGCCACCATGTCGAGCAGCCCTTCTTCGGCGAAAATGTGTGGAGCTATTCTCCAGCTGCTCCTTCTGTGGAGCTCCATTCCCTAGGGCTGGACGTTCGGCCTCAGGGAAACACGCGATACCGTACTATGGTTCATCGAAGCCGCTGGTCACCCAATTCATCAGGTGAATAACGGTAAGTCTGAACCGAGTGACAGGCGAGCGCGTGTCTGCACTATGTCCAGTCTCGTAGTGCCGCCATGGCAGACTGATATAGAGCTTGACCAGCCGACCAAGACTCCCTTGGAAGCCTCAAGCTACACGCACAAGACCCTACAGCTCGACAGACAGTGGCCGTGACCTGTGTGCCTGCCCGTCACACATAGTGAGAATCTCAAGATGGCCCCTGGAATTGTGACGGATGAATCTATCCCCGACACCCCCGGTGATGTGCTGGAGGCAGTGGTCAACTACGCAAAGAAAGTCCCCAAGGCAGACGAGACAGGCTATATGATACCCGACACTTATCTTGGAGCCCGACGTCCCATCAAGATTCTGATAATTGGCTTTGGTGCCGCCGCCATCAACATTGTCCATGCGATCGGCCAACAGAAGGACAGCAACGTCGTGGTGCAATGTTACGAGAAGAACGACGAAGTTGGGGGTACGTGGTACGAGAATAAGTACGCCTCTCATAGAGACCGCCTTTTTGGATTCTGCTGATGTCCTTCTTTCTAGATATCCCGGGTGTGCTTGTGACATTGTAGGTATCTGAACCTCTGGTGCGCTCCATTGACACTAACTCCTGGCATAGCCAGCCGTCAATTATATGTTTTCGTGGCACTCAAAGCCAGACTGGACCAGCTAGTAAGGCAGCTTATCCCTCGTCATTCTTGGTGCCTTTTTTCCACTGACAGGAGGTAGCTATGCAACCTCACAGGAGATCCTGGGGTACTTCAAAGACATTGTGGACAAGCATCACATGCAGGGCTTTGTTAAGCTGAGGCATGCAGTGTCTGGCGCGTGGTGGAATGAGGAGACCGGGAAATGGAAAATCAAGATCATCCCTAACGGGAACGAGAAAGCCGCTTTCTACGACGAAGGGGAAGTCCTCATCAACGCGACCGGAGTCTTGAAGTGAGTGATACCTGCGTTGAAGGCGACACAATGCCAGACTTTGTGTGGTATAGTGTGCAGACTGCTGATCAAATCAACGTCCCAGTAATTGGAAATGGCCGGCTGTCCCTGGAGTGGAGAAATTCAAGAATAAAGTCCACAGTGCCGCCTGGGACGATACGGTTGACTTGGACGACAAGGTCGTCGGCATCATTGGAAATGGCTCGAGTGCCGTCCAGATCATTCCCGCAATATTTCCTCGTAAGTCTAGGCAGAACGTTGGAAACGACTCACAGAATACTAAAGACTCGGTATAGGCGTGAAGAAAATGATCTCCTACCAACGGTCATCCACCTGGATTACGGCGGGTTTTGCCCAGAAGTACGCTGGTGAAAACGGCGCCAACTTCAACTGTGAGAGCCCAGGCATCTCGACACAGCAAAGAGACTGTAACTGACCTTAGCCCAACAGACACTGAAGAGCAAAAGGCCGAGTTCGCTGCCAATCCAGCCAAGTATCTCCATTATCGCAAGATGGTGGAAGAAGAGCTCAACCAGCGATTTAAATTTGTTGGTCTACCACCTGAGTGGCATGTCTGGAGGTCGAGCTAATAGAATCTTGATCAGATCATCAATGGGTCGGCTGAGCAAGCAGAAGCACTTGCTGTAAGTCGCTGTTGAACAGTCCCAGTTATACTTCAGGATCCTGACGCTGCTCCAGTTTGCGAGACAAGAAATGGCCAAAAAGCTCTCAGGAAGGAAAGACTTGATTGAGAAGATGGTTCCCACCAACTACGCAGTCGGCTGCAGGGTATGTTATCAGGCACAATTCGGTCTCCTCGTCGCCCTTGACTTGCTAACCTCCTACCGCAGCGACCAACACCAGGCAACGGCTACCTGGAGTGCTTGACCAATGACGAAAAATGCGAGGTGACATTCTCCCCGATCCAGGAGATTACCGAAGACAGCATCATCACGACCGATGGAAAAGAACGCAAGATCGACGTCCTTGTCTGTGCTACAGGGTTTGATGTGTCCTTCCGACCCCGATATCCCATTGTAGGTCAACGGGGGATCGACTTACGAGATGCCTGGAAAGACCAACCATACACCTATCTCAGTGCAACAGTCCCGGACTTCCCCAACTACTTCAGTAAGTCCAGAGAGTCCGTACTGAATCGATAGGGTTCAGATTCTTGCAATTTGGACACCCGTTACTGACGATCGTCACTCCCAGTGATCAATGGACCGTTTGGGCCCTACGGTCACGGCTCCATTCTCCCTGTGATTGAAATCATTACACGGTATCTCGAGAAATTTGTGGAGAAGCTCCAGACAGAAGACGTGAAGTACTTTGCGCCAAAGATGGAGGCGGTGGAAGATTTCAGACGCCATCGAGAGCTGTTCCTGAAGCGAACCGCGTGGAGTTCGCCCTGTCGGTCGTGGTTCAAGGGTGGCACGGTCGATGGTCCCATCATGATGTGGCCGGGAAGTCGATTGCACTTCTTCGAGGCAATGGCGAAACCGCGCTATGAGGTATATATTTTCTACCTTCTCCCCCTTTTCCCCCATGTCACCAAACGCTTTGCGACCCAGCAGCTGACTTTCTCACTCAAATGAAAAGGACTATGATTGGGCATACAACAGTGTCAACAGGTTCTCGTACTTTGGCAATGGCTTCTCGCAGAGAGAGATGGATGGGAATGACATTTCTTGGTATATCAACGGGGTCTAGTGGCGCTCGCCGGTCGCAGATATGGGACACAGGGTAGATCTGGTAGAGATAGTAGCTGTGTTCAATCATAAAGTGTTGCCCTTTGGCTTCCAACTTCAGTTCTTCTGTCCTCCCCAATAATCGAGCTCTTTTTATGCTGCACTGATTCAAATATTTTACGAGGTTCCCATGTGACAGCTGCAAATATCTGTCTGTGAGCGGTGTGATGGTACACGGGATCAAACCAGAGCCCCGCCATCAGGGCAATCCGGAAGTCAACCGAGGATTGAGAGTTTTCGTTCAGAAAGGAGATAGGCAGGCTATGGACAGTGTAGCTCAACTTCGGCGAGCCGAGCAGAGGACCAGACCTCTCTACCTTGATTTCCCGATTTGGCCCAATCCACTGCATGTCCCTGAAATGTGAGGAAGTCTTCCATCGCCCAGAGTGCGAAGCGGCCAATAGTTCATGGCGGCGAGGCTAATGAATAATGCTGCACCCGAATCCGGTTGGTTCGGCTGTGTGTAATTTCGGCCGACAACTGTGTGGGCCGCTGAAACTTCTTTCTGGTCAGCCGAACATCGCGTCTAGCCCAAGCATGGAACATTTGGAGTTTGGCCGAGGTTGGAGTCAATGAGGAGGGCAGGGCGGGACTCGACTCTTGGTATACTTGTTGCGTAGCAGGTTTGGCAAAGGCGAGGACTTTGTTAAGTTAAAAAAAGACGTTGTTAATGAGATGGGACCATTGTTGAAACAATATCAACTATAGTCCGCCACGGGGTGTTTATTGATCTGATCCTCCGAAGACGGCCAGAAAGAATTGTTTGTGAGAAAGCAGGAAACAAAAAAACAAAACCCCTTTTAGAATACTAAGAGCGAAGAAATGTCTACGAGCCACAGCGACCCAAATGCCGTTGACTGCAGTGTCGAGGCTGATCGGAGCAAACTCAAGGGCAAGACCGCCATCATTACGGGGGGTACGTATATCCTACGTCTTCTGAGCCAGATGATGAGCATTTCATCGCATGAGCTGTCTGGCAGAAGCAGCCTTCCGCCCCTTGAAAATTGACTGACTGACATTGAACCTCTTCCAACAATATAGGAGCAAATGGAATAGGGGCGGTCTATGCCCGATCCTTAGCCAGCGCAGGGTACGCTTCGTCATGCCATAGAGGACTCCGTCATGGAATCCTGAGAGAGTCTCCCCAGGACAGCTAATGGTGGTTTTCCTTGAAGGGCTTATGTCATGATCGGTGACCTCGATGACCGTCGTGCGGCAGAGATAGCATCATCATATCCAGGGTACGCTTCAACCCCTCAAGAAACATTTGATATGTTCCCCCCTCCAAACGCTTCCAATTGGCAAAGAGAAGGGTACCCGCATGGCACCCTGGGCAGAAATCTCTTCTAACACCTGGCAATCTGCGTCTTTCCCAACAGACAAATATGGACTTCGCATTGTGACGTGACCAACTGGGAGGACCAGGCAAAGATGTTCGAAGAGACGCTGGCAAAATCCCCCAGTGGCCGTGTCGATATTGTTGTCGCCAATGCTGGAATTAGCGGGCAAGATCCAGTGTTTGTGGATGACTGTGGGTAGTCACTAACCACCTGCTCCCGCCTCGACTCCTTGCGAGGACAACGAGATGGCCCGATTCGAGACTGACTTTTCTGTGTGTGACCGTTTCAAGCCTCCGCATCGACACCGCAGAAGCCAAATCTCAAGATATTGGACATCAACCTAATTGGCGTCTTCTACACCATCAAGTTGGCTCTCTTTTACTTCCGCAAGCAGTTCAACGCGGCTGTCTCGGCAGGGAATGAAGGCCCGGACTCGAGCCTTGTTCTGCAGGGCAGTCTTGCCGGCTACGTTGACCAACCCGGTTCACCACAGTACAATGCTTCCAAATTCGGGCTTCGGGGCACTATGAGGTGCTTGAGAAGGACATCGTTGCAACACGGCACCAGGGTCAACTATATCGCGCCATGGTAAGAATTTTGTCATCAATCGCATTCGTCTCTGGCGCATTTGGGTCTCCCTGGGCCATTTAGGGGTGCGATCAGAGCAGCCCTTTCCCGAAGCTTACGTACATGACTGATAAGCTGACCATGCATCCGACTCTCCAGGTACATCAAAACCGACATTATCAGCGATGCTGTCGCCGAACGCATTACCTCGAAAGGAGCCGTTTTCGCCTCGATCGACGACGCGGGCGAAGCCCTCGTGAGGATCGCCTCCGACACAAGTGTGCAGGGTAAGTGATCGATTTTGGTTGTCTGTTTTCTTGACTGCATATCACCAAAGTAAAAACTCATCTACAATCCTCAAACATACTGATGCTCCATCCCAGGTCGATCATTGGCGATTGTCCCTCGCATCTGGGCCCCCCTCGGATACTTGGATGTGGATCATGACGACTACAAGGATGGAGACTTCCTCAAAGGATGGCAAGAAATAGTCCTGAGAACCAGCCACCGCCTGACAGGGCCATCTGTCATCAACTGAAGGAGATGAGAGGTTGTTCTTGTTGAGATATGGCTCAGATAAGATTGGAAATCTCATTACTTGGTCACCCCCACACAGCCCATTGATTTGGGGGAGACCCAAGGCTGTAAAATCCTCATGATCTCCTGACCTCTCTTCCACAATCTATCCATCTCCCCCCCGCCTCGACTAGTGGCTTTTTCGCTTCGCAGTCTGCGGGGGCATGGAGAAGGAGGACATTCGGAGGGAATAAAGTGGAGCCACGTCTTTCCTTTTACGGTTACTGCGCTCCGGTCAACCTCGGACCGAATTCGCCACGGACCACCAGGGACTTTAATATCCCAAATCTGCCGCGTTTGTGCCTTTCGGTCGGCAAGAAAGGGATCTCTCCTCCTCCTTAGCCTGTCAATCGGATCAAAGGCATCGGTACCCAGCAATCAGGATGCTCTCTTTAGATGCTGGAGGTGAATCTCGACAAGGTCCGGTGGCCTCTCGTGGGGCGAGGGCAGCTAGAGCGTGCGTGCGCTGTCATGCGCGCAAAGTCCGCTGCAATGCGGCTTCGCCTGGAAATGACGGACAGTGTTCTTCCTGTGTGTCGATTGGGGTTCCATGTGAACTTCTCCCGGAGCGAAGGCGGTTCGTTGGAACCCGCCCCAAACAGGAATCACAGCTAACTTGACCGATTTGTAAGGCAATATCGCGAGCGTCAGAAAAGTTCCTACAGCAAACCTGCCACACGGGTCGACGGTCTGCTGGGAGATGCGCAGAGTGCATCTGTAGATGGTCTGCAAGCTCCGCTGAAGCCTAAGCCAACCTCTATCGGCCAAGCTCACCCTGTTGTTGAGGCAGCGACGAGCCTGCCGCGCGCATCGATCAGTGGCGACTATGGCGTTCGAAATCACGGGCTTCAAGGGGCGGCCTATATTCAGGGCGAGGCCCAGCGCGAGCTTGTCGACTTCCCAACAGTCGACTCGTCCTCCTCAGGAGTAAAGTCTTCAGCAGGTGGCGGCGCTTCCAATGTTTTCGAGAGCAATGTCTGGAGCGGTCCTCTCGAGGCTGTCAGGCACACGTCTGAGGGTCACTCTGCGCTCTCGTGGGGATCAACAAGGCCTGAGCACTCTGCTCAACCGACGACAACTTCAACGGTAAAAGCCAGACCACGGAGGTATTTTGTATACTCGGGCGACACTCTTTCATATTCGTTCCTGCCTCACATGGCTGGCCATCGACGTTTCAAAAGAAGCAGCCGCCTTGTCCCAGAGACCGGACAGTCGACCAGTATGAGTCTCTCCAACGAGCCATTTCCCGTTGCTACATGTCCATCCCATCGGTGGGAGCCAAAAATACTCCAGCCCACCACCAGTGGAGACACCGTCTTCGGCCACTTGAACTCGGTGGACACGTTCTACCTTACGAGGCTCAAGAACATCCTTTATTTCCCAGAGACCTCTGTAGCGCGCATCTTTTTCCTCGCGTTCAGAGAGCACGTGCTGCCCACCTGTCCCGTCACAGACAGATATGAGTTGAACGAAATCTACGAGAATTTCGTAAATGGGCACATCACCTGCCCCATGCTGTTACATTCGATTTTCTTTTCATCGTCGCAATATGTCTCCCAGGATGCGCTGACAAGCGCGGGGTTTGACTCGCTCCACGAGGCAAAGGCATATTTCTACGAACGTGCGACCCTGCTCTACGCATTGAACTGTGAATACGACCAACTCCGGATCATTCAAGCCCTTTTGTTCGTCAGCATGTGGTGGTCCGACTTCAGCGAGGAAAAGGGCACCAAATACTGGATCTCGTGTGCCTCGAACCTGGCACTGGCCATCGGACTGCACAAGGCTGTGCCCGCGGCGGCCCGTCTAAGTCAACAGGAACGATCAATGTGGCGCAGGACCTTCTGGACCGTCTACGTGAGTCTGGTTCCTCGCATTCCCAGGGTTTCCTTCGTTTTATTCTAACTGGGACTAGAGCAGGGACTGCAACGCCTCGGTTGCCATGGGCCGTCCCCTCACGATCAACAGCAAGGAGATTGACGTGGAAGAGCTTAGTGATGCAGACTTCTATGAAAGACGGGAGGCATCTCCCCTCGGCCGTTACCCTGGCTCCGAGACAGAGACTCTGGTTGACTTCACTGAATACTCGGGCACCCAGGTTTTCTTCGCCGTCAAGACAGCTCGTCAAGCCGCTTTATGTAAGTTTGCAATTTGAGTCAGTTGGTGAAAGCGTACCTATCCATGATTGCCTTCGTGTATGACTTTGGTGGTGGCTTAGATGAAGACGATTGACTTTTATCCCTCTCCAGTGGATCGAACGATCACAGTCGATTTGGATTACACTCTCGGCAGTGAAGATGCCATCAGAGAACTTTATGAATGTCAACGCGAAATAACCATCCTGCGAACGGAACTATCAAGCTACATCGCTAGCCAGTCCGATGGGGGAGTGAAAGATGGAACACCCGTCCCTACGGAGATGCGGTGGATCATGTTTCTGCAACTGAGTACCGAACGAACCCTGTCGGTCGTCTGTCGCTACCTTCGAAGACACATTGAAAAAAGTCAAGCTTGGGATGCCAGCTGCTCGCACAAAGTGTCCGAGATCCGGGCTGAAATGGTCCGGGCCGCTGCCAGGACGCTGAACTTGTATGAAGAGCTCCTAAACTCTGATTGCTTGAGATATTCTCCCAATTTCCTGTAAGTTGGAACCATCTCTGCTTCTCACTGGGAGGCTCTTTTTTGATGCTAATCCAGAAAATTCAGGAACACCCCCATCTTCGGGGCCATGGTCACGTACGCCGAAATCATCAAAGAAGCACGAGAGAAAGGCCGGGTTGACAGGATTGCAACAAACAAGTACCAGCTTGGAACCATGATATTGGAGGAGATGGAGTCGTTCTGGCCTGCCTCGGCGTGGGCATGCTCCTTGTTCAAGATCTTGGCCGAAAAGGACTTCTTGCCTCTCCGAATTCTGCCCCATGCGTCCCGGTGGCAGAGCCCTGAACCGGGTAGCGAAGAAGTGGGAACCGAAACTGGTACCGGCTTCAACCAAGATGGTGGTGGTGGTGGTGGTCCCCAGGCTGAAAGATCAGCGGAAAGATCATCCTTTGGCTACGATCCGTTGCAGGACGCGAACTTCTTCCTGAACTTCAACGCCAATAGCACCCTCGAGGCTATGTTCTCTGACGATCTTTTTGACCCACAGACGTGGTATGCCTCGATGCAGGCCCCGCAGTAACGAAACTTACGATGTCATGTGTGGAAGGGAGTCTGTTATTTCTGCCCGGCTGGCCATCGCCATTCAACGCAACGGCTTTGCTTTTTATGGCCAGCGTGTATTCTAGTGTGAGAGCTCTGGCCTTGCACGTGTACAATAATGTTCCCCAGAACCAGACGACTCTGTCCGGGCCGGGCACCGTTTCTACTATTGCTACCTGAATACCTCGTATCCTATAGGTTATTGATTTGACGTTACCCTACAAAGACAATGTAAAAATCCTAATAAGTGATACACGAGGTGTTTTGATTGTCCAGGGGCCACCCGGAGGAAAAAGTCTCCTTCCCTTATGAATGTATCCAGGCCCACCCAACGTCTTTGGAGTAAGTAGGCAAGCAAACAGCAACCCCGCCGATATTTCTTCTGAAGTCATTGCTTTCAAGTCATCCTACTGAGTTTTTGCTCCGTAGCTCGATCACCCTGGAATCATTTATGCCCTTGCCTCTCCCATGTCGCTCTTTCACTCGAACTTCGTTTTGAATGCCAGCGCCGCGGGATCTTCCTCCCACGAGACTCGGTCCAAGTGGTTCTTCGCCCCCAGCCACACCGGACGGGTGAGATGAAATCCCCAATCCACGTCAAAGTACTTGCCACAGGCAGCATACAAGACCGTCCCTTGACATTGGGGGTTGAGAGAGAGGTAGGCGACCGCTTTCGCGGGGACGTCGGCCGGCTGCATGCACTCCCTGGCTGAGACGATCTTCTCGCGCTCCTCGGGAGGGATGATACCGGTGTCGGTCCAGAATGGGCACACGAGGTTAAGTCGGATGTTGTATTTCTCTGGGATGTCGGTCCGCAGGGTGCGGATCAAGCCCAAGAGCTGTACAAAGCGGCCACACACGTCCGGCCCCGTGGTCAGCAGATGACTTTGCCAGCGAGAGGGAGAAGGGGGAAAGTCGTTTGCAGGCGTGCGTGCCTGCGACCTCTTGCTACAACAGCAGCTTACTTACACCGTGTTTGGAGACAGCATACATCGGGGTGCCTCCGACGCCATTGAAACCTGTGCTCGGGGGCTTCAGTTAGTTTCGACATCTTCTCTCTGTCATGTAGGGGGAAGACAGGTCAACGGTGGATATTCGAAAGGGGGCCTGCGTACTTTTACCACTGCCGGTGATGACTATACTTCCTCCTTCGGGCTGTTTCTTCATAAAGTGCACGGCGATTTTGAAGCCGTTTATGGGTGCAATGAGATTGACCGCCAGCACCGAGTATTTGGGCTCCTTCAACCTCCCCCGATCGTCGCATTCGTCCACAAAGACATTTTCGATCTCGCCGACCCCGGCGTTTAGGAATGCGATGTCGATCCGACCGTACGTCTTTGCCGTCCACTCGAACAGGTCGTACTGCTCGTCCCACTTGGTGAGGTCTACCTTGCGAAAGACGACGTTGGCCGTCTCTTCCGGAGGCGGGTTCAGGTCTGCAGAGACGATTTGCGCGCCTTGCGCCGAGAAGAATTTGACCGTGGCAAGGCCAATGCCACTGCTCCCGCCTGGAGAATTTCGTGGGTTAACCGCGCGTCAACAAGGTCCTGTGAGGTGTAAAACAAACCTGTGATAATCACAATCTTCCCCTTCAGGCCATCGAATATCTTCTCGTCGAACTTGACCTCGGCCATTTCGGAAAACCAGACCGCTGGGTCGAAAGGTGACACAAAGGGGGGGGGAAGGGTTTATGGACTTTGTGTATGAGGCGACGAGCAGTGAGAGCACGAGAATATTCTTTTTTTTTTGATTGCTGGATCTTTGTTTATTTTTTTCCCTGGAAGATATTAATGTCCCATGCATGAATGGCTCAAGTTTCCATTCCCCTCTTCGCCATCACCTCCGCCGGCATTTCCTCTTGTGGGTAGACCTGGAGTCACTGCTGGCTGACAATTCCACCGACAGCCGACGGCCGACTGGGGTAAGTGGCGACGGTCTTTCATGCAGAACTCGAACGAAAGCAACCCTATCGGTTTGTTCGAGCCGATCAAGCATAATAATTCGTCCGAGAGAGGCAATTCGGCAACCAGTGGGGCCCGTATCGATACCCTGTGGTCGACTATAGTGCTATGTGTCTAGGCTCAGGAGAAACGAGCTCTGTATCGATCACTGCGCTGTGGTGCGGAGTAGGAGGGACTGACGAGGACTACTTGTATACTTTGGCGGAACTCTGAGCGAGTTTCGACAGAGTGCGAAATTCACCCAAAGCTTTCTGTCCATCGCCTTCTGTTCCTTCTCGTTCGTTAAAAGAGGTCACATACCCGACGTTGAGATTTATCAGCGCTTGATACACTGTCAAAAATGGTCGACTTTGACGCTCTGCCTGATTTCGATGCCCTCCCATCCGTGGAGGGCATGCCTCCAGGGTGTGCGTGGGGAATTTTTGACCAGGACGGGAAGAAAGATTATCTCGGTTGTTTCAACCTGCTGACGCCCAAAGTGAAGAAAGAGGCATTAAAAGAAGCCCGCGATGGCGTCTCGATCTCGTTGAACTGGCCGCTCAATGCCATCGCAGCCCCTGGGTTCGGCCGTCGACCAACCGAACACACGATAGTGGATGCTATGGAAGGGCCGTTCAAAACCCACGGATTCGATGATGAGCTGGCGTTCAATACTCAGTGCTCAAGCCAGTGGGATAGTTTGGTTCACTGGGGCCATCAGCCTACCGGATTGTTCTATAACGGATCGACTCCAAGCAAGGCGAACTTGAACCAGCCCACTGGTGTAGCAGACAAGAGTATACCCACGTTGAATCACTGGCATGAACACGGTTGTATGGTGGGCAGAGGGGTGTTGTTGGACTACAAGGCATACGCACAGTCGAAAGGCATCGCGTACAACTGCTTTGATTCATACGCCATCACGGTAGCGGATCTGGAAGCCGTGGCGGCTTATCAAAACACTTCATTCAAGTATGGGGACATCCTAATTGTCCGGACGGGCTTCACCGACGAGCTGCAAGCCGCTGGCAGCGCAGAGAAGCAAGCCGCTCTGCTGGGGTCTCACAAGGCTGCGGGTGTTGCAGGCAACATAGAGATGGCGCGATGGATGTGGAATCATCACTTCTCTGCTGTGGCCGGCGATGCCATTGCCTTCGAAAGTTTCCCACCAACGGTCGAGGAAGACGGTCGTGTTCGCCAGGGAACGATGCCGGAAATGGGTTTGTCCTCTCCTTCTCTTCTTTCTTCCCTTCTTACCAGCCACATGTAGTCCATATACCTCGACAAATTGCTGACACTAACCTTTCTGTCTCTCCACAGTTTTGCACAAGTACCTGATCACTTTCTTCGGCATGTATATCGGCGAGCTCTGGGATCTCAAAGCATTGGGAGAGTACTGTGCAAAGGTGAAGCGCTACGAGTTCCTTCTCTGCTCTGTGCCACTCAACATGCCTGGGCTGGTTGGGTCGCCCCCAAACGCGGTTGCAATTTTCTGAAGCGGAATAAGATAGTGCGTCAACATTAGGGGAGGATTGGTTATATCAAGTACCCAAGATCGACCTGCTATACCAAAGTGTCACAGCCTTGTAGGGTCATGTACTCGGTATACCCGTGGGCATTATTGCCGTGAGAAGTGAGAATACCTGAGATGTGCAGCTTTAGCATCACAATCTTGGCTATACATAAAAGCGAATACCTCCGCGCCGTGAACCATTGACACCAGTGGACCCAAGACTCTCAGCCTCGCTGTCGAGCATCTTTGCGGATCCGGACCTTCTTATTGCCACTCGCTTCGAGACTCTCAAGGGTAGTCTATGTATGTAATAAGATTCTCTTTGGGCTCCACAAGAAACAGCACAAGCAAATTCCGGATAGAGTCACACCATATTCTCTGAGTGGTCGGCTCGGCTGGATGTCTGGCCTGCTGCTATTTGCTCGGATGAATTCTGAAGAATTTGCTCTGCCGAAGCCTCGCCCTGTTGTGTTTACCAGTCTCTCGGCTAGATTTGAAAGGCCAATCTCGGCCCCTCGCGTCCACTTGGCCACGTTTTGCTATGAACCTCGTGTACCTAATATCAAATATACTTCGTTGCTGTTTCGGAGGCTCGTGGCCACTGGACCCTGGTTGACACCTCCACATCGATTTCCACTCCCCGGACTCCCCAGGGGTTTCACCAAGGGGACGAAAGTATATAGATCGATGGAGACACAGGTTTATGGAACCGCACCTGTCCCCGTTGCTGCCTTCCTCTCTATACTACGCAACATCATCACCCATTGTTGCCTTTGCCGACGTCAATCCGGACGACATCGCCCGTGAGAGAGAGCTCACGATGGAAAATTACACGAGCTACAACGCTCGAGTTAGTCCCATCCTTTCTGATACCACTTGTTCCAGATTGCTGATGGCATGCTCGTCGATAGACTATCCTGTTCGCCGCAACCGGCTCGTTGTTTGCCGGTTTCGCCCTGGCCGTCATCACAACCACTCTGGGTCAACCAACCTTCTATGAGTCTCTGTCCCTGGAGGCCGACCCTACAGCTCCGGGCTATTCTCACACCAACACGATCATCGGGGCGGTCAATGGAGTGTTCTTCGCCGGAGGCTTCTTTGGCACTTTGTTCTCCGGATGGACAGCCGACAGATTTGGTCGCCTGAATGGGTTTCGCATCGCGGGTGTAATGGGGGTGGTCGGAGCGGCCATTCAGACCGGATCAGTCAATGTCCCAATGGTATGCCAATCTACTTGTTATTCTCCTTGGAATTTTGGTGACATAGCCCACGGCTGTACCGAGATTGATACTTCATGTCCCTAACGTTACGGGACCCGTTGCAAAGTACCTTGTAGCACGGGTCATCACAGGTCTCGCCGCTGGCAACACACTTGCTGCAATGCCGACATACTACGCCGAAGTGTCGCCGCCGCACTCTCGCGGCATGATGACTGGTGCCCATGGAAGCTTTGTGAATGCTGGCTACTTTTTGGCCGGCTGGATAGGGTGAGTTTCGTAATGAAATAAAGACGAGAGCCAGAAAACTAACCTGTTTTCTTCGCCAGGTTCGGCTGCTTCCATGCCCCAAGCACCACCTTTTCGTGGAGATTCCCAAATGCCGTCCTTTGTCTACTTGGCCTTGTTCTCATCACCGGTACTTTCTTTAGTAGGTTCATCCGACGTGTTTTCGATGTCAGTACCTGTTCGACTGACTCTCTGGCACCACAGTTCCAGAAAGCCCTCGATGGCTTTTACAGCGCGGTCGACGCGACGAAGCCTTCAAGACACTTTGCAAACTGCACCATGACCCCAACGACACGGAGGAACACTTTGCCCGACGAGAACTGGCTCTCATCGAACGTCAGCAGGCTGTTGATGCAGCGGTCCTGGCTGAAGACGGCAAATGGCAGCTGTTCACTGCCAAAACGTATCGCAAGAGACTCATTTTGGGATTTCTCGTCATGGCTGGTGGGCAAAACAACGGAACGTTGGTGATCAACAACTACACTGTGTTGCTCTACCGGTCCTTAGGCCTCAACGCGGAGATCTCTCTGATGCTCAGCGCTATATACAACACACTTGCTGCGATTGCGAACTTCGTCGGCGCCTACTATAGCGACAAAATGGGACGGAGAAAGGCCCTGTGTGAGTGATAACCATTTTGAAAACCCCCACAAGAGATCCAACGTCCACGTAATTGACTGGCTAACGAACTGGTTCTTATCTAGTGGTGGGCTTTACCCTCAACATGTCAATGTTCATCATCGCCACCGGTCTCATTGGGAAATACAGCTATACTCCATCCCAAGGCCTCGCTGCAGCTGCAGTAGTGTTCTTGTATCTCTATGTGATTGCGTGAGTCTCGATCTTCCATGGAACCAGGGCTGTGACGGCTGAATCCCTCTTTATTTTGCTCCTCTCTTCCGAACCGTTACTGACCACTCTCTCCTCTCGTTATAGATACGGCGGCCTGATTGACATCAATCAATTCACCGCCGTCACCGAGATCTTCCCGTCCCACCTCCGCAGCCAGGCAACGTCTTACGCCGTCTCTGCCATCTTCCTCATGGACGTCCTCTGGCTCGAGCTGTCGCCGACCGCCCAGGCGACCATCGGGTGGAAATACTATTTGGTCTTTGTGTGTCTGGGGATTGCCCACACGGTGCATATCTATTTCTTCCTACCAGATGTGAGCCTCACGGACCCCCCTTCCTTGTACCCATACGGCGCACGATCGGTGCGCCATATATGCTAAAGAATGTCTGGCTAACCTCCTCGGGCTGCAGGCGAACGGTATGGCGTTGGAGGAAATCGACGCGCTTTTCGGGAAGACGGTCGCTGCACACTTGACGGACAACAACTTGGAAGAGGAGAAAACGAGCCCCGGCACTCCGCCTGCCGACCTTCTCTCCAAGGAGGGCCAGACTACTACGCATGTCGCGACGGTCTGAAATTCTACTTGAAGTGACTGATCTTGTCGAGCTGGCTCCGCGGAGCGGGCAGGGCGCAAGGATAGGCGTGCGGAGCCAGACATCCGGGGAGAATCGCATTAATCAAGATTTCGATACCTTGTCGGGGTCTTTAATAGAATGATGGCGCTCTCTTCTTCTGTATCGTCATCTCTGCCTCGCTATTCCGTATCCGGTGCTTGGCTCAATGATCCTGATTGTTTTCCGCTCTAAATACCTCGTGGTCTGGCTGTCTCGGGTGTGAATCCTTGGCAGAGATTGCCAAGCAATGTATTGATTGGGTTTGTCGAGTGACTCAAACAGGCTTAGAGTTTTTCTGGGAATATCCTGCCGCTATAGTTGAAGCTCCTCACGAAGAAGCACACAGGGTATTTGAATCTTCTCGTCCTACGAAAAAAAAATCCGTTTCTCTCTCTCGTCCCTACTGTAGCCAAGATGGCGCATCGCGGCCAGGATGATCTGTGACAATGTTCGAAGATCTGTTCTTGACAGAGCAAGAACATTTCACCATTCGAACATTGTCACAGATCCTCAGGGGGACGGAATCCCTCGTTGGAGGCAGGGCAGGGAAGTGTTCCTCACAGTGAATCTGTGACAATACTAGACGAGAATTCCATTCATTCCTCAAGATATAGATCCTTGAATAGCCTGTGCCAGACCGTCACTCGCGGAGGTTCAGAGGAGACTTGCACTGTTGCCTGGCCCTTTCACTGGTGACACCTCGACTGTCTTCTACTTAGTCTCGGAAGATTTGCCAAACGATCCTTCTTTTGTCTCATCAACGGAAGTCGCCGAAAGGAAACAAGATCTTTTTCTTGCGCGAAATCCCCAGCAAGACGAATTTGCAGGCCCAACTTTGGAAAAGATCCAATATTCTGTCCAATTCGACCCTCAACAAAATTCGCCCAGATTTCACACAAGATCCTGTAGGCACATGTGCCGACAGTTACTCGATAGCGATGAGGCGGCCGTCAGATCGGATATGGCTGATATTGTCGATAGGGATGGAGGCGCCATTATGCCTAACGATAGTTACCTTTGAGTCAAGGTTGGATCGCTCCTCATTGCCATTTCTCGTCACTGTGCCACTTGTTTTTGACATTGGGCCGCCGGGTGACATGGCAATAACATTGGTTGGTGCAGGCCAGCCAGACCACTGGAGCAGTCAGAGAGTCGTTCGATGTCTCCTGCTGTATCCTCCCCGAACCCGAGGGCGTGTCTGGAGAGGCCTGGATCAAGGTTCGGATGTTCCAGAACATGTTGGAGACCCTTTTCGTAAGAAATTCGTCCTCGATGGGGAGCAATCAAAACTTAGATAACGCCATACGTGAGGCTCGACGACTGGAGGCCTATGCGAGGACACGCTTGAACGAGGAGGACGAACAGCTAGTGCGAGACGCCGTCAGCGACAACGAAGAGCCATGATGCCAAGAAAGACATAAGCTAAATCTCTATAGCGCCGGCCCGGTTGTCAAAAATTAGCCGCATAGTCTGACGCGAAATAGCAATGAGGAGCGACTCACTATTGACATGAAGGTAACCATCATTAGGCACAAGAGCACCTCGATACCTATCGATAATATCAACCATTTCTGATCCAACGGCCGCCTCATCACTATTGAGTAACTACTTAAAAATCCTCAGAGGGCGACTACTCGCTGTGTATCGGACCGTGCCATTTATTTCTTCCAGAGGTTCGCCTGGGCTGGTTGTCAAAAACATCCAAGCGGCACCGTCTGACGAGAAATAGCGACGGGGAGTACCTCACTATTGACGTTAAAGTAACCTCGTTAGGCATAACGGCTTCCCTATCCTTGATAGTAATATTAGCTATGTCTTTGATCTGGCGGCCGCCTCATCGCTATTAAATGACTAGCTGAATTCTGAGAGGGCGTCTCCTTTCTGTCAGACTGTGCCATTTTCTTCTTCTTCCAAAGGCTGATAGCCAAGTCTTTCCACAAGGCCTGACGGACTAAATCTTCTTTACAAGGTGGTGCACCTCGTGAACACCAACACGCTGACAGATTGATATCGATTTAAGCTGACTCGACTTCGTTCTCGCTCTCCGTTAGTTATGATGTTTATGATACTCGGCTAGTGATATGCCATCGCCTTCTCCGCGAGGTTCTTGTCCGGTGCTTGGTTCGTCGTCTCCATTGACTCGGAACTACCTCTCTTCCCAGCAGCAACAGCGCCTCCTATTTGCACCCCTCCAGGACACACGCGTACTACATGTCTAGTTTAGTTTCGTGGCGAGATCGAACGAACAATAGCCATGGCAGCCAAGGTTATATTCCTAATGGCAGATGAAGGCCATGACCCTACAGGTATGGGGACACCAGCTGGCTGAGGTCTCCACAGCTAAATCGCAGATCGACCACTGCTCACACCTCATTGATTTAGAAACCGCCATTCCCTGGAAAATCTTCAAAGACGCCGACTTCTCCATCTCCTTCGCCACCGAGGCCGGAAACCCGCCCAAATGCGACGACAAGATGCTCTCGGGCTGGACCGGCGCCGTGCTCGGGGCGTCCAAGCCCGCGAAGCGCGCGTACCGCGACCTCGCGAGCACATGCGAGGCGTTTCAGCGGCCACTGGCCTGGAATGACCCGTCGTTCAGCCTGGATGGGTACGACCTCGTCTTCCTCCCGGGCGGCCACGAGAAGCGGGTGCGCCAGATCCTGGACTCGGCGAAGGTCCACGACCTCCTGGCGAGGTATTTCCCACAGACGCGGAAACCGTCCCGCAAGACGCTGGCGGCCATCTGTCACGGCGTGCAGGTGCTCGCCTTGTCGACGGGGGACAACGGGAGAAGCGTGATCCATGACGCCGTCACCACGGCCTTGCCCGCGTACATGGAGCAGGGCATTTATCACGCCACCAGGCCCTTTCTGGGCGATTACTACAAAACCTACGGGGCAGGGACGGAGTCTGTCGAGGAAATCGTCAAGAAGAGGTTGGGAGACAGGGCGAAATTCAAGAACAGCTGGAGCTTGGGTCCGTAAGTGAAAGTTCAAGGTTGACTGATTGTTCCGCTGTGCTTTACTGACCAGGACAAAGTTTTGTTGTCGAGGATCCAACATACAATTACTTGTCGGCGAGGTATCCTCCTGACGCAGAAGCTCTTGCGAAGAGGGCAGTGAGCCTCGTCAGGGAGATTACCCAATTGGCTTGACTTGTCGACAACCAGAACTTCGAGTGTTAGCCTCATCCTGCGTCGCATTCCCGACGATCCCCTCCTATTAACATCTCGGCTTCGTACTTGGCTCTCTGCTCGTCTCTCCTTTCTCTGACGGTGTTGATGTTGACCTTGCCGACGTCGATAAATCTCCACAAATCACTTGCGTTGACACGCCCTTGTCCTCCAAACAAACCAAAGTCGACGGGATGCTTGGAGGAGTGGCGTAGCGCAAAGACCACGCTGTTCCTACCGTTGGGATTCTCCACGACGCGGTGTATACCAGGGCTCAGCATTCCATCCGACAACGCCTTGAGGGTCTGCCCGACCAAGATCGTCACCGTACGTGGGTTGGTCCCGCTGTCGGTCCAGATGGGGTTCTCATCCGTGGAGTTGAGCCGATCCAAGACTTCAAGCCCCCCACCGTCACCTATGCAGATGGTCAACAACCCTAGGTCGGTGTGATGTTCAGCGAATCCAGTGCCTGGCAAGTAACGAAACAGACGCAGGAGCGTATATGGCATTTGTTGCTCAGATTCTGGCATGGTCTGGGTGCCATCGAGGATGTCGTTCCATATCGACACGTCTAGATCAGACCAGCGGGTGATATCACACAGAATACGCCATAGGAGAAGTGCTCCTTCTTGCCACGCTCTAGCGGCATTGTCTTCAAGCGTCTGTACCAGAGATAATTGCGACGGTGGCAATCTAGACTCGTAACCCGAGTGCACACGACACCGGAACGTGATATATTCTTTCTCATTGGGGACAGTGTAATAGCCAAACTCGGTCCCGGATTTGGAGGGATACAGCGCCGTCTTTTCCCAGTCCGGCAGCTCAAAGAACCGTGTGGAGCTGTTGAACAGGTCCCCGGTCGTGGCCGCAAGCGTCTCCGACAGAGGGAGGGATAGCCAGCCTTGTTGCGCGAGGTGAAGTAGTTGGCCATCCGACAATAACGGTGGGGGCCCTGGGGGCGGAGGACATGGGGAGTCGTCTCCCTGTTCGCCCATGGCCTATACAAACCAGGAAGAGACAGGAAAGATTTATGTCTCCTTCTCCTTTTCGCTACGGTGTGAATTTGATCTGAGTGGGTGCCAATGGTGACTTTGCGATGAGAAGAACTTCTAACGAGGATCGCGGAATCAGGTGCTCGCTGATGAGTTGATTGGTTGCTGATGATGAAGGCATGACGCGGACTGCGATGGATCCCGAGATGGCAGACAACCGTCCCTGCTACCTAGGTAGGCATCTTTACACGGGAGCGAGCAAGTAAACAAGAACGCTGTACCGTACTGGTCTCTTGTCTAGGTACTCTGGCCCCGCAAAGAGAGCGTTAGTAGCCCGTTTTTCCCTCCAGGAACGATCAAGTTCGCTTCAAAGTTGTTTAACGCCAAGGAGATTTAAAACGGGCGAAGCTTTATCGAGTGGCTATTAATAGTCGACCACGCATTCGATCTAGTCGTTGGTCCGCGCATCCCTTTGGGCGTTCCTCATGGGTCTGTGGTGGTCAAAAATGTCCATTGAAACACGTATTGTCGAACAGGTCGTTGGTCAAGAGTCGTTCACGGCTCAGTATATGAGGAGATAGTCGAACACCAGGTCGCGGGATCGTGTCATTATGTGACCGGTTTGAATGATTAAAATATAGCAAAGTTGTCCGAATACCTCTATCATTCTACTTTTGCTCCAGCCAGCCACAAGTAAAATGGTCCCCGTTCCCACGACAAGATGTACCCTCAGATTCATAAAACATTGCCATCACCCACTTGGTTTTTGTTCGCCATCCATATGCTACATCCTGCACCGCCTAGAACTCTATTCCCCCACCGTAGCCCACGGAGCTTTGGTCCCTATCTTTCGGTGTTCCTGTAATAGCCCTCTGGCTCCTCCCCCTTCACGCAGAAGCCGCTCTTCCTATTGAGCACTTAGTCAAACTTCTTCCGGCCAAGGTTCAAGCCAACACCGTGGTTGAACACGAGAGTGCCGCCGATCTTTGCCGAGGCGATCAAGGCTGGCAGCAAGACCACGCTGATGAGGAGGTTGGTCTGGGTAGGCGTCTTGCCCAAGTTGATGGCCCCCTCCTTGTCCTTTCTCAAGTACCAGCTGTAGAGGTTGACCACAAACACCAAATCGTTCATGACGGCGTGTGTGATTGTTGCCTTGATCCGTGGCACCATTGTGCTCTTCTGTTTTCCCTGCGCATCTTTTTCCCATGGCCCGCCGTTCTTCTTGATCATGCCGACCAGCTGGATGTTGCCAGACATGATTGCAGGCACAGTGGTGATCAGGCCCGCGCACAAGAGGAAGTAGGATACGCGAGTGATGTCCAAAAGGGTCGCGGGGGAGCCGAAGCGTGTGGTGAGGAAGGCCGGCTTGACATAGATGGTAGTCAGAGCATACAAGATATCAAGGCCCCAGGAGAGGACGTTGAAGGCGATGGGAAAGTGGACAAGGCCTGGGTGGGCGGGGAATCTGTGAACAAGGCGGTCAGTGCTGAAGACATGCTAATGGCGGAGGTGGTCCAAGCCAGCGACAGCTGTCGACCACCTCTACACCCCGAAGTTGAAGAGGATGGCAGACTAAAGTACATACTCGGTGTTGAATTCAGGAACAGGCTCGCCAACCTTGTGGGCGAATTTGCCCTGGAGCTGAGTATAGTAGCTCATCTTGTCGCTGGCACTCGTAGTGATAGAAAGATAGAGGTCACAGATTCCTGTTATATTCCGGGGAGACGAACAGTAACAGCACCACAGAAAAGGACCAGATTAAAAGGGCAAAGAACAAAAACGAGTGTCTTTAGAAGAAGAGTATGAGTATCGGACAAAAATAGGGAGTGGGAGTGGGCGTCAGAAAATACAAGAGACCGTATTGGGCAAAGGAGCAACACAAGCACGCGCAGGACATTGCGGGCAGGGTTCCAACCTTCAACTCCACTACACTAATGGCGGAGTCCGGTTAAGGCGCCCTCGCCCAACGGGCGCCCAATGGATCGATCTCTAGGCACCGAGGCCCCCTAATAGTTCCAGTCATTTAAGGCCAAGGCAGCAAGCCAGGGCAGTCCTCGAGCCCCTGAAGCCACCGCCACCAATAGGACGTCGCCAAGAGGTAAGCAATGAACACCTGGCATCATCACTGGCAGCACATGGGGGCCGATCCTGAACAGGCTTCACAACTTGTATTACCACTCCTCGGTTTTGCGTACGGTGAAGCAAGAGCCAGACGAGGTTGGCAGCACCGACATACTCGTACTCGTTCTCGTTCTGAGAAAATACTACCCACAGCCCCAGAAGACGAGGAAAGGGATCCAACAATTGACGACGAGATCAAGAGGTGGACTGCATTGACAGAGGATACAGCGAGGCAACAGAGAGAGAAATTGAAGGCCGCTGATACGAGATGGTGACAATTTCATGGATGCCAACCGTGCAACCGTGCGCCACAGTCAATGTCCAGCCTGACTCACAGCTTTGCCCTCCTCAGAGCCTCAATTACCTCCTTTGCTCCTCGTTCGCCAGATCGCAGTGCACCATCCATATACCCTTTCCATTCATAAGCAGTCTCGGTGCCCACGAAATGCACTTTCCCATGAGTGGTCCTCAGCGCGTGGTTATACTTGGTCATGATTCCCGGTGGTGCAGCAGGACATGGACAGCCTTGCGCCCACTGATCACTTGCCCATTCATGTTCTGTCACGGCCAGCGGCTCTGGCACGTCAACATACGGGCCGAAGACGCGCTTGATGTGAGCCAGTATGGCATTGAATCTCTCCTGCTGCGGGAGTAGGGATCCCTTGCGGCCGAAATCGCCATTGGTAAAGCATGTCAGTGAGAACTGCCCCTTCTCGTCGGTACTGGAGTCCCTGCACGTGGTGATGGGCCCTATGAAGGACATGATGGCACCGGACAAGCCTTTCTTGCGCCACCAAGGCTCCGAGTACATGACCAGGATCTTCAATGTATACCCGTGTACATTGTGCTTCCCGAGTTCGACCTTGGCCGCGGGCAAAGGTGGATCAAAGGCGATCTCCTTGTAAAGAACTGTCGGCACAGAGACAATGACCCGTTGACACTTGAAGTCTCCCCTACCCGCTGACACATAGATTCCGTCAGGGCTTTGGGATATGTGCCGGACAGGTGAGTTTAGGACGATTGAACCCGGCTTCATCAGACCCGCCAGCCCGAGTGACAATGATTGGGTCCCTATCGGCCAGAGTGTAAGTGCATTTCTCAGTCGGTTGCTCACATTTGCATAGCTTACCTCTGTGAAACCTGAGATACTGCCCGCCATCCTTGAAATCGGATCTCATCTGGAGAAGACCACCGCCGCTCTTGCAATAATCTAGGAAATAAAGTGCACTGATCTCAGACGGCTCCAGGCCGAGCATTGCTCGAGTCCACAGCTTGACACTGGCAAGCGCCGTCTCCGATTGAGTCTCCGACCTGCACCATTCTTCCAAGGTCATGGTGTCAAATCGTCCGCTTGAGCCGACAGGGTCCCGAATATCCACCTGTTGGCACAGTTTCTCAAACAGTTCGCGGATGTAAACCATGTTTTCGATCCCGTTCGATTCGGGGGCGTTGGTGGGTGTTCCACCATAGGGAAACAAGCCTGTGCTACCGCTGAGATCCTCCTGGATGATGTGGCCCACGGTGTTCTGAACCACAAGTCCCAGACCGAGGGACTTTGCTAGAGCATACGCCTTTGCTTGATTCGTGTCGTTGATCCAAGCGGCCCCGACGTCGATGAATTTCTCCTGGCCCAACGGGTCAACGGACCAGGTCTTGCCACCCACGCGATCACGGGCCTCAACAACAGCGCACGATACTCCGGCCTTTTGCAGATCATAGGCTGCCTGCAGACCACTGAGACCAGCTCCCACTACTACCACCTCCACGGTCGTCAATGGTTCCTGTCGGACAGCAGCATACGCCTCGATCTCGAACTTGAACTCCGGGTCCGCCAGTGCGGGAACGGGCACCAGGGTCGTAGCAGGCCGATGGCCGTTCAGGAATGCCTTGAGGTGCTTTGTATGCCTACGGTGCGCGGGGTCGTAGTCGACAATGTAGTACACCAGCTTGAACACGTCGGTCACTTTAGAACCGGCAGCTTCGAGACAGCGGCCCAGATTCTTTATGGCCAGGGCGATCTGCTCGTCAATATCCTCGGGCACGACGCGGTTGTGGTCGGCACCGACTTGCCCGGCGGTGGCGACGATACGGCATGGTCCGCTGGACGTGGCGACGTGGGAGAATGTCGGACGAGAGTCGAAAGTCTTGTGAGGATCGAGTGTTTGCACACTCGGCGACGTCTTGGGACCAGGCGACATTGTTTTTGGTTGGAGGATCCTTTTGTCCCTTCTCGTGGTTATCGACTCGTCCCTCGCCTGGTTTATTCAAGATATCGCAGCTCTCCACTTACGACGGACTCTGGAATATATGTGTTGTCAATCCTCGGATTTCGACGACCGCGGAGAGAGTCTTGCTTGCTTGATTCCTTCCTGGCTCACCCACCAAGGTCAGCCAACCGCACATACATACATGTATGTATTGCGTGTCAAGAATCAAATCGAAAGCTGCGGTGCGCTGCGCACCACGCCCTGCCAACGCCGCAGACCTGCGCGCCGTACCCACCATACGAGGTACGGTGTACGACCGCGTGCGGAGATGTGCATCTCCTTCGCCAGTAGTTCTAACCCTCTCGACCACTCTCCGGTGGAAAATGCAAGCGCCTTTCTTACCCAACGGCGGTCGGGGGCCCTGATCGGGAAAGAGAGTTTGGCATTGTTGATTGGGAGGGAGTGGGAGGGGGTGGATTTTCCCCGACCTTCCTGATTTGACTCTGTGATGGGGAAGTTGAAGCGCGGTGGTGAATGGCAATGCATGCTGTGGAGATCCACCAGACCTACATACCTAGGCTGCTAGGCAACTACTAGGTAGGCATGCATGAAAATGCTTGCCTTTTTGGGACGTTGTGTAAGAAGTGAGGAAAAAGGGCTGTCTGGATCATAGAGTATGTATGTATGTGCGTATGGGATATGATCTGATTTGATGTGACAGGAGTATCGATTCAGCGTTCGTGTTGTTCATCTCATGTTCCGCTCTATTCTACCTCCTCTCCTTTCCTGGTGCTGGTGGTGATCGCAGGAGCTGATTTCCAATGCTAAAGCACCAGTACACTAACCATGATAAACCGCAGAAGACTCTATAGATATGTAGATGTATAGATATATCGACACACCCTTTTCGTTTTTGCCACTGGAAAGGGTTCAGGACCAGCAACGCGACTCGAGTCCCAGAAGAGTCATCTCTGGCGATAAGAGGAGGATCACGAATTACAAACCTGATCAACCACCTCGGCGACCGCAATGAGCTCCTCATCCCCAAACTGCGGCCTGACCAGCTGCACCGTGACGGGCAGATTCGCCCACCTCTCGGGATCGTAGACCTCCCAATTCATCCGGTCAAAGACGTTGTCGCGGGGCGTGTACCCGACATCTTTGCGGTCCTTGTCGCGGTCGACCCGCATCTTCTTCAGCGGCAGCACGATGCTCGGGTAGTCGAGCAGGTTCCACAGGCTGAAGTATCCCCACCAGACGGGGAAGCCGTGGGGGAAGCTCGCCGACGGGGCGCACGGGCAGAGCAGGCAGTCGATCGGGCGGCCGGAGCGGGTGCGCGACGCGGTGGCGTGCCACGCCTCGGCGAATTGGTATTTCCATTCTGCTTGTTTGGTGTTGAGCTGGAAAAAAAACAGGCCAATCCCGACCCATGGACGGGGAAAGAGTTAGTGATGTGCTTCGTTCTCCTCAATTCAAAACTCAACTCGGCTCAAATGGGGCAGATGGGGTTGGGGTCGGGGTTTTGTGGAGGATAAGAATAAATGGAGCGAGCATGTGTGAGCACGAGCCAGGGATGTCTTGGTACCTTGAACAGTTCCGGCACGGTCAACGGCTGGATGTTAAACGTCTCGAGATACCACTTGAAGGTAGGATAGAGCGGTTCGCCCGACGACGCGACCAGGTCCAACGTCTCTTTTGCCCCGGTCTGGAACCACAATCGCCACTATAGTCCCAGAAGTCATTCCGTTAGTCACTTACTTACTGACTGGTAATGTAACAAGGCTGCCAGGAGAAGGAGGGGTAAACGAGATACGGGGCGATAATACGAACCGTGGCTTGTGCGACTTCCCAACAATCGAACGGTGGTTGGAATTCGATCACTACACCCCTTTCGCGTCAGAACGAGCATGATTTGCTTTCCGTTTTCGTGTCCAGAAGCGCATGGCGTAGACTGGTGGTGCTGGGCATGGATCAATGAATCAATAATGCATACCTTCGTGACCGGCCGCGCGCAGGTTTGCCGCGGTCTCCTCTAGCGCCCTCGCAATCGGTGGTTGTGGAGTCACACACCCGTCCGTGGCCAGCAACCCAATTGAGAGCTTCTCCGTCTTCGCGGGGAGCTGTTGCCAGGGCATGCGCACGGCGGTAGGTTCAAAGGGCAGACCGTGGTGAGTGAGGAGGATCTCGGCCACGAGTTTGACGTCGGCCATGCTGTGGCAGTTGGGGCCCGAGGAGACCTTGATAGAGATCTGACCGGGGGCGGGTGTGCCCATGCCCCTCTTGGCCGTTCTGTCAGCCGTCGGTCGCATGGCATACAGTCCGTTGAAGGTTCCCGGGGCACGGATGCTGCCGCCAATATCGGTCGATGGGCAGAATGGTGCGCCTCGCATGGCCACGAGACTTCCGTCTCCACCAGAGGAGCCGCCCGCAGAGAAGTGCCTGTTGAAAGGGTTCATGGTGCGGCCCCAGAGGTTGCTCCAGGTTTCGAGGAACATGCCCGTCTGCGGCATGGTGGTGCGCACGAAGAAGACAGCTGTGGCCCAGACACGCGCAGCGGAGCGATCAGTATATCAAGGCAAGCAGGGTTTGTAGAGAGAAAAACAGGCGCGCGGAACTGCTCACCTCCGGCATTTCTCAGCATCTGGATTATTGACGCGTCGTACGTGCACCGGTTGTTATGCCATGCCAGATAGCCCATGGTCAGGTTCTTGTCCTTCATGTGGAAGATGTCCTTGATGCCCACGGGTAACCCGTGCAAGGGCCCGACCGGGACACCCGTGTTTGCGAGGATGTCATCGAGTTCTTTTGCTCGTGCAAGAGCCTCGTCGGGGAAGAATGCTGTCAGGCAGTTCACCTGAAGATAAGCCGTCAACAACAACGGCTCTCAATCCACACCTCCACATCAGGTAGACCGGACCCGTGGTCAACAGACTATGAGGGGAGGCTTCAGAGGCACTCACACACTGATGTGCAATTGCAGCCCTTGCGCAAAAGGCCTCTGTCACTTCGACAGAGGACAGCTTGCCGTCTCTCAGCTGGGGAACGAGCTCACTGGCCGTCTGCTCAGTGATCAAGAGTTGTTTCTCCGTAAGCAGTGCGCAGGCCCTTGGAATGCCACGAACGTCCATCACAGACGGGTCGACCGGTTCGGGTAGACGCCATTTGGGAGGTATTGAGTTTAAAAGACCTGCTTGAGCCTTTGAGGCAATATCCTGCCAGTTTTCAGCCATTTTCGGGACTCAAAAGAGAGGGTAGAGGAGAGAGTCTAAGCTTTTGGTAAGAACTCGAATTCCGGCTCTGTTTGAGGAGAAACGTCAAGATGTTGTAACCTCGCACGCTGGCCCATCCCTTTTAAGGGCCTGCCTGTGCAAATGAGTAGCAAGATAACAACTAATCTGCACGGCCTGGATGCGATGCGGGGGGATTCCCTCTAATCGGCCACCGGATGTGGACGATCGTGGATGTCCGTCTTCGCACGCGTGAACGCAGGAGTGATCTTCATGCGCGAATGGGCCTTCCAAAGTGTAGGTCATCTCCTCAAAACGCGGCAAATCCCAAGATTACAAGGGGGCAGATGAAGGAAATCCAGTGGGGACGATAAACAAGGAGTCCTTGTTGGGAGCATCTGCCTCGGATCCGGATCAATATTTGTCCGTCAGGGCTGAAGATGCCACAGTCAAGCCTCTGATTTTGATGTATTCATTGCCAATAAACAGCTTCTGTTGAATTCGTTGGTCTGACCCAAGCTCGCCCTGGTTCTAGATATAGACACCAGAATCAGAGTCCTTGACCACTTGGTGGCATTGTAGCGAGGCAAGGGTGCAGCACGCGGCTGGAATAGCGTCGATGTCCAAAGCAGACTCAACCGTCATGAGCATCGTGGAGACGTTTCCGATCCCAAGACTTTCACATCTCTTGATGGCAACATGACGATACTTTCGCGAGCGATGGTGGAGCTAGAGTGATCACTTGAGGAGAACTAAGAACATGCCGCCAGTAGGCGACGAGAAGCATGACCAGTCATCGCATCGGTCTCTGTCAGCCCATGAGCCATAAGAGGGAGCAAACCTCGAACATATCTTACAGCGAAGATGAGCTTTGCTGTCGGATTAAGCGACGCAGGTCTTGGAATAGTTCAACAAGTTTTTTTTTCTCTCTTTTAGACAGGCTAGGAGCTGGTATCCCCGTTATAACAAGTCAATATCCTGCTCTCTAGCGCTCTGTCTGGTCCTTCGTAATCAGAATATGTTCGCCTACAAGTGTATATCATCAAAGACTTCTGGATAATGTTCACGTTTCACATCAAACTTGCTCTCCAGGCTATAATCACAAAATATGTCTGACCGATCTGCTTCGTAACAACGATCGCAGCCTTTGGTGACCTGGCGGCGAAAGTTTTTCGATCTCACCGAGGGGCGATGTTCTCGGTAAGTTGACATTCTCCCAGTCCGTCTGCGTCCTCAATGCATCCCAAGCCTGGCGGTCGTGATTGCTAGGAGTGATTGTCGTATCGGTGTTAGTCGAACTGCCGGAAGAGCTTCGTTCTAGACTGGGCACTGGATCTGAGGATTCTTCCTCCAAAGTCGGCTCGGACAGCGAGCCATAAGAGCTGAACCGTAAGTGGCTCGCGGTCTTCCGAGGTGAGCTCATGCCGCCTACTCCCTGAGGGGACGGCACTGTGACGTTAGCGTCAAGCTCACGACGAAGTGATAACCTAGATTCCACACTGAGGATACTGCGCAGACTGTTGCGGCGTGAGACTCGCTCTTCTTCGTCAGGTGAAGGTAACAGTGCGGATCCACGAGATATCTTTGAGTCTACCGCATGGTCTTGGGGGTTGGAGCCCGAGTTATCGCCCCAGAGAGCCGGTTTCGTGGTGGGCCTGAGTGGTGCCGGGCGTGCCGGTTTGTCGGTCTCTTTAGCAGCAGGCGAAGACATTCCTCCAAACGTGTGATCAATGTATTGACTGAACCCGTTTGCCTCACTGTCATCCCGAGGACGTTGCTCGCTTTGTAACTTCGACGCTCTTTGACTCGCTGCGAGTCGGTCGATGATTTTTTGTCGTTCTATTTCCTTTCGCTCAGCCAATGTGACGATATCATAGTTCCTAGGAGCAGTCTGGGGCAGCTCTTGAACTCGAACTGGCAGAGATGGCAGAGGTTGAAGTCTTGCAGGATTCGGTAACGCAGATCCGTCTACAGCATGGCTGTTGGGATCGGATGGTGACAAGGCGTTGAGAGCAGCTCGTTTCTTCATTTTCTGCATTTTCTTTGCGTCATCCGCATCAGATTCGGGTTTCGAGCCTTCACCTCGGTTGCGTAGTACCTTCGCCAGGACATCGTCGAATTCACGAGATGATTGAACATCACCACCAGTCTCCGCGTTGTAGGACATGTGACCTGATTTGATGACCTGTTCGGCGACTTCATCAAGCTGAGCACGTGGACTCTGCGTCCCATTTCCGACAGCAACCCCGATGGCAGGTTCTGGTACTGCCTGCACGGGCCCGGGCACAAGCTGGCGGAAGGAAACTTGCGTAGCGCCAATTTCCTCCCCTGCCATTTTCATAGCGAACCGTACCCTCGCTGCCAACATATGAATTTCCAGCGATATGATGACTTTCCATGCGGGCGCGGCTTTCGTTCCTTTTCCGGCCAGCGATCGATGTCGGGCGGCAATGATGAGTCTAGAAGTGACACGACAAGCTATGTCGGCACATTCCTTGACGGCAGGCGTGAAGTGCGAAGGGGCGTCTTTCTCATCACTCTGAACAATTGTAAAATCGACCTCCATGAAGCCTCCAACCGGAGGACTATGCGGAACGATCTGGGTGAAATTGTGAGATTGTGGGGGCATCGAAGACTGGATCTCCTGTCCCTTGCGCACCAGCCATTCGATCTGTTTTGCTTTGGCACATCGTTCGTCCTCGCAGTAAAACATGTCTTCCTGCCTGTGCAGGGCTGGGTCAAAGCGCACATTGTAGGGTATGCCGTAGTTCCAGCGAGAGAGCCGTGTGTTGATGGTTTGTATATTTCCGAGGGACATAAACAGGCAGCGGACGGCCCCCTCGACCACCGATGTCCAGCTGGACCTTCCACGCCAGACCTTGACTCCCTCGCTGCGAGGATAGCTCTGCTCGATGCGCGACTGGACAAAACGGCTGCTTCCGAGCCCACCAACAAGCAGGATCCCTTTGAGATGTTCTTTCAACCCTTTCTCCTCCAAGGCCATGTCCTGCTCATCGATGAGGCTCAGGATCTCAGGGAGGACGCTTTCAAACGAGATGCGGACAAGTTCTGGTTCAATCAGAACAGTGCCTTCTTTGGCATGCTCAAGGTTGAGGTGGGCAACACCACCTAGATGCACCGCCTTAGGACCGGTTGAGGCTCCCCCCTCATAGGACGGCTTAATGATGAAAGTAAAACGGTCGATGATCTCACTCTTCGCAGCTGCAGGCAATCGGTCCCAATCGTCTCGCAACACCCCTTTGACCTGGTTGGTGAAGGCTTGGTCGATGTACACGGAACCGCAGAGACCTCCATCTGCAACGGCGACCTGGTTCAATTCCATCGGATGCACTCTGGCGACTTGGTAGCTCACGACATCGACTGTGCCACCTCCGGCGTCGCAGACGATCACGCAGTCTCCCGCTCTCACCTGGCCAGTGCTCAGGCGCTGTTGAAGCTCGGAAATAGCAGCCGCTTCCGGTTCTGTGATGAACTTAATTTCACGGCCGTTGTCTGCTAGACCAGCAAGTTCGGCAGCATGCAGGGTATTCTCTTTGGCAGCATCAGACCATATAGCAGGGACAGTCATCACAATTGTGACATCGCTGTTCTTGACCAGGTCAGGATCGTTTTGCTCGTCGCAGATGCAATCGACAATTCTTGCCCACAACCACTTTAGATAATCGCCAACCACCGTTGTAGGGGATTTTCCCAGCTCTTGGATGGCTCGACGGGTCGCCTGTACCTCCTCGGAGTCGAGGAGATATGACTTGCGTGAATCAGGATCCGTTTCGAGGAGAAGCTTCACCCATCGTAACCTCGTAGCATCTTCAGGGCATTCAAAACCACAGTGAACTTCACCATTCGGGCCGTATGCGATGTCCGAGGGGACCTTCTGCGTGTAGCGGTGGTGGTGGTGAGCACTCGGCCAGTCAGAAATGGTGTCAATGCGCGGGTCGATTGGTCGTTGGAGGAAAAGAGTATAGGCGGCGCCAGAGAAACTGCGACTGTCAGAGGTGCTCGTCCTTCAATTGTGTGTTTATACCAACCTGGTGCCATAGTCAATGCCAATGATGAGTTTCACCTGCGCCGGATTTGCTCGATTTTCTGGGCTGAAACCGCGACTCATGAGAGACGTGAGCCCTGGGTCCATCTTGACCCTCGCTGCGCCTTTGAAGTTGTGATCAGGCTGAGGTATAGCAGCTATCCAGGGACCTCACGAGCAACGCGACCAACGCAATTGCGCTACCAGATCATCATCGCTGCATCAGAAGACGAACAAGTTGAGGAAGTTTCGCTTTCCATGGGCTTGGAAATAGTTGCAAAGAACCATCCAAGCCATCGCCGATAGATGATAGGACCCGAGCGGTAGCCATGCACACAAAGTCCTTGGGGACTTTGCACTGCCTGGTGTGGCTGCATCATCGGGCTGGTCAAACCTGCAGTAGTGGTGAGGCTATCACCTCGAGCCGCCATGTGAGAGATCTAGGCTCCCGGCGACTTAGGCTGCGGTAACACGAGGCGCAGGGCACAGCTGCCCTTGGCCTCTCTGGCTTCATCTTGAAATTTGTCTCTCATTTGGACATTCCTGTAAAAGACGACGAAAGCAGCTCCTCTGTAGCAAGAACATGACAGAGGTAGAGATATGTCCCGTCCTCAAGGATCGATCATGTCGCGGATCCCACACCGGACTAAGCTCATTTTGATTTCCGGGGACAAACACCAGGCCCATAGCGCCACGGCCGAAACCTCCTCCGCCTTCACCGAAGAATTCCCTCTTGACAATGACACGCATGAGAGATCACAACTGGAAGAACATGTCCGAGAGTTGACGGGGTTTGTCGCAAGCCCTGAGCGGCCAGCACGGACTCAACCATCACACGAGGTCAGCGCAACTCGCGCACCGTGTCCAGACGATCGTTCGAAAGGGGCTCTTTCACATCAGCGCGACGTCGAGTGGTTGCAAAATCGAGTCAAATCTTTGGAGGCGAGCGTGCAGCAGTACCAGGAAGAAGATGAGCAATTCCGATACCTCTACGATGGGATGGTCAAAGAAAATGTTGCGCTCGAGGAACGTTGTGCTGCCCTGGCTTCGGAGCGTGACTTCTTCGCGGCCAAGTACAGTGAGCTTCTGTCGGAGCGCTTCAATGCACAACTCCCTGGCCTCTGGGTGACTCAGGCGAAGTTGAAGAGTGCATTCACAGACCTCTGCCACCATGTCTCTGCCTGGTGCGACGATGCAGCCTACCAAGCGGTAAAGATGCAAGTTGGTAACAACCAAGGAGAAAACTTAGCCGAGCTGCTTGCCCTCTCTCGCGCTTTCAGCGTCCCATTGTCGCGAAAAGGGCTTGCTGCAGTGCTGATGAGCAGGATACACCACGAGATCATGCTCAGAGTGTTCCCAATTCCTGACGATTCAGGAGGGAAAGACCCCAACGATCTTTGGGCCAGCCAACAGGATGCCGAATGGCTTCGTGTAGTCTTGAGAGACCTGGTTGCACAAGGTAAGCTGGACTTTTGCTGAAGTCTTCGTTCGACTGTCTGGAATGTAAATAACTCGTGAATAGGAATCCCTCCTGACGAGGTGCGCCGCTGGAAGTGCTTGACCACCACTGCTATTGCTCCCCACAGCTTCGAAACCAGTAAGAGATCAAGACATTTCGCTAGGTCACTATGGAGGCATGTCATATCCATGGTGAAAGGTGACACAAGCGCTCTGGAGTCACAGCTGTTTACCAGGCTGGAAGTTGAAATTGTCGTCAAGGCCGTCGAGATATCGAGGTTGATGCGCAAGTGCCAAAGCTCTGTCCAAGTCCGGTGGCCAGTCAAGCTCAAGAGCACGTCATGTCGAGCAATTGAGGATGGGACACTGATTTGCGAAGTGCTCACATCCCCAGAGTTGGTGACAGTTTCGGCTGGGGGCTCGACAGCAGGCGCAGAGGAGAACGTTCTCGTACCGCACAGCGTGTTCAGGATCGAAGGGATTACTGCGAACGACAGTAATGGAGCTGGAAAGACTTTGAAAAATTGACTCAAATATATAAAGGCTGCCAAACTAGGAAATGTACCACGAGATCTCGCATCCATTCATCCATCCTAACCATCGTCCTGGGTAGATGATATCCCTGAACTCATGCTAAGGCTGTTATCAAGTTGAATGCAAATGAGCTCAAGCCGATGAGGAGACTAAGGATTGTCGTCACCGTGGGCTTTTTGCCGCCTTTCAAAAAGTCCTTCATCTTAGTCTTCAAGTCTTTTTCGAGCTCCTCATTCACATCCTCTTCCAGCACATTCTCGGTCTTTCTCCGGGTCTCGATATGCTCGTACAGCTCCTCCACGTCGTCGTCTGTGTCTGCAGCCGCCGTTGCTGAGGGACCGGGAGCTGCGGCGGCAGCACTAGATTGATGCCCTTCCTTGAGCGCTTGAATCCGCTTCTCGTCCTGCTCCCTTGCGCTAATGATAAACTTGCCTGCAGTCGTCTCCGCCAGCGTCTTCCCACTGTCCATCTCCTCCTGCAAGGCAAACTTGACCGGAGCCTGGGACATCAAAGAGCGAAGTATAGTTTCGGCAGAGGCGCGGCTGTTCTCGAATCGGAACATTTTCGCTTTCTTGCGGAGCATTGGGCGCCAGAATATCCGACGAAGGTCACTTTCCTTGGTCCCAAGTTCCAAAACCCCTTGACTCGCTTCATCGGGCCACTTGGTGGTAACGAATGTGACGTGATCCCAGCAGTTCTCCCCGCAAATCTGTTGAAGCAGTTCGAGTTGCCGGACGGCTTCACCTGTCATTCTAGCGGAGAGAATGTCGTGCAGATAAAGTATCCCTCTCTGTTCGTTCTATCAGCGATATTGAAAATCATATCAAGATGGACTGCATCACCATCTGCACTCCCATCGCCGACTGGAGCGCGATCAACCGGGCAATCTCGCTGAGGATGATTGCATCGGAGCGCCCATGCCGGCTTCTGGTGTCATTGAAACCTGGCGTGTCGATCAGTATAAGAGGCTTTCCATCAAAGCTCGTATATATTGCGGCGGGCTGCTGTGTGCCTGCGGCGAGGTGTCAGTAAGGCTATGGCATCCTAAGACCCTTCACTGGGAGTCTTTTTTTACATGAACCCAACCTCGCTGAAGTAGCACATGCCCCAGGCACAATCGAATTGATGAAGTGACTTTTGCCTGCGCCGGTGGCGCCTACCAGGAGGATCATGGATGTCTCCTCGGCCTCGCGCTGGATAGCATCGCCTATCTCTGCCCCGAATTCATCGGCGAATCTGTGTCTCATGACGGGACAAGCTTTGTTTGGTACCGGAGACCATAAAACTAGCAGAGACGCAGTTTCGTAAGGATTTTTCTCTCATGAGAAAGTCTTTCACTCAGCCTCATTTTCCCACCACCTTGTCGCTTCCAGCTGCCCCAGTCCAAGCCTCAATTTGTAACTTGCAGGGCCGAGACCATCGTAGGTACCAATTGATTGGACGATACGGGTACTAGCGTCCGTGAAAAAGGCAGCGGCTAGAGCAGTGAGGTGAAGCGAAGGCAGGGATTAGGCTGCATGTCTTTGTGATCAGCTTGGAACTGAGCCATCCTGAATAAAGAAACACCCTCTGTCGTACGAGCAGTCCAAGTGAGTATCATCATCGTGCAATGCAGTTCGATATGACGGACGGACCCTGCCATACAGAGCCGAGCCGAGCCATTGGCAGCAGCCAACTTCCAGAGGTGAAACCGGTTTTCTCCAGCTGGCTGCAGGGCTGAACGGCTGGGCGATTGAGAGCCTACAGTGCATGAATAAGATGCTTGTGAGTAAAGTCACCGACACTTGGCATGGAATGAAAGGTGAATGTAAATCCGAGTGAAGAAATGATGCAACTGCGGCAGCCATGACCGACCGTAGAAATACTTTACGCGTCCCACACTGTCACATTGATCGACCGTACCTCTATTTACCCTCCCACCCGCAGTGACTATATATAAAAAAAGTTACTCCTTACAAAGTGTTGATGTCAAGAACATAAGCCAGGACATGGCATTACTTTGCCTGCTTTGTTCAAAATGGAGTCTCAACACCCAGAGCCTGCTGATAACAATGACGGCCATCTTCGCAACTTCGATGAGGCTTGCCGACAACTGGCGGCCGCCATGATTCGCCTCTGTGACATGCCCAAAACCACGCCAGATGGCCTCGAGCCGGAATTCGCGGCGTCGAGACTCGTCAGTCTAGAAATCGAGGCTCGGAAACACGGTCAAGTCGCCTTTCCCATCCAACCCTGGCAGGTGTTTCACTTGGGACACATTTATTTCAGATCACTCGACATACATTTACAAGCCGATGATCACTGGACAGACGAAGTGAGGTATATCATCCAGTCTTCACTCAAGTTAGAATACATTTTGGTCTGGGCCTACTAATACATTCCAGATGCGACTACTTTGAATCGAGCCAGCAGTTTGTCCTGCGATGGAATTCCAAAGCTCATGAGGTACTCCGGACGGAGTTGCGGTCCAGTCTCCACGCTCACCTGCGCTCCCTGCACGGTCACTGGCCCGATACAGCTGCTGGAAGATTTGCCCAAGAGATCCGCTACTGCGGTTACGTCGCGGTTAAATCTATCAGTGATATTTTCTCCAACCGACATGATCCAGACATTGCCCTTGGACATCCCTCCGCTAGGTATCCGGGTGTAATTATCGAAGTTGCAGGATCTGAAAAGGGGAAAGCGCTGGAACAACTCGCAAACGAATACCTATGTCACTCTGGTGGCCAGATCCGCGTCATGGTTGGCATTATGACGGAATTTGCTGACGAGAAGGGAAACAAGAGTAAGAAGGCCACATTTTCTGTCTGGAAGCCGCAGTCGACTACTCAAGATGGGAAGCAATCGGTTCATGCAGCCTGCACTGCCAGTGAGGTGAGTCTGAGTCAGCTTAATCTCTCTCGATTTGGCAACTGTCTTTACTAAGTCGATGTCTAGGTGATGTTTCGAAATGAGGACGGTGTTCCCAATCTAGACGCCGAGTTGAGGTTCTCCCTGAGCGACTTCGCGGCTCCAGCTGTTATCAAGCGTTTCGATCCATTCGTCGACCACACTATCCCCATCACTGCCGCTGAGCTTTGTGCGTGTCTCAAGAAAGCAGAAAAGTTCGAGACCACCACGGATTGAACTCGAAGAACCACGATGGAAGGGTGCATCAAAATACGAGGTCAGAACAGCCTTGTAGGAGCGACGAATCAAGCTGGGCTTTCATACGACCTTCACAGTCCCTCAGTCTCACGGCGCTCTGATGTCTGCAACTCCCCTGGGTGCTGGTGATCGGTGGCACGACTGCACAACAAATGAGCCGCGAGGCAGATAGTCAACGAGACTACGTAGTAATGGCTCTTGGTCCGGGCTGTTGGAAGGCGGCCAGTGGTGAGATGGCTCATGAATCATGACTTTGCTTTTAGTGATACCCCTGATTAGCAAATTGAAAGCTTTCAATCATGTTCAAGGTTCATTTTTGACATTGTAGTTGTAGTTGACATTGTTGATATCTAGTTCGTACGAAACTGAGAGGTATTAAATCCGTATCAAGCTCATGAATGAGATCGACAGCGGTCCAGCCCGTTCCTGCGAGTGTAAGTGCGAACTGCCACTCCGCGGAGACTCCCTACCTTCCTACCTACATATCCACCAAGGCAAATCCTACTATTGCCGCCGGTACTTGTTGCTGTTGCTCCTGGTCTGTCCCAGCATCTCCGGATCTCCGAGGACTGATGTATTCCTCTCCCCACTACGAAAAATCGGAACTGCACCCCTCTCACCCAGATTCCTTCGCAGATACAGTAGTGAAAGAGGGGCCCCGCGGAGGTATAGCTACCCTTTGTGCCTTTCCGCGAAACGGTGACACATCGGGTGACTAGCCAAGTCGGTCGACTGGACCCATATTTTTCCCGGCTTTTTTTACGAAATAGTTTTGTTCTCCACATTCTTCTGCTCCTACAAGTGGATGGACGTCAGATTAATATTCGCGCAGCGCAGAGGTGACGGGCTTACTTCCATGCCTCCATGCATACAAATATACGCTCGATTCGCTCGCCCTGATTACATACTTACGTCCCAGAATCTGGACCATCTCCGCGGTACATAATATCTCCATTGGTTCCCCCTGGCGTGTACCGAGTCGAAGGCACGGAGAAACCATAATCGAAGTGTTGACCCCGCAAGTCACCTCTCTCTTAGCTGAAGGCAGCAAAATGGACCAAACGCCGAGCTCCATGACATAGACCCAGAAGGGTTGATTCCCATGCAATTCAATGCGTATGTATGAGAGAGAGTCACAATCCCAAGCACGACATTCCCACCTCCCTCCCTATCCCAGTCGGAAAGTATCACTGTTACGTAACGACAACCTATGCGAAATACGGAGGGCAGTCACACTCGAGATTCGTCCTAGGACTCTGAGCGTTGTCCGCCGAGTAAGAGATCTGAGCGGGCAGAATGAGGCGGAACGTGCGGCGGCGATTTGATGCCGTGACTCGGACGCAGAGGTCGAGTTTATACCGGCGTGACACCAGCGAGGATTCGAAACTGGGGACCGGGTACTTTAGCTTGCCAAAGTTGAGCGTCAGATGGGCTTGGGCTTCCACGATCGACCGCTGTGCCGTGTCTGTGTTTGTGTCTGGCGTGCCGTCATCTTCTGTAGAATTTTGTCAGGGATATCAGGGATAGGGTCAGGGCAGAGCTAAACCGCAACTGTGCTGCCACCGCAGATACTTACGTGGTAGCGTATGAGGAATTTCCTTCCAGCTCGAGAATTGTACGGGCACTTCGGCTTTGGCGTAGACTCCCTCGTTGCGACATAGCGTGCCACGGGAAGATGAGACGTCTTTCAGCGTCGGAGCACTTTCGCGCGGGTCGCTGGAGATATAGGTCGAGAACACCAAGGATGCCATGCACTGGCCGATGCCTGGAGCCTGTGGAAGTTCTCGGCAGTTCCTAGTTACATAGTTGATTTGCCTCAGGCTTAACGTGGTAGAAAAGACCGTGTCGTCTGCAGGTTTGCACAGAATCACCGGCAAAGGCTGGCTGGCTTCGATTCGCAGCTCTCTCGTGCGAGATCCGCTGGGACGCCATATCCTCTGGCATCTCGACTGTGTTAAGACGTACTCGCCGGGAAAATCTGCTACACAGAATGGCGGAGGGACGTCCAGGGTCGGGATGATGTTGACAGTGCGGGTGATGCTGGCGACCACTTTGTCTCGGATAAGAGCCTGCACACGGAGATTGTAGCCGACATTGGATTCTCCCTGATACCGTGGCTGGAGGACAGGATGTTTCTTCACGCTCTCGAAACTAGGTAGGGATGGGGGAAGGTCTCGTAGGAACCCGTGATTCTGTCCCAGGAGCTCGGACTGTAGAGTCTTTGGTATGTCGAAGTGGAAGAAGCACTTGGGTGTGCTCTTTGCTTGGTCTTCGAGGCCGACGAAATCCCTCGCCGTCTTGATGTCGTCGAGCTGCAGGAGCTGCAGCCGGAGTCAACATAGAGCTCTTAGACAGGTTCCAAGTGTGAATCCCTCATACCCTTTGGATTCCGTGGACAAGGGTATCCGCATACCAGTCCGCGCTCCGGATGGTGTTTAACAAAACACCTGGTTCTATAAGCACGGGGTTCAAAGCACTGCGGAGGAAAAGCAGATCGCTAACTGACCCTCCAAGGTGACCTTGAGTCTGTCGAACTCGATACCTTTTGAGGCTGCTATGGAGATGTAGCCCTCAATACCAGCGTCGCCCAAAAAGTAGGGATCGTTGCTTGTAGAAAGGGCAAGGCCGTTGGTAAAAGTCAACTCCATTGTTCAACGGGACGACAGACAACAATGTATGCTCCCAGATGATCTGCATGTATACTGTAAAGGGTTCAAACGGCAAGCACAGACATGGGCTCTTCCGCTTGAGCGTCCAACTCCCATGCAGCCTCGGAGGATCGACTAGTAATATAGCAATGAGTAACTGGGAGGTATTTAGGTGTAGGTATCTCTTCCTTTTTCCAAGACATGATTCGACAACCCACATTGCCTGGAGCAATCACCGACAAGCACTAAATCCAGCAGAGCGGCACGAGACCTGGCGGCGGGGGATCCTCTTCCAGAATGTGCAAGAGCAGTGTTTTGGGTTAGATACCATAACTAGTGACAGCAATACATTTGGAGAGGAGTATTCCCAGGTCTAGCATTGGCATCCCCGGAGCTAGTGTAAAGAATAAGTGGCACCGTCTGACGAGAAGTAGTCATGAGGAGGGACTCATTATCAGATCAAGGGTAAACCTCCTTGGGCATAATAGCACCCCTATCTTTATCAATTACATTAATCATATTTGATTTGGCTGCTGGCTCATGGCTATTTAGTGACTACTAGCTGAAGTCTGAGAGGGTGTCTACTCTCCGTCAGACTGGGCCAATTTTCTTCTTCTTCTAGAAGCTCGTCCTATAAACCGGAACAGACGGAGATTGTCGATCTGCATTGGACTTTTCTATGAGTAAATTCCCTCAACCTTGCCTGGGCATCCATCTTCTTCTGGACGCCTTGTGACCTCATAATACCTCATTCTTCTTCCTCCGCCTCTCCAGAGTCGGCAAGAACTTGCCGGAGAGTCGCTGTATTCAACTTCAAACACCTAGAGACGCCCAGGTGCCCCAGAGTCGGAAGCAAGGCGTCACTACAGTGCCGCCATGTTGAGAAACTTCAGAGGAAGCTTTGCAAAAGCATACGTGGTTGTAACTCCAGATGTTTGACCCCTTTCATACCTCACTGACTTCTACAGATCATCCCGCCATCCTGCCCGATTCCATCCTGAGTTGTGGAACTGCCCGTGACATTCCACAATTCATTGCCCACACAGGGCCTGCACCAAAGTATACCTTTGGGGTCGTACTTTTGCTTGAGTGCCAACAGCCGCGGGTAGTTTGAGCCCCAGAAGGTGGTCTGCCAATTGGGCTCCGTTGGATCGGCTTCGTTCACGTACGCTCCCGTGTGAGGATCGAGGATTCGCAGGGCTTCGATGGCCCTATTGCGGAGCTCGTCCGTCACAGCTGTTTTTTCGGTCTGGTTCAAAGGTGTCCATTGGCGGTAGGTGACTTGCCAGGAGAGGAAGACTGGAGTCAGCACCGCGCTACCGCTTGGATAAATGAAGACAGCAGTATGATACACTCACCGAAATGAATATAGGTGTTGTTTCGCCACGTGGGACACACCGAGTTGTTCCCACCGGCTATTTTAGCATCGCGCACCCCTTTCCCCGCGACCAGGTGGTTGAGGAGTGTCCAGGTGCCATTTGATGCAGTGCGCAGTGCATTTTCCAGCGCTGTTTGGTTCCCCGTCAGAGCACCGCGGCTCAAGAGACGTGAACCTAGACGCTCAGACGGTCCTACAGTCTCAGGCTGGTTCGTCATCCAAAACTTGGTGAAATCTGGGATTGGGATGGTTTCGTTGGCGACAGAGACCCCGTCACCCCAGTCTGTTGTGTTGATCTTGGTGATGACGGGACCCAGGATTGCATTGACCTGGGTGGCAGTTTTGTTCGGGAAGAAGTAGCCACCGACTATAACCCCTGCCTGGTCCGGAGGGTTTGGCGGAGCGTATGGGATAAAGTAGTGGTATCCATTGGCACCTTTGTCCGACAGGCTGGGGACCTGCGAGGTGAAATATGTAGAGATTGACCAGAAAGTGTCGCTGTTGGAAGTGGTGTTGATGGAAAATATGGCAAGGCTGCCAGGAAGAGTGGGATAGACCTTCATGGTGACGCTGATGAGGACGCCAAAGGTTGAGCCTCCACCCTATAGCTTCGATCAGTCGATTCCTTGGTAGGACGGTTGACACAGTAGCTCACCCCTCTCATAGCCCAGAATAGATCTGGGTACGATTTCTCGTTGATGGTAACAAACTGGCCGTCTGGAGTGACCACTTCCATCTCGAGGACCTGGTCTGCTCCAAGTCCATATGTAGAGCTGATGGGAGAATGACCACCCCCGAGGACCCATCCACCAATACCGACCGACATATCACCACCTGCAATCACCGTGAGATTATGCTTTGCCACCTCTTGGTAGACTTCCGCCATCCTCGATCCAGCGGCGATCTTGACCGAGCCAACTCCGCCATATGGAAGAGCCCGTGTATCACTAGTATTCACCGAGACACCCACAATATTGTGCGTCCATATCGACAGAGACTGGCCTCCAGACGACCTGATGCAGTCAATTCCATTTCAATAGAAAAGGGGTTTATGACTCTTACCTGGACAGGAGATCATGACCAGTTCCTTTGACAATCAATCTCACCCCTGTGTTTGCAGCAAACTCCACTGCCGCTTGTACATCAGATGCTGTGGTAGCGTGAACAACGTAGGATGGATAAGCTGCGACTGAACAAGGGGCCAAAGGCGAGGGCAGACAACCATCATCATTGTAGTCCACCGAGATGGGATTGTTGGCGTGGAAGCTCGAGTTTGTCCATTGCGAAAGAACAAAAGCACAAGTGGCATTATTGAACAATGCGGTTTCTGGGTGACAGACAGCTCCAGGAGGGACGTCCACAAAGAGTCTTCCAGATACAGTCTCATTCAACTTTTGCCATGCCGACTGAGCAGGCCAGTTTTGCGAGGACGGAACGGGCTTGCAATATATAGCAGGGTCGGCAAGAGTCTGGTGTAGATAAACGAGAAAGAACAAGAAAGCCGTCAAAGGGCGAGGCTTTAGAGGGTTCATGCTGAAAAGGTGGGTACCAAGCAAGGGCACTATCTGATCAGGCCGGTATTCACACACTGTCTCTTGTTTGCTGCGGAATCAGGAAGCTTCTCTGCGCTGGCACTTATATAGCCACCACCAGCTCGTCGCATTCGAGCGAAAACATAGATCCTCGACGCGTGCCACAACTACATGACGACGAGGGCCATTCCTCTTCCAGAAATCCGAATACGACACTCGAAATCTGCCTTGCAAGGACAGTCGCCGTGGTAGTTGTAAGTAATTCAGATGCTCGAGGGTTGGACAAACGAGCATCGGCCAGGTCATGATGTCTGAACATATTCGCACATTTGTTCCTGTGTTGTCTGCCTTGGCTTGCTCGGCCACTCCTGAGAAAGGGTAGAAGGAACAAGTTCACCCAGACTTTCGCAGAATGAGACTAAGAGTGCAAAGCGCCAATCTCAGACGCGGGGAAGAGAAGTTTCTCCTCTCAACTCTGGTGAGAGTAAATCTCGCTAGACTATTCGCGGGAAGTGTCAAGGCTGACTCGGATTTCGCCTCGCTACAGCCACACGTGGTAAGCGGGTGCTGGTCAATGCGATATACACCAACCCAGGCCTGCTATTGCTTGGTCAATCGGAGCACATGCCTTTTTGCTGGGATCCTGGTCAGATTGCTGTCCGAGCGATACCATCTCCTCATATTCGGCAGCGTGACACCAAATCACGATAGAATATAGTCCCACGTGTGAAAGTAGAGTGGGCTTGACCAAGCGAAACCATGAACGGCAAAAGTATAGAATAGGAAATATGGGGTTGGCTTTGAATAGTCAACACCCGAGGCGAGACCGAAATGGTATTCACAACCTCAGTCGCGCATGTTGATAAACAACGATGTCTACGTTGACAATCAATGTCGACTTCGTCCCCTTTCCCTTCAAGGATTCCGAGAAGGTTATATATGCCAGAAGACGTCTATGGCGGTGGACAAGATCAAACCTTTCAACGATCCCCGGGTGCAGCAGCGTTCGGCGTTTCTCAATGGCCTGACCTATGGCTATCTATACTCTGAACCTCTTCCATCCGTGGCTCGACGGGGAACGGTCCTCCTCGTCCATGGATTTCCGGATCTTTCATTCGGATGGAGGTATCAGATTCCGTTCTTGACGTCGCTTGGTCTCACGGTCATTGCACCAGACTGCGTGGGATACGGACGGACCGACTCCCCTCCACATACATTATCAGACTATGGATACAAGCGCGCGGCGGACGACCTTGCCACGTTGTGCGAGCAACTTGGCCTAACGCAGATCATCCTGGGAGGCCATGACTGGGGTTCCGCGGTCGCCTGCCGTATGGCCCAGTACTATCCCAAGCTCGTCACCGCGCTCTTCATCTTCAGCACCCCGTACTTCCCACCGTCATCCCGCTTCGAGCCTCTGGCCAACATCATCCGCAATCACATGCCGCACATGACGTACCAAGGCCAGATGACGTCCGGCGCAGTTGAAGACAGGGTACAGTCTCGCGCGGAGATCCGGATGTTTCTGAACGCTGTTTTTGGGACCCTCGACACTGCCCGCGCCGACCGTCCCACCGGCTTCGACGTCCACTCCGGCATCAACCTCGACATGGTCCTCTCCGGCTCGGTCCCTGCCAACGACCTCCTCAGCAGCGACGAGCTCGACTTCTACACCGCGGAGTTCCACCGCAACGGCCTCACCGGCCCCGTGAACTGGTACCGCACCCGCGAGGTCAACTGGGCCCACGAATACGCCTACTTTTTCCACAACGGCGATATTGGCCGACCGTCCAGTCTACGATTCGGTCCAGAGCACGAGGTCCTCTATGTCCGAGCCACGCGTGACCCGGCCATCACCGACGCCATGGTCTCTCGTATGCTCCCGAAAGTCGAGAAGCTGACGCACCGCGAGATTGAGGCGGGGCATTGGGTGCTCTGGCAGATGCCGGCGGAAGTCAATCGCGTTCTTGAGCAGTGGCTCGAGGAAAAGGTTTTCAAGGAGTACCATCTCTCTAGCAAGTTGTGATCAGGGCAGTCTCTCTGCGCTTGGTCGACCGTTGCCGTAATGTCGTCACTGTAGTGGAATAATAAGCGGACTGGGAAAGGGGGGAGACTAGGCCAAAATGTGAATGGTCAATGAAACGTGCTTCTTGAAATAAAAGTGTCACGATCATGAAGTGCGTAACCGAGCATGCTATGGCGTGCCCTCTCCCGCTAAACCCAGAACCCCTAGTTAGAGCCCTAATATATGCATACTCGCCTGGATCCTCTCCTTCACGTCTCCTCGCACATGCTCCTTGTCGTCTTTCGACCTCACTGTCACAATCTCTCTGACAACATCCTCCACCAAGTCAAGTCTTTTCATATCCCGCAGCCACTCCTCGGGTATCTCCTCATCGCCGTAGAAAGCGCCCGCCAATCCACCGTATATGGCACCCACGGTGTCCGCGTCATCTCCCAAGTTGACAACTCTGACAGCGCCCTCGCGGAAGCTTGAGGTCGTGAAGAATGCCCAGAGCGCCGCTTCCAGGCTGTCCACGACGTAGCCCGAGCTACGAATTTCCGCGGCAGGCTTGTCGTGGAAGGAGGCCAGCGTGGCGTACGGTTCGAAACGGGCCACAAAGGAAGCGCTAGCGGTTGTGGATTTGGAGGATGTCGAGACTTCTATCTTGCTTCTTACTGCAGAGACGTAGTCTGAGATATAGCCCACGAGACTGTCTTTGGTCAGGTTTGGTTCTTGCAGGGCTTGCGCGACTAGTATCGTATAGAGTGCACAGGACAGGACGCAGCGCGGGTGTGGATGTGTGACTCTAGAGCTGTCCGCTGCAGCTTTGGTAGCTGTAGGGTCGTCTTGGCCGAAGAGCAGCGCGGCTGGCAACACTCGCATTAAACTCCCGTTACCACAGTATCGGTCTTGGTTGAAGCGGGAGTCGATGGTGGTCAAGGCACTCTGTATCGCTGCTTGGGATTTTGATGGATGCGGCGATTTCGCGCTCTCACCGTATGTATCGTCGACGATGACGGCATGCCTCCACACGCCCAGAGCCTCTCGTGTCAGGTTTCCGATGTCAAAGCACTTTCCGGTCGAGGATTGGTAGCCACCCTGGTACCACGCCAGATATTTGCGCGCTTGATCGACGCTGTTCGTCTCAGGTCCATGCTCGAGAAAAGAGCGGGCCAGGCAGAGAGCCATGGAGGTGTCGTCGGTGAAGTAGCCAGGACCCAGGCCGAAGTTGGGGTTGGCCTGCATGCCTGTGATGGTGGGAAAGCTGCCGCGTACACAGAACTCGGCTGGAGCTCCCAGAGCGTCACAGACAGCAAGGCCAAGGAAGGAGCCCCGGATCCTGGATGTAAGCGATGGAGAAGATGACATGTTGCCACCGGTGAACGTCGTTGAGTGGAGAGTTGGCGGTATTGCGGTGATTTTGAGCAGCGCCGACCTGTCCAGAAGTGCAGTGGCAACTTGTACTGGTGTTTATGGGCCTACTATGCTACTTTACAGAGGGGAACGTTTTCGAATGGTCCTGGCTACATGAGGCTCCAAGGGCATATATTGTTCTCTGAGTAAATGGGCATCTGTGGCATATTAGTTGGCGTGGTTCATGGGCTTCAAAATAGGGGCAGTGGGGCACAAGGCTGCCGAGAAAGGAGCCTTGCACGTGTCTTGGGCCGGACCACAGGGCCGAATCCACTATGGCCCCGCAATCACGTGCATCAAAATTTCCACAACAGAATTCCCCAAAATCTGGTCGACTGGTTTCTCCGCATCCGAGACTGCGAAATTTGTGAGGTGAGAGTTGCACACACAGTGATCTCTACAGTCTCCTCCTCTATGCCCATCTGGTCGGGCTTATTGGACCGCGAGGAGGATGGCTTCTACGAGGTCCGTGTCGTCGTTGCCAGCCACGCTGCAGACGTCAATCGTTCTGTGCCAGCAATTTGCTGCATCTCTGGCTCCAAATTCCTCGTTTGAAGTGCCTCAGAGCGATTCCAGCGAACCTTCTCCCCTGGTCCTTCTACATGCTGCCGCAACAACCCTGAGAGCGCAAGTTACCAAGTTGTCACTGTTAGCGATCACGGCCCCATTCACCCCTTCCGCCGTGTCGACATGTTTACTCCCATTGAACGAATCAATTCTGACCTCGTTGGTCACGGCCGCGTTGCTCACGACGCCAGACAAAACGACGCCGTCTTTCTCTGCCGAGTGCCGCAATCTGGCCGCAACAGCATTGCGTGATATGCAAACTCTCTTGCGACTCCTAGAGGAACGAAGTCGAACCGAGAAACCCACGGCAGAGCTTGATGACAGGGAAAAAGCGGGATTTACAGAGGCTACCGGCAAGGTGTGGGACGACTGCGACAAGCTGATCCCCCTGGCTGGTGAGGGTGTACCCGGTTATGTGGTGCGAAAGTCAAATCAGTGGCTAGATCTGATGAAAGATGCGGTCAAGGAGTTGGAAGATTGGGATCCCGAGGATGACATTGAAGAGCATGACCCATTTGGTCTCGGCCATAGCGACCACGAAGAATCTGACGACGTTAATGATGACGAGCGCGACAACGATCGAGCGGCCATATCCACCGGGGTCAAGGAACAAGCACTCAAAGTCTTGAACCGCATCCCACAAAGCATTCACGTCGTCATCAAGCAGAGACTCGAGAAAATTCCTAGGGATAAGACCAACTCGGCCAGTCAAATGTCTCAGATGGATACCCTCCTCAAACGAATCCGCCATGTGTCTGAACTTATTGACGAATCCGCCGAAGGCATGTATCTTGGTAATCCCGAATTGTGTCTGAAGAAGGCAGGCGAAGCTCGAGCTCTTACCATTGAGGTAGTGGAATCTGTGCTGCAACCGATCGAAGAACCGGATGTAAAGAAATCGACAGCCGAAACCAAGGAAGATAAATACGTCCAACGAGCACTTGAATGGATTCAAAAGGTTGACCCTAGGGCTTCAGTGGCACCAACATAACATGACATGTACTCGCCGGAGGTGCAAACACTATCTAGCATCCCATGCTATCGCATACTGCGCTACACCGTCCGTGTCGATTTCAAGGCCGAGCGTGGCTTGTCTAAAAACCATGGCTTATGCTCAATTCTTGAAGCACTTCGAGACGTACGACTTTAATCCACGTACAGACAAACACGAAACCCGCGAGCGGACGCATCTAGGATCATTATGCGTTGTTACCAGCAATAATGCACATCCTAAAATAGGCGCCACGCAATGGCAATTGCTTGACTGAAAGAGAACCGGATCAAGTGCACCAACAGAGCCCACAGGAAGGATCATAGCACCTGGCTAAAGCGGTCGTGAAAGCCTCCGTCCCGTCTTCTCTCCCGCAGCACGCGCCCTCGAACAAAGAACCCGAAGGGAGGCGGATGAATTCCCATGTGGATTGAACGTGACATCCCCCCTTCCTATTACAGCCGTTGGCAGCGATACGGGCCTCATCCTATGGGTATGTGAGTGATAAAGTTATGATCAAAGCATACCAGAGGATGTCGGGCGAGACCAACATGATTTCTGCACGGTGAAGCGCGTTGGCAGAAAATTCGAGTGGCGTCACATCTCCCAACCCGTGTGATGCTGAACGACGGGTCATATCGATGATTGCATAGAGAACAACGGAAACAAGCAAAATTGCGATGGTGACAGGGGGTTCCTATCCATACAGGCTACTTGAGATGTTCGTTGTTCAACACGATTCATATGGCCACCTGCTGTGGAAGGATTCTGGAAGAGAAGCTCATCCAGGACTGTTGGGCAAACCGTTCAACTCCTGGAAAAGAGCCTCGTGCTGGGATCATAGCCAGTTTTTCTCAAGGCACGCCACAACAGAGTCAAGACTGGCCCGAATGACACGTCATTAGATTGATGATTACACCTTGTTCGCTCTCGGACACCTACGGCAACCACTGCCAAATGTGCCAATCTCGCATACTATTCTCACAAGAAGCAAGGAGCGTGATATCTTCACAACCAATAATTCCATACATCCTATCCCATCCCTGGACAGGGAATTTCTCTCCAGCAGGTGTGCATGCGCAATCTCAATCAATCTCAACCTCAACCCGACCTTTTCCAACCAACGAACCCCGTCGTCCCTCTGCAGTGACTAAGTACAGTACCAATGAAACCGGTCCTTTTCCCATAGCTCCCTCACTTCGCTCACGGCAAATCTTTCTTCGAAGCCAGCACGGCCTCAAATAACCCGAACAGTCTTGCCCGTCTCGACCTGATAAATCCACCCGCTGATAACGATGTTGTCCGGCACTAGCTTGCTGTCTTTGAGATACTGCACGTCCTTTTTCACCTGGGCCTCCAGGTCCGAGAAGGTGAGGAAGTCGAGTTTGCGGGCATTCAGCTCGGCGAGGGCGTCGGACCTACATAAGATCTTGTGAGCGGATGGGGTTCGTTTTATAATGGGGATAGGGGGACCAATGAGGAGGAGCAGGAAGAGGAGCACAAGAGAACTCCATTTATCCCTCTCCCTCTCTCTGTCCTCTCTGTGGGTTTGGGTGGGTACATGTAAATACATACCCCAGGTTCTTCTCGACCAAGCCATAGGCATCGTCATTGGTAAATATCATCATGCCACAACCCGTGTGCTTGACGAGGACAATCTCCTGCGTGCCCAGGAGCTGCTCTGAGATGATGATGCTCCGGATGGCGTCGGGGGCGGAGGCTCCAGCCTGTTTTTTTGATCAGCCTTTCTCGTCTTCTTCCTTGGTAGCGCAGCGCAGCGCAACGAAAATCGAATCCAATCCTCCATCTCATCTCAGTTCCTTTGCTTTGCCAGCTCTTTTGCCAGGTCAAGTCGACTCATATCTACCTACCGAACTATACCTATACCTATACCTGAACCTGCACCTGTACCTCCTCCTGTGTCCCTACGCATGACTTGTATACACACAACCAATGATCGACAACGGGTGGGAAAGTCTACTCACATTCCGAATAACATGCGCGTCGCCGAGCTCGATCCCAAATGCGCGCGCCGGGTCGATACGGGCGTCCATGCAGGTCAAGACGAGGTATCGCTTGGCCGGGGGGAGGGCGAGGTGGCCCTGCGTGAAGGTGGAGGAGTAGGCCTCGGAGGCTGCCTCGACGTTTTTCTGGATCGCAGACATTGTTTTTTTTTTCCCGTTTGGAGTGGACGATTTGTTATGTCTATGACTATGACGATGGTGGTGGTGGTGGTGATTGTGATAGTTACTGCTGGCCAGCAAGTCACTTGTAGAATCGAATATCCCTCGCCGGTGGCTAGTTAGGCTGTAGGTTGTAACCTTGTTCGCGCCCGTGTGCTTGTTCGTGTGTACTTTCAACGAAGAGGAAGAAGAAGAAGACGAAGACGAGAAAGAAGAGTAGATAGATAGATAGGTAGACTGATAGATACACGCAAAGACCCCCAAACCTGACGGTTTAGACAGACACAGGACAAATTGCCAGAAGACCAGCTGAAGCGTTCAAGATGGTAGCTGCTTAGCTACAGTAGCTTGCCTGCTGTCAGTAATCGAGAGAGGGGTAACAACCACAATCTTCCCGTCGTCCATCGTCCATCGTCCCATTGATGCAATTCCCAGTTCCCGATATAGTCCATGACCGAAGCCCACAAAGGCATGGCGGACCGTGGCGGGCGATGGCGTGCTCGCTCGCTCGTGCGCTCACTACCTGGGTGATTGGAGGTGGAAACGGAGATGGAGGCAAGTTGACCAAGAAAAATTCGCCGTTTCGATAGAATTCGAGTCCGAGGTGTGGACCGTAGGACCGAGGAGGCCAAGATTTGGTTGCTTTCTTGGGAAACAGAACCATTGCCAGTATCACCAGTCCTTGTACTTGGGTTTGGAAAAGAGAACGTGCTGTGTTGTTGCTGGTGTCTCGTCGTGTATTTCGTCAATATCTTCATTCATTAGGGCGGGGATCAATTATATACTCTATGTAGATATACAATATCTTGCTTGGGCAACCTGTGGGAGTGTGTGCACATAGAAAACTACTAAATGCCCTGGTAAACTTCTCAGTAGAGGCTATCACCGTACAACCTCCATCGCGAGTGGCACTCTGGACCGACATGTCCAGTCCAACCCAAGTCCCTTCAGCAGTGCGACTCCCCTCGTCGTCTGACCGCGTGGTCTGCACCATGACCTCTCTCGTCTTGTCGGGCCTTGAACCCACCTTCCGACTTATCCTCTCCGCTCTCGGGCCATAATATCTGTTTGTTCACGATGGCCCGGATCATAAAACCGACGACAACGAACCACGCCACAATCAACAAGACTGTCATGACGCAGCCAATGACTCGCAGGGCACCGACGTCGAACGCCTCGGCGATGGCAAAGGTGGCCATGGTGAGGGCCGTCTGAGGGAAAATGAAACTGAACCAGGTCATGGCAAAGGGGATGCGATTCTTGCTGCGCAGACAATCCACGTTAGAGAGCAAGCTGACGATGAAGAACCACCACGCCAGACCCCAAAGCCAGAGACTCATCCAGGAGGCGACCAGCCTCAAGATCTGGGAGGCAAGCACCGCTGGCACATCCATGAAAGTAGATGATGGAGACGTAGCGAGGACACGACGTAGATTATCGGCCATGTTGATGGTTCCACTGGCTGTGAAGGCCGAAGGACCGACCGAGACAAACATACCGGGTCGAAGTGGTTCGGCGGGCAGTTTCTGCGTCATCAGTCGATATACAAAGGCCGAATAGATGGTGAGCGAGACAAGGAAACCGATGCCTTGGATCGTGAAGCCGCCAACCAAGATACGGATCGCGGCCTTCGAGCTCAGTGCCTTGTTGGCGATGCTGGCCGCATGTGGACCGATGATCAGCAAAGGATACGCCGGGAAGATCCAGATGGGTGTCATCCGCGCAATGGTGAATGTTTGGGTGGACCAGAGAACGAGGTAGATGATGATGCTCAAAGAGATGGCCAGGCCACAATCGAACCAGTAGAGGATCAAGACGGTCCGATTGAGCCAGGGTCCAACATAACCTGATCCATATTGCACGATATTGTTCAAGATGGTGCCAAAGGAGACGGCAAAGGCCGGCGCAAAGAGTGACTCGGTAGGATGAGTAAAGCTCGCCCGAAAGGTCCACGGGTACAGCGTGAATCGGGTTATAATCATGGCCCAAATGACGATATACAGGACAATGTTCAACAGAAAGACGACGACACCGATAGCGTAGAGACCGTGGAAGTGATACGGCACTATTGCACAAGATCTGCAGTCAGAGACACTTTTTCAGACGATGCACCTGAAAGCTGCACACTAGAACGAAGAGAGAGAGTGAGAGAGAGGAGACAGAAAGAGGACTGTACCAGTATACAAAACATTGGCAATGCCCCCCGTGGCCATTGTGAGCGTGAACCACGCCCACGTAACGTGTTTCATGCGTTGTGACCAGGAGAGGACCCTTGGTTGTTCATCCGGAACCCTCTCGCCCTTGTTTGCCTCTCGAGCCTCATCGCCTGGTATCGTCGTTTGTGAGTCCTCCCGTGGCCCCGTGGTGCTTTGAAGTAGCGATACATTATTGAGGTGTCTTGATCGATGGGCATGGTGTTCTGGGTCTTCCACGACCGGCGTCCGCCAGCCATCCTGGAGGTAAGGCAAGCTCGTCTCTGGACCTGGGTCTCGATCATAGTCACTGTGGTAGCGTTGGCTGATGGGGCGGGCTCGTTGCTTCATGGATTCATGACGCTGAGGTGGTACCACGACAGAGGAAGGACGTGAAGATCGACCTGGCGCAATTGACATTTCGACGTATTCTTGTTAGTCTCGGCTGCGGCCTGGTTATCCGGTCGAGCCTGCAACTTGGCATCGAAGACGACAAGCACCAAGTTGTCGGGTACCCAGTAGTTCATGAGTTTCCGAAGAAAGCCTGCGTCATCGGTAGCGACTGTCGATGTCCATGACCAAGACGACAGAGGCAGCAGCGCTGAAGCCGCAGCATCGCCCAGAGAAGTTCAGGAGTATTTGATATTGTACCAGACATGGATGTATGCATTCCGAGGCTACACGCTTCCGTTCTTGTACTTTGTAATGTTCTCAGCTAAAGGGAAAAGGATGGAACCCATTTGCCGTGTTTCCGTCGTTGGCGAGCATCTATGTGTCTCTTGGGAAGGCGGGTGTGGCCTGTCAGCATGATTCCGCAATGTCGATCTGCCTGATCAGTGTCAAATCTCGGACAGAACGGGACGGAAGTTGACCGCGGATGCGATCGTGGGGGCTGCATAGGGGTGATAGGTCATCATGAGGTGGGGCTCTATCGCGGCTCAAAATCTTCAAGCCTATAACCCATACTCGCGGAAATTGTCGTAGAATTTATGTGTTGACCTTCGTTACAACTCAACTCGAAATAACACAAATTGGGCACATGGTCTAGGGGTATGATTTTCGCTTCGCATCAGTGGCCCTTCTACGGGCTTTATACAATGTGTATGTGAAAGGTCCGGGGTTCAAATCCCCGTGTGTCCAGGGTACAAGCTTCCAGCCTCATGCTGGGAGAACGGCTTTTTTTTCAATGGGTTTTCGTGGAATACCGCCACTTAGGTATGTAGCCTGATTGGGCTTAGCGTCTTTCTCACGTGACTAGTTAGTATTACTGCCAGTACTAGTACTAAATCATGTGATTTAAGGGATTTCTATCGCTATATACAGGCAGGTATTTTTAATATAGAAATATATAGGTAGTATACTAAGAGTAATATCTATCCATTACGGCCTATTAAGTCTTCTCTAGGATTCTACTATATAATCCTAAGAAGTACTAAGAGACGAAATATGAGATCGAGACATTGGAATTCGAACTCCTCGCAATGGAGTCCTTCAACTGCTGCTTTCGCTTAAACCGGCTTCACAGCATCATTCGCTTTCCCCATAATGTGCAAGAGCGCGTTTCGCTACGAGTAAAAGATGGATGAATGTCTGACGATGACATAGATTTCTCAGTGCACGCCACTACCAGGCCCGAAGCTCCTGGCTGTCGAAAGTTGCGACCTGGGACATATATGATCATCTCCTTCGCGGACGGCACACGCATGTCCGACTTTCTGAAGGCACCGCTAACATTGGAAAATGCAGCGCCGATTGTGCTGCGATCAGATATCGACTATACACTTCTCTCTCGCTCGTATCGCAGCTGGCCACGGTTTTCATCGAGCTATCCAGATGCCGCTTTCACCAGATCGGAGCTATAGGTCAAGATCTATCTGCCAATGGCGGCGATAGCAAAAATGGTGGTTGTGTGACCAAGAGGGCGGTCACTTACCTGCAGACGATACCTCAGTTTCCAAACAATGTGGGCTTGAACCGATCTCGGGCGTTTCAAGCTCGCGTACCATTAACGTACACCAGGGTTGGGTAGATGCCACAGAGCACGACCAGCTAGTTGAGCCAGAAGGGTGGTTACACAAGCATCATCTCCCACTCCCACAGTCATTTTGCCGACTCATCAACTGGGAGGGCGCAAAACCCCCAGGAATGACAACGAAACGTTTTTCCACATGTCCAGGAGCGCGTGGCCTGGCTTATCGAAGGATTCTTGATGGCTTCTTGGCTCGCCTTAAAGCGCGATGTGGCATACACCGAATTCTTCCCGGGTGACGAAGCCTACACCGTCGACAAGGCCACGGTGAACCAAGAGCTTAACAAGTTTCTGAAAAGCATGGATGCTTTGCTGGAAGAAACGCAATAGCTTGGACCCGAGTTCTGAAATGTCGGCGACCCATACCGTACCATACCATACCTTGGTATTCAGATCACTGCTGCAGAACTTTCGGTCACTCCAAATCGGGCTTTAGGGAGAACCCTCGCCGCTTCCCTCAATGATGTTGGGTCACAATTTTGGAACTTGAGTCAGCAAGGACTTTATGCCAGTGATGTACGAATGAAGTGCGAACCTCACTAGCAAATCTCATTAGGTTGTGAGGACTTACTACGGGACTTAGGGAGGCAATCATGCGCCAGTGCCGGTGGAGGAGAACATAACCGAAAGTGCCCCCTCCCCCGCCTTCTGAGTGCGTGAACTATAAAACTGAGCGAGAGAGTTCCGGAATATCGCCCTTGTGCGCTTTTGAAGCACTGGAACTGGGGAATCATGGAGCCAAGTCGTGGTATTCTTTAGAAGGACCATCACGCTCATGAAACGACGACTCGTCCTGGTAGGCTTGAGGAGCCAACGTGCCGTTGGTGTGTCTTCAGGGACGCCACCCAAGAGTCTCTTTTCAGGGTTCTCGTGAATACTTGATAGTCCAGGAGAGGGACGACCTTTGGGCTACCGCCCCGACCACGTAGTCAGCTGGGTGAGCTGGCGAGGCTGGTAGGTCGCAGCAAGAGCGGCGCGAGGGCACGTGGGTTGTGAGGTAGACGAGGAAACAGTTGATTTTCGAGGCGGGGAGACGTAGTCGACAGAGGCGGGCGAAGAATAAGAGGGCTTGAACACGGTTGTGAAATATCATCTTTACGGAGTGGATATGAATGTAACCGAGCTACATACGTCGAGCAGCGTATATCTACTTTTGTGGGCAAATCAATTTGAGAAATGAATTGATATCACTTCAGGGTAGATGAACCCGCTCACCGGTCGCATATCGTCAACAACTCGGTATCTATTGCGACAATCCCCTACGGCATGGTGGCATATGAAAGTGAGGATTCCAAATGATTCACTGAGCAGGAAACGAGTAGGAACAAAGCCAATCACCCAGATCAACTCATGTCATATTGAAACAGCACCATCTATCTCACCGGGTGTGTGTGTATCCCAGGAGGCCATAACAAAGGGACAGATGGTCAAATAGAAATCCAGCTTGGACGAAACGGATGATAATACTTGTACAGGTAGGTAGGTCGACTGTTGCACTGTGTATAGGTCGTTGTTTGGCGCTTCAAAAGGAGTTATGACCATGTGCCTCCTCCTATGTGGGGGACCCTGAGTGATTATCAACCATTTCAACCGTGAAGCCAACTGCTGGGGGCTCAGATACCAAGGGTAAACTCCACGCCCACGTCAATGTCCCGTGCCATCTTGACAATCTTGGAGAGGTCTACCACCTTCTCTGCTGCTCCTTGCAGGTCGATGATGGAGAAGATCTTGAGGCCCGAGTTGTTGACCTGTGTAACAGCGGATCAGTTGTGGTGCCACATAAGGAACGTGCTCGAAAGAACTTACCAATTCAGCCGCTTCCTTCATGTTGGTACCCTGCAAACGACAAACAATCGGTAACCTCAAGTTCATTTGTTGTACAACATGGATCAAGCCTGACGCGATAGCATCACACCGGACAATACCGCCAAAGATGTTGACAAAAATGGCTGTGACCTTCGGGTCGTTCGTAATCAGTTCGAAGGCCGATCGGATGGCTTCCGGCGTGGCACCACCGCCGACATCCAAGAAGTTGGCAGGTGAGCCACCGTTGATCTTGATGATATCCATGGTCGCCATCGCCAGCCCAGCACCGTTGACAAGACACCCAATGTCACCATCCAATTTGATAAAGTTCAGACCGTGCCTGCGACTGTGTAAGCAGATGTGTTATGTTGGGGGGCAGATGACGTACTCTGCAGCCTTCACCTCATCGGGGTCCTCTTGTGAAGTATCTCTCCAGCTGAAGACCTCCTTCTGTCTGAACTCGGCGTTATCATCAAAGCCCAATTTGGCGTCCATGGCCAACACTTGATGGTCACTGGTCTCGCTGAGCGGGTTGATTTCAATCTGGGTGGCATCCTTCTCCATAAACACCTTGTACAGTCTTTGGATTGTGTTCTTTGCATCTTCAATGCACTGTTCGCTGAACCCGAGCTCGGTCGCAATATTTCGTGCGATTTCGTCTGTCACGCCCTTGTTGATATCGATAGGTGTTGTGATGATGGCATCGGGAGTCTCTTTGGCCACAGTTTCAATGTCCATGCCACCTTGGGACGACGCAACAATGACAGGCGATTGGGTGGACCGGTCCATGAGGATAGCGAGGTAGAATTCCCGGCGGGCAAATTTCCGTTCACAAATGTAGACCGAATTGCAGATGCGACCGCGGGCACCTGTCTGCTTCGTGACGAGCTTGTGCCCAATCATTTGGCTGGCGAACATCTTTGCTTCCGTAGGTCTGCTTCTCCGTCAGCCAGCTCTCCAGACTTTTCCCAGCGATGATTGCTAGAGGTGAACATACGAATAAATCACCCGCACGCCACCTTTGAGGCCATTGTCAAAGGTGCCTTTGCCTCGACCTCCTGCGAGGACTTGGGCCTTGATCACCATATCATCGCCCTCTATGATGGCTACGTCAGAGGATGTTCATGCTTCCCAAACGCCAATTGTCTGCGCATACCGATCTTCTTTGCAATCACTTCAGCTTCTTCTGCTGTTCGAGCAACTTCTCCTTTAGGGACACCGACGCCATAGGATCTGAGAAGGTCGGCAGCTCGATATTCATGGATGCTGAGATGTCTCAATTGTTGTTGTTGGATTGAGCTCCGCGCCGGGGTATCCTGCCACGCCATGTTAGAACAAACGGTGGAAAGACAATTGAAGCATTGCGTCACTTACTCTGACGGCCTTCAAGGCCAGGCCCAAGTTACGGCGACCCAATCTATACATGTTGCCCACAAGACTAGGAGAGAGTGACTTGGGGATTGGGGGACGCAGCAAGAAATGGACCAGATACAGCGTTGACAGATGCTCGGCAGCTTCGCAATCAGGGTTTCGGAGCTGATTGGTGGCTTGGGAGCAATTCTTGCCGAGCACCGCCACAGAAGCGCCGCAGAGCGCCACAGAGCAAGTGTAGCCGATAAAGTCTTGGCGCCGCCTCTTCCTCCATGGAGAGCTGGCATCGATATATGTATGATCCTTCTTGGAGGCTACTGGCTATCAATGACCGCAGTTTAATGCCGACTTACTATTCAATATCGAGATTTGACTTCGTGGCTTCTTCACTTCCCTATCGCAGAGCACATTGGATGAAGTTCTGCAGGTGATGAAACACAAGGAACCAATAACCCGTCACGATGCTGGTCAACCCGTGCAGATGCCTCTACCTACTCGACCCAGCCAAAAGCCTGCAGCATGCGGGGGCAGACTGACACATCTAGGCACCCATCCACAGTCCTCATACGAGTAGACCCCTTCAGCCTCTTAATCTTTCACCCTACAGACAACGCTTTGTCGAGAGTCAGAACGACGCTTTCGATATGGCCTCTGAACCGCAATCCATGACCAGTGATCAGCGAAGCGCACTAGTCTCTGCTAATTATCTTGCTCTAAAAGGGCAAGCTGTTGAACTTGAACAACTTTTGCGGCAGAGAAAAGTCCCCGTAACAACCATCCTAGCCTACTGTGCCGTCTCTTACGCAATTTCATCCGGGTCAACAGATGTCTTGGAGATTCTCTTGAGCTGTGGTTGCGATATTAATGAGCCAGAGAACTCGAGAGAACCGCCTTATCTCGCGTGAGTGGTGATGGCGCGGGGCTGTCCAAGTTTCTAATTTCGTGGGATTTGGAAAGGTTGCTCGAGCTAACAACGAGGACCTCGTTCGATGGTTTCTGAATCACGGCGCGGATCCCAACAGGGCCTGTGTGCTCCCTGACACGCCTCTCTCTCGCGCTGCTCAGCACCGTCGCTCAAAATCGTTCAGCTTCTCTTCGAACATGGCGCCTCAGCCAATGAAGGCTATCCCGTGAATTTCGCCTGTCTTCGGGACGACCAAGACATTGACATCCTGAAACTACTTGTCGATCAAGGTGCTTCTGTGGACAAACGTCTTTACGAAGATGAACCGGACCCTGGTTGGACCTCGATATTTGGAACAACGCCACTGATGAATGCGTGTGCGAAGAGGAACATTCCCGCCATCAAGTTCCTTCTCCAAAACGGGGCAGACCCAGACAAGCTGAGGCTCAACGGACCCAGTGCGCTGAGTGAAACGAAGGCAGGACAGGATCAAGATATAGTTGATCTTTTGTTGAGATACCGCCGATAGGCAATCACTTGGTAGCGTTGGAAGGAGGAAATTCTACGTCTTTGTGATTGCACACCGGAGCTGATACAGTTGGGATATCTTGGGAATGACCTACTCACCTCAAGAGGCCTCACTTCTTGAAAAGGCCAGACGGCAGCACGACCTCGAGTGGCCATGCTTGCTACGAAGATTCGGACCTATTCCGAGTTGGTTTGATGGTCACTACTCGGAAGATTCCGAACTCCAAGACTCGACGGGGAATTGTCCCATTAGGGACCGCATGGGTTCTTTTCTGAGCAAAGCTAACAGATCCTGCGGAAAGGGCTAGGATCTTTGGGTGCACGCCGTCTTTGTCGTCTGTATTTGTCCTACGGAGAGGGTAATTAGCTCGGCTGCTCTCTCGACATGTACTTCAATTTGCTGTTCTTGCTTCATCCTTTCGAGCCAAAGAGCATCGCGCCAGTATCAAGGGGGCACGGTACCCCGGCTGTTTCCTCTGCTCAATATAGCATGACAGATCAAGCAACTTCTTCCAGGAGTAGCTTGAATATTAGGTAGCTAGTACCTTGCCTCCTTGCCATCCATGTACATTTCATCACACAACATATCTTCTTCCTCTTATCATTCCCCCCTTGTGTACTCAACCCCCTCTACGACTTACGAGCAAGCTCGACCTCCCTCTCCACCGCATCCGCCATGTCCCTCAACGTGACAAACTTCCAATCATAGACCTCGCGGTCGCGGTTCCCCATGGTCCCCCGCCTCTCGATCCAGACGGACTTGATGCCCACCTCCCTCGCCGGGTGGTGGTCGTGAAACTGGCTCTGCGCGGTCTGCAAGACTTGGTGCTTCTCGACGCCAAACTCGGCCTTGACGGCCTCGAGCATGTACTCGAAGTTGCGGGGGTCGGGCTTGTACGACCCGACGTCCTGGGCGGTGATGATCTTGTCGAAGCGCACGCCGCCCAACGGCCCCGCGTTGGTCGCCGCGAAGCTCGCCCGGTCCACGTTCGACAGCACCACCAGCTTGTAGTGCCGCGACAGGCGGCGGAGCGCGTCGACCGTGTCCGGAAACGCGGGCCACGCGCCCACGCTCCGTCCGAACGCTTCGCATTCTTGGGCCGATGGCGCAGCCGCGTCGGATCCAGACACTCGCGCCGCGAATTGCGGGTACACGGCCGCCACGAGCTGCGCGTACGGCATCTCGGGCGTCTTGCGCTGCTGCTCCTTCTCCAGCTCGTGGTACAGCGCCAGCGTCTGGTCGCGCGTGAGTTTGTGAGGCTCGCTCAGCGGTTTCAGGCCCTCGACGATGCCCGTTTCCCAGTCGATCAGGGTCCCGTAGACGTCGAAGCACAGGAGGCGGAAATCGGTCAGTTTGGCCATTGTGGTGTTGTGTGGTGGTGGTGTTGGTGGTGAGTGGCGGCGTCGGTAGTGAGAGAATCTCTGTAGCGAGGGGGACTCTGCGTGCGTGGTCGTTGGTTCAAAGTGAGTTGAGAACGAGGTTATAGAAAAGGGTGGTAGAGTCCGAGGGTTCATAGACTGTCATGATGCTATTGAACCTTTCATCATCGGGTTCCGCCGCGCCCTTGCGATGATCTGCGATTTCCCCAACGAGGCGGAGAACATCCAACAACCAACAGCCAACGCTCATTTCTCCGCTGCCCCTGAAGTCTCGAGCCTCGAATCTTGCCACGCAGGCCAACGCCCTTGATTGACATGCTGGTGGAGCGGATATCTGCGGGTTGAATGTGAGTATGTCTTCCATTCCATTGTAGATACGTGAGATCATGTACTACAATGCGTTGCGTATGATTTATGGCTCAAGCAAAAGAAACCACCCATTTGGACCTAACAATACTACATCAGCGAAGTATCTAATCATCTGTCAAGTTATCAACCAGCTCTTTTATACGCCCTGCGTCGCGGCGAGTATAATGATAAATCTTCTTCTGTGCCCATCCGCAGTCCCCTTGTATGCTATCGCCCTCGACAAATCTTACTAGGCGTTCGATTTCGATTGAAAGAGGCGGAGCATCGCTCAGATCCTCTCCTGCGCGGTCACCAGGGGTTCGTTCTAGGAGATATCTGTCTTGGGTTATAGTTCGCCCAGGGGACACGGGCTCGCACCAACACCAATCTCAAGTTGAGCTTCTCCAGTGTTGAAACGCACTCCTTTGATACTGATAATATTGGGCCCAACTCCAACTCCATCAGGGCTAGTATCTCTTCCTCTTTGCCTAGGAATAGTGACACAATGCTACCTTCCCCCTTTGCAGCAGTTTTGGGAGAAGAGGTTGAAACAAGGGGTTGTCGTGCAGCCTCCGCCTCCGGATATGCATGGATACTCCTTTGCCGTGTAGGTAGATAAGTAGTTGTCTATAATGTCTCTTTGAGACTAATCAGTCGCGTTTCATGAGCTGAGGTTCTTGCTTACATGTGTAAAAGGTGTAATCCGGAGTCTCCTGAGGATAGGTCTTTGCTTGACCTTCTGAATCCATGTCGTACATTCCATAAAGACAGAGATATGATCACTGTGCATGGGCCGAAAATGTTCCCAGTCAATGTGGACGACAAGGTGAGACCCTGGTGTCACTCCGCGACAGGTCCGTTCACATTATTGTGACCCATATAGAGCAGTTTGAAGATACACCAAACTCACCAGCGGCGACGAGTGCCTGGCAATGGTGTCTGGTGTCGTCGTATGGCGGTAGATTTCGCGGATCCGGCCTCAGATAAAATTCTGTGTCAACATTCGAAGGCGAGAAGGCTCCGACCGTGGCTCCGTGCCAGGACGTTAAATACACGGTGAAGGTCAGGTAACCCAGTCACCCGAGCTCTGAGACTCGCTAGGTGTCGTGGCTAGGTCACAGGAGTCTAATGTTCTGGACGCGCCCAGAACAGTCCTGAGGGCAGAGAGAGATCGTGGCCCCCGCAGCACGTCAAGTTGGCTGGTCAGATGACATGCTTGACGAAGAAAGCGGTAAGAAAGGATCGAGACAACCCCTTCTTCAGGATGGCCACATGTCACTGTAGCTTCAGCGTCGCGAAGCATCTGTCAGGGACTTCGCCGTTTCTGTCAAAGCAACGACCGTGGATATATCTCATTGCGTCAGGATCGTTTCGTCGCTGACTCCTCCCACCCAACCATCATACAGGAACTCGTCAAAGATTGGCCATTGAAAATCTTGGAATACCGTATCTGGAGACCACCCGATCCCCATCATCATGTTGACCGAGTCCGCGTTGGGAGAGCTCCAGAAGACTGTTCTGGCAGCGGTTGTTGTTTTTTCATCTTCCACATTGGTCAGTGTCACAGGTATCACAACGCAATAATCGATGCCCAACATACCTTCTACGCCCTCCCACGGGTTTGGCTGTCCTCCAAACTCCTGTCTCCACAACCAGAAACAATCAAACGTCACGCTCACTCCGAGCCTGTTTCGACAACGGAGCCAGAGGCTGTCAGGAGTGCCATCAGGCTGTTTTATCACCATCTTACTCGTCCACAACTGTGATAGGATCATCGTGGCCCGTGCCGATATGTCATCCGACCGAACACTTTGTTTCTTGTTCAAATTGATGGCTGAGAAGTAACACCTTTGTCCACGCTTCAAGTCTAGCGCTTCGCGGACGAATGACTTTCCAATGCGAAGGATTATAAAAGCCGCGAGATTCCAGTTCATGTTGACATTCGTTGAGCCATACTCTGCCATTTCTTGCTCCTGATCTAGTTCTGTAGCGAGCTCAATAACGGCACACGAAGTGCTGTATAGGTTAATGAGGTGACTTTGCCCGATGGTTGATGATGGTGCAAGCAAGTGGCAGGCTGACACCTGTAGCTCGGCGATCAGTAGCATGAGTTGATCTAGACCATCTTAGCAGGGGTCAGAAATACAGTGAAGATGTCACATACCATGTTTAGCGGGGCATTCTGCGCTCAAAGTACCCAGCTTTGCTAGACAAGCACTAATGGTCGGTCCGAGCGTCATGTTACGCTCATCTGGCTTTCTTGACAGGGCATCCCGATCGATTTGCACAATAGCCTCGCTTAACATATGATTCAGTTTCCTTTGGAACCGTACCGTGAGAGTCAATGACGCCAATGGATCTTCCTTGTAACCTTCGTGACTATAAGTGTCTGTAAATACCAGGGGCGGAAGACCTCGCGAGTTGTTGATTCTTAGACACCTCATTAGTCTCGCCTGAAAACCTGCTTTCTTTCTTTTTTCTCACCTCTGACAGGTATACAAACACATCGACCACAACCTGGTCCTGAAAATTCTCTGTTGACCATCATATTTGAGCGGCACTCGTGTGAAATCTTGGACAGAACCATATACATGAAGGCCCACGTTGGTTGCGAGCTGTATCATGGCACCTGCTAGTTGTGGGGTGATGTCTTTCTGAAGTGTGTCGATCGGCATCTGCCAGGTGCAGAGAAGTACAAGAGCTTGGATAGTCGGCAGTACTCTCTCACATGAGAAAATTGCGGTCTTTGCCAAGTCCAAAACCTTGGGAGCAAGAAGAAGGATCAAGGTCGGATCCCTCGAATACCTTCGTGACCCAATCGCGACGATGGTCCAGAACAGAAATGGAGAAGCTCCGTAGCAGTCATTAGGCTGGAGTTTCTGGTCGAAGATCGGGAGATGGGGTAAGTTCTTCTCGAAGAACCTAGGCGTCTTGTGAGCTGGCAGACGTACTGACGGCGAATTTGAGCATATTACTCACAATGCAAAGCATTCGTCGATGTCTTGCGCATCAACGCTGACGTCTTGGATGATCTGTGGCCGGGTGTTCGAGGTTTGAGTGTTGGAATGTGGGATGTCGCTATTACTTAAATCTGGCGCTGAAGGGGCGGAAATGTTGGTTGAAGCATCCACTGAATGAGGGCTGAAGCCCACAAGCTGCGGAGTTGTATAGGCTTCCGCCAACGTTGATACCGCTTGCAGACCTCGAACATTTCCGACAGCGCTTGGATTGTCGACAGATTGAGACTGATTCCCAAGTTCAGACGTGCCAGTTCCAACTTGTTTCTTCAGCCGGTCGAGCTCGGCTTGCAGTTCGGTCTTCCTGTTCAAGGAAATCAACACCAGTCATTTAGCCATGGGTCGGCAGACACACGTGCGCCGTTTCACCCGTTTAAACGTCTTAGAGACGACACAATTCAGTTTAAACCGATTACACCGTGAGCATGGCTGAGAATAGTCTTTGGACGCATCGCATCGAAGCTAACTGCAGGTTACTCGGAGATGGCACATGGGACATAGGGTTATCCAGTGCGCGAACCTTCTGCTGCCTACATTCCGTACAGGCTGTGACTCTTGTGCCCGTTACTTTCGGCGAAGCACTGCTCATGGTGGGAAGGACAATCTTATGTAGGATGGTAGTTGAAGACGGCTGACGACGGTCAGGACATCTGCTGCTCCACCTACAAAGAATCCAAGCCAAGCCTAAGCTTCGACGATAGGTGAATAGCACAAAGCATAAGAGACGTGAATATGGGACATGAACCAAAGCATTATTCCTTGAAAACTCGTTCAATGGCGCGCCACCGCGGTACATCAAAGGTCTCGGGTATAATATCGTGAAGGCAGAGACGGCGTCGGAGATAAGTTGCTCCGAGCCAAGGTAAAAGAGCTCTAGTCACGTGGAACAACACGTGATTGCGGCTCATTGAACAATTCTCCCGATTGAACCTCGCCGTCTTGCTTGACCCTCGTTTCAACTGACCATCTCGTTGCAGGTGGCCGCACCCAAGTTGACCGGCCTCCCCCCCCTCAAACCTACCTCTGATGCGTATTGGTCGGGGCCACCGTGACTATAGGGACATCACCCTCAAAGTACAAGTTCGGGGTATCCTGCGACGTACACAAAACTCCACGCATTACGGAAATCCTTATATTTCACTCCACGATCAAATCCAGCTGCAGGATGCCATCTTCAAGCAAGCGTCGCGACTGGATAGTCTGCACAAGAGTACAAAGTCCTGGCGGAACTACTGTGAGATAGATCCGATCAGGGGACAAGCCGAGAACTAATGCGCTGGTAGACAGGCTGAAATCTGCGAATCATGGCTTTACGGTAGCGATCAAAGATAACATTGTCACTGCAACTCTCCCCACAACATGTGCCTCCAGAATTCTCAAGGGGTTCTGTGGCCCGGAAGATGCTACCGTCACAAAGTTACTTGAAAAGGCGGGAATGGTTCTGGTTGCAAAGACTAATATGGACGAGTTTGGGATGGGTTCGCACTCTACGCATTCGGCATACGGCCCCGTGGTAAACGGCGGTTCAGTAAAATCCGACCATCTGTCGGTTGGTGGAAGCTCTGGTGGAAGTGCACTTGCTGTGGCCAAGAATCTGGCTCACATTGCAATTGGGACCGATACGGGAGGCTCCGTCAGACTCCCTGCAGCCTATATGAGCCTTGTGGGATTCAAACCGTCCTACGGGATGATATCCCGCACAGGGGTCATACCCTATGCAAACTCCTTGGATACCGTTGGCATCCTCGCCAAATCCGTCGTTGACATTCGGTTGACATTCGGTTAGTCGATCTCTGCAAATTGGCTTCCTCATAACTTACACGTACAGATATGCTGCAGAGGCCAGACGTCTCGGATCCCACGTGCCTGGATCAGTCATCTCGAGAGCGAGTCAGAGCTGCCAAGCACAAGAGAAGACGGGTTATCCTTACGTCCAAGCTGTTCGTCACCAGAGTTCCCTTTTCAAAGCGCTTGCTAGAAGCACAAGGTCTGGCGCCTCTGGCTTCCAGACGAAGAAACCTTGCCGTCACGGCGTCGCAAAAACACCACACTCGAAGAATAGGAGTTCCACTTGAGTACAACATCGAGGAGATGCATCCCCTTGTCCGTTGGGCATGGATGGCAACACTGAGCCATCTGCAACATGTGTACAAGTTTGAGATTGTGCCCATTTCTCTCCCGTCTACAAAGCATGCACTTTCAGCTTACTACATTCTGGCTCCAGCTGAAGCGTCTTCCAACCTCGCGAAATATGACGGTGTCCGGTATGGTCGAAAGCGCACTGCGCCCGCAGATGGAGGTGGAGATGACAACCCGCTTTATTCTACTTACAGATATGATAATTTCGGACCCGAGGTTCGAAGACGAATTCTGCTGGGAACTTATTCCTTGAGCGCTGGGGCAATGGACAACTATTTCATCCAGGCCCAGAAGATCCGCCGCTTGGTGCAACAGGACTTTGACGCAGTTTTCAGAATGCCAAATCCTCTCCGGGACGGTACCGAAGCAAATCCTCACGGCGTGGACATGATTATTGTGCCTACTGCGCCGAGTCCCCCACCTTACATCGAAAGCTTGAAGTCTTCGAGACCCGTGGAACGATACATGAACGACATTTTCACGGTGCCAGCAAGTCTAGCGGGTCTTCCTGCGATATCAGTCCCGGCGCCAGCACACCCTGATCATCCTTGGGATCCAGAAGTCGCTGTCGGCATGCAGGTCATTGGGCAATATGGTGACGACTTTTCTGTCATCTACTTTGCACAGAACTTTCTGTCGAATTTTCATCCACAAGACATGAGACGCACGGTTGAAACCAAGATCTTGAGCTAGGACACGTGTCGTGGTTGCTATGGTCCTCAGATGATGGTATAACCATGTACCAAGCCGATGCATCTTCATTTGAGTGTATGGAGCACTCTCAGCCTTGCCCAGCACGAGCCAATTCCGATCCGCCTTTGACCGTGTTGCCGGAAACATCCGCAAGGGTTCACGATCTATCATGGTAAGGTCAAACCTGCTGGCTCCAGTGATAGGCCCACACCTTGGCATAAAGGTGTCTTCCAGGGCAATCAGCATACCGATGCAGACTGCGAGTGTCATCATGACATCCCGATCATTCTCTCTGGGCCGGTCCCAATTTGATACGAGCTGACGAGCCACGTAAGGGGCCCGGTCTCACTCGAACCCATCGCTCCAGAAAGAAACAATCCACGGCAAGCGACGCACTCAGGGCTACTCAATGCCCTTTGGTACGCTACGTCAGTATATGTGCATTATTCTGGCAGGAGTGGAAGGAACCGAAGTATTGGTGTAGATGTAAGATAAGGTGTTACGCCCAGGCGATGCTCCCTTAGAGACGATACCATGTACACATAGCTATGCATGTTATAAATAGAAATCCTCGGAATAGTGAGTACCAATGTATCACATTTCTCTACGTTGTAACGCATGAGTGCGGAGGCTGTAACCATGATATTTGCGTCTCAAGATCTTTCAGAACCAATGCGATCCATCGCATGATCATGCGGATTAATCCCAATGGGTATGGCCAGTCCAGCGAGCACAAGGGGATATCAAAAGTCGCCCTGGATGGTGGGGGCGGTATCCATTCGTTCTATGGCTCGTATCGTATCTCGTAATGAAAAAAAGGGTGTCTGCTCTGCTATCCATCGTGCGTTCGGAACGAGCTCTTATAGTCATCAAATCAATCAACCCGTCATGTCCATAGTATCGTCGCCGTCGTCCCTCTTCTCCCGCGCGTCGACCTGCATCTCTCCACCACCTTGTCCATCCGCAGACGATCGGTTCCTCCCGGCCAACAACTCGCGTCTGACCTCAGGCCCAATGTCTTTGTGGCCCCGAACCAACAGCAGGTCCAGGAGCGCTTCTCGTTGATCCTCAGTGATTTCGTTCCGGTATGTCTGCGCAAAGATCAAGAGGCTCTGGTGCCACAGGACGGGCAGTTTGGCTTCTTTGGAACCCAGGACCTCGTGGTCCGGATCCTGCTCCTTGGAGGCGCGGAAGCGGAGGAAATGGAACACGAGGCCGTCCACGACTTTGTACGGCAGCGCGTATTTCTTCGCCAGCAGGACGCGGATGAAGATGTTGGCGGCGCCAGCGGCCTCGCTGTTCACGTTTGCGGTCTGTTCCGCCGAGATCTCGCAGAGCCGCAGGAGGGCTGCTGCGGAATGGAGCACGGGGATCTTGATCTTGGCCAGCACCGACGAGATGATGTGCGCCTCGCGGAGCGTGCAGCTCGATTGGACCAGCGGGAACAAAAACCCCTTGAAGAAGGCCGAGGGCCGGTAAAAGGCGGCTTTGAGGGCGTTGTAGAGATGGACATTGAGTTTCTTGGTCTCTTGGATATCCTCCCTCACGCGGTCCAGCAGGACAGTTTCGCAAAAGTGCTGGCCTGTGGCCGCTGGGGCAGAGATGAAGATCTTGGTCGCGCGGTAGACGGCGTGCGGTGTCCAATTCTCAGGTCTTGTGATGGACAAGAGCTCCGGCCACTGAGGCAGCGTCGGGAGGACTTTGAACGGCTTGGGAAGAGGTCCGGACTTGTAGCGGGTCAGGAGCTGCCCGACCTTGGTAAACGTCTCGACGACTCTCATGGGAATCTCCACGGCATCTTCCATAGGGCCACCGCCCACGAGCAGCTGTGGTTGGTCGGCGGAGCGGGATGCTTCGAATGCCTCCTTCTCAGCGATACGTTGCAGGATCAAGTCTGCAAGATTTGTCGTTTGGCCTGTGCCTTCTTCGTCCTCTTCTTCCTCCACACCCTCATTGATTCTCGTTTGCTGGCCCCTATGCCTGCCGTCGGTTGAAAGCGCGTCGCTGGTGGAGAGGTTTGCGATTGATGGGGCAAAGTCGGCGAATTCTTCACCATCTTGAAGAAACCTTTTGTAAACAGCCATCTCTTCTGGATCCATCTCATCCTCGGGGGCCGCCGCATCGTCATCATCTGGTATCCATTCCTCTTCATCATCGAGCCGAGAGTCTCCTTCCACACCTTCGTTCTCGTCTTGGTCGTCTACCGCAAACCTCGAATCGAAGCCAAATGCTCCATTTGTCGGGGATGTGAATCTTGCTCTGGTTGCCCGTCCTTCCGCTGCATCTTCCTCGACAAGATCTTGAGCTATAGCCAAGATCTTCCGTGAGGATCGAGAGTCAATGTAGCCATCTCCTTGTGCGTTTTCATCCGATCTCGATTTTCTCTTTCCAGTGATTGATTTGGTCCGCAGTCTGCCCCCAGAGGCAGTGATGTCGTCTTCGAGGGGTGCATGTCGGCGGGCAGTCGCTGCTTTGGACATTGTGAGGTACTGTGTCGCAGAAGGCCCGGGAGAAGGGTGTGTATTGGTGAGGTTGGAATATGATCGCAGACAAAAGTAGTTGGGCATAAACCTGGGAATTCAAAAATTATTTTGATGATGCCGCCGATCGTGCGGAGAGGGAATTTTACGCGGGGCACTGCTTAGTCATGTTCGCTAAAACCTGCATTTCCTAGCACTCCCAGATATCCAGGCGAGCAAGCACCTTCTCTACAGTACGCTTGGCGGCAAAGCCCACCAGTTGCCTTTGGGGTCAGCCAATGATGGTGGATGCTGGATGCAGAAGGTGGCCATAGCGCCCGAGCCGTTGGAAACGTTGTCTTTGGACAGAACCTCAAATCACTCTATGCCCGCGAAAGCTCACCATAAGCTCGCGGGAACTCACTTGCAACCATTTCGCATCGGTATGATGGTTTCCAGCTCAGCTCCAACTGGATCCTTTACCTCGAGGACCTGAATTTGGAATGGCGTCAATACGTAAGTCGTGGATGAGGTTCTGACTTGGGCTACCTCATAGGAGCAGGATGCCACATCGATACACGACAGTCGATGCAAAGAAGGCTACAGCATATCCTCTCTTGACGTCCAAGAGTTGCACGCACTGGAGATCAAAGTTCACCGTGCCGAAATGGCCATTCGATCCTGCCTGGATATTAGCAACAACAGTCAAACCTACTTTAAATCGTTCTCTCAATTTGATGGCTCAGAGCTGAGCTGTCTCGAATGCCACGGTGTGCTGGAAGCCACAAAGCAGTGCTCCGAGTGACAAAAGAATGCGCCGTTCTCTCTTTCGAATTTGAATGGCACTGGTGCTGGGTAAGTCATCCTCTTCTTTGTCTCAACAGAATGATGTTTCCGTCTACGTATAGCTCAAGTGCTAATCAATTTGTGTCTGCTTAGAGATACTTTTGTGGGCACGTATTCGGTGGAGTACGTCAAGCAGAAACAATTGGGGAAATGGGACATTCGCCAAGCCGTTGCACGAGCATGTAGCGCAGCAGCGAGGACAATCGAACGAGTGGGAGCCCAAGAGTCTATTCCATGGGCCGACGAGATCGAGAGGTCATAGCCACACAGTGTCTACAGAGTGAGCGCTTTTACCATCACGCCCGAGGATCGACGACACAAATGATGTATTCTTCATTACACCTCTTATCATCAAGTTGCTCGATACCATGGAGCTGCCGCTGGAAGGTATGAGATTACCATGCAACCTCTCAAATACAGATAGAGCTGCTCATGCCAGTCATCCAATTCATGTTCCTTAACAATGCTAGAAAGGGAAAAGACCAACAGGCTAACCATGGACACCATCTAGCCTCTTGAAGGCCTTTAGTAGTGCAGCGGCAAAACAAAATCCGATGTTGAGGATGCCCTTGCAGAAGCGTTATCCCTTGATCTGCCGAATCCCTCCGTTCCGGGTCTTCACGGAGCATGCTCGCGGTGTTGTAAATCAGGATGTCGACCACACGATGCACACCTTGACCACGCAAGTCGCCGAGCCAGTTGTGGACCTGAGGCAAATTGGCCCGAAAGGCGATCGTCCCGCCGTCTTCAGTTGTGACCTTTCGTGACTCTTGGAAATCTTGCAGTGACCGCTGGCAGCAAACAGTCAGCATCTCCGCGAACGCACACCCCAGTGAGCACATGTCAGATTTGGTGCCGCGAGCCTGGGGATGGTCTGGCCGAATTTCGGGAGCGCGGTAAACCGATGCCCTCCAGACAGAAAAGCTTGCGTTTTCCGCAAGATCGTCTGGAACGTCGTCTTTTGCCATGCCGAAATCAGCCAAATAAATATGGCTATCCTTGACCAAGATGTTTGAAGGCTTGAGATGTCTTTGTGTTTGATATTTAACCGGTGTGCAAAGGCTAGCGCGTGCATCAAGCAGCCAGGCCAAGGCAGCATTTACATCAAGACGACTTGAGGATAGCCCTGACTTATGCAGTGTTCCAGGCAATAACGGAGGTTCATATCGCAGGCCGGCTTCATGAAGATGCTGTAGACTGTGTCGCTTCGCAGCCAGAACATCACGGTGGTAATGTGAACGTGGGTCAACTTCTCCATGATACGGAACTCCTTTTTGATTTCCTCCTCGCGCTCCAGTGCAGTTGCACCGCCGGCCAGAAAGTTTTTTCGGGCAAGTATACTTCCAGTAGATATCTCTTCCACTTCGTTAGCTTACCTAAAGGAGCTTCGGCTTATTAAGGGTACTCAGCACACCGTTAGTATAGTATTTGTGGGTTGGAAAGGAGGGTTTTGGGTATAGTTCTTGTTCGGCTCGCTGCAATGCAGCCTCAAAGGTGGCACGTTTTTCAAAGAAGGTCTTCACCAGTTCTTCGTAGTTGAGAACAGTTTGCAGCGTTCGAAGATTAAAATCAGCAGCTGAAATCAGAGACATGGTGAGCATCCGACAGAGGACAGCACGTGTTTACATACACTTACAAGCGATGCGGAGACATCTCGTCAAGGATAACAGTCGATCCATATACGCGCTGAAAATGTCTTGTAACGGCTGCTGGACGTTTGGATTATCAGGAAATCGGGGAATGTCCGCAGCCAAGCGTGGAACAGCACGATTGAGTTGCCCCAACAGCTCAATGATGTCTGTCCATCGTACGTGAACCTTGCTGTAAGCATACCAGGACTGCGTCAGGCCAGCTCGTCTTCGCAAGGCATCTGGGGATCTTCAGACCTGGCTAACAGCGAAGAGGCCGCCATACATCAGCCCAGCCGGATCGTGGTAGTCCCCCTAGCCCCTACGCGACTTGATGCTCGAAACGGCGGTGAGGGTTCTGGCCTGAAGGGCTTGGCCAGAGGTACATCAAGCACCATCCTCTTGAGGAAATCATGTCCGAATCTCCAATAACAACAAGATCCCACCGATATGTGTAAATGAGCATTGACTTATAGGGAATGACAACCATCAAAAGAGCTGAGGGTGTTTGGACTAACAGTCCCAGATGGGCTCGACAGCAGGCGGCAGGAATTAGAAGAGACCCGGGGATCAAAGGGTGCTCGCTCACCGCCAGCCAATTCTCAAAAACGTTTGACGCATACCGTAGACGAGAGATTCAGGAGTCATGGTTGTACAAGATTCGACAAGATATGGTTGGATTGACAATAGGACCAAGCCGAGAATATAGCCACAGACCAGTTGGAACGGGCACATGTCAGAAGACGAGTGGGAGGTGATATTGACGATGACGAAGGTGGAAGAGAAGTGGATTCGCGCACCAGTTCATACCAGTTCGTGGTTGACGTGCAGATAGCTGGAGATCAGAGGCAAAGCGAGGCAATGGGTGCCCCGGCCAAACCGCAAATCCCAGACGGTGAATGGAGGAAGAATGGGCCAAATGATGCCGGCGTCCACTGTCAGAAGTTCGGCGACTGTCAATCAAACAATGCCAGACCTGGAGGGGACCAAGCTCGTGGATCTAGCTTTGTGCACGCTTTTTCTTTGTCCTAGATTCATGACCGCCGAGAAGCAGGCTGCCGTGCCTTGTATGGTTTCAGATTCTTACCCGTTGTGAAGGATCCAGAGATGATTGGTGATATCTAAGACCTGGAGAGAAGGAGTTGTGAAGAAAGTCTATCTGGTTGTTGCCCCTAAGGACATTTTTATCATGGTCTGCAGACCACCAGGAGCAGCAGCAAACGGGGGCGCTGGGGCCTCATGCAACAGTGGCAGCCAGGCGGCTTAACTAGCCATCACTAACCCTGGACGGGGCTTGGAGGCTTGGAGCTGATTTGGCTATTGGAGGACGGCCAGGCATGCCAGGGTCGTTAGAGGTGCCACCCCCTCGTTACCATTAACTAATCCGGTAAACTCCGGGTCATGCTGGGCATTGTCTGGGCCCTTTGTCCCTTGGACCTACCTCGTAGAAGTAGGTATACCGATTCTCATCTGGGCATGGGCATGGGCATGGACATGGGCCTTAATAATTTGTTAGTTATCACGACGTGCATTTCTTTCCCTCCAACCAGCTGCCACCATTTGCGGTTCCCTGCACGTTCCTCCCCCTGCCATCTGCTCATCTTTCATTCTTTGCTCTTTTTACATTTGCATTTTTCGCGCCTGCGCTTGTCACCCTGGTCGATGATTGATGATTGATGATTGACGAAATTGACGGTTCACAGCTGTTCCCACTGGGCTTCCCCCTTCTTTTTGCTCTGCTCGACAAACTGATCTTCCCTCTGCAAGCCGCCTCGGTCCTCCCGATCCTCCACACTCGAGTCGAACTCGTATTCGTTAGACAACTGGGTTTATGTGGCTGAAGAAGGGGAGGAGGAACACGGACCATTACCTACATACGAGGTACACACCTACAGTAGAGACATGCTCGGGATATACATCATCTGATGGTGGCATTTCATACACGTACCTTGTTCCATCTTGTCTTCTCCATCTCCTTTTCCTTTGCCCTCTTTAAGCGCCATCCTTCCCATTGCCATCCTTCAGTCGCCTATCGCCTCCTCCCCGACGTTACCGTCGCCGCCATTGTGGCTACGGTTATTGTCCTTCTCACATCCCCGTCCATCTCACCCCCTTGTCACCTGCAAGCATTAGTTGACACAAATCCGGCCCCTCCGTATCCATCAAGGAAATGGAAACCCTCATCAAATCCACATTATTCGTCCCTCGTCAGATACTGTCCCGTGCTCTGCATGCGATCCTTTTCTCCTCCTCCATCACCCTCCACCATTTCTCGCCAACCCATTTCCGATCTCTTGGTAAATCCTCTTGAACCTGTGGGCGCTGTCAGTTAACCGGCGCTCCCGCCTCGCCGTGATCGTCCGGTCCCTTAAGAAGCGAATTCGCAATTATCCCCCCAAGCATATCTCACTAATTTCCAAACTCGCTTCTTTTCTTCCCACGTTTCCACTCTCCTTGGGACTTGTCTCCCTCTCTGCGAAACCATTTCAGCATTTGGAAATCAACTGTTCAATAGAGACCCCCTGAACTCTACGTATATAATCACACAAACGCCCACTCACACGCCTCAACCGAGTCCACCCACCTCACAGCTAAATGCGCATTAGCGACGTTTAACTCAAAAAAACCCTTGCACGCCCCCCGCGATCGCATTTTCTTCTGCCGGCAGTCCGCGATACCCCCTAAACAGCGGTTTTAAACCTCCCTTTTTCAGGGCATCCCTTCTAGAAAACCGCATCCTCCAGTCCCCGAGAGCCGCGATCATCTTTCCACCCATCTCCAACTTTCAAAAACTTTCCCCCTCCAACACGTTGTCCACCTCCTTCACCCTCGACACCACCCTTTGACAGCTAGACATTTCCGATCCGACATCCCAACCAGGTCACGCCAACAACTGTTTATCGATTGGGCAACTCTTTGTGAGACATCCCTCTTCTCCCGAAAACCCACCTGCGCCCGGCTACTTGACTGCCAGCCTGGAGAGAATCGACCACTACGAGACCCAGCGCCTTCCCACCTCCTTCTGCCATCTCTACCTTCCTCCAATGTGTGGACCACTCCACCCTCGGTGCAAGATATTGATGCCTTGCATGACTTGAAAATAGGACCTCCGTCAACGTCGACGCGCACCGCCTTTTTCCACTCGGTCTCTCGACGCCACGGCAGATTGGTGCTTAAAGAAGCATCATGAGTACCCTTTTTCAACCCGCTCTGAGAAATCCTTTCGGCTCTCCTATCGAACCCTCACAGAGACCTCGATCAATGGCCATCCTGCCTCAAAGCGCCACTAATAATCACCCCTCGCCGAAGTCGATTCAGGAGGACTCGATCATGACCTCTCCGGCTCCTCCGAACATGGGACCCCCAGGGCCGGGAGCAGGTGGAAGTCCCGAGGTGGACCAAGGACAGGGCAACAATATCTCAAATGGCGCCCGGGAGCAGGTCTCTCTTGGTACCAACAGCAGCACCGCCGCAGGGGCTGTCGGAGCCTCTCAGGGGCCCAAGGTGGTGCAGACAGCTTTTATTCACAAGCTATACAGTATGTTGGAGGACAAGACCATTCAACATCTCATCTCCTGGTCCAATACCAATGAGAGTTTTGTCATGTCCCCTTCGAACGAATTCTCGAAAGTTTTGGCCCAATACTTTAAACACACAAACATCTCCTCCTTTGTTCGACAACTGAACATGTACGGGTTTCACAAGGTCAGCGATGTCTTCCATACCGGATCTCCCGAATCGGCTCTGTGGGAGTTCAAGCACGGGAACGGCAACTTTAAAAAGGGCGATCTGATGGGCCTGCGAGAGATCAAAAGACGCGCTTCCCGACATACTTTGATACACCGCGACTCGTTCTCGAATGCGAAACCCGGTGTCTCTCAACCAGGCACGCCTGCTGATGTTATGCCTGACACAGACCAGCGTCTGGCAAGCCTCGAACAAGCCTTCTACGATGTCCAATCAAGACTACAGCGGACCGAAGAAAGTTACGCACTGGCGAACTCGAGGTGTCAAGCATTGACCGAGGGACTGGTCCGATGCCATCAATGGCTCCATAATCTTACGGGCGCTGTCCAGACAATGTCCTCCCCCGAATCAGGATTATACGCGGATATCGGCAGTATCCAAAAAGAAATTGCGCGACAGCTTGAATATGTACGTGCTTTGGAGGTGCCCCAGGAGTCGTTGCAAAACGGCAGACAGTCGTTCTACCCGGGCGGTTCCACCCTGGAACCGCCTCTCTCCCCTCGGGGACTCAATTATCCAGACAGCCGAAGATCCTCCGTCCAGATCGAGTCCCAGCATGTAGGATTACGTCCTCCCGTCCCGCCGATACCACCTCAGTTTTCTTCTTCATCGCCACGTCGCTTTGGGTCCATCAGCATTCCCCATGTCTCTCCCGGGTTCAGTCGTCCTGCCCTCCCGCCACAGCCGCCAGCCAGCGTACATCCTTTGGCCTCGGTAGTGACACCACCGATGAACTTGGTGAGGAGACACACGTCAGCTGATATTCGAGAGCACGGTTGGCCGCCTCCTAACGGGAACGGCGGGAACGGATCGCCCTATGCTTCTGGACAATCGTCGGTGCAATGGCAGCCGTCTTCACCGCAGCAGCCACCTCTGGCTGCCGGCGACCAACAAATTCGTGATCAATTGGCTCAATATGAGATTAATGGTCCTAGGAGGAATGCTGCGGTGAACCAGCCGAGCCAGTCCACACCACCACTTAACTCGAACTCCGAGGCACCACCCGCAGGTCTCGGAGTCGAGAACGTACCTTGGCCATTGGGAGGCAGCAAATTCCCACGGCCGAACTTTGAGCTTCATTCGGCCCCCGCCACGCGGAGAGGTAGTATGGCGACTTTGCATTCGTTGCTGAACCCCGCTGAGACAGCGGAGCAAGAAAATGAGGATGAAGGACCTGGTCACGGCCGAGATGACGACCGGAAACGGAAACGACTGACATGACACAAGAAAATCTTGCCCTTTGCTTTTACTGGAAGGGGATCAATCTTTATCGGAGCTTGGGACGGACCACTGGTCCCGCACAATTGGCGAAAAACGATGTGTTTACATGATGCTTCTCACGTTGTACATACCGAGAGGGAAATTGGATGGTAATTGATCGAAAGCGACATTCGACCGTGACTTTGGCAAGTAGTCCGGCTCTAGCGAGACACTTGTCGTGTATATTTCCCGGGGAGGCTTTTTCATCAGCACTGCACATTCCAACAGGGTAGAGACATGGAGCTTGGATAGTATCGAGATCACCGAGACTGAAGCGTGACAAAAATGGTGGGGATATAGAGCCGGTTATTACCCCAGGACTGACTTGCCTGGGAATTCCGACCAGTTCGCGGGGGTTACTTTGGGCAGATTTCTAGAGGCCTTCCAGCGCCGACCCTGTGCAATACGAGGGGACCAACCCAGATATCTGCCTGATCACATGCGTGGGTGGAAGTTGTTGTCGAAATGATGTAGATGAGAAGAAAGCGTCCAAGGCTGTACAAAGCAGAACATCATCACGGAGGAGCTCTCGAATCGCATGATACGTTTTGTTCCAGTCGCGAACTACCCGGGCTCGGATTCCGTGACGCTCTTCTTTTTCTTCTTGTTCTTCTTCGCAGCTCGAGAGGCGAGCAGCTCGTCCAGGTAACTGCCGGCTCCGCGTTTCTTGCCTGCCCTTGACAGCATCGCCGGGGGATTGCTGGATGAGGTCGCTTGAAGTGTGCCGTCCGACTGTCCATGCGACTCGTTCGGCGCGGAATCAGCAGCGCCAGAAGGTTCGTGTGAACGTCCCGTCTCCGTTGGGGGAATGTGCGACGGAACAGAGCTTGCGGCTTCGCTCTCGACCGCTACCGCCGTTGCTGCTGCTGCACGCCCAGCATTGGTGTTTCGCTTCCTCTTGCCCACCACGCCCGAGCGCGATTCTTCCTCGTCCGAATCATCCTCGTCCTTTGCCCGTCTTGGTGCCCGCAGTTGTGTGTTCGGTCGCGCCGTCGAGGCATTATGTGTCTGTGCGTTTCCATTCGTGGCTCGTCCCCGCTGATGCCCGCGGAGTAATTGCTTTCTCAAGAACGCCGTTGTCGTATTTTGGTCGGAGGAGATCCCATTTGACAGAGAAGATTCCGTGGGAGGATGATACCCCACACCCCCTGTCTCGGAGTAGACGTCTTTGTTCCGCAGGAACTCTCGTTCGAGATCCTCCTCGGCCTTGTCTTCATCTTCATCTTTGTCTGGCCCGTCACCGACGGCGGTACCGCGGAGCCATGATTTCGCCAGTCGCGCGGCTTCGGCGTGGAAGATGAGGGCCTTGTTGGTGGCGATGTCGGCGTCTGATGCGGCCGCGGCAGTCGTTGGTTTCGCTCTCGACGCTGGTAAACCTGCGCCTGTCGACGAAGCCATTTGAGGCATCGCAGCCTCCCAAATGGAATAGGTGTGTGGATGAACTGAATTTATTCGACTTCGTAAAGGATAAGGAATGTTAGCCGAGACTTTGCGGGGTGGACTAGTACCAAATCCAATTAGAGTATCCCCCACCAAGTCAGCCAGCAAGCCAGTCTGCCAGTCTTGCCTGTGTTTTGTAACCAATGGCCATGATGTCCCGATCCGAAATATAAGTCTCTGTAAGGATGTGTGGCGTAGTTGCTGAAATGGATGCCAAAGAACTAAAATGACATGGGTTTGTCAACGCTGGAGAGCCCAGAGACGCCTGTGGATACGGCGGCTTGAAGTGTCTGTTGAAATCAGGATTTGTTCCTGAAGAAAGACATCCATCCTATTCTATCGAGCTATGTACGTACTTATTTCAGGCTGAAATAATTATGTAATTAGGGAGTTGCCATTCCCAGAAGGGGGGATTCCCGCCCGAACACCTCAAAAGGTCGAAGGCGGAGAACTGCGAATACCAAGGCGCATGTGGACATGTAGATAGCGCAGTTGATTTCTTTCACATAGCGACGGCGGCGGCGGCGGCGCGAGGGGAAGCCAAGAGAGTGATAACGTCAAGTCAATCCCGCAGCTCAGCTTTCCTTCTTCTCTCGCCCCCCCTCTTGAAATATTCCCCCAGGGTGATAAAGATTGGGAAGTAAGCAGGACCAGAGCCAGAAGGAATGTCGACGGTAATTCTCGGCGGAGGCATCATCGGCCTCTCCACGGCGTACTACCTCTCGCTGGCGACGCGGGCCTCGTCGCCGACAAGAACGATCCACGTCGTCGACTCGTCGCCCGCGCTGCTCGCCTCGGCGAGTGGCTATGCCGGCGGATTCCTCGCGGCCGACTGGTTCAGTCCGTCCGTGGCGGCGCTGGGCGCGCTCTCGTTCCGTCTGCACCGCGAACTGGCCGAGGCGCATGATGGGCCACACAGGTGGGGGTACGCCGGGAGCCACACGTATAGCCTCAGCGTGGATGACGGCGCGGCCGCAGCGAGGAAGGGAGGGAGGGGCGATTGGTTGCGTGACGGGACGAGTCGGGTCGAGGAGGCCTCGGCATCGGCGCCGGTGGTGGCAGGGTCTCAGGAGAAAGGCGGTGGCGATGATAGGGGGAGAGGGGGAAGGAAAGACGAGATGCTCAACCCGGATGGCTCGCCTGCCGTATGGACCCCCCAGCCCGGCGGGACGCTCGAGACGATTTCAGGCCCAGAAAGCTGCGCGCAGATCGAGCCACGCGAGCTGTGCGAGTTCCTGCTCGGCGAGTGCCAGAAGCGCGGCGTCCAGGTCCACCTCTCGACGCGCGCGACGGGGATCCTCACCGACGACGACGGCGCTCTCAGTGGCCTCGTATTAGCGTCCACCGAGCCTGGCGAGAACACCGAGACCAGAGACCTCGAGTGTCGCGACGTGCTCATCTCGGCGGGCGCGTGGACGCCCAGGGTGTTCGAGACGCTGTTCCCCCAAAGTGCGCTGCAGATCCCCATCGAGCCGCTCGCGGGACACAGTCTGGTGGTCAAGTCGCCGCGGTATAAGACGCCGTTTGTCGACATCGACATGGCGAAGCGCAAGATCGGCGGCGGCGGCACCGACAACTGGCTCTGCTACTCGATCTACAGCTCCGCCGGCCCGCACTGGTCGTTCGCGCCCGAAGCGTTCGCCCGGCTCGCCCGCAACGGCGACACGGAGATCTGGGTCGGCGGCCTGAACGACAGCGCCCTCCCGCTGCCGGAGCGGGCAGGCGACGTCAAAGCTCTCATCGATCCGGAGAGCATCAGGTCGCTGCGCAAGACGACCGTGCAGTTCACGGGGCGCGTGGCGAAGGAGGGCGAGGAAGGCAACGACGACGATCTCGAGACGGTCAGGGAAGGCCTGTGTTTCCGCCCCGTCAGTCAGAGGGGGACCCCTCTCCTGGGGAAGATCCCTGAACACTACCTCGGTCTCCCGCCCTCTGGAAGTGGCGGTGTCTGGATAGCGTCTGGACACGGCCCGTGGGGAATCAGTCTGAGCCTGGGGACCGGGTTGGTCATGAGTGAATTGATTTCAGGGGAGACGCTGAGTGCAGATATAACAGCACTGCTGATGGCTTAATTACAGACTATACAAGATTTATACCCACACTCAGCTCTCAGTCTCAGGCGTGCGTGTGCTGTGCGCAGGTTCCATTCCCAGTCTAATTTCTAGTCGACGGTCAACATTAACACGCTGGATTCGATTGAGCAGTTCTCTCTATCTTGCGCCAAATGACCCCTTCTTCGGCTGCCAAGTCAAGTGCTGACCGCGAATGGAGGCAACGTCGTCGTTACTGGCACGGCACTGTTTGGACAGACACAGCCTCCGTTCGCGCCGCTGCTGACGCTGGTGAGAGGTGGCACCGTGCAATGTGGACTCGGCGTCCAAGCCTGGGTGGAAATCGTGCTGACTCCAGCGATGGTCTCGGCTTTGACCAGCACGGGGATCACGGCGCCCGTGTTGAGAGAAAAGGTCCGATGTCCGAGAACTCGCAGAATCGAGCCGATTTCTCCGGAGTGGGAAGTGAACGACAGGTATGTCGACTTGTCCGTCGAGAAGATGCTGTCCAGCAATGTCTTTGACCGTGCGTCTTGGGCCGAATTGGTCTCGGCGGTGACGCCCGTCCAGAGTTGGTCGGTCTCTGGAAAGCCAGGTTCGAACTTGTACGTGGGGAACTGGGAGTGGATATATGTCTTGTTGGAGCGGCGGTCACAGGTGTGTTCGGAGATGGACTCCCGGAGCAGAGCTTTGATGGTCGGGATGAACGGTTCGTTTGGTGGTAATGGGAGGCCCGAGAAGGTCAGATTTGCTGTCGAGAGACATCGGTACAAAGGAGATACATAGTACTTTTGCGGAGTTGGGATCTTCTGCTCCTGGATACGAGATCGCCAAAACCTGTTGGCTACAAGGGCCTGAGAAACTCCATTGTCCGTCAAGTGAGCGTCGGACCATGTCGCGGTGGCATTGCCGTCGAGGAGAGACCAGTAGCAGTTCCACGCGGGAGTGCCGTAGAAGGACTCGGCGGCATTGTGCCAGCCTTCTCCGTGGCGGCCCATGAACAGCAGCTTGTATTGCACATTGGCGGGAGCCGATTTGGTCAGATTCGCAATGACCAGGGCAAATCGTTGCCACTGGGTCAAGGAAGCGGCATCCGAGGGATCGGTTGGATAGCTCTGGTTGACGAGGCCGAAGTTGGTCGCAGTCTAGACAGGAAGTACCATTAGAAGACCGATACCTCACTTTCCACTCGCTTCCCATCGGATGGGTCTTGCTCTTTACCACTTACGTAGTCAAATGTAGTAGCGTTGGTCGAATTGTCGTCTTGCAGGAAGTAGCCTGGGACGGTTGAATATTGGATGTAGGCCGAGACAGCAGTGAAGGCGCTGCTGACCAGCAAGTATGTCGCAAGACAAACCATGGCGAAAATACCTTGAGATCAGTCTGAAGGATGAAGGGGTACAAGCAAGACACTGTCCTTTTAGCTCCGACGTCTGAGTGATGATGAGCTTACCTCTGGTCTCTTTATATGGCTGTCCTCACAGTCATCTTCCCGTGGTGCCTGAGCCGTAGGAATCACCCTCAAGACTCTCATTGGATGCCATTATCACCAAGGTATCTGGTGCATTAGCCAATGCTACCTCAACGTTGCCGTGGTTGAAATGCAAGGAGCTGGACGGGAAGTCATGTAGGTCTCCTGTGAGCCAATCATCTTGCAGCATCAACAGGCGTGCTGGAAGTTGGTCTTTCCAATCCAAATGAGGTCTTTTGAACGTGTTGCGCTCCTTATGGTCTTGATGCGGCAGCTTTGACGAGGGGGAGAACCTCGTGCCTCGTCAATCTGGAACTACCTATTATGACCAAAGCATTTGCAGGCTTGAAGCGATCATCTAATAAATGAGATCAGGTATGTAGCTGTGGCTGGCATGGTTGCTCGAAGACAGGGTTACCTCTATGCTTGCCGACACTGGACAAATGAATGGTGGCCACTGTTTCTAATGAAAAGTCAATATGCATTGGACGGAAGGAGCGACGAGGATCCGAACAAGATATGCCCTATCTAATCACATCTTCAATTTTCCGCCACCATATGTGTATAGATCCCACAATGAGAACTCCCAGGGTACCTAGGCCCGGGGTACAAAAGAAGATCAGTGTGATTTTCCACCGCCCCAGCACATGAAGAGCCGTCTCAGCCAGAGAACACCATAACCCATTCATTCCTCATCAATCGCATGATCCACTCCCGTTTCCTCAAGCCCTGAATATCTATCCCGTCACAGCAACACCATACGTCGCCCTCAGCCGCCCAAGCAAGTGCTCCCCCGCCGTCGTCTGGCCCAACGTACCCGCCGTCGCCGAGCCGCCCCCACGACCGATCTGGGCATCTCGGAACGTGGCTGTGCGCTCCTCGACCGCCAGCGACGGCACGGGGACCAGCACGGTGTCGTCGGCCGGCTGGACAAACACGGCGATGGAGTATCTGTCTGTTCCGAGGGCGGAGGATGTCGCGGCGACGCGCTCGTCTGCTTGCTCGGGTTCGACGAGCACGACGCGGTGCACGGTCGACTTGAGGAGTCCATTGGTCCAGAACTGGAGCAGGTCGCCGATATTGACGACCACGGGTGGAAACTCCCGGTCGTGGTAACCCGGCGGGGACACGGGGACACGGGCCCAGGTGCCGTCGTCCCGCAGGATTTCCAGCCCAGGTTGGCCCGGCCGCGTGAATAGCAGGGTGATGCTGCCATAGTCGCTGTGCGCGCCGGCGCGGATGTCGGCTTCAGCGCGGTAGTCGCTGTCGGGCGGCAGCTGGGGGTAATAGAGCATGCGCACCGTGTATGGCGAGTTTTCGTGTGACCGGACGAACCAGTCCGGGTCGTCATCGATACCCAGCCCCAGCGCGATCAGGCGCAGTATCCGGGTCGCCATGGCGCGACAGCGGGCGTGGAAATCGCGCAGCGCAGCCTCCGCATGGACCTCTGAGAATTGCGAGGGAAGGGGTTGTCGCCACGCGCCGTTCGCCGGGTCCGGCTCCGCGAGGTTGAAACACTGCTTGAAGTCGCCGCGCGTGTGGCTCTGCGGATCGAGATTCTCGACCTGCATGTCGACGAAGCCGCGGTTCTTTGTGATCTTGCAGGCCGCCTTGTCCGCCGCGCTGGCGCCCTTGAAGAAGTGGCTGCTGATCTCGAAGACGTTCTGCACCGTCGCGGCGTCGAGGTCGTATTCACCGCCGTCGCTGGTCTGGGACGCCGGCGGTGGCGATCCTGCGATCCACAGAAATCCGTGCTTTGCAGCGGCCTGGACAATCTCTCGCCCCAGCTCCGGTGATTCTTGGGAGATGTCGAACAACGGCAAATCGATTGATGACGCCGCAGCGGGAGCCGCCCCATTTGCTACCGACACCGCAGGCATGGCTGTCGCTCCACGCTTGCTCGGTCTCTCGCTCGGTCTCTCGGTCAATGGTATGGCAGCGAGGATAGATTCTCGTACGTAGTACCTGCCCGAGTAATGGATTCTGTGCTTATCAGGTCTGAGTGGATCGCTGCATCGAGACAAGTATAGTTATTATTATCATTATTATTTAAAGTCAGCAGAGCGAGGGAAACAAGAAAATACTTTAACTGATGGTTGACCCACTTTTGAACGCTCGGTGCCGACCGAACTCCATCGCTACCTTGAGGCCTGCGGGGAAGGGGAGTCGCTGTAGTCCGACAGAACCCCTCAGAATATGCGAATCAACTGTTTTCCGATTGGTCAAATCTAGAGACATCGAGGTAAAGAAGTAAATAAGGTCAAGAATCAACGAGGAGTAGCGATCCAAAGTGTTGTCTGTGAAACTGATTGTTGATATGCCTGTTCCTGGATCCAGGATCCGGACAAATGTACCGAGTACAAGTGACTCTTTCCCAGCGAGCGCTACAGGCTAATTCTGCTGGGGCTGGAATACATGCCGACTCCCCGCTTTCATGAGCATATGCTAGCACTTAGCTAGCTAGCTAGCCAACATCCTCACCATGCGTATTCAACCGCCCCTAGTTGGTGCATAGTGCATATATATATATATCAAGCTTTAGACCGCCAAAGCATCGCTCACTCTCTCAAGCCGGCTCCGCCACACACTGACCGCCCGTGAAGGCCACGTTATCAATGACAAGATCAATCTCGTTCCCCGGCAACACCTGCGAACAGTCCCAGATCAGCGAAAACACCAGCTCCGAACAGTCGGCCACAAAGTCCAGCGGTATCGCCTCGGCCCAGGCCGTCTGCGCGGAGTTGCCAAAGACATCGACAAGATCCCGATTGACGCTGTCGCCGACCTGGAGGGTGAGGCTGCAGGTGGAAAAGGCGGGGCCGCTGTTGGGGTTGTCCACGAAGGGGACGGCGTAGTCGTAGGTGAGGGTGTAGAAGGTGTTGGGGACGAGGTTTGTCAGGTTCTGAGAGACGCTGGAGATGGGCACGGTCGAGGTGCCGCGGAAGTAGCTGCGCCATGGCATGGGTGGTCAGTAGTTGCGCATCTCGAGAATACAAATCTGTACGATCGTGGAGAGGGAAGGGAAGGGTGTCGAAGAAGGGATACATACACGAATTTCGTTCCGAAAGGCGTGTCAGAAGCCGTTCCGCTGTTCTGGTCGAAAAATGCATTCCCAGAGACTGTCCAGTCGCCGCTGGTAGTGTCCGGTACTCCAATCGAGTCGGAGGAGACGTCTTCGAAGCTACCGTCAATTATGACATCCTGTGCGGGGGTGATGGTCAGTGACCAGGTTATTGTACGGGTACAGGACAAGGGGACTAAAAGCGCTGGTGACATACCGCCGTTCTCGAGGATGGACAGGCACTTGTAGGACATGCGGAGGAACTGCTTGTAGTTGTGGTAATGGTCTGATGGTGTTGAATTAGCTTCTCGGGTTCGATAAGCAGCGAATAGATATAAGACATACTGTTGTAGATGTAGTGGTGAACACTGTCTATCACGAGTCTTAGCTTGCAGCTATATACACATCAAAGAACAGTTGACATATTGTGGCCTACCGTGGTGGTGGTCTCCGTGGTCGTGGTAGTAGAAGTCGTCGTCGAGGTAGAGGTAGTAGATGTGTTAATAATTGCTGTCGTCGTTGTCGCGGCGGAAGATGTAGTGCTAGCAGTAGATAGGGACGAAGTCGAACTGGTGGAAGTAGGGGCACTGGTACTGGAGGTCTTCGGCGAGTGTGTGGAGCTTGTCAGTGACGTTGAAGATCTGGGGATGCTCGTCAATGCTCTCGAAGAACTGGTAGATATAGATATACTAGTGTCAGTAGGCTTTGCGTATGTTGTTCCGTGACTTCTCGTGGCTGAAGGAGTGTGTGAGAGGGAAATAGAGGTGGTCGAGAGGACTGCACCCGGGGAGCTTTCAGACGTGGAACGGCTTCCAGGCTCATCTTCTGTGCGTGTTATTGTGGTATGTGCAGGTTTGCTTTTCTGGGAACTCTTCGAAGATGCAGTATTGCTCTGTACTTCTGTCATGTCCCAGCTTTGCCAGTGAGGGAGGTCTGAATCTCGTGCCGTCGACGTGTCACCGAGAGAAGTATGCTTTGTATGGCCATCGTGTGTCCAGGAATACCGAGCTGAGGACGAGACTGGAGATGCGACCAAATGTTCAGAACTGCAAGGGCACACGATATGAGTGTTTGTAATAATAGTGGTGACTACAACGTCTGAGCTGTCCCACTTGTCTTGTTTCTGGCCCAGGCAGACAGTGACAGCAGCGGCGGTAGCGAGTGTCCATAACGTGGTCCTCATCCCGCAACTGAGGTAGAAATTAACAAAAGAATGGACGGCGACAGGCGTCACCACAAATGAATGGACAGTCCTGAGCAGAACAAGCAGCAATGTAGAGTAGAAGGAGTATTCACATGGTTGAGTAGAAGAGGCAAGGAAATAGTGATAGAGAAAAGCTTCGACAGGTGGGGAAATAGGGGTGGGTATGGCTGAAGGACTCGCTTCGCTTGATGAACAGGCAGACAGGTCAGGTCTAACACCCCGTGGGCCCCAGAGAGTACCGATCCGGAAAGCGTTGAGGAGGGAGTTCTTGAAGAGGCGCTCTTCCAATTTCTTTTTGTGGTTAACATCCATGAGTTCCTAGCGCTAGCAAAGTCGCGTGGCGTTCAGACAAGGGAAAGCTTCCCTCTATCAAGCTTTAACGGCCCGTTATACCAGACTAGGAAGGCGATCCTGGTGGCTTGTAAGCGGCTAGCGGTAGCGGCAAGAAGGTCAAGTGTGACTTCTCAGCAGCAGCACGTCTCATGCAAATTGCACAACGGCGAAAATGAATGGACAGTCGCTTCATCGTCGTCAGCCACACCGCGAATCGTCCGTTCCACAAGAGATTTGATTTCCACCAAAGGTATAAAGACATGGTTCTTTTTCAATTAGCAAATAAGAAATGCAGCTCAATGAGCTATGTGGTAACATTCAACAAGAACTTTATCAACAACGAATAGGAAACCCATCCCAGCTCTACCTCCAACAGTAACATTTACTTGTTGTCAAGGTCCTCTCAACAACAAGGTGAAGATGAATGGAATCGTCTAGTAAGTAGTGACTCCAAGCCACTCCTTGATATATTCCAGTTGGAACTTCTGCGCCTGCAGAACTCCCGGCTTGGTCAAGAACGCTGGGTTGAACGAATCCTCCGTGTGCCCTCCCTCCGGGATGACCATCAGACTCGACGCGTTGCGGTCGGCCGTCATTCGTCCGTATAGCTGCCACGGGGCCCATCCGGAGACGGGATGATGGTGCCGAAGGTGAACAGCAGGTGTGTCGCCGCGAGCAAGTCCTTGGTTGTAAAGTGATATTTCGTCGACAGTTCCTGGTGGGTAGGGATGGTCATGTTGAAGGTCTCGGAGCAGAATTTGCCGCGGTCGCTGCTATACCCGAGAGAGCCGGCGGGGAAGATTGTGCCGGAGGGGATAAGGTCCGCCGCAATGGGAAAGTAGCGGCATTCAAGGTATTGGAAGGGGAGTTGCTCGGCGCCGGCCAGGCTGAATGCGTTTTGTCCCGCCCAGTCGACGCAGGCGCCGTTGAAAAGGACCGAGAGACTGGCATTGATAACTTCGAGGACACCGTGGGCCTCGAGCGTCAGATTGAGGACTTTGTTGAGAGGGTTGGCTATGAGGCCCGGGAGACCCGGTAGGACCCCGTAGCTGAACTGCGCGTTGGCCGTGTACGCGTTGAGGATCTGTGACTGGTAGATCAGGTCCAGATCGCTGGTGTTCTTCGGGACCTCGCAGAGGTTGAGCCCGTGGGCGAGGTCCTCATAGTTTGTCCCTGAAAGGGTAATCAGTATCTTCTTCGTGGTTGGGGTGTCCACCGTACGAACCGGTCTTGATGTAGCCATGATAGGTTGCCAGCGCAGCTTTTATCTTCGCAGCAACTTCCGCGGAATAGCTCGAGTAGATGTTCGATAGCTGCAGCTCGCGTTAAGAGTCTTGTCATGCCAGAGATCAGGTATGCATACAAAGGTGTACCAATTCCCACGCGCAGGATTTGATGAATTCGGCCCAAGGCTCTCGGTTGGTCCAGCCCAGGCAATTGAGCCATAGAAAGTCTCTGGGTGGTTGAGTCGGAGCATGGCAGAGAGCCAACCCCCATAGGAGCCTGCAACGTGAATCAATTCCCCGTCTCCTGCCTTTGTTCCGAATGATCTACGTACCGCCATGTGCAATGACCTTGGCATCTCTCAGTTTGGTATTGTTTTTCTTCAAATATTGGACAAAAGCAACAGAGTCTCCAAGAACGTTCTCCAAGGTGAGTGTGGCAAAGCGCTGGGTAACGTTGGCGGCGGTGCTTGGATTGCTGACGCCGAAGAAACGGTGTTCGAGTTGCACCACGGCAGCACCCAAGGTTGGCGCCCAGTCTTCAAAGACCATCTCTTCCTGTGCATAGTCAGACACAGGCCAGGCAACATCGACAGACACCTACCAAGCACGAGAGATTGGCGGTCTCGGCTCCCTGCAGGAACAGGATAGGGCCTCCTGGTTTGTAGTAGTCCATAATAAGTTGATATTGTTGTCTAAAAGTCCCGCTCTTGGTGGCATTGTGGTCGATCTTCTGATCGTAGAATGCAGTTGGATGAGTGCAGTTGACGCCGGTCTGCCCAAAGGCAGTCTGTGCCGCTGTCAATGCAAGGAGAGCGAAGGAAACAAACATGATGAAAAGCTCCAATGAGTGTCGTAGGTGCTTTTTGTCTCTGATCAATGTACAGACACCAGACTTATGAGTGACCTAGACGACCTTTATATACTGTTTCGTGAGATTGCATCCTCATTGCCGTCGAGCAAAAGTCCCAAGAAAATTACCGAGCAATGCTGGGCTTGTGACGTAGCTTGAAGCAACAGCTGCCAATTCCCTGTCGTTTCGAAGTGGCCTTGGGAAAATCACTGCTACCTTTAATTTTAGACATCAGGCATTGTTGGGTTAGCTGAGCAGATCTGTGAAGGTGTGTAAAGGATGTTACCGGCGCACGGCATGGAAAGGGGAAAACGTGCGGACTCAATCTGGGGAACAAGCAGCAATGGGGATTTCATTGGCATGGGTCTCCACACCGCCAGCGCCAATGCGATGACATAGCCACCGGCGACAACAGCACAGCGTCTCCGAGTCATTGAAACAAAGGTACCAAAGTCTGTATTGTTACGAGGCGGCGTTTCTTGAACTTGGCAAGGCTGAAATATAAATCGCCACACTAACCGTATCGGGAATAGTGTGCAATACTCCACCAAGTATTTCTCGAGCAGATCTTTCAGGCCACCCCCCTAGTAAATCTTCAGCCTCTTCATCTCTATGCTACTTCCACAGCCATGACCAGACGAGATCAAAGGGTCGAAGCTGAAAGTACTACAACCATCAGCTCTGCGGATCATTTTGGCCCGAAATACATCAAGATCATCGTCCTAAACACCGTTAACCCAGCGAGGTTTAGTTCACGAAGACAACAGCCCCTTTTAATTGAACTTTCGAGTTTCAAAAGAGCGAGTGCAATCGTCAGGATATCGCTGAGTCTCTTCTGAAGTAGGGTATAGCGCCGCCCAACACCATGTCTCTCCTTCAACGGCATTCTGAGCCTTCTGAGCCGCGTGTTCCTCACCAACGCTGCTTGGCTCGAAAAGGAGAATTGACCGATATGTCTCGGCATATCGCGACACAGAAATGGGCCGTTTCCTCCAGGACCTTGTCGATCCGGGTGGTCGATCGTTGAGCGCAGAGCCTTTGTGTCCTTCTGTCTCTTGGTGTGACATTTGCGTGTCGGTGTTTGGGGGCGGGTTCTCCGAATGCAGCTTTGGGGCGCACTCGTCGAGCATTCGCAAAGACTTATATAAGTTTGACAATCCCTTCTCTCTTGGAACACACTCTGCCGTACCAAACAATTCTCCTGAATAAATCAAGTCTAACGACAGAACCCTCCTTGACAGAAGCTGTCCATCATGGCACGAGTCTCCGACACAGTCGCTCTCGACGCCACCGAGATAGGCGTCTATATCTTGCTCATGCCCCTGATCATATTCCTCGGAATACGCCATGGCGCCAAACACTCTCTGGGCTTCATATATCTTTGCCTCTTCTCCATCCTCCGCATTGTTGCCGATGCGCTGGGGATCTCCAACCGAAACTCGACGAATGAAAACACCATCATCACCACTCAAGCCATCAACTCGGCTGGCTTGTCTCCCCTCCTCTTGATCTTGGGGGCCTTTGCTCACGAAGCCCACCACTATCAAATCAAAGCGACCCTGCCACATGGCGAGGCACAGAACGTCCTCCGCCAACTACGGAGCCTCCAAGGAGGCTTCCACGCCCTGTCAGCCGGCGGTATGGGGTTAATCGTCTATGCGGCAGAAAAGTCAGCCAGCAAGGACAGCAACCACGATTCCGGGACTTGGACAGCCCTGCGCAAGTTGGGAGTTGTCCTGATGCTCCTTGCCGCCATCGCGGAAGTCATATACGCGCTGTACGTCTGGATGGCCGTGCGTCGAACGAAGGTGGTCAGACCGGTGAACCTCCTCGCTTTGGCCGGTTTCACGTTTGTCGGCGGCTTGTTCGTCGGGGTCAGGGCGGTATACTCGGTCATCTACACGTTCGATACGAACCCGGACCTCAGCCCAGTCACTGGCAAGTTCGTCGTCAAGCTGATCTTCATCGTCGGTGTCCAGTTCTTGGCTGTCGCCTGCTTACTTTGCGGTGCGTGGCTGACCAGAAACGTGAGGAGGGACACGGAGTATGAATCGATACGGCCGGCCGATCAAGCCTTTGGGCATGGTGGACACGCAGACGTTGCGATGCCTCTCACATCTCAGAGTTTTTCGAAAAGATGAGAGCCGCCACACTACGATTCCTGATTCAGGCACCCATTACCGAGTTGTCGGTCGGAGTTCATTCTTCTGTACCTCGACCTAACCAGAAATGGCTACGAAGAGTGGATCTCGCCCAGTCTTTTCCCCCAGCAACATACGACCAGCCTTGACACCACTCTCTTTTCATTGAGAGATCCATCATTTATCTCTGTACTATACCGGCAGAAGAAGACGTCGCCTTCATCCAGCCATATCTTATACCGTGTCGCTTTTCAATTGAGGCGTTGACAAGGCACTGACTGACTGAGTGAGTGGTAGCCCTCGCTCTGTCAAAGACATTCATATTCAATATATAGCTCACGTTAAGCCCGAAGTCCTCCTCAGGCCATTGTTACAGAGATAGATGCACCGCACAGTCTACATTATGGAGAATTTGAATCGAGGAGTATGCGTGAGAAAAAGCGGTCGGAGTCACGGTTGATTTGTCGGACGGCGTTCCTTGAAAATGATACCTTTCGCACTGTATTTCCTTTTGGCACAGTTCGTCCCGTCCTGGTCAAGTGGATGTGATGACCGAGAGGTATGATAATACTTGTCTTGCGCCCTTGTATGTACTCAGCGAGCATCACCGGGAAATACTCCGATCGATTCCTCGCGATTTCTTTTTGCTTCTTTCCTTTTCGTTGTGCTTGACCATTTTCCCAATAAGACCATACCTTTTTTCCGTCATCTCTAATGCAAGATCGACGTGTTACCAACAGAGCCATTCGGGCCGTCTATCTCCTGTGTTGCGACGACTTGTCGATCTGAAGAACAACCACATCAATTGCAGAGCTAGCGACACCAACCAAGTCCTCGAATTTATATTCCCCTAGTTCCGTTCCTCCAGGTTCTCCACACCCAGACCCCTCGGAGCCGAATCATCTCTCGCCTTCAGTTCATTTTCAAAGCGTATAGATAAAGTCCGGCCGTTTATCTCCCATGAGCCAGATCTGCTCGGCGGTCAATCCATCGTGCATACGGTCGCGCTTGCCACTGAGACGCTTGGCATTTTCGATCCTCAGCATGACGCGGGTGAAGGCGGTTCCTCCAAACAGACAGACTACCAGGGATCCAAGCACAACACCGTGGCCGGTCCAGAAGCGAGGCGCCTGCCGCGTGAGATAGATGTTGGAACTGACCACGCCGCTGATGTTGCCCACACCGACGGCAATGCCAATGACGATGCCCCGCTTGTAGACGCCCTCGGTATTGTTGCTCGCCCAGGAGAGTGAGTTGGGGATGTTCGGGTAGATCCCGATGGCCGCCAAGAAGGTCCCGGCGTATTGAATATGTGGATTGTCGCTAGATAGGAGCATGACGAAGCCGGCAATGCCGATGGACGACGCGACTATGCTACAATAACCCCTCTGCTGGGTGCGGTCGGCGATATAGCCCACGGTAATTGTGGCGATGGCGGCCCCTGCGTAAGGAGGGACGGAAAGCAGCTGTGCATGGGTTCCCTGGTAGCCCAAACCGCGGAGAATGGTCGGGAGGAAGAGCGAAAACGCATAAAGAGCACAGTCGCAGCCGGTGTAGATGACAGCGTATGACCAGGTCTTCCAATCTCGGAGTGCGGCGTAGAAATGTCGCTTGTCGTATTGCTCCTCGTTGCTGGCCTGTCGATCCGCCGCGAGGCGTCGACGCATCCGGATCTGGTCATCCGGCGTCAGGAACCGGGCTGTCTCTGGCCAGTCGAACACCATGACCCAGCAGAAGCCGCCGACAACCATCGTAATCAGACCTTCCAGGATGAATATCCACGCCCAGCCGGGCTTGCCGCCGATGCCGTCCATTTGGGCGATGGCCGCTGCCAGCAGACCTCCGAAAGAGCCCGCCAGAGCAGCAGCGGAGAAGAAGATGGCGGCACGCAAGCCGAGTTCGCTCCGTTTATACCAGCAAGAGAGATAGTAGTTGACACCGGGAAACAAGCCCGCCTCGGCCAGCCCAAGGAAGATTCGACAGGCCAGCAGGCCTGAATAGTTGTGCACGAGGCCCATACACGTCATGACCAGGCCCCAGGACACGATGATGCCAGTGAAGAAGACACGAGGTGTCAGTCGCCGCAAAAGGACATTGGTGGCGGGCTCAGCGAGAGCATACGTGACCTAGGGGTGGACTGTATCAGCGCATCTTTCCACAGCATCCTGAGGGAAGAGCTATCAAGGAGAGTGCTTACAAAGAAGACAGTGAGTGCGGTATTGTAGTCTCCTCCGTCCATGTTGAGGTCTTTTTCCAAACCCGCCAAGCGAGCATTGCCGACGTTGGATCGATCCAAAAAGGAGAGTAGGTAGAGCAATCCAAGCCATGGGATGAGCCAAAAATCGACTTTGCGGATAAGTGCTCGGTCCTGCGAGATTCAAACATGAGGATTCGGTCCTGTTGTGACAAATAAGATGGACATACGATTTCGGCCCTCTCGGCGTCGCTTTTGCCTTCATCAGGATCTGGCATATCGGCAACATTGTCGTATCGCTCGATATGGACTTCTTGTTCTTTCTCGGCGAATGAGGTGGTGCCCACGTCAAGGCTGACCATTTTGTGAGCTTCCTGCATCTTGGAGGGCTGTAGTAGGGGACCTTTGGGGGGGGGGAAGAATAGAAGATCAGGTTTTTCGTTCTGGGGAAGCGATATATCAAGTCTCCTGGTCAAGTCGGTTTCTGGAGATAGTACCACTGTAATTGCTCCGGGGCCCCAGCCTTAACTAGACGTTGAGAAGATCCCCGCGTCCCTCCACGAAATGCGGTTTATCCGCAACACTACTTCAGTGTAGGGGAGGGTGTCTTTGGGGGAGAATCTGCTGGAGGAATTGACCTTGAAGAGGTGAGCGGATCCGTTGTGATTGGGCAAGGCTGCGGCAAATGCGGACCGCGAACCGCGTGGATATACGGTGTCTAGCTATGATTTGGCCAGCGTCCTACGAAGAGGGGCGATGTATTTTGAAGTCGAGAACGGGCTTATTGTTTCTGACCGCGGACCGCATAGCGGACCGTAAAAGAATGGTTCTCATTCTTCCATTCACTGTTGCAGTCAATAGCGATGGTCCGCATTGGGGTTTCTGGTGCTTGGGACGGATCAATAATCGCCATCGCCAGCGCCAGGATATAGGACTGATGTAAAGAATCTTCGTAGTTGGACGGTACAATACAAGTAGTGGCGAGATATGAAGGTCTGGGCTTTGCGGTTTGGTGTTCTGTACAGGGTTCAAGTAATGCGTATGGGATATGGCATGACACTGGAGTCGATGGACTAAGCTGAATTGAGGGAAAGGCTGAAGTGAGCACAATGGGACGACTGCTCGATTCATGGTCTGGTCCATCTTCCACCAGCGACTTGAAGAAAATGCAGTGGAAGCCACATCGATAGACCCAACTCAACATAAGACTACAACTTTGACGGCTTCCAGGAAGGTGCCCTCTTATCTCTGAAAGCCGCGAGTCCTTCCCTGAAATTCTCTCCTTGCTTGAGCTTAGGATAAAGTGTCCTGTGAATGTCCTGGAACGCCACCTCAACATCAGCAGTCTTCCACGCCTCCCTCAACGCCGCCCTAGTCACGATAATGGCGTCCGGCGAGAGCGCAGCAATCTCCCCGGCCACCTCCACGGCCTCGGCGATGAGGGAGTCGCCACTCTGGGAGACCCTATTCACCAATCCATATCCTAGGGCTTCCTGTGCGGTGATCGACCGTCCGCTGAGGGCGATGTAGCTGGCTATATGCAGCCCGGCGCTGCGTACAAGTCGGGGCAGACCGCCGCTGTAGGCGTATTGCCCTACCTTGGGTTCTGGCAGGCCGAAGGTGGCTGTCGGGGAAGCCACCACCACGTCGCTGATGGGTTATGTTAGCAATGCAAAGAAGCGCAGCTCTGCCTGATCGATCCATCTCTGGATACTCGAGCGATGGAGCAGAGGCAAGCAGTTCCTGCGGGTAAACCAGAAAGTAAATCAGACATACCAATTGAGAGCAATTTCCCAGCCGCCTCCCAACGCGTACCCATTGACCGCCGCAATGATAGGTTTTCGACCAGAGCGCCGACTGATGCCCGCGAACCCAGACAGCGGATGCTTATGGCCTTCGTGTTCTTCGTGCGCAGATTTCGATCCCGCTGCATCGTCCACCTTCAACATCTCGATAAGATCCGAGCCCGCACAGAACGACTTCTTCCCTGCCCCCGTGACGATCGCCACGCGCAGTTCCGGCTCATCTTCAAACCAGTTTATGAGTGAGTCCATGTCCCAGTGAAGCTGGTAGGTGATTGAGTTCATCTGGGCCGGGCGGTTGATCGTCACCAACATGACATGCTGAGCTGGGAAACTGACAATGTAGCCGTCGCTTGCTGGATGAGGCCTCGATTGACCTGTAAATGCCGACTTGGTCGTCATGGTTTAGGATGTTGTCTGTCGATTTGATCCCTGGTTTCTTTCTTCTGTCTCTTCTTTGACAAGATGGTCGCTTTAACTCAAGCAAGGGTTCGTGTTGACAACAATTTCGACAGACACCCTGCCTACTTCGAACTCTGCATGCGAAGTTGCGAGTGACAAGACAAACCCCGGACTCGTGAAATATCAAATCACCAAAACCACCACCAACACGATACCCTTGAGCTTGAGTCTAGGTTTGACCCCAGAGTTGACTGTCTAAGCCTCGGTTCTCGGCGGCGTGCAGCGAATCACTCCGATCTTCACTACCAAGGCTACCTACAGAGCTTAGCTCCGCTTAGCAGGGGTCACAAATGTAGATACCAGAAATGAAACCTCGCTAGCTATCTGGTACTGAGATTTTGGGGTTGGGGTTATCCCAAGATCAATGCAGGGGGGTTCCACCATTTGGGGTAGGTTTCTCCGTGGTCGCGGCGGTGTATGCAGTTGTTGCGGATGGCGGACGACGGATGGCGGATAGCGAATAGCAAGGAGCGGAGAGCGGTCCGGCCTGCATTCAAGTCTGTGTCACGGGTTTAGCCTGAGCCTGGCCTGGGCTTGGTCATAGTTTGGGGACAACGTTACAAGACACGTGCGAATCGAGAACTGTGTACAATTGCTCCAGACAGGCAGACAGACAGACAGAGGTAGAGCCGCGAGAATGGGTGAGGAAACAACCAGTATCCAAATCATAGATAGATAGATATGTGCATTGTAAAGTAGGTGACGAGAAATCTCGAGATGGAAAATTGACCACGACTTACAGATCGGGAGCGTTGATTTATAACTGGTTAAACTCTGTAGGATCAAGAATATTTTTGCTCTCGGCCCCGGTTCCATGCCACTGGGTCATTGGGGTCAATCTCGGGGTGATGGCACCATCTCTCTGGCACAGACCCATTAACGTGGTCGTCCTCCGTGTGGTCAAGGTCCTCCTAGGTATATCATCTCATCTTGGGAGAAGAGTTGGCCGACTTTGAACGCCACACAACAGGGCTGCAGGCAGAAACAATCAGTGCTTGAAGAAGAAAATTCGACCGTCTGCATTCGCCATGATCCGCTCACTCCACGTTCCCCAACCTTCACTTCGGGCTTTTGGTCAGGCAAGGAATTTCAGTCTCCTCGGTAGAGAGTCTTTGACAGCAGGAAGCCAGTGGACGCCTTAAGTCGCTTAGTAGCCGAACCTCACATCCACGCTCATCAGCCTTGGTAACATGTCCTGCTATATTCTCTTGAGCTCGACCCGAGGTCTTGACTCGGCCTATCAATGCTCCGTTTCACATGAGACATTGAAACGGAGCCGCTGAGAAAGTGCCCATCCGTGTTACTGAACAAGAATGGGGAGGACAAAGAAAGACAATCAACCCCACAAATGATCCGAACAACCGTGACAGGAACGGGATCTCTGTGCCCTCAATCGAAAGAAAAAAAAAACTTGAGCGATATCGGAGAAAAGAATACCCATTGTCCAGTCCAACATATCAGCCTCGATTGTTCCCTGCTCTGCAACGGGTTGGAGTAATCAACGGGGAGCTGCTCCGTATGTACAGTCCGGGGTAAACGTAAACGGCCTCGCTTATCATGATTAAAAGTCGGGGACGACACAACGGCTAGAAGCTTGAAGGACCGTGGGCTTGATGGGGGACTCCGAAGGTAGCCTTGCCCCGTCCTCGGAAAAGTGCTGTCCTTGGCATCTTGGCAGAGTGTATCTCTTGCTGTATAGGGACAATGGACCGTCATCTGATTCCTGGGCATCGTCGTTGTCCGCTTTTCAATAGTTGAGCCAAATTCTCGGTCTGACGGAATTTGTGCTCCTGTAGACAAACCACGCTTCGTAGTTCGGAAGTCCGCGCAGCGATTGTTGTCCCAGGAGTTAACAAGCAATCATTAGGCTATACGCTGGCCTCGGGAGAATGGTAGCAGTGAGGCCCGTGGTCGAACACGCACGTACAGTAGGCACATACTCTCAAATATGCGAGTGATTAATTGCCCGGAGCGGCAGGGAATACAGTGGAATGATATCGCCTGGTTGTTGCAAAAGTACAAGGTACAAGGTGCCAGCCTTGGCGCCAAGAGCAGCAAGGTCGATCCCATTTTGCGGGCATCTTCGTACCCGGACACCTCCCCGCCCCCGCCCCCGCTCGGAGCCCCGGGCGGGGCCACAAGGTTCGTAGCAATATGCTACCTTTTATAAATGCACATAGAAGATCGCTTACCGCGCAACTGCAGCTTCAGTCCAATCGCGCATCAATTTTCGCTCGGAGATCCTGCTGCACGGTGTATTCCAGAGCGCATTTCCCTCGTTTGACCAATTCATCCTTCAAAGAGCCCCCCGGACCTCTGGACTTGTGTTCAGTAACGACTACCGACGATGACCAAGTCAAATGACGTCGAGGCACCATCTACCGAGCAGCATGAGCACTCGGAGAACAAGTGGCAGGCTATTGCCGCGGAAGCAAAGGCCGTGGAAGACGCAAAAACATTCCACGAATTAGCTCCGGATATTCCACTGCGAGAGGTTTTGGAAAGTCATGCGGACGAGGACAAGAAGCGCGTGAGGAGAATCATGAGGAAAGTTGATTTCAGGCTGGTCTCCATCCTTGCCTTGGTATACATCTGGGCTTTCATCGATCGAAGCAATCTCGGCAATGTAAGTGTTTCTTACCAACCTCTGAAAGGATTCACGAGCCGAAAGGCAAAAGGACTTGTCGTGTCATCTCGTTCCTTCAAAAATATTCCTTGAGGAAACAAGGGGGGCTGATATATACATAATCTGCTCCTAGGCGAATATTGCTGGAATGAGTGAGGACCTCCAAACCCAAGTCAGCAACCGCTATTCCGTCTTGACCATGATATTTTTCGTTGGCTACATCCTCGCCGATTTGCCCGCAGCCTACCTGACACGAAAGCTTGGTCCTGCCCTGTGGATTGGCTCCATAACGCTCGCATGGGGCGCAATCACGATCGGACAAGGCTTTGTGAAGACCTGGGGTGAATTGGCTCTCTGCAGAATTCTCCTTGGTATCATGGAGGGGGGCCTCATTCCCGGAGTGCTATACCTGTTGTCATGCTGGTACACCAGATATGAGACTGGTGTTCGGATTGCCGCCTTCTATGTGATTGGCATCATGTCCAGTGGACTGTCGGGACTGCTGGCGTATGGCTTGGAGAAGATGGAAGGCACCTCTGGGATTCGGGGATGGTCGTACGTTGGCTCTTCGTTGCAGTTTTCCACACGCTCACACCGTGATACAGCTGGATCTTTATCATCGAAGGTGTAGCCACTTGCGCCGTGGCCATTGGTTCTTTCTTCTTGATTGTGGACTTTCCAGAACGGTGTAAGTCTCCCCATCACCAACCAGATGCCTCGACGCTAACAGCGGCCCCCTTGGACAGCTGCTCAAAAGAATTCTCTCGGACTCCCGGCCTTTTTGACTCCTGAAGAGGCTGCCATTGTCCTTGCTCGCATTGAACATGACCGTGGCGACGCGGTGCACGACACTTTGACGTTTAAACTCTTCCTCGAATATATCAAAGACTGGAAATTGTGGGAGTTCAGCTCTTATTTGATACTTAATGTGGGGAGAATCTACACTTTCAGTGGCCATTGCCTTATCTAACTATGTCCAGAGCACTGCATTATACGCCTTCGCCTACTTTCTTCCAGTCATCTTGAAGGCCGGATTTGGGTACTCAACCGCAAAGGCACAAGTTATGACGTTCCCACCTTATCTTGTGGGAGGCGTGGTACGGTCACCTCCCTCGAAGTGTTTCGTGAACCCTTCACTGATGGACGATATAGTGGATGATTATCTGTTCCCGTGCCGGGGACATGCTTCGACAACGAGGTCCTCTACTCTGTCTCAATTGTGTTCTTTACATCATTGGCATCACGCTGTGAGTAAAAACTATGCTCTGAATTCTTCCTTGATTTTGCGAACCGGCCACTCTAATATTACAATCACAGCGTCGCCTGGTCAAGTAACACCAATGCTCGCTATGCGGGCGTCTTCATCGGCGTCATGGGTATTGTGGGCAACGTACCCCAACAGTGGGCCTACGCTCTCAACAACCTCGTCGGACAGGTCAAAAAGGCACTCTGTCTGATCATGATGACAATAGGAGGCGCGATTTCAGGCATCATCGCCGGAAACGTTTTCCGATCCCAAGACTCGCCGGGCTATCGACCAGGGGTCTGGGTCAGTATCGTTTTCAACATCGTATATTTCTTGCTGGTCGCGAAGAACATTGTCTATTTTTCACGCCAAAACAGGCGAGTTGACCGAGGCGAGATTGTGATTATGGGCCAGCCAGGATTCAAGTATACCCTCTAGAATGATCACATGGCTTTTTTGGAGCACTTGGGCCATGTTGACGGCTACTGGGGAACTATCAATTTGGGACTGGAACGTAATCGCGATTGCAATTGCATCGATCAAGTCCAAATGTGCAGCCGACATTCACGTCAATCACATCTGGCCCAAGTCCCGAGTCCCGACTGCCACGAGGCGCCGATATCGCGACCAATAGGTCCCACAATACAGACCCTCCCCCTGTGGTCGATGATCCATTTCCTGTTAACTAGTACACCATGTTTTTTTTAAAAGCCCCTCGTTCCTCAGAGTCTAGATCTCGGATCCTCCTTGTTATCAAACGAAACGACCAGTTTGCCAAAGTGCGCCCCCGTCTTCACATCGTGAAACAACTCTTCGACACGCTCCAACTCAAGGCCCTTGACCACCTTGGAAATGACCGGCCTGAGGTGCTTCTCCCTGACAACCCGCATCATCTCCTCAAACTCCCTCCTCGACCCGACCGTGGTGCCTCTGATTTCCATATTCCTCAGCACGGCGGACATGGGGAACGATATCTTGGGCCCCAGAGTCATGCCATAGACGACGAGTACTCCTCCTGGCTGGATTCATTTGTTTGTTTTCAGTGATTTTCCAACGGTCGATGATAGTAGGGAGTTGTTTGTGGAAGAAATCATGAACGTACCTTTAAGATCTTGACCGCGCTGTCGACAATATCTCCTCCAGCACCGTCAATGACGGCGTCCAGTCTCACTCCCCCCGTCAGTTTCAACAACTCCTTCTCCCAACCGGCGTGTTTGTAGCTGACGCCACCCACCGCGCCTCTCTGCTTCGCAGCCTCAATCTTCTCGAGACTTCCACTGCTAACAAACACCTCAGCGCCCACTGCGCGCGCAAACTCTAGAGCCATCAGCGCGACGCCGCCGCCGATTCCCGTGACCAGGACCTTCCTGCCCGGGCCGACGTGCTGTGCGCATTTCGTCATGACGGCCCTCCACGCAGTCAGACTCGTCAGGGGTAGCGCCGCGCACTCCACGTTGCTCAGATGCGGCGGGGCCAGCTCGAGGGCATCCTGCTCAATGACCATGTACTCCTGCAGGGTGCCGTTCTGGTTGCGTGACGTGCCGCCGAGAATGCTGAATTTGTCCTCCGGCCCCCACGGATCAGCGTGCCAGCCGGTCGCAGGACAGACGACGACCCTCTTGTGCAGCCACCCCGTCTCGGCGTCCGGTCCCAGCGCGACGACCGTGCCGCACCCGTCCGCGAAGAGGGGCACCCCGAACGCGATGTCCGGGTACAGATTCTGGCGGATGAAGTGGTCGCGGTGGTTGATGCCCGCGGCGTGCATCTTCAATAATACCTGTTTTCCCTTAGGTGTAGGCTGCGTCACCTCGTCCAGGCGCAGTGGGTAATAGACAGAGCCTGGATCCCCTGCGGCAGGCGCGATCGACATGACCTTGGACGTCTTTCGCGTCTGCGCGCCTCCTTGTGCCATTTCCTAGAATTTCTACCACCGAGATATGACTGCAGAGCTCAGCGGGCTTGAAGCCAGAGGATTCGAGATGATACGCGAGGCTCTGGTAGGGAGTCAAAGGGGTATGGATTTTTGAAGAACAGAAATATTGAAACAAGGGGTATCAAGCAGGGCAACTAGTGATAGTCAAGCATGTAAACGCTACCGGCTGCTATCACTAACATCTTGGGTCTCAGGGAAACGTAGACGTCTCGCCTCGTCTCAAGCACGGTCAACAGTCCTCTCACGGCTAAGCTCATCGCGCAAGGCTCCGTCACCCACGTCGGGTTGGGGGGAGGGCTCCACTTTCATTTCATTTCCCCTTTCTGGCAGCGGTCCGCGATCCGCAGTCCTGCGAAATGATGGACGGTTATTGCGGAAGATACGACCGCATGCCGTGGGGAATCCATGTCTGGGACAGGTTACGGACGGGTCGGAGAAGGACCGTCTGTAGCAGAGGGAGAGGAGATGCTTCCCGAGGTAGGAACCCGCATTGCCTTGATTCGAGCGGTACGGCAGCACGAGGAACTGGTTGGTCGTGGAACATCCATGATGGAGCAGCTCAAAGATAGGTATTCCTTTGGAAGAAACTGAAACTTTCTTCACTGCCATTGTTCTCTATCACCGCTGCGGTTTGACAGGTCGTCGCCAACGCCAAAGCCAACGCCAACATGCCCGTGTCATCGCCCTTCCCCAACATCGACACCCCAGAATGCAATATGCTCTCGTACCTCTTTCCCCCGACACAGTCGGAAGAGGACCAGTCCCTCCCTCTCTGGATCAACGCCTCAAATCCCTCCGTCAGAGTCACCGTGGCCGACACCCTATGCTTGATCCGACGATTCGCCGTCGGTCTCTCCCGGCTCGAAATCCCCAGCCAGCGAGCCGTGATGGTCCTGTCCCCGAACCACATCTACGTGCCGGTGATCTACCTCGCCGCCGCGGGCGCGGGGTGCTTCTTCAGCGGCGCCAATCCGACGTACACGGTCGACGAAGTGTCGCGGCAGCTGCGGATGAGTGACGCGGCGGTCATGCTGGTTCACCCGACCCTGCTGGACTGTGGTGTCAAGGCGGCAGAAGCGGCCGGGTTGTCGCTCAGTCGGGTGTTTCAGTTCTCGGATGCGGATTGCGAGGTCTCGAGGCACGGTGTGCGGGATTGGAAGAGCATGCTGGCCAGCGAGGAAGAGAGTCGAGAGTGGCGGTGGGATGCGCTGCGTGGCGAGCAGAGCAGGAGGACTGTGAGCTGTGTGAATTTCTCGTCTGGCACGACGGGGACGCCCAAGGGGGTGCGCATCTCGCATGCAAACGTGGTGGCAAATGCTTGTCAGGTATGTTCTCGGCCTCTGGCACCCCATGTCCCGTATCAATCCGCGAAGCAACAATCAATACCGGGTATGCCCTGCTGATGATAATGACCCAGGTCATATATGCCAAAACACACAACGCGGATCAATCCCCCGTCACCGTCTACCCCGAACGCTGGCTCGCGTTCCTGCCCCTGAACCACGCATACGCCCAGCTCTTCTCGATCGTCATCGTCTGCAAGCTGCGCACGCCCGTGTTCTTGATGACCCACTTCCGCTTCAACGACTACTTGCGACACATCCAGACGTACAAGATCACGACCCTGCAGGTCGTCCCGCCGGTGATATCCATGCTGCACAAAAGACCCGAGGTCACCCGATTCGATCTCAGTTCGGTCCAATATCTGATGAGCGCGGCGGCGCCGTTGAGCCGCGAGCTGCAGAACGCGGTCGCCACGCAGTTGAAAGGGGCGGTCATCGCACAGAGCTGGGGTATGACCGAGACTACGTGTACGGGATTAATGGTCCCAGGCATAATTCCCGACGATACCGGAAGTGTCGGCTCCCTCCTCCCCAACACGCAGGCCATGTTGGTGGACGAGCAAGGGGAAGAAACAAGTGGAGACGTCGGCGGTGAGCTCTGGATACGAGGGCCCCAGATGACTACCGGATACTGGAGGAATGAGGAAGCCACGTCACAGACTCTGACCAAGGACGGCTGGCTAAAGACAGGCGACATCGCAAAGTGCGCAGACGGGAAATGGTGGATCGTCGATCGCAGCAAAGAGTTGATCAAGGTCAATGGCTTCCAAGTCGCCCCTGCAGAGCTGGAGGCTGTGCTGTTGGAGCACGATGCGATAACAGACGCTGCTGTGGTGGGAGTCGTGCTACACGGAGAGGAATATCCCAGGGCGTATGTGACTCTACACCAGCACGCTTCGAGAAAGGCAGATCTGGTACAGACGATCCAAGAGTTCGTGGCGGAGAAGGTGGCAAAGCACAAGGCATTGAAAGGTGGCGTGAGCATCGTGGACGCCATTCCCAGGCTACCAAGTGGGAAGATCCAGAGGAACGTCGTCAAACAATGGAGCAAACGAGATGCCACAGAGCTGGAGAAAACGGTAAGAGCAAGACTGTAGCGCTGTATCGAACGATCAGTCGTGCTTCCAGAGGTTCATCTCGCTTCGGCATCACGAACTGCATATATTCAACTGCACCGTGCCACAAGTGACAAGTTAAGCCGTCCCTTTACTTTGCTTTGCTTAAACAGTCCTCTTTTGCAGGGCGAACTGCTCCATCAAAAAGTGTACGGGAGTTGGGAAGACTCGGTGATGTCCCCCATTAAGGATCCGACGTCGAACTGGATCGACTGATTGGTAAAATCCACCAGGTCGAACGATCCAAAGAGTTCGTCCCAACAGGCGTCACTGTAGTGCCAGATGTTGGAGTTTGCAGGGCTGCTCTCAAACACCGGAGCGGTATCGGACATGGTGCTATAGTCTACCAAGTCCCACAGACACTCGAAGTTCTCAGTGGTCAGCCCTTCGGGCAGTGCTGAGTTGGATATCAGGGTTGCAAAAGCGGATGTATCAGCGGTGAAACATTTCAAAGATTGTCCCTTGGGTCGGGTCAGTTATGCCAGGCAAGATCGATCAAGGGCCACTCACAATCGAACAGGCATTCCTGTAGAATTGGCCCAGGTCATCCAGAAAATCAATGTTACATTTTAAAAGCTCGGCAGACTCAAGTCTCTTGGACTCGGACCAGTGATGTCGATGCAAAGCCACGATAGTGCCTGCCACGACTGTGCAGTAGCCGAAGAACGAAGCACGCGTCGTGGCACCAGAGTACCGGGCTTCTTGCAAGAGGAGAGTGAGCCGTTTCGAATGTTCCCATGCGGTATCGAACGCCCGAGAAAGAAAGCTGGACGGGCCAGGGATGTGGCAGGACTCGAGCCGGCGCCGCAGGAGAAGAGGATGGTGAAGCAGACAGTAACAGAGGTGAAACAAGGCGCGCGAAAATATGGCTGGTCCGGCAGATTGCTGATCGATTTCTCCATCAACTGTGTGTCCGGCCATAACTTCAGTTGGTGATTTGTGCATCTCCAAGCGGCTCTCTAGATATAGAAGATCGGACTGTATGCCGGCAAACTCCGAGTTGGCGTCCCACGGCGGTTCCTGGTTCTGCATGTTAAATTGCTGCAGCATGTATTGCGCTGCTCGGCTGAGGGTGTATGCCATTGCGATGACATTGGTGAAGGGTCCTGCGTCATAGGCGACCGGGTTTGAACCTGTCCGGCTAAAGAGCTGTTGCAAATTCAGAGTCTTCTGCTCCAATCCAGCTCTCCACGCGACCTCGCTGCATGGCAACTGTAACTGGCAAGATGCGTCCAGAATGGCGGGTGGCTGCGCACGACCACAAGTGACAAGCTTGTCGAGGAGGTATAGAGACCAAAAGACTCTTCTGCGTTCTTCTTGATCGGCATAGGACAGGGCGTTGCGGCTCTCCATCATGAGTCTCATTGACTGCGCAATACGTACGGACAGTCCAATTTTGACCCATGCTAACGCGTGTCGGCCCTTCCCTGCTATACCGAGTTAGTAACGACGTCGATTTTGGAGATAAAAAAAGGCTACAAACCCGAAAAGTCGAAAATGGAGAGCAATGTCAAGGATTGTAGCGTTTGTAGATCCTCGATTCGAGTGGCTGAAAAGCAGCTTGACACGATGGATTTCCAGGACTGGTTTGCATAGAATACTGCCATGCTGTGTCGATCCCCAAAGAACGGATTGTGCGAGAAGCGTACCGCCGATGCCATGATGGCGAACAGAAGATGGGGTGGAATCTCCCCACAGCTGAGCCGTTGTCGAAAATTGGCCTCGTGGAACAAGGAATACGGCTGGTTGTGGCAATAAGCGAAATACATGTCCACGGTTTCTGACAGGACGGTAGATGGGATCGTCCCTGCAAGCGAGAGCTCGTCGGTCAAGGCCACATCATTGTTGACATACGTCGAGCTATCTCCTTCTGAATGTTCTGTCCCATCCTGTCCCATATCTTTGGTGTATCCTGGTATGGTCAGGAGTCCAGGGTATGAGTCGGAGGTACTCTGGTTGGCAGGACTTGTGTCGGCCGATGGTCTCGTTCTGTCTCTCCGTCAGCATACAGTCACAGAAACGCAGTGAAGCGTGCAAGAAGACGTCGCACCGGGTCCGAGAAGATTTAGTTTCGCGGAGAAAATCCTCGATGTTGCTGAGGCGGTTGCAAACCTCCTGTATAAGACATGAGCATCTTCTCTCACAATAGGATATATTAGATTCACCTCCAAGCGAGATGACAATTGCTTGAGTGAATCGTCATTCTCGGGTCGGGCTTTTTCGGAGCGCGCAGTGTCTGGATAAACGCACTCTATGAGCCACATTAGCATGAGCTAGTAAAGGGACCACGGTGCGTGGTACCTCGACGCATTCTCCGACAGTTCTGACATTGCGGACGGTCGCCTGTGCATCTCGCCTTTCTTCGTCTGGAAGCGAGTCATTTTCAGCCCCGATGCAACAGTCGGCAAAGATATATTAGGTATTGGTTACCTGCAGTACTGGCAAGCTTGACTGATTCTTTGGATTGGCTTATAGGGTGTCGTCCCCTGCCGTCTTTCACTGCCACCGTGGGGAGAAGAGTTCATGATGCGAGTCGATCTGCGTGGCTTCTGGTGATGGTGACTTGCGGAGTACCTGAGAGGCGGGTCATGCCTTGAGAGGTGCAAGAATCTCTTGGTTTAATGTCGACCAGCTCATTCAACAAATTGAAGGACAGAGGTTGAGGCTGAGAAAAACATCGACTAAGAGTTCTTTCGGATTCGGAGTTGGAGATGCATTCAATAAAGGTGCATCTCGGGGTCCCGCAAGCCACCCCGGCCTGACCGGCTGCTGCGGCTGCTGCGGCTGCTGCGGACTCTGGGGAAAGTGGGGAATAGCGGGTCGACGACTATTCCCTCCCGAGAGATCAGCGAATCAAATGGTGTAGATGAGAAAGTAGTACGGTCTGAGACCAAGACGAAGCATCGTGCACTAGAATACTATGTATGGTGACGATACCCAAATGAACACATTGGGTCTATAAGCATATCACCAAGGGCGTTGTTCAGTGGGCAGACACCTCAAGACCTTCCAGATCGCCTGACGTCTTCCAATCTTCACGGATGTCGAAGAAATCCAAAGCCCCCGCTAGCCACGGCGCCGCTCGTGCAACTTTGGCCCTGTCTTCGCTCGAACTCAGCCTTTCCAACTCGCCCTCCCGGCTCTGGTAGCTGGGTGTACAGCCTGCAGCTACCGCGCCTGCCAGAGCCATTCTCACAATGCGATTCGACCAATCTTCCTCTCCGGCAGCCGTGGCCTCTACGACCGGCTTCGATGACCCCTTTGCTTTGGCAGCTTCCAGACCATTCGAGATCATGTAACCCGCATGCTTGGCCAAAGTGTCGATAGATATCATCAACTTTGGGGAGGCTGTCGATTGGCTCACCCCCCAGAAGAACATATTGGGAAAGTCGTGGGTGGTGATCCCATATAATGTAGCAAGACCGCGCTCCCACTCTTCACTCAGCGTAAGACCATTACGGCCAGTCACGGTGATCCCTGCCTGACTGTCAGGCGACTTTAACACTCCGAACTCGAAGCCGGTGCTGAAGATGATAACATCGGCGTCGTACTCCTCCATGCCAATACTAAAGCCAGTTTTGGTGACCCGAGTGAGGCCAGCTCCATCAGTATCAACAAGTTGCACATTAGAGCGATTGAATGCAGCGAGGTAGTCGTCGTGGAAACATGGTCGTTTACACCATCTCGCGTACCAGGCCTTGAGACTCGCTGCGGTGTCTGGGTTTTGAATAATTGTGTCCACCCGCTGCCGTATCCTCTCCGTCCGCTCAAGGTCCATGTCTTTATAACGGTTGATGAAATCTTCCAGAGTGTCTATCGTGAGAGCCTTCGCCCGAGGACCGCCACACTGGGCGCCGGCTGAGCGAAACTTCGACCAAGCATCATTTACCATGTCAGTTTCAGGGTCCTCATAGGGGTCACTCATCCACAGGAGAAAATTGCGAACTCTCTCCTCCTGCCAGCCTGGCTTAGTCGCGATCTCTCGTCGCCAGACGTTAGGGTCTGTAGGGTGTTGACCGCGGACATCAACCCCTGCTGGGGTCCGCTGCACCACGTAGAGGTGCCTTGCCCATTTAGCAACCTCAGGTACCACTTGTATAGCCGTTGCACCAGTTCCGATAACTGCCACTTTTTTGTTCTGGAGATTCGTCAAGGACCAATCATTGGGAGAGCCGCCCGTATAACTATAGTCCCAGCGGGATGTATGGAAATAATGTCCTGAAAATTCTTCAATGCCTAGAATCGCCGGAATTTTGGGCCTTGTAAGCAGTCCTGGAGCCAGGATAAAAAAGTTGGATCGCATGTCAAGTGTCTGAGGTTCGCCACTCTGGTTCGTATGCGTTGCCTTGATAGTCCACTCCTTGCTGTATTCGTCCCACGCGGCGCCTTCTACCTCTGTATCGAACAGCGCCCTTTCATGAAGCCGGAATTTCGACGCCAGGATATTGGCGTACTCCATGATTTCGTTGCCGTAGGAGTACTTGTGCCGTGGCATATATCCTGTAGCCTCGAGGAGTGGAAGGTAGATATAGCTCTCCACATCACACATGACGCCAGGGTAACGGTTCCAGTACCAGGTGCCCCCAAAGCCTGATGCACGATCGAGGAGGAGTAAATCATCGAGCGAAAGTCCAGCCTGAAGTAGATAAGCTCCATAGAGGATACCTGCAAACCCAGCACCTAGAATGACCACTTTGAACTTGTCTCCATTCTGAGGAGGGTGGACAATCTTCAGTGGCTCGCTCCACGCCCAGGGATCACGGGCAAAGTTATTGAGCTTTTTCGAGTCCATCACATCGATATATTGTGAAGTACCGTCATCTCGAAGTCGCTTCTGTCGTTCTTCGGCGTATTTGGCTTCAATGGCACTCCTATCCAAGGAGTTTGAACCCATGGTTGCAGAGGCCTTAAGCGACTGTATTCACTCGTTGGTGTAAGAGAAGGTTTGATGATCCAAGAATGTGATGGCTTGAAGACAGGTCATGGATCAGTAGAGGGGCTATCAGCCCTGATAAATGGTCGTCCGATCATCTATAAAGTGGCGCAGAGACGACCACATGAACCGAAACCCTGTGCGCACCGAGGTCGCCAGTTTCATCGGCACAAATTGTGTCTCGAGCCCGCTATCATCTCCAGGTGTCTTTCACTGCGGTATAGCAGAATGCGCAGGGCATTTGTTTGCAAAAGGGCCTCTTTACAGCCTCGTTTCGCATGTTATACGACTCGCTCAAAGACACTCCACCAGAGTTCTCGCAAAAGTGGCCGAGGGGAATTGGGGCTCTACGACTCGCTCAGAGACACCCCCCACCAGAAGACATATATTGGAGCGGGGCCATAGGGGCCGTGCGACTGTGGAGTCAAGATTGCGTTATGTATAGTAGGGAAGGAAATTTGGAATCGTTGGTTTCGACTCACAAAATAGTCCACGATGAGTATTGATATGCCATGGAAGGCTGCAATCCCGAGTTTTCATCCTGGTACCTAACTGTTTCGTCCGTCTTTTGACCGAATTCAGCTGACGCCACAGAAGACCTCCTTATTGTTCCTCCCCATAAAATCAAGCCCGCAACAAGGGGAATGCACAGTTCTTATGTACTGGTGATAGCATTCTCCTTGTGTTTGTGTGTTTATTTCTACGCGCTTCGGACGTTCCGCCCACCCGATAAGTTTCAGAACACAGTAGGAGCACAGTATAAATGACGAAACCTCCCGCCAATGCAAAGTGACGCCAAATCAATGTATTCCCGCTCCTGACGATCGTCTCTCTGACCTTGTCCCCTCCTTCACTGGTATCAAACTCTTGAAGCCATGTCACCGAACTACATCGACAAGCTCCGCGGCAAGTCGCTTGTCATTGTTGGCGGAACATCCGGCGTAGGTTTTGCAGTTGCAGAAGCTAGCCTCGAGTTCGTCGCCAAAGTCGTCGTTGTCAGTCGGACGCAGGAAAATGTGGACAAGGCAGTGCACAGACTCAAGACTTCCTACCCTCATGCAGCCACCAACGTCCGGGGTAACGCTTGTGACTTATCCAGCGAGCAAGCAGAGAAAGATCTCACCAATGTCTTTGACTTCGCCACCGATAATGGAATAAACCTTGTCGACCATGTTGTCAGCACCGCTGGTGGAATGCCGAACCCTATTACTCTTGCCGAAGTGACACCCAACGACCTCGTCGCAGCGAGCAAGTACCACTTCATCGGCGACTTGATCCTTGCCAAGGTTGCGGTCAAGTACCTCAAACAGACGTACACGTCCTCGATCACCTTGACCGGCGGCGCGGGCACGTATAAGCCACCACGCGGCTGGCCCATGTGGGCCGGTGTGGGCGGGGCAAAAGATGCGCTGACGCGGAGCCTCGCGTTGGAGCTCAAGCGGGTTCGTGTAAACCTCGTCTCTTTGGGAGCAATTCGGACGGAGTTGTTCGACCGGGCTGTCGCAGGAGCGGGAGAGGCAGTCGCCGAGGCCGCGAAGAAGGCCTTTGTGCTCGCTAGGTTAGGGGAGCCTGGAGATGTTACAGAGACTTTTCTGGCGATAATGAGGAATAATCTTGTGACGGGCACTGTCAACATTGTTGATGGGGGCGCTCTGCTCACATAAACCAAGTTTATCCGGCACCACGGGTTCTACATAGCCCTTACTCCGTATATATCAGGAAGTAACGGGCAAACGGCACCGGGTTCGGATAATCCCCGGCCCGCGATATCCGCAATTGCCGCCAAGACGAGTGGGTCACCCTCCATCGAGCCACTAGAGCCATTTCCCACCTCTACCGACTTACCACCCATCCACCATCCAGTAATATAGCCCATTCGCGACATACAACATCCCTAATATAGCCTTCTCTCCGCCATACAAGAGTTAGCCTCGTCGCTAAATCAACGCAAGAAGCTGCACCAAGGGTTGGAGGCGGGGGTTTCAACCGTGGCAGAACCTGCCTAGGCTCCATGCCCCTCCTCACCCAGGTAGAAATTGAGTGAGCTTGCCTCCACTATCAAACATGTATAGGTGTCCCCCGTACCCACCCCACCGATCTCTCGATCACCCCTTGCAGGGCCTAGTGTCACCAATGCTGGGTGAGTCCTTGCGCAAACGGGCCAAAACGGCCTGCCGGCCTTGCAGGGAGCGGAAAAGGAAGTGCGAGGGTGGGATTCCTTGTTCAGCCTGCAGACACTTTGAGTACAATTGCGTCTTCGATCGACGAAACCGGTCAAGCAGTGGTTCTGGGCGAGCGCTCGATCATGGAGTTCGATCCAGCGTTTCGTCCCCAACGTCCGAAACCGATCAAACCCAGCATATTCACAACCAACGAACCGCGCCCGTACGCACTGAGCAAACACAGCTCCGCTCATTGGAGGCGAATTCGGGCGCGGTCTTTGCTCGGAATCTTGGCCTGACAGCTGACTCCACGCGCCTGAAGCGGCTACAGCTTTCTGCGTGGAATCTAGGGTTGAGGGATGAAGGGACACCCGCTGATGTTGTTCCGAGACCGATCATTGAAACCATCAGCCTCAGTGAGATGGAGGCCTTGACAACTGTCTACTTTAAAGAAATCCATGCCGTTTACGGATTTCTGGACGAAAACAGTGTTCGCCGGCTGATAGCCACACGCTGGTACGACAACGCCACTATGCAATCATACGACTGTGTCGATTCTGTCCTCTGCGGAATTGCCGCCCTAGGCTGTGTGTTCTCCAAACAGCCGTTGAGCCTTGAAATGCAGCTTGCGAAATCCGCCCAGGCTGCTCTAGCACAGTCTGTTCTACTCCCGACCCCATCCACGGATGATGTCGTGGCTTGGTTACTTCGGGTCATGTACCTGAGGCTGACCGCCTCACCCCATATCACCTGGATGGCGACCTGTACGATGATGCACGTCCTGGAAGCTGCCCGTCTACACTTTGATGAGGGTGACGAGCCGCTTCCCTCGGGCAACGGCGCAGAAGGAGGCCGAGAGAGCCGTCGGAGGATCTACCTAGTCGCCCAGCTGTTCAATATCTGGATCTCGTTTGACTGTGGCCGATCCAGGGTCGAAGTCCGGGGTGCCTCGTGTCAGCTTCCGTCGCCCGATGCTAGCGGCATCAAACCCGAGTTACTCGAACTCTACTTGGTCTCGGAGATTCTCTCCCCCGACAAATACCAGACTGTGCCCGAGCTGGAGAACCTGTTGCGGAGGGCCCTCGACGTGAAGTCCGCGCAGCCCATGCTGGTGCTGGTCCAGTGTAACGTGATGCTCTGCATCTACCGACGACTACGGGTGCAAGGGTCAAGTCCCAACACGGAGACCCTAGAGCGGATGCTGTCGGCTTTGTCCAAGGCCGTCGACGCCGCTCGCGCCCTGCTGAGGACCGAACGGCCATGGTGGCACGTCGCCAACGTGACCTTCCAAGCGGCCTGCGCCCTCCTCGCCATCGACACGAGCCTGTCTCTCGCCCAACTCATCCAGCCCCTCAAGGCTCTGGAGGATGTGAGCGCACATTACAAGACGAGCGCGACGCGGGAGGCCTACGACGCCGCGCGCGTGCTGGTCGGCGTCCACCGCAAACGCAAGGAACTCGACATCGCCAGACTCGACGGCGTGCTCCAGGAATGTCAACCGCACAATATCCCAGACTCGAATGACAACGACCTCGACGCTTCCAACGCAGACCAATGGTACCATCATCCTGCGATGCCCGTGTCCCTGGGCACCAACCGGATGGGCCTGGGCGAGCTTGAGTGGGAGCAGTTTTTCAACCTGGACCTTCCCTGACTTGATGATTCAAGTGCTAGTCTTAGCATTTCCTATCTCTCTCCAGCGAATTGGGTCGAGCGAGTACATAGTGGTTGGGTTCGTCGGTTGGTTTGTCCCAAGTACATATTTCCCGACACGGTATCCACATGCAGTCGGTACAAGTACCGGAATTGCCGCAATAAGCGCTACCCGCTCCGGAAAGTCGAAGTTGCCATGTCGGTAGCTTCCGCTATGTATAATCAACTATGTATCATTGGATATATATCTCTGATTGTATCTCTGATTGTATCTCTGCATGTCTAGTCGTACAAACAGAGTCTTGAATATTTCCAACCCTCCCTCCCACGACGTCGGTTCTACCACAACTCCAATCCCGGAGTACCATCTACACACCAAACGGATATATCAGTGCAAGTATGCAAGATCTCCGACATAATGATCACAACACTCTCTATCTATCTATCGATCTGGCTATCAATCGCTTGTCCCTTCTATATCTATACGGTTCTTGTCGGTCTGTCGGTTGCACGAACGTGACATCATTATAACATTACATCATACAAACCCGGCTTCGTTTGCTGTCTGCTGTCTGATGTCTGTCTGGCTAGCACTTTGTCTTCTCGGTGGCCTCCCCCTTCCGGACATCGCCGCGTTCTGCATCTCCCTCCTCTCCAGAGGAAGCAAAGTCCGAAAAGACCAACTTTTCCAAGTCGGCAGATGTCAGGCCCGGCTGCAGCCCGGCGCGTCGGCGGAAGTATACGCGCTTGGCCCATTTCCAGGCCTCGCAGCCCAGGAAGAAGAGGACGGCCTCGACAAAGACGATGCCCCATTCCCAGGAGATGCCGGTGTGTTTGAAGACCTTGTGATTGATAACCTGTATTGGAAAAGACGTTAGTGGTTGGTTCTGGTTCCTTGTGGCGTGATTTCACATAGTCCATTTCATTCATGGGATATATGATTCAACAACTAGGATCAACTTACCGGGATGTAGATGGTGGGAAAGATGGTCACGAAGCCGGCCACGATGGCCCAGAAGAGAAACTGGTTGCGCCACACGTCGTACATCCACTGCGTAAAGTACCTCTTGCTGCCGGGCTGCATGCGGAAGAAGCTTCGGCGCATGTCGACCATTTCCCACGCAAGGAAGAGTGCGAACCAGGTAAGGCTGACAAAGGTTGTGGCTCTGGCCCGAAAGACTGTATCGCACTGCGCGGAGTAGGACGTGTTGCAGTTGACGCCGAGATCTCCGTTTCCAAACGCGTACATGACCAGGAGGAAGGACGATAGACAAAGCGCAGACATCCATAAGCCGTAGACGAGCATGTCGAAGCAGAGTTCCCAGGTGAAGACGCCCGCTTTCAGCGAAATCGGTGGCCTCTGAAGGATATCTGGCGCGGCAATCTCCAAGCCAAGACCCATGTCGGGCATGCCAGACGTGATCATTATGACCCACATGATCTGGACTGGTGCTAAGGGGAACACAGAGAGGCCTGAGTCGTCTTTGAATGCTAGGCCAATGAGGAGCGTGCAGGCTTGTGCAATATTCTCCGCCAAAAGGTGAAGGATGAATTTCTGGATATTGTCAAACATCCGGCGGCCCTCTTCGACAGCGTTGAGAATCGATGCAAAGTTGTCGTCCGTGAGAACAATGTCAGAGGCATCCTTGGCCACGTCCGAGCCTCCTTGCCCCATGGCAATTCCAACATCGGCGATCTTCAGCGAAGGGGAGTCATTGACGCCATCACCAGTCTTTGGAAGTTAACGACAATCTCCCACAAGCAGGGACGGGAACAAAACTCACCATGGCCATAAAAGCGCCTCGTCGACGAAGGGCTTGGATCATTCGTACCTTTGTGTTGGGGGCACAGCGAGCGACAACCAAGGGTAAAGCTGATAGCTCGTCCAGCTCTTCATCGCTGAGACGGTCGAACTCTTTTGCTGTCATAACCATGGTTTGCGAGGTGCGATAAGAGAATAGAGATTGGTCAGTGGGGAGAATGCCAACTTGTGCAGCGATGGCACGAGCAGTGCCGGGATGATCGCCTGTCAACATGTGGACTTTCACTCCGGCGCGGTGGCAGCTCTTGACCGCATCCGCAGACTCTGGCCGAGGAGGGTCGTAGAGACCAATCAAGCCGCGGAAAGTGAGATCCCGTTCAATGTCCCCACGGGGAGGTGGACCTTCTCGACTGGCACGCCGACCATGGTGAGGATTGTAAGGACGGCTTGCGAGGGCGAGGACCCGCAGACCTTGACTGGCCAGGACTTCCATGTTCTCTAGAATTGCTGCCTTCATTTCATCCGTTAGGTCGACAACGCCTGTCCCGTGCCAATTAATGCTTGTACAAGCATCAAGAACACGCTCGACTGCACCCTTGGTGTAAACCATTTGTTCCTTTGTCTCGAGGTCTTCAAACACAGTAGACATTCTTTTCACATCCGAGTCAAATGGATACTCGCTGACTTCTTTCACTTTAGCTTGCTTTGGGTCGAGGAATCTTTGCCTGTTGAACCCAAACCGAGAGGCAAACACCTGAATTGCGATTTCTGTCGGATCACCAATGGCAACCCAGATTCCCTCGTTGTTGAGTTGAACGCGAGCAATGTTACAAAGCGATGCCACAAGCAAGAAGGCCTTTAACGCGTCATTATTCTCCAATAGCTCATTGGGTTTGGCTATGGGGCCATCTTCGGGTTGTAATTCACTTCGTGCAGCAGGAGCGGCTGTACTGTAGGTTACCTCTCCCGTCGTTGGATTGAAAGGCTCGTTTGAAGTGCTGACTGTGTAGGTGCCACGAGCTGGGATCCAGCACTTTTTGGCAACCATTTTGCCCTGGGTGAGAGTCCCGGTCTTGTCCGAGCAGATATCGGTGACAGCACCCAGGGCCTCCAACGACTTGAGGTTTCGAACAATGACATTGCGTTGAACCATTCTCTTCGTGGCTACAGCCATTGTAATTGTAAGGACAACAATCAGCGACGCCGGGATCATGGAAAGACCAGTAGCGACAGCGTAGATGATGACCTCAGAGCGGTCAGAGAATTTATTGGCGGCAAGGACAATAATGGCGCAGACAACCGCAATTCCGAAGAGCAGGATCGCTAAGCGGGAGAGTTTCTTCTGCAGTGGTGTTCCCACATTGACACCGAGAAACCGCCCGACAGCATCGGTAAAGGTTAACGTCCAGGATTCGACGTAGCGTAAGGGATTCACGGTGCCGTTCTCGCGATGCTTAACGTGGCGAATTTTCGAGTCTTTTTGACGGAGTGCCGTCGCGATTGAACCAATCTCCTGCGCCCCTGTATCAGAGATCCGTATTGAATGGGGCAAGAAGAGCAGAGATAAAAGTGATAACCTGAGGTGAAAGCCCTTTCCCGAACCCTTCAAGATGCGAAGTCACTCACCGTGTACATGCCCGTTGCAAAGACTATTCCTCGGGCTCGACCTTTTGTGACTGTGGAAGAACTGAATGCTATATTCAGTCGATCCCCAGGGCCCGTCTCTTCATCAAAAATAGCTTCCTCATCCTTCGCAACAGGTAGAGATTCACCAGTGAGGAGTGCTTCGTCGGTCTCGAAGTTGATGGATTCAATTAGCCTGGGTGCTGTGAGTATCTTGAAGGGACTAAGGAGTTCCACTGAAGTCTTACCGGATGTCTGCAGGGACCGTGTCGCCGACTTTAAGCTCGACGAGGTCGCCAATGACGAGCTCTGCCGTGGGGATGGTCAAGTTGCTCCCATCCCGGACCACAGTAGCGGTGGGTGAAGATAGTGAGCGCAGAGAGTCCATGGTCTTCTCAGCCTGATACTCCTGAAGGAAGCCGACAACAATGTTGAGAAGTATCACAGCAGTTACAACGCCTCCCTCGATCCAGGACTGAATTCCGAACGAAACTGCCATGGCCATTATCAAGACCAGCATCATTGCATTAGCAATTTGGCGCAGGAGGATCTTGAGTGGCTGTACGCCTGGGCCGTCATCCAACTCGTTGCGGCCATAGGTCTGTAATCTCTGGGACGCCTCTACTGGTGTCAGTCCAATGCCAATTGAGCTGTCCAGTTGCTGAACAAGGTCATCGTGTCCAAGGGCGTGTGCTGGCTTGGTTAGGGGTTTGTTGCTCTGGCCAGAAGTATGATTGTCCATGATTGCTTGTCTCCCCTTCGAGGTCTGGGTAGTATGAATTTCCAGCTGAACAGCAGCATGCGCCCTCGATATAGTCCCAAGAGCCGTGAGGGGACATGGTGTGACTGCGGTATCACCCTGGGACAACGTTTCGACCCTAGCTGTGGGTCTCGCAGGTGCAGTGTAGTACGCATATCGTAAGCTCAAAATCTGTCTTGTCTTTCTTAAAGTTTCCTGCACCCTTGGCACCGCTTTACCCTGGAAAGAGTTGTTTATATTTGATACTTGCGGTTGCTGTTTGGAAACAGAGACAGAAACAGAGTTCTGAAACAGTGTGAGATGTGAGATTCATATGTCAGAGTCAGACACCTCTGTAAGGCGATATTGCCTGTTAGGAAGTCACCTAAATGCCCATAAAGCTGGCTAGGGATGAAGAGGGGTGAAATTCTGAGGGAGGCAGATATTGAGTGGCGTCCCATGGGAGCAGAAGCCTGCCAAGCAAAATAGTGAGCTAGCGGGACCACGATACTGATCGAATGGAGCGGAATTGAGAGCCAAGCGAGCCAAGCATCTTGGCTGAAGAACTTCCACTCCGCCTTGCCGTCCCAGGCGGAACCTTGTGGACCAGCAATATCTGCTGTTCCGTCTTGCCGGGCTTTGACGAAGTTCGCCGGCGAGCGAGAGACTCCCTGAGGTGATGATCCCACCAGACTAAGCGCGACTGACGTCAAATGTTGTGAGAAAAATGTCAGCACTGTCGAGGTCTTCAACCAACACCCTGGGACGACACCAACCAACCTGTTCTAGAGAAGAGCTCACTTGTGCAGTGTTTCCCGCGTTGAGTCATCTTGTGTCCACGCAATCGATGATATTAGGCATTAGCAGACGAGAACCAAGTGGCGCGTAAGGAAGGGATGTGTCAACAGTTATGAATAGAGAACCATCTATTGGCATCTAGGAGCCCTACTGTAGAGGATGTCCCCTTCTTTTGTCCCGCCGAGACTTCTGTAAACCGCTCCCAGATGTTACCATAAAGCAACAGGGTAACCCCACGCCAAACCTGGAAGTCCCTCGATTTCAGTGCTCATAACTTGGTCGTGCGCTGCGTTGAAAGGATGGTCGAATTGACGCGAATCTTGCTGGTTGTAGCATCTCCGAAGTGGGTTTGAGGGGTGCGATGCCGGCTTGGCCCGTACCATAAAATTGTCTTGGAACACCAAAGCCTAGTTCCCGGAACCGGGTAGGGTTTTCAATGTCAAGTGGCCATGTGCATGTTTGGTTCGACCAGAGGCTTCCAACAATGACGCCCGTCTCTGCGCGATCTTCCCTTCTCGAACTTTTCCGATCGCAACGTAGTTAGGCTGAAGATTGGCGGTTCCTGGGCGTCGTCTAAGGTCAAACCGGTGGTCATCTTGCGAGTTTGTCGCCTGGAATAAGAGGTTTCCGCTGGTCAAACATTCCACATCTCCTCCATCTCCTCCATCTCCTCCATCATGCCATTGGCCACTAGCCTGTCGCGCTTCGAGAGTCAATGGAAGCTCGTCGGCATAATTTTCATCGAATCTGAATATCTCCGCATATCGAGCACCGAGGAGGATGGTACAGCCGCACAAGGTGACGAATAGGACAATGAAGAGTATCGTTGTGTCCCATGTCCTGAATGGATCGTCGAGAAACCACGTCAATGTGTCTGGCGGAAGTTGTTGTTCTGCAGAAGTGGTAGAGTTGAACATGGTGTCTCTTCTGATAGCGAGATGGAATATCATGACGCTTTCTGGAGGGCGCTAGATGATTGATTGCCAGTAGCACAATTGCGAGTGCTGGCAGAACCCTCAATTTGAAATGAGCATGTAACAGCTGCACTGTGCAGAGGACCACCGATCTCCGGGGTGTGGCACAATGACTCAATTTTTTCATTTAAGACCGGGACCCCCAAAAGCTCTATCCAGCTCTTCCCCTTCACGGCTCGGTGACATCGCAGGTGCTGATATGAGATGCCCAGGCTGCCCGTCCAGCAGATTCTGATCTACCCCTGCCTGTGACGACGCCTTTGTAGGCTCTAGTATCTTTTCTTCTCGATCCAACCAACCGGGCGCCACTCTGCGTTTCTCTGCAAGATCTCGATCCCTGATATCTTGCTCCCATTCTTTGATGGCTCTGTCTGCACCTTCGAGGGTCTTTTTGAGGTGGTCTTGGAGGGCTTTACAAGAGTTTATGATATCATCTGGATGGGCAGAGTGCCCAGAGGAGGATGTGATATATTTGGGCTTTCCGGGGCCATTTTCAGCTATTATGGACGGGGGGAGCGACGTGGGTACAGATCGAAATGTGTAGGGCAGTGTCACAGCAGTCGGCAGTGACAGAAAGGGCGAGACAGTCAAGGGAACCTGCGCGAGCAGTGGATGTGGCTCTGTTCAAGTGGTTAGCCGTCTCGAAGTTGCTTGCTCTGGAAGGCCTATGCCTGGGCACTTACTGTGCGTGTCAAACATGTCTGGTAGTTGTGAGATCGGTGGTTACTTTTGGCAGTGGAAAATGACCTCCAAGCCCAACTGCGGGCCGGCTTGAGTGTGATTGGAGAATGAGTCTCACTTGTACCCAAAGGCCATCGAGGTATCTGGCGAGTTGGGACTTTGGTGATGACAAGTAGTAAACTAAAGTTCGCAGCGGCGTGAAGGTAGTACGATGGCAAATGGAGGTGAAGCGCGTGCCTCGCTACCACGTCGGACCCCATATCATCATAGGTGATGTGATCTCCCACCTTGCCCCTCCATGAACAGAACCCGCTGTCCACCATTCAGATCATCCGTAGAGCAATGTGCTTTTAGTTCTCAGAGGCTCACCCAGATATCAATCCTGTGCAACTGAACGAATCCATCACCCGTAATCACTCTATTTGCAGGTGCAACCCCTCGGTGCAGTTGAACTGGGCGCGTTCTAGTTGCTTGGGGAATTTCAGCCCTGGCCTGAACTGGATCTGGACCCTAAAATCCCAATCCTCCTGAAACAGGTCGCAAATCGGACTCGTACAGCTTCAGCCGCCCCCGATTTTCAACTGTTGCCCACTTTTATTTTTCAGCTCTTGCACCGTGTTTGCAGGCAACATCTCTCCTCACCGCATCCCAATCTCCTGCGACAGCTTCTGAGAAGTCTGCCTCGTCTCTTGATCACCTGCCTCTTAGGTCACTTCGAAGACCCCGGCTCAACCACCTCCTGAGCACGAGGACGAGCAACAATTATTCCCTCCGGCGCTAACATTGCCCCTATCAACTTTGCTGACCATTTCGGTTGAAGAGGTCGCCGATATCTTTGTTTCCTCTCCGCAGACTCAGCGCTGGTATATTTCATCACTCTCGCAGACCGTTCGCGCCCGGAGCGCACCTCACAATCACAATGGATGGCCCGTTACACAGAGCCGTGGTGGATAAGAAGCCCGTGCCCGAGATTGATTTCACATTGCATATCATGGAAGATGGCTCCCAGGTGAGCACTCAAGAACGAGTATGCAAAGGTAGGTTGTCAAGAGGTGTCGCGCGAAGGCCATTTCTGATGCAATGGCAGATGTCCAGGCTCCGGCCATGCAACCCCCCACGAACGAACAGTTTTGGTCTTCCAGCGACCGATCAAAGCCGAACTTGTCCTTCCTGAAGCAACACTTTTACCGAGAAGGTCGGTTGACTGAAGAGCAAGCCTTGTGGATCATAAGTGAGGGTACAAAACTCTTGAAAGCGGAACCAAATCTGCTGGAAATGGATGCTCCCATCACTGTGTGTGGCGACGTCCATGGACAATACTTTGACCTCATGAAGCTATTTGAAGTAGGCGGGGATCCTGCTGAAACTAGATATCTCTTTCTGGGGGATTACGTCGACCGTGGGTACTTCAGCATTGAGGTACGGCCCCCGCGTTCTGCTCAGAGACCTCGTGTACTGACGGTCTATCCAGTGCGTGCTTTACTTGTGGTCTCTCAAGATTTGGTACCCAAATACCTTGTGGCTTCTTCGCGGAAATCACGAGTGCAGGCATCTGACCGACTACTTCACCTTCAAACTCGAATGCAAACACAAATACTCGGAAAAGATCTACGACGCATGCATGGAATCCTTCTGTGCCTTGCCACTAGCTGCTGTCATGAACAAGCAGTTTCTCTGTATACATGGTGGCCTAAGCCCAGAATTACACACCCTGGAGGATATCAAGAGCGTAAGTCGTGATGAAACTCTGATCTGGCCCATACTTGAGCTAATACTCCCAGATTGATCGATTCCGCGAGCCTCCCACCCATGGCCTCATGTGTGATATCCTCTGGGCCGATCCTCTGGAGGAATTCGGTCAAGAAAAAACCGGGGAATATTACGTGCATAACCACGTCAGGGGCTGCTCCTATTTCTTTTCCTATCCGGCCGCTTGCAACTTCCTCGAGAAAAACAACCTCCTCTCCATCATCCGTGCACACGAGGCTCAGGATGCCGGCTATCGGATGTACCGCAAGACCCGAACAACTGGTTTCCCCAGTGTCATGACCATCTTCAGCGCGCCAAATTACCTTGATGTCTACAACAACAAAGCTGCAGTGCTCAAGTACGAAAACAATGTTATGAACATCAGACAGTTTAACTGCACCCCTCATCCTTACTGGCTTCCGAACTTCATGGATGTCTTCACATGGTCTCTCCCTTTTGTCGGTGAAAAGATCACAGACATGCTGATTGCCATCCTTAACACCTGTTCTAAGGAAGAATTGGAGGAAGATACACAGAGCTCGAGCATGGAACCCGAGACACCACCATTTGGCGTGGATCCAGAATCCACAGAAGCCAAGCGGCGAGCCATCAAGAACAAGATCCTCGCCATTGGGCGACTTTCCAGGGTCTTCCAGGTCTTGCGTGAAGAATCTGAACGCGTCACTGAGCTGAAGACTCAGTCCGGAGGTCGCCTGCCGGCAGGGACTTTGATGTTGGGTGCTGAGGGCATCAAGCAGGCGATCCACAACTTTGAGGACGCTCGTAAAGTTGATCTCCAGAACGAACGCCTCCCACCATCGCCAGAGGAAATCGAGAAGCGCAGCGCCGAGGATAGGCGAGCTGCATTGGAGAGAGCGGCCACTGAAGCGGAGAACGACGCTAACCTGCAGGGCGTGGCAAGGAGAATCAGCTTGTAAGTCATTCACTCATTGCCATTCTACCAATGTTCTTTGGCTCACGCAATACAGTGGATCGTCCAACCCACGTGGCCATCGTCGAAAGGAGTGAGAGTCTGAATATAATCAAAGTGAGAATCGCAAACGACTGCTCTTTTGATGATGATTGAACGAGTCCACGACTCCAGCCCAGTCTCTCAAGGTCGACGAGTGGTGAGGCATACTCTTAAGCAGTTACGAGGAGCAGGAACCAGTTGGGCTACAGGGAGTGCTCGGTGCCTTGTGTGGAAAGGAATGAAGGGGAGCAGAGTATGTCGCAACCAAGAATGTGTGGTCGCAAGCAACGGTGGGCTGGCAGAGCGCGATCGACGCCTCCGCTTCCCCGTATTAGGCATCGTTTGTGCTGTCGGTATGGGTCAAGTGCCAATACTTCTACTCGTCCTTGGGTAGTGCTTGTGGCCTACTCATGGAGCAGAAATAAAATACCCATGCCCTTCCCGGATATTTCTTTCCCTTCCTCTTGTTTCTTTGTAGGATTCACACTTGATTCTCACTTTGGTGCTGCTGCGACAGTGAAAAATCGGCAATGCTGCGAATGCGAGGACATTCTTGTAGGGATTCAATCGGACGGGATGAGGCTCAGAAATGGGATCTTAGGCTGGAAACGAAGACAGCGCCACCAGCGCTTGCGGGTGTTGGTGAATACTCGGGATGGCCTGAACCGTGTGCCAGACGCCGTTAGCCTGACGAGGTTGAACCACTTTACGCGTGGACGCGGGGGTCAGCGATCGAAATGCGCCCTGTTGATTTCCCTCCGGTTCAACGGGCGCCACCATCACCAGGATCGTCCCGCACCTTCTCCTGATTCCTGAGCACCTGTTTGGCTCACTGGGATCACTAACGACACCCTTTCACTCACTTTACCACCAATCTCTTTCCCTCGTCCCGCCTTCTAACCTGCCATCGTCCCGATCGACGCTTGCTTATGCCTCAGGCATCAAGATGTTCTCTTCGCTCGCCGTTGCGCACAGCCTTGCACACAACTGAGCTTCATTGAACAGTGCTCTATCAGCGGAGTTTGGGCGTTCATGGGATTAAGATTGGGGCTTATATGGCCAGCGGTTGAATCGGAGCTACGACACTAGAACAGGTTCTTGCAGCTTTCTCGTACACGAACCACTCAATGACTGATGGTCTGTTCGAGACCAGAGTCGCCATGCCACCTACACCAAAGGAAATGAGCGACAATATTGACCAGGCTATCGACAGCCTGAATGCAGAATGGGATCTCAGACTTCCAAGGCTCCGTGGTGGGGAAGATCCTCCCGCCGATGAATCGGAACGTCTGGCTGGCAAATGCTCGAAGCTGATCAGATTCCTCTGTTTCAAGACGACAACTACGAAAACAGCTCTGGACACGTTCAGAAAGGAGAGCGCACGGACAATTAATTCTAAATGGGTTTTCAAGCCCTTACAAGAACCAGGCACTCTACCCATGCTGCCCGTGGTCAAGAGTCTCGTTGCTCGCAAGGCTGGCCTGGTGCGTCTGAGCGACTCCCAGCGATGCTCACTTCTACGACTTCTATACGCCATATT